TTCTTAACATATTATGTATTTAGAAGGGCGTAGTTACGGGCTCTTATATTTAGTTATTCTCACTAATATAGCCTGCGAGATGTCATGACACGAGGTCTTCTTGGATTCTGTCTTCATTTCCGAAGGCGTGCATTCACGCTCATGCCAGCTTCGCCAGTCGACGCTTCTCAGTGGCTAGTCTGGACCACCTAGAGGCAACCACCCTCCCATCCTTGAAAGTGGCGATCAGACTGCTGGCAGGGTCATCCAGGACGCTGATATTTTGCAGAGGATCACTGTTCAATATCAAAAAATCTGCTGCGAATCCCGGCGCGATTTGGCCCAAGAAGCCCTCCTGACCGAGCATCTTTGCTGCGTTCACTGTCGCGCTTTGGATGATCTCAACAGGCGTTTGAACCTGAGCCCGTAATCCAAATTCACGAGACTGCGCATAGTGCAAAGGCCCCAGCAGGTCAGTTCCGAAACAGATGGTGACTCCCGCTTCTTTAGCAATCTTCAGCGCTTGCAACCCCTTATGCAAGACCTCTTCGTTCTTTTGGGCGGATACCGGGGGTAGGAAGTTATGCTTGGCCATCGTTGCGTATGTTACCAAAGTTGGCGTCAGATAAACGCCGCGATCGGCCATCATCCTTGCAGTCGGTTCGTCAAGGAGGTTGCCATGCTCAATGCCTCGGACCCCTTGCCTGATTGCTTGCTGGATCGCCTGAGGGGTATACGCATGGCTTGTCACATATGTTCCCGCATTACTGGCAACCGTTACGATGGCTTTAATTTCCTCATCCGAGAACTGGACATGCTCAATTGCGTCTGTGGGGCTGGCAACACCTCCACCACCCATAATCTTGAGGAAATCGGACCCTTGACGCAGTTCTTCTCGAGCATACTTGAGACATTCGGCGACACCGTCCACAATTCGACTGATGCTAAGCACGGCGCCACCACAACACTCGCGGGTATCACTCTGAACGCGCATATCGCCATGACCACCCGTTTGAGACAACGCATGCCCTGCAATGAATAGGCGGGGGCCAGCATGGACGCCTTGCTCGATGGCCTGACGAAGTGCATTGTCTGCGCCTCCACAATCCCGAACAGTGGTGAAACCTCTCTCCAGCATGGCGTTGCAGACCTGAGGTTGCCGTAGAATAGTGGTGTTTGGATGCAGTGCCTTCAGGCTTCCAAGGTCCTTTTCACCAGGCACAGCAGCAAGGTGGACATGACAATCGATCAGCCCAGGGCAAATATACTTTCCAGTAAGATCAAGCTGTACAGTGGCAGAGTCCTGTTCCCATTCTTCGTTGCTGCCATTTATTGAAACGATGAGGCCGCCATGGATATGAACGGTTGCATCCTGAACGATCATGCCCCGACAAACATCAATGATATTCGCGTGGGAAAGAACATAGCGCCGGCGGGGGGTTAGGCGCCAGGGCACGATGATGGAGTCCAGCACAGATTGCGGAGTGGATGCCATGATGGGATCGAGGTTTTGGTACGCCGCGACTTTTGCTCGGGCGACTGTGCGTGTGCCTTATATTCAACTTGGCCTGCAGTCGCCTGAGCAGAGAGATCCCTATCTTCGCTGAGCATCCATCGCGGGAGCATGTACCCGCCTTTGGCTTTCTAAACGATTAAACTCTCTCTTCGCCCGCGATATCATTGGGCAGAGAGTAACAATGGGGCTTCCCCCCTTTCCCATGTTAAAGTCAATTAGTTTCCCAAGCCAGCGGGTACAGGTACCCGCAGATTACCCCGGACCAGCAAAGTGTCTGTCGTCGGCCATTCATCTCAAGCATCCGCTGAGACCCCCATGGCGAAATTGTGCCAGATTCGGTTTGATACGGTTCACACAACCCGAACGCTCGGCTGGGTACGGTAGAGTGATTTCAAGCCGCAACCACAGAGGTATAAGTACTCATAATTAAAAGACATTGGAGCAGATCACATCATTCAGCTCACGTCGCATTCTGATAGTCGGTTTCAAGTAAATCACTGTTATCACGATATCCTACAATGGCCGCAACAGAAGCAAAAACCGATCATGGCCAGGAGAAAGGGGACGTTGTCCTGGACCACCCTCGAGCATCAGAGGAAGGGTCGGTGGCTTACGTTCTTTCACCCTCGGAAGAGAAGCGGCTTTTGCGCAAGATAGATTTCCAGTAAGTGGTATGGCGGATTGCAAGTTCACAGCTAACATCCAACAGCTTGATGCCGGTCATGTTCATCCTGTATCTGCTCCAATACCTCGATAAGACCTCGCTCGGCTATACAGCGATTATGGGAATCATTGCGGACACAGTGAGTGCATGAAACCATGCCTCCAGCCTCGCTGACTGGTCCAGAATCTCGTCGGGAGTCAGTACTCCTGGGTGTCGAGTTTTTTTTATGTTGGCTTTCTGGCTGCCAGCCCCGTGGCTGCGGTCGCCTTGGTCAAATTCCCCGTGGGAAAGGTGGTCATCGTCTCAGTGTACGAACCAGGGCCGGGAGATGCAGTTTTTCGAGGCAGTTTGCTGACCCGTCGCTAGGGTGATCTGGGCTGCTATTCTCATGTGCATGGCTCTTGCTCACAACTTTGGAGGATTATCCGTACTCCGCATCCTGCTTGGGGCATTTGAAGCAGCCATCAATCCTGGCTTCACGATAATCACATCAATGTGGTACAAGCCGTCAGAGCATGCTCTTCGCCACGGTATCTGGTATAGTGGTGCCAGTATCGCTTACATCTTCGGTGGTATCCTCTCCTACGGCATTTCGCATATCCGAAGTTGGATAGCGACCTGGAAGGTACAGAGCTTCCAAACGCACACAAAGCAGTGCTGACACATACAGGTTCTGTTCCTGGTTTTCGGTGCCGTCACTCTCGTGTGGGGCGTAGCCATGTACTGGCTGCTCCCAGATAACCCGCAGACGGCAAGATTCCTCACAGAAATTGAGAGGAAGCAGGCATTTGCTCGCGTGCAGGGCATACGACATTCAGCGGATACTCGCAAGTGGGATCAGTATCAATTCAAGGAAGCTCTGATTGATCCCCGATCCTGGCTCTTGTTCCTACTTGCGATTTTCACCACTCTTCCTGGCGGCGGCCTGACAGCGGTGAGTGCTTTGCTGCATGTACACTGTCGCGCAGACTAACAGTAATCAAGTTTGGAAGCATCATTTTGCAAAGTTTCGGGTACAACATCTTCCAGACATACCTCCTTGGTATGACGATCGGCGCTTTCCTCCTCTTCTTCGTTGCTTTAACCGTCATTATCTCGACGTTTTTCAAGAATGCACGCTGTGTCTCTATTGCATTGTTGAACATCATCTCTCTGGCGGGATGCCTAATGATCAAGCTTGTTGATCCCAGCCAGAAGGTCACTCGCTTGGCCGGGCTTTGGTTGATCGGCGGCTACGCCAGTGCCTTTCCGACGATCCTCAGTCTGATCTCCAGCAATATTACTGGGCACACCAAAAAGGCAGTCGTGAACGCAATGCTCTTCCTGGGCTTTTGCACTGGGTATATCATCGGACCCCTTACATTCCTTGCCAAGGAGGCTCCAAGTTATCCGGTACGCCACGCTCTTGTCACTGACCTCCGCGCCGCTAACTCCTGCAGACTGCATATAATATCATGATCGCGTGCTTCGTTGTTAATGTTGCGATTGTGATATCTCTGAGGCAGATCATGGCTTTCGAAAATAAAAAGCGTGACGCGGAGTTTGGAACAGTGGACGTCCTTACCGGAGAAGGTGGGGAGGATGTTCTGGCACAGCTCGACGAAACAGACTGGCAGAACAAGAGTATTCGCTATTCCACGTAAATCAAGAGCTACGACACTTGTCGTCCAATCCAAGATGGTGACGAGGCTCCACACTCGTTAGGCTTGAAACGTATAGATAGGACCAAGTCGGTAAATATTGTCTATTCAGACTTCAGCGAAGCTAAGTTGGAAGTGCCTGCATCGAGTGCGGGGGCTATCAGTTGAGCAACGAGATTCGCAATACCCAGATCAGCAGTATCATAGGCATGCTCGCAATCAAGAATGTTGAGTGATCCAATCGTCGAGCCACGGATTCGAATGGGAACGTTGAGCACTGATCCTAGTCCATTCTCCCACAGTAATTCCCAGTCCTCGAAGACGTCCCTCAGGTCTTCTCTGACAGACCCAAGCCATGGCCTTCCTTCCACAATCACCCGCTGTTGCCACTGACCGCGCTTTGGTGGTTCCGTTGCGATACGGCTGACTGGTTGACGCGTTCCAAGAGGATGTAGATCTGGTCGCGTAGTGTAGACACGTTCCACGCCGGCATCTGGAGAAAAGGACAAGGCCGTAAAGAGGGAAAACCCGAAGTGGCGAGCTAGAAGAGTTTCAACAGAGGTCCAGAGTGAGGAAGGATCATCTGAGCAAGATGCATTCGCTAGATTGACCAGGTCGAGGATTAGTGTCGGGGTGGCCACGCTGCTCTGCTGTGTCGCCATAGTCCTAGTCCTTGTCGTTGCTGAAGTATACTAGTATCGTCACGAGGGAAATGCAAACAGCTGTTGTAGGGAACATATATCTTCCTGGGCAACGCCTTTGAGGAAAAGACTCGTTGGCTCCATAGCAAGGCTGGCAAATACCCTAAATTCTCAACAGCCACTGACACTTTGCCAGGTTGAAACAGGAGCATGATACGTCCAGGCGAGTGTCTCCCACAGCAAGGCGGGTACCTGTACGCGCGATGGCGTCGGCCCTAGCAGCAATGAACACCAACTCAGTACGGGGTACGAAGTAGGCAACGAGAAAGCGATAAGCTTTGGTTTATCAGCGCGTACAGGTACCCGTTGGATAAGATGCGGCCACTCGCGGCCTTCGTCCGTCTACACGAGCCCGTGACCCTGTCGGGGAGAACTGCCTTGTCCGAGGTTGTAGACGAGCTGCCTGTGAAACTCCACTTACCCCAATTTGGCTCGCCGCATCGTGATATCCAGTCTGACTATCCGATCCAGGTTCCCGTTATCCTGCATCTTGGGATGCAATGAGTACCTCATCGCCCAAAAAGCGATTCCGCGCCAAGGTACCACCTGAAAAGCGGAAGAGGATTGCGCAGGCCTGCACGGAATGCCGCAAGCGAAAACGGAAATGTCGCCAGCAAGAAAGCGGGATTTGCGTACAATGCCAGGAGAATCAGACAGAGTGTCACTCCGAAGCGATCTCTAGGGAGATTGAAGTCCCATTCACTGATGGACGGTCCATCTCCAAGTATGCTCCACTTGAACAGGTGATCTCAGAAACTAAATGTTCTCGAGGTGGCGGGTCCCTCCAGCAGCTCAACAATATATCGAAGACGAGGTGAAACAGCTGCACCCCGGAATGCATGTGCCTTTCGAGGTTATCCGATCGGCAGCCCTGGCGATGGAGAAGTACAGGGTCTCATCGTACCTTCAAGCTCATCATGAGAGCTGCTGACCTGATATCATAGGTTGTTGAAGACGTTGCCGACACCGTGGCGGCTCCACGTGAGTTGTGTGAGTTATCTAACGGTGCACTACTAACAGAGGTTATAGCAGAACCACAATATCCGTTGAATGAGGGATTTCTGGACCACTTCTCCAAACAGATTTCGCAAGCCGTGGGCAGGCCAATCGAGAGTCCAACACCGGTAAGCTTATCACTCGTGTGGCAGCAGGTCTGGCAGTAATGAAATGACCATGGCATCAAGACGGGGAGCCTTCATGGTTTCGACGACCATCACGAACTCCTCAGTGAACTCCTAACCCAACTGCCTTTGTGGCCGAAGGCCGACACCTTGATCTCGGCCTTCTTCCATTACGGAGAAAGCAACTGGTATTACTGTGACCAGGAGAGGTTCCGGAAAAGGCTCGACTCCATCTATCAGCACGGTATTCAGAGCAGCGAGGCCACGCCGGAATTCGTCTGCTTGACCCTCATGGCTCTGGCCATGGGCAGCCACTTCCAGCATCTCCCAACCTTGTCGCGATCATATCTCCAGAACATGCCGGACGATGACAACCGACTCCCAGGAAGAAGATATTTTGAGGCGGCACAACAGCTCCTGCCATACATCATGCAACATATCAGCATTGAAAGTGTCCAGAGCACCGTTCTTATGGCGCTATTCCTCCTTCCGGTCGGACAGCGGAAGTCGAACTACACCTTGATCGGATTGAGTCTTCGCATGGCCATGGCGCTGTCTCTGCATAGACGAACATTCGATACGACACCACTGGCGGAAGAGTCAAGAAGAGTGTTTTGGACTGTTTGGTGCCTGGAGAAGTAAGTCACGTCGCCCGTGGGAAGTCAGATGCTAAGAGACAAAAGACGACTTTCTTTGGTCTGGAGGGCACCCGATATGCTACGGGAAAGAGAAATCACAGCTCCAATGCCAGCGCATCACGTTTCGTTGGACTCCAGCAACCCCCAGAAACTGGTCCGACTGAGGGCGTTCGTCGACTTGACCAAAATACAAAGCTATGCCGCACAGATCAGGTACGTTCCATGTTCGGACTTGTCAGGCGGCGGTCTCACGAGTTTCTAGCACGTCAGAAGCAGACATTGGCGAGATCTTGAAGATAGAGGAGCGTCTACAAATCTGGAACCAAAGCTTGCCCGACTCGCTCCGCTCGTATGATCCTGATCATATGCGCGCAACGATTCATCTTCAGGTCATGTACAACTTGATTTGGATGGAGCTTGGCCGCGCGCCTCTACTCTCGCTGGTGAAGCAGGCGATCGATCACCAACTTGCAGATTCACCGACTTCAGCAGATAAACGACAGCGACAGCAGCGACGTCTGGCCGAGCTCTGCGCCTCGTCTGCGCACACAGTGCTCCGGCTTGTTCAGTCATTGCGGCAGGTCGGCCGGCTCGCCGCCTTCTCTTACTCCGACTTCCACGCTTGCAGCTCTGCCGTTGTTTTGATTTTGGTAGATTCCCTCCTCCACCCTCGTCTCGGAGTTGCAGATGCTGTTGGCGTGGGCATCGAAACGCTGGAGATGCTCGCCTTTGGGAACGAGTACGCCCAACGAGGGGTCACATTGGTTAAACGCTTCTGCAAAATGGTGGGCGAAGTCACGCCCGGGCGCGTGGGCACTGACACGGACGCGCCGGGACGTCAGACTAGCGATCGCCTCGTAAAGCGAACAGCTTCGGCCGCATCGCTATCTACAGAGGACACGTCTCTCGGACCAGGACTACCCATAGTCGACGTCGCAAATAGCGAGCAGTCCGCATGGTCCGTCAACGATGTGAGCTACGCTGGGTCTAGTTGCATCAATCATTCGTACGAAGAAGCCGACTTTGCTGCCTTGGAAGCAATCATGGGTCCTGGCTCTGATCTTTGGACCGACGATCAAAATGTGGAAGATCTTTGTTTTTTTGGCTTCAGTGGGGTCGGCCCCGGTATTCTTTAGCATCAGTCATCCGTACTGATGGTTGAGATAGGTGAAAAAGAATGGGGGCGGCAGGAATGAAGCAGGCCATTACAAAGTGGATTTTCAAGTTATAACTCGGTAATTGAATCGGCGTGGTTCGAGCTTTTAAATATCTCCATTATAAGTAAATATAATATAGGAGATGCGATCTATATTATATACAGGACGTAGATTAAGAGAGAATCTCTCTTAATCTATATGCTTTCGGTCCTTACGGTAGTCAAGGACCCTGCCGAGGCTTCCAGCATTTGAAGCTTTGCGACTCATCCCGCTCTATAATGTTCGCTTAGGAAGCAAATTAAAATGGAACAAGGTCATTTGGATTCTCCTCTCTTCAGATACACGCTCTAGAACGCGAGCTTCTAGTCGAAAAGAGTATTTTCATGGCTGTAAGACCATTGCCGTGCCTCGATCGAGGACTCAGTCTCGTTAACGGGCTTTGCATTGACCAGACTATTTGGCCTGACTCTGCAAAGACTATGTGTACGTGTGGACAAGATAATAACGACGGCATTCATGTATTATCTTCAGACTTCAAACGATCACGACGGTATTGATAGCATCTCTTGATGGATGATAGTGTCCATCTTTTCTAGCCTGAGGCCCGCGCCAACATCACTTAGAAGGGCCGCAAGAACACCTTACTTATTTCCAAACCCACATTCGTATTGAATCGGTCCAACGATGAGGCTGTTTGTTCGCTCGGGTCTGGGAACCTTGTGAAAAGGAAGGGAATTCTTCAGCAGTTGACAAAGCACAGTGGAAAATGGCCGTGTGAATTGCTAAGAGCTGCAAAGTGCCGACTTGGAGTTCCGACTGCTTTTCTAACAGAATAGCATCGAAGCCATGGATGACTTCACGACAAGAGAATACGATGTGGATGGTTAGGCACAACTTGGATGTTGGTGGTGTAGCCAACGAAAGCGCTGTAGCCTAGATGAGATGGGGGGAGGACTTGTTGAGCCCACCATTTGGTGTGAGCCAGGGTTCCAGGACGGGCTTCCTTCTTGCGAGCAAGGAGAATATGATGTGAGCAAAGTGTCTGGAGTATTGGAGACAACCAAGGAGTGGGATGATCCAAGAAGGGAAGTTACAAGGATAGGTAAGCCACAATAATGGCAAAACCTTTTGCACCTGGTGTCCACTCGTTCGGGAATCATTGAGAGAGAACTGGCCAAAAAGTGGGCATATCTGGAGAAGAATGTCCTGCTACTTCCAGAGTAGGGAAGTCTGATCTCTCTGGGTTATTCTACGAAGCATGTTGATTGGATGAGGTCCTGGTGTGCCTTACTTGATCATTTCCTTGGGGTCGTGAGGTCGATGGACTGCCGCAGGGTTCGGATGAGTGGGCTGACCAAATAACGTGGTTGGTTTGCTGGTCTATCCCAGTATCGAATGGATGAAGCGCGGATCGATCGTCCTGTGCATTACGGCGACGCATACCAGGGAGATACCATACGCACCCTAGGTAGAGGTTCCAGGCCCAGTATCGAGTTGATTGGCCGCCTGACGAATCATGTTTCGTTTGTGGTTGACCAGTTGGGGGTTCTCTGGGAGTCCAGAGGCGAATAAAGAGGTCCGAGATGAAGCAGTGAAGTCATTTCCAAGAAGAGCTTTTCGTCATGTGTATGTAGAGTGGTGGAACATGGTCAAGGCAAAGGAGGAGGATCTCAACTTGCTGAACAATCCACGAGGTTTCCAATCTCCGATGTGTGCGAATGTCATGTCGCAACTGCCGCGTCTGGAGAAGTGAAAGATAAAGAGAGGGAAAGAGCAGTTGCAAGCGAAGCCTTCAGGCTGGGCACCTTCCCCAACTTCTCGGCCACGCACAAAGGTCGTGGTTGTCTTCGATGCGTACTAAAAGTAGTTTCCGCTTTCTAACATTCAATACGAGGCGCAGGGTCCGTCCAACAGCAAAGCGACCTGCAAAAGTACATCAAACGGTACTACTGTACTCCCTAGGTAGCAAGCAGTTGGCTCGAGAAGGCTTGACTTGAGACCCTGAGACTACCTAGAGAATGGAGAATGGGGAGTGTCCTGTGCTGACTTGCTACTGACTGTACTTGATCAGTGCTTAGGGGAACCGAACCTGACGCCATAATGGCGGTGCGTTGACTTTGATAGGGCGATATGATTTCCAATGAAGGTCTAACCTTCACAAGCCTAGTTTGGTGTGTTTAGGGAGTCTTTCTTCGTGTGCAGGAGGCACAATTGAAAGTACCTAGGTAGCCATTAGGTACCTACATCTCAGTTTCCCACTTTGGGTGATACCTTAGCCACATGCCTTACCTGCCTACCTAGTACCTAGTACCTAGGTACCTCCCTACTATGGACAGATCTCGGTGGGGAATGCAAGGCCTGATATGACAAATGCCTACTTGTAGGCGGCATATGAGCCCAGAGAAAGAATGTTCAGACACCGGGGGCCGATGGCGCTTAGGTTCAGGAGGCCAAGGACGCCCAAGGCACCCACACGACCTATCTCCTCCACCAACAGGCGATAACTAAGGTACCTAAGATTTCAACTGACTGCTGGGATATCCCCCCTTAATAATAATCACAATTACATGCCCAGGTATTTTTCCTGCCACGCGCAAAAAGCCTACTTAGAACTCGAGGCCTAGGGGGGTCCAGAGCCCCCTAGGCCGCGAAGGGTGATGAATACCTCAACAAGTTGACCCGCCTTTGAGAGCCCTGGAGGCCTTCGGTAGGTACCTTGTACTGGACGTACTGGATGCGCCTAGGCTAGGTACCACGTTTGCCACCAATAGATGCCAACCACCGTGCCCACATGCAACGATAACCATTTTTATCTCACTCTCCACCCAAAAGTCAGGTCAGTAGACCCATGACCCTCGTCCCTAAAGCCTCAGAAGCTCAAACAGTCGATTTCTCAATCCGGTAGTTCACCATGGTGATTCAGAGGAAGTACCCTTAGATATCTACTTACCAGTCACAGCCACCGTGACGTGTTGTAATAATCTACTTCCGAAACAGGAGCAGCAACTGTACTTGGTATCAAACTATCAGCTGACAACTTGGCGTGATTCCAAGGACCTTGGATCATCATCCATTATTGAGACGCTTGTGGCCAGGGGTCCGCCAGTTCGGCCGACGGGACATGGTGGTGCCGCGGCACTGGCTTTGAATCTCGATCACGATCACGTACCCAACTTGGGTTCCGAGATTGTAGATGGCATGTCAGCTCAAGGTGGCCCGATACTCCCGCAACTCCAAGCTGGGGAAACGCTCGTGGTCCTTAAAGTAGGCGCCAGGCTCTAGGTCTAGGCTCTAGGCTCTAAACTCTAGGCCCTTTAGGCTCCCACCTCCTCGTGCCCATGATTATTACCATTTTGCGAGCTCACGGTGCCACAGCCACCAGCACCATCATCATCGTATAACGAGGTATCGCTTCATGCCTTTAGACCTGAGACGGGACTCCAGATATCTCAGACCTTCCATGCACGATCGCTCAACCCTCGTGTTCAGTAGCCTCGACCGCGTAGTCCCGAGTACCTTCGCTTACCATATTGCCCTATGCATACGCACATGGAACATTATCAATCTTGCGCCGAGAATAGATCTCCTCGTTCTTTATCGTGACGAGAACACCAGGACCTCTGTCAATAACCCGAAACCCCGAGTGCCCCTCATCACCTCGTGATGCCCGAGTATCCATCTCGTCTCGTCTTTCAAGTTGCACCACCACCAAATGCCTGCCGCACACGACAAGTGTTAGATCCAGATGCAGCTAGGTCGAGATGGCGGCTCGTTTACTAAGTCGTCGCACTGTCAGCACGTCGAATGGGCTAGCTGGTTGAACCTTCTGGGTGGAGTCAGCCTACGCCGCATCTTGGCTAACTTACAAGCTCACGATTAGTAATTCATGGATTGCTGCCCATGTATCAGCTTCGTTGAGTTTGCCATTCTTCGTCCACAGCCCTTCGCGGTCCGCGCTTGATATGTATGTTTTGGGAATCACTCTCTTTGCATTGCCCATCCGCCACTTTGGGTCTAACCAAACCGCTTCTGCCGTGCCCATTTCTGACATAAACAGCCCGTCTAGGTGCCGGGCACCGTGAAGACCCCTGGGCTTGGTGATCATCCCGCAGCATCCTAATTGGGCCGCCTATCCTAGGTGCATGATGGTCAGTCCGGTATGCATACATACAGAAGCGTCCCACCATGAGGCTACCCTGCGTCTTTGGGGAGAATCCACCGCAGTCATGATGCATTCATTCGGTTGCCGATTGTGCATCTTGGTCCACAGGCCCGCGTGCCATGTCATCTCTTCGGATCAGCTCACCCTCTATACCGACATATTTCTGTCCACTCGACATTCGGAGCATCACGTGGCCGACCGTTGGCTATGACATTTCACGCGCGCGAGTTCATCATGCTTCTTCATGCTCGGCTTCAGCCTGTGGATATCATTTCATAGCCATATTTTGAAGACTTCTATGCTAACACAGTTTGAGAGCTGGGTCCTTGTTCTTGGTACAGGTCACAGCTCTCCAAGTGGCTCCCTCAACCACCGTCTTCGTCATGAGCACATCCAAAATGCATCAAACGCCAGTCAACAAGTCGACGACCTTCCCACCCGTGTTCCGTACACCTGTAATGCCATGCCGGTCCTTTTGGACAAAATAACCACAGCGGCATCTGGGGAGCTTGTCTCGACGCGAACCCCGTCGCCAAATAGCTCTACCGTACGCCTGCAGATGACTGTGACAAAATTGCTGGCCCTTGAAGGGCAGATTGTGATGGCGTCAGATCAGATGAAGCTGTCCGTGCACGTTTCGATACTGGCGACTCCGCGTACGTAGGGTCTGGATACGAGCCACGGTGAGGTTCGTGATGACTGCTCCCCATGGCGTCCTGAGACTGGCCGACAGCACCCAATTCGGAGAGACGGGGCAAAGTGCCCGCCTGGGGAGGTGGAGGACCCGCCTTTCCTGGCTGAAGACCGTCGACATTGCTTGGAGGCGGAGGAACCTCGCCCTGTGACTCGAGTAGACGTGACTGTAGGTTGATGATGTAGTCTCGAAGTTGATAGTTTTCTGCCTGAACAGTTTTGAAGTTCTCACTCAGAACTTGATAATCGCGAACTTGCTCCTCTAGTTTCTTGATATAGCCCTCTTTTCTTTGTCGGAAGGCTCTCTGGTCAAGCAAGTCAGGACCATGGGAGTCAGCTTAGGGGAAGGATGCTTCATACCTGTGCAGCTCGGTTCTGGGCAGCGCGTTTGCTAGTGCTGAGCTCGCGCTTTCCATAGCCCTTGCGGCCGTCTCCATTATTCTCCCCACCATCGCTTTCAGCACTGCCGGTGACATTGTCATTGGCATGGTCACTGGGAGAAGGAGGCATTGGTGGCATGGTGTCGACAGGATCTGAGTAACTGGAGAAGTGTGGCGGCGGATAATGTTGATCTCGTAATACTATTGAATGCTTAGAAACAGGCCATGGAGACAATAACTGAGTGATGGATGTCATGGTGTGATGTCGAGATGGACTGTTGAGGCTTGGGACACACTGTTGAGGCTTGGGACAGGTGGCAGGCTTAAGTCACGCAAAAACTTGCAAGTCCAGTACTAGAAGGCTGAAGTGACTTGTAGACAAGGAGGGCAGACTCAACAGACGAGGCTGGCTTAGAGGGTGGTGCCGAGGGGGTATATGTAACCAAAGCCAAAGTTAGGATGAGATCAGGATGGGTGTGGGCAGTCTGCCAGCATCGTACGTAATGGGGAAGGACGCAAACCGAGGCGAAACGGTATGAACACGGTAACGATACGGTAACGATGAAAACTGTACAGGATACAAGACAGACTGACAGTAATGAGAAGGGTGGGTGGCAGGGTGGGGGGATGTCGTGGGTCAGAGCCCAGGAGAGGGATAGGGTAGAGCCAGGCGAGGAGATTCGAGAATTGGAAGCGGGTGAGAATTGCGTGAGGAGGGAAAACCACAAAAGGAAAGGCCTGGGGCGACGAGCCCTGGGCGTTGGGACGCAGGCTGGGTCGACCAAGGCGGAGGGTGGGTCGGAGATTACTATACGTACGGTTTTCGGATCTGGTGGATTTGATATGGTCCTATTGATTGTTCAAAGAGTCAGAAAGCTTGCGGTGACATTCAGGCCAAAGATGGAAGTTTTCATGAGCCTAAGGGCCCGAGTGCAAGCAGATTTGCGCCCTAGGCATGACTCAAGACTTGAAATCCAGAGGTCCCATCAAAGGCCGTGGCACATTGCTAGGTGAGCGAGCACACAGAGCATTGATAAGTGGAATGATGGGCCAAGATGAGTTGGAAGTGGAAGAAGGTAGAGGTAACGAAGAGGATCAGCGACCAGGAGGTGGGATGGGGCAAGTGAATGATGAAAGGTGAGAGGTGAGAAGTGAGGGAGTGAGGGAGTGTATTGTGAGGGCAGCGAGGATGGTGAGAGGTGCGAGCTGCGGCAGGCGCTCTGAGGAAGGAATCAAGGATCTGGGGGAGCCAACCACAGTCTTGGCTGCAGAACTGCTTACCTGAGGAAAGAACCTTAGAATGCCGAACGCTGATCAGTGATCATCGGCTGTTAGGCAGGATGCCTGTGTGTTGCCAACTATTAGACAACTAAAACGACCTGACGGCGAAGTTTGTGACTTTGCAAAACTGTCCACAGGGCGCAAAGAGTCTGGGCGAGGGAGAGGGAATAGAAAGATGGACAAGTACCGGTGGTCGAGGTTGGAGAGGTAATCGTCAGCAGGCGCGACTGGAATTGAGAAGCGAGAAGGTGCCGACCGAGGTCACGGCGGACGTGTGCACAACTTAGGTAATTAACACGGCGCAAAAGCTCCCGGCAACTAGAGATAACTTCAGGAAGGTCTGGCGCAACGATAACAAATAGAGTAGGTAATAACGAATGGCCAAGTGAAGCAATCGCAGAGTCGCAGACTGGAGTGTCTGGTCTGGTGCGTCGCGACTTTGTTGGTACTTTGTTGGTGGGTAGTTGAAAGGGGAAAGAGCAGAGGATGGAAATGGGAGGATTAGCAATTCCTTACATAATTAAAGGATTGGCATAGCCCCGAACGCCGCAAGCCGGAGCCCAGCTTCATCATCATTCTTATTTTGATGATTCTTGTTGTTCCCACTCGGGCGCCACCCGTGGACCGTGGAGCTGTCCACAGTCAGATTGCTGACTGCACGCACTTTGCCGCAAAAACGTTGCTCCATCTTTTTTCGACATCACGTACGCACCCATAGATTCCACCAATCACAACCCCGTCCTTGGTGGCGACAAAGTTTCCCGAGTTGTGCTTCCCCAATTCCATGACAATTTCTTATGTAAGTTGTGCCCGTTCCACCCACCCTCGAAATGCAATAACCGACCATACGAGAAGGAGTTGCAAGTGACATGATCTCACAGCAGACAAGCAGATGAGGGAGTCCTCTGTCTGACCTCAAGTTGATGCGGTGGAGTGTATGCGTGTGTGGTCCGGCGCTGTCTCCTGCAAAGTTGCCTGAAACTGCTCCAAGTGCAAGATAGGCAGTCGCATCTTGAGGTTAGGTGCGCTCCTGGATCAAGAATTAATAATAATGTCCCCCCCAAATCTGAGACTCCGCACACTTATTGATGCACAACTACCTAAAACAAAACTACTTCCTTGACCAAGGCGATTAAGCATTTCAATAACCGGCTACCTAACTAAGCATAGTCAGCGACTCAGAGAGCCTGAGTAGGTCAGCCTAATAAAGGACAGTACGAGTCCATACCTCGGGAGTGGGACCATTTTGGCTGACAGATACTCACAGTTTACAGTACAGATCAATGGCCAGAACGAGCTCCCCTTCAGGCGACCTCAAGCGCCGACAAGATGCGAGCTAGGCCCTAAAATCTTCCACTCCGCCTCCAAACTCCCCATGGATGGTGACCGAGTAATACTATTTGTATACCAATTCGTATTAAAAACCATGTGAAATACCACACGTTTGTGAACATTGTCCAAAGAGCGCTTCTGGTCTATTTGTATGTACAAAATACTAACTCAATCTTCCAGGATATACATCACGTCCCATACCTAAAGATGAACAAGCAAACTAAGGCATCCCCTGGCTGGACAAACTTACAGTCCGGAGACACGACCAACTCCGAAGAATCACGGCAACTGTTCAGCCTATCGCGACTTCATACCCTGCGAAAAGGATCCTCACTTTAACAATGGCATGCTAGCAGGCCTAGGCTTCCCCAAAACACCTTTTGCCGTCTCCTTCGCCTTTGCCACGGTTGATTACTCAGAATCTCAATTGCAGTTATCCACGCCTGTGACTGTGGCACAGTTCCTTCACAAAATGAACACTGGTGCGTGAAAGTTGCGCAGTCAACCTGGTGACATTTACGGCCACACGCCGGCATGGGAAAACACATGTCTCCATTCAAGGTTGCAGAGAGCCCTCGGCCCTCACCCAACGCCCTAGTCAAAGCTCTCTGCCCTATAATCTATTGTCATGTGTCGTCTATTCCCAACGCTTGTTACTTCTTGTCTCAGCCTGACCTATGTTCTGGGCCGATTCTGGCTCCCTCAGCGTGGCGCATGGCTGGCCCCATGTGTACCGGAGGGGCAGATTTATGTCTTTTTCCTGAGCAAGCTACGGAGTTGTACCCAGATTTAGTCGTCCATCCCGTCTTGCTGATCTGGCCCGACGTAAAAAAAAACTGCTTGTATAGGCTCATCACGGATGACACACGACTTATAGCCAGCATCCTGTTGGTCCCGGTGAGCCTGGGACGACAGTCGCAGTTACATCACGACTTCCTACAGTACGACTTCCCTCGACATGTGAAGGATGACCTCTTCGTTTACCAGGGACCAAAAATTCATGCATTCGGCGTTGCTAGGATGTCCTGGCATCATCGAAATCCTCTGCAGTAGACATGACGAACAGTTCCGACCTCTAAAGGGTCCTACGAGGGATGATCGTCGCGGAAACGTTCCATCTCCATCGTGAAGCCAACCTCCGTCTACCCACTACCATGATACCAAGAGACGAAACCGTGGTCAAAGTAATGACATGTTAGGCCGATCGGCAGCTCTGCGTCTACCCACTGTCAGGATATCAAGAGACGAAACCCTGGTCAAAGTAATGACATGCTAGTCCGATCGGCAGCTCTGGTGCAGACTGATCTAACTCGTCAAAATCAACAGTCCAAACAGCTGCTAGAGATGTCGAGGTTGATTTTGGTCGCACGACTTTACAGCACCTGTGCATTCATTTCATACCATGGGACGCACATGTGCGGACCAATTTGGCATCGCGCGCCTTCCTCAATCGACCTGGGGCATTTTTTGAACTTGAACGCTTTCATGCCTGTCAAGGGGTCCAGCCTGTCCCAAGGAATTTTCAGACGCTTGTCATGTCTTTCGGCAGTGTCTGATGACTTCGATAATGACACACGCCGATTGCGAGCTATGTGTTTACATACATATGCCGAGAGATTGTCACCCACCGGGATGTGGATATAAGTCAGTTGATTTCCGGGGCTGTGGACACTGACAGACTCATGTGGTGTTCTTTTTAGGATCCTTTCTCCGAGCAACCAGCAACGCCAAAGCCTCGTGGAAACCTCTTTGTCATCCTAGCCACTGACTAGGATCACGCAGCGTCACGCAGCGTTTCTGATCTGGGTACCAAATCAATTCAGGGAAGCTCACGAATCTCGACTTCTGTTGCTTGCTTTTCCATGCACTGTGTGATACTTCCTTGAGGTGTTTGTCTAATTCGTCCTCACACCCCGGGTTTCATTGCTCAGCAATTGCTATAGCCATCAGCTCCAGTGCAACTCTCGCTAGTCGGAAACTCAGGACAATCTAGCGAGACTCGCGTGCCGTTCGGCCCGCATATGCAGGGCTCTATACACCAGCAGCTTTCGATCTTTACCATACGGTTTGAACATTCTAGGCCAAGGGTCTCTAGAATTTTGTTCGAAACGCCTAGCAGCAGAATCCTAGGCGCGGAAATCGTTTTGCGACCAGTGGGATCGAATCCTGCCTTGATTCATTTGCAGCCTCTATCGGTGTAAGTGTTCCCTCCGTAGGTGGCTACAGAACGCCAATCTGCGTATGGTGAAAAAGTCCCAGTATCCACCACCACCACCGTGGCCCATTGACTAACATCGGATCGGGTGTTTTGATCGATCAATACTGGTAACCAGTTGTCTTTCATTGAACAGCGATCGTATGATTCATGGATAAGGAAGGCGTCAGTTTACCCCCCACCCTGTGCAAGAGATGTACCGGGAAAGTGCAAGGACACGCAGGCACTAACGCTGACTCGATCTCGATAGGATTGCCTAAACATGGGACTGAAACGTGCTCATCTTCGATCTCATTCTTCTACTCGCCGACATCTCCTTATTGCAGTCAATCAATTCTTACAGATGGGGACAGGTAGGTGCTTCTGAAGCGCACTCGTGTAGGGAAGTGTCGCACAATGGCGCTTGATACAACACTCGCAGACATCCCGATCGAGGGTTTACGTGCCATACTTGTCATTTCACCTCCCATTGAGAACTGTACTGGTCAGACATGGTGTAGGGTCTCGGATCCCACACAGGCGCGCTCTTGAGAGCCGGGAGCCCGAAGCCGAGAAAAAGATGACCAGGCCACAGCACCACCGGAGAGAGACTCTTGTTGGCAACTACACGCAGCCATTCAGGTAAGAAAGCATGCTGGTTCATCGAGTGGCTAGTCACAGTCCTTGCTGCACCACCTTATTGCCATTGTAGCCATCATGGACACGCTTCCCACCATGATTAGCAAGCAGCAGCATCAGCAAGCCAGAGCATTTATGAGCAGAATGAATGTCAATGATGTCTCTGATGCTCTCATCCTTTCGTTCTGTACTACCTGCGCTCTGTCGAACCTGGATGTGTATGGCCTCTTCTTCAAGCCACATGCCATCGCCCCGCTCCACCTCGCACAATATTTCGTTGTATTCAAGGCCGTGTTCAAGACTGGTGTGCAACATGTACCATGCCTCCTGACGCAGCGTGTTGGACCGTCTAAGAGCAATGTGATTTTAGCACTACATTCAATAGTGTCGGAGATGCGAACAGTCACGAGGTCGGCCACGCTCAGGAGACAGACCAACACACCGCCAAATACACCAGCCCCAGCACACATGCCATTTCGGTCGAAATTGACGTCCGAACAATTATGGACATTATGTGCGAGAAGATGTTCCGCTTTGCCATGAACCCCGTGCTGGTGGTGGTGCTCGTGGCGTTGGTCGTCGTGGGAATGCTGGTTGCAGTGTATACACCGGTCGGGAAGCTTGTGGTCGCGACTTCTGAGGTCATTCCAGATGCAGATGTCCTTGCAGATGTCCACGCCGATCTCGTCGTAGGTATGGGTGAATACTGAGAGTGATTAGTGTGGGCGATACTGCTACTGCTGTTCATGTAGGTGGTCATGGGCCTGGATACACTGGATATGCTGCTGGGTGGTGGTGTCACAGGGTCTACTCCATGTGATGTTGGCGGCGGACTTCCTCCTGGCCAATCCGCCGATTGTTTGTAGAGCACGCCATTGATGATGACCCCGTCATGGTGGATGACCATGTCTCTTTGGTCAGTATTGCACGTTGCGCCCATGGCTCGAATATGACATGTGGGTTCCGCCATTGGAGGCGGAACGTTTTCATGGGTGGAGTTGGCGTCACCATCAGAGCGGTAAGTGGACAGATCGACAATGTTGCCAGTGCTAATGTCCGTACCTTCGATGATCCGCGAGAAGACAGTGAAGGCCGTCTCTGGCTGATAGGCCGGCACAAGATGTCCTGCGTCGTAGATTCGGCTGAAGCTGAGATTTCCGTACTGTCGCACCACCCCACCAACATAGGTCTCGTTGGCTACAATGGGTGCATAGCCGGCCGAGTACCACTCCCCGTAATTAGAGGCAGTAGCAGCAGCTGCTGCTGCTGCGACTGCGAACGACACTGCCTCGCCTCCGAGCCAATTGCAGATGTAGTCGCGGTCACCATAGATGAGAGCAACGTGAGTGCCAGATTGGAGGAGATCGGCCAAGGCCTGGACATGCCCATCTCGTGCATAGTCGCCTGTGGCGTTGAAAGCGTTGAAGACAGTTGAAGAGTCTTGCGTATAGTTCACCGGAACTCCGATGGCTTGCTGGACCGGGAGCTGATTGAGATATTCGAGATAAAGGGAGTCAGGAAACGGGTCAAACCTGTTTTGAGTGATGTCATAGATTGACCTATTAGAAACGGTGTAGGGCCCGACAACACGAGTCTGACAGTCGAACTGTGCCCGTGAACACACCTGGTTGACTAGATCGACATTTCCATCTCCGTTGGGGTCAAGGCTTGTTTGTTCAGCACGGCAGTGAGTCGTCAGTTGGCGGCATCCGTCCGTTCCAGAAAAGGCGCTGAGGGCATTGAGCTGTTGGAGTTGACTGATGGCCTGAATGCCATATGTATTTTGGTACGCAAACCTTGGATGATAAGGGGCTTGCTCAATCAGATCGATCCACCCATTGATTATACCCAGCGATTTCAATGTAATCTCAATAGTGCGGCCGGCAAAGTCTGCATCGTAGGTCCGACGATCGTTTTGTATTTTGAAAAAGGAGCCAATGGCCGGTCCATATTTTCCTCCATAACTCTCTGTGAAAAGGTGAATTTCTGCGGTAGCTTTGGTTCCTTGAGGGCGGAGAGCAGTATTGTAGTCAGGGAAGACGGTCAAGAAGGTCTGTAAGAAGTGCCAAATAGATTGAGCGGCAATTTGAGATGTGTTTGCGGTGAAAGCTGGGTTCCCGGAGGCAAAAGTCCCGTTGAGAAAGGTGTACAGAGGCTGAGTAGGTGGAGGGTCTGTAGGTGGTGTCACACGGGAGTTATCAAGTAAATTGAAAGAAGAATTCGTAGGAGTGTCGTAGGAGAAGCCAACCTGGACAGGCTGGTCGATGAAAAGGATATTGCTGCTCCTATCCCACCCCCAGTCGCGAGGCGTGGTGCCTAGCACGGTGTGGGAAAATTCGACGACTTTGCAAGGGCCCACCTCTTGGAACAGGCCGACCATGCTACTTGAACCAGGACCCCCATTGATGAAGAGGGTGAGGGGGGCAGATTCGGGCTGCTGCCTTGCCTCGAAGAACCAGAAGAAGGTGTTGGTGGGATAGTTGCCTTGGGTCGGATCCAGGAGACTGGGAGGCAAGGTCACATAGCCCGAATATTGTTTCTGGGTGCTGAATACTGTGGCGCAGGTGCTAGGATGGACAAGGGTGTATCTGACGGTGACATTGGGGTTGATGGGAGACTCGAGGATGATAGTTGTGTCGTCAGAGAACGGGGGAGGAAACTGCGCGAACGCGGCAGGAATCAGGGCAAGAAGGGCAGCCAAAAAAGAGTTGAGCCATGGCATCAGTATGGCCATCCACTCTAGCACAATGGCAACATGAGATGAATCGTTCAAAGTCAAGGCCAAGTTGATATCACGATAGCCTTGCTCTAGTCTAGACAATGCTAGAGGGAGATTGTGGAGGCGTCACTTGACTATGGTTTGTTTGCTCCAGGTCCGACGGCTCTGGATGTTCAGCGGGGACCATCATAAGGGGGTGAGGACGTGGCTCATGGTGAGTTTTGAGGATCAAAGGAATAAGTAAAGTGTTGATCCTGACACGACGAAGTGGCACAAACTGATGATGCCAGGCTTGAAGTGGGTGAGTGGATGATATGACGTGCCTGCCTCGTATCCATGCCAAGATCTGGAAGCATCGATGCAAGATGCTCACGCGGGCGCGGGGGTGCCTGAGGGGCGGCATTGGGCGGGCGGCATGGCACAAGGGTGTGAGGCCTATCGTCGCCCCTGGCATCGCTAATCAGTCACCGTGCATGGGGGCCAAGTGGCCTGCCTCGGCCCTATGTGCAAGTACCTACCTTAGGTATCTAGGTACTTTAAGTGTTTCTGGATTGATATACACCCCAGCAGGCGAGTACTACCTTTCCAAATCCTGTCCATATACAAACATATCTAAGGCAACTCGTACTGGACAAGGATGCCTTCGCCTGATATCTATCTAGGCTTTTTGAGTTGTACATATGTACCTAACTATATCACATATCGAGCACCGTTTACACCTCAGCAGCGGCATCGTAACTCCGCAACAGTATTATAGTTGACACTGTTGCAGTGGGAGATTCTCCGGCGTATGTGCAACAATGGACCTCTTACTCCCGAATCCGGGCCGGTGAAATACTAGAAGAATTCATCAAGTAAGGCCTAGGAAGTTTGAGCCTAGCCATGATGCTCACCCATCGAATTCTGAAATTGTGGGGAGAGTGGGAGAATCGATAATGTCGCCAGTCGGAGTGCGTACTCCATAGTTTAAATGTACTTCACTAAGCAATGATCTGCCGTAATCAATACTGCGTATCACAATGAAGTTAGCCGCATAGTCTCGTTCTGGAAACTTTTCTTCAAGGACCGTCGCAGTCGAGTCGCGCCGCCTTCATTGCCCTTCGCCACGGCCACTTGCCCTTTCACCGTTCAATCCACTTTGTGTATCGCGCTGTGGATCTAGATGAACGTCCTTTCATCGATTCTCGACCGTTGACGTTGACGTAGGCATCATGGCTTACAATGGCTACAATGGCTATGGTGACGATGGAATGGACGGCGTCGAGTCGTCAGGACCCAAAGTCACCGTGAGAGAAGTATGTCCGTCCCTTGGTTCCTCTAGCGAGTTGAATCTGATAAGTGTCAGGTTGAACAAGATCGTGTCGACTTTGTCCTTCAATCGTGCTCCCTCGCCTTGGCCAATTCCTTGCGTCGCGCCATCCTTGCCGAAATCCCTACCATTGCGATCGATCTGGTAGACATCACCACAAATTCCTCAGTTCTGCCGGACGAATACCTTTCCCACCGACTGGGCCTAGTCCCTCTACACAGCAAGCATGTTGGCGAAAACCTAAACTACACACGCGAATGCGATCAATGTGACGATCATTGTGACGCCTGCTCAGTGATTTTGCGCCTCCACATCCGATGTACCAGACCTGGAACGATGAACGTCTACGCCCGTGATCTAATGGTGGCCAACTCTCGCGCAGATAACATTGGCACCCCTGTGATCCGTGATGCTAATGGCACCGGTCCATTGATCGCCAAACTCAGACAAGGGCAAGAGATCCAGTTGGAATGTATCGCAAAGAAGGGGATCTCGAAAGAACACGCAAAGTGGGCCCCTACCGCAGCAGTGGGTTTTGAGTACGACCCAAACAACAAACTCCGGCACGTTGACTACTGGTATGAGAGTGATGCTAGATCCGAGTGGCCGGTGGATGAACGAAACGCCACGTGGGAAGGCGACGATTCTTCTGCCGATGCTGCCTTTGACCCCGATGCTGTTCCCAGTGCTTTCTTCTTCGACATCGAAGGCATTGGTACCCTTGAGCCAGACGATATTGTTCGCGGTGGCATTGATGTGCTACAGAAAAAACTCGCCGATACCATTCTGGTGCTTGGAGGGGCTGATGTGGCTGGGGCTGATGCCATGAATGGAGGACAGAGTCCAGATGGCTATGAACCAGCCCCAGCCAACATAGGCTACAATGGTTATGGCGGCGTCAATGGCGGTGCGACTGCGTATGGAGCCAATTCATATGGGGCAGGTTACGGCGGAAGTGGTTATTGATTTGCCGTCGACACAGTCTCCGTTTCAGGCAAAAGGCCCGTCACTACCAGCACGAATACCACCCATGTTTATTGTGGACAGTTTTGAAGTCCTGCAAATTGTATGGATGGGTGATACTCCCTGCGACAGAGTTGGGTGTCGATGGCACTCGATGCGCACTGGGCGACATGTTGTCCGTTGTCTAAAGGGACGGTGATCTATGACCGAGATGACTTTCAAATGCAGGCTCGATGCGACGCATCACCGTTAGCCATGTCCACGTGCCCGCGCCTACCCAGACAGCCGAAGGTCGACCTGTTCCGACAAGTCTAGGCTTGTCTCACAGAAGTAGCAGGATAAAGGATCAATGGTCAGGCCTCCAGCAGGTATCGTTAAGCGTGTGCTTTTTGTGGAGAGAGCCAGAACAATGCAAACAGTGGTTTACAGACAGGGACTCGGATCTTTGACCGTGGCACCATAGCATGGCATACATGGTTTCAAGCTTTGGCCAGGGACCAATGCGGCAAGTGGGCGACGGGGAAGTGATTGGGTCGAGTCTAGCTAAGTCAGCAGAAACGGGGTGACAATAGCCTTGCATAATCGGCATGATTACATACTCCTCTAGACTTTTGGACCTGTGGATGGCACAAACGCAGCTTGGTATTGGTGCAAATGTTAAAGTATTGGAGAAGATGCCTGATAGATACTGACTCTGAGTGGTGTAGCGATTGATGACAGATCTTTGAGAAAGTGATTTCTTCATTTGTGCTTGTACGAGTTTCTACAGTGCAACATTTAAAGTACAAGGCGACAGGCATACATCTGCGCAACAGAAGTGAAACGAGCTGACACAACAACCAACTCCGGACCTTGTTGCATCACCTTGATCATCCTCATTTCATCATTTCCATCTTCTGGTTCGAAACAACACTCACTCTATAGAGAGAATAGAAGTGACCGACATACCGCATCGAGTGTTTCCGGAACCCACAAGCAATAGCCGCCGAGCAATTCCACCAATTATTACTCAGGGTCCAAAGTGTGCCACTGAAGCCCCGGAGAAAGACAACTGTTTCTCAACAGAGTCAACGACTTGGCGGGTTGATTACGCTTCCAGACAGCATTAATGTAAGGATGGCTTGATTTTCTGCCCGCTCACTCCACCTTTGCCGTTTGGGAGACCAACCAATGCTGGTGAAATCCCTCCAGAACGAATCGCTGACCAAGGAGCCGCAGCTTTTAGATTTGGGTAGATGGGCTTCTGCCCCACCAAATATTGCATTTGACGAGCTCCTGACACAGACCGACAAAGCCCCCAAGCGACCCCCAGCTACCCCCCCTCCCCCCCCCACTACCGTCTGCAGTTTCAACACAAGGAGTGACGAAGATTAGCCTCAATTCAGCAATCCGGGCCAACTGCCACCTGCCGCTGTCTCTCCGAACAACAAACCTGCCGTCACTGTTGCTGTTCCATAAATTTTCTCAACAGTACTTGCTCTTGTTGCCCCTCCATCCTCTCTTGCTTCTTTGCAGTTTTGCATCCTCCCTTCACTCTGCCTCTTCAATACAGATACCCCTTCAACCGCAATCATGGGTTACACAGACGCCGATTGGAAAGCAATCAACACTATCCGGCTGCTTGCGGTATGGATGTACCCCACCTTTTTCCTCGTTGATTCAAGTCGACTGTTGACTGACTCTCTTGTTTCTTCAAAGGTCGATGCCACTCTTCAGGCAAACAGCGGTCACCCAGGTGCCCCCATGGGTAAGTTGAACAAGTCTATTCCTATCTATTTATATTGGTATCGAAGCTAATACTACCCACACAGGCATGGCACCTGTGGCCCACGTTCTCTTCAACAAATTCATGACCTTCAACCCCCAGAATCCTGACTACATCAACCGCGACCGCTTCGTTCTATCGTGAGTTCTCACCTGTTTCTCTACTCTCCCGCACATTGAATTGCCAAGCAAGAGATGGATCAAGCAGGAAGGGCATATGCCTGAGGACAAAAATGCGTCGGAGCTTACCCGGAGTTATCGGCTCAGCTCGATATCACAACCGATCAATTTGATACCCATACCTAGTGTTGCGGTCCATCAATGAATTGGCTGACCGAATCATTACAGCAACGGTCATGGTTGCATGCTGCAGTATGCTCTTCTGCATCTGTTTGGCTACAAGCTCACCTTGGATGACTTGAAGAACTTCCGAGTGAGTTTATCCATGGAGCAGCAAGTAGTGAATGAACCAAGCTAACGGGCTGGAACAGCAAGTCGATAGCATCACCCCTGGCCATCCCGAAGCACATGACACTCCCGGTATCGAGGTCACCACTGGACCTCTTGGTCAAGGCTTTGCCAACGCAGTTGGTCTGGCTATTGCCCAAGCCCATCTTGGTGCCGTCTTCAATAAGCCCGGCTACGAGCTCTTCAACAACCATACCTTTGTCTTCTTCGGTGATGGTTGTGCCATGGAAGGTGTTGCCAGTGAGGCTGCTTCCACTGCTGGCCATCTCCAGCTCGGCAACTTGATTGCCATCTATGATGACAACCATATCTCGATCGGTAAGCTCCCATCAACATCTCCACGAGCAGACTGGGGTCTTCTAACATGAGCAGATGGTGACACAAAGTGCGCATTCACTGAGGATGTCCTGAAGCGTTTCGAAGCCTACGGCTGGCACACCCAGCACGTTGAAGACGGTGACCACGATCTCGACGGCATCGAAGCTGCCATCCAGAAGGCAAAGGAAGTTACCGACAAGCCCTCAGTCATCAAGCTGACTACCACCATTGGTTTCGGCTCCAAGCTTCAGGGCACTGGTGGCGTTCACGGCAACCCCCTGAAGGCCGATGATGCTGCTCAAGTCAAGACCAAGTTTGGCTTCAACCCAGAAGAGTCATTTGTCGTCCCCCAAGAGGTCTATGACCAATACCACAAGCATGCTGCTGAGGGTGCCGCAGCGGATCAGGCCTGGAACGAGCTGTTCAAGAAGTATCAAGGCGAGCACAAGGACCTTGGAGCAGATCTCGCCCGCCGCTTGGCCAAGAAGCTGCCCGAGGGTTGGGAAAAGAAATTGCCCGTGTATAAGCCAACAGATGCCGCAGTTGCTTCGCGAAAACTGTCCGAGAAAGTGTTGGAGGATATCCATGATGTCATTCCCGAGCTTTTGTCCGGCTCTGCAGATCTGACGGGCAGCAATAACACCCGATGGAAGAAGGCTATTGATTTCCAGCCCCCGTCCCTGGGAATTGGTGAGTGGTCCGGCCGCTATCTTCGATACGGCGTGCGCGAACATGCCATGGGCGCCATCATGAACGGCCTCGCCGCGTACGGCGGTCTGATACCCGCAGGTGGCACATTCTTGAACTTTGTATCATATGCTGCCGGCGCCGTCCGCCTGTCTGCCCTGTCGCATCAGCGTGTCATCTGGGTCGCTACCCATGACTCCATTGGTCTCGGCGAAGATGGCCCTACCCATCAACCTATCGAGACGCTTGCCCATTTCCGCGCGCTTCCCAACGTCCAAGTCTGGAGACCTGCTGACGGCAATGAGACGTCTGCTGCATACTACAATGCCCTCACCGCCACTGGAACTCCTTCCATCCTCGCATTGACGAGACAAAACTTGCCCCAGTTGGAGAACTCGACCATCGAAAATGCCATCAAGGGCGGTTACGTTGCAGTTGAGGCTGAGGATGCCGGTCTCACCATCGTCTCGACTGGCTCGGAAGTCGGGATCGCCATCGAAGCTGTCAAGGTTTTGAAGGACCAATACGGCATCACCACTCGCGTGGTTTCACTTCCTTGCTGGGAGGTCTTTGACGCACAGCCAAAGGAATACCAACTCAAGGTGTTCCCAGACGGAATTCCCACACTCTCAGTTGAGGTCATGTCGACCCTGGGCTGGTCCAAATACTCACATGAACAATTTGGCCTGAACCGATTCGGTGCATCAGGACCATACAAGGAGGTTTACAAGGTAAGCTGGAACTGTCGTGATCTTGTTCACATCAACTAACCTGTGTGCAGAAATTCGAGTTTACCCCCGAAGGCATTGCCAAGCGTGGCAAGGCCACAGTCGACTTCTACCAAGGACTCAAGCCTCGTTCTCCCGTCAACCGTGCCTTCCAGCAATTGATCTAGTCATGTAAAGCTGAAGAAGATTCGGGCGCTGAATTCTCGGCCTGTGATGGAAAAGACTGTTCAAGAATGAAGGTGAATTGAGCCAGGGTTTCTACATATGGAATAGATATAGCTCGACCCAAACAAAATGATGTGTATGATGCTCTTGAATAGGTCTCCACAAAGAGGATCACACCCTCCTTGAATATTAAATCACATAGGGAATGACAGTGCAGATTCCGTGGTCCTTGGCCCATGATTAGGCTGCGAAATTGGCAGATACATGACGGCGGTAATTTTCCTGGAGCTATGGGGAGACAAGAACCAAGAGGCTCTGCGCCATCACCTGTAGACAACCCGAAAAGGATGGTTTTACCGGTGTTGAGGACGTGGTCTGGGCAAGATTCCTGTTTAGCATCCACAAAGTCAAGAAATAAGAGTTGGATATTGAGACTCATGTATATGGCGTATCAAGAAGTGGAGCAAGTCATGACCTCGATGAGCTTCAGGTCGCAATTATTATTAACAGGCCCGGGAAGCTAGTTTCCCCAGGCATGATGGAGCCGAGGGTGTTTCTTGAGCCATTCAGCCCTAGCAAAACGTCTATGCCTCCGTCGATGGTCATCTTTAGCCGATATCTCAATAGATGGCGCTATTGAGACTTTTTCAGTGGTTCCACCCCCTACCTCGACCCTGGTCTAAAAGTTTGTGCAGGCGTAGCAGGTCAAGTATAGACGATTTCGATCAAGGAAGAATTCAACGATCGCAAACCACCCACTTGCACCTCCTGCCCATGTTCTTGGGGGTCTTGCAAGCTGCTCGACTTCAAGGGAAACTTGGGCGCACATGTATGCAATTTTTCTTAGTATCCATACAGCGAGTTATGACCAGGACCCCACTTGGCACTCCTTTCAAGATTACTACGTAGGATGAAATCTATTTCCATTTCCTCCGGAGACATGGACCCGTATCGTACTCGTTGCTTTTGGTGTTGTTGAGTTTGTTGTCACCAACCTCGAGCTTCCTGGTAACCTTGTCTGGCTAAAGTCTTGCCCTAGGTTTGTCAAGCTGTCCTTTGTGTGTCTTTCCAAAGCCTGTTGTGACTCAACATACATAGACAGAAGTCTTGTGCAACCAAACAACCCATTCCACGAGGTCCGAAGGATCTACCTCAAGCTTCTACCTCAGACTATGGCCCCTTCAACTTGGGTCATTATAGGAGCTTCAAGAGGGATTGGATATGAATTTGTTCGCCAGCTACTAGACCAAGGTAACCAAGTCATCGCGGCAGTCCGTAATGTCCAAACGGCAAATCAGATCTGGCAATTGTCGGCACAGCAAACACGACCAGGAAGTTGTATAATCGACCAGTGCGATGTGACAGACGAAGCAAGCATCGAGGTACGTAGTTTTGGTGAGAGTCGCCTCCCTGGTGCTGGCGACGTTATCGATGCACGTGCACCGACACGACATGATACTTCTTGCTATGGAATGGATGCTAATCTTCAGCTTCCAGGCTTTCGTGGGCCGGATGAAGAAGCTAGTCGCTGGAGGCCTCAAGATTGACAATGTGGTGTTGAATGCGGGAGTTTTGAAATATCCAAATGTGAGTAAATCCTGGTTCCCATCGCGTCCACCGGCACGGAACCGCAAGCTAACAACGAGTCAAGAGAGCTACAGAGATGTACAGGCCTTTCATTTCTTCTGGCCAGCCATGGGCGGCCGATGTCGAGACTATTCTGACACTAGCTTGCCAGATCCTTCGGTGACTTTGCGTTGCATCTACATACCAATACCATTGGCCCCATCATCATCGCCCAGAAGCTGTTACAGATCAGCAGTGACGCGCCTCCATCTAAAGTGATCTTCATCTCCTCCGACTCCGGATCAACGTCGGCCTTTAGGGACCATGAGGATGGGTTCGGCGCTTATGGTGCGAGCAAGGCGGCTCTAAACCAGATGTTGAGACGTGAGTTGGCTAGCCTTGTATTGTCGCCTTAGATCTAATATGTCTCACTAGACATGGCCGCCGAACTAAAGAGAAAAGGAAGCCCGTGGGATGATGTCTGCGTGTTGGCGGTGCACCCCGGCGAAGTTCAGACGTGAGCAAAGGCTTTTCGATGACGTGGGCATCTGAATCCCAAGCTAACATACGACGCTACCTAATTAGTGACATGGCCAACATCGACTTGGACTGGGAAGTTGAAGGGATCATTAGTCCTGAGGAAAGTGTGACCAAAACGCTACAGGTAGTTGCTGGCAAGACCAAGTCAGACTCTGGAACGTTCTGGTGCTGGGATGGACGAGTAAGTGGCCCTTTCAGGATCTATATGCAGGCAGCTGATGACTTCGACCATTAGGTTCACCCTTGGTGATGCCAGTCAAAAAGATCGAGCATTAGCTGGTCTCGTTGGTTTCTACAGAGCAGGAGTGGTGTCTATCGTCCACGTGACTTGTATGGACGCACAAATTGTCACGTGTCACTGGTCACTTTGTCAGGAGGAGAAGGGCCAATGACTTTGGGGGCAAAAAGAATAATAGGCACCACTCCAGACATCAGGAAATCGTCTCAGAGAGCATGTTGTCGATGGTTCCAAGTATCAGTGATTACAAATGTTGCCACTGCTATTCCTCACGGTCATTGTCGACGAACAATTGATGGCGTGTTCTGACCTGACCTGAGCAGTGATAAGTGTAAATTACTTGTAGTCTCATATCTGCGCGCTCTATCCTAACCACGGGCCCATGACTTGCCCTTACCTAGAAAGGACTAGCGCAGTGTCAACTTTTTTTTGGAGCGTCTTTGGCAGCGATTTGGAAAGGGAGAGAAAAAGCCAGGCAGGCAGATCAGAAGAGATCTGACATTCTGATTGTTAGCAATAGAAGGATAATAGGTTTCTGCCAGTAGTACTGAAGGTGGTGTTTCGTTTTCATCGTAATATTCATCTGTGTAGAGCCTGCATCAGACTGCAAAAGTGTTGCGGCAAACTACCTACTTTATGCCAACTGTTTAATTATTTTAGACTGTCACAGCGCCTGAGTGCCTGCTGCTCCTGCCGCAGGCAAACTAAACCCACCAAGTTTCTCTTAGTTGGTTAGCCTGGCTTGACTTTTTTGGTCCCCGATTCTCATTTCTACCACTTTTCTCCTTCCACTATCCAACATCCACATTTCCTCCAGCACACCAATCTCTTCCTTGAGCATTTCCCTGCTTCTCTGTTGCAGTCGATTGCTCTCTTCCCCGTTCCCTCTCCGAAAATACTCGTGTCCTCAAAAAAACGTGAAAACCCTCCGACGAAAAACCCCAGGCTGAGTCGCAGCTGTACGTTTCACTCACTCCCTCCCAAGACTGCGCTCCTGATTTTTTCCCGCAACCCCATCTCCGCCTTGAGCCTGTCTTCTGATCGTGGTTTCTGACCAGCCTGCAGTGCTCGACTCTTCTTTATTCATATATCCTTCAACTCCACCTGTTCCGTTCCGGATTCAGTATTGAAAGAGAAGTAAAAGACAAAAAGTGGGTGAATCCATCCCCCGTTCCTTTGTGTGTTGAGCGACAAACAACCTCTGCCCTCCTCTTACCATCATTTCTTCCACATACACACATCTCGACACTCTCTGAACTTCTGATCTGAACTTCTGATCTGAACTTCTGATCTGAACTTCTGATCTGAACTTCCCACTAACATCTCCATATAGACAACCATCCATCATGTCTGCCGCCGACGTTACCACCGCTCCCACTGCTGGTCAGAATGGCTCCGCCGACGCACCTGCTCAAAATGGTGGCCCAACCATCAACACAAGCGTGGTGCAGGGCGAGGGTGCTGGCGAGAACGACGTTCAGACTCCTTTCTCGGCCGCTCCTTCCAGCTCGCAACACTCTGCCTCGCTCTATGTTGGCGAACTCGATCCTTCCGTCACCGAGGCCATGCTCTTCGAGTTGTTCTCCTCCATTGGCCAAGTCGCCTCCATCCGTGTCTGCCGTGACGCCGTCACTCGTCGCTCCCTTGGCTACGCCTACGTCAACTACAACAATACTGCTGACGGTGAGCGTGCTTTGGAGGATCTGAACTACACCAGCATCAAAGGTCGTCCTTGTCGCATCATGTGGTCTCAACGTGACCCTGCCCTGCGCAAGACTGGTCAGGGTAATGTCTTTATCAAGAATCTCGACGCCGCTATCGATAACAAGGCTCTTCATGATACCTTTTCTCAATTCGGTAACATTCTTAGCTGCAAGGTCGCTCAAGACGAATTGGGCAACTCCAAGGGCTACGGCTTTGTCCACTACGAAACCGCCGAGGCTGCAACCTCCGCCATCAAATCTGTCAATGGCATGTTGTTGAACGACAAGAAGGTCTTTGTCGGTCACCACATCGCAAAGAGAGATCGCCAGAGCAAGTTTGAGGAGATGAAGGCCAACTTCACCAATGTTTATATCAAGAACATTGACGAGTCTGTCTCTGACGACGACTTTCAGAAACTGTTTGAAAAGTACGGTGACGTCGTCTCTGCTAGCATCACTCGCGACGATTCCGGCAAGAGTCGTGGATTTGGCTTTGTCAATTTCACCAGCCACGAGGCCGCCTCCCAGGCCGTGGATGAGCTCAATGATAAGGAGTTCCATGGTAAGAACTTGTATGTTGGCCGTGCTCAGAAGAAGCATGAACGTGAGGAGGAGCTGCGCAAGCAGTACGAGGCTGCTCGGCTCGAGAAAGCCTCCAAGTATCAGGGTGTCAATCTTTACGTGAAGAACTTGGCTGATGACATCGACGATGACAAGCTCCGTGATCTCTTCAATTCATATGGTACAATCACCTCGGCAAAGGTCATGCGCGACAGTGTCGAGCGTAGCGATTCACCCACCGATGACAAGGATAAGGAGAATAAGAAGACCGAGACCCAGGAGTCCGAGGAAAAGAAAGAAGAGTCATCAGACGCTGAAACCAAGGATGCTGCCAAAGAAGAACCAAAAGAAACCAAGAAATCTCAGAAGCTGTTTGGCAAGAGCAAGGGTTTCGGTTTCGTGTGCTTTAGCAACCCTGACGAGGCTTCCAAGGCTGTTTCTGAGATGAATCAGAAGATGATCAACGGCAAGCCGCTCTATGTTGCCCTAGCCCAGCGCAAGGATGTTCGCAAGAATCAGCTAGAGGCTAGCATCCAAGCTCGCAACACCATTCGCCAACAGCAACAAGCCGCAGCTGCTGGTCTTCCCCAGGGCTACATCCAACCCGCTGTCTTTTACGGCCCGGGACAGCAATTCCTTCCTCCAGGTGCTCAACGTGGTGGCCTGCCTTTCGCAGGTCAACCTGGCTTCATTCCTGGCATGCAAGGTGGCGGACGTGGACAATTTGCTGGTATGCAACAACAAGGACGCGGTCTTCCCCAAGGCCAGCAGTTCCCTCCCCAGTTCGGTCTGCCTGGACAAATGCCATTCATGCAAAATCCCGCTCTCATGAACGGCATGTATGGCAGCCCTCAAGCTATGGCTCAATTCCAACAGCAGCAGCAACTCGGCCGCGGTGCAGGTGGACGTGGTCAACCCCAAGGTGGACAAGGATTCCCTCCTAACGTCCAAGGAATCCCTGGTGGCGTTCGAGGAGCACCCAACTTCCCCCCAGGTGGTGGCCGTGGTGGCGTTCAAGCACTTCCCGGTGGCGCTGGTCGTCAGCCCCAACAGGGTGCTCGAGGACCCAACTACCCTGGTCGTGAAGAGGTGCCATCGACGTCCAGTCTTAGCAACCTTGCAGCCCTCCCTCCCAGCCAACAAAAGCAAATGCTGGGCGAAGCCATCTATCCCAAGATCGCCGCCATCCACCCTGAACTCGCTGGCAAGATCACGGGCATGCTCTTGGAGATGGATAATTCGGAGCTCATCACATTGTAAGTTCAACAGTATACATCTCATCCAAAAACTTCAGTACTAACGTTTCGATAGGGTCGATGATGACGCTGCACTTCGTTCGAAGGTCGATGAAGCACTCAGTGTGTATGACGACTACATGAAGACTCAGCCTACCACTACTGGAGGTCCCAACGGAAACAAGGAAGACGAAGCACCAAAGGCCGAGGGCACTGAGTCGACCAATGCCTAAGAGATGGTCACCAAATTCCGATCAGATTGAAAACCGGTTGTATTGATTCTTAGGCCTGCATGCGTACGGAAAAGTTTTTGATCACCATCGTTCCCTACAGAGTGTTCTTGAATGAATCTACTCTGGAGCTGTGCAGGACACGGATGGAGGTCATGCGGAGAACGGAGTACTCTCCTCGCGATGGGAGGGGCAAGTTTCCATGGGCTGGGAAAGCAGAACTCCCAGGTCATCTTTTTTCCTTTTGTGTGTGTATGATAGACTGGGCGATATGATTCTTGTTGCATGTCCTATGCCACATGGGCAGGAGGGTATGTAGTGTAGCTTTATGGTCTTTGGGTCTTGTTCCTGCAAATGGGAGATCCAAGATATGATTCCAGATTACACATCGACTTCGCTGCATGGCCTTGGTAGATTCCCCCTAATGTCGAATAACACCTTTATTTCGTCTCGTCTTCCTTGGAGAAGCTAAAATCCTTCCCACCCAGATGGCCATTTGAAGCAGCAATATGAACTGTGTGGCCTTCATCGTGATAGCGATCGTGATTGCTTGGACACACTGTGACAAGCCTCAGCACGTGAAAATCAGGCCGGAAGGAGCAAGAAATAAAGACAGTCTTGCTCAATTGTCACGTATAGTCTGTTAGTTCAAGACCTAATCGTGTTTGACCGTGTTGGTGGTGATATAGGCTTGAAGTTTTGGTGTGGTTCTTTCACATGGTTCTCTGATCTGGTGAGTGTAGTGCTGTTTCTGCCTCACCTTGATGAGCACCACGTGCACTTCCACTTCACTCTGTCACCAGTCAATGATCACCGCCACGCATGCATGCGCATAGGACACAATGTCTGCCATAGATCTTGATATTTATTTGTTTATTCTTCCTTCTCCCCCATGACCCATTGAAATCCCTTCAACTTCCGTTGAGTTGAGCAGTCGCATCTCCCTCAAACATAGCGCAGTTTCCTATGCCTCAGCATCTCTGTCCTCTGCTCCCACAGATCTTCCTTGCAATCATGTCTTCAAGACTCAACATAAAGTCGGAAAACACTGTGTTTCAATCTTCCTTGTCACTGTCGCCGTCACCCTCACACCCAGATGACGAAGTCGCCAGTCTCTTGGAGATTGCCCGTCAAGTCAAGAACTTACCTCTCGTCATCAGCAACATTGTCACGGACAAGCCAGGTTTTAAGGCCTTGTTTGAGCGTCAAGTGAGACTGCTCCAGAGCCGATCCCAAGCCTTCGAAGATGGTCACGTCACTGTCTATGACAAAGTGCTGCTGGGCCTGACGAACAACGGAACGCTACTGGACAACCCGGCTGCCGTGGTGTACTATTGTGAGGAGTTCCTAGGAATCGGTCTTGCGGGAGTTAGAGTAGGTGACGGTTCGATCAAGGATGCTCTAACCCAAGCTGTAGATGTGAGAGACATGTTGAAACAGAGTAAGTCAAGGTCCTATCACACTGGCTGCAATTTTGTCAGTCAAATCTGTCCTGACATTTATTGTCTTCAGGCACCTCCCAGAAAAGAACTGAACCAACCGGAAGGGGTCCAGAGGAATCGAAGAAGATCCGCAAGGACATGGTGGCCGATCTCTCCCAATTGTGGAATGTGTACGAGACTGCAAAAGAAGAATACCTGGCTGTGGCCAATCTAGGAAACGAACGAACCACCAAGGCAGCCAAATTTTTGCGGGACACGGCCGAGAACACATTGCATCACTTGCAGAACAAGAACGTCGATGATATTATGCTGGCAGAACTGGAGGCTACTTACAAGATGGCCAAAACAGTTGTGGTTTCGTTGACGGGAGGCAAGAAGAGAAAGTTTGACGCTGTGGAAATGGAAGGAGTCAGGGGCACACCCAAAGGACCAAGCGGGCAAGTACGCGGCGGAAGACACGCGGGAGCCGTGGGTCGTCGTCAACTGCATCCAGAACATGACGGTCACCATGGCCGATCCCTTCATGTTGGCTCCGAGGTCAATAATTCTTGGGACAAGCGACATGATCGGCATTGGGACATGGCTTCGGACGGTCAATATGAGCGTAAGAGCCAGGAAGCACATGATGGATGGGGACCAAGATATCGAAGTCGTGACAGAGGGGCTGGGTTTGATCGATATCAGAGACGGTATGAATCATACCATCCTGATAGACGACACTCATATTTGTGACTCTGTGAGGTCAGTCAAGGGCGGGTTTATGCTTGGTCTTGGTCATGCTTGGATGTTTGATGCGTCGCTGGTAGCTTAGGTAGTACGAAGAGATCACGGTGCAGCGCACCTCTTTGCAAACTCTTGCAGGCTGACTAATTACATAGGCGGCTCGTTGCTTTGGAATGAGAAAGCAGTCGACATTAATAAATTGAGTCGAATGAGTCTTGTTGAATGGTTTCCAAGGATGAGGTATGACTACCTTAGGTAGGTAGCTAAGGTAGTTTAAGGGTGAGCAAACCAGGGTGTCTAAAGGCTCTGCGGGGTCCAGGGAGCTTTTTAATATTTGTACGTATAGGCCCGACTTAGGGGCCAAGGCATCTTCTCGGACCTCTCGGGCCTTGCTGGGGTCCCTTAAAGTTGGGGGGGGGGAACAAGCTCTGAACAGGCATGCCATCCTTCTCCACTTGATTCTCTTGGGGGACAACAAGCATTCGGCTCCTGCCAAAATTGCGCCTTGGCCTTGAGATCAGCAGAGGAGGCATGATCTCAGATGCATGGCCTGCCGCCTTGCTGCCTTGCCTGTTGCCTTGCCTGCCTGCCTTTCCTCCTCAAAATATCGTCGCCATCAGATGTTAAAATATTATGACCTGTCTTGTCTTCACATTTGATGTTGAAAGCCTGGTACGTTTTAAACAAAAAGTCTTCAATCATCTTTCGTCGCCATGAGAGGCTACTACTATTCAAGACAGCTCCCACAGAATCGATGGCTTTATTGCAGGAAGAGCCAAAGTCGCGGTTGTGGGTGCTCTCAAGCGACCATGGCTGCTCATCATCGACCTAGAAGGATCTCCAGCATCATCAAGGCCGTCGCTGCTGACCAAGAATCCAGTAAACCAATCATGCGCACCATTGTCATAACACAATGGATGTGACAACACTACCCAGACAGTGTGTCATCCCGCGTCGCTCATAAGAGAGCGCCCTAAGTAAGCCACCTGCCATATCCAAGAACATCCGGCTGGACTTCAGGTTTGCTATCGGCGTTCATATCATATTCATCTCCATGGATATTCCTATCCCTGTCCCTGTCCCTGCCATTGCCTGGCCGGAATGTCTTGACGGGACTGGTTGGATGCTAGGTGGCCTGGCGTAGATCCAGCAATGGATTTGTCGTGAGGCGGGTTAAACCTGCCCATGCTCGCGGTCGTGGTATATTCAGTTTCGGCTCCGTAGCCTGCTTCTATGTCTGCTAGTTCGGCCAACGCTTGTAGATTCCTCATTCTCTGTGACCGCATATATTGCTGCTGTTGGGGTGAGAACGCCTTTCTGCTGCCGCGAGCCGGCTTGCTGAAGAGTTTCTGCTTGTGCGACATTTGCCAGAAGGCATAACATAGCAACACCACAAATATTGCGCACAGAATGGCGAGGAGGATAGTGACTTGATAATTCATAATGGCTCGGCTGCTTCAGGTCGGGTTCTGTTTTGGCGACTTAGGTTGCAAACGCCGGCGCCGTGGGGAGGATCCGTCAAAAAAGTGCCCAGGTTGCGACTGTCTGTTGGGTATCTCGGTTTGTTGTTTTTGTGGTCATGGTGCTCCTTGCGCTCTGTTTGTTGTCCATCTGATGAGATGACACGGTCGTCAAGGTCTACAAAGACGCGATTTCATAAAAACCCGCCCATGAAAATGTTTCACTTTCGGATCGGGCGGCCAAAGACATGACCCATCAGCTTTCTGCTCGCTCAGTCCACGTGATGCCCAATCGCACACCATCTTGAGAAGAAAAGCAGACGAATAGGCAAGCCGGCCCCTCCGGTTGGGGAGGTGTGGTTGGTAAAAACACGCAAGTCAACACACACGTGACAATGGCGTTTGTCGTTAGTCCTGGCGGGCTGTATGCATACGTACACGATCGAGAGATCAGCTTACCACTTGGCTAGGACCCTTAGTCCAGTGCAGTAGTATGTGAGAGTCATTGAGAACCCAAATGGCCAGGATTCGTCAGCTGCGGGGCAAGGGAGGCAAGGAAGGGGGGTTGGACGCGGCCTCGAGGCGTTATTTTTTTTTTCCCGTGTATCAAACATAAGTGTTGTTTGAAGACGACGCGATTGACCAAAATCCATTGGTCGCACGGCTGTAACTTCTGTAATAAAATTAGGTATGTACAGTGTCTCACTCTCTCGTTGTGTGATACGAATGTACAATATCACAGTTTGGCCGCTATATCTATGTATAGATATACTTTCATCAACCTCTTCCAAACGAATAGGCGCATTGGCGCATTGGCGCATTGACTCCATTATGGTTTCCTCCACCTGCCACGTATGCAGCATCATGGATGACAACATGATGATTGCCATCGTTGAAAATCCCCTTCCTTTACTAGGATAGACGTTTCCAGTGACGAAGCTCGTCATTCCAACTTGCTATCAACACATGTGCATCTGCTTACGCATACGGAGTACAGCTAGAAGGATTGAGGCTTGAGGGCGCATGCTTGATTCCCCACATTCTTGACAAGCTCCACGTATACGAGGTGTGTTCCTGAACTTGTGGCGAAGCCAAGCTTGGGATCGTCCCGACAAGTGGACGCTATTAGATGCCAGATCTAACCTCTATATTCTCGGATTTATCTGTAGATATCAAAGTCATCCCAACAAGGATCTGTTATTATACATATGCACGCTATGAAGATGACATCTATGCTCCAACCGTCTGGACCATGGTCAGACAAGCTGTCGTGACTACGTCCAGTTGATCCAACCATCCTCGAGCAACGACTTCGCAAGTCCATGGCTAAATTAATGTCATTATCAATTTCGAACCTGGCCCAATTGTGCTCTGCTCTGCATCCGACACTCCTTACAATGCCAACACAGCAAATCCAGCGACAGCCATGAGACCAGCCATGCTGGAACCGAGTCTGGGGGCACCGCCTTCGAAGGAAGATGCAGAAACCTGAGATGCAGTCGCAGTCGTGGTGCCACTTGTAGCGCCCGCAGCAGTCACATCCATTGATGTGGTGGCCACTGGGGTGAAGGTGGTGTAGGTGGTCCCATCGTAAGTGAAGGAATCCCCGGTGGGCTTGGGCCCTGGTGGACCACCAGAAGCTGTCGTCAAGGGTTCTGCAGAAGACTTGGTCGGACCATGTGGAACGTCGGTGGAAGCGGTGGTAGTCTTGTCCCAGTTTGTAGTCACTGGGGGTTCAAGAATGATGCCGCTATTAGTCGAGGAGGAAACAGGAGCCGATGTGGTTGAGGGCTTGGATGATGATGTGGTGTCGGAACTGCCCTTGCCAGCCAAAACGGAGAATTGAGTTGAGTATTGGAACTCGCCCGTGCCGTCGACAATGATCAACATGCCGTAGCCGGTGTCGGTGGCCTGTTTACCAGGAGCCAGATCCGAAGGGACGGTCCAATCAAAGAACTTTCTGGCCGCAGGAACCCCTTCAACAATGGCATCGTCAAAGGGAACGCAGTTGGACGAGGGGCCATGGCAGAGGACGAGACTGACAGTGACTCCGTCGGTATCATGGTCTTCTGGATCCCATGTGACCTTGTACGTCTCGCCTTGAGTCACGGGCTACAATAGGAGTTAGCTTTTCCCCGTAGTCGCGGTTCAGTTCATGAGGTAAATACGCACGCTGGTCAAGTCTGGAGTCAACAGCGGGCCCCAGGTGTTGGTGGTGGGTTTGGTGTATGCATGAGCAAACGAAGCCAAGCCAGTCACGGCGAAGCCCAACAAGATGGAATGCATTTTGATAGCAGGAGCGATCAAAGTTTGTAATGTGGGAAGGTGGTGACGACGATGATGACGACGACGGAAGGAACGCGCTCAGGCGATGGCGACTGTCTCGTATATGAGTACGGAGTAATGAACGACTTGGTTAAATGCAGTGAGAAACAATAACGACTGAAGGAGTGACGGTGAAGGGACCAACAGTTCAACAGACCGGCTGATGTTGCAGTGGTTCATGAGGAGAGTCGCGACAAAATCCAGCCACGCCTCATAATTATAGAAAAACCGTGGTCCGAGCCGCAGGACATGCTGAGCAGGGACTATAGGTAGGTGGTAGTGTTGCGTGCCGTCCCCGTGTTTCATCCACCTGGGAAATTGCCCAAGCTTGACACTGACCCCTGGAAGCTGAACCCACTGAACCAACGAGAACAGGATACAACCTGCATTTTAGCTCATTGGCACTTGCGGGTCCGAGCTGATCGTCTAGAATAAAAGTAGACTGGACTCTTACAGACTATTTGTATGCGCACAGTACATTGATTATTGCTGCATCCGTCATCTGTACGTACTTGATTGTGTGCTTAGATAATGTTCATCAGTGGGAAAGAGGCTTTTGCGGAGTTCAGGAGACGGAGAGTATATGAGGGCCGTTAGTGGTGCCGAGCAAAAAAAATGCCCGATGAGGAACATGAAACCACCAGGACACGAGTTGGGAGTCCTAGACCACTGGAAGGATTGCATCAGATGGCGCTGTAGGTACAGTAGTAAAGAAATCTGATTCACCGCTTGATCACAGGTTCAGGTCTGCCTCATATCCTCCTTCTCCGAGCATAATAGGATCGTCCGTATACTATGCGTAAAGCACTTCTTCGCATCTTTCTGGGCAGGTCCTATACAGGCAATGATTTGACGATTAAGATGATGGAGAGTGGTAAACCCCTGTTTGTGAGGAGCAAGTCGGAGATTTCCTCTTTTGTTCTCCGGGCGCCAGCCAGTGCCCAGCTTCTGAGTCCGGGCCTCTCCTGCCGAGAATGGCGTCAATTGGTCGTTCTTTCCCTGGTCTCCTCTCCTGGGTAATGGGGTCTCGACTCCAAAGCGCTTCCTCCACCCTCGCTCTGTGGCTCTGCCCCTCCAGTCATCCACCAGTGCCACCTCGTCTCACATCACAACGACATCATCGTTACCATAAACGTCAATAATCTGGGGTAACTGCGGCTCACAGCAGTCCCTCAAGCCCCCTTGGGCGCGGTCGTCGGTGACATAGCATCCTGCAGCCCGCAGCCCATTCCAGACCGGATGGACGGAGCCATCGGGCGAAGATAACCAGCGTTTTCTTGCTCGTCCATGGAATCCCTGTCTGGGAGCAATGTCCTCAAGAAGCTCCAGTCGCAGGGCTGTCCATTCTCTTCTTACTTCCTCTTCTACTCCAACTATTCTGACTCCCGAATCTGATAACGATGGCCCCTCGCAAGAGTCGACCGCGGCAAGACCTTCTCCTCCCCACAACGATACACGAGAACATGCCTCTACCAGTCGCCATCCCTACCACAGTCATGCTTCGGATAGCGAGAGCGAAATCGACTCCCCTCCAAGAAAGAGTCGTTTACAAAGAGTCTCCACCATGTCCAAGGATTACACAGACGAAGAGGAGGAAGCAGTGGTCAAGAAACTCGATCGCAAGCTGGTCCTTTTCCTCGGCGCCCTTTACATGCTCAGTTTCCTCGACAGGTCCAACATAGGAAATGCTCGAATTGCCGGCCTCGAGAAGGACTTGTCCTTGTCCTCTTCACAGTATGACTGGCTCTTAACGGCCTTTTACATGACCTATATTGCATTCGAATGGATGATCCTCTTGTATCGACTGGTTCCCGCCCACATCTACATCTCTATGTGCGTCCTGACCTGGGGCCTGGTTGCCAGCTTGCAGAGCATCACTACATCCTTTGGCCAACTGCTCGTCCTTCGTGGAGTCCTTGGCATCACAGAGGCTGCATTTGGCCCCGGGGTTCCTTTTTACATGACCTTCTTCTATCGCAGGTCCGAACTGGCCTATCGCGTGGGACTGCAGATATCAGCTGCTCCCCTCGCCACTAGTTTTGCGAGCTCATTGGCTTGGCTCATTGTCAAAATCACCCAGGATGGCCCAATTGCGCCCTGGAGGGCACTGTTTTTAGTGGAAGGTTTCCCCTCCATCCTTACGGCCATCGCTGCCTGGTACTACATCCCTGACTCTCCTTCAACCGTGCGATACCTGTCCCCCCGAGAGCGTAAAGTCGCCGTGCTTCGGCTCCAGTCCGAGAATAATTCTTATGTGAGGCAAACGTCAACTTCAGCAGCTACTGTTGCCCATCGTCTCAATCTGAAAGACGTTGCTGACACTCTTCTCGACCCGAAGTCATACTTGACAGCCCTCATGTTCCTCAGTGTCAACGTGTCGTTCAGCTCTCTGCCAGTTTTCCTACCCACCATAATCAACAGCATGTCATTCTCTCCTCTTGCTTCTCAAGCGCTGTCAGCTCCGCCTTACCTCTTCGCTTTTGTTTTTGTCCTGATCATCGGTCACTACAGTGACAAAGTGCCGGACTCTCGCTCTCTGTTCCTCATAGGCGCCTCTTTGCTTAGTGCCACCTCATACGCAGGCATCGCCCTCGCTGGCGCGTTGGAACAGTCCCTCGGTGAAGCTGGAAGTATCACGATCCGATATGTGGCCGTTTATGGTGCTGCCATGGGTCTTTTTGCGTCGGTCACTTTGATCATCACATGGACTTTGAACAACCAGGCCAGCGCAACAGGCAAAGGTACTGGCCTCACCATTCTAAACCTTGTCGGCCAGTGTGGTCCTCTGATCGGTGTTCGTCTGTTCCCAAAAAGCCAGGGTCCTTTTTACATTCAAGGCATGGTGACCTGTGCTGCATTCATGGCTGTGGGCGTCGCAGGACTGTCTATCGTGCTCAGGTTGATTTTGCACAAGGCAAATTTAAGGAACGGCTTCGGCGAAAAGCCCGTCGACTCAGGAGAGTATGAGATGTTAGCCTCGCCGAGTACGACCAGGAAGCAAGAGGGAGATCACGATGATATAGAAGAAGTCGAGGAGACCTTGATCGGGGGTAGGCGAAAACTTCACGTCGAGAACGGAGGTGGCTTTCGGTTCATGCTGTGATGGAGAAGATCACCTGAATATCTACTCGGAACGATACATATACGTCGAGTTCTACAAGCACCTCTTGAAATAATTAAAGATAGACATGTCACATTTGCCTCAACCCACTTTCTGGACCAGTGTAATCATGATCACACCTCACCACTATAAATCTCAAAGCAGCGGCCATCGGCCAGGCACAACGGACACTCCTGCGATACGTTCACCACAACGCCAAAGAAGCTCATGCTAGTCTGGTGAATGCTGTATTATTGAATATTTACATTGCCGAGTCGTGCAATGAAAGCACTTAACAGCAAGAACTATACAGGTGTTGGACCTCCATTCTCTGTGATATGGTGCCGTGGAAGAATCTTGAAATTTGAACAAAATCGTATCTCCCTACCCACTTCGGGCTTTACTGCGTCCCCTTTGAGCTCGAGCTCCCAGAAGGTGATTTACCCTCCTCCGACTTCTTGGCCCCTAACTTCTGCATCTGCTCGACGGTCATGTCATTTTTATCACCACTGATGGCTTGCTCGCTGGCTGAGGCTAGCTCGGGCTTCCACTCTCCCTTGCCTGTTTTGGCCTTTTCCACGCTGTCTGACTTGTGGTGGTCGATGGTTTGAGCTTTCTCGGGGTGATCTGAGCCTGTCGGTTAGCAATAATATGATAAAGTCAGCTCAGGAGGACAAGGAGATATTGTGGAACATGTCAGAAGATCAAACAATCGGCGGGTGGGATGAAGCTAGGGGAGACAGTATAGTGTGGTGGAATTGGGACAAGGATGCTCAGATGTTGAGGTCGTCCGCTTGACATATCGGCTTGAGAGGCAAGGAGGGGATTTAAGAAGAACCTACCTCGATCGGCTTCACTTAATGACTTGCGTACCGAGGACGTGTGGAAGGCAGTGGCAGATCTCGAGGGAAGAGACCTCGCAGCCACGCGGATGGGAGGAAGTGTCCTAGTGACGAAAGACATGTTGGAAAATGAGTTGTATATGCGGATTGAGCGAAGGTCAGAAAAATGAGCAAAAGTGCTTTGAAAAGGAAGAGAAGTCAACGTGGTATCTTCAGTCAGGAATTTTGATGAGGATGTGGGAGCTTCGAGAAAACAACAATGAACATGACGAGCACTGGTTCCTGAAAAGAACATCAACTCCTTCTGGGTCTGCACGCCATGTTGGGACTGCTGGGAGTCCGTTGCCGAGGGCTCCTTCTCATTGTCATTGCGCAGTTGGTGGGCTCATGACGTCGTGACGTCGTGACGATCAGAAATGGAGAAATGTGGGATGAGGCGACAGCTGGGAATTGATGAGCGCCCACCCGATTAGCTGTTCGGAAGCTCAGTCTGTGATCCCAAGGCTAGGGATGTCCTGGCATGCCACTCATGACTGGTACGTCGTCATATCGTCATCTAGTTGAACTCCACGGCTTTGGTTTCCGGTTCATGGGTCAAGTCAAGGCAAATGAAGAGCATACAATTGGACAGACGCATGAGACAATACCAGCCCACGTGATCTGCTCGTCAACCAATTGATGGCTCCGTTCCTCCCTAATCCCATCGCGTACTTGCAGGGCCAGCGAGGCGCGTCTTCCCCACAATCAGTAACCAGTTCGAGTTGTGCACTCATGGACTCACTTAACAACATCACGGAACAAGAATGAACGTCTGGCATGAGAGACTGATGCCCCAACCTCCCCCTACGGTTACAACATGTCTGAATCTCCTGCGAAGCGGAGACGTCTTAACAGCTCCGAGCCTGGCGTCACCGTTGACCCCCTTTCAAATCCTCCAATCACCCCAACAAGGGCGTCCTACAGATCCCCTACAAAGAGTTCTTTGGCGCGGTCGCACCCTCATCTCGTCTCTAAATCACCCCGTCGCCCCACCACAGGGTCAAAGGGAAAACTATTGAGGGACGAAATACTCAGTCGCAGATCAGAACCCCGCGGCGCACCAACACCAGTCCGCCAGGACGATGTGAATGTCACCAACAGAAAAACAAATGCTACCCTGGCGACTGATGCTGGAGTTCCTCCGGCCCTTTCGACCACAACGGCGCCCAGCCTCTCCGGTCCTCAAGCGGCGGTCACTCGGTCATCGGCACCACCGGAGCACAATCCTCAAGACACTCTCCCCAAAAAAGCAAAGTTATCCACCTCGCTGCACTTGAAACGGCAGATCATGGAACCCACGCTGGTACAAAAGCCCCGACCTCGGTCACCCTCTAGAGGCAGGAGCAATGAGCCTGATTTACCTCCTACACCGGTCCAGCTTGGCTTGAGCCCTGCTCCTGAGAGACCACGAGGCCTAGCCTCCAGCAGCAGCCCTCGTGGCTCAAAGGGCGGTAGTGGTAAGCACAGACGTCGCGTACGAGGTAGTGATCACAACAACAGTAGTCCATTGAAACAGAAGGCACCATCTCCCGTCAATGATGATGAACCGGTAGAAGCTCTGGAAAGCGAGCAATACTCTGTGGCTGAGATCCCGCACACTGTAGTGGAGCCTGACAGCCAACCTGATGCCAGCGACCTATCTCAAAATGCCAAGATCAAGGAACGGCTTCGCCAGTCTCTTCTTGTCAGCATCGAGCAAGTACAAAACGAGATCAATGAGTTAGAGGATGCGATCGACCAAGATGATTTGGACGACAAGACCTTGAGTCGACTAGCGCCAATCATTTTAGAGTCCACAGATGCTCGCCTGGACATCGAGAATCTCTCGCGGCTTAATGAGAAGTCGCTGCTGGAACATTTGACTTTGTTCGCACCTGGAGGGCTCAGGATTGACTTGACGACCAAGCCAGAGCGACATGAAGGCCGGGCTAAGATGATCCACCATTTGGAAGTTAAGCCGCCAATCCCCTGGCCCGAGCACATCTTCCATTGTCGCTTCAGGATTACTATGGATCCAGAAGACAAGCGGGTTGAAGGAATTCAACTTGTCGACACAAGCCGCCGTACGGGAATATACAAATGGATCCGAGGTCGGCTGTCAAACGATCTTCATTGCCTTGATATCAGTGGTCTTGTCTGGGGCATGGGCCAGTGGTTTTCAGAAGCTGTGGTTCGGGCAAAGGTCTTCCAACAACTCCAGTCAGCTCAAGATCAAGATGACTCTTCGGTACTGACAGATTTTGCTCAAGATCCCGCTGTTCTGACAGAAAAGCATGCTTGTGTTTTGGGCACACATCTCCACTCCACCAAGATTGCCATTGATGTCAATACAGATGAGTCTAAGAAGAAACCGAGGAAAGTGCTTCTGAACTGGGATATAGATATCGATTGGGCAGGTCAACAGACATCGGCGATCGACATTGCTGTACGTGGTGTGTCGCAGAAGGCAGAGGCAGGATTGAAAACGGTCTTCGGTAGTTTACTACGACCAGCTGGGGTTCTTTCAGCCCTTGCCGAGGTGCAAAAGATGTTGAGTGGCAGCATTGAGGATGAGCTCGAGACGAAGTCTCTGTCGAAGCCAAAAGGTGGGAAGAGAAAGCGGGTTGCGTAGGACACCGTCGAGTATAGTCGGATATACGGTGCTACGACAATGATCATTCCTACTGAGTGTATAAGAGTTTGTTACGAGAGACGACCACTACTGGTGCTTTTATCGAGACCATGTCATCTGATCATGATCGAGCACGCTATTACATTTGGGTAGAAATCACAATTCAGAACATCTGAAGCTCGAGGCGATCACTTTCCACTGGCATTGTCTTAGTAATTTTTTTTCCGATTGTGTAACAAGGATGCATGTAGCATGCCCCTGATATCCTGCAGACAGCATTGTCCCCAGTTGAAAGACAGCTGCAAGGGTAAGAGACACAAGCTACATGATGACCCAACGGAGCTGGCCAGGAATCTCACTAGCATTGTGACATCGATGACGACGACGACGACGCTGCCAAGTAGTTCCAAGGCATCAAAAGACGTTTCGCCGCAATGATGATTTGGGAAACAGCTTGTTGGGATTTTTGGAAAATGCTACCGCGGCCATCATCAGACGCCTCACTCTGGGCTTGGTTGAGGGAGTTCATGAACTTATGCCCCATTCATCTTCATTCGCCATGCACGATTTTCATCTTGTGCCTCCCTTCCACTCCAGCCCAGGAAAAAAAGCCAGATCATGTTTCTTCCCATCTCAACTCAAACTCGCCTCTCCTCGACCCATCATCTATTTCTTCTTGGCATCCTCAGCCTCAGCCTTAGCCTTGGCTCTCTTTTCCCTCACGCCAGCCAAACGGGCATCTGATCGGGCAACTCTCAATCGTCGGTAGGCATTCTCCTCTCCCTTGGGCAAGTCGCTCTTCTTGATCTCGGTCAAAGCATGCTTGATGCCAACACCGGAGTCGATGGGGATGGCACGGCTGACTTTGCCGGCTGTGTTCTCTTTGCTGACGCTCTTCACTTCCTCGGCGCTGCTGTCGAGTTTCTTGTGTTGACCTCCCTTGCGAGGGAACAGGATCAAGCGGGCTCGGTATGCCTTGAGGCGCTCGACGTTCAGGGCCAATGCCTCTTGCGACGTGGTCTGGCGGCGTGCGTCAACTGAGATGCCAATTGTGGGTGCGAGTTTGCGGGGAATGCCGGCCTCCTGTTGATTTTTCATGTCAGTCATCTCTGTCTTTGCACGAGTAGTATGTAATATGATGGGGTTTTTTGGGGGTGTTGAAAGGAGATATGGCATGGATATTGTGTGACATGGACAATTGAGAGCATGAATTGGCCAACTCCATCCCATCTGCTGTTTTTGTTCAAAGCCATTCTTGATGCAGCGATGATATTTCTTCATCAATCCTCCTCTTAACCTCAAATTTCAGGCTCCCAATGTACCATCTTGACCACACAATAATCCGGCTAGTGGTGGAGTGGAAATTTCCTTACCTTCAACTCAGCAAGGGTGAAACCCCGTCCGGCACGAACACGACGGTTGTATTTGATGGTAGGGCATCTGACGACGGGTCGGAGACGGTCGGTAGGACGAGGAGCAACGGCGGCGGCCTTGGACAGACGAGCTGCGCGGCGTCGAGATTTGCGACCTGGCTGGTCAAAGTGCACACGCACTCGACGTTGCCAGTCCTTGTGGAAATGGTTGTTGGGGAGCTGTTGGTTGTGCTTGATCGCCATTGTGTCTTATGACGATGAAGGAAACAACTAGATTGAACAGAGGGATGGTGGGTGGTGGTGGTGGTGGTGGAAGAAGGGAAGGGGAGCGGGAATTGGTAAAAGAGTCGTTTCTCTTCGAGATCCCCAGTCTGCGTGTGCGGTGCTGCCCACCGCAGTTCGATGAATCTTTTGGTTGTGCGCTAGTCTCGATGCCAAGATTTAATGATCACATGACTTTGGCTTGGCGTTATGCTTTCCAAGGCTCGACATCTCCAGCCTCGTCAAATTTCTTCCCCTCCTGAGGGGCCCGAAATCGCCTTACGAAGCCTTTCGCAGTGCTCCCACCCCAATGTCCCCCGTGAGAGTGGTCTACTTACCTAGTCACTAGACGACTGAATGCATTTCGTTACTGATCTAATTCGAAAAAAAATCGTTGATTTGTGTAAGATTGAGTTACGAGCTATTGTAGTGGAAACATGTTCCTTGACGAGATTCTCGTCCTTCAGCTTCGTGGAGATTGGGTATCATGTTACAATTCATACAAGCAAAACATGCATCTGGTCGTATCCTATCCTTGAGCCCATGAATCAATCCCTAATCCAACACCGTGTGATAGCCGCGCCTTTTTCGACGCAATATCAGATTCCTCAAAGCTTGCCTCTCGTTTCCTACTTTGATTTGACTTTTTGACTGGCCCAAAAAGTTTTGATTGTAGCAAGTTGCTTGACCGCTCCGCACTTTGCGAAAGCCTGAGGCTCTCTTGTGGCCCAGGATTCCTCCGCAACATGTCACTCGCAAGTGAGCTAGCCTGTGACTGCTGTATGTCATCGTCGCCAGCGTCTTCAGCATCAGATATCGAAATGGTGCTGTCTCTGTCGTGTTGTTCCCTTTCCGCGGATTCAATGACTAGCTGCGAAGCCGGTGCAGAAAATGGCACCATGGTGTCATATCCACCGTGGCGGACGGGCCGATGTTGGCTGGGTGTGGTATGTAGTGAAGAAAGGGAATGGGCTCCTCGTGTGTGACCATGCTTGATCTTAGCGGAATGAGATTTGGTCGGTGTCGATGGCACACTGAGGCTTTCGCCGTTCAGAACCTGATCAGCAGCGAGCAATGCCGCAATATTAGAGTGGTTTGGGGCGGTGGCTGGATATCGTGGCACAATCTTTCTTTGTGGAGTAGTGAAGGTGTCGCGAGGGCTCTTGTAAGATGGCGATAGGCTTTTCAGACGGCTGAAGTGCTCTCTGTTATCGCGAATTCGTTTCTTGAGCAGAGTATTTTCTTCCATAAGCAGCTCGCTTCTGTCTTTCTCGATTTCGATCAATTTCTTTGCGCGTTGAAGTCTCCGCTCCGCCTCGTCCCTTTCTGATTCGAGGGCTTTACAAGTCTGCGTCAAAGCTTCAATTTGTGGCTGGGACGCCAGATGGGAGTTGTGAGATGTCGTAGCAACAGAGATGCGATTGCGATGTTCTGCGGCCTGCAATACCTCCACTTCTCTCCTCGTCATCTGGTGTTCGACCTCTGCGCGTTGAGCGGCTTCCTCTGATTCCATGGCCAGCAGATTGTGTTGAAGTTTGAGGTGCGCAACTGAAGTTCGTGCATCTCGAACTGCCGCTATTAGTTCCTGTACCATCGTTCGAAGATCCGAGCTATCTGCGTTGGCAATGGCATCGGGAGTGGGGAGGGCGCGGAGAACATTCGCGTTGACGGTATCGGGCGGAGACGCCAACAACGGGTCACTGGTCTCGACCATGGATCTATTTGACGGTGGGTGAATTCGAGGCGGCTGTGTAGATGGTGGGGGTGTCATGCTTGAAGACATTGGGGGCGGTGAGTTGTAGGCAGATTTGGTTGTGCTGTCCGCGGAGGGAACTCGCACAGGTGGAGGGGTTGATGGAATCACGACATCCTCTTGTCGCGATTCGGTAGCTGGCGTCGCCATCGTCGTGATTGTCCGGACCAAAGAGTCCTGAGTAGTGTTTTAGATAGGGAAGGTAGACGTTGAGCACTGAGGGGTTCTTGTTGCTTCAGACACAACCCTCGCGTGACTCCAGAATGCTATCGATAATGGTGGAGCCTAGGGTTGAGAGGCGGAAATGTCAGGCCGGAATGATGATCAAGTCGTTGTCCGGCTTTGACACATGTTGAGTGGAAACAAAAGAGTCCGTGAGATGTGAGAGATTGGGTTGAGAGGGGATGATATGCGGAAGGACGTCGCGAAGAGTGGCACGGGGACTGAAGGTTGATATTTGACAGGCTGGGCCGTCGGTTTGGGAGCCCAGCGGAAGAGGTTGGAGGCTGGGGGGGAGGGTGGAAGCCTGTCCTTGCCCACCAGAGGGTGCCATGGGCGTTGAGGTGGGTGGAGTGGAGACCTAAAAGACTGGGACTCTTGCACTCTGGGAGGCCGCGTGTGGGCGTGGGAGGCACACAATTGGGGAAGCCTGAGAAGGTTAGAACTGGACAGTTTTGGGACTAGTGGATAAAACGCGTTCCACTTAACCGCTTTGGGACACACCTACAAGCTAGGCTTGATTGGGCGCCCTAACTCTCGTTTACCAGACAACCGGTCGCTCCTGCCCACTGGCCGTGCCCAGTCGCCCCTTTCCTCTTCTCGTCTGTCAACATCCAATGCCCGCCTCTTTTTCTCTGATATTGTCACCTCTCTATGCTCGCTCCACGAGCTTGGACCCCAAACGTGGATTCAGTTGCCAAAAGTCCCAGGAAATAATGTCCAATATTTCCACATCTATGGATTCTTCACTTCTTAATTGACGCTGATGTTTCTAAAGAGACAGTAAATTGATTCTTCTTGCAGACTCGGTCAGATATTGCCGAGCATGGACCAGGAACATGGCTCCAATATCCCACCTCGGGGCAGTCTACGCCTCTCACGACTGCCCATGCCACGTGTGATGGCTTCCAACGACAACTTACGTCTCACTGCTAAATCCTCTGCTTTTGCATTGGTTCACCATGATGATCCAAAAAAGAACTCTCATCTGCCACGGCCAACAGGTCCCAAGATTCCAGCTCCTCTGACAGACAGCATAAATCACTCCATCAGGTCGAGGTTTAATTGGACTGGCTCGATCCGATCGAGGAGTGTGTCACCCGTACGAGATGCCCTCCGGGAAGCACAGAACGCGTCTTTGGACACGACACCACCAAGCTCAACTTCTCAGGCTCCCATCTTTGAACAAGGGGACGAAAATCCAACCAAGGATGACAAGCATGAGCTCCATCGAGACGTCGCCAATATTCGGAAACATAGGCCTTCGTTGTCTGAAAGGACCGTCGAGACTCTCTCTCAGGTTTCGCCTTGCCCTTCTCCGGTGCCGCAAAAGGCCAGGCCTGTAGACATTCACCCCGATATCCCATCTCCGACACGACCAGTCACAAGTATGAGGGTTTCCCGCCAGGACTCCAGACCATCGACCCCTCGCTCTGATTCACCAACAAAATCGCCCTTCCGACCACCAGGCAGGATCTCACCATCGAAAGATCTCTATGCGTTACCGGCAGTTATGTCCCCGGGCAATATTTATACCCCTCCAAAAGCTTTCGTCAAAGGACATCGGTCACGGATTGCCAAGCCACTGCGTGATGGGAAGACACCCATGGAAAACGAAGCACCACATCTGGCCGAGAGCGGCTCTGTACGCTCATCGAACACATCAACTTCGGCATGGACCTCGAGAACGACTCATCGCAGCAAGACCATTTCATCGCATTCTGTGAAATCCAAACCCTCGCTTGCTTCCATTTTCAAGGATCCCCCACCACCAGTACCCAACACTGGCAAACTCGCTGTTTCCAACTTGGAACAGCAAAAGACTCTTCTGCGCCCGAGAACGAGGGGTGAGAACTCGATCGCTCCATCCACGCCGCCGTCTGTGGCTTCCAAGTGTCGTTCCGCCACAGAACAACTCGAAGTTCCCAAATCAGAGATCAAAAATTCGCCTAAATCATCGGCTGCACTCAGAGAGTCGATTGCTAAAGCAAGGGCTGCGAGAAAGAAGGCCCTGGACCCCGACGCCAGTGTTTCTCATGATGCCTCTGCAGGTACATCTTGGCCGGCCGTTTTGGCAGATGGAGAAGGCATGAATCACCCGGAACATAGAGGAGTTCTGAAACGCCGATTCAATCAAGCTCTTGCATCGGGTCACCTGAGCATACAAGGATTGTCGCTCAAGCGCATCCCGAATGAAATTATGAAACTATACGAGAGAGACAACAGCACTGTGCCATGGTCCGAGATGGTAGACTTGGTCAAATTCACCGCAGCAGATAATGAAATCGAGAAGATCGAGGATGACATCTTTCCAGACTACACTACAGAAGAGCTTATGAACGATGACGAGAAGACGAACCAATTTGCAGGACTAACAAATGTTGATTTCCACAGAAACCTGCTCCGCGACATTCCAATTGGCCTTCGCCGACTGGAAAGGCTTGAGACTTTGAATTTGAGCAACAATCATCTCAACAACAACTCGTTGACAATTCTTGGCCAGATTCCCAATCTGAAGCAGCTGTCAATTGCTGAAAATATGCTCAGCGGGTCATTTGAAGTTGCCGAAAATATGTTCCCCACGCTGCATACGATCGATGTCCAGGGTAACAAGATTGTTGCGATCAAAGCAGAGAGCCTGGCAAACCTGAGATCCCTGAAGTCGCTTAATTGTGCACGCAACATGATTAAGACATTGCCATGGGAGGTGCTAGCAACACTTCCAGTGACCACATTGAATGCTTCGAAAAACCGGCTGTCGGGCACACTTTTTCAGATGAATTTGAAATTGGAGAATCTGCGCAACCTGGACGTCTCATACAACGCCTTGGAAGAAGTTAGCAAGTCAGGCCTTGAGCTGCCCAACATGCAATACCTCAACTTGAGTGGAAATCGATTCGGACGATTGCCATGTTTGGGTAAGTGTAGTCAGCTGCTTACGCTATTGGCATCGGAGAATCAGATTGCAGAGATTCCCAAAGGGTTTCAAGACCTGGCTAGCTTGAAGAGTGCAGACTTTGGCCAAAACAACATCAAGAACGTCGACCTTGAAATCGCGGGAATGGAAACTCTTACCAACTTGATCTTGGTGGGGAATCCACTGCGCGAGAAGAGATACCTGAAGATGAGCACGTCGGAGATAAAGCAGCACCTTGCAAATAAGCTCGAAGAAAAGCAGCCAGAGGCTGATAGAGACTCAAGCACTATCGTCTCTTCTAGGGCGGTGCGCTTCAAGCCATGTAACGGAGTGCTTGATCTATCGTCTCAGTCATTGACTAACATCAACATGGATGATTTGGACTTGGAGGGCTCAGACGGTCCCGTGCATACGGTTAGACTCTCGAACAACGACCTCGCCATAGTTCCTATGGAGCTCCTCACTCATCCGGCAGTGAAATATTCGGTTCGCTCTTTGGACATGAGTCACAATCCTCTCATTTCGTCGGGATATCTGTCTACAGAACTGTTCCTGCCAAGTCTAAAATCGTTGTATGTGGTTAGCACTGGTCTTGCGTCTCTGGACTCATTGACGACGTACCTGAAGGCACCAGAACTTGAAGAATTGAACATATCATGCCACCGGCTGGCTGGACATGTTCCATGGGTGCGGGCCTGGTGGCCGAACTGTACGACATTGCTTGCTACGGATAATTGGTTCAGCAGCGTCGACACTGAAGGCGTACGTGGACTAGAGGTGCTTGACATTCGCAACAATGAAATTGAGGTACTGCCCGCAAAGCTCGGTCTGCTGGGAAATTTCGTTGGCTCTGCAAGAGAACCAGGGAGACTCAAAGTGCTTGAAGTGAGCGGGAATAAATTCCGCATGCCACGATTGGCAATCGTGGAGAAAGGAACCGAGGCAATCCTCAAAGACCTTAGGCGAATGGTCCCCGACGATGAAGTCCCAGAGGAATGGAAGGAGACTCTATGTTAGAGACACAAAAATCTCTGAGCTGTGGAGCTTCCAATGAAGGGATATTTGGAAAGGCGGATGTTTATTGACTCTTGTCATTCTCTCAGTACATCAACACTATCCGTTGGTGCCTGATCATTATTCTAATTCGATTCGATTATATAGTCGTGCATATCGTGTTGGTTATAGAAACCCCCATCCTTTTCTCACATTCGTTGGCACCATTCGAGTCTGAATACTTCGTAGACATCTTCCGTAATCGAAAGTGTAAACAAGATACCGAAGTAGGGAAGGTGTGGAAACTGAATGCTTACGTAAATTACTATCAGAGGCGGTGAAACACGGCAGAAATTCATTTGAATGTTTTCCTCCCCTCACCCACACGGAAACAACCAGACGTCGTATGCCTTGACTTGCAGACAATCGTTTGATGAGCTACCCTTCAACCTCCCCTTAACCTGGTCTATAATTACGACGTTTTGATCCGGCTTGCATCATGTCAAGTAGTACGTCAAGGCCCGCGCGCCCCTCAGCCAGGACAGCATCCGGAACTAACAGTGGATGATTAGGTCAATTCCCCGTCGCCGACATCCCTGTCGATGCCATCTCGTCCCTCAAATTCTCGCCGTATCCAAACTCTCTTCGATTCGCCGCCTCGTCCTGGGACAAACATGTCTATCTATACGAAGTCACCGAGGGCAAGACATGCACCCTGCTCGCCAAGTACGAACATCGCGCACCCGTTCTCGACTTGTGTTTTGGAAAAGATGACAATGAATTATATTCCGCTTGTTTGGATTGGGATGTGAGACGGTATGTCGTACAATTGCCCCATGAGCACGAATCAAGACCCCAAAGGCGATCAAGGTCCATCAAGAGACATGAACCCCACGCCCGAGAACACAGTGCTAACTTGATCATCTCCCAGTATCGATGTCGCATCATCTACCCAAACGGTTCTTTCAACCCACGAGGCAGGAGTACGGTCCGTCGTCTACGATGCACAGAACAAGCTAGTTATCTCCGCCGCTTGGGACTCGACACTACACATCCACAACGGGGCCGATTCGACCGCAGAGACGTGGCCCACGGCAAGCATCGCTCTCCCGTCCAAGCCATTCTCCTTGTCCCTGTCTCCTTCGAAACTAGTGGTCGCCATGTCTTCACGCCAATTACATATATACGACCTTAGTGCGCTGGCGGCGTCATCTGCGAACGGAACTACCAACACCCAAACGAAGTTGGACATGGAACCCTGGCAACGACGAGAGAGTTCCCTCAAGTTCATGACCCGGGCGGTCGCCTGCATGCCGAGTGATGAGGGCTACGCCAGTTCAAGCATCGAGGGCAGAGTGGCGGTGGAATGGTTTGACCCCAGTGCTGAAAGCCAGGCCAGGAAATATGCTTTCAAATGCCATCGGCAGCCGGTGGATGACGTCGACGTCGTGTACCCCGTCAACGCTTTGGCGTTTCATCCCCTCCATGGCACGTTCGCTACCGGTGGTGGGGATGGTGTTGTGGCGATCTGGGATGCGGTCGCCAAGAGGAGAATCCGGATTTATCCAAAGCTGGCCAGTGGTGTCGCAGCTACAAGCTTCAGTTCCAACGGAAAATATCTGGCAACAGCGATAAGCCCCGGGTTCGAAGACGGAAAGGACCTCGTCAGCGAAGGACAGGTCGGAATCTTCATCCGAGAGCTGGGAGAGAACGAAGTCAAGAGGAAGGCAAAGTGATATCAAGGCTGTTTGAAATACGGTCTATGATCTTATCTCGATTCATCTTTACCCCACTCTGACACTGCCACGCAGAGTCGGAGCTCATGGGTCGATGGCCGCCGTTAGCGAAGCTAGGAAGACGTGATGGGTATCAGTGGGGGGTACGACGCGATGACTGAAAGAGGCTTTTCACGTGCCCGGCGCAAAGTCACAGTGCCGTCAGCCATGCCGAAATAGCATGCAATTGGGCGTTGACCGCCAACAACGGAAGCTGCTTCGGCCTCTGGACCGGTTGGCCCACAGAAGATGCCGACACCCAGAACACCATTGATGTCCTTGATGGTTCGCGCCAGCAATTCGACTTCCCAAACCCCATCCTCACCGTCGCCCTTCTTTCCATTGGCAATGTCTTCGGAGATGAGCAAGGGGTGGGGAAATGGAGCATCGATAATGAAGAAATCTTGGTCGGTTTTGACTGGCCCGGCTTTGGCCATATGGCCTTCTCGGATGGTGGGCCCTGCACCCGTGGGACTTCTGCTCCCCAACATGCGCAACCTCTTCATGACTTGGCGAGCAGCCTTGGGTTCAACCTCAATGGGAATGGTGGGCCACTTTGTGATTAGACGATGTTGGAGCTTCCGGTGATCTAGTGATCGTCAGGCGAATTTGTTAGGGGCGATTCCAGGAATCTCATACCTGCAACACAAATGAACTGCTTAGAGCGCATGGCCACCAGCTTCTCTTGATATAAACAAGCGCCACCACCTTTTATGCAGTTCAGATCCTCGTCGACTTCGTCTGCGCCGTCGAAGGCGACATCTATCTGAGCGTCATCTGGTAAGGCATCAAATTCTATGGGGATCAGCCCGGCATTGATAATGAGTTGTTTTGACTGGTAGCCAGTTGGCACAAATCCTATTCTTGAAACGTCTTTTCCAGAATTCTTGATTGCTTCGACAACGTAGACGATAGTAGTGCCTGAACCGATACCGACAAAGCGCGGGTTGTCCGGGAAGTGATTTCGTACAGCTTCTTGAGCGGCAGCACGCTTTGCTGCTTCAATGTCGGCCATATTGAGACGAGATGTTGAGGTGGTGGAAGCGGGAGGTTGGGAATAGGCGCGGAGGTGTGTTGAGAATCTGGTAAGAGGGAATTGTGCTATAGAAGATTTCTTGGACCACTGGATCCAACACGGACGGTCTGTATTCAACAAAGACTGGCATCAGAAACCAGGATGAATGTGGTGAGGCGGGGAATTATGCTTGACTTACATATGGCAGTCTGAAATTGAAGAGTGCTCAGGCGCAAGCACATAAATCGCAAGTGGGATACAGCTGATTACGTAGTCAAGCTTGTGACGTGCGTCTTTTGGGTGACTGGGGTGACTGGAGAGAAACAGGATGAGTAATGAAGCGTCAACTTCTCGTGTTCCGATGTGGTGAGCAAAAGGTCATCCAAAAGTCAGGAGACAAAAAATGGATGGTGGTTGTTGAATGTCAGGTGGTGGAGCTGTTAGAGAAGCAGCAGATGCTGTTTCTGCTCAATGCGGGGATGATTTCTACACACGGAGGACAGGGACGGAGGAAGGATCGACTGAGGGTGCCAGGGTAGGTGCCAGGGACTCAGTCTCAGTGAGTATCAGGGCAGGCACGTGTCAGGTCTTAGTGCCAATTATGAAACCACACCCAAAGCAAGAGCAAACCGATCACGATCACGGCTTTAATATCAGTTCGCCGCACCTGCCTATTTGCCATCCCCATGCTGCCTGCCCCTCATGGCTTACATCCATTTTGTATGGTTGTATCATTCACTTCACCAAAAAGCGTGATACTCTCTGCCTAGGTGATTGCCAGGTACCTTTCATCCTCATATTTCTCAATTGGTTCTTCAGCTCAATCGGAGGGCACTGGGCCATTCCTTAAGTCGGAAGAGACAGACAGAATGATGCAAGAGCCCTTTTACCACTCTCGCTAATACTTTCTTACATCAACTTCAACTTTCCATACAAGATTTCCAATCATGGCAGATATCGCCCCCAGGGAAGTTACTCCACCCATTATACAGGTTCCATCCGCAAAGGAAAAAAAATACGATCGACAACTGCGTCTGTGGGCAGCTTCTGGTCAACGTGCCTTGGAAGAATCTCATGTTCTTCTAGTCATTGGTGATGACAAGGCAGGCTCCAACAGCAGTGTCGCTGGTGTCGAGACCCTCAAAAACCTGGTCTTGCCTAGCATCGGCAATTTCACCATTGCGGATTCTTCAATTGTCACCGAAGCCGATCTTGGTGTCAACTTTTTCCTTGATCCCCAATCCTTGCACAAAAGCAGAGCAGAGGAAGCCACTCGGTTCTTGTCCGAACTAAACCCTGATGTCACTGGCCATTCTATCACTCTGCCTCTTTCAGAATGGTTACCAGTTCAAGATTCCCTCAAGCCTTTCAATCTCATACTCCTTGCTGCTCCCATCCCTCAAGAGCCTCTCCAACGTTTGGCCTCTTATGCTCTCAAGTCTTCCATCCCACTTATCTATCTCCAGTCGGCCGGCTTCTACGCTTCTTTCTCCATACAACTACCTTCCGTGTTCCCCATTGTCGACACCCATCCAGATCCAGAGACAACTCAAGATTTGCGGCTTCTCGCCCCGTGGCCTGAACTAGATGCTGCCGTAGACTCCCTTGGCGATATCACACTTCTCTCCGATCATGACCACGGTCACATACCATACATTTTACTCCTTCTCTACCATTTACGAGAATGGAAGAACTCTCAGGATGGTACCTACCCCTCAGATTACAAACAAAAGTCAGCCTTCCGAGATCTTGTTCGATCTGCTGCACGGACTGCGAATCCTGAAGGTGGCGAAGAGAATTACGATGAAGCCGCGGCTGCGGTGCTGAAAACCATAGCTCCGCCACCGATAGGAAGTGGATGTAAAGAGCTCTTTTCCATGGAGCAAACAAATAATCTCCACCCAGACTCTTCAAATTTCTGGATCATTGCGAATGCGGTCAAGACTTTCTACGAAAAACATACAGTCTTACCACTTCCTGGCACGCTGCCAGACATGAAAGCAACCAGCGAGCAATACATCAAACTGCAAAACATCTATAAATCAAAGGCTCGACATGATGTCGCTGAGGTCAAGCAATATGTCTCTGTCAGCATACAGTCGCTTGGAAGAGCTACCCCAGTTCCCGACGCGGAAATCGAGTCGTTCTGCAAGAGTGCCTCTCATGTCCGAGTCCTTACAAATGAGAATCACGACAGTATCCCAGTCCTCCGACTTTCCGAAAAAGACCCCAAAATCATCAAATCCCTACAGTCTCATATTGAAAACGACTGGGAAGGCCTTCTTCCAATCTTCATTGCTCTCAATAGCACCAACGGAAATCCTCCCCCTTTCCACGTCGAAGAATTGACGACGGATGTTGAAGTCCTTGACAACATGACCAAGGCCATTCAAGAAGTGCAGAGAGTAGGAGGTGGCGAGCTACACAATATCTCAAGTGTACTAGGTGGAATGGTGGCCCAAGAGTCCATCAAACTCCTCACCAGACAGTATGTTCCGGTAGACGGGACATGCGTTTTTGACGGCATTCGCAGCAAGACGGCGGTGTTTAAATTTTAGCCTTGTCGTGCGTCGTCAAGATGTTTGAGTGAGCGTTTTGCATGCCGACGGTCTCGAAGCGATTCAGTTGCCCATAAAGCCTTCGAGAGCATCCATCGGAAATTCACATAGGTCACGTTCTAGCCTAGTATATATAAATAGGACTTCCAGAGACCTCAATCACTTCACCGATTTTCAGGGCTATCCATGGGTATTGAATGGAGGCCCAAGGCATTGATCTCGCGACGACAACATAATATACTCCAACGAGACTTCTATTAAAGAGACATCATTCATTTCCCTTCGTTGCTCATGCAATGTTAAATTCATCTGCTCCGCCGCCCATCATCATCTTCCTCTGTGCCCTGATCTTGTCACGCATCTTCTTTGCTGCTTCATCCTGATCTGTCGTTGCCTCGGGATTACCACGGCCATCCTGACCACCATCACCTTTCGTTGCACCATCACCCGTAGGTCTCCGTCTCTCATTCTTGCCGCCACCTGCACGACCCTGTCCAATGACATTGACTCGACCTGGCGGATCACGAAGACCGAATGCTTTGGCCAGATGTCCCAGGTGTAGCTCTTTGATATCAAACCATTTTCTCTCGGCGGCAATATGAGTCGCATATGCCCTGACATGGCTCTGAAAAGCACGCTTGGCAGCTTCTTTGATTTTGGCATCGCCAAGGACCCAGCGCTCGACCTCGAGTTGGAATTCGGTTGCTTTGGCATCCCAACTTGCATTGCTCTCGGGTACTTTTGAGTTCTTCATGGATTTTGCTGTGGGGACGACGCCCGCTAGAGCAGAGAAACCTTTCTTGAGAACGTCATCAGCGGCCATATGAGTTACGTTTCGGGTGGTGTCGGCTTCGGCGGAAGATTTGTACGACTTTTTCAGCACTTCCACGTAACCTTCCTCTTTTCCAGGCAACAGGAATATAATTGCGCGGCCATCACGCCCGAGTCGAGCGGTTCGTCCAATGCGATGAAGGTGGTCGTCTGAACTGAAAGCTGGGTCATACTCGATGACTAAGTCGAGATTGGGCAGATCAAGACCTCGAGAAGCCACGTCCGTGGCGATGAGTAGCGAGGGTTCGGTTGTGTTGGCAAAGTGCTTGACGATTGATGTTCTTGTAGCTTGCGGCAGGGAGCCATGTAGTTTGTAAAGGGTGATGGGGTTCTGCGGGGACGATAGGAGTGGAGATGATGCGATCGAATCCGACTCGACGTTTGAAGGGGCTGTTGTAGGCTTGTCATTATCGTCATCTGCGTCAGGTTGCTGAGTGGCAGCCTCCTCGGTCTCGACCGTACTCTCTGGTGCCCTGGAAAAGGCCTTATAGTGGAACTCGACTGAATCTGCGCATGACATGAAAACAATGGCCTTCATGACAGACCCTTTTCGTGCGAATGTGCGTTTCAACAAGGCAGTAAGGGTGACTAGTCTCAACTTTGCAGCTGTGACCAGATAAGATTGCTTGAGCTGAGCGGGCGCAAGGAATGCTGTATCTGTACCGTTGTCGTGTGATTCATTAGAGGTTTCTTGGCCTTCAGATTCCCCTTTGATGAGCACGGCGTCCTTCAGACTGATTTCGCCAAGTTTCTGTACATTCATTTTCAGAGTGGCTGAACACAAAACTGTGGTGCGTCGTTCGGGCAGCCCCTGTCGGCTTGACTTTCTTTTCTTCTGGTCCAGGGCTTGCACAATCTTGCCAATTTCTTCTTCGAAGCCCAAATCCATCAGACGATCACCTTCATCAAGCACAAGCCAACGAACAGTACCAACGCTGAGTGCTTTGGTATGTTCGAGATGATCAACCAACCGACCTGGAGTGGCCACCAAAATGTTCAGGCCTTTCCGTAGACGGGCTTTTTCTGATTTTTTCTTTTCACCTCCGATCACAGTGCCTGCCACGATGTAGTTTGCGCAGCCGAGTAACCGCTCAAGGACTACTGAGATTTGCTTGCACAATTCTCGAGTAGGCGCCAGGATAATGGCAAATAATCCCGAATCCCTATGCACGGCGACATCTTGGACTCCCTGTGTTTGGCCTTTTGACAGCTCAGACAAAGTCATGATGCGCTGTACGATGGGTAAAAGGTACGCTAAAGTTTTCCCAGATCCAGTCTCAGACTGCATAAATGCATCACTATCTTCCTTTACTAACTGTGTGATTGAGGCTTTTTGAATTGCGGTAGGTGCTTTAAGGTTCATCTTGGTAAGGAGGTGAGTAGCAATGGTAGGCGAAAGTCCAAGCGAGGTAAATGTGTCAATGCCATCAACGAGCGGGGCATTAGATGGGAGGGCAGGTTTCTCGTCATGAGAAGGCTCCGGCTCTTGAATGTTGGTGGGCTCGGGGTTGTATGAGAAAAGGGAAGATATGACTTCTCGAGGGCCAGAGTTCGGTTTGCTGTGTGTGGATCCCTGGCCTTGTAGGTGAATTCGAGATTCATGTTTGCTGAAGGAAGGAGTATAGTCACTGTCTCGACGTCGTTTCGTGGGCCGTGGGTCTGTCAAGTCTGCACCCTGCTCTCTTGTGACAGTAGAATGTTTGCCAGGCCTCGTTATCGGGAGAGCGACTTTGTTTGGGTCGGTAGAACGTCGTTTCCCACCTCTTTGAGCGTCTCTCTTGGCTTGTAGACGTTCCCTCCAATTCCCACCTTTGAATTTGTTGTTGCGGACAACAGGCTCGCCCAGCGCAAAGTTCAGCAGCATGCCATCTTCGGCCATACTGAATGGAGTTTTGCGACCCTTGGGCCTGCGTAATGTCCGGGAACGACACAAACCAACCAGTGATTGAAAGTTGAACGAGGGTATGTAGTCAAAAGTTGTCTGGAATCTCTCTCTACTTAGTGGAGAAAGTTTACATTGGAAAATCGAGCGAGATGCGCAGGTGCGGAGATCTGATGCCTCCAACTGGTCAGCCTCGCCATCCAGCCTTGTTGGCAATGCCATGTCCAAGCTTCCCCTCACAGGTTCAGTTTACACGTCGAATATCAAGTCACTTCAACAATCCCTGATGTATAAAACGCAGCATTTTCCATCATGAACACTAGCTTGAGCCACCATCAACACCAGCTTGGCTCACGCTGGTCAACATGATGCTAGCTCTTCTCTCGAAAACTTCACAGTCTTCAGACTCCCTGCGTCCATGCCTCCCAAACCAGCCATGGTTGGCGTGAGACTCCCGACTTGTCTGCGACCACTCTTCCGTCCGAGTCCTTACCGTGTCCAAATACCTACTCTTCTCTCAGGCCGGGCCAACTCGACTGATGCATCCGATGGCTCAACTTCTCCAGACCCTTTCCCGGTCTTTCGCGATGTTCCATCTCTGCGAACGCTTCGAAAGACCATGTACAAGGAGTCAAAGGTAGTGGGCTTTGTCCCCACGATGGGGGCACTTCATGAAGGGCACCTGTCCCTGGTCAGGGCGGCCCTTAAAGAAAATACAGATGTTTTTGTGTCCATCTTTATCAACCCGACTCAGTTCGCGGCGCATGAAGATCTGGACTCCTACCCCCAGACATGGAAACATGACCTCGAGATGTTGAGACAAGTTGAGGAGGAGCATAATGCATCAGCTGGCCCTAGCAATCATTCTCGTATTGCAGGTATATTTGCACCGACCGTCAAGGTCATGTACCCAACTCTCCCTCCATCCTCGGATATATCTGGCGACGGATCCTTTGTGACCATCACCCCTCTAGGCAGAGTCCTCGAAGGTGCATCTCGACCCATCTTTTTCCGAGGCGTCGCCACAGTCTGTACCAAACTCTTTAACGTTGTTCAACCGGACAAGGTCTACTTTGGCCAGAAAGACGTCCAGCAATCCGTTCTCATTCGGCGAATGGTCAAAGACTTTTTGATTCCCACCGAGGTCAGGGTGATCCCCACCAGTCGAGAACCTGATGGATTGGCAATGAGCAGTCGGAATGTGTATCTGGGAGAACGGCGACGAGAGGACGTTGTGGTTCTGTCTAAAGCACTTTTTGCCGCACGTGATCTTTACAATTCCGGCGTCATCTCGACTAAGAAGATCAGGGACGCCGCTTTCGCCGTTTTTCACGAAGCGGCGACCAGGAAGAGGGAAGATGGTAAACTCGGCGGCCATTGCCGCCTCGAGATTGATTACATTGCTGTCAGTGATCCAGACACAATGACCATGATCAGGGATAATCAAAAGATTGATCCCTCCAGAGGCGCCGTTCTAAGCGCCGCTATGCTCGTCTTACCCCTTGATCATCCAAAGACGCTTGAAGAGCTGGAACAAAAGCAAGTGAGGTTAATCGACAATGTTATATTGGAACCACGGGAGGAGTCTAGCTGAGAGAACGGTGATGCCAGACGTGATAACACGCATTTCTACCTGCCACAGATCGTGCGGGCCTTGTCAGTAAACAATCGAGCCTGCGGAGTCTCTCGGGATGGTGGGCCACGACTCGCAACGTCAATCAAAAGACATCCCATAGAGAAATCTTGCCATCTTTTCCTCCAGCTGCCAACCAGTGCGTCCGTCTTGCTTTCTCTTCCCTGTCATGCTTGATAGTCTCCAACGCGGACGGTATCCTGGCAGCATCTCTTGATGTAGACTCTGTCATACCTGGCCATGATGGACTTGTCCTCTCGCTCTCGCCAACATCGGCGAATGCGGTCGCGTAACATCCGTCTTTGTGCCACTTCAGCACTGCCAGCTCTTGCATCGTCTTTGACGAATAGACCCTCACACGTGAATCCCAGCCTGCTGTTGCAAATATCTTGCCATCCGATCGAACCGAAAGGCCTTGCTGGCCTGCATGTTTTGTGTTGATGACTTTATCTGCATTCTGCCTGCTTACAAGGTTGCCGTGCCCTTGTAAAATCTCGAGTGCGAACCTGGCGATGGTAGCATCTGCACTTGATGTGATCAAGTAATTCTTTGAGGGCATAACACTGAGCGAAAGGACCGGCTGCGAGTGAGGCTTGTGTTGCATGACACGAACCCATTTTCCTGTTTCTTGTCGGGGTGTCTGGCTGTCCATCTCGCCTTGGTAGACGTGAGCCATGACTTGGCCGTCTTCGTACCCGGAAATCAACATCAGCCCGCTTAAGGCGTCGTCATAGAATATTTGCACTGCCATGACCATGCCTGTGTTAACCTTTGGATCTGACTTCAACTGAGAGATGCGATGCTCAGAGGGTAGTTGGAACAGGTCAACTCCACCCTGATCCAAGCCATTTGGTGAAGCAATGAGTTGAGGTGCATGAGCTTCTAACGCTGTAGAATCTAAACCATCTTGACGCTGCTCACAGATGGCAAAAGGACAGAAGTTCAAGGCGTTGACTGCAAGAGAATGCAAAAGCCAAGGTTGAAGATGCTTGTCCTGGTCTGTACCCTCCGAGGGAAGCTTTGTACTGAGCCGGGCGTAATCGTCAGGTCGAACCTGCCATACTCGAAGTGCATGATCTCTACCGTGCCTGTGATAACCGTTAGCGCTCAGGATGTCCAAGAAAGTAATGGCGACTGACGTTACAAGTCTGTCATCCGCCCAGGGCTTGATCTGCATCACTCCTCCCTTGTGAGCGTGCCATACAGCCACAGGGCGTTTCGAAGATACATTCCACACTATAACCCACCCATCACCGTCTCCAGAAACGAGGAGTTCATTTGAGGCAAAGAATTCCAATGCGTGGATGGTCGACGTATGGCCACGGAGAATATACTTTGGCAGTGGTGGCTTGCTCTCCATAATTTACCTCATTGTCTACACCGGGTGAAAAGCCTGGTCATCGCACGTATTCCACCTTAAGTTATTGTCTGAGCAGATCTGTTAACTCAGTCATGCAGGTAGTTTGGCAAGGTCGTTGTAATGATGTCGTGAATATATTGTTCACTTTCCGCTCCGCCTGGCCATTCAAAAAGATACGATCGGTGCCAAGACCGTTTCATTGCTTTTGTCTCTTACTCGACCAAGTATACGAATTTCGATTTAAAATAATTGCAAATGAAACCAGGAGCAATAAGAGATAACAGTTTAGCGAAAAAAGAACCCTTAACCACAAAGCGCAAAAATTTTGCCCGCTACAGGATTCGAACCTGTGATCTTGTCATCCCTATGAAACTTCTGGTTGAAGGCTGGTACGAGTGACACGCCTTACCCCTGGGCCAAGCGGGCGACAAATCACATCTGTGACGTCAAATCAGAGCCTTTTCTGCACGTTTTAATATATGTATTCTGTACTTAAGTGGGGCTCCGGACGGATTCTTTACAGGTGGTTTCGCTAACGATTTCTACCTACTTTATGGTGACGTTCGAGATCAGTGTCTCAGTCATATCCAACAAGCCACTCGCAAGAGAGGGTTAGCCTGTCGAATAATAGTGCAGTGCAACCAGCGTTAGACAGATGAAGTCTGGTCAAGCATGAGGAAAGCCGTTGCGCTTGCGCAGCGACGGCTCGACGGCTGGAGCCTATCTGATGAAGAGCAGGTATAGCCTGAAGAGGTCACAAAATTATGGAAATTATGGAGAGAAACAATAGTTCTTCTCAAACTCTTTGGTGGATGGTGGATGTCAAGGTCCGGGCCAGCGATCCCCGTGGTTGCCCCATCATCATACAATGCTTTGAGCAAGATTAGGCTAGTAGTGGACCTGAGAGTCCCAACTATTGAGCGCTGGTGGGAGCGCCACCATAACATCTCATCTACGCTTACGGCATACGGCATACGTGAATGTACGAGTATACGGATGGTGAGTGGGAGGAGCATGAACGTTTCGCTTTTGAAGGTCAGCACTTCAATTGAATGGAGCCATTAATGCTGGCAACATGATGCGCTGACGCGTAACGGTGGTGAAGCGCGAGGCAAGGAAGTGGACTGATGGTGTCGCATCGTTAGACCTAGTGAATCTGTTCGATACCCACCGTAGACACGATCAGGGGAACCGTAACGGTCACGGCTCGCTGAGATCTTGTCAATTACACATGTGTGATTCATAATTTATTGCCTACAAAGACAAGGCGGGGACTGATGGTGGCAAGACTGTGACCTACTATGTAAAAAGCCTCTTTAGGATGTCAAGATGCAGGTGTAGGCAAGCTGAACGGAAGAGTATTGGGAGGCCTTGTTTGTGATGGAAAGGCCCAAACATTTCATGTGCAGAAGGCGATTGGTCAGAGGGAAGGGATCCACGCTCTGCGAAGGAGGCAAGCGGAAACGACCAGGTCTCCTGTGCTGCGGCAACTGGATGAGAATCATGTCTGGGAGATAATGGGCAGGGGTTCGATGCGAAACGAGTCTTGGTCAATGTATCAAGTTTAAAGGATGTGCAGGGATCGGGGTTCAAGAAATACACAAGAAGGGGGGATTTTATTATTATTGAGAATTTTCGGCTATTATGAACTGTAGTGTCGAGCCAAAGCCACACAGCTCGCATCGCAAAACGAAATTCCACGTGGCCGGGGCCATTACTAGCAAGCCACGTTCATGCCGGGGTTTACTTTAGCACTTGGGAAGAAGCGAGAAGGCGGAAGTAGCCTCAGATGCAGCCATTGCTTCCTATTTTGGACACAAAGTGGTGAGACGTAGACTGAAAGGGGAGACAGAAGTCTAGACGTCGCCCTAGGTGTACGCTGGAAGCAGCAAGACGCATCTCGTATGAACGTGTCGGAGCATGCCGTGCCCCGGCATTCGGAAGAGACCAGTCGCATGGGCTTTACAGGGGGCGACGACCCGGGGAACTGGGGCGTGACCTCACCAGCTGCCAAACAAGCGATGCGAGATGCAAGCTTGACGTTTATGGCTGACATATACCGCGGTACAAGGACAAGGGGAATGGAACAACGTCTGACCGAACGACAGTGACGACCAATACACACAAGGAAGGCAGACCAGGAGACGTCAGAGGCGGATGGTAGTGGGCGTGGGTGAGTAGGAACTTTTGAAGCCTGGGTCCAAGATAGTGCCTGGAACGCTGCCCTAGATCCTAGACGGAGAAAATGGAGGACTTGGTAGATAAGTAATGGGCAGTGTGGATTTCCTGGTCCAAAGAAGGACACAACGCCGACGATGACTGAATTCCAGTGCAGCGAGAAACAAAAAAAAGTGTCACTTCAAAGGAAAATACAAATCAGCCAGCCGATTGAGTGCTTCTAGGCCATCGGGGGCGCCGAGGACCAATGAACCCAGTGCCAACGACCTCGGAAATCTCTTGTCAAAATAAACTTTGAGAATTGCATTGAGTTGATCGAAGCGTCTTTGACAGGTCGAAGGGGAAGCATTGGCAGTCATGTACCCGAGAACCAGGTACAGACCAGAGGTACCTAACTACCGTCTATGCGCCTTAGGATGCATGTACTTTAGAAATCGGCGACTTGGACCCTGGTACAGCTGCATCCAAACATCAGATATGAAACCCCAAGCTCAATAGTTGTTCTAGATAGCTGGAGGATGAAGAAAGCGAGATTTGGGATATGGCACTATTGGCACCGAGTGGTTTGATGTTTGAGGTTATGAGCTGAAGGATAGATGGAGGGATCGCGATTCATAGCAAAGTAGCGATATCTACGGTACCTACCAAGTGCCCTATCCATCTCAGGCTAGGTAGGTAGGCATTCAGGCATGATGACACAAGGCTTTCCCAGCTGGCAACTCAGGGTCTAACAGACCCAAGACTCGTAGTTCATGCCTCTACCTAGTTAGGCGCCACCTAGCTGTAGGTAATAAACCTGTCACCTTGCAGAATTTGGTGAAATGAAGAGATTTGACCCGCCAAGAGGAGACACGGTAACTTGATCCGGGTCAGCGATCAACTGTAAGGACACCTAGAATATGTGTTGTTAGGGCATCAAGGAATTATTTGTTGGCACTTGGAAGAGAATTGAATAACTCAGACCTACAGACAGTCCTTCGGGCGTACGGTAGACGATTAGAGAGAGTACACTGCTCAAGTCTTCAGACAGCTGTAACTCGCAACCCAAAGACTGTGTTGGCCTGCAAGGGCAGATCGCAATGGCCCCCTCGGCCCCTCCGGCCCCGCCCTCGTCGCCCACAAGCCGCTGAAAACTGGACTGACAGGGTATGCCATCGCCTGAACACCCCTGCAAGTTTTGACGTTGCAGGATCCCTGACAGGCTTTGGCGAGAAACGCTCGTCCCAACCGCTTCAAGCTGCCAATTGTCTCGCGATTCGCTCGGCCATTCTGTTTCTGGCCTGTCGCTGCCTAGCTCTGTTAGCCTGGGCCAGGGAACCAGGCGTGGTAGGCTCAAATGCTGGGGCCTGGAGTCTTGTCATGGACCATAATGGGGACATGCAAGCTGAAGATCCGGATCTCTGGGTGATTCACGATACCCATTTTAGTTCTGACGCTGCTGGCCGTCTCATTCTTGGTTTGAAGCTAATCTACGGATCGGCCAGCACAAACGCAAATCCATTCCTCTGCGGTCAAGGCTATTGCTGATTTTGCTCGTTGCGAGCGATGGTGGCACGGTGGCATGTTCTACTGCCAATTCATCACTCTTCTTCGTCAACTGTGACTTTGCTATTCGTGGCGCCTTGTCCGCGCCTGGACCCTCACGACCCTCAAGCCCTGTATCGGTGTTGGTATCGGTGCTGATGCTGGTGCTGGCGCTGGTGCGATCGAAATCCATCCATCTCGTCTTTTCTTTCATAATTCCCCATACCCGCCGACAGAAGTTTCCCTAACTCTGCTCCGTTTACGACTCGCTTGTCTTAACGGTCTTTTGTGTATATCTTCCACCGTTGAACTCATTGATAGCCTTGCACCTCGTCCCCCATACATCCTCTGTCCATACCTCCCATCGCCGAGTTGTTCACCACGAACAGGTACGTTTCATGACTAGCAACCTTACCGTCCTCGTGCACTTTGGCTCTTTGAACACATTACAGCCTTTTTGGCCCCAATCCACGGTCATTCCGCCCACCACCCGCACAATTCCCTCCCAGACCTTCATTGTTGTCGCAGCTCAGCCCCTGGACCTGCAACAGAAGGTCGCTTGGAGCAGGTCCTGTCTTACTCCTGCATGCGGCATCCATCTCGCTTTTCAAAGGAGACCGCTGGGCTCTGCGAGTGCATAACTTTGCCGTCTCTATACCGGCAATTGCACACGGCCGATCAAGTGCTTTGCATCCATCCCACAAGCTGACATTGGACTCTTGACAGAAAACCTTCTACAGTCTCGGATTTCTTTCAACGCCTACAATTGATTATCCTCCTCGATACAAAGCTCACCCATCGTCTCTCCACTGGTCCAAGAACCTTCGTCGCAATCAACCCGCACATGAGATTGGTCTGGGTTGGCACTCAGGCCATGCCCCCACAGTGACATATTCAAGTTGGCGCACTACTTGGATCCCACCAACTCACTCATGCTTGCCCATTCAAACTCGATCTCCAGCATAGCTCGGCCCCTCAGCCCAATCCCAATCTTCCCAAGAGATCAACTCAACGCGCATCCCTCACAACACACCGCACAGTTCCAGCATTTTAACGTCAAAACTTCCACTCCTCATCAACGCCCAATTTTGACCCCGCCATATGCTGAGGCTGATGCCGGCATCAACGTTCACACGAGCACGCCTGCCGGGTCATCGAATCACTCGTCTCCCGCTTCTCAGACTCAACAAACCAGCCCCCTGTCCATGACTGACGTCCAGGCCAATGTCCAGACCAAGTCGGATAGTGGCCAGTCTGCAAAACCGAAACGCGTTAGGACCGGATGTCTTACTTGCCGAGAGCGGCACCTCAAGTGCGACGAGGGCTTGCCCGACTGTTTGAATTGCAAAAAGTCCAACCGCAAATGTAAACGCGGGGTCCGCCTGAATTTCATCGATATCCAGTGTGTAAAGCCGCCTTACCTGTTGCCGGCCACACATGACTGGAAGGTCGTCTTCCAGGACGACTCGCGGGACATCGCATCCGAGTACAAGGGTGGCTTGGCCCTGTACCCCGACCCCGTGACGTTAGATCCAGAACCCAAGCGACCAAGGCTAGATTCAACCGCCTTGACGTACGACTACACTCAAATCGCTGCTCCCGTGCTGTCGCATCAACAGCTACCAGGCGCTGCGCCTTATGCCACCCCCTTTCCCGACCAGTATGCTACCTCGGCTGCTCAACCCTATGGAGACAATTCCTCCTCGATGCCTGCATATGCCGAACCGGCACAAACAGCACGACAGCCCTTCAACCAACACATGCTGGTGCCTACTGCCCAAGCGCAAACAGTTGCATGCCTCGACGATCCAAATGAAGTACTCTACATGCAGGTCTTTGTTGAAGAGGTCGCATTGTGGATGGACAGCATGGATGCTGGCAAGCACTTCTCCCGCTTGATCCCCTTTCAAGCATTGAGAGAACCTATGTTGAAGTATGCGTCCCTTGCATGTGGGGTTCGCCATTTGACCTTGGTCAATCCCATCTACCCTGAAGAACATGCTCTCAACTATTACAATTCTGCCACTCAGCTCTTGCTCAAGTCTTTACAAAACCCCGATCGAGACAGCGTTTTGTGTGCGACAACTGCCACCATTCTCAACGTGTATGAGGTCATGTCTGAGAAAGCACTACAGAGAATGAATCACATTGCCGGAGCCAGGGCATTGATCAAGGAATGCCGATGGGATGCCACAGCGACGGGCATTGGTGCTGCCTGCTTTTGGCTCAATGTCGGCTTGGAGCTGTTCAGCTGCCTCCACTTCAACTGGGGTGTGGCTTGGGACCCAGATACCTGGGGCATCGACATGACTATGAATCCTCAAATGGTTGGTGGCAACGAGGACGACTGGACACACAAAATTCTATGGATTCTGTCCAAAATCACCAACTTTAGATCAACTGCCCAGCCGCGATATCCAGACGGCAGTTCCGTCCACGCCGAGCAGTTGCGGTTGCATCAGCGACATCAGGTTTGGATGGGGTTGAAGCAATTCTGCGAGCGATGGCACCGATGCATTCCTCCAACCATGCACGCTCTAGCATACGTTCCCCCATACCTCAATACATCCAAGAGCGCCTTTCCAGAGGTCTGGCTTTTGAAACGGACCACCATCGTGGCCCAACTGTTCTATCACACTGCCATGGCCTTGTTGGGGGCCGTCCATCCGATGAGCAGTGGCCAGCCACAAACAGAAGCTGAAATGCAAGAAATGAGAGTCTATCATTCGAGGCAAATCTGCGGCATTGTCGCTCACGTCAAAGATCGTGGAGTGGCGTCTGCATCAATTCGATGCCTGGCCGTAGCTGGCGAGAACCTCAATGATCGGCGCGAGCAGGAAGAGGTCTTGAAAATTTTCGACCGAATCAAGAATGAGACGGGCTGGAGAGTGGCATTCATCAACGATGATCTCAAAGAGAAATGGGGATGGATTACGAACGAGTACGACACAAGGTCTTCGATTTCGTCGGGCTACTATCCGACGCCGGCGTCGACAGCGCCAGCAGCCCCTACTCCTGCACCAGCTCGCCCCAAATACCCCGTGGGCATTGTCAACCCTCTGTACAAAAATGCCGACTTTTCGGCGCAAAATCCACCATATCAAGGCAACTATGTGCCTCCTACTCCTGGACATATCATGCACAGCACTACGAACATGTATGGATTTTCCAGCATTCCAGCCCTCTGATTGATCCCAAAATCTACGGCGGGGACGTCCGATGGCTATCCTTGAAGAGAAAGGTGATGATGTTACGCCGCGACTCACGTCTCCTACCTCTTGTTATGTGTCGGTGTTTATATGACGGCCAACAGTCCAAGCATGATCTAGGGCGGGGAGAACTGGAAATACCCTTTGGAATGTTGCTTGAGCATTGCATATATATATACATGTGAATATGGAAATATACCTCTATCGCGTAATATGAAACACATCACAACTTGACGAGATTTTTGAGTAGTAGAATGCACATTCATGGGCCATAGAGTACCTACCTTACCTATTGCTGTTTCGTTGGCGTCGATGCTGTTGCCGTGCTGTAGCTGCCACCGACATGCGCCTCTAAAGTTGAGGATGTCTGTCAGATGGTGGTGGTGCCCGTCGCTGCCAAGTCTGCCAGTCAAAGGTCACGAGGGACGAGGGGCGCCAGGTCAAACAACTCCAACTCACTCTTTACCAATGATCTGATCTTCATACCTTTTCGAACCATGACTCTTCCCTCATTGACTGCCCAACTGCTGCCCACTTTACAGTTGCAACACTCTTCCCCTGTGTGCAACTGTCAGACATGATCTGCTCCTTCATTTCCTCCAGGACATGATCCTTCAATTCCACCAAGGGAAGACTACAGGCCTTTTGTCGACTTTTGACAACTGCGCCATCTCTCCTCACACGGTGAGTTTGTCCGTGGTCTCACGAAACCGCAACGAACCATGACTTCGTCACCTAAATCCGGCCTGTCGGCTGCCATTTCTCATCCTGCGTATTCGATGCTCAGTCGAGCTCATTCCCCAGACACTGCGGATCGCATTTTCACCGACAAGATCAAGAATAAACCTCTTCTCCTTCAACCCACCACCTCCGATGGACGGGCTTTGCGACGTCAACTTCGACTGCGAAAGAAGGAATATCACATACGCAAACGCAAACCGCGACCACTAAGCGCCAAAGAAAAGCGAAGGCTTAAGCTCTTGAGCATGAATAAGGAGGAAATCAAATATGACATCTACCAACGCCTACATGAATTGTGGAAGGGTTATATGCTGGAAGTGCTTGGCTACGTCAAAGATGGCGAGGTGGTCGCTAGTAGTGTACAGAAAGAAGTCACGGGTCAAAGCCATGGCAGTCTGCTTGCTAGTGCTGATTTCCATGGCGCCGAGTTCCAGGTCGTACGAAGCGGCGATCTCGGAAAGGTTGGCATCAAGGGAATCGTCGTTCGAGATACGAAATTTACATTTGTCGTTGTGACGCCCAAAGATGAAGTCAAGACTTTGCCTAAAAAGGACACCGTTTTCCGCTACGAAATTCCCTTGCCGTTTGAAACAGATCAAAAGGATCACGAGCCTAGAAGATTGGTCATGGAACTGCATGGCAATCAGATCGAATTTCGTCCTGCTGACAGAGCCAACCGCAAATTCAAATGGAAGGGAATGGATAATGTCTGAGAAATTATAGGGCTCAGATTCTCCTCAATCTCTGCTCGTGGAATTATATTTTTGAGCCAGCAGAAATTAAAACCACCTTTTCCGACGAAGATTCATCAGCACAATCAACGTCATTCCATCATGCAGGAAAAAAGCTTCGCCGCGGAATACCTAATCTCCGTTGCACAGTCTCATCATGGCATTAGGTTGGTCAAGACAACAGTGTGATCTACGTAGATCTAAGCTTGATTGAGCTCACATGGCTGCCCATTCGACACTGAATGTTCTCACATCACCCACAGGGCTCTGCGCACCGATCAAAAACCCCTTTTTGACACCAGTTCCCAGCCGGCCGCCGCCGACAATATCCATCAAATCGATTTCCTCGTCCCATTCCGTTCCCACGGCGAGGAAATGGGAATGGAACCGGAGCGGATCACCCGGATACACGGTATACTGGCAACCGAATCGCAGGCCTGGAGTTGCAAAGTATCCTTGGCTATGGAGATGGCGATACAAAGGGTATGATGACGGGAGATTTGGTACAGCTGCTTGGGTGCTAGCATTGCTCAAAGATGGAGACGGAGCATTCGTCGGGACGAGGAGTTGAGAAGTTGTTGGCGTGATTTCATAGCCGGTTGTTACACCAGACGCTGTGGAATCGGCAACATTATCGTCGGCCTGGCTTGACTGGTGGGCTTGACTTTCTTGGACATTCTCAAAATCCAGTGGATCACGCGCTGGCTGGTCATTGACTGATGTTTGAGGGGTTCCTGCAGCTTTTTTTGAAACCTTTTCCAGACCCCGTTTCTTGGACTCTGCTCTTTCCTGGGCTCGGACCTGTTCGACACTCTGAGTCTGTTTCTGGAGATGTGCCCGGTAATCTGCGCGTCTGGCGGCGTCGGCAGTCTGAAGCGCCCGCTGGTGCTCACGTGCATCGTCGACGATGAAGGCCACTTTCTTCTCGACCAACACTTGAGCTTCCTCGGGCATGATTTCGATGGGCATCCCCAAAAACAGGTTTTGAGACGGCGCTAACGGAAGAGATCCAATCGTCATGCCACATATATTATGGTTTCGACGAAGATACGTCGCCACCCGAACGTCGAACAATAGATAGCGACCTCCGACACAAGAAATCCCCACGGGGAGTTCCGGCTGAAAATCGAAGCCAATATCATCTTTGTGTGCCATCTTTTTGACGGAAAGCCTTTGATCATGAAACAGAGTCAGTAAGAAGATCTTTTGTAAAGAAATCTCGAGTTGTGACAACATGGAAGGTTTAATATGGATCGATATCATATTTCAACAACGATTTTATTTTCGCTTCAATCATGTAACTCCAAAGGAGCGTTTTTTCAGTGGATTGACAGATATTAAATATTGTGTAATCATTCGAAATGGACGAGGGGGAGGTGGTTATTTTGTGAGAGGAGAAAAGATTTTAAACTCACCAGTTCTCGTTGACACTGTCGACGAAACGCTGCCTTCAAGATGACCTGGGTAAGAGCTCTCGGTGCGTTCTCAAGAGCGGTGGGGCTTTGGTAGAGATCAGCGAGTTCTCTAGGTGGCTTTAGAAGAGTAGTATACTTGATGAGCAATCTTCAAGGAGCCTGGAGGCGACTACATGATGTGGTCATGGACACATGGTCAGACCAGAAGGTGTTGGATAAAGAACTGAGAGTCGAGTTGGAAAAACAGTTGAAATCTCGAATCGGTCTTGGCAAAACTACATCTGTCACGTGATTTTGAATCAAACATGCGACCAACATTTGGCCCAGAGCGCTCGAATACCTTAGGTGTGCTCATAATCATAGCATTAAGACCTGTCTCAGGCCGTGTGGGTCTTATTACAGTCATAGAAATGGATGACTCAGTCGGATGGTCTGGATCACTTCTCCCTTCATATCCCTCCCTTCCCTTACTAGCCCTCAAAATTCTAGATCAGCCTTGCTGTTCTTGGAACTTGGGCCTTCTGCTTGTTGAGCATCTGTGTCTCCCTCCACTGGTGGTAAATTGAACGGTTTGATAACAAACTTCCTCCGGCTCAGTGTGAACGTCCAATCGGTCTCAGAGGTGCGGGCGCCACTGCCACGCTCGTGCAGCACCGGTAATCTGTGAATCTGTAAAAGACCTTGCGGAGGATCTTCGGTTGCACCGTCAGGGCCACGAGTCGCTCGGTCGCCTTCAGCTGAATGCGGGAAGGGTGAGAGCTCGAGGACACCGTCGTTCAGCAACTCAATCCACCTGACAAGCCCAGAGGACCGCGGGTACAGCGAGACTGGGAGGGAGAATACTGCTGTCACCCGGTTGGTATATGTAGCGTACAGCGCACGAAGGCTGTGGAGAAATTCGAGAATATTCTGAGGTTGGCTGGCGTGGGATGGATAGATAGCTGGAGACAAGAGTGACGGTACAACAATTCGATGTACCGAGTCAGGCGAGGAGTTGGCAAGACTACCTTTGAGCCTTTCTAAGATGGCACTAAATGGCGACTGGGATGGGTTGATTCCCAACGGGAGGAACTCGATCTTGGCCGATGATGGATGCACCAGTCTTTTGGTCAAGTCGAATGTGTGACAGAATGAGATGGGGATGGACTGAGAGGCCGCATTTGCGTCGCCCTCCTGTGGCGAGGATGGTTTAGAGCGTTCTGGAGGAAAGAGTATGGTCAGTTGAGTTGAGGGAACAACCCGCGAGCAGGAACTAAAACAGTAGCATTGACTCTAGCTGCGCTATAAGGAGAAGCATGCCCACCTCTTGCACTTGGACCGGCGCCGAACTGGCCCAGACTCTCGTATCTCCAAGCAATCTTCATCTTTTCACCACGACTGGCGGGCTGGTCTTTCTTCTCCAAATCGCCAACCACACCAGGTAGTTCTCGACCCCAATGTTCTGGGAGGCCTATGACGTGAACGTGGTGGCCTTGAACGAGACCTTCTGCAGCGTAGAATCGGAGGAGCGCGCCTGCGTAGTCGGTGGTTCCGCTTTCCTCAACCAACAGGGAAGATCCTAAGACGAGACCGGAGTGTCCCGCAAGGAGACCGTCAAGACTTGACGTGCCTGTGGAAGTTGTCAAGCGTCCATCGGTGGGAGATGGACGTACTCCAGGCAGGACAATGTTCTCTTTTGCTTGCACTTGCGCGGTAGAGGATCCATCCGGTCGCGTAGAGCCTGTGAGGCCTACATTGCGCCTTCGAAAGGACATGGAGTTCCTAGGGGGCAAGAATAAGTGAAATAGAAAGAAGAGAAGAGGGCACATGTGACGCGGTGACCGTAAATGTTCCAACGGAAAAAATAGTCCGATGCTGCACCGTAGCCGCCACATTACGGCGGATGACGCAGCTGTCAGACGCAACAAACTATTTTCTTTGACCGTGAAAACAAATCAAACCGGAAGTCCGTCTGGATTCCTCAGAGAACACTTGCGCGAAAACATCACTCTCATTACACCGGCCGACTATTCATTAGCAGCCACCATCTTAACCCTGTCGAAATGTCGGAAAACATTCTTTTCGAGAACAGCTTCAAGGTCACCGACCTTAACAACTCCAAATATGATCGAGTCTCGCGAATCAAGGCCTACAGCGAAAATGGTCAAGAAGTTCTTCTCACCCTTGATGTGAATACCGAGCTCTATCCCCTCAATGTCGACGATCGTATGACCGTTGCACTGGCGCTTTCCCTCAATCTTGATGGTAGCAAGGACGACGGAAAGGGCTGGAGAGAGGTGGGACGAGGAGAACAGACGCTGGCGGACGAATACGATTATGTCTGTCATGGCAAGATCTATCGATTTGAAGAGGGCACAGGAGACAACATGTGAGTACAATTTGATTCTCACGGCTATGACAAAAGAAAAGCTAATGCCTTGCAGCAAGGTTTATGTCTCTTTCGGTGGGCTTCTGTTGTACATGGACGGACCATACCAACTGCTCAACGCCCTACGAATCGACTACGTCTATCTTCTGATGAAGAAATAAACATACACACGACGATGTTGTACATATCATTCTCCGACCAGTGCCGTGGCCAAAATCACCGGTCAGCAACGATGCTCAAAGTGGAAAGAAAGAGTGGTGATTCAGGTCTTATTAGCGCATGGGAAACTCCAACCGCCGATGCAGTTTCGACACTATCTGAAGATAATCTGGCTCATTCTCTGCCGTCATGATACCATGCCTGACGAAGAACTCCAACAGGAGATGAGCACAGTTTGGCTTGAATTTCCCATTGGCCATGGCAGTCTGCACTTCTTCCACGGTCAGAAGTTGGAAATCGATGGCCTCGTTGTCACCAGGCTTTGGCACGATATCTGGTGGCATCTCGAGATCATAAATGTACTGGACCTCTGGCTGGCAAAGCCCTGTCTCACCCAATGCTCGAGCATCTCGAACATGAAAATACGTCAGGGTGCCACAAGCTTTTGCGGTGCGAACCAAATCGGCTGGCAGCGAGGCCTCTTCCTCTGCTTCCCGAACCAGACAGTCAAACGGCAGCTCTCCGATAGTCAGTCCACCAGCCACAGTGTTGTCCATCATACCGGGATATGTCTGTTTGTTCAAAGCTCTTCGAGGAGCCCATATCTTCATCCCTTGGTCGGTCTTCACATAGCCTGTCATGTGGATGCCATATGTCACCACACCAAACAATGGGGTTGCCGATCTTTCCATGCTGAGTAGGATCTCCTTGTTCGGTCCATATACGGGATATTTTTCACTGCGCCAGCCGTCGAGCACCCCAAACACTCGCTGTTCTCGTACCGACTGAAGATAGTCTGCTAGTATGGCATTACGTGATTCGAAATCACTGATTGCAGACCCCTGTTCATCACGAGGCTGAAAGGTGACTGTTCTTTTGCTGGCATCTATCTCCCAGTGCCGGCTAGCGGGGAATCGCTCAGCAACTTTTGATGAAACGTAGCCCAGTACCGAGGGACATCCTTCTAGTAAAAAATGATAATAATCGTTCACAGTAGCCTCATAAAGTTGCGGGTTGTCCGAGAAGTAGGGGAAACTTTATGAAGTCAGCTTCAACCTGCCTTAAACTTGGGGTCCGCGTTGAGAGCACGTCGTGACAACTTACTTGTCGCAGTCCTTGGCCAGTTCTAGATTCGTAAGCCGCGCCATCTCCAGACTCCAAACGATGGCTCATCCGGTGCTGAGTATGTGGATGTCCTCAGACCAGGTACATGGCAAAGTACCTAGGTTCGATGATCAATATCAGCCTTGGTTCAAGGATCTAGTGAAGTTTGCTTGGCAGATCAAGACTCAGATATCACATGACTTAAACTAAGTAGAAGCACTAAGTAGGTAGGTAATAATACTTATGTCCCTCCAATACACGCACTACTAACTGAGGAATAAGAAAGTACACCGAGGGCCACTTGGTAAAAGAACCTTTGCCCTATGGAGGTCGCTTAGGTACGTTCTTCAATATTCCAACATTTATCAGAGCGTGGTACTTTGAACAAGACTTTACCTGACAAGCCCGGCCCAACGACTGTGCCGGTCTGTACAAACCACACATCTGGTTTCGATTTGCGACTCAACTTATTCAAGGCATGGCTTTATGCGACGGTAGCTTCAGGCTCCACGCGCAATTCCATGTCCACAACCATTCTCACGAGCGCCGCGTAGTCTCTCGGTTGACCTCGTCTCGTCGTCGCGAAGATCTAAAATCAGGGACGTCGAAATGCCTCATGAGAAATTTCGAAACTGGATGCATCGAATTCCACGGCCATCTCGTGCCTGCCGGATATTGCCCACCCGTTGCTGGGCGCTGAGCATATAAGCCTCCATGATCATCTTTCGAACTGTCTTGACCCCTCCGATGGCTGAAATGTAAGACCTGCGTTTGATGGATTTGATTCGCCAACACTTTCGCTATCGCTCGTGGCTGCAAGTGCGTATTCGTGTGTTTTCGCGACCTTCCGATCACTCAGCCACCAAATGATCAGTCCAATATCATAGCTAGCTTTCAAAGCTCCTCCCAAGATGAAAGCAGTTCCAAAATAACCTGCCTTTGCCAGACCTCCTGTAATCGTCGGGCCCGCACTTTGCGCCAGTGTTTTGATCGTGTTCACGACACCCATGACCTTGATTCGTTCCTCTGGCTTGACGACCTGGGCAAGAAATACTGACCGAGGACCTTGGTCCATGGTAGACAACGCTGCCCGCAGGCTTAAGAGTACGCACGCCAGCTCTAATGTTGGTGCGAGCGGTAATAAACCAAGCAGTATTGCAGATGGCAAATGTGTCAACGTCATCGTCGGTAGCAGACCGAGTTTCTTGGAAATCGGGGAAGCCAAAAGCGAGGAAATGGCACTAAGAAGGAATGGAATTGCTAGTAGTGACGAGAGGAGGCTCATCGGAGCTTGGAAGCGCGACTTAAGGTAGAAGCTCAGAAGTGTACTTGCCAGGATCAGCTGTCGTCAAACGAAGAGACATTTATGAGATACTCACAAGGCGACGATGCCACTCGCAAATGAGTCAACTGCAAAGAGGAGACAAAGCTTCCAGAGGACTGACCGTGTGGAAGGCGAGATAGAGGGAATGAATGCCGAGAGAAGACGTCTCACCACTCCGTGTGTTGACCTGTCCTTGGTCGCGGTGGCCTCGGACTGCAACATTGACTGAGATTCTTCTGAGTCCACAGCATTCATATGCTTCCTACGAGGCTCCAATTCGGAGGCATCGCTTAAGCAGAGTGCCACAATGAGCTTCGCTGTTCCAATAAAGGCGTATGCAACGAAAATGCCTCTGTAGCTCAATTGCTCACTCCAACCCAAGAGCTTCTGGAGTGCGGCCATGATCCAGCCAGCGGAAAATGTCCCAGCAGAGACACCCAGGGTGCCGGCGACGACATGCCATGCAAAGATAGAGGACATGTCCAGACCAGCAGAGAGAGAAGCTAACATTCCCTCCTCAAGTGCCCGAAATGGGCCGATCTCATTCCCGGATGGGCTGATGACTCCGAAGACCGCGGCAGCCAGTAGAACCCAATAGTTGCTTGCTATTGTGAACACAATGCCACTCACCACCATTAATCCAGATCCAAGGATGGTGGTGCGACGTCGACCGAATTGATCGGCGTAGTTAGTGAGCACAAGACTGAGCATCACGTCACCCATAAGGGTCAAAGTCATAAAAGCTCCGACTCGAATTTCACTGTGTCCCAGACTGGATAGGAACACAGCAAGAATCACGCCAGTAGACCCGAAAGCTGCAGTACGAAGGAGGCGTGACAGATAGAGAAGATGAACATCGCGTGGCGCGGCACGAAGCGCTGGAATCCCCAGGAGAGTGGACAACCGAGCCCAACTCATGTCCTCAGTTCTGCCGAGGCAAGAGGTGAAGAAAACCAGGTCCAGCGGCGACGGGACGTCCAGACGAAGCAATAAAATCTTGGACACCTAGCGACGCAAAGCCTTTCGGTGTCGTGTCTTATCTTCGCGTACACCTCAGGTGATGAGTCCACTGAGTGAGATGTTGATCAAAGGAAGAGTGGGCATGTTCCTACAGTCATTGGGAGAAGACAAGAACTTTTCGAGGAGTTGGGAAACCTTTTCAGGAGAATTTTTCGAGGAGTTGGGAAACCTTTTCAGGATGACTTTGAGCACTCCAGAGTGCTATTACGGTGGCCAGTGGAAAAGCAGCCAATTGTCTCAGCTGGCAAACCTTGATATCAGCACCAAGTAGCGTGCTTGCAGTTGTTGACAAGTGCTTGATACGACGACTGAGGGGCTAACCAGGTAATGCTGTCATTAAAAGGTGTCTTTATGCCGGTGACTTCGTAATGTACAGACCATATATGAGGAAAGGGAGTTACGTGACGGACACGACCTCGCTTCGGTTCGCATTTACATCTCGGCCGAGTTTTACATGCTCCCCGCCAGGATATTCCTCTACAGCGAAGCATGAAACTGTTCCTGAATTGCGCTTGTGGTCTAGAGAGCAGGCATGGTCTCTAACACAGTCGTTTCATTGTCAATTCACTCCTCGTGGGTGTCGTTACATAACAGCCTCAAAGCGAAGAGGTCGGAGGGTCGTCGTCCGCCTTGAGAAGACTTGATATCCTTGGCAAGGCCACTCCTAAACTGCCAAAAGCGGCGGTACTGGTCGCCAGATTCGGCGGGGAGTTTTCCTGCAACTCGCGTTGAATCGTAAAGAATTGGCAGGTTCACTCGTAGTTGTGATCACGTGACTTACTAGCTCCTCTCACTCGAGGGCAGGCCACCAAATGCCACTGTCCAAAGAACTTCATCCTCCAACGACTTGAGCTTCGCACTCGAGATCATTGCGTTCCTTAACGTATAGCTGTCTATGACATCTTGACTATCTTTTTTTCATCATCAGCATCGTTGGCCTTGTCAGGCACTCCCACCAACTCTAGAAATTGAATGTGAACTTGTGGTTTGTCTCTAGCTATTTCTTCTCGTTTCGGTCCAGTTCTACACCATTTGATATTATCCCCCTTGGGACCTCTTTCCGTACCTGGTCACATCCGTGACTCGGACCTCAAGCTTGATATACAAACGTGCTGAACTGTCTACCCAAGCAGTTTCTGGATCAAAACCTACCAGTACTCGAAAATGTTCGGAGCATTCGTCCCCACGCGGCCGCTGATACCCGAGCTCACCACGGTGTCGCCAAATCAGTTTGCGATTTCCATTCCGACTCAGCCACCGTTTCACAATGTAGGTGTGTTTCTCCATCCCAACCAGCAACTGCCTCCGGACACCGCAGCCGGGGTGTATATGCAGCTTCCAGGCGAGCAAGGCTTCAAGTTCCTCGGGGCCATCGCCAACGAGAAGCCCTCGGCGTTGTTCAAAGTCAATATATCTGACAACCAGGCTCCGGGAGAAATCAACCTGGGCATTTCGGTCGAACCAGTTCAAAACATTCAGGCTCTCCTGGCAGAACTGAAACAGTCCTCTCAAGGCTCGAGTTCCACTGCGGTCACCAAACGTCCGCCAGATACCCGAGTTTTGGCCCAAAGGATCATTCAGAACGCCTACAACTTTACATCAAGTTTTGCCGGTAACCTGGCCAATGGGGTTGAAGTCATTCCGTTAAAGAGCTTTCAGGAATGGTGGGCCAAATTCGAGCGACGAGTTCAAAATGATCCGAGTTTCCTGGAAAGAGAAGTTGATTGATTCCAAGCTCAAACAATCAAGGTCCGTGGCAGATACAGCGCCAGCAGAACTTCGATGTCCAGTATTTATTTTGCAGGGACGTTTACCTGCCTCTATCAGCGCGATATGCATGTGCACCAACCCGGCTCTCAGAAGGGAAGTGCCTGGATCTCATCTTTGCTCCAATACCTCCTCATATTGTCAGCACCAAGATCTCTCACTTCATCCTCCAAATGGGCCCAAAGGACCTCGCCGAAGCTGTCCATAATTGACTTCATCTCAGCCAACCTCAGTTCGATCTCGCCATCTTGACACTTTCCCAAATACTCTTGCAACTTGTCCAAGCCATCGTGGATGAGGGCATGTTGACCAATCAAATGCTCGTCATCCCTAAACATGGGCATTCGCTCCGCGAGGGGAGGATAGAATTCCTGTTCTTCAATCATGTGATGCATGGTGATCATACGACACAGATTGAGGCCTTGGGCGATGAACGACCGAATCGACATGCCCTGGGGTCGCGACCCCGTGCAACACGCATTGTATAGCATGTTCCATACTTGTCGAAAATGGTTATGCTGGAGAGGGACAAAAGTCATTTCATGTCAGCATGGTGATATCAAAATATGATCGGCATCAAAAGGCTAGAGCCGTGGAGCCAAGGAGAAACACGTACATATCGTTCCATGAGGGAGGCCAAGCGGTTAAACACGTGAAAGTCCTGCATGGAGAGTTTCGGCAAAGGAGGATGTGATTGTGATTGTGCTGCCGGAACTTCACCCTTTGACTTGCTTGCTTCACACTCAGGAATTGGTGGCGGTTCTGGTCCGGCCATTGGAGACGACATGCTGTATGAAGCAGCCGAGATGCGATTGGGGTTGCGGCCCTTCAATGCAACTTGTGGTCTTGAAAATCGCAATGCGGTCTTTGGTCGAACTAGAACTACCGCTCTCCACATACACGGGCGATGTGTATGTGTGTGTCAGAGGAAGACACAATCAGTTCTTCTGGTGGAATTTGCTATTGGTGGGCTTGATTCAATGTCTCGCTTGACAAGAGAAATAAAGTCGTGATGTCGATAGTGAGAATATTCTTCAGTCAGGGTCGCGGTTGGGGTATCCGAGTTGAGTAAGCAATTTGAGCCTTGTGAGATATACGTCAAGCCCCAGATGCGCTACCGAGGCGGTTTCGATATTTATATCAACCTCCATGGCAGCCTCTCCCAGCATTCTGGGCAACCAGTGCGGAGTATTGGTGGCGTTAGCACTGAAGAGGCGGCGACCATTAGAAATTGCACCGTCTCCCAATGGACACTTCTAGAGCGGGGCAGATGTCACGTGGATATCCTCTCGGGCGAGAGACATCTCTTCTGACCAACTGGCGCACGGGGCGGTAAACTTATGATGGATAGGAGACCACGGAGACATGACTTTTGAGTTTTTGCAAAGGTGGTCTTGGGGACTACTTGGTTATATCATAACTCATGACATGTACACTAAAGAGATGGAACTCGGGCGACATTTCCCGAGTTACCGTGACTATAGTTGAATTTCTGGCGCCAGCAGCCTCATCCACATTGCACAGGCTCGAGGAGCCATATCCTTTGTACATCCGAACAACAACTTCGGGTAGTCCTTGTCTTGTTGCATATGTAATTTTTTGGTTTCTTTTTCACAATTTGATTTCTGGTAGACTCGTCTAGCCAAAGAGAGCACCACCGATGCGGACTCTGACAGACTTGATTTGAGTGTAATTTGAGAGAGCATACTTTCCAAGCTCACGGCCAATACCGGATTCCTTGAAGCCACCGAAGGGCACCTGGTAGCTGAGCATGTTATAGTTGTTGACCCAGACGGTGCCAGCCTTGAGGCTGTTGGCAACGCGGATGGCAGTGTTGAGGTTTGTGGTATGGACAGCGGCGGCAAGACCATAGGTGGTCTCGTTACCGGCCTTGATGACCTCCTCCTCGGTCTCAAACTTGCTGATGGCGCAGACAGGTCCGAAGATTTCTTCCTGCATAATCTTCATGTCCTCGCTGACGTTGGAGAAGATGGTGGGCTGGATGAAGTAGCCCTCGGTTCCGTGTCGCTCACCACCAGTCTCGACCTTGGCACCGGCCTCCTTGCCAGATTGGATGTATTGCATGATACGATCAAACTGAAGCTTGCTGACCTGGGGGCCTTGGAAGGTATCAGCCTTGAATGGGTCACCCACGACATTCTTGGCAGTTCGGGCCTTGAATGCCTCGATGAACTTGTCGTAGATGCCAGACTGCACGTAGATTCTGGAACCGGCGCAGCAGCACTGGCCGTGGTTAAAGAAAATACCAAAGTTGACCCACGAGATGGCGTCATCAATATTGGCATCATTGAAGACGATATTTGGTGACTTGCCACCGAGCTCAAGAGTGACCTTCTTCAGGTTGGATTTGGCAGCAGCTTGCAGGATGGTGCGGCCGACAACGGTTGAGCCGGTAAAGGCAACCTTGTCGATATCCATATGCGAGGCAATGGCGGCACCAGCAGTCTTACCAAATCCAGAGATGATGTTGACGACACCGGCGGGGAATCCAGCCTTCTCAACAAGAGTGGCGGCAAACAGACCAGAGAGAGGAGTCTGTTCAGCGGTTTTCAAAACGACAGTGTTACCAGTGGCCAAAGCAGGTCCGATCTTCCACGCCCACATGAGGAGAGGGAAGTTCCATGGGATGATCTGACCGCAAACACCGACAGCCTCGTGTCTCGTATAGTTGAAGGTTTCTGGATCTGTGTCGATGGTCTTTCCGTGAATCTTATCAGCCCATCCACCATAGTATCTCAAGCAGCCGGAGGACAGCTGAACATCGACCTTGGCCATGGACAGGGCCTTGCCGTTATCGAGAGCCTCAATAGCGGCGAGGGTGTCCGAGTACTCATCGAACAAGTCGGCCAGCTTAGTCAACAGGGCGCCTCGAGTGGAAGGAAGGGTCTGGGCCCAGACGCCGTTGAAGGCTTTACGGGCGGCCTTGACGGCGATATCGACATCTGGGACGAGATGGGTTAGATTTACATAGAACAAAGAACATTTTGTGAAAAGGACGAGGCCAGGTTCACACACCTTCAGGACCAGCCTCGTAGACGGAGATGATGGGCTTCTCGGTGGCGGGGTTGATGGTCTCAAAGGTCTTGCCCTCGACACCCTTCACCCACTTGCCATCGATATAGAGACCGATGGGTTGCTCGTAGGTGATGCTAGGGGTCTCAATTTTCTGAGTGAGAGACATGATGATGTTATGGAATGGATGAAAAAGTGCTCGAAGTGGGTATCACAGGTGGAACAAAATCAATTAGATGGAGGGGGATGGGAAGAAACAAGATCCAGGCAAGCGACCGAGGGTCGAGAGACTTCTTTTATTTGAAATATCTCTGCGCGGGGAAGGGACGATGGAGGGTGAGTCGTGTCAGTGTCCAAAGGAGGAGCTGCATCCGCATCCACTCATGGTTGCGACTGCCATTACACCGAGCCATTGATCATGGGGGGAAGCCACGGTTGTTTAGGCCGAACGGGTAGCTGCGACAGGGTTTTGGGACAAGCGGCGCATTCATTCCGTCAGCCCTAGGCGTAGCCATGCCCATGATTGGATCTTTTCCGCATCTTCGAGTACTGCGGGGTTGGATCAAAGGGTCACAGAACCTATAAGGAGCTCCAGAAGGGCGAGAACTGTCCTTTACGGTGGACCAACGGATGGGATCCAGAGTCGGGATGTCGGGAAATGGTAACGCGCAATTGTCTTCCACTGGCACTAATGAACGAATCGAGGTACCAAGAGTGTAGCAACGTACTCGTGCGAATACTAATCTTTTGCCTCCTCCGATGATGGCCGTGGAGGGGGCGGGTCCGAAGAGGCTTAGATGCTCTGAGACTACTGTCGAATTGCTAGACATGCACGACATGGAAATTGAGTGAAGCGCTCCAGGCGTCCTAAGCTCCAGTGGCGAGCTACAGTGCCTAAGATACCTACTCATTAGTGGATGAAGTGATAGGCTGCTGTTGACACGGAATGTCATTACCCTGACCACAGCATCTCCCACCGTTAACCACGGTAAGCCTTAGTCCTGTCAGAGATCTTACAGTCCCTACCTTGGACATATGTGTATATAGATACATGCGGTGTAGCTGGTTGATGGAAGGTTGGTCCAGCCAGGCGTCCCCCCATACATACCGAGTATAACACAATGAGGGGTGGAGGGGTGGAGGGGTAAAAATCGAAAAGCACGCTTGCCCTCCTCGATTTGGCTAAACAGCGTGTTAATCTCCCACGCCCACAAATTTTAATCATGTCATGGCTGTGCCGCAACCTCATCTAAGCGCCCCCCGGACGAAGGTGCCCGGTTTGCTTCCTCGGGTCCGCTTCTTGTGCACCCGCTCAACCGTGACCTAGAACACATGTAATGCGCTTCGAAAAGGAAGATTTAGCTTCCGTGGAGCCTCCAGGTCTTCAAATGGCACGGATCAAGGTGGGGACCTCCCTGGCTCGGTAGCAACAGGTTACAGCTATCGACTCGATATCATCTGCCCTGCATTATTCTTCGACTTTTACTATTATATGACGTTTTGTGCGATCAAAACCCTACCCATACAGCAGACCTCGCCACCCATCAGCTGATGCGCATGGGAGGACTGATGGCCCGCTTCGATTATGCCAATCCAGCTCCCATGGATGCCTCCTTGAAGCAATCCTTTGAAACAGTCACATCTAGTAAGTGGTAATCGAAAAAGCATCCTGTTGCAGTGCACCGAAAGCGGGGCCCGAACGCCGAACAGGGCACCTACGCTGTAGTCTGGACTCGAGGTGTTTCTCCCCTTTGGTCTGGGAGATCGGCCCACGGGACATCGTCTACGTCGTCCATATCGTCTCAGCTGCATCCTCATCCTGGCGTCCTCTAATGCAGATCGACCTTTCCTCTTTCGGCCGACAGTGTTTATTAAGCGTGTCGATTTTCCTCTGATCCGATGAACGGTACAATTTTGCCTGGCGACAATACAAGCAATTGTTCCTTTGGTTAAATCTAAGTCTGACACACAGACCTCTTTTGTTCGGCTGAGGCTGAGACTACTCTTTGACGCGAGCCCGAGAACCAGAAACCGAGAACCGACCTGGTAGCTTGCATGTACCGAGACCATGGCAAGTTTTAGTCTGCATACCTCCTGGATTGCCGAAGATCTTCTGTAGGCCGGGCGGCGTTCGGGGGCGAAAGATTGTCCCACTGCCGTTGAAAATGACATAGCGAGTCCGCTGCTCACGATTATCTCCCTTTTTGGGCAATAGAATCACGTGATACAATCTGCAAAAAAGTCCCTATATATTGTACAAGTGCAGTCTTGGCATTTGGCTGTCGTGGTCATAATTGAAGAAGGCAATTCATTTGAGCTTGAGGCGTCGCTTCACACTCCACTTGATCATGTGTGCCTTGCTCGGAGTTTTGGGTCGTTCTTCGTACTCGTGTGTGTAAACCACGATCGCTACGGGACGCTAAGCAATGGAGGTGAACCTTGAGGGAAGCAATTCTGCAGAGACACCTCCACCCAGGATTGGCGATGTGAGATGACACCGTGACAAGATATGCGAAGTTTCGGGCTTGTCGAATTGTCGACTTTTTTGCTTTTTTGAACCTAACTAAGTCGCCAAGCAGGTCCTCCAAGGATATGTGTAATCCATCTCTCCTATGTTCGCTATGACCATTTTTTTTTTTCATATTCGATTCCTGCGAAGCTTCTATCAAACAGCGGGCACGGCTTTTTGAAAGATTTGTCTGTGCGTATCTAGGCAACTCAGTGACTTAGATCAACCTTACGATGATGGCCTACCAAAACTCATGCACCCTTGGTGTCACCAGAAAGCCCATGAAACATACACTCAAATCAATTGAAGTGCCAACCTTGATACATTATCATTGCTGGCATAGAAGCCCTTTGGTTTGTGTCCCACGATGCGCACTCAACTTACCTGCCAACCTCCCCACACCAAAGCCAAGGCCACTCGATTTATCTGATCATCCATTCAATGTGAATTCCAGGCGAGTAAAGGGGTATCTTCAGGGATGTATACCCGTGACAGCGTCTACATCCGTATCACGAAGCAGCAGTTGGTGTCGATATACGAGTATATAGATCGCTCTCGACCAACCAGGACCAGGTATTTACACCCTTATTCCCGATTCCGCTCCTGTCGCGGGGGACACACATCATGATTGGTTCTCTGTCTCTCAAATCCTTCTCGGACGGCACAGAAGCCGTTGACGGCTATGGTGTGCCGGATACATGTAAGCATACGAGTAGATCGTCGATAAGTAATATGTATATTCATCGTTGCTATCTATCATCCATCCACCGTGACTATTGAGTTCACTGATACTTACAAGATATCGGCCATCCAAAGCTCTCAATCAACGACAGCAGCTTGTGTCGTACTCAAGTGATTAATCAGGGGCGCCTTATTGCAAAGCGCTTCACAAAAAACCGATCGTTTGATCGGTTAGACGCGGCAAAAATGGTCAAATTCTACGATTCGATCACGCCGGACTTGCAAGAATGGGCGATGAAACAAGCCGTCTTCTTCGTGGCATCTGCACCTTTGCACGGTGAACATATCAACCTCTCACCTAAGGGATTGCCCTCATCGTCGTTTGCCATTATCAATCCCAACTTGTGCGCGTACGTTGACGCCACAGGCTCCGGGATCGAAACCATCGCCCACCTTCAAGAAAATGGCCGGTGCACTGTCATGTTCTGTTCGTTCGACACAAGTCCACGTATCATGCGTTTCTTCTGCAAAGGACGAGCGGTCGCATGGAATGAACCCGGTTTCGACGATTGGTTGAAGCGTATGGGTGACAAGAGCTTCGCAGGGGCTAGGGCCGTCATTCTTCTCGACGTTTTCAAGGTAAACTCCAACCATCACATCATTCTCGCGTTCCGTAAATACTACCTGTTACATTGTCTACATTGTCCCATGATTGCTAGCGCTTGGAATCGAACCCGCTCAAACCAACTACCTTTTCTAACCTGATAATATCATTTGGCAGGCTCAAACGTCATGTGGCTTTGGCGTGCCTTTGCTCGCAACCAAGATAGACCCATCGTCCCCCAACAAAACGACCGCCTTCCTAGATGATCGCAATACCCTTGGTCATTGGTCGGGCAAATACGTTGAGCAAGGCATCATAGACGAGTATCGTGCCTCTAACAACCGGCGCTCCCTCGACGGCCTCCCGGGTTTGCGCATCGCACGCCGGCACGGTGGTGAATATCTATTTTTGGGCGATGTGAGGGCCAAGATTTTAAAGACTCTGCGTGCAAGTCCCTTTGCCAATATCTTAGTTCTTGTTCTAGTCGCCATTCTGGCATCAATCTTGACTACCGTCAGCTTATATCTGTCGGGGTTGATGATTGTTCAGCCAGGAACAAGTGGAATTACCTTAGGGACCCGGGAGCTTTAGAGGAAAGAGACTAGATACTACAAGTGGTTCCTCGCCACTGAAGTTAGGTATCCAAGGTTATTTATGTGTCTATCGAAGCTACCGCATATTTCGTGGCCATAGGCATTCACGTGCCATTTGCACAGGAACTATCCCCACAGACACCATTCTTGGTATCTCCATTGACCAATACACTTCTGTTCTTCTCCTGAGTACTCACCGCAACGTCGATAGCAGGGTTAGCTGTGAAGAAATTGACCGGCTTCAGGCCAACAGTCAACTTTTCGTACGGCATGACCGGCCAATCCTCAACCCGGGGATTGTGCGTAGACCCAAAGGTATGCCAGATGACGATGTCTTGATTACGCACATTACTCGACCCCGAGTCGCCGGCCTCTGCCTTCGCTTGACGATCCTTGATCCATGACGCGATACCCTCTCCGCCCAGAGATTGCATGGTGTGGTGTCCAGAAGCGTAGAGTTCGTCGTCATGGTAGCGTGTCACCCAGACTGCGTGGGCGCCGAACTCTGATCGACGTGCGTGGAAAGACGAGGGGTGCGCCACAAGGAGTTGGCTGTAATGGGGTACCAGCTTGTAGCCGACGGGTACATTGCTCACGGGGTTGATGATGTCTTCATTGACGATCTTGAACACGCGGTTGACATTGTGATCAAGGTCATGCCCTGACTCATTGGCCACAGTCTGGCTCGTGGTCGTGTACCCGACTCCAAAGGGGTTGTGGATTTGAGGATCGTCGATCGGCATAGGATGCGATTCTTCAATGACAAGGGAGTTCTTGGGACCAGCAATGGCCGGGTCGATACGGAGTGAGAAGAGATGTTGGTGATAAGGAGCCATGACGCCCGGTGCAACTGTAATGCCGTAGGGGACCTTTTCGCCGATAGTGATGGGCACAGTGGATACTATCCCGGTGGCTCTGACTTCGTAGTGGAGTGAGGCATCCTGGCCGAATTGAAATGCGAAAATATACTCATAATTTGACACGGTGACGATGGTTTGAAGGACCAGAATGCGTGAGCGAGTCACAACGGCATTGGTGGTGCGGTAGTTGGTATGCTTCCATAGAATGCCGTCGTCAACTTCATGGCAACACACGACATTAGGCATCTTGATGGGTGTGCCGTCGCTGGTCGTGTGCCAACCGTCAAAGTACTTGATATGCCCTAGACAGTCGCAGCCCAATTGTAAGTTATTAGCAGTGTGGCCCAGGCCATCTGATCCAGCATCAAACGCGCTCTTCCGGGTATATGGCAGCCTTGGGTCCCCGTACGGCACGAACATTTCGGAAAGCGACAAACGGTAGAAGACACTTCGACCATCGTACCGCACATCATGCAATGTCAATCCTTCACGGTAGTTGAAGCCTACTCGAAACGTCCATTTCTCCCAACTGAGGTGATTCCCTTGGACTTCAAATGAAGGGCCTTCGGGCTGAGAGACATGATATGGTTTTGTGGTGGTTCGATGTTGAGGAACTAAGTCAGGGTGATATTCAATGCTCGAATCGTGGATCTTTCGACGGTCAAAAGGCGTCGCTTTGTCACTGATGTCGTTGGAGCTTCCTTGGGGAAGATAGTAGATCTTGAGCACTCGAGCATCGCCAGACATCTCTACACACAAATCGAGCGGATAGGCGTAGTGATTTGCATCAGGGTGGCTGATCAATTGCATGTAAAAGTAGCACTTGCAAGGAGTCAATGGAGCAATAAGGTACGGTTAGAAAGAGGAAATTGTACCATGGTAATCTTCTGCTTCATGTCGTTGAGGCCATCTGTGCCATAAGTCCATGGCTCAATCTTGATAGTAGCGCCTTCAGGGAGCTGGAGGTCTTTGATGGCGGCTTGAACAGCGGGATCATCCAGACATGCTCGTTCCGTCCTCGTCATGTCATTGGAATCAACATGTGGATGGCGACCTGTGAGTCTCTCCTTCTCAACAATGATCCCGGAGTTGACGTCAACCTTGAGTTGAAAGAAGTGGTCACTGTTCCGAGGTCCAAGAAAGACCTGGACCATAGCAAGGCGGGCTGGTGGGGGAAGACCATTCGTGCCACAATGCTCTGCTTCCAAGTATGGCTGCAACGTCACCTTCGCAGGCTCAGAGAGAGAAATTACCCGGAAGTAAGCATCCTCGTCTGGGTGAGCTGACCGGACATGGCTGGCGACCTAGCAATCATTCAGATGGAGACTCAACCCTCAAGAAGGCACTTACGGCGGTAATCTCTTGAGGAGTCAGAGGATCCAGAGGATGCTGCTTCGTGTGTGTCATGATGCCGAAAGGAGGACCTTGGGACGAGTTGCGAACGAGAGGGCTATGAACTGGCTGTAGGAGTGGTTTCCCAACTACATGAGCCCTCGGAGAAACGTCGAGTACAAAGGTACGATGCTTGATTGGATGTTGAGGAATATATAACTCTGGAAACCAGACTCACGGGAGCAGTAACAAAGTCTATATTCAAGAAATGTAGTCGCGACAGAACGCCCTTCGACAAGATGGGTTATATCTAAAGCGAGGGACGAGGATATATAATGACATCCAAGCTATCGCAAAGGTTGAGTCTAGTCGAGGCCATGTGAGGTCTGAGCCAATGACGGAGGTGTGCGCCAGCATCTGAACGGAAATTCGCGTTGCGTAGATGGTGCCATTACACTGGGCATTCTTTCAGTATTCCAATGACTTGACTGTCTAGCTAACCTGTCTAGCTCGACATGATCAAAGTCTACAACCGTGCCACTTGTCCCGTGGAGATAGTCGTTGCGTTGGCCTTGCTAGGAGAAATCACTCGAGGCTACACAACAGCTTGACAAAGAAGAATGGCATGGACCTGACTTCGGCTAAACGAGTCATCTCACAATGTTGGAGTTTGGCAGATAGCCGGGAAGAGGTAAGGACCCGGGCCGGTTGCTTGGGAGTGGAAAATGTAGTTCATGACAACCAACGATCAACCATGATCAAAGATACTCTCACCATCTACAAGAAAAACTGTGGTCATTTTTGAATGTAAAGGGGCCATGTCGATCTCAAGAAGGGCGTATGGCGCCACCCTTTGAATGAGTATTTTCAAGGCGTCCATAGACCATGCATACTCTCAGGATGATCAATCAAATGCGCCTCCACGCAGCGCTGATATACAACAGTCGTACACAAGAGGCGAGATTCATGAGGATGTGGACGTTTTCTGCCCTGTGGACATATCCTACCCTCGTCGATTACCTGCCGATTCCCCATGTACAATTCACTCCTCCGACCATCTGTTGATACACTTGGTTCTCGGTCATCATCAGCCATAGAGGAGTCGGTCTTGATGCTGGTCGGCCATTCGTAGTGACTGTAAGTCGATCGGCCCCTACTCGACGCCAGGTCCGTCTGATGGCGATCCTTCACGTCCAGCACCAAACGATCCAACCTTCAAGCTCTTATCCTGGGCCACCATCTGGGCGAGAATCTCCAGAATCTCCTTTGGCACGGTGTTGTCATAGATTCCAATCAATGAGGATGGTTCAGGGTAGACCTTGAGTCCTTTGTAAAAGCAAAGAGCCGCGGCAACGGGGTCGGAGCCTGTAGCTGGTCAGCGGATCTGGTGCATATTTGCAGCAGGTTGACACATACCATCACCTGCGAGTGTCTCGCCCTGTGCTATTTGTTGCATGAAGAAAGCTTCCCTCTCCTCAATATCAGTGGGAAAGCCTTCCTCGATAGCTTCCTGCACAGCATTCTTTATTTCTTCCCTTTGCTGTTTGCCTTGAATCTCGGCTTCTTCCCTAGCAACTCTGGCCTGTCGTTTCGACTCTCTCTTTAGGGCTTTCCGGAAGTTAACATCGTTTCTCCGCTTGTAATCAAAGTAGGCCGCGTATGCTGAAGGTTCGTTAGACTCGACCATAAAGACGACGAAAGTAGGAATGCCGATGGCTGTAGACAAGACCCAAAAGCGCCCAGGGTTCGACACATACCAATTACGCCGGTCAAAACGGTCCCGACAGATATCGTGACGATGGTAGATGTCTGCACCATGATGGTGGAAAGTTGTCAGTCTTGACAACAGGGCTGGTCCGCAAAAGACTTGTAATTTTCGGGGGACTCGTAGAATGCCAATTGAAACCCTCTGCCCAGAAAGGGTCTGAATATCACTGCAGAATGATGGTGCAGGATTAATCTGTGTAACTGTGATGTGGTTGGAAAAAGGTAGAGGCAATGATGTAGCAGCTCATGAAATTTCCCAGAGTCGAGCCGATCGGGGCACAAGATGCAACTTGGGGGCGGCAGCTTTGGTACATGCCTAAGCCACATCTGGTCAGCCACCAACACCACATCAAGTCACATCAGCCACCTTGTCGAGCCTTGCGTGTAGTGGTATTCCTACTTCACCGGACTCTTACACTTCCCCTGAGCTCCCGAGAAGCATTAGTCCCTAGGACGCGGACGTCTCACCTGCACCGCGTCACTCCTGTCTTGCTTGAACTTCAAAGATCACAGTCATTATCAGTGTGCCACTCATCCTGCACGGTCTGACTTGTTTCAGGCCCAGCTGGCGATCTCAGGATGGACACTAGAGGCCTAACCCTGAGAAAGAAACGGAAGGACCGCCCGGTCATCAGCGCCCCTCAGAATCCGTCTGGTCCAGGCATAAATCGATCGGCACCACAGCAGAGCAAGCCTGGCACTCTTGCCGTCCCTCGAGAACGAAATGCGCCCACCGAAACCTCTGATCTAGTCAAACGCCGGTATTCGACGCGATATAACCAACTTCCTGATTTCAGTAATGCAGGGGCACCTCCGGTTCCTACTCTCCCGGGTGCGATCAAACGACGTTCTGGTGGTGGTTCGCCTCGTCGACCAGGTCCCGCCTCGTCTTCGAGACCGTTACTGGTTGATAGCGAGATCTTCAAAGACCCCAACCTCCAACATGAGCGCTATGTGACAGAATTGTTGTCAAATGCCTCGGAGCAGGACATTCAAGAATATCAAGCAGGATTACAGCGATTGAAGAATGGGAACTCGGCCGACCTACAACGAAGTGTCTATCAGAACAGAACCCAGTTCATCAGGATCAGCAAAGAAGCCGAAAAGCTCAAGACCGAGATGTCCGTGCTGCAGAACCTCATGTCAGATCTCACCGATACCTTAGGTCAAGGAAACTCAACAATCACCAGTACTCCCACCACCACATCCCCCGTTGCCAACGGCATATCCCAAGCTCGACGGAACCCTAATCGAACATCGGTCGCAAATCTGGAGCAAATGTGGAATATTCAACTGCAGACTCTATGGAAGAACGTGGAAAAGTCACAGAAGTTTTTGCCCACAGCACCCGGCCGCCACATTGTCGCTGAAACCGGGAACTGGATAGAGCTCGACAGTGCCACGTGGAAACCCAAACGTCCTGTGCATATAGTTCTCCTGAACGATCATCTCTTGGTAGCGTCTAAGAAACGAAAACGAGTGGACCCGAATGCACCACAGCAAGGCCCAGCCCCGACCAAGCTGGTCGCTGAGGAGTGCTGGCCACTCCAAGACATCGAGATCATCGACATGGCCGCCAGCATCGCACCAGGAACGGCTAGCGCGGCCGAGGAAAAGGCCGTCGCATCCGCCCTGTCGATTCGATCCGGATCACGAGCTCTGACCTACCGACACGAGAAGCGCGATGAGAAGGCTAAGAACGGACTCTTAATGGCCCTTCGTAAAGCGTCGGAGGAAATTCGAAAGGCGACTAAAACGAATGAGGAGCAGAGCAAGCCCGCCGGCGAGAGCCTCAATTACTTTGCGAGCCGAGATCCCGCCTCAGCTGGCCAGAAAGAGATCATCCAAAGCCTCAATTCCGCGAGGGACAAACCAGACATTTTGATCGAGGTGGATGGAAAACAGCAGAACTTCCGTTGGATTGAGACGCAGATCGACGATCTGGACATTGAGATTGCTCTCCAGCAATTTGATTCGGCGGTTGAAAAGGTTGAGAAGTTGCGGACCGTGGCACGAGGCTTGAAGAACAACTCGATCGCCCAGGAACTCATCGCAGTCAAGGTGGACGAACGGGCGGCCAAGCTCGCGACCACACTCTGCCGCGAACTGGTCGAGACACCCTCTTACATGGAGGCGACTAAACGCACGGCCGACTACCTGATCCGACTGGGTTATGAAGATCGGGCCCGAGAAACGTACCTGCAAGCCCGCAGCGAGACCCTGACCAAGCGTGCCCGCCAGTGTGTCTTCGAAGGCGACCTTCACCGCTACGTCTTTTCCATCTCATACGTCTACTTCAACATCGTCAAGAACACTGTTCTCATCTATCAAGCTTCGTTCCCCTCGTCCACCACCAGCGCATGCATCAAATGGTCCAATGACCATCTCGAGACCTTCAATACACTCTTGACCCGCCAGTTGAGCGCTGTGGATACCCGTGGCAAATTGTGGCGCGAATGTATGGATGTTGTCTGGAGTCATGAGACTGAGATGCTGGGTGACGTAGGCCTGGATTTCAGGGAGGTCATTGGAAGGGGTTTGGAGGCTAAAGAGGTCCCCGCGCCCAGGCAGGCCAGTGGGACTCGAAGCGCGAGTCGCTCCAAGAGTCGAGTCAGAACGAAGGAGACTCAGTAAAGGGTTATGCTAGAGGGGAAAATGAAAAGGATGGCTGAGCGGAGATGACTTGTATTGGGGGCTTTCTTTTGCAGAATATAGGAGCTACTTAGGTACACATGGACCGAATGGTAGCGTGCATGGTATATGCAAGAACAAAACACAGACTCTGCACTCTCCCAAGATGGTGCTTCAACAGCCGCTTTGATTCTTTGTCCATTTTTCTTCTGCTCCATGAGATATAGTATGCTAAGGGTTGATTATTGTGCTTCCATCTGCGTCCAAATCTCGAGACTGTCAAATCCTTGCGGGCAACCTCATTCGAAATCTGGTTTTGGTGATGTTACATGGTGTACATGGGTGTATGCATGGCCCCAAGGTCGGTGTCGGGGTTCGGTGGAGCAGCGATGGTCTCGCGATGGTGCAAATAGGATGGATCCGGAGCTACAACACATCGACTAATCGGGGCCTGGTGAGGCGACTCAAGAGACGACATGGAATCTACTCCTGGATTTTGGCGAGGAGCCTTGAAGGTGCACCGCAGGTTAGCTGGCTGACACAAGCCCAAAAAGTCAAGCAACAAAGCAAGTAGCGATAGGGACATACTCGGCATCTCTGAAAAGGTGATATTCTTCCTCGCCAACCTTGACGGGGCTTCCACCATATTGAGGGATGAGGACCTTGTCACCAGCCTGAACGCTCATGACGATGCGCTTGCCATCCTTGTCAAAGGCGCCGGGTCCGACGGCCAGAACTTTGGCCTCGTTGAGTTCCTTGACACTCGATTCGGGAAGCAAGATACCACCGGCGGTGCGAGCTTCGGCCTTGACTCGTTGCACCAGAACTCGATCGAGGAGGGGCACCAGAGACTTGATGGACTTGAGGGCGGTCGACTAAGGCGCGAGAAAAGTCGTTAGCGACATGAGAATCATACAGAATTGATCGAATTGGTCTGAGAGAATTGCGCCAGACCGAGGCTTCCACAAGATGTGGAATGCTTACCATTGTGATAAAGTTGACGAGGTCGAGACGGAGATCAAAGAAGAAGCGAAAGTGTGGATTTCAAACTCGAAGGCAAGTGAGGATGGTGGTTGATTGAGAGAATTGAAGCAAGAAAGTACCACTTGCTAGTCGTAAACAGATGGGCAAGAGCGCTCTGGGCTTCTTCTGTCGGGGCTCCTGCCGTTGCTTCCCTTTCGGGCAACTTTTTTTTCTCGAACCATCCGTTTCGCCAAAGTTTCCAGATTGGAACTTTGCATGCTCCCCCCCCGAGACTGGACAAGGCTGTGGTGCTTCCAGCCTCGTTTCGCTCCCCGCGATTATTCTTACAGGCTCCTCCAGTGTTCTTCCTTGCTTGCCCCAAGTATTCCAACAACATTCCCAGGTCCCTCCCATTTGCTCCTCTCCCGTACAAAGCATCACCACTCCCTAGCGCAAAGATGATGGACTCCGATGATGACGATATCTACCCTCAATATGAAGGTGCAAATGGCCGAAAAACAGCCAATGAGGTCAAGATGGAGGAGCCAGAAGATGGGGAGGAAGAGGGTGAGGAGATCGAGGAAGATAGTGATGTACTATACACTCCACTTGCAGATACCATGCTTCCTTTAATTTTTTTTCTCCTAACAAAAAGTACAGGACGATGTCGACTTTATCATCGACGCCAAAGAAGAAATCAAACCAGAGCCAGGATCGTAAGTTATCCTCCCCCCTCCCTTTAATACCCTGCACCTCGCCTGCGCCTGCCCGTCTCAGTGTTTTTGACTGTCATATAATCTCTAGTCAGTCAAAGCGATCAACAACATCAGGACCAGGAGCATCAGCAACAGTAGCAACAGCAGACATTTCCAAATTATCCTCTACACCTCAACCATCTCTAAAACCAGGCACACCTCGAGACGCACGCGCGGTTTCGTCGCAACCCAACGATCGGCCTGGCACCGATTACCCAGCGCGACACACCTCGAAGCTCGACGTGAATGGAAACCCGGTCCACCCGACGACGGGCAAGCCCATCCTATCGACCGACTTCGACACCGATTTCCCTACCGAGTCATCCAAGCCGTGGCGGAAACCTGGCGCTGATATCACGGATTATTTCAACTACGGATTTGATGAGTTCACGTGGGCGTCGTACTGCCTCAAGCAAGAAAATATGCCCAAGGAAATCAAGGAGATTAATCAACAAGCTGAACAGATGAAGGCCTTTGTAGAGGGAATCCCCACTGGGGGCGGTATGCCAGGTATGCCAGGTATGCCAGGAATGCCCGGCGGTGCTGCCGGTGATATGTCGCAAATGGCCATGCCCAACGAGGCCCAAATGCAGCAGATGTTCGCTGCCATGTCGTCTCAAGGCTTGGACCCTTCGACCATGGATCCCACTCATTTCATGCAGTTTATGACCGGAGGGGGTGCTGGAATGATGGGCCAGAATCAGCCTCCGACTGGACCTTCTGCTGGCTTCTCTGGGTCTGGAGGTGGTGGGTTTGACGGCGGTGGTTTCGGTGGCGGTGGTGGACGCGGCAGAGGGAAGGGAAGAAGAGGAAATTGGTAGCACCGGCATACCAATTTCGCCCGAGACTCTTGACGATCCCTCAGGCCAGCGGAATTCATCATGAGTCCGTGGCTATTGTGCAGTGAAAAGGCTCTTTAACTAGCGGCCTGGTGCCGCCTAGGCTATCAATCAAACGCCTACTATCTTACCAACACTCTCGCCAAAGCTAACCAGCGGAGACGCCTACAATTCTTTGACACTAGCTATGCCATATCCTCCAACAGTCCCAGCATGAGAGAAGGACGGATATTGCACGAACAGTCTCAACATATTCACGTATGGAGGAGATGAAATGCACCTGCTGTTTGCTTCCAACCTCAGGGAGATCAGGTCGATTACAGAGTCCTGCTGTTCCCTATGAAGCCTGTGCAACTGGAGCTTGTTCCATGTTTCTAGCTCAGCTTGTGGAGCCTTACTCTGGAGAATTTCACTTCCCCTAGTTTTGTCTCGAAGCATCATGGAACGCGTATTCTGGATTTGCGCCAATGGCATTGAGGAGGGTTGACCAGAGGAAATGGTGTAAGTCATCGATAGGATGCTGGCGTTGGAGCATGGCGATTGTACTGGTAATGAGGATGGGCTGGAACTCGGAATTGAGGTGCTAAAATTCGTCAGGAATGATAGTCGAGGGTCAACAATCATGGGTTTGGCAAACTAGACCGACCACGATATTGATCAAACCTCGTTGGCGGATCTATAGCCGGCGGTCGTCCTCCGTCGCCGAATTTAATTCCCGAAATAACACCACCTGGAACTCTTGAGGAAGGGGATGGCTTGTTTCGGTGTGCTGGGATCGAAGGGCGACGTTGTGCACTAGCAACACCATGTGCCATTTGCAATTGAGCATGGGTAGTCGCAGGAGGAACCTGAGATCGATTCGCTGCAGTGGTAGCAGTACCGGGTAAACTCAGACGATGTCCTGGGGTAGTCCCGGTGTCCAGTCTTGCTATACGTCGGCGTGAGGATAGATCCTAATATTCTCAGGGAGACAACTCACGGAGTCTATTTTGCTTTGATCTATTCGATGGTTGTAAGCCCACATTTTCACGGCCTAAGACACTGCTTCCAGATTTCTGATGGGAATGGAGTTGTTCAACGGGACCTGGAAACGGGCCTGGCAAGCTCCTGCGGTCGCAATCATTCCGATGATTATGATTCAGCGGCACGTCGGTCACGTTATTTGAATGCGGTGGTCGTCTCTCAGCGTCAATGTTTTTGAGAGTATCGTTGACATCAACAGACGCAGCTGTCTCCATTTCCTTGGCCTGAAATTTCTTCTTGAGGGTGTCGTATAGCTTCTGTGATTGTGCCAATTTCCTGCTCTTATCGCGGTATAGGTCGACCACTTCTACATACTTTTGCTCAGCAGCTTTGAGGTCGACGTTGAGATCTGAGACAGATCAGTAGACTTAAAGAGCGACTTGACGGGACATGGTTACCTGAAACTTGCGTTTGTAGGCCATGAATCTCTGCGTTGGCATCGTGAACGGTTTTATCCAGGGCGTTGTTGAGGTGGGAATATCTCTCAGTCAGATTCTTCGTGACATGATGCTGATAAGCACTGCAAACGATTGTGTTAGTGAAAGGCTCTGAAGAGATCAAAAGGGCATGGCTCACATCTCTTGTGTGGTCTGATATGTCCAGAAAGACAAAGCCCTCGATGCACACTCCATGATGGTAGTTGGATCCAGCCCACTGAGGATACTGGTCTTGTATTCTTCTGAAGGACTGAGGAAAGTTTGGATGGCATCATCGTTGTGAGGTAGTGCAGTCATGCAGACTGGGCAGGTACGTTGCTCGGCAGTAGCATCGGCTAAGCCAACCTTTTTTGAGCAGTCGAGACAGAAGATATGACTGTGAACGGTCAGAGGGCAGCCTGAAGGGGGAAGAGGAGATGGACATGCGAGCAAGTTGTCACTACTGCCGTGTGGGTAAGTTCAGCGCGGCAATAGCCACCTTTTTGATTGTTGCATCTGAGATGTTGATCCATTTTGTCAACAGCAATGCAGGGTAGACTTGATGGCCAGAGGTGACAGACTGATGGTAAACATGAAAAGGACCAGGGAACAGTTGATACCGAGGATATTGTGTGGGTGACGGAAACCCGCAGCGTCCAAAGAAGCCAACGCGGTCTTATGTGCATCGTCTTGAAAAGGCAAGAGCGACACAGCGTTGATCTGAAAAGCGCGTGCTTGTCCTCGTCCTTGAACGGGATCTGAACCTCTTAGTCTCATACTTGCAAAGCAATGGGGCAACGGCATATCGTCACCATCTCAGCCCTATAGCATAGCATAATCACCAAGGCTCGTCTGGACTTCTAGACTTCATTCAACTGAAGAAAAAAGCATTGCCCTGAGCATCCCTCCGTCCCTTTGCCAATTCTTCGAATTCTTTGCCCACCTTGAATTCTTTCCAAACGCTTGCTGGGTAAATGTGTTTATTCTTTTCATACCATCGCCGGTCCACCACTTTGGTCAATGCTGGGTCATCATTATAGCCCTCTAGATCATCCTGTCCAGGCACCCGGAGCAAGTTAGTCTCCGAAGTCTGGCTTCTGGCAGAAGCAGTGCCAGAGTACTCGAACAAGAGCCGGCCTTCCCGCGCTGGATCAGGGATTCTGTTGGCAATGAAGTAGTAGAACTCGTAGTGCTAACCTTTGTCATTAGCATTCCATATTTGCCTCCAGAGAGAACAAGAGAACAACAACTCACATGAGGCACAATGACCTGACCTCTGACGCACATGAGATCATCGACTCCGACACGAGCCCACTGCTTCTTGCTGTCCTCTTTGCTTTTGAAACTGGATCCTCCACCTCCAGAACCAGAACCAGCGACGCCCAGCTCAGCGCCAACCTTTCGACATCTTTCCAGGAATAGCCAGATGTGATCTCCTTTGCGCACTTTGACTCGTCCGCCAGGAATGTTGGCGCCATCATAGAAGACAAACGGGATGGAAATCTCCGTTTCTTTGACCACCTCTTGAATCTCCAGGAACTCTTTCCTCAGTTTGTCGCGTGCAAGGGCTTCAGCCGTCCGAGCAGCTTTGGTCAAGGCTCGAGGGGCGGGTAGTGACGAGTTCGGGTTGGGTGTTAACTTTCTTCGAGGTATGGTGTCCTCTGACGAATCTAGGTGCGGCTCGGTGGAGGCACGTAGACCACTAGCAGAGGTCGGCCGTGAGCTGATTTTGGTGTTTCCAGCGTTGTCGCCGTCCTCGTCCTCTTCATCACCTCCAAAGGACAGTAAGCCCTTAGCCGCCTTCTTTTTCTTCTTTTTCGGTCGTTGGCCACTGGTTGTGTTCAGCGCACTGTACCTTTCACATTAGCTCGAGGACCAACTCTGAGTGGCCGGTTTTGCCAGCGCCTACATGAGACTGCGAACTCACCCATCACTATCTTCCACATCCGGGGTGCGAAGTCCGCTCGAGCCATCACGAGCCTCTTTCTCTTTCTGTTCTAAGACATCGGCGCGTCGTTTGCGGAAGTCGGCGAGGTTGACAAGTCCTACTGTTTGTGACTTGAGAAGGTCTTCTGTCGTTGCGGTTGGGGCAGTGAACCCTCGTGGAGTTGACGACCTCGAGGGGGCTTCTTCAGGCGTTGACATGGCGGACGATGTGTTCCCTAAGTGGAGGGTGGAGTAGAAATGGTTCCCAGGGAGCGGCGACACCGATCGAACGACAATGTTGAGGTTCCTGACTGGGACAGTCCAACGCTGCTCGAAGTGACACCCGCAAGTCTTCCCATAAAAATGGTAAAAAGAGGTGAGGAAAAGTGAGTGTCCATAAACCTCAGAAATGTTGCCCGCCTTTACAGGTCGAGTTCCGCCAATGAGAAAACAGAGATTCTGTCCTCCGCTCCCGCTACCAATGCGTCATACTGTTGATACTCGAAGTGACCAGTTGCACTACTTAGCTGCACTACCCAGATATCGCACGCAGATTAATATCGAATTCTGCATAGCTATATTTTGTGGATCGTATGTGTTTCATGCGCTAATTACCGAGGCTGTCGCTCAATCATACGACTATATACTCGCCTTCGTTATTCTCGGCCTTCATGATCCTCGAAAATCTGAAACCAGACTCCAAGGCATCTAAGGCATCTTCCTGGCCCGTTTCATGACTTCTCCTGTCTTGTTCTTCGTCGAATTTCCTCCACACTTTCTCCAAGAGCTCTAAACAACTTTTGTTATTCATAAATCCACTGTCCTTCTGAATGTCTAAACACCGTTCGCGGATTACACGACGGTCTTCGGTGTCGACGCATTCACTTCCCACGATGAAGAGTGGCCATAAAAGATACACATCTGATTTAACTGCTTTGATGTAGTGCAGACACCGCTGGACCCAGACACGGATGCACGGGGCTGTGCTGGGTACAGTCGGGTTGGCAAGTCGCTCTGTGTACAGCAGCGCGGAGCAGCGAAATGACTCGGAGATGTTGGCGAGGTCATACCGCTGCTCCACGGTGAGAGATGGCGATTGAGAGCTGGTCCCGTCGATCATTCGGGGATCAAGCTCCCACAGCTGTAGAGCATGTCTAATTTCGCGCCATTCGCGCCAAAATTGTATATGCCTCCCGTCGTCGGCAGTCTTGCTGGAGAAGACGACCTCATCTTCAACAAACCGTATCCAACCATTGCCGTCGAAGTTGCTGTAGTCGTGTTCCATGTTGAATCCGAATTGAACACCTGATTGTTGCTGCGGCATTGGTTTGGAGACAATGGTGGGTGCTTCCATGACGGAGTTGCCTTGACTCAGCACATTAAGGCGGCCGAGTCTGGAAAAGATCTGAAAGAGTTGGCCGTCACACCCGGCTAGATTCTCCAATGCCCACTCCTCCTGGGACAAAGTCGTCAGGTCCATATAGGGACCGCACAATTGTCCTTCGCGGTCATTGACCGTGGCAGTCATGGCATCGAACCATGTGAACATTCTGGTGATCCACAGCGTGCTCTCTGAATCCCACCTCGGGTCGGCTTTGCGCAGACTGAGAAGCTTCTTGACACCAGTGAATTGTGTTTGGAATTTGGCGACCCCAGAATCACAAATGTGGAAAAGGCACAGCATTAACAGAGTGGCCAGAATGGAATCGTCCATGCGAAGGAGAGGATCGGAAAGTTGCTTGTTCAGAGAGCTGATCGCGAATCTTTTGTGAAATGACTCTTCTCTGGCCTGCTCCTGCGGGGACAATAATCCAGATTCCTTCCAAGCTTCTGTTGTCAAAGTCTGATGAGCCATGGATGACTGTCGAGCCGGCGCCGTTCTACCGGGAGACAAGGCCCCGCTCTCGATCCGCTGTCTCAGGTTACTTGCTGCGAGCGCGGCAATGGCATGTTGCAACGTCTCACTACTGGCGGCGAGCTGCAGAATCCTCGTCCTATAAGGATTCGAAGGCCCGTCGAATGCCACTATCACCGGTGAGATCACCTGGGTATAATAATTGATGAGATATTGCATCCGGTGCGTAGAACCGATGGCACCCATTCCTGCCAAACGGGACACCGAGGGGCGGAAAGTTCGAGATAGTTGCGATAGGGTGGCAGGAAACTCTTCCTCGACGATCACACGCGAATCATCAGTTTCCTTCACTTCGAGCGTTGCCACAACATCGTCCCGCGCTTGACTGTGCGGCACAAGATTTGGTTCAGAACCAAGCTGGTAATTGATGCCCAGACCATGAGTCGCTTCTTCTTGATATGGTTGTACATGAGCTTGTGCACTGTCGTGAAACACAATGGGAGAGAAGGTCTCGTATGGGGGAACAAGTGGAGGAGATAGGGGAAATGATGCAATCCGCGTTGGAATACCCATGGAGCCGTGGCTCATCATCCTGCCGAAATGGAGCGTGTCTTCGGGGGGAGTAGAGTATGGTACTGGTGATACCATGGCAGACATATTGTAAGCACTGCTAGATGTAGGCCTGCAGGAGAGAGCGAAACCTTCCGGCGGTGACATCAAAGGAAAGGATGTGGGGTTTGAGTATGTCAAGTTGATAGGATCTGGCTTAATGGCTCGAGGTAGAGTCGGTGCTGTTTCCGGTGGCACTGTGGTCGACCAGGAGGCGCTGGGATATGGCACATGGTGACGAGGTGAAACAAGGACTGGTTCAAGACTATGCGGCGAGGAGCATTGAGGGAGGCCATGGCTATTGAATGGCTGTATAGACGTCAGTCGGATTTGGTGTGGTAAGGACGATTGGCGTTGGTGGGTGGGTGAAGCATGCGACTCCCTACGCTTCGATCTCTCTGGCGATTGAGGCGGGGCAAGTTTGGTCGTTCCTGCGATGGGTAGCGAGAGGCCGCGCAACTTGCCCCTGCTCGCTACACCATTGCCCCATGTGAGTTGCGTTTTATAACCTGCACAATCTCGGCCATGGTTCAAACACTGAGAACAGAATGGCCGTCTGCGGTCGCATTGGAGGTTGTGAGTGGCACATGTAAAGCAGTCGTCGGCGGCGCCAGCAGCAGTTGCCCTTTTCCTTCTCTTTCGAGGTCCGGTGGATTCGCTTACTGTAGGAATGATTGCAGGGACGACCGCCTGAGGACTGGTGACCTCCGACGAGGACATGGCGAAGAAACCGCCTGGTGGTTGATGTAATGCAGGCTGATTGAGACTGACAGAGGTGAGGTCACCCACAAGCACCAGAGATCTGAGGCATGTCACACACACGCACCCCTCTGGATCGCTACAGCGGATGGTGGGATGTGAAGGCGAGAAGGTTATATCAGGACGATGAGGCGAAGCTATCTATGCAAGGACGCTTATCGATGGCGGCCTCATCTAGCGAACCTGGGTTGCATGATTGGTATTAAAGAGCTGCAGTCAGCCGAACGGTGCAGCTAGCTTGACCAAGAGACTATGCGTATGCGTAGAAATGTGAGATCTATAGGCGAAGGAAACATAAATGCATGCAATAATGCGAAGAGAGGAACAAGGTCAAGTGATGCCAAATCTGGTGGAGATGGAAATATTCTAGGTTTGGGGAGAGAGCTGTACGGTTGTGGCGGCACCAAGGCAATCTTGCGAATCATGTCTCTATCTCGACCTCGGTTGGGCCAGGGCAGGTGAGGTTTAGTGGGGTTGGTCATGGATTATCGACATGAAAAGTCGACACCAGAATGATGCTAAGAGCATGGAGGGAGCGGGGGCTTTGGGGGGGCAGTGGTGATAAACTGGCACGACTGGCACGCTGGGTAGAAGGTGAAACCTTTTACGCATATTCATGGGTTCGAGAGAAGGTCAACGAGAGCTTCCATGCTGCGTGCTAGTCATTATTAGGTAAGGTGGCTCGATCGTGCCAGGGGAAAACTGCAATTGATTCGAAAGCCCATTGGATGGGTGATCGAGGGTACTGGGATCGTCGCTCGGGTGGGCTGAGCATCTTTGCCAAAAGCCCTTTACGGCCCGGGGAGAGACAAAGACTGCAGAGTGATTGGTCGGAAGCCACCGATCGATTGTCACCTTGTTATCTACTGTGGTAGGCAGATGTGGCAGATGGAGGGACGTCAGTACTTGCGCTTCCGCGACTGACCGAGAGATATCGACCAGGGAGGTTCAATAGCCAAAGAAGTGGCAAGCCAAGGCTTGACTGTGGATGTTAGATGGTGCAATAAAGAGTGCATCAGTAGATGGTGTACATGTGGGATAAATTATTATGTTGCCAAGTGTAGAGGATAGAGGCCAGTTACTACTGAGTATGTGGACTCGAATGTGCGAGACAACAAATGGGATGCGGGAAACTTGTTTGTGGCACGCGATACGGAGATGGAACAAGTAGTACTTTGTAGTACACCCACGACACGGTACGAGTTCAGGAGAATAGAGTCGACTGTGTGAGTCGGATGAGTTTCGATTCCCTACGCTAGGGTAACATAGCCTTTGCGCACATGATGATAAATATTGACGAGGAACGCCGGATACACATAGGTAAAGCTGATGCTTGATGTCCCTTGGCCAAGCCTTTAAGAGCGGTGCATTTTCATTATCATTATTGTCGCCTGCAAAAGACGATGCTGGCTCACCTGGACAGGCTTCCCAAGAAAGATGGGCTAGGCTATCAACAAGCAGTCACTGTAATTGGGATGCTCGTCCCTGTATCCACAAGCACATTCGAAGCTTGGTGACATCTGTCAGTCTCTGGCTCTCTGGGCTTCGGATGTCGGATCTCGTGGAGCAAGGACCACGATGGACCATCGTCAAACCAGTGTGGATTGTTTGCGTAGGGGGCTGCAGAGCATAGACTCGGAGCCTTGCACAAGTGCAATGTTGACAGAGAGCCATGAGAGACCGAAATCATCGCTTTCTGGTGGGCTGCTGGCCCATGCGCAAACGTGGTCAAGGAAAAGCGGGGGAAATTAACACGCCGGGGTTTTGTGATTCTGCAATTCCGTTTTGACAGGGATCTAGTCTGATCAGAGCCTTGCGGATATGCTTTTTTTGCTCTCTTCCGTAATACTACCGATGATTTCAAAACATACGGAGTACGGAGTATGTTTGCGCAGGTGAGAGTGGCTGAGTAAACAAAACCCAATTACCATTCTTTGGGTCCTGGGACCATATGGTAATGTTATGGCTGTTCAGAAATGAGGACAAACTCAATTCGTGACGGAAGTTGGTTTGTTTTTCGCCGCGCCATTGTCGGAAGAAGCATATCAACACTAGCGAAGTGTCCAAACGTTGAGATTCCTATGGCTGCAGGGCCTCTGGCTTCTGAGTCGGGTTCAACTCATCACTCTCAAGCTTTCTGGCCTGGGGTCGATTGGGAGTGGTTTTTTTGGTGACATGAGACTCATGTTCACCCAACTGCCACAGTTGGTTGTACACGTACGTAGGAATACTCGTGGACACACTCAATAGTTGCTACCCAAGGCGCTTAGTCTGTGTTTCCCGTATCGCCATGAACTCGTTCAATAATTTTAGTTTGTCTCAAGATGTCGAGGGTAGAGCAACAAGCAAACAAACCAGGATGATACCCAGGCCCACCATGCGTTCACTTCACTTCTTTGGTGCCACTACTAGGCCCGCTGGTTCTCACATATCCTTGCTGATCTTGCGAGGCCTCGGCAGGACAAAATCGGCGAGGAAGAAGACATGACATGGCGGTCTCAGTCGATATGCCGACGTGTTGCGTACCGATGGAGGAGGAAAAGTGAGTCGTTGGGCCATTTCCATCTTGTTCCCACGGACCAGGCGCTAAGGAAGCGGATGCTACGACCCGATCCCAAGCCGTCGAAGCTAAAAGGCGCAAGGCTCTGTCAATGACATGTCCAACTTACGGAGTACTCGGCCTTGTAGTTGATGATGGAGTCATTATTGAACTATCCTCCCGAATCATAACAAGATCCTAGAGGTAGTGAGTCGAAAGCTCAACAGATGCAAGGCGTTGGGGTTGGGGCTGGAAACAAATTAGTGTTTAGGGCAAGAGCGCAGACTGGATGGTCATAATGACGCTCACCATCATGCCTCACGTCGAGAGGATTCAGCAGACTAGTTTGAGAATCGAATCTGTTTTTAGGTGGAGAAAGTTCATCGTTGATCCATGATTGCAGACTCAAAGTAAATTATATAATTGGCGGTAAGCAACAATGACTGGGACTGGCGGAAGAGGTGTTGCTGATGCCCAAAACCGCCAAGAGCCACGCAGTACATGATGACTTGTCACCCGTTGACTCGTCGCGCTTGCCTGCACAACGCGAGCGCAGCTGCATCATGATTTCTGGAAGGACCAGCCAACAACGTGATAATTGTCAGGCAGGCAGGCTCCAGATAAAGAACCGGCACAAGCAGAGGCACGCCATGTCGAGACTCACTGATCAGTACCCAATGCCATATTACCTACCTGACCAACTGTGGAAATGGCTCAATACATGCCTGACATACACGAACACCACGTTGGAACCATCGTCATGTGCTGGGCTGGACTGCAGGAGGCATAGCCATGTTGTGATGATCAGCTTCCGGCCCAGTGTTGCTCACTCTGAATATTCGAGCCTGTGTGACCACAAGCTAACGGAAGAGAATCTGCATATCGCCGTTGGGACAACTTGACAGGCACGACAGGTTACCTCTGTTGTGGGACCTATCATATTTCCCACTTGCCCTTACCATCGTGCAGCTGGTCCTTTCGACGGTGAAGCGGCTTCCACCACGCCGTGTCAGCTGCAAAGCTGGATGCAGTGCAGCTGACGGACGGACGTCGTGTCGTGCGTCACAAAGATCCGGAAATGAGCCAGCCATTTCATGGGATTATCGTCTTGCCTCTATGGGGCTCCAGCACTTGAGACCACAAGACCCGTCTGGCAAGAGTCTTGTGCGTCCTGAGGACCTTGTGGTCGATCTTTTTTTGTAGCAGCAAAGCCGACGAGGCTGAGTCGTGGGTACTGAGCCAATTGATTGCAAATCGTAGATCACGGCTACCGGGTCACGCCGGTGCTGGACATGGCCCTTATTTTCACCCACCGGAGTACATGGCCGCGATGGCTCAGCACCGTGCGTTTGTCATCTGTAGTTCTCTTGGATTATTGTCCTCTTGTCGATGGGGTCCAAGGATGATGTAGAAGGAGAATGCGATGGCTAGATGTATGACAACAGGGCAGTGCGAAATTTGTCAACGTACTCTCCAAGGCTCGGATGGGGATCATCTGGTGGGCTTCGTTGGGTGCTAGAACTTCCCCCGCCCGCCCCGGAACAAGGGCCGAGGGCCATTTGCGCCTAAAGGTAAGGTTCCTTGGTAGCTAGGATTAGGCTCCATTCAAGGTCCTAGGTGCCTAAGCCTACGCGTACCAATGCCAGAGTCCAGTTCCAGTCCAACTTTCGTTTTTCTTCGCGCCACATCTTTTCTCTCTTCTCAAACTTGTCGTCTCGGTGGCGAACATCACTTGCTGGATGGATTCTAGGCACCCATGAATCAATGAATCGACATCAATTTCATGAAGATGACTGGCGTTGAATGTTGATGGATTCAAGTTGCAAAATGGCTATGCAGGTAGGCCATTGGACTTCCGTCTCGTGCGTCTGTAGAGATTTGCTCAATTCTGTATCTTACGGTATGGAACCAGAAGGGATGAAATCTTGCCAGTGTTTGCCCCATCCGAACTCCGTAGAACAGTTGTGGTCCCCTTGCTTTTAGGTTCCAACTTGGGCAACCCACCGCAGGTCTTGAGCAGGTTGCAAAAGCTACAAAGAGACCCATCACCACCACCACCATCATCAAGGATTCGTGGCTAGTGGCCATCTGGCACTCCCGCCTTCCTGCACAATTCAAGCTAGCCTCTAGCCTTTCGGTCTAGGGTGTGGGTAGTCTTTCCAGGACACGCGCAGACAACATCCACACATCCACCTTTCCACCCTCACCTTTTTCACTGTCACTTTTTACTCCACACCATCCCTGTCATCCATCTCTTTGGCATGGACCAGCTTTTCCTCCCGTGCCTCCCTCTCGCTTAATTCCATTCCCAGCGTCTTCGAAAGATCCACCGGCCTAATCTTCTTCCTAACGAAAACCCCAATCCGCCATGCTCCATCGACCTCTCTTCTGGCATCAGCACTTCTTATGCCCCTGATCTCCCATCGACAACGCCAAATCTCTCTTGCCAGCCATTCCTCTCAATCCTCTGGGATTGTTATTGGACCAACTCCATCACAGTGCTAGCCCTCCCTCGCCGGTCCGAGTGCCTTCTACTGTCTTCCTTGCTAGCCTGAATTAGTCAAGAGGCACTCCCTCCCACAGCCTTTCCACCATCAACGAGCTATTTCTTCCGCGACAGGGTCATTTTACCTCCCCGTTTTTCCAGCCCAGAGTCAATACTCAAGACCCCCCAAGCTGGTCCGTCAGTCGTCTCACACCGGAGCCAGTCATCCGGTATTCGACCCCTAGATTAGCCTACCTGGTGGAGCCACCGTGCCTCCCCCGTTTACCTTGACTCACCCTTGGCTGAGCCTATTGTCTGGACCTTGGTTCACTATAACCGCGAGCCCAACCCCTCTGGTCTGTTCGCATTCTCTTCTCTTCGACACATTGCGCGTCATCAATCTGCACCTCGAAGCCTTACACAATCAGACCTCAATTGAGTCAATTGCGGCTCAATTAGTCACCTTCCCAACCACCTATTTAGAGACATTTTCGCGCTATGATATTCTGCCGCTCCAACATTCTACAAACATCCCTCTTCTCTCGACACAAAACACCAGACCCGACACGCATAGACCGAGATCGAGGGGAACCTTACTGAGGACGAGGGGCAGGAGAGGAGAGTGACGCCCGAATTACCACCTTTACGACCCAAGCCAAACAGCTTTCAAAATGAGCTACCACTATGGTGTGCCACCAGCGCACTACACCAGATATTACGGTGGAGATTCTTCGCCGTATTCCAGCAACGAATACGTTCAGTACGCGCCGCCTTATCACACCCCACCGAGGAAGCATACCCGGAATGCCAGCTACACCTCACCTCGTGTCGGCGGCTATTACTCCCCGGCCGGCGCGTCCCCACCATTTCGCGAATCGCCACGATATGATTATGTGAGTGAGGCTACAGGCAAGCCCCGCCGATCAGAGGGCTACCAAACCTTTCCTAGCTCCAGATATCATACCCGTTCTTCATCGCGCAGGCACAACCAGCCCATCTACGTCTACAACGATGATGCTGGTTATGCCGAACCGCAACCAACCTATATTGTCCGAGAACCAAAGTCATCCTGGACCAAACATAGCAAAAAGCACAGTACTGATACCAAGTTTTACTATGGACAGGGACAGGGTATTGATGAACTATCAAGGCCGACTAGACCTCGACGATCTTCTACAGCTACCAAGCCATCTCCTATTCCCAAGGCTGCAGCTTCACGACCCGCCACTGAGGCTGACGCCATCCGGGCAGGAATCCCTGACGGCTACTCATACAAGAATTGGGACCCTGCTGAAAAGCCAATCATCCTCCTCGGTAGTGTCTTCGATGCCAACTCACTCGGACGTTGGATCTATGATTGGACGGTTTTTCACCATGGCGCATCAAGTCCCATGGCCGATATGGCCGGTGAGCTATGGCTACTTCTAATCAAGCTAGCCGGCAAGATGAAGCGCGCCCAGGAGTGTGTTGGCCGCATCCGCAACGTAGACAAGCAAGAGACCGTGGAAGACTTTATCGAAAGTGGCGATCGTCTCTGGCTGGCCTTCAAATCGCTCTTGAGGAAGTGCGAACAGTTCATGCTCAAAGCGGCACGGCGTGACGGATCCAAGACGATGGGAAAGAAGTCGGGGACCGAATTCGTGGATTCGATATTCGGACGTGACAGATTCCTTGAGGCGACGGAAAAGTTCATGCATTCTGTCCGCACTTGGAACCTTCGCTTCGACGTCAATTGCGAGAACACGTTGCGAAGACCATCTGCTGCCTAGCTTTGGGCCGTCAGACCAATGAGCAGCATTGAGTCATTGCGGCTCGGGTGGCAAACTTTGTGTCAAAAAAAGTTTGCCACACTAGCCATCTCACTAGTTCTTTCTGTCCCCGGCGAGGTTCAACGTTAGGCATCAGCGTTGACGGATTCTTGTACCAACAGATCGAGCGGCGAGTTTTCAGGGGGGAGAACACAGCAGCCGCTCTGGATCAATGGAGGAGTAACCATGAGTCACTCATCGTTGTTGATTTTGTTAGCGCGGTCTGGGGGACTAATCGGCTTTGTTATGGAAAGGGACATGGCGCAGGGAATCAAAGGCGCCTGGGAGTTTTTGATTTATGTCGGCTGGCAGAAGGCAAAAGCAACTCAAAGGGTTTGTGGAGGACTCAGCTATCAATGGACGAAACCAAAAGTTTTGCATATGGCACGACGACACACGATGACAGGATGGTGCACGGGACGGATACCAACGACCAGGGCAGCATACTTTGTTTGAACCATTGCTAGGTGGCGCAGGATGTTTGTTCTTTCGCAGGGAAAGGGTTGCATTTGCTTGGAGATGATTATTTTTGCGCCAGAGCGATGATACCCCATGTGTTCCTTCTTGGACACTCATGTACTCTAGCTAGCTACTACTTGCTCTAATGTTTTATCGAAGTGTTAACTGACCTTCTTTTCTCGCCGGTTTTGTGTTGTAGAACCAGATCTTCTGCATAGCTTAACGTCCCCTGTTCACCGAGCTTGTGTTTGGTTCTGAAACCAATGCCCAAAGTACAATACCTGATTGTGCCTTGAATATGGCATGTGCAGAGAACATACGTCATTCACTAATAAGACCTAACCTAGAAGAGCACTGCCAGCACTTAGTAGATGGTCTGGAGGTGTGATGATCAACATTTGAGTGTAGCTCGTTTTGGTTGACCAACTATATTGAACTAATGGAGGTCATGCGCATGTCATCGACCGGTTGAAAGAGTCTTGAAATGTTGCAGAAAGTAGACCAAACGACGGACTGTGATAGCGACACCAATGCTCTTGGACCACCAAGTACTACTGGCAAACTACGCTGGCGTTGTGGAGGGTGGTGGATGCGTTCTAGAGATAGGTACCTATAACCTGGGAGGCTGGTGGAGGGGGTGGGTGAGGGGCGGCGCGGGAGATAGACCGAAAGGGAGTGACAAAGACTGCATGGCATGCCGCAATGGCGCTTCGTGGGCTTGGCTGTGAAGTGATTGGTCTTTGCCCTCGTGGGACACGGAAAAAGAACAACCATGACCAGAGAATGCTCACGGGCACCGAGTGAGGACGGTATAGCATTTGCGAAGGATCAGGTCCAGCTCTGGTTGTGCTCCCAGCGTCTATTCTAATCGCAATATGTAGTAGTTTGTAGTAGGGTAGAAGGGTCTGGGGTCCAGAGAAAAGGTGGTCAGCCTACCCCCCATATCTACCTGGGTAATAGTTGAGATGGACCTTCAAAGTAGGTAGGCAGCAAGCTTGCTAGGCGGCTCGGTGCGAATACCCGACCCTCCAAGTTTTGAAGTTTCTAAGCAAGTAGTAGCTGGTCTTGAATCAGCTGGACAGACCGTTAAAGACTCGGGCCGTCCAGAGTAGTCAATTTCAGGTCGTCTTAGACATTCTCTAGATATCATGATCGATCAGCTGGCATGGCTGGTGTGGCTGGCTATGGACTATACGCGGACGCGTACAAACTACAAGCCTCTCATGTCGATCTTATTTGTTACCAGATTGCTTTTCTGGGGCTCTGGCTCTGGCGACTGGATCCAAATTACATTCTATTGGGGTGGCAACTACAGTATGTGGTGGTTCAGCCGCCATGCTGTTGGCTGTATGTCTTCCTGTACGATCACGATCACGATCACGCACATTGCCACCTGGATCGCAACACTAGTGGTGGGAGGTACCTAGGCAGGTATTAGTGAAGATTCATATGCGTAGAACAAGGGGCAGAACAAAGACAGAAACCCTAACAGATGTTCTTTGCACGAGTAGGCATCATTGCCACTGCGTAAACTGCATCTCACTATTTATTCGAGTGCATAGAGATCGTCAGCGGCTGAACAAGGAAAACTCACACCATGGTCACAATGGTTAATCATTGGCTAATCCTCAGGAATTTTCGGGGCAGCCGGAGCCTAAAAAGCATGGCCCGAGGGTTCTCAGCACGTTGACATGCAAGCACTTCGGTTGTAGTCTTGGAAGCGGTTGCGGGTGGCCTATAGGCGTCCTGCCTTGGGAGCCACCCCCGATTCCAAAGCACAACATCAGTCCGTCCAAGGTTGCATACAGAAGTAAGAACCAGAGGGATTATTCAGATCCTTCACACTCCAACAGTCGTCATCTGGAAGTCATCCTGTATGTCTAAAACCAAAAATGACACCTTCTACCTAGCTAGCGAGACTCGGCATCTTACTCACCAAACATCATGAGAACAAACATTTCCTGTTTTGGCGTTGAGAGGGGAGGATCTCCATGAACAGCAGTCCGCTTACTCGCATAGAGCAAGGTGCCTACCTCCAAGGTACTAGGTATAGTGTAGGTAAGTTACCTAGTAGTAGTAGGCACCTTAAGTACTAGGTACCTAGGTAGTATGGTAGGGACCTTACTTTAACTGCCGAGATACACATCTATTACTAGGTACCTACCTAGTCAGAAGGCATAGCGCTCTCCTCGGCTTCATCGTATTCAGCATCCCTAAAGTTCCCCAAAGTTACAGTCAATAGTGATCGACCACTGTAAGATACTGTTTGGCACGCACGACCGAGTACAAACATGTTGAACAAGGCAAGATCGCTGTGCTCGCTCTCCCAGAACATAAGGCTGCCGTGTAACCAGCTAAGAATAGCTGAACACATGATTGCGCACCACAGACTCCCCACGCACTACTTGCCCAACACTTAACATTGAATCCATTAGAAATGATTATCATGGACTCATGGTGTAGTCATGACCCTACGACCACAAGCATACCCAGGTCAGAAATCAGAAATCAGATAGTATTCAGCCACTCATCCATTCACCAAGGGTATCGTTGAATGGAACGTCTCTTCGCTTAAAGGACGCACAACTTGACACTCGCCGGTTCTCACCAAAGTCAAACACGGGATGAGCGCCTCCAGCCCGAGTTACTGCATGGTGGCGATACTCTGTCACGTTGTTTCTATTGGGCAACATCAACACTTCAAGCGCCGTCAAATACGAACGCGGCGTGGAGCGAGGCCGTTTCCAGCTGCTTGCATGAACCATTGATTTCGTATGGATCGCTTGTTCAATCAGGTAATACCATTGCGAGCACTTTGGTATGCTCATGTGCCCACCAACAAAATGTGATGTTCCAAGTCTGGCAAGTCTAACGCGCCCATTGGTGACGGCACACTACAGTCACTATAATATAGTACTGGTCGAGTCAGTGATTGCGGCACTGAGCCAACTCGCAGGATTGCACTCTAGTCTACGAGATGGTTGGCTCACATCCGTGTTTTTGACTGTACAAAGTCAAGAGTGTGGTCGAATTAACGTGAGCTTCAGCTTGTAAGGAGACTGACTGGCTAGATCGTACCCGCCGAAAATGGCACGATGGATATACAGATCCATTGATAGGTGTATGTCTGTACACTCTATGGAAATGATAGGCAACGTCTGAAGGAGTCTTTTTGGTTGACGGTTGACGAAGTCCAATCGATGTCCGAGATGGGCCTCGCCCCCCACAAGTGCCTGGACTTAGTTATAACCTTACGCCACTACGGATAACCGATAAAGCAACAACGGACGACCAACAAGGTCCAGAGTCCCTGGAGTCAAACTGCGACAGGCTTTGCGGGGAAGCGATACATGCCGGGAATTTTGCAGCGATCGCCGACCACTGCCTAAGTGAGGTACCCAGGCACGCCAGGCATGCCCAGCACTCGCAGTCCCTAACTTAGGCTCTGTAGGCATCCTGCAGGGTCAAACCGATGGTTCCAATGCATCTAGAGCAAGCATGAAACACATGCACATCCTTTAGAAATGTACCCCTGAACCAGGGACAGACCCTTTTCTCCTGCATCAGCCAGTCAATTGACTGCAGCACCACTAACTTAGGTAGTTTTCAGAGGTCCTGTTGTCGGCTTGTAATCCTTTTGACTTGTCCGCCATCAGCTGGGATCATGGTGACTCTGCAGCTGAGAACCTGCGACCGGCCTGCAACCTGCGTTTGTTCTGACTTCCAACAAAGGATCAGCTAGAGATGTTTTTCAGCCTCAAAAACTAGGATGCTCAAGTTTCACAGGTTCGGAAGCCATGCATCCCGTGTGGTTCAGCCTGGATCATCACAACTCTCACCATCGAAATCAGTGTCTTGGCATGCGACAAACATCTCATTCCCCGCCACAAAGTTGACACTTTTGACACTTTCACACACAGTTGGCTACCGGACAAGGCTGGCCATGCACACAAAAAGGGGCTCCAGATATGTATCGAATTATCACCGACCACTCATCACTCACCATTTACCAGTCATGCATGTCCTTAATGTCGATATGTTGAAACAAGCGCTGCTCCTGCCGCTCTCTCCCCTCCTGCAGGTACCCTATCGTGCTTCTGCCTGGTGGCCTTTTCCCTGCCGTTGGTGACCATGAGGCTGTGTACCTGTATTGTGTTATTTCCGTAAGGTATGGTATGTAAGACCGTCAGAACATCAGAACATGAGAACTTGAATACAGCATCGACAAAGTGATACTCTGTATAACCTACAGCCGAGGAGAACTATCACCGCAGCCTTTGATGATCCTCCTACAGATCCAGCCTGATGTCTATAGCATCTTGACACTTCACCTATGCGAGGCTGTCCCACCACAATATCCTCGACATACCATCTACAAAGCTCCGGCATAACATGCCTTGATGAAGTCGTCCCTTCCTTGTATCTCACAATATGCCTGGACATTCTTCATGCGGCCTCCTTCAACTTGTGCCATAAATTATCAAAGAGAAAAAAGATCATACGCAGATTTCATCTCGCGTACCTGAATAATGATCAGGCTGACTAATGTTCATCTAAACATCTTGGGCGTGGGACAATTGCCCACCTTAATATTACTGAGGGGTAATTGTCTCAGGGCCAATAATGGAGGACATGCCTATATTCTGTACGGTCGATTTACTGTAGGTCTCTCCGGTTGTACCCAAGCCGCGTACCTAGGTAGGTACCTAGGGACCCCCCCTCGCCCCTCGGTCTCCCCTCATCCCTGTGCTTGATTAGCCATGCCACGCCTTGGAGCAAATGAATCTTGGGGTTCTCATCGATGGATTTGTAACCAGCGAGCACCTCATTGTGGGGTCAAATGTCTCATTGAGTAATATCATAGGTCGATTCCTCTCTTTATTCAATCCACTGGTCGACAACATGGTCCGATGCCGTTGTCTTGATTACTATCGATATTGACCTGCTACTCATTTAAAACGACGAGTATCGCCTCTACCAGCTCACAATCTCTCATTCGAAACACCCGAATCCACTACCGACCGTCACATCTACCACAATACCAGAATCTTCCATAGGTACCAGCTGGCGATATCAATATGGCATCACAAAAAGCCTGGGCCGTCGTAATCGGAGTTGGACCTGGCACGTGAGTGTAGACTGGTTCACCCTCTCGATCAGTGCCTTGTCTGACAATAAAACAGAGGTGCCAGCGTTGCTCGCCGCTTCGCCAAAAGCTACTCGGTGGCGCTACTTGCCAGAAAGCCTGAGAACTATGAAGCTCTTGTCCAAGAGATCAATAATGCCGGCGGCAAGGCCATCGGCGTCAGTACGGATGCCTCGAGCGCTCAGAGTGTCAAGGCTGCCTTTGACGCCATCAACAAAGCTCGGGGGACTGAGCCTCTTGCGGCCGCCATCTTCAACGTCGGTGGCTCTTTTATTCGCAAACCCTTCTTGGAACTTTCGCCCGAAGAATTTGAGTCTGGATGGGAAGCCAATGGGTATGTATATCCAACCAAAGGCTCATGCAATAGCCTCAGCTTCAGCTAGCTCGACGCGTCTCAGACGATAGAACTGACATCTATCTTAGCCGTGGAGGTTTCTTGTTCTCTCAAGCCGTTCTACCTCTTCTCCTTGATGCTGTCGACAAGGTTGAACACCCCCCGACTTTGATTTTCACTTCAGCAACCGCCGGACTGAAGGGTTCCGCACATTGTGCGTCTTTTGCCGCTGGCAAGTTTGCTCTGAGAGCTCTATACCAATCTCTGGCCCGGGAATTTGGTCCTAAGGGCATTCATGTGGCTCATGCCATCATTGACGGCGTCATCGACATTGAACGAACCAAACACTACAAGTTTGACCATCCAGACGCCAAGATCTCCGCCGACGCGGTAAGTCTGCATTATCTTTCAGCATATACCTGATCTGGAGCGTCCGACACTGATGCCTCTTGTGATAGATTGCCGATTCGTACTGGCACTTGCATACTCAACCACGTACCACCTTTACCAACGAGATTGATATCCGGCCCTACATCGAAAAATGGTAAACAATCTCCCATTTCGGGCATATATATTGCAATATGAAACCCCTCACCTGTCTAACTCACCATCCAATGAGCCCATTACACTGTGCATGTTTCTCTCCAGGCCATCATGTCAGAAGCCAGAACCTGCCACAACACAATACAGCAGCCATGTCCCCTTTAACGGTCTTGTGTGATGTTAATCAGGATAGGATGTGTCGAAGTTGCAAACTGGAAAGACCATATCATGTTTCATTTGTCAAGGAAGGTGCAATCAGCAAGGAGGGAGCTCTTGGCGTTGGCAGCTCAACTGCACCCATGCTTCCCTCTCTCTCCGTCTCTCTATCATCTTCTCGTGCCCCATTTGACCTTGTCGCGAAAATTGAAATCCTAGTCATCTTGTCCAATTAGACGAGAGCTTTGGAACATGGCCTGTGAACCTACAATATTTCCGTCAATGACCTTTCACGACATCTTCATGACGGTCAAACAGTACGGCAATACTTTGTCCGCTAGGGTCCGGACAATAATGACGTGGCCAATACTCGAACTTGGTCCGAGGTCTGTACATCTCAATCCACAATCACCAACTGGGTTACAAGAGGATCCTATCCTCCACCTCACTGCAACGCCGGCACTTGGTCTATCCGACCATCCCCACGTTGCAAAGGATCCGGGGGAGCCGCTCTTGAATTCCCCAACTTCGAATTGAATTGTATATCCGATCACCATTCGCTAATCGAGTTTAGAGTACCCGCTCAAAGCTTGTCTCTGGTCAAGCAACGCCACTTCGCAGATGCCGATCCTCCCGCTACCCTTGATTATACTCACTCCTTCTCCATGTCATCCCACCCATTACCCACCCTGAGAATTTGCATAAACCATGCTTAGATTAGCCTCGTCGTCATCAATGTGGTCACTGTGGTCGCAGTCCACTTCAATGACCCACGTACTCCTGGCTTCGTCGCCGTGTCACGCTGCTCAAACACCGCATCATTCGTGGGTGGCACTGCCTTCCTAAGTCCGGTGCTATCATGGAGCCAACTGAAATAGAGAGACTCGATTACCGAGCAAGGGCAATGCGGGAGACCGTGGAGAGTATGTGTTTCCTGCATAAAAGAACCGCAAGGAGCCCCCGGATTTTATCGAAATAATTTTCTCTCCAGAAAGCCTTCCCCAGAATTCAGTCGCTCCAGATATTCCTAAGTATTCAGGTTGCGATCAACGAAAAACTAGTCGAGTAACCATGTCAAACCCTGGACATTCTAGCTCCCTAGCGAGACAGCACACACATGACATCGAGATAGGCATTTCAGATGCCCTTCAGCGTCATGTCACCCGACACGTCGTACAGCCCAAGCCAGTCTCGCAACGAAAACTGAACTTTGAGCACAAGAGACCTCGCATTCTTCGAGAGATGATGGCCGAAGCAACAGGCGTCTTCTTCTACGTTTTTGCTGGCATTGGTTCCGTTGCATCCTTCACACTTGCGACAACGAGTGATGCAGGTAGAGCACTTGGTGTCCCTGTATTTGGCTCTCTCTTCCAAATCGGATGGGCTTTCGCAATGGGCATCGCCTTCGCCATTATCACTTGTGGCCCAACTTCTGGAGGTCACTTCAATCCAGCCATCACTATCTGTCTCTGGCTCTGGCAAGGCTTTCCGTTGAGAAAGGTTCCCCATTACATCTTTTCCCAGATATTCGGCGCTTTCATGGCTGGCCTGATGCTCATGGGATGCTACTGGCCTCAAATTCAAGCGGCAAAAGCAATCGACCTGGAAATGCATGGTACCGCTGTCTATAACGGTGGCGTGGCTAGCATCCTCTGCCCCTTTCCCAACCCAGACCAGACCAACCAAGGGTTTCTCTTCTTCCAGGAATTCTTCGTGGACTCATACATTGGCATCGTCATATGGGCATGTCTTGACCCCGCGAATCCCTTTGTCAGTCCCCAGTCTGTACCTCTAGTCATCGGCATCGCCTATGCCACGATGGTCTGGGGCTTCGCCGGTAACACTATCTCCACCAACCTCGCCCGTGATCTCGGCACTCGTATTGTGGCTGCTATCTTCTTCGGCCGCGAAGCCTTCACCTTCAGTAACAGTTACAGCTGGATATCCATCCTGGTCAACGTTCCGGCTACAATTTTCGCCACAGGGTACTACGAGTTCCTTATGAGAGATAGTTTGCAAAAGATTCACGCCGGACATGCCGAGCACGCGCAAGGTGAGGAAGGCTTGCAGAAGCATCTGAGTAGGGTCACAGGCGACGATATCACCCAGAATGGCGTTGAGAATGGGCTGGCCAACCAGGGTTATATGAATGCTGCAGATGGGGTCACTAAGAAACAATTTTGAAACTAGGAGCAGGACAGTGTTTAGCTGTTGGAATAGTTGATAGTTGAATATATGAGCCTTGATCAACCTGTCAGACGATATAAGCACCAACGAGGATGAAAGCACAATTCTGCCATAGCGTTGTTGAATGTCTCTCGCCATCTAAATAAATCGTTAATATCGAGCCTATACTCAACCTTGGGACGATCACTCGGGAGATTGAGAAACCACTTACCAAATCCCGGAATTCAGAGGAGCATGTCCTTATTTACAGTCTGCCGGCGAGTCAGCTCAGACCCTTGATTCCCAGAGGAACAAGGGCCGTTTGGAGCATGAGTAAAGTTAATCTGCGCCAGTCATTTACCCCGAGCTACCACGAAACAAGAGGTAGACAGGGTGATAATCTGGCAGAGGGGAAGAACAGGGCATGAGGGGACAACACGAGCGGTAGCCAACACTCGCCGAGATCTGGAGTGCATCACAGAAATTGGCCGTCTTATCACGTGGCGAACAACGAAAGAGGGAAGACTAAACCCATAGACCATAGGAGCTCCATGTTGTGAAATGTTCTTGTTTCATTGGGAGGCAAGATCGAGGTGCAAACGTCGGGTATGTTTGGCGTTGCTCTATCAACCATCGCCATTGTATGTCATCTTTCCGTGGAAAACCCCCAGTGGTCGCAAAAACCCGTTTGGAAAATGCTGTCAATCATCGCCTCGCTTTTTTTTGTCGGGATCAAAAGTAAGCCTTTCCTCACTCTCTCACTCTCTGAACACAGAACAGAACGTTTCGACCATCCTCAGCCTTTTCAAGATGACTTGGCCTTGACGGCTTCACGGCCCTTTCCAATTCTCTCGAGGATCTTTTCCCGATCCTTGTCGATCTTGAGCTTGGTCACAACGACCTTGCTGGGGTGGATACCGAGGGGGACGGATTGACCGTTGGACTTCTCGCGGGAGACTCGCTCGATTTGGACGAGGAACTTCAATCGGTAGACGGATGTGACCTTGCCCTCACGGCCCTTGTTGGCTCCTCGCACGATGGTGACTTCGTCGTCTTTTCGGATGGGGATGCTGCGGACCTGAAGTTTTTAAACCATGTTAGAGACGGATATTTTTTGTCATTGTTGTCGGAACTCAAGATCGAATGTGAGGGCTAGAAGATCTAGGAAGATCCCCCCAGATATTCAACAGACGGAAGGAGGAGGATATCGCCATACATTGTGCTTTTCTCGCAGTTCCTTGCTCAAAGGGGCACTGAGGATTGTTCGTCGGACGCTGGATGGGGCACCGAAGTGTGCTTTGCGAGACTTGCGCCTCGATGAAGCCAGACCTATTCCTGACACATTAGCAAACCTGTGCCGTGAAGGGTGTCCCATCGATTCAGATTAGAGTGTACCTGAGTTGATTTTCGTCATTGTGGTGGTGTGGCTTGAAGATGTTGGTCGACGACTCAAACTGTCCAGTTGTCGCAGTTTGATCTCGAAATGTGTGAGAAGAGGGCGAGTGGGAAAGTGCGCCAAGAATTTCACTCGTGACCTCGCCTTTTCCAATTGGCTTGGCCTACAGTGGGGCAAGGCGAAAAATTACTATGTGATACTTCTCCGTAATAGTTACACTATTGATTCTGTGCTTCGCAGATTGTTGTATGCGGCGGACCATTCGACGCCTGATATGCATGAACCTTGGACTGCGCGCGTTGTCTTCGCGTAGATCATGATCATTCTGTAAAGTCTGTAGCAGACCAGACCGGATAGGCCTTCCCTTCTGAATCAGATCGGCATGATCATCCGTACCTTCCTCTGTCTCGATCAAGAAGCCTACTTTCAATGACAAAGGGCGACGATTGTGCGCCGGTGAGACCAATGCGCCGACCACCGAGGTGATGGAGCCGCACCCGCAGCTTCAAAGGAGAAGAATACCTCTCTGGGAGTCATGTCGAATTCTTCTATGGGACATTACAGACAGTACTACGATTCGCAAAACCACAATTCGACAGCCGACCCCAACACACAAAAGGCTACAAACCAGTCCTATAACGGCTACGGCCAGTATCCTAACAATGACCGGTCGCAGTATGCGCCACCAAGTCTGGCATGGAACACCAGCCTCCAACAAACTTATGGAAACGCTCCACGTCAAGACACACGTCAGATCGATTCGTGGCAGAATAATACCACTCAGAACTCGGGGTTTGATGGCCAGAGGCATGTGACAGACTATGCGCAGCACCCTGCATCAGGATCCAATGGCCCTCCCTACCAGTACTCTATGAACTCCAACACATCCACCTCCCAGAATACCCAGGGTCTGAACAATCTCGCCTATGTCTCTGTGCATGATACCGGGGCCCAACAGAGAAACGGCCACGGTGCGCAACAATCCAGTGTGTCCACAGTATCTTCTACACCCTCGATGGTAAATGAGGCACACAGGATTAAGTCTCCATCTTTCCCATCGCAGCCACAACCTCATTCCCGTTCTCAGTCGCAATCAGTCTACAACTCAAATGTGGGACCAGGCACTCACTCCTCATATCAAGAGTCACACCCAACCAACACTCAGCCTTCATCGTCTGCAGCCGCAACCGCTTTAGCAGGTGCCGTCAGTCGTTGCTATCCGCAAGCATCAAATCAGATCGGTCAAGCTTCAATGTCTCCTACCGGGAATCCTTCAAGGCCTGCGACTCAGAATACCATTAGTCGGACGGCTTCGCCACATTTCCATGCCTCGTCCTCGATTACTCAGACACAAGCGCCACCAGTTCCTTGCCAATCTGTACCCAACAGTACACATGTCCGTAGTTTGCCCAAACCTCAGATTGAAGAATCTGCGCCCGTGCAAAACAAGAGACGAAAAACAAGCCATGCAAATACTGAACAGGTGCTGCCTGTCAACAGTATTTCTAACCTTGTGACACGAAATGTCGAAAACGAACCTCCTGCAGCGCTGTATTCCATGGCTGGTGATAATGCTAATGACATGCCCAATTATATAGACCCGACACAGGTCTTCAACCCCTACCACAAAGAACATGAGCGCCGCCGGAGAGAAGCAGCTCAAGCAGAGGCCGAGGCAGAAGCAAGACGAAGAGCGGACGCAGAGGTCGCAGAGAAACGTAGATTGGAGGCAGAAGCTGAGAGTCGGAGACTTGCTGCTGAAGCTGAGAGACTGCATACTGCAGGAGAACAGGCGACGAGACAGCGGGAGAACGCAGCAACTCCTCTTTCAGGTGTTCGAAAAACAGCTCCCTTGCCCAAACAGCAACAAGCAGTTGACAATCCAACGACAAATCCTACTACAGATCAGGTTGAAGCAGACATGGCAGCCGAAATGAAGGCGATGATGGAGAAGATGAAGGTCTTCCGCAGTAAAGATCCGGCCATGTTTCAAAAATTATGGGATGATATGCGCAAGCCTGGCCAGCAAGGAGCAGCCACTTCTACCGGACCGACGCAGTCTCCATCGCCGCATCTGAATCAATCCACAGCTGTCCAGGCGCCACAGATCACACAGTCTCAGCACGCACCTCTTTCTCAAACGAAACAGCAATCAACGGGGTTAACCCATCAAGACTCGGTGCTCAGTCCTCAAAAGCCATCAGCCACAGCGACAACACAACAACAGTCTGCCAAATCGAACTCTCAAACCCCCAACAGGCACCGAGTTGTTGTCGAGAATAACCCGGAAGGCCTGCCTGACTTGGGACGCTTCCCTGCAGAGCGCCGCAATCGGTATGGCAGGTCTTCGAAGCAGAATGAGGCCAGCGCTGCTTCAGTACCACCAGCCCCGGCGAGCAACACTATTGTACAGTCAACCCCAAGCCAGGCGCCTAGTGAGGCTTACCCCGGAGAAGTGGCGGCATCGCTACCCCAATCAATCTCATCAACAGCTGCTACTGTTCATCAAGCGGCCTCAAGTCAAGTTTCTGCTCGTCCGAAGTCACCGTTAGTCAATAGGCCTAGCGGTAACACTGTCTGGCCTGAGGAAAAGAGAAATGCTCTTGCTGACGCGGCTGTGTCTCTTCTCAAAGGCTTGCCAGGCAATGCGAATATCGAACTTGCAAGCTCCGAGGTTCATGCAATGCTCGAGAAAAATCCTAGCTACATTGAGCTGTGCATACTTCTCGAAAGTAAAGGATTGAGGTTTCATCGAGGGCACTTTGCTCGACAGTTGCTGAACAGTGTACCTTATTTGAACGCACCTACACCACCCAAGGCTTCTGAGACAGCGCAACAGCAACAGCAACCTCAGCCATCGCCCTTGCCTTCGCAATCTCTCACACAACCGCCTCCTGCAGCTCTACGAACCCCAACACCACATCAACCAACGGCAATCACAGGTGCTGTAGGTCCTCATATGACACCCAGTGGCAATACAGCAAGCACAAACTTTCCAGCAGTTACGCCCCTTCAATTCCCAACCTCTAATAGCGTGGTCATGTCTGTGAAGCATGAAAAACCATACAACAGGCCTTCAAAGATACAAAAATCCATTCCGTCTCGACCAGAACCACCGCCGGGATCAAAAGAAGCAATGGCCAGGAAACAAGATTTTTCAGAATTGATTGATCTCACAGCGCTAGGCGACAATGATGATTATGTCATGTCGAGCAGTCACTCACCACCCAGACAGCCATCCCCCGAACCAGACTCGCTCCGAGGTTATAACCAGCAGACGATGTCAACACCAAGCGGCCCAGCACGATTTCCCGCCTGGGAAGCGTTTGCTTCAAACGAGCGAATAATATTCTCTCAACCAGTGAGTGTCCAGCAACCTCAGCACCTCATGGGTCTTCCGAAGCCGCCGCAAGGTCCTCGTCCGCCTACCAAGAACCTAGCCAAACCACTCAATCATGCAGAAGGACTGGCCAAGACTTACTATGATCCCAAGACTGTGGCTCGGGACATCCTCATTGCATCAGGCCGACATCCAACAGAGCGACCGTTGAATGCGCATATGGCTGGCCTGTTGAACCGTCACATCAGCATTGACTCTGATCTGTCGACTTTCGATTGGGATGCTGTCGATCCTGGAGGACCTCCAGCTCCCCAGGTCGAGTATACCGAAATGACGATGGGATCGCCTCAACGATCGATCAAACCTGATGCCAGATTCAATGATAATCACGTGACGAGGGGAGGTGACATGCATGCGCCAAGACTGGATAATCGTGACCGCGACTTTGCGTCGCGATCTCCTCCACCTGCGGCGGCCTTCCTCCCAATTCCACGAAATGTCCAATCTGTCATTCACAGTGGCCCCAGTCGTAATGGCATGACAAAGGCGTCAGAGCGCAGCCATGTGACCGATCGGGTGCAGGCGCCCGACCTACACCATCGACCATACTCTCTCGTTGCCGCGATAGGGAGAGCAGTACAGTCACTGACCGGACAAAGTAGACCGACTCCAGCTCCTATTCCTCCTGCGCAACTTCACACGCGAGAACGCAGTAGCAGAAGATCTTCGTCGAATTTAGTCAAAAGCCCGACCCCCGCATCTCGACCTCCTTCTGCTCCCGCCGCCGAACCTAACGAGATGGCCAGTGTTGTCCCGGTTAAGAGACGGGGTCGGCCGCCTGGTTCTAAAAGCAAGAACATGTCTGTGGCCGACATGCAACATGCAGCAAAACAAGTCATGACCGTGGAGGTTCCATCTGTAGCGGCCGCCAATACCCCAGTATTCAAGTGCCGTTGGAAAGGATGTCGAGCCGAGTTGCACAATCGCGTCACCCTACGACAGCACATTATCAAAGTCCACCAGGACCAAGAAGATACTCGGCGCGAAGAGGATGAGGAGACCGAATATCTCTGTTGGTGGAAAAAATGTAAACACCTCACACAATTTGACGACGGAATGGTGGCACCCTCAAAAACATTCGTAAGCCCTGCGTTGTGGTTGAAGCACATTGAGGACGATCACATTTACCCGTTGACGCTCAAGTATGGAGATGGCCCCTCGAGCACACACATCGGTAAGCAGACCAAGCCGCTATTTGATCTCTCGCGATTTCGTTATGACGCTTCGATTGGCCGAACAGATACTAGAACATTTTCTTACTTAGATCCCCAGACCTTACTCGCTGATAAGACGAGATACCTATCGGACGAACAAGGAAGACTTGCAACCCCCTCTGTGTCGGAAGAGTCGCAAGCAGATTTAGAGCCGGATACAATAACACTACTCAGTGTCGATCATGATGAAACAGACCGTCAGGCCCATCGCAGCTTTATGAAAGCCCATCATCGTCAGAAATACACGCCCAAATCGGCCGCAGAAGAGATGCTTCGTGCCCTGGAGGTTCATAAAGTCAAAACAAGTGGTATCGAGACCGACGGCGCCGTCCTAGCCACCGAGGCGAGGAGAGCGAGGTTCATACACAATCCTGGTATCGCTATGGTTGTGGACGAGGAGGATTAAAAAGAAGTATTTTCGGCCTCGGTGGAAGACGACAAATGTAGTGAGGCAGTACAAAGCCCTCAACGTCAGACGACGGAGATGGCAAAAGGAAATGAAGCGAACGGAAGCAGCCTTTCGAGAGCTCGAGTCGAAGACGTCAATAAACAACGACATCACATGGCACATTTGAATGTAGCTGTCAACAAATGAAAGCACGATAGCATTTGCCAACTAAGATGACTGATAACACTAGATGGACCGTACAAGGTTGGGCAACCTCCGGGTTCCATGCTTGGAAATCCATCAATTTCAGATCAGATTCAAATTACCATCGTGAAGTGATATTCTCGTGGCTATGAATCGGTTGACTTTCGTGGTAGATAAATCGAAGGGCTTTAGCCGATGGAGATTCAGGTACTCCGCCGAGACGTCGTAGACGTTGCTTGGAGTATCAATCCTTAGAACCGCCCACTAGGCTCATATCGATGCTTGTGACAATGGTTTTTTTCCCTTTGAAAGTAGGATCGCTCTCCGAGTGGATTCCAAGGCGAAGAAGTCGAAACCATCTTCACTCAACCGTGTGTTCAATCATAATATGAGAGAAGACTTCCTCCTCATTCGAACAGGGGTGCGAAAAGACGTGGACGTTGGGCGATCTGCAAAAAGAAGTCTTTACTCCCCGAGGTCACTCAGAAAGTCATTGCGACCACCTCTTCCTCTCATCACCTCTTCTCAACCCCCGGCGCACCACCCACCACCGCAACAACAGGTTTTGTGGCACCAACGCCTTGGCTTTCGGATTGTAGATCGCTCGATAATTCGTCTTCAACTGCGTTGACTTCGAGGAAATGGTAGAAGACGATCAGTAACATGGCGGCGCTGCCGAGGAATACGGCCAGCGAGTATAATTGGGCATCTGTTATCATGGTGATGTTGAGGTGAATGTGAATGTGGATGTGAAGGTGATGTAGGTGGGCTTGGAGATTCGGATGGATGGCTCAAGATGTCTGTCTGCCTGCCTGTCTGTCTTTCTAGCAGCTTGCTCCTTTCGGAGGTTGAGAGAACTAGACTGAACAAATCGAGGGGGTGGAGAGATGGATGGATTTCGGGGGAGAAAGAAAGGAAAGGTAAGCTAGGTCGAATGGGACTAGTTGTCCGCACTTTCAGACGTCTCTTGCGAAGGATAAGTGTGTTGTGTTTGAAAGAGTGTGTAGTGAAAGCTACGGGTGGATGTATGGTAAGTCATGCATCAGTATTGGAAGGATAGTGTCCGTAAGGTGTACTCGTATGCTGGAGGTTTCCTTGCGGACACAGGGCTGTCTCCTATTGGCGGAAGGAATGCGACCAGATGTTAGGGATGACGCGGAGAAACTGTATAGTTTGCCGTAATTGAATAGTGACGAGCTTAGAGACTTGATATGCAGAATGAAACATATATCAAATATGTATATTAACACAATAGTATGTATCAAGATATCCCTACTTCGTCTCAAGACTGGATACAACCGTGTCCTAATGTCGAACAAGATTGCTTTTTATTTCAGTTCCGCAGCCGCCTCGTTCAACTCTTCCACTTTCCCCTCAAGCACACACCCAATCGCCCTCTCCAATACAATGACAAACTCGGCCTGAACCTGAGTTTCTTCTTCTTCACCAGACAGTTCATTCTGTAATCCTTTGGAATCTGACCCAGCCAAACCCATATCACCCACCAATTTCCAATCAACCTCCCTTTCAATTGCACTCTGCAAATCATCTGCATCCTTGACAGGTACACCAATCTGACGCAAGGCATCTAGTGCCTTATCATCGGCAAAAGGCCACAATGCATCCCCCCAGCCGTCGACACATTGGATTCGACGACAGAAGATCTCTCCGCCCACGACACCCAGACCAGGAACCGTTGATTTGATATGCTGCACCACTCCCTGCGACCCGGACTCATTGGCTTCCTCGGACAGAGCATACATGGTCTCCGAATCCGAATATGCCTGCCCCGTTTCGTAGATATACTTTGCCGTCTTCTGGCGATGTTGGGTCCGCGCGGTTTCGAGTGCTTCCCATACACGCTGCTCGCCGGCTTGGACCACGGCGTCTGCGCTGCAGAGTTCGAATGGTTCATTCAACAGTGTCCGAATCGATCGCATTCCTAGGACATGGCTCAGTGGTTTGGAGAGTAAGTGTGCGCATATCAAATGTTCAAATGCAGTTAACGATGTTGGAGATGATCGAGAGTAGGATTTGTATTTGCCCGACGATTTCCCGGCTTCTAATTCCTCGTCTGGAAAACAATATGGTAATGATTTGCCGGAGAGAAGGAAATTGAGGAGTTGCTTGGGTGTGGCTTTGGAAGAGGAAGTAGAGGCTGAATCCTTTCCCTGTTCATCATCACCACTCTTCTCTTGTCGTTGCGACTTGGTCGAATGCTCTTGGGAGACATTCGTCGGTGCCTCCTTTCTCTTCTGACCAGCGTGAGGGTCATTTTCTTTGTCGTTATTGTCCTCTTCGGGCTCTTCGACGGCTTCGTGATTGTTGTCTGCTTCACCGTTCTGTTCTGCTTTTCGATCCGAGTCTTCGGATTTGCCGTGCGACGATGTCATCTTTCTTTGTGGTTTGCTGTGTCTTTTCTTTCCTCAGAGATTATCCCTTTCTTCTTTCTTTTACAGTGGTGCCCAGGTCGAAAATGTGTCAATTTTTCTCAACACACTCGTCTTAGATGGATGCAACGTTAGCGACAGGTAGTCAAGGTCGCCGATCTATTTGTATCTCATTTCTTTTCCCTTTTTTCCCTTTTTGGGAAACATGGTGTCATCATGATGCTCTTGTTTTGGTGCCTGAGTGTCTGAGTACCGTCGCGGGTCAGGGGTATCCATCCAAAGTCATGACGTACATGCCTGGGGAACCCTTTCCATGTCAATCTCCACTCTTAGAAGAGATCGATCGACTCCTTGAGTACTCGATAGGCCGTTCGACTAGATCTTGAGGGTAAAGGGCCGTCTCGTAATGTATGTTTGTGGAGGTATTGTTGTAGTATTGTGCTATACCATTACAAAAGATGGGAGGCCCTTTCTGCCTGACTTCCTATGACACTCCCCATCATAAGTCTTGCTATTAAAAGAATGCCACCGGAGACATCATGATCGCCATCTCTCAGGCTTCATTACTTGGGTACGCTACCTGATCAATCGTACCAAACTCCTCCTTGACTGTCTGCACACTGACAAAACGACTGAGAAGAGTCGCAGTGCCAGACTTGTCATTGGTGCCACTATCTCGACTGCCACCGAATGGCTGTTGGGCAACCACACTGCCGGTACATTTTGTGTTCAGGTACAACATCCCAGCCGAATGTCGAAGTGCAGATTGAGCCTCGCGACTTGCGATGGGGTCACGGGCAAAGATTGAACCCGTCAGGGCGTATGTAGATGTCGAGTCGAGCAGCCGTAGAGTCTCTGACCATTCCGCGTCTGGGAACACATACACTGCGAAAAGCGGTCCAAATAGCTCACGTTTCATCAAGTCATGCCGCGGATCAGATGTCCGATATATCGTTGGATGCACAAAATACCCCTCTGAATCGTCGACCTTGCCTCCTGTGACAAGCTCGAGTTGAGAATCAGTCTTAGCTTGCTTGATCACATCTGCCAGCCGGTCAAAGGCTCGTTGGTGAATCACTGGGTTGATAAAATTGTCGAATTGCTCTGGCTGGCCTACGCGGAGCTTCGAGGTTTCTTCGACAAGAACTCGCTTGAACTCAGGCCAGGCAGATTCCGCAACGTATACCCTGCTACATGCGGAGCATTTCTGGCCCTGGTATTCAAAAGCGGCACGGATCGTGTTGAGCGCAGCGTTGCGGATGTCGGCTGATGAGTGAACCACATGAAAGTTCTTTCCACCAGTCTCACCCACCACGCGAGGGTATGAATTGAAAGTGCCTGCTGCCGTAGCCTTACCCACTTTCCCGAGAATCTCCTTGAATACTGCAGTCGAGCCAATATATGACAAACCAGAGAACTCGGCTCTCGACAGCACAGTATCTGTGATCTGAGCAGCATCGCCTGGGACGAACTGAATAACGTCTGGAGGAAGTCCAGCTTCAATTAGTATCTTGTGCAAAACCCAGGCGGAGTGGAGAGCTGAGGGTGATGGTTTCCAGATTACAACATTGCCCATGAGAGCTGCTGGCCCTACTAAGGAAGCCGCCAATGCGGTGAAGTTGAAAGGTGCGATGGCATATACAAAACCTTCCAGAGATCGATATTCAAGCTTGTTCCACGTTCCGGGTGTGTGAATTGTGGGTTGCTGAGAAAATAGATCAAAAGCCTGCTGAATGTAAAAGCGGAAAAAGTCCACTGTCTCACAAGCTGCATCGATCTCGGCTTGATACACATTCTTGCCTTGACCGAGCATCGTGGCAGCATTGAGCGTTGCGCGGTATTTACCGGTGATTAGTTCGCAAGCTCGAAGAAATATTGCAGCCCGGTCTTCAAATGGCATCGCTTCCCATGCCGGTTTGGCTTTTAGAGCCGCATCGATACACTTGTTGACGTCTGAAACAGAAGCAGGGGCATATTCGGCCACAATTTCTCGATACTTTGAGGGGTTTGGTTGAGATTCGGTCAAGTTTGAATTGATCTGGATGTTTGTTTAGTCTGAAAGGGTCTCTGCAGCGGCACAAGGGGGAAGAATTCAGTTCAAGTTGCTGCACGCTAGGAACACTAACCTCGACACCTCCAGAAACCAGGGGGATCTTAGCGGGTAGGCTTGCTCGAAGAGCCTTCAATGCATCCAAGATCTCACTCCGCTCAGGGGAGCCCTTGGCATATAACCTCTATCGTCCCTGTCAATGATGCCCGCTCTAGAAGGGAATTCACACGCGCGAATTTACTCACCACAGGCTCATTCTCAAATGATGGAGGGTTCCAATGTGACAATGATCGAGAGGATTTGATGGCTGCAGGCCGTAGCCGGAACAGAACAGCAGCGTTATGTCTTGGTGAGATTGCGAAACCCAACCTCTGTGCTGACTGAAGACTCATGGCTTTTCACTCTGATGTTAAGGTCTGCAATACGGAGACAGCGACGAGTTGATATCGGGAAAACAGAATTCACGACATGATTGATATCTGCTCTCATCCCTTACCAGTTGATAGACCCTGGGGTCTCCAATCTTACCAAATAACTGTCTATCGTCCCGGCGAGACGATAGCAGCTCCGCCTTTTGTCATCGTCAGATTGGATGCCCGTATCTTTCCAACTAAGTCTCGCATGCGACATCATGAGCAGGCAATACTGCAGGGATCTGAGAATGCATCGGTAAGTCATGCCGAACATGCGGAGAAGGGCGTCCCATTGCACTTGGTTGAACAAGGGAGCCGATAAGGTAAGTCATTTCTTGAGCGGTAAACATGATTGGGAGCTTTCTCTGATGGTCACGGCGCCTAGATTAGGCATGCCACGGAGTTGGAGCATAGGTCTGAGGCGTGAGAGAAACATCTCAACAGTCTGATCAAGTAAACAAGAAGTCATATGAACATTGGTCATTGATCGCATGTGGACGTGAGGTTGATATGAAAAGTTCATTAGGAAGGTATTCCGGCGGACTTCACGTGATATCGATCTTGGCATCTCAACCACATCGTCGACGTGAAGTCGAGGTTCTCCTATAGAGATATCATAACACAAATATCATGCTTCTTCATTCATCATTTATATCATGTCGTCTTGAACAGCATCCTTCTCTTCAACTCCTTTCTCAACTCGACCATACCATCCTTCAGCCTCTCAGCCGCACTAGCATTTTCCACTGCCCGACGCATGAGGAAATTCAACACCTCGGTAACGGATCCCCAACAGAGACACTTGTAAGCCAGTGGAGCTGTACGAAGCTTGAGCTCATACGATTCCTCTCCCTTGTGCTCGCTCGCATCCCGCGAAATGTCCTCATACTGTTGTACAAGATCACAACTGATGTCGTCCGCCATCCCCTGAAGTTGCCCGTACTGAATCGGCGGCACTTGTCGGCCTGCTTGAACGAGCTCGGTGACCAGAGATGTGGCCATACGGACGGAGTCCTTGTTATGCCCTGCGAGAAAGAGCCGTAGATCAGGGAATTCGGAGGCGGTAAACCCCGGAAACAACACACCCTGTCCAGTCTCTTTCCTGAGTAGGTCCCTGGCAATGCCGTTATAGGACTCATCTGTTTGCTCTTTTGTATCCCATATCCTGTCACGCATTTCACTTGCAATATATGCGCCACGGACCTGCTTGATACCCAGAGTCCAGCCCTCTTCGCTGGCATATTGCAAAAAGCGTCCGACTGTCTGACGTGAGGATTTAAGGTAGGTTTGGATAGTCGTCCAAACCAAGGCCTGATGGTTTCGATTGTATTTTCTCATCAGATTCAGCGTCCAGGTATCGATTGTTGGTTGAAAAATCTGCTGCTCTGCGTCGATCCAGATCTGGCTTTTCTGTGATGCCGCTTGCGTACATAATGCATCCATAGCCTGGCGCAATTGTTCTGGTGGTTCGGCTCCCGAAGCAAGGCACTTGCTGACATTAGGACCGGCGCCTGTGAACCTAGTGCGCGCACGGTTGGTTAGTCCTGCCATATTCAGTGTTGTGGGAAGACCCTTGACAGGCCGATGTTGATGCCTACTTGATGTTCATGTAGTCGTTGGCACCGATCATGGCCAATGTGGCTCGATTGCCCTCGAACCATTGAGCGATATGCTCGTCTTGCTGAGTCGGAGAATCTGACTCGATTGGGCCTTTTGACTGTGCGGAAGAAGCGTCCCTCGCATCCACCACAATCTCTCGACCATACCCAAGGATCACCCCGGCATAGCCCGCTGCTTTGATCTCGGTGATAGTCTTCTTCACTTCTGAGACGGTTGCCCCAGCACAGAAATGGTCGTATACCAGTGCACGGATGACGCCTCGTACGATTGGGTTTCGGTCGGGATTCAACAAGGGTGATTTGGATTGAATAATGATATTCATCGCCCCCATCAAGACTCGAAGCAGCCGAACAGATGTGAAGCAGTAGCCAAGAAACAGGGAGCGGAGGAGACTGACGGTTGAGAGACGTGACAGGGGAGACAGCCTGACATGACGGCTATCGCTTGTGGTGACCGATGGAGGTGTTGTTATGGCCGATTGGTGAAAATCTGCGGATGTTGATGTCGATGTTGTCGCAGTTGTCGTTGTCGATGCTGATCTCGTCCAGACGATGCTTCTAGATGCGATCTTCTGACAGGACACATGCCAATTGTTCTGAACACTACCATCTCGTGGCAGCCGCCCAGATCCAAACGACGTCCCCGTTGGTAGCAAGCGTATCGTCCTGGACGCAACACGCAACCAATAACGATTATGCATGACGAGAAGAGTTCGAGTCTGAAAGGAAACCAATAGGATTCGTAAGAATCAAGATAATGAGAAACCACAGCAAGACATGCTACAAGATGCCTGTCTCCTAATGAATTGATTATCAGATAACAAGTCCTTTTGTCCTTATCAAGAAGTAGAAAAGTCACAAAACTACTACCGAAGACTAAATAATGTAATAGACGATCGTCAAAGGGTACCTACAAAGGTAAGCAGACAAGTACCTAGGTAGGTAGTCGAAGTACTGATTAGATATTACAAGCTGAACCCAGCATGGACGGACGACATGGCATATTCAGTCCAACAAATCCCCTTGTCCCAAGTTCGGTAGATTGATGTTATGATAAGCCTTGGCCCCTCCATCCCTCCCTCTTACAGACTCAGATCTAGTGGGTCATGGAGTACAACGATCTTCAGTAGGGCAATTCTATTCGTCACAAGTACTTGGAACACACGGGTGTCGGAGACCGATAGCCGAATGCGTGGGCGCTGAGGTCCGATGGTGGGCATTCAACACAAGACCAGGTCCGGGGGGAGGGGAAGGGTTTTTGATTGAGGAGACGAGATAGGTGAAGATGATATGTGTAAATCTATAATCCAACACGTATAGAAGATGAGATGGGTGGGTACCGGCCAGTAGATCATAATATCACTCCTTTCCACTCTGATGCTATTCAACCAGTGAAAAGAGTCATGAATTCGCGGCTGGCAAGTCTAGATTATCATTTCAAAAAGGTCTCGTAAATATCCAAAAGTCTCCATGTTTTCCCTGATCCTGGTACGCTCCTCGGGAAATGTGTTCCCAGATATCCTAGTGACACAAAAATGCATGGCAATGATACCTCAACCCTATCCTGTGAATAGATCGCAAGGATAATATGTCGTAATAATGCAGTCGAGAAATCAATCTCCTTCAATTCTCATTCTCTCTTCGGGCCCACCATTTGTCCTCCTTTCTCTTCTTCATCCTGGAACACCAACGTCCTTCGCTTGCTGGATCATCATTGCCAGTAGCGCCTTTTCTTCATTTGTAAAGTCCCGCCGATATTCGGGTTCCGCAGTCAAGCAGCACATGTTGCTTTCCTCCAACTGCCATGCTCCAGGGTCTCGGATGTCATGAGGTTCGATCAGATAGTGTTCAAATGTGCCAAACTTCTTCTTTTTCTTGTCCGCAAATTTGTTCTCCATCAGCCAACCATTGAACCACAGTGGTTTGCCGTCCAGATCCAGATGGAGTAATTGTGGTGCACAGATGGTATACGCCACAGGCTCTTCCGTGGTCTCATCAGGCTCCTCGTCGATTTCCTCCCATTCATTGTCTCCATCCACGTCGCCCTCGGCTTTATCGTCAGTACTGACTTCGCCGTCTTGGCTCTGATTCTGGCCCTCCTCACCTGGAGGAGGTGGTGGTGCCGGTTTCTTTTTGGGTTTCTTCTTCTGTTTTTGCGGAGGAGGCGGTGGGGGTGGATGTTCATTCTTGTCTTTTCGCTTGCCATCGAGAGAATCCCTGGCTTCGGCAGTACCCATAATACCGGCGTCACCTTGATGGAATGCATAATCTTGATCACCTACGAGTTCCCATCCGAGCCAAAAAGTCTCTTTGTCACCTGAGATACATGTTAAATTGGACGCAAAACTTCACGGTAGAGATGGGTTGTTGGCTCACCATAAACCATATCGTAGACACCAACTCTTCCCTCCTCCTTGTTCCCGTCACGATCGGGACCATTCATACGTGTAACAAGCAGAAGGGCAATAAAATGTCGCCATTTGTCAACAACGATGACGCCTGATTCTTGCTGGTGACCACTGTCACCGGTCCAGAAACGACTCTGCTTGACCTGCCTCGAGATTGGCTTAGGGAGGATCTGCTGGAGCCAGCGCTTCTTGTTCTCTGGCATAATAAGCCGATCTCTGAAGAACAACGCACCCGTCTTTTGATACTGGGGTTCTTCGAAGAGCGAGGCAGGATTCTTGAAGAAGAGACTGTCGGCATCAATAAAGACGACCTCGCGGAAGCTAGAAAATAGGATGGCGAACGGCTTGGCAGCCCAACCAGCCAATTTCCATCCTTCGTCGTTCACCATCTGCGCAATATCACGGGTGATGACGCCATCTAGCGCCTCCAGGTCTTGTCGATAGTCTTCACTCAAATCTGAGTCACCGAGATACATGACCTCAATGGGCAGGTCGCATCCCAGTTTCCTAAACGTGGGAATTGTGGTGAGCAGGAAAGGCGCCTGGGCGTCACCAGCGGTCAAAACGATGCCTCGACCGCCTTGGCGGAAATGCGAATGAAGAGTCATATGATCTGGGAAGTACGGGGCGGTCCATGGAAAGAGCAGCTGGCCGAATTTGACAAGAAAGTATCGATATGCTTCGTAGGAGTGGACGGTGGCAGCGAGTTCACCTTCAGCGAGATCCTGGGCGTCGGAGGAATGGGAGTTGTAGCGAAGATACTGGATCACGTCGTCGCGAACGTAGGCGCCGCCATCTTCATCAAAGGACAAATGAAGATCCTCCCAAGCCTCGAAATACTTTTTGTATTCTCGGACACGCAGACCCATCTCACGAAGTTTCTCCTTTCCAGTGCCTTCGACATGACGCAGTAAATCTCGACCTTCCATTTCTCCAGGCATCAGGTCGATGACACGGCGGAGTGATTTTTCGAACTTGGCACGTTGAGCGAAGGTAACCGAGTCGTCGGAGAGGGCATGTTTGGCTCCGTTGAAGGCTTGCTGAGGCTTTGACCCAGCCCCCTCTCGGGGTGGGACGATGTCATCCTCGTCGACCTCAACCACAGATGGAGCTTTGGGTTGGTTGAGAGAGTTCTCCGGTGGAGGTGCTTTGAAGGGGATTTTGTCGGCTGATTGTCCTCCATTGACATCCGGTGATGCAGGCGCTTGAGGGCCACCTTGCTGATGAGGAGCGTTTGCGATGGGGTTGGTGTGGATTAAATCTGAGCCTTCGTGGATGGAAGCGTCTTGGGGGATGCCTCCAAAAGTGGCGTGATCAGCGTGATCAGTGAACGAAGGTGCTGGGTCTGAGTCGCCAGAATATAGATAGTAAATCAGAGGAATGCAAATCAAAAACACGAGCAGAAGGGCAACTTGTCGTGGCCTCAATGCACGCCTGGAGGGACCTGGATACGGGAGACCTGGTAATGATCGGCCCTCCTTGAGTGGTGCATTTCGTGGAGTAAACATGCCTCCGGGCAGCGACATTAATAAGTCAAGGCAGGATTAGGATTGTAGTACGAGTCTCCAACCGGTTGGACAATGGCGAAATTCAAGACCCCTTGTTGGACGTCGAATTCATTGGATGGCGTGGGGTTGGAGGTTTGGTAACGCGTTTCCGACGCGACTAAGTAACGAGCGAAATGACGGGGTATAGTGGAGAGAACCCAACGTTGTCGATATCGGTCTCAATTGTCTGGCACGGCCAATTCAATATGACACGGACAGGTCGCGCAAGACAGCGCAATTCAAAAATAAATCCAAAAAGCACAGAAAAGGGAGATGGAAGTGAACGTTGGAAGAAAGTTGGTGTGAAGGGAGGTCAAGGGTTTCTTTGAGTTAAGGGAGGAGCCACTGTGGAATTTTCTTGAGTCCAGCAAAGGCAAGTGCCAGAATTCAGCGAAGTGGAGAGGATGCGAGATGCAGAATTGCGCCAAAATTGGAAGCGAGGGGCAAATAAAAGTTGGGAACTTGGGGAGGAAAGGCGCTGGGGACATATTCGGGGACTCGGGACCACGGGCTCCAGGGCACCACGGGGCCAGGCAAGTACGAGGGTTGGTTCTTGCCTCCGCCCAATCCTCCTGGTCTTTTTTGAGTTTAGCCTTGCCGGCTGACATTCCCCTTTTGACACATTTCAAGTGACGCCTCATGGTCAATTCTAGGCAGCGATCACCTGAGAATTTACAGAGTACGAGGTTGCGAATCGCCTCTACTCACCATGTTCTCCTACTGCATCCTGTACATTCTCATGTCCCCTTGCTGAATCATTTTTTCTTCTCTCTGCATTGTTGTAATCTCTCCTCTTCGGTAGTATCGAACCCTAAGCAATGACATGGTGGCGCTCATGTCCTGCATTACTTGCCCTGTGCTTCGTCGGTTTTCTTGGGCAAAGCTTCGCTCCACTTCGCTCCCCTCACGCTTAACCAAGGATTTCGGGTAAAGGCTATTCTCATTCCACAAATAGATTCACTAGGCAAAATACTGTCTAATGCCTTCGGGGCATGTTAATCAACGTTTCATTAACACAAACTTGATCAATCCAACCACATGGATTGGGTCGTGGTCGACATGGCATCAGTTGTCATAGTCTCATCGCTGCCATCTACCCCTCGAGATTGCAGGGCCAAGGGATCCCCTGAGAACACAAGTCTTGGACCAGTAAAGTGACACCTGTCGCCCGCCATACCTAGGATACCCAAGACATTGCTTTACGATGTTATATGTCCTCGTATACATACCCATCTGACCCCCATGTTCGTATTCTCGATGAGCAACGACACGATGACACGTGATATATACACGTGATCATGCCATTCTCTGCTTGGGGATTTTGGGAATAAAGACCCAAACACCCAGGCAGACTACCAGGGCTGCCAGAACGATAGGTTGCAAGACTTTGACGCCCGCGGCGTTGGCGATGGCACCCACAGCAAAGGGCAAGACGCACGCACCACTGGCTCCAAACGCTGCTGCAAATCCCACCGCGGCCACGTGCAGGTTCTTGGGCAATAACTTGGTCATGGCCACAATGGCCGCGGGGAAAAGTGGCCCAAGGAAGAAGCCCACAAAGCTGATCATGACAGCACTGACAAAGAAGTTGGGGATGAGCCAAAACATCAGTTGCAATGCCACGCTGCACACGAGGTAGACGGCGACCGCGTGCTTCTCTGTCTTGAACAGCCTCCCGGTCACGAAACCAAGGATCAGACGTCCCACCGTGATGCCCAGCCAGAATCCTGTCGACACCATTCCAGAGGCAAATGGTGCACCTTTACGGACATTGAGCATGAACACCACGATCCAGCCTCCAATACTGACCTCGACGCCCACGTAGACCAGGAGGAATACTGATGCGAGCAGCGTGATTTTGTTCTTGACGGCTTCGGCTGTCTTGCTCTTGGTGCCTTTGGCCCTTTTCCCAAATGGACTAATCTTTTTCCAAAAGCTCCGTGATTTCGCAGGTGAGCGTTCCTGGTTGTGACCTTCAATTGTCCAAGGATCGCTCTCGCTAGAGTTTATGTTCTCCACGGTATGTGGATGCTCGGCGTTGTAAGCCTTTGCATCAGCCTCCCAAAAAGCCGACACCAGGACAACCACTTCCAATGCCGCTGCACCGACCATGATGTAGTAGAACTTGTACCACTCCCACCCAGCCTGTGTGACGAGTGAGGTGGCCACGAGAGGTGAAATGGCGGCGCCGAGTCCATAGAATCCGTGCAGAAAGCCCAACACCTCGTTGGCGTTGGCCATGTCCCCAATCCAAGCATTCCTAGAGACGGATCAGTGTCAAGCACGGAAGAGAGACCCTCGTAGCACCTACCAGCCACTGTCACCCAAGCCATTCCCATAACCTGCAAGAATGAAAACAACAACCAATGCGGGATAAGGCGGATGGAGACAGATGGCAACTATGGTCATGTCAGATAAGTGACGTCGGGACGTTCCTACACGACATACCGTATGCTATCAAATGGGAACAACTCATGATGATGGCCACTCCTCTTTGCCCGTACACCGTGTGGATGTGATTGTTGGTCAAAGCAGCACATGAGTAACCAACGATAGGACTAAGGAAAACCAGAGAGATGACAGTATAGTTGATGTTGTAATATGTCTCTAAATATGGAATGAGGGGACCATATGCTGCATCGTTGGCTCCAAGGACAATGAAGGAATAAAAAGTGGCAAAACAACGCCATACATTGATGCGTGGTGAGTTCCATTTCTGTAGTTGTGGAACGGCAGTGGTAGGAGGTGGGAGGGCACCAGCAGATCTATCGTCCTTAACAACCTCGTGGAATTCTTTGTTTGAGCGGCTGCTTCGAAGCGTCCGCTCAGGGAGTTCGATGACCATGGTAGAGCTCCCTCCTGAAGCATTGTTGGACGCCATGAAGGGCAAGTATGCTGCTCGTGACTAGGCAAGTTCGCTGGATAGGTGTATCATTACTTCGATAGCGTGTAATATCTTTGTAGTATATTGGACTGCCCCGATCAATACGGGCAGACTAGGAGACGAATTTCTATGGGTGGATGGATATTGCATCAACACATCAGGTGACGGTATCTGTCCAGAGCCGGTGAAAAGTGGAAAAAGTACCTAGGTATCAATTTAATGATAACATTAATCCCACGCTGGAGTTTCAATCACCAGGCGTCATGATGCTTTGAGTGCCGAGGATCTCCCGTGATCATGAGGAAGGCACCGAAGAAGGGTTGGATCTCTATTCAGGGCAGGCGGTCCGCGAGTGGACCAGATTCAATGAGGAAATCCTTCCATAATAATAAAAGGTTCTTTTGGCGGGGATGTTGCGATACTCAATCAAATTATAGCTTGGGATATGCATCATGCTGTACCGTATATATGCTAGCCTAGTTGATCGATCAATGATCATCGACTATGCTGCCTGTATTCTGCAATTGAGTTGACGGTAGTAGTTGTATAGTAGATCGACATATCCTGCAGTACTGTTGTTCTGTTCTGAAGCGGGGAAGTGCAGCTCTCAAATAACGTGTCAGGGTCGGTTGCTCTTTCGCTTGCAAACCGCAAACCGCCGCGGCAGACGAGAAGGAAGGAGCGAGGGACTTGCTCCCTTACTTTTCCCCTCTCTACTTCACACGACTCCCATCAGCCAACGTCGTATCACCTGATACAGTGCAACTTCCTGTATCACATATGAACAATGTCAAGCATTGGTACGCCCAGCAATTTGCTTGTCTGGACGACATCACGTAAATCATGATGTGATATGGCACCAGTATACTAACTCTCGCGATCTTGAGAACATCGCCGTTGAACGTCAGTAGCCCTGCCTACTCGCTTTGAAATGAAACGCTAACGCGACGACCCCTCGGAAATGCAGCATTCGAGGGCAACGAGAAACGCTCAGAGATACTTGCTCGAGGATGAATCCCTTGCTCTGCGGTCAAACATACTCTGCGGAAATGACCCCAAAATCGTCAAGACCGCTACCAAAGGAACGTGAGACCATCGTGACCTCCTCGTTCATCGCAAAAAGAGATCCGGAAACGCCCAAACACCAACGCTAGCCTGGCCGGAGAGAAACCAGTCCTGTGTACCTCCAGAGATTACCGCCAACAACTGCTCGAGTCGAACGACGCTAGTAGTCGACACCAGAGGCACCCATCCGGTCGTGAACGTCTAAAACGCTGTCCATCCCATGTCAGCCACGTCCAAAACTTGATCTCTCCAAAAAACTTACGAGTATTGCCTGCTCAGCGTGCCCTCCCCACCTTTGGCAAGGTCGATAGTGAAGACATAAAAGTTGCCCTCGCTGGTCACCACCATTACCTGGGGTGAATTGCTGTTCATGGCCACCACACTACGGAGCTGTCCGGGATTGACTCCAGATGCCGCCCGCGGAAGACGGATCCACGCAAAATCACGCGAAGGCTCCCACATTTCAGCAACCCCTTTGGGCAGATATCCTCCCACAGTGGTCGCTAGATTGCTTCCCACGTTCTGGCTCGTCCTTCGGAGCAGCCCCATAAAGGTTCCGTTGGGCTTGCGGCCGGACACAGCGCTGGGAGATCCGGGCTCGCCGTCTTCCTCGGCGGTATTCTCCAGAGAACGCTCACTACTCTGGCTCAGTCGCAGAGTAAATGGCGTCGACGTCTTGGTTGGGGAGCTCGAATCATGATCATGCTCCTCCGAGTGCGTAGGAGGGGCCAACTTGAATATATGGACTGTCTCAGTGGCCGATGAGACGCATAGTAGCGTCGACGTGATGTTGAAAGCCATACTGTAGATCCGGGAAGGCATGGAACCACGCCTGAATTGGTAAAGTTTGTGTCCGTCCGGAATGGAGAAGACACGGATGATGGTCCCTTTGTCTGAGGCGGTTGCTAGGATCGTGCCTTCATTGTTGAATGCAATGCACGACAATGGTGACCTGTGCGCCTCAACCACGTTGACGGCCTCGAGCTTCACCGCATCGAAAATCAGCACCTCTCCAGACGTTGGAGGTACATGGGTTGCGTTCGGTGGTGCATGCGACGGAGGTGCGAACGAAGTCGAGGCAGCCTTCTGTGGCAATGGATAAGCTAAATAGCAATTTTCAGATGATGGCGACAAGGCGCAAATGGCTGTGGTGCTCGTCAGTCAACCGGCTTCATGTGCTGGTCATGCAATTGGGAGGACCCACCTGTTGGGTTTGGGGATGTTTCAATGGTGTAGAGTAACTTCATGGTCTGGATATCATACAGATAGATTTGGTCTTCAAGAACAATCACAAGTCTTTTCCTGTTGAGCTTGACGGACAACACGGTTGTCGGAAATGTAAGTTCGCATATGATGGAATTCCGCTGGCAATTGTCAGTGGGAAAGGCAGATGGGAAGGCCGACTTGTATCACCTTTGTGTTTTTAATCTGCAATCTTCTGGGGGACAGGATAAGGGCGACGAGGGAGGTAGAGAATAGCATCTCCAGGATGGCAATGTTGCCGGCATCTCTTGACTCGAAGCATTTCGCAAAGGGGTCGGTGGTGAAGATACGAAAGCCTCGAGAGGTCCCTATGAGATGTCGTTAGAAGAACCCTGGTCAAAGAGTAACCCAGCCCCAGCTTGACATACCGACAGCGAGATGGCTGTAGTCCTGGTTGAATGTCACAAAGTTCATCGCCATGTTTAGAGAAGGGACAGCTTTTCGAGTCGGTGCTATAATGATAATGATGGGGGGGCCATGGATCTTTTGGGTCAGTGTTGAATGTCTGGAGTGTCAATTCAAGCAGTCTCAAGACACGTTGGCAGGTGTTTTTGAGACAAGAAACAAGTCAAGTGAGTAGACCAGGCTGCTGAAAGTGATGGATGTACCATTGGTCGCAGCAAGAATCTGGGGAAAGACTGGACTCGGAATGCGAAGGATGAGGGATCTGCTCAGGGCAGTTAACATGTGACGTCGCCAAACCAGGGCATCTTATCATGGCAGGTTCCCCGAGAAGTGGTTGATACGCCATGCAGGAAGGCGCTCTCCCCACAAGTCCTGTGTCGCCCCTGCCGCAACAAACATGGCGAACCTCTGGAGAGCACCTTCCCTCAAATTGATGGGCCCACAGTGTTGCCTCCTGCTCCCAACAAATTGACATTTATTCTTCATATCTAATCTCATGGTTGTCAATCTGCTATCAACGCCATCGGCCTCATATGAAGCATGGCTGATAGCATGGACACCGATGACATGACTACGTCCCGTGGGGTAAAGCGAAATGCTCAAGAAGCCGGTCTCCTCGAGGCCCCAAGAAGAATCAAGGCACGTCGTGACTGCCTGCGCCATCGTCGCCATTGCCTTTCAACTGACATCATACACAGGCTCTCGACCAAGATGTCGTTAATAAGATCGCAGCCGGAGAGATCATTGTTGCCCCCATGCATGCTCTGAAGGAGTTGCTCGAAAACTCGATTGATGCTGGTTCCACTGCCATTGAAATTTTAGTGAAGGACGGCGGGTTAAAGTTGTTGCAAATTACCGACAATGGACACGGCATCGAGGTAAATCCCCAATACATCAATCCATGTCCCCGTGGCACTGCTAAAACTATGTAGAAAGATGATCTGCCCATCCTATGTGAGCGCTTCACCACGTCCAAACTCAAAGACTTTCAAGATCTCATGTCGATTGGTACCTATGGTTTTCGAGGCGAGGCTCTTGCTAGCATCAGCCACATTGCGCATCTGAGAGTTACCACCAGGACGGCGAGTTCGAGCTGTGCTTGGCAAGCTCATTATGCTGATGGACGTCTGACTTCACCCAAGCCAGGCCAGAGTCCTGAACCCAAGCCTTGTGCTGGGCGTCCTGGCACCCAGATCACGGTGGAAGATCTGTTTTACAACGTTCCGAATCGCCGACGAGCCTTTCGCTCCCCTTCCGATGAGTATGCCAAAGTCCTCGATGTCGTCACCAGGTACGCCGTTCACCGCGAGGGAGTTGCTTTTAGCATTAAGAAGCATGGCGAGACCGGCGCTGGCTTCTCTGTAGCTTCCGCCGCTACCAAACTTGATAGGATCAGGCAAGCCCATGGCAGTGCCATCGCGAAGGAGCTCATTGAGTTGAGCGTCGAGGATGACCGATGGGGATTTCGCGCATCAGGTTATGTGACCAATGCGAATTACAGTGTCAAAAGGACCTCATTTCTCCTGTTCATCAACAACCGGTCCGTCGAATCTTCGGCCGTCAAAAAAGCGATTGAACAGATTTACCAAGCATTTCTCCCGAAAGGCGGTCACCCCTTTATATATCTCAGCCTCGAAATCGATCCTGCTAGAGTCGATGTCAACGTTCATCCCACAAAGCGAGAGGTGCATTTCCTACACGAAGACGAAATTATTGAGCTTGTCTGTTCTGATATTCGGGAGCGCCTGTCCAAAGTTGACACCAGCCGTACCTTTAAGACACAGACCCTTCTCCCGGGTGTCGGACCTGCAACCTCTGCTAGTCCCAGGACTTCTATTCTACAAGAGGAAGTCGAAACCTCAGATAGCCAACCACGAAGGCAATCTTCCAACAGAAGGCCTTATGAGAACAACTTGGTTCGCACAGATTCAAGATTGCGTAAGATCACTTCGATGCTCCCCCCAGCTCTCACGACTACCAGTTCTGGAGATACCATCACGGACCAGACTGATGGGATTCAGTTCGCTACCACGCTGAGGGAGCCTGTCAATGTTCGCCTGACCTCGGTCAAAGACCTTCGCGCCACGGTTCGCGAGTCCATGCACAATGCCCTCACAGAAGTATTTGCATCGCTGACTTATGTTGGCCTGGTTGATACCAACCGCAGATTAGTAGCAATTCAGTCTGGCGTCAAGCTCTACCTGGTGGACTACGGCTTAATATCAGCCGAGTTCTTCTACCAGGTCGGGCTGACTGACTTTGGCAACTTTGGCCTGATCACGTTTGATCCCCCCTTGGACCTCAGGGAACTCCTCGATATCGGCGCACAGCACGAAATACACCATTCTCCCGATTGTGCAGACTTGCCAAAGGAAGAAGTCATACAACGTGTTTATGATCAACTGGTTCACCGCAGACAAATGCTTTCGGAATATTTTTCCCTTGAGATCTCGGAAGATGGGCTTCTCGGGGCAATACCGATGCTGGTGAAGGGATACTTGCCATCCATGGCTAAACTGCCTACCTTTCTCGTTCGACTGGGTCCATTCGTAGATTGGACGACCGAAGGAGATTGTTTTCGTTCCTTTCTGCGGGAGCTGGCCTCCTTCTATGCCCCGGAACAGTTGTCAAAACCTGCGAGAACAGAGTGCGACCGAAATGGAGAGCACAACTCCGTTCAGACGGCGCAGAGCAGCCAAACAGATGATGCCATGGACAAAGCACTGGCAAAGCGCTACCAAGAGGTCGAACATGCTTTAGAGCATGTCCTTTTCCCGGCCTTCCGGTCACGAATCATTGCCACCAACAGCATGCTGAAAGGCGTCGTCGAGGTCGCCAACCTCAAAGGCCTGTACCGAGTTTTCGAGCGCTGTTAAGCCCTTGGTGATCCCAAAATTCCACCGGCGATAGACGCATCCTGACCACCGCATAGCGAGATGCAGTCTGAAACCCGGCCTTTGACCCATACACAGTGATTGACCAGCGTTCTGTAGAATATCCATCGCGAACTCGAATGCAATCTGATCGGCAATTGTACCTATAACTGCCTGGTTAGGTTGTTGGTGAGAGATGTGGCCATTCGCTGGAGTCGAAAGAAGTAAAAGAAAGGCCAGATCCTGACTAGCTACCGTCACATCAGATTCACATGTCATCACAACCCCTGCCTTGCCCATGGACGGATTGTTTTCGTATCTGAGCCGCTGTCTGATCTTACGGCAATAGTCGAATGCTTAGGCGGCTGATTCAACCTACCCGTGGTCGCCCCAAACGGACTTTTCTCCTTGGATCGCCTGGCCGGTCGAATCACCACGAACCACAGCACAAAGTATTATCACACTGGGATTACCACAAGCACAAACACGTGGATTCTCTCCCGCTCCGATCACCAAACTAGTCTCTACGAGTACGAAGTTCGCAAGGCTCACTTCTTGTCGTGGTATCGATAGTGGGTGGAGCTTTTCGTGTTGGTGCAATCTCGAGGATGCGCATTCTAGGACCCTAGCCACCATACTGAAATTAGGCGAAATCGAAGCTTCAGCATCTTGCTGTGGCCTGCAATTGGACTCCCCTTATCGGCATCATCTTATGCGCTTCCAATTCGGCTTATGAACGAAGCCCACGGGCCCTGGCTCTTACACTAAAATGGTGGATCAGGGGCCGAGAGGCCCTCGGCCGCCTCGGGCCATGCCCAGAATAGAGTTCGGACCACTAGCGCCAGTCTGGCCCGTCCAGGTTCTCCTTTTCACTCCATCCAACCATGCCACACGATGATGGGCGTTGCTGAAGGATTACAGCATTCCATCTCACTCAAGCATGCTATGCGCAAGGATGCGCCACACGGCACATAGCCCATGTCCCGCGACCGCCTCTCACCCATGTATTCGCAGACTCATCTCTGGCGCCTTACGCCCAACAGGAACGACTCCTGTTCTAGTACGAGCCCTGGACGCCACTGAATGTAAAGGACCCAACTGGCCGGACCTTTCCATCACCCGTTTCGAGGTTAATCTATGTTCCGTGAAGTTTCATCTCTCCAACGATTAGGTTTCCTCAAAGCGAATTCCAGCTTACGTGCTATAACTCGGAGGAGGAAACCTCGCTATATTGGGTTCCTGAGCCTTTGATTACCTGCCAACGCAAACACAGGTTTCGCTGCGTTTGGCACCCTTCTTCCTACGTATACACAAACTACGAGGCAGAGATGTCCTTCCCACCCAAGGAGAGAAAAGTGGCACCGCCATGAGGCTTCGAAAACCGAATGAAGTGGACTCGTATCCCTGTATGAGCTCAAAGACTATTGCCAGATTCCCCCCTACTTACTTCGTGCGGCTGCTTCAACACTTACACATCGGTTGTATCATTCAAAAACAGGAGCTGTGCAAGCACAACCTGTGTACCGGAGACTATTTGTCTCGTGGTATTGCCTGTTGCAAGATTCCTATCTCACTCACAGATTTTGATGCAACATCATCACGCCAGTGTCAACTATTCATTTAACCACTTCACGAGTTGATCTGTCTCAAGCAACCGAGGTTCTGGCCAAAGTGCTATTCATACCGCCTCTGGCTTCCTAATTGAGGCCTGGCCTCGCCGCCTGAAGACTTGGACTTCGCAGGGGAACATGATCTCCAAGAGACTTCAAAATGTCGTCGCCGGCCGAAAGCTGACGATACTTATCAGCGGAGTGCTGTGGGTCCTTGCTTTTTATATCTGGATCCCAGACTGGAACCGTACCCTCGGTCCCGCCTCTACCAGTACCTCTCAACCATTTTCTCCGCCATTGGCGCCTCAACCACTTGATAAGTCATTTGCACAGCATGTCGGGCATGCGCCAGTACCACCTCCGATGAGACCTGAAGGCTCAAGGTTCCGACCACTGGATTTAAAACCCCCTAAACCAGGAGCGATCCTTCCAGGACACACAGAGCCGGAACTTCCAGCACCTGGGTTCACCACACCAGAAAATGCCCCGCCCAGAGTTGCAGCACCAGGAGTCCTCGTGCCAGAACTCGCTCAGCCAGCACTCAATATGCCAGAAAGCATCGCACCAGGTGTCGCCGCGCCCGAACTCGGCGCACCCGACCTCACCACGCCCCAACTCAGGACACCAGAAGGCACGACACCAGAGCTTTTTGACCCACAACTCACCGGCCCAGAAATCACTACACCCAATTCCCTCAAGCCCATGACTATCAAGGAATACACGCCTCCGATGAACGAAACAATGTATCGAGAGATTTCGTCAATCTCAACCCCAGATGGCAAATATTCCCGGATTCACTGGGGCGATGGAATCGAGGGGGTAAACCCTAGCATATTACCACATCCAACCGTGCCCGGCATCTACATCATGGCTGCACAACGACAAGCTATTGGCGAAGCCTTCAAGCATTCGCAGGTGGTGTTTTGTAACGCGGTGTACGAAGAAGGACTGCTATATTGCATTGAAATGCCGAGCCTTTTACCCATCGAACCCACGCCACCCTGCAAAGGCGACGAATTATATGGACCGCACGATGTCCGGATGTTCTACGGACCGGAAGCTCCGTATATAACGTACGGATCACATTCGGCGTTTTCTTGTCACGGCATGTGGGTGCATGACCTTCGGGCACTGGTACCAGAACTCGACGCAATATCCTACATCAAAGACACACTCTTCTCGGCCGAGCCAAAGGAATTTCTCGAACCCGTTGATATCCAGCGTCCACCACCATATGATCACATTGAGAAGAACTACTTTCTGTTTTGGGATCTGGAAGGAAGCACATACGTTCATCAGGATCTATGGCCAGAGCGTGTGCTGACAACTTTGTTCGCGAATGGCTCAGTTTCAAGCAACCTGTCTCCCAAAGAGGACCAAACGTGTCTGTCGAGGCTTCTTCCCAATCTATCGCTTTACACGCACACAAGTCCCGGCATCAAAGTGAACGCTATCCACCAAAGTAGCAACTCTCTTCTGGTGACACTGTGCTCACGGGACGACCCTGAATGCGTCCCCTCATCGTCCAACACCGTGGTCATGGCCATTTTCCAACACAAAGAGTACTACGAGTCACATGCGTTGTACCACCCCTATGCCCTGATCTTCAACGCCACGGCGCCGTTTAATGTCTTGGCGGTGTCACGGCGCGCTCTATGGATCAACGGTCGTGACATGCTGACTCGCAAAACCGATGCGATCTACTGGCGTCTTTTTGACGACGCCTTGCTGCCGAAGGGACACACTGAGATGTTCTTCGTCACTAGCATCAATTGGATGACACCGGGGAGTGGATACCATGGGTTTATCGACGACGACGTCCTGGTGGGCTTTGGGATCGAGGACACCAGATCAGCAGTAATTGATGTGAAGATGGAGGACTTGTTGCAAGAGCTGAATTGGTGCGCTGAGGATATGGATGGCAACGATGGCGCTGATGCAGCTATTGTCAACGCCACGAATGGAACCGAATTAGACCACGGCTCGGACAATCCGCAGTCTCCTGCGCATGATGACGACGACAATGACGACGATCACGAACAACGTTGACGAACCTACGATTCGACAAGACAGCTATTTAGGCGAAATGAAATGCTGTTCTTCAAAGATTTTTTTGTCATGATGGATGACTTGCCACCTAGCCACCGAGTCTCACAGCGAGTTTCACAGAGGGAGCGCGTGCGCCACAACCCACAGATCATCGAGTTTCGCATCAGGACGACACCATCTGTTCTGTCACAGACCTCAAGTCCACGTCACTTCACCGGCCAGAAAGAACCTCAAGCGGGAGAATGATGAATTGACTAAGCTATCTGGGGGCGTGTACAATCCGTGCGAACAACCGAAGCTTGAGCTTTGTCGTTGCTACGGGTCGCGTGTATCTCATCGTGACTCTAGATCAAGGTGCAAGGTAACGACTAAGGCTATACATCTACCAAATCATGAATACCGGATTTCCAAACCAACAAGCGCGCAGAAAATTGAAGCATGTACGTATGACTTGCTGAAGACATGGATCGCGTTGGACTCACACTCAAAGGCATTCCTCTCATTGCCGGTGGGGTGCAGGATGCAAGTTCTAAAGCCTCCAGACACCAAGAAAAATTTTGCAATGGGATCCTGCAGGATTGGCCAGCATGGCATCGAGAGTGCATCAAGATCGCGGAGTTTGGAGGTGGCCGTGGTGGTTCCCTGGGGTAAAGGAAAACGCCAAGTCGGAATGTCCAAGTTGGAGAGGAGAGAATGAATTCCGCACTCCGGATCTGTCCCGCAGAAGACGAAGAAGAGGCACGGGACGTCAGCCTTGAGACTTTTCAGACCCCACCTCAATTTCTTCAACCCCACCATCACCTTTCCTTAGGATCCCAGTCATTGCACCCTGGCCCCATCAATGCGTGTCGCGGGACAAGGTTTTTGTTCGCGCCACCGAGGACACAAGTTGAACGCTCACGACGCTGCGGTGACAGACTGATGTCGCAGTGTCCCGAGTGTCATAGAGGGTGGAGGGTAATAATTCTAGACGGGGTGCATGTGATATGTCTCTGCGCTTCTGACTCCAAGACTGACAGCCGAGGTGAGCCTCTGGGGTGTCTGGGGAGAATTGTTTATGACCAGACATCTTCCTGATAGACACCACTGCTGCGCATGCTCTTCACGACTTGTTCGGCCTTCTTCTCATCGATTCCTCTCTCTTGAGAAATAATTTGACCAAGGACTTCGTTGACTTCACGGGCCATATGGGAGGCATCACCACAGACATAGAAATTGGCCTTTTGCTGGAGTAGCTCGTTGACGAGCTTGCCATTTTCTTTGATGAGGTGCTGGACGTAGACTTTCTTGGAGGTTTCCCGAGAGAATGCGTTGAAAATGACGAGTTTGTCTCCGAGGGCTTGCTTATAAGTCTGCGGCATCGTTAGTAGCTGGAGTGCAACAATCGGGTGTGAGAGCATCTTACCTCCCACTCTTCTTTGTAGAGCCAATCCTCGCTAGGCTTCCTGCACCCATAGAAGAGAACAGTGGTTCCGACATCCTCGCCTCGTTTGGCCAACTCTGCGCGCTCTTGAACAAAGCCACGGAAAGGAGCGACACCTGTACCAGGGCCAACCATGATGACCGGCTTGCTTGGGTTGGATGGTAGCTTGAAGTTGGAATGGCGCACATGCACAGGAACATGAATTCCATCGTATTTGTTTCGAGGCCCAGTAATCTCATAAGTCAGACCATGAGGGGACGGGTTGGGATCGCCATTTTGCTTCTGTTTCAAAGCAAGGAGATAGTTGGTGGTGACACCTTTGACAATGTGTCCAGCCCCAGGAACACGGATAGACTCGACGACGGCGGTGATGGAGATCTTCTGTGGCTGGACGACCGATGAGGAGGAAATGGAGTAGTAACGAGGTTGAATTTTGTTGAGACCTTCAACCAGGGCTGAAAAGGGAACGGCTGTCCAGGGCTCTGGGGTGATGGTAGCAAGAGCTTGAGCAATGTTCAGCATTTGAGACGAAATCTTGTCTTTAAAGTACTCAGACTCGGAACCAAGTTTGGCGGCTTCCTTTTTAGCAGCCTCGGTTGGAGCGAAGGGAGCCAAAGTCGCAACGAATTGACGAGAGACAGGGGCACAAATTTCCATGTGATAGCGGACGGCAGCGTCGTAGGTGGTGGGAGTTGGGAAGGGGACCTTTGCGGTAGGGTCGATAGCCTTGAGGCTGATGACGGTGTGTCTCTTGGCATCCAAGCCAAAGGTCTTGAGGAAGCGATCGACCTCGAGGCCGGCATTGGTGGGCCAGACGGCGATATGATCGCCCGTGGTGTAGGTCATTCCAGAGTTGGAAATGTCGATCTCCATGTGGAGGCAGTTTCGGTCCTTGACAGTGAAGACCTCCTTGGATTCGGCAATGGGTGCAATGAAAGGGTTGTGAGCATTATAAGGGCCCTTTTGAGCGTTCTCCAGGTGATTCTTGTTGGGCTCGCCGAGATAGACGGTCTCATCTTCGACGGACAGGTCTTCTTTCTCCTCGACGCTGAAGACGGGTTCGTAGACAGCCTCTCGCTCTTCGAGACCCATCTTCTCCGACAGGGCAGCCCACATGGGTTCCTTCCATGCGAGGAAATCTTCTTCCATAGTACCAGCACCATCATCGCCTTCGCCTGCGGTGCCAATTCTCTCAGCACCTAGTTTTGTCAGAATCTTGTCAAGATTGCGGACCATGAGGTTGTAGTGTTCGTAGGTGTTATTTCCGAGACCAAAAGCGACATATTTCAGCTTGGACAGGGGAGCTTCGTCGGAGGCTTCAGAAAAAGAGGGAGGATCATTATTAATGAACTCCCAGAACTCGACAGCGTTGTCAGTGGGTTCACCTTCACCGTAGGTAGCCATGACGAAGAAAACGACTTTGTCTTCTGGGAAGGTATCAAGATTCTCCAGATCATAATCTTCCAAGTCCGCGGTCATGGTTGCGAGACCAAATCGAGCATGACCTTCTTTGGCAAGGCGAGAGGCATAATCTTCAGCGGTACCGGTTTGAGAGCCGTAGAAGATGACACAGTTCTTGTTCAACTCGTCCATTTTCTCCACAATGTTGCGGGAACCCTTCTTGGTGGCGCTGCCATTGAGGTTGGAGCTGGCATATGGATCCTTGGGAACGCCCCAGTATGTGCCTTTTGTGAAGTATGCAATGCTACCCACGAGAAGGAGGGCCAGGACAATAATGTCCAGGGTGTCGACTTGAGCCATCGTAGCGGTGGGGAGAGGAACTGCGGAGGCAGGTAGGGGGAGGCTGGGCGATGGACTGGATAAAGGATCTCGTGGAGGAGCGACAATTGCAGAAGAGACAGACGACAGCAAGAAATTGCCAAACCAGTGGTCGGACACTGGATTGCAAGATGTGTCCTTAGGTCCAGGTGCAGCAATGGGCAATCAGATTGGTGTGGGCAGTAGGAAAACAGACGGAGCGAAGTCGGATAAAGATAAACGTCTGTGGCCTGACTTGCCAAGCCGGAGACCCCTGTGGGAGGAAGGAGAAGTGGAGGTGAATCGACCACCAAAGCGACCAAGTCCAAACACACTGTGCGGTACAGTGCAGAGGAGTCTACTGCAGCAAAAGGACAGGAAGGAGAAGAGGACACGTGGTTCTATCGCTCGAGAAGATATATGAGGGCCCAGCTTGGGAATAAAGATAAAGATGAGGACGAATCCTTCAGCAGAAGGACGGGAAAGTCGTGGACGTCAATGTAAATCCAAAGAGTTCTTCAGCGTTCCGTCCCCAAGACAAGAAGTAAGTGTGTGTGTCCCAAGTCCGAAATAGAGTCGTCGAGACAGAAGCCAACGGGCAGGGGAATCAGGAATCGAAATGATTGCCGTGATCTGGATGGTGGGGGGCCGTAAATGGCGAGACCAACTGCCATCCTTACTTAGAGATACCACCAAGTGACCAAAGTAAGGTAACCACCCTATGGTGGCAACCTCGTAACCCAAAGGCCCAGTAGCACCCAGTAACCAGCGGCCCATCACCGCGGAATTGCCTAGACGCACAAAGAAAGCTGAACTCACCAAGATGCGGACGTCTCCGTGGGGTCGATGTAAGGTGAAGAGTGAGAAGCTCTGTGCCTCTGTTACCCCTCACAATCGCCCACCAACCCAAACCCACACGTTCTCCGGGTATTCCTGGTACGCCTGGCGGCCTGGGTACCGTTCCACTGTTAGACCTTCCCCACGCTCGAATTCGCGGACTCACTTCGCAGCGTGTCCGGAGGCCTCTCGGGTGCCCGTTATTCCCGGTTACCCATCAATCCATCGGCTGTCCCATTACATCCTTCCATGCACACCTGCACATGATCATATGCTACCAAATCATTGTCCCGTCGGACCAAATACCTTCTGATAATCCGGCGTGCATTGCCTCTATAAAGTTTGATGTTTCCGAAGACATTTTACCGGCGTAAATTCCCGACTCGAGATGTTAGAGACTGTCACAATTGTCAAAGTACAAATTCCCGGGGATTGTACTCGTATCAGATCCCCCAGCTTTTCAGAGTTGCGTATTATGCTTGGTATCATCGTCATTATTTCTAATTCAGTGTAGCTAAGCTTATGAGAGATTCAGATGATAGCCCCTCTCACCCCAGCCTTGCCGTCGTATTTGGTAGCACTGCAACCACATGGTCGAGGTTCAGCTGCTTTCTAGGTGAGAAACTTTACAAGTCTCTAACCATAGCATGTTGCACCAGATTACTTTCTGCAATTGTTTACGAGCAGTCAACCAATCTTACATACGAGTATTACTCGTAGGGGATCCGACTGTAGCGGTGCTTCTGAACTCACTACCTCCTGCCCCAACCCGGACTGAGTGTGTTCTTGGCTTCCACGTGAGAGATAGACCGGACCATCCACGCATTGCCTCCAGTGTCTCCATGCCGCCACCACGTGCCCTCGCAACTACCATTGTGTTTCACCGTAGAAACTCGTGCTCCCCCGAACAATTTACGAACAATTACGCTTAATCCTCATCGTATCTCGTATCTCCAACAACTCCTTGAAAGACATCACCGCTGGTCTTCTGTGGCCTGCCCTCAGTACTATCTCACCACAATCCATGCTCTATCTGGTCGTCTTCTTGTGCCAGGCCAATCCAGAAGCGATGACGCAGCCCTCAACTCAATCTTCACCACGGCCAACAACGGCACACAATGCTACATAACCGTAAGCACGGAAACTTCCCTAACCAAGCCCTCCTCCAAGGCCTCGTCAGCCATACGAGATCCTACCCTCTTTCCGTCCAATAGCTGATTCTCTCGACTATCTAGATGTTCTGCCCGCTTCAAGCGACAATTCCTCCTATGCTCTCGATGGTCCAGGGCCAGAGCAGCTCTCACAGCCACTAAACAATACCGTCCCACGCCCACCACAGCAGTATCCTCCCACGTTTCATACAAGGGATGCTTCACTGCCCCGAGGCAGATCCCAACAGTCCGCTTCACAAAATAACCATGGTGGTACATACGTGTCTTCGTCCCGCGCGACCTCAGTTCAGCCCAACCCCTCAGACACAGCTTTAGGCGCCGGCCGCGCCCCTCCTCCAGTCGACACAAGCCTACAACGACGGACATCGAACAACTATGGCCACCATCGCCAGACCTCTGTCATCCATGGACTGCAACACTCTCGCAGCCCCAGTTTCAACTCTCCTCCCTCCGCAAGTCCCATTACCCCCGAGCCAATGGCCAGCGGGCCTGTCCATACTCGATATCCACCCACCTCTCGCCGCGGGCAGTACTCCAATGCAGAATCCACTTCCGCTTTTCAAAGCCCGACGTCACCTCATCAGAATCACACCCAAGGCCATTCGATTGATACTTTGATCGATGTTCCTGGCCCTCAGCCAGAACCCATGTATGCTCAGCCTAGGAGACGGAAAGATCAGTCTCGCACGAGGCGCGGCCACGGATACCAAACCTCCAACCCTCCCACAGAACCACGAACTCCGGGCGAATATGCTCTACACCATTTGTTTCATGCCTTCGTCTTTCGTGCTGATCAGAGGATAAGTCACTGTGTTTCCATTCTTGAGACTTCGCCGGCACCTGTCGAGCAGGCCTGTGCTCCTGGCGTCGATGTTGCTTTTGACCAGCTGATTTCTTCCCTCGGCCACATTTCCCGCCAGGGCCCTAAGCCGCTGGTCGACAGCTTGATGTTGTGGCGCAAAGGCAAAGGAGATGCCGCCGCTAACAAGAAGAAGGAAGTGTACCAAGCTCGCCTCCAGGCCGGGGGTACGGCTTCGCATCTTCCTATATCCTTACCACGTCGTCATACAGAGCCTCTACAAGGCCCTGGAGAGTCCAGCATACCCCAGGCTACTCTGGACAATCCTTCCTCTGCCGAAGAAGCCTTGATCCAACAGTACATCCTCGCTGACCGACGCGCCACAATCTCTGTTTACATCTTATGTAGAGTCCTAATTGCTATCTTCGAGCAAAGCTCCATGGCGGCCATCACCCAGGATCTGGCAAACAAACTGGAGGACATCGTCTTTACTCAAATCAAAGAGGTCGAGCCCGCTCAAATAATGACCTCCACCATTCGCCTGGCCAATTGGAGGATATATGGCCAAGTACTCGGTCACATGAGTCGACTTGACTTTGTCAACGTAACCGCTCGCTTCACTCAGCAACTTGACCTTTGGCAGAAGGAGTTTGCCAAAAGCTCCGGCACCATGGTTGCGAGAGAACTCGAGGCCAGGCTTGAACTACTGCTCCTGAGTATGCGACATATCCACATTAGTCCAACCAGGGAAGCTGCTCTCCCAGTCGCAGATTTGTTGCGAACCCTTGCTTCTCTGTTTGCAGATGCTCACGGGCCTCGTGTCAAGCAAGCCTACTGCCAGCTTTTTGAACGGCTTTTGACTGGAGTAGCCAGCAATCCAGAATGCTTTCAGGCCGTACCCAAGTGGAAAGAATTCATCGAAGCCATAGATTCCAGGCTCGGCAACATGCTCGTCAAGGTCCGCCATTGGGCAACAGGCTTTCCGGTCTCCATCCTCCTCCTTTGCATTTCTCCGCTCGAAACCTTCACCGCACAATGGTTCCCAATGATCACATCCCTAATTCCTAAACTCAAGGACAGATCAACTCGTGGGCAGACACTGCAAGCCATATGTCAGCTCGTCTGGACATATCTCATGCGAGTCTCCGAATCTGCACAGTCCCGGTCGCGAAAACTGGAAGAGATTATCAGAATTACCCTACCCCAGGGCAGGAAGATGCAGGCCTCATTCGACCCGTCCTTGACTGCACCATTGGTCCAACTCATTCGAGTCGTTGGGTACGCCTCTCAGGATCTTTGCTTCCGCTCAGTCATCTTTCCATTGGTTCATTTAGACATGTTTCAATCAAGCAGAAGCCTCAAGATTGAGAACATGGAGCCAGAGAGGATGGTCATTGGTATTCGATCCTTCTTGGCCATCATGGCTGACCTTGAAAAGGAGGGTAACAGAGCCCCTCCATTTCCCGCATTTGGTTCTCCTACACCGACCCTCGACCCTTTGTCCCCATCCCCAGCGAACACTCGTTCCGCGCTAAACATTGATTTGCCCGTGCCAGCCACCCTCGAGGACGACGATCCACCTTCGGTCTCGGTCAATATAGCACGTCTTGACGACAACTCTCGACAGTATTATCTTCAATTCTGTCAAATCTTGGGCAAAATCACCATCCTCTGTGACAACACATTCGGTGGCCAGGCCACTCTCAACGAGAAATTCTCGACAACGAGCCTAACGCCCAAGACTCCTTTGGCCGATGCTTTTACCTTGGCACGATCCCAGGATGGTTTGGCCTCAGATCAGAAGCAGGCCTATTACGAGCTCCTGCATGTTGCTATTCAAGCTCTCCCCCGTTGCTTTACAGATCACATACCTCTGAATCCCTTGATCAATTTGCTCTGTACGGGGTCAGCACACGTACAAGCCAATATTGCCGCATCTGCAACACAGTCCCTGAAAGCCATCGCTCGCCAAGGTCATGCCCAGGCGGTGGCAATTGCCTTCCCACGTTTCATTTTTCACTACGATTCGCAGTATTCGACCATGTCTGATGAGGGTCGCCTCGGGCCTGCTCACATTGAATCCACGCTCTCCCTCTATCTTGACCTGCTGCAAATATGGACAGAGCAGTTGAGGCAAAAGGCCATGGCTAGTGCGTCGGACTCTAGGGACCGTGGAGGGACAAGCGCGACTCGAGCACTGCAGATGGAGTTGACCAATGTCATACCTCTTGTAGACGAGATCGAAGCCTATGGCTTGTTCTTTTTATGCTCTCAGTCGCGACGTGTGAGGGCTTTCGCGATCAAAGTTCTCCGCTTCGTCATTCAATTTGACAAAGTCCTCGGTGAGGACGAGCCGACTCGGATTGTGAAAGTCTTGGAACAACAGTCATCTCAGATCCTGAACCTTCAGGATGATGCCCTCAATGCGGCAGAGCGCATTAGACTGCAAAAGGACAAGCGAGGAAACACAGGGCAAAGCACACTGATAGAGATATCGAGTTCCGAAGTCTCGTACGATGCTACATTATGGTCAAAGGCGTTTCCAAACCTCATCCGAGTCATCTTCGATGCATGCCCAAACGCAATCGCCTTATGCAGGGGAACAGTCACAGAACGTCTGGTAATGATGCAGAACGATATCGAGGGATTATCTGAGACCGTGGATGGCCCAGCAGCACTTTACGAGTATCGCACCCAAGGACGCAGCTCTGCCACATCCTCCGAAGTACTCTTTGAACAGTGGAAATTGTACCTTGTCATGGCTTGTGTTACGATTAGCTCCCCAGGAGCACAGTCGCAGAGCCAACTTGCTGACGCGGCACACGCCAGGAAGACATCCAAAGGCCCTGATCGTCCCAACGACAAATTGAGCTCCGCAAGAGCCTTGTTTTCTGCAATAATTCCAATGCTCGGTGCGACTCCCGACGCCATTCGAGATGCAGTGGTTTCGGCACTCGGTGCCATCAATCGCAAGCTATACAGGACATTGCTCGAATCTCTGCAGTACGCTGTAATCAAATGCAATGACGAAGCTAAAGCAAGAATCAACCATCAACGTACACCAAGCAGCCCTCAACGGTCACAGAAGACCGAACGGCTCAGAACCGAGGTCACTCATGTTTACAAACTGACCGCGTCTTTCTTGCGCGAGGAAGATACTTTCAATGATGAATGGATTCTACAGAATCTTGTCACCTACACCCGCGACCTGCGGTTGTTTCTCAGTGACACTGATGTCCAAAACGACTGGCGCTTCCAGCGGCTCCGGTACCACTTCTGTGGTTTGGTCGAGGAGGTTTTTGAAGGGGTGAGTCGCACCAAGGACCCTGCTCGATGGATGCCATTCGAGTCACGCAAGTCCGCCTTTGCTCTGATGGAAGACTGGTGCGGCTACCCTGCTGAGCAGAATCTTTTCGATGCAAATCAAGGTCAGGGCAGAGAATTGCATGATCGTGGAAATCCCAGCGTAGCCGTCGAGAGAGAAAAGCACAATCTTCGCATAGCTGCACTGAGTGCCATGGCGGCATTGTGCGCAGGGCCCGTTTCGATCAAGACAGACAGCAGTGCTGTTTTGTCCTTCAATCTACAACGAATGCTGTCCTGGATTGATACCATTCTCGCAACCAACAATCACAGGATGCATGCGATCGGTCGACGCGCCTTGAGGCTACTCCTGATCCACAATCCCGACCACCCACAGATTGCCGAGCACGCCATCGAGAAATGTTACGCGCCACCCTCTGAGATGGCTCTCGAAAGTTACTTCGGTGTTATTTGCGAGGTTTTGGTCAAGCAGTCAGACTACCCTATTCCATTCTGGAAGATTTTGACACTGGTCATCTTCACACTTGGGAATGAAGACCAGGATATTCGCATCAAGTCCGCTCATCTTATCCGCACGTTAGACGAGCGACAGCGCAAGAGCACAAACCTCCAAGACTTTGACATCAGCATCTCAGACAAGACCCGTGCGGTGTACAAATTGGCGCAGTTCGAATACTCGAAACGACTTTCGAAAGCCAATGCTGACCTGGCTTTCATGGTCTTTTCTGAGTTCTCCCTTCATTACATGCCCGCTCGAAATGATCATCAGCGACATATGGTTGCCGCAATACTACCGTGGCTTCAAACCATCGAGCTGCAGGTAGATCCTGGCACCGGGGGACCAACAGCGATGTCGTACATGCTCCTGGCGAACATGTTCGAAATCACCGTCTCATCCATCAAAACATTACACAACGAGGTCCAGGCTTTATGGCAAGCCCTGGCTACCGGTCCACATGCAGGAAATGTGCAGTTGATCCTCAATTTTCTCATCGATTTATCTCTAGAACGACGCGACCAGAATTTTGTCGAACACGCGAAACAAGTAGTAGTCTATCTCTCGTCCACACCCGCTGGGTCACGGGTGTTTGAGTTTTTTATGCTGCAACTCACTCCGAAGAACATGGTCAACGAGAAGAAGAACGTGGGTCCCGCTGTGACGGATACAAGAAGTCTACCCTATGTTGCGGACCTAAGTTCTTTGCTGCCCATTGGCAACAAGCAGGTATGTCTCTATTCAGTGTTGGAAATTTATGACTAACACAGTGTAGGCTGGTTTATCAATGGGCCATGTGTCACTGATCTTCTTGGTTGATCTTATGGTAACTCCAATCATCATGGTCAAGGACGAAGTCATCAAACTTGTCCATGCTGTCCTTATTCTATGGGACCACTATAACAGTACAGTGCAGGAGCAAGCCCGAGAGATGCTTGTGCATCTGATACATGAGTTGGTGACCACCAAGATTGACACAGAGCTTCTCATGTCCGCCAAACCCAAGATAGAAAGTCTTGTAGAGGCCGCCCGCACCAATGATACTCGCATCACATGGTCGTATGAACACAACACCCGCAAAGACGAAGATGATGGGGCTAGTCGTGTTCCTCCCGCAATGTCAATTCTGACATCGGACTTGGTATCAATCTTCAATCTCGCCTATGAGAATTTCAGCGACAGTTGGGCCAAGGAGGCTCTTCACTGGGCTTCCATCTGCCCAGTGCGACATCTCGCATGCCGTTCATTCCAGGTCTTTCGCTGCATATCTGTCACCTTGGACGCTAGGATGCTTGCGGATATGCTCGCCCGCCTGTCAAACACCATCGCCGATGAGCAAACTGACTATCAGACCTTTTCCATGGAGATATTGACAACGTTGAAAGTCATTATAGGTGCCTTGGAGCCGAAAAACCTCTTACGCTACCCACAATTGTTTTGGACCACATGTGCCTGCCTAAATACAATTCACGAACGCGAGTTCTATGAGACCGTGGGAATGTTAGAGAAGCTAATTGAGAAGATCGATTTGTCAGCGACGGATGTCACCGAAGCAATGCTCAAAGGACAACCATCAAAATGGGAGGGAGGCTTCGACGGTCTGGAACCTTTGCTGTACAAAGGGCTCAAATCCGCCGACAGCCTCGACAAGACCCTGCTTCTTCTTCACAAGCTGGCGATCCTTCCAGACTGTGATCTTGTCGGCAGGAATGACCGGTTGGCTTACTGCATCTTTGCAAACCTTCCTCGACTCTTGCGGAGTTTCGATCTAGACACAAATGATTCCATGTCCATCGCAGCGGCGCAGAGGTTATCCCAGATTGCAGCTGGGAGGGGTCACAACATCCTCGCGACGTCCTTGCAACGCTTCATTGATAAGACGTACTCGACAAGTAGGGATCTGATGACTGGCATATTGCAAGCCTTGCGAGTCACATATTTCCCAGCATTCGATGCCCAGGCCCTCATTTTCATGATCGGGCTTTTAACCAACAAAACGGGATGGTTCAGAATCAAGGTCATGGACATCTTGTGTGAACTAATACCACTCGTCAATATGAGAGATCCTGCAGTCACAGCCCACGGCCCAGATCTGATCTCACCTCTTCTTCGATTGCTTCAGACTGAACATTGTGCACAGGCACTTGAAGTCATGGATTACATTATGGAAGTTGCCACGACCCCTATGGAGAAGCACCATATGCGCATGAGCATGGCCATTGGTCCAGCGAAAGCCATAAGAAAGGAGTATGAGAGTACCCGAAGTCTGTATGGCATACCACTTCCTTCCGGCTGGTCCATACCAATGCCCGCGATCTACTCAGCGATGACTCGGCATAATGTGCATGCAGTGTTCTCTACATGTGGAGACTCTGAAGCAATGACGGCACAAAGTACTACCACTCCTGACATTGAATTTTCAGGCGATGATGGGTACACCGACTCATACTTCCCTTCACAAAGCAGGGCCGAAACCATTCGATCTATGGAGGTAGCTGCGGACACAAACGTCAGTGACCTTGTCAACACACTGGATAGTCTCGATGACTTTTTCGAAGACGTGGATGAAGACAATGTCTTGACACCAACAGGTAGCAGCCACCTATCTGCGACTCTGAGCATTCCTACATTCCCAGAGCACAGTACGGCACTCTACGATGAACAAACTGCGCCGATACTGCGCCAGAGCCTTGCAAGCTCATCCTCGACTAATGTCCAGAACGGTTTCAGCGAGACCGGAATGCTACCAGGCACCACTCATCGCAAACAGCCGAGTTCTTCGTCGCCTAGTTACAGCACATACAGTAGTCTGACGCAGTCTTCATTCAGCTCGATCGGCGAATTGGGTGGACCAGGCCCATCTCTTCCTACGTCTACCACGAAGAAGATTTCAGCTCAAACGGCAATCACCAGCCCCATCAGTCAAACCCGCCCAGGCCTGCATGCTCGGTCAATCACGTCACCAGCCAACCAATTCGCAGCGTCACATCCTACGTCTGAAGGGCTACCAGGACTTCCTCTTGGCGGATCTTTCAGAACACAGGACGACTACACAGATCAAGATGACGATGCAGTACTATCGGACGGAGAAAACAGCCCATTCCCATCGCTGATTGTTCCACCGTCTGGACAATCACGCCTTTTATCTGGGCCAGGACCGTCAGAGTACCAACCTCTCTATCCATCTTCAACAGAAAGTGGTGGGTCATTTAGCTTGCAAGGGATGCGAAGGGGCATGCGACGGCTGACAGGTGGAAAGAGTGAGAGCAACAGGGAGAAAGAGAAGGTCCGAGAGGGCACTCGGCTGAGAGGCCAGTCTGGAGGGTATAACCCTGCCGCGGCCGCACTTCAAAGCCCACGAGTACCAAAAGTCCCGCTGGAGTATCTCAACGCCAGCAACAGCAATCTCACAAGCCTGAGTCCGACTAACAGTCCAGGAGTCTAGATGGGCATATGTGTTGCCATCTTTCTCGAAGGTCTTGATCGTTCCTGCATGTCCCTAGGGTCTGAGAATGAATACAACAGGCTCCCTTGGCTTGATGACTTGCCTGACTTGACATCTGAGGATGTGAGCTTTAGCTACCAAGACCGGTGTGTCTGACCAAAGCGCTTTACCAATACAAAAGCACCGTTTAGCCACGATCTATTACAATATCAACAGCAATTGCATACAAGCCTCATCGATCAAGCAGAGGACCGGCGCCAGTAGAACTTTTCTAGGATAGAAGGAAAAAGCCTTTCCATGTGTATGACTAGAAAGAGACGTTGCACAACGCATAAAGAACAGCATCAAGAGTTTGGAAAGTCGTTGCCAATGCCCTCTGTCTGGCTACATCAGGTGACATCCAACATTGAAACCGGACATTACGCGAAGTGGTGCTCACAACATTGTAATTGGTGTTTTACTCTTTGAGCAGTCCAGACAACGGGAGGGAACTCTGGAATAGGAGGATGCGTGGCCCCCACATGGGATGTCCTTGATGTACTATATGCTAGTCAATTGAGCGGTCAGCACTCTACCCATCCTTCTCATCAATATCGACAACGACATGATTCTAACTATATGGGAAAACTCCTACTCGGCTCTTGAATGCAATGTCCTGACCGAATACGCGGAAGGATCGAATGCTTTCTGATTTGTTCATGACGGGAGGAAGTCGCTTGAGATGAGCGAGAGAATAGGGATGTCTATCCTCCGTTCTGTACGCGGTAGCCAAGGAACATGGAATGTACCTCAGGTACCTCTACAACTACAGTCACAGTCAAAGTACTTTTTACAAGGTCTAGACACGGCTGGAAAGGTCTTGGAATCTGAAAGTGGAATGAATTGCGGGTACATCTACCTTAAACAGTTAGCCACTCAATCCCAAACCTACTGCGTGAAGATCTAAAGTCCTACTGTACGAGTACATACGGAGTACATGTACCTAGATGATGCCTTTATCATGCATGGGCTTGCGCCCTTTGCTTGTTATGTTGGCATTGGCAATGCTTGGGCAGATACACCAACAACCAAAATACCAAAGTCGATGACTCAATGAGGTTAGCCAGGTCCCGTTGATTAGTGTGCATGCATCCAACAAAGTCCCTCCCCCCTTTTTTCTTTCTTCGTACTTTTGTGCCGCAGAGAGTCACGTCACGAGAGGACGGCTCGACTCTAAAAATGAATGCTTGGAAGAACGAAGAGGGAAAGAGTGGTGATCCTACTCGGACAGGTAGTCGACTCCTGGACGTCCTCCTCCTGGGAGACGTTGTCGCTTCGCTGCTTCTCTCCTGAGTTGAAATACGTAGCCAGTGAAGCGATCGAGTTGACACTGCCTGACCTCTACTTAGTGAGACGTCCTGAGAAATGAGGCGTGATAGACGAGGCCAAGGCGCCTCAGGATCACCAAAACTCACTTTCCCATGTTATTGTTATTTTTACCACCATGTAACACCGTGGAAAAGGAGCAGTAACGATGGGAATGGTCATGCTGGATGAATGGACGGATGGACTGGTCTGGCGCCGGACTGGGCCTTCTCCTCTCCTCCAACCGTGGTAAGATAAGACCCCTGATTACCCCGTCTCGATCAGCCCTTCGTACGAGTACGGAGTAGTCTGTAGAGGAACACAGGCGGCAGGCAGCAACCGGCACCCGTACGCTAGAAACACTTGAATCGAATCCTGTGCTCTTTCTGAGCCATGGCGTGCTTGGGTGCTCCAAAAGAATGATTGGCGGGAGATTTGTGATGGGGGGTTTATGCTTGCTCCTTGTGTCTCTGAACATTCTGATCGTTGTTGTGGTTGGGACAAACTGGGTTTAGTTAGAAACTCATAGCCCCTCGATCAGTCGCGTCCAGTGGTGCCAGTCCAATGCAATCGAATCCAGCCTCATGTTGAAGTGTTGTATTGCATTATTGGCGACGACGTTTCGTCTAGAGTGTCACGCTTTCGCTTTCGTTCACCGGTTCTGCCTCGCAGATTGTCAGTGTTAGGGAGGCAAAGGCTGCGTTGCATATTTCACGGCTGAAGCTGTTACTGTTGCTGTTGCTGCGAGGCAATCACCGAGTGCCAGGTGCAGTATCAGGATCGTCAGTCACGTCAATAATGTTGAATTCGTTCAGCGCTGCCTTCCGACGCCTTTGAACGACCCCGGAAATGGGCCGAGGGGGGTTTCTTCCAAGCCCGTGGGCGACTCGCAAAGGCTGCCTAGGGGCTTTGATAAAGGAGGAGCGAGTTTGAAGACCTGGCACTCATAGTCGGAACCTCCCACCCCCTACCCGGTTGAGTCACTTCAGCGTTGGCCGTTTACGGAAACAATGCGCAGGGGGGGTTCTACTTGCGGAAGCTGCTTGCCCTTACCGCTGAGAAAGGATACTGTAGTCAATTGTTGATCGACATGCTCTGATCGCCCAGAGTACGAGTATGTGTGTGACTGGTTGGTTGTGGCTTTGAATCACCTTGTGCATGTGAAGATCCTAAGGCAAGGATGCAATTCAAGATTGCAATAGGCATGGGTAATTGAGCACCCTGTCGTCTGAGATATCGAAATCATCTTTGATGTCTTCCGGTTTACGCCCCAAAGTTGAGTTAAGAGGATAGAAAGCAATATGAAATCAGCCACTGATGTATTTGATGCATGGATGTCAAAATGTAAGTAAGGGAGCTCGCGGTCATACGGGCGTGGTAGCATATCATCACGGATGCCAGCATGTGGCGAACCAACTTGGTAATTGACGATCACGCATAGCAAAACAGATTGACGGGCGTAAAGCCCAAGATTGTCAAGGAGTGTCCACAGTAAAAGACATTGTGCAGTATCACGCGAAAGATCAGCAGAGTCCTGTAATGAGCAGTTGTACATGAGGAGCCAATGTCGTCCAAGCATGTCGCTCGGCCACGCAAACGTTTATGGGCGACTCAAGGAGCCAGCGTTTCGCTCCCAAGAGAAATGTTTGCAGATCTTGCCTAGACAATACTACGGTAGATACTTGCATAAGTATGTGTGTACAATAGTAGGTACTACGGATGCTGGAGCAGAAATCACAGTAGGATAACTCCTCTGCTAGCCTCTCTTGGGACACGACAGCAGATCAACGAGAAAGCAATCAGTCTATGGTATTGTATGCATACAGAAGTCAAACCACATAGGACATCAATATTGTTGACTGACATGTGCACAGCGACCGGGATCTTGAGATTGTCGAAGGCTCAAAAACGGCTTAATAATAGTAAAGCGTAGCAAATTGGGAGTACTCCATAGTAGTGAAGACTGAGGGCCAAGTAACTCAATTGAGACAAATTAACAGCCTGGAACCTTCTGCCAAAGTCTCAACAAACTTTTGCGCTTTTGAGAACCTACAGCGTCACAGCCAGTAGGCCTGTGTTAGAGTGTTTGCCCAGGACGGGTACCTGAGCAAGTCCCACGGGAGGGAGCCGGTGTCAAAGGCTTCTTGCATTCGATACTTTGCCACTATTGCGCCACCACTGCCTAGATTTGCAAATGGATGTTTCCCGCGAATCGACCCAGGTAAACATGTCAGAGCCCATTACAGGAATTGCAGTGGACACCTTATTCGACGCCCGATTTCTGTCATTGCTGTCATGGAAGACTGGCGTAGGTGGAATATTGATCGCCGGAGTGGGGGTGGGAGAAATGTCATGCGTGCGAGCGAAAACGGTAGAAGCAAGCTGTCAAGCCTGTCATAGTCACACGGGCCACATAGACGTGAGCCACTGCTGTCACCAGAGAAGCCTACATGGACGTTGCGTATCAAATGCATAGTCCTGTCATTGCTTCAAGAGGTGAATTACAAGATATACTGAAGAAAAGAATTCAGGGTCCAAGGATCTAATGGTCCTAAATCAGGCATTTCATGACGACATACCGTCCAGTCGAGGGGAGTGCCCTCGACCGGGATAGTAACCGCCTTGGAAGTGACCATAAATTGACTGAGCCATTGGTGTTCGGGAAAATCCTTATCAGAGATTTGTCTATAGTCTGTCCATTATCGTAACCACATTTACCCGAAACACCGTAAAGACTCGCAAAGGTTGTTTCCGCGCTGTCGCACACACAAAAACAAGGCATGGCCTCTCCGCTTGACCCAAAAGTTTGGTTGATCGAAAAAGGGTGGTCCTTCAAGTTGGAGAGGTGGAAATCGTCAGAGCAAAGAAGTGAAAAGGCGGAAGCCTGACCCGTCGCGCTGCCATGGCAAACAACGTTTCAATAAAGTGACTAGGTCGAGGCAATCGGTCCATCTGTTTACCAGACGGTGTTGACCGGAGGAGGAGGGTTGACTGGAGAAGGCTTGGTCCAGGTGGCCCAGCCAGGTGGCTTGTTTGGGCGGCCCCATCCTGGACGAGCCCAGGGAGGGCGAGAAGGAGACGATGGTGGCGAGGGAGTATCTTTGGCTGGCTCTGGTGCGGGTGCGGGAGCGGGAGCAGGAGTACCTGGTTTGGCCCAAGGAGGTCGGAATCCAAAAGGTGGTCGTCGTCCACCCCAGGGTTTTCCACCGGGTCGGCGACCTCCCCAGGGCTTACCATTGCCCCAGTTAGTCCATTGACCTCCCCAACGCTTTCTCAGGTCTCCCTTGACATCAGCACCGCTGGAACCGCAAAAGGCATCGGCGATGGTGACCACTACATCGGTGTTAGACTCGGGTTTGGCACCATTCCTCGCTTGGTTGGGGACTTACTCTGCTCAGCTTGCTCCTCATCAGCAGCAGTGGTCTCGGCACACTCTGCGAGCTCGGTCAAGAAGACATCCGAGGTACAGATGCAGGTGTTGTCGGTGGCAGAGCACTCTGTGGCGACGATGGCGTTTGTCAAGCAGACAGCCTGCGATAAGGATAATTAGATGGAAATGGTCCCCCAGCCCACCACATTGGAATGACACGAACCGATGAGACAGGAACAAGTCCTGCTTGAGCCGTTGCTGCGAGCAGCACGGCCGAAGCGAAAAGGCCCTTCATTTTGCTATGTTCTCTTGATTATGTACTGATAGTTGGTCGAGGGGATATGTTGAGGTGAAGAGGGAGGGGACTTTGGAGCAAGGCGTGCAACGAGTGACAAAAAACGAGTGACTGTAACGAGCGACTGGTGAACGATTGTGTAACGAGCGACAATGGTTGAGAGAGAGGAGAAAACCTTCAGAAGGCGAGTTCCCGAGAGCAGATAATAAAGCGGTGATGGATTCTCACATGGGAACCAAACAAGTCTCAATGGGTCCCTGGCGCCGCGTCCCACAGGCAATCTGGTCAGCCCTAGCTCACAGGCATCAGACGCTATTCAAGACGTAATCTTGTACCCTGGCAAGGTTAGATCGGGCTGCGTAGGTGCGCCAACTCTCCTTTAGGGGGCGTGGCGGATTGGATTCCTAGTCAATTGAGTATAGTCGGCGCCCACTATCGGATTATGAAGGAAGCGCCACCAGCCTGAAGTTCTGTAATTACTTCGGGGTGCCGCGCCCTTGTCCACACGGCTTCCAGGCCTTGACGTGCTAGGGACCGTGTCATTGGCCCCATGTCTCTCCGTTCCTTGCGGGATGGGCGTGTGGCGGAGACAAACATTGAGTTAGCGTCAAAAGCCCTATCGTCAGTTACGAGGCGGACCGACCATCGACGACGGAAGCGCCAGTCCCAGCTTGTCCAGCAGAGCCAGCAGGGCCATCCATCTTCGACTCCATTCAGGGAAATTTGTAGGGATGGGCATGAGTGGACACTGGACGACCCACCATGGCGCGCTGTGGTCCATGGATGGCATGGATGAACAGGGGTCTAGGACTGTTCCTGAATCCTGCATGTTGGACCAAACCTTAAATAGATATCATCTTGTACTCCGTATTGCGTTGTGTTAGTGTCAGCATCGGCGATTCCTCCTCCGACAGGTAGAGAAATAGAGCCTCCTCCTACTGTACGTACCCTACCACCCTACCTAGGAATCCGTATTGTGTACCTGTACGGTAATCGATTGCTCTCGCATGGCTCATCGCCGTCCAAGCATCTGCTTCCTAAAATGCTCCATAATTCCATCTTGGCCCGCCGAATTTCCAGCAGGACCAATTTTTCTGCGAGCCAAGACCGGAACTGATTGAGATTGCGGTAGAGTTGATCTTGAACACTCGTTTACTTTCTTATCACGCAGGCTCAGATGCTCCTCTGATGCTGGGGTATGTAGTTTTCTCCGGCCAAGGCAGAAACCGCACCACTCATAATTACATACGAGATGCACATGAATCCTACAGTACTTCCACCTACTTAAAACCTGCGTTATCCAATCTCAGGCAATACGACGTACTTGATAATAAATCTGACCGGTCGCAGCCAGACTGTGATGCTTTATAGGTCCATCAGATTGAGACATGTGTATTCCTGACTGCAGTGTACTTGGTGTTGTATCCTGCTGGTGGCCGGAACTCGGTCCGTAGACTTGCCATGGTGTGCTATTGCTCGTAAATTCGTAATGATCATTCGTCATGACTCAGGTGAATACTGCATTGCGACAGATGTTTCTGGACCATGACCAACCAAGAGCCTTCTTCCTCATGTATACACCTGACTGACGTGTAACACCGCTGCGACACAGAACGGTTCGTCCCACCCTGGTGCTTCGACGGCTACCGATTGAATGTCCATAAGGCATAGTGTCAAAATAGTTTTCGCTTAGGTTGGCTTGTTCTGCAGGCAATTCTTCCTTCTACGGAGTAGGTCTGAAAACAGGCGGATGACGGTGTTCCTGGTGAGGACGCACATACACGAGCTCGTCGCTACGGCCATGCGAGAGGCGTTGCTCGTGGCCTGCCTCGCCTCCTATCGGGAAGACGGCTCTGTACTTTCAAAGTGGCTTGCATCATGAGATTCTATTTGCGCGAAAGTACCAACCCTCCTGATACACTGTGAGGCTGAACACGAGAAAGCCCTCTCGGAAACCTGGATACCGGCAGTACCAACACACAATCCAAACACCAATGAGACATATCCAAATCCATGTTGCTCCTGTCCTATCGTGATTGCAACGCCTGTCCGCTTCTAAAATTGGCCCTGTCCAATCCCTCTTCATTCCGTATACTCAAGATCCATAGCCCGGGCCATGATGGAACATCCCGCAGCAGCACAAGATGCATGTACATATCCGTGTAATGTTACTAGATTGAGAAAATAACCGGGTCTGCTACACCTTTTCCCATAGATCTCTCTTGGAGCCTGCATCGGGGCGGTCTCCGGTTTCCTTTGTCTTTTTGTACAATCCTTGAGAGATTCGTACGCTGGTGTTGTCGAACACCTTGGTCACCACTTCGGCAAACCACAATGTGACAGGGAAAAGTACAACGTGTGCCATGAGCAGGTTGAATTCCAAACCCATCGGTCCAAAACTCGGGAGTGGGCAGAGATTGACCCATCCCGGTACGACAGCGGCGTGTCCTTCACGCACTCTGCCGACTGCTGCATAGATTCGATCTCCCAGGGTCCATAGCACAGGACCATGGACGAGATAGAATCCAAATGACACCTTTCCGAGGTACTGACAGAAGCCCAGCTCGAAGAATGACTTGAGCGTCGGGAGATATGAGATGGAGATGATCAAACACGTGGCGGCCCAGAACCGATAGAACCATCGAAAATCCCAGATGGCCTGTGGCTTGAGGAATGACAGGTAGTACCAGCCAGGCGAGTCTCGGAGTTGCTTGATGTCTTCGCTCATGGAAGGAACTCCACCGAGATACAGGCCGATTGCGAGCAGCACGTACAGGATGGTGTTTTTATGTGGCTTGAGGTGGTAGAAGAAACTTGGAAGTTCGTCCTTGAGAGCCAACAGGTCCAGGTCACACAGAAGCATGCCCATGGAAAACAGCGCGCAGTACCACCCGTCGACAATATAGAGAAAATAGAAGACCATTCCCGCTTCGATTGCCAGCCGGGCATTTCGTCGACACCGTGCAAGTGCCAGGAGCGCGGTGTAGACGATAATGGAGCCCTTGAACTCAAGAGCAATGGACCATGTGTGATCGTTGTATGCAAATGCTGGGTCCTCGTGGAAAACAAAGCTGTAGTTCTTGAGCGCAGCGTACCAGTTCCAGAGTTCGTCAATGTATTTCTTCTCTGGCTCAGGGCTCGCAGGATTGCTGGATTTGATGCCGAAAAGATGCCACGAAGTCATCCAAACAAAGGTGGTGCCAATTACTGGAATGAACAATCGAAGCCATCGTCGAAACAGGGCCGATCCAAGGTTGTCGCTCAACTGGCCTGTCTCTCCTGCGTGGATCAAGCTCAGAGGCTTTGCCGACAGCACAAAGCCAGAAATGACGAAGAAAACGGCCACGGCCAGATGTCCGCCGGAAAAGAATAGCCGGATACCTGGTAAACAGGCAAAGTAGAATTGTCTGTCCCATCCATATGCATTTTCAAGTATAAATTCGGCCTTTGTTCCTGAGTGACCCCAAACCTGGTGGTGCAGACAGTAGACAAGCAGTGCGGCGAACCCTCGTAGGCCGTCGAGATAAGCAGTGCGTCCGAGCACCTTGTTGCCGCGTCTGTGCATATTGAACCACATTGAGGGTTGGAGGTAGTCGGCACAAGCGTGCTTGACGTGTGTCAATATCGTCATTGCAGGGTGGATATCGCTGGCTCGGTCGTGGTCATGTTTGGGCAGCTCGTCCCGCAACGAGACCTCCATGGCGGTGTCGCTGTTGACGTGGGAATATAGAGTCAAAACGTATCAAGGATTCAATTGCGACCAAGTACTCATCAAAGCCAGGTACGGAGTAGGTGGTCGAACAGGCAAAAAGAGTGACTAACTTAGGAGAAATGCTTAGAACAATCGATACCAAGAACCACACCCACGTCGGACTACTTTGGATGGGGAATTTCGGCTCGACACGATAAGATAAATGAATCTCTTTCTTGGAACATGGAGGGACCATGCCCCTCGTCTCTGCCCAGGGTAGTGGACCCCGAGGGGCCCTCGGGTGTTGTGAACCTGGACTTTGACCCAGTTGCCGTGCCCAAGGCAAAAAGACTGTCACTCGCGCGCGTTGGGAACGCGCCTGGTCCACTTATGTAAGCCACCCCCTGACGTGGGAATCTGCATCGAGGGCAGTTGGTTGGAGAGAAGAGTGTGTGAGAGTCAAGCATTTTGGCCGGATGGATGCGCCGGCATACCCCTATTTCCCGTAAGACCTGTACTCAAACACACCTGTAGAGAGAGCCACCCAATGTTGCAGTGGTCAATGATCGCCATGCAGGCTTCGGTTGTTGGACCAGGTTCTAGTCCGTACAACGTCCAAGTTGTCTCGACTGCGTCGTCAAAGTGCATCTAGTAGCCCTGGTGGCGATGGGATGTGGCAAGCTGAACTGCAGGACTATTCATTTCCGGATATTGACCTATTTTCACATCTGAGGTGGTAGGTTTGATCTAATCCGTTTTTGGTGGACCAAGGTTTATTCCCAGTCCCACTCGCAAGAGAGAGATTGTCCTTTTTTGATGAGGCCTGTGCCAGGGTGCTACCCCTGTCAGCCCAGGCCATTTCCGAGTATGGTGGCATGCTCTGACGCCGTGGGCGAGACTCTCCATGGCGCAGAAACCACATGATGGAGCTGCGTAATAAGATCCGCCCATCTTTTCCGGGCAAGTCCTGGCCAGGGAGGTCTGCGGTTTATTTTACATGTGTGGACACGATAAGCTCAATGAAACTGATCGCTTTGACACTACCAAGACTTCCCACGAGGATCCTTAAGCTCCTTCTAACACATGTCAAAAGCTGCCAGTGCTGTCGATTTGTAGAGATTGACTACTCAATTCTGTCGTCACTCGTGAGGGACGCTTCAGTCTCAGAATGAAGTTCCAGTCAATACGACGTCCTTCAGAGGCCATGCTGCCCAGGCAATTCCACCGCTTGTTGCCCGTCTTGGTTGTGGGCTTTGTGTTTTTCCTTTACCACAGAGCCATCGCTGGCCCGGGCGATAGCACGCCGTCACAGACAGAAAAGTTCCCTAGGAAAATATGGCAGTCATGGAAAGTCAGTCCGCTGAGTTTCGAGACAAGAGACATGGAACGAGCATTGACATGGACGACCAAAAATCCCTATCATCGATATGAAGTTCTGACCGATGAGAATGCTCTGGGCTATGTGGAGCAGTACTTTGGACCCTCTGGATTCAACCGACCTGATGTCGTCTTCACATACAAATCACTCAAGGACAAGATCATCAAAGCCGACCTGCTGAGATATCTCATCATGTACGCCGAAGGTGGCCTCTACGCCGATATCGACGTCGAAGCTTTGAAACCAATTGCGGCCTGGATCCCCGACCGATTCAACGAGAGAGATATCGATATCGTTGTGGGAATCGAGACCGATGAGCCCAGCTTCATTGGACATCCCATCTTGGGCAAGAAAGCCCAATCCTTTGTTCAGTGGACCTTCCTATGCAAACCTCGACTTCCTGTCATGATGAGACTGATCGACGGGATCTTGAACTGGCTTAATCGCATTGCCAAAGAGCAAGGCAAACCCATCTCGGAGATTGAATTGGATTTCGATGAAGTTCTGAGCGGCACGGGACCGTCAGCGTTCACCTCAGCAGTGCTAGCAGAGATATCAGCGGTGACAGGAGAGCAGCCTACTTGGACCCCCTTCCACAACATGTTTGAAGCAAAGCTTGCTGGCAGAACGCTGGTCTTGACGGTGGAGGCATTTGCTGCTGGAACAGGTCACTCGGACTCTGGCAACCACGGATCGAAGAACGCACTGATCAAACATCACTTCCACGCGTCATCGTGGCCGACTAGCCATCCTCGCCACAAGCATCCTCTGTATGGTGAAGTGGAGAGGTGCAACTGGAACACCGAGTGCGTCAAGCTCTGGGATTCTAACACGGCTTTCTTCGACAAGCTGCCAACTCAAGAGCAACTCAAACTGATCGCTATGAAGGAGCTTGAGGAGGAAGAACAAGCCTTTGTAGACGCTGAGGCTGAGGCGGCTGCTGGGGCAGCTGCTGAGGATAATGTTATTCCACCGGGCGATGTCGGTGGTGCTGCTGCTGCAGCCGCTGCCGCTGCCGCTGACGCCGTAGCAGCAGCTCAGGCGCCCATTGGTGAGTCTCCTCCAGAGCCGCTGTTCCATGGCATGGCACCAGGTGTACCCGGAGCAATCCCCGCTGAAGACAAGAAAGGTGGCAGAGCTTGATGAGCAAACGCTAGATTTTCTTTCGACAACCACCTATAACATGCACCTGATGAACAGCTTGGACCAGTGGAGAAAACGGTCCACCAGATCTAAAGCCGGTGAGCTACTACTGTGCCACACCGCGGATTGCATTTTCGACCGTTCAAGGCCTCTGGTTCCTAATTTACACGTACGTACACACACGCACACGATACGACTCTCTCTGGCCTTCTGTTTACGCAGAGGCTACTTTTCCTGCTTGGGATTTGGTTCGGGAAGGAAAGGCCCATGACACATCATCGACGACAGAAGAAAGGAATTGCAAAGCCTGGTCTGAGGTTGTTATCCATTCGAGGACAAGGATCTTTTTTTACGGCTTGGGCATCATCAATATCGGTGCCGGACTGGATATCCCACGCGCATCCCCCCCGCCGTGCTCGAGGCTCCCGCCGATAGAATGCTTCTGGTGACACTTTTCTCTTGGGGGTTTGTTTTTGATTGTCACATTAACGAAGGAACATAACTGTATGGAGCGGTAGACAAGGGGTAGAATGGGAATTTGCAACTCGGATGTTTGGATAGGGGAGCCTGGAATCTGGACTACTATCAAATGATGACGACCTAGACTACAGTACAACTTTTGAGCTCTTACATGTTATTGTTTTTGGGTCTGGTTTTGTCTTCTTCGACCATGATGACCACTACTAGCCCATGAGATGTAGCATTAATGTCGTCACGTATTGGAAATGTCAAACCCAACAATATTGTTCCCCTCTCAGCCCGTGATTAGTGAGGCCAGCCGCCGGCAAATGATGTCGACATGTGGTGATGATGCGATTCTGATAGTATGTTGGTACATTTTTGTGGCTTTTGGATTTCGATAGAGCCAAACTACTGACCGGGTCTCCCTGCCGGGATGTGCTCGGTTAATCTGCCAAGTTCAAAGACCCGAAGCCCAGGCACGACAGGGCTTGCAGTTGACAAAACCGACCTGGTTTCAAGGATGCAAAGCGCTATGCAGGGGTCAGCAAATAAGTGGCTTCGCTTTAGGGTTTGTTGGCTGCTATCCGGCGCCCCTCGGCCACCAGCGTTAACGCTTTGAGCATCCCATGGTCCCTGGGCCACGGTTTGTGATATGGGGCCATGACGATCTGATACGCGTCCGTATAGGCTCTTTTGCCTCAATCATCATCATGATCAGCGCTGCGTTGTGCCGATCTGGCGTGGAAAAAGAGCGTAGAGGGGTTTTGCACGAAATTTGAGGACTCTTTTATCATACAGTAGTCTAGTTAAGTACGCTATGGTGATAACGGCTGCCATGGATGTTGATAGTGACCTGCATTTCCTCATTCCCCTATATCCTCCAGACGGAACGAAGAAAAGCCCATGATTATTTTCAGCCCACGCCTTGTCGCGCCCGGATCGAGGATGCGTCGTTTCTGGATCCGCTTACGGAGTACATCCATGGGTTTGGTAAAATGGCCCCAGAAGGCCCCTCGGCCTTCTGGAGACTGGAGCGGATCCCACATGGAAGATCCCAGATGATGTCTACGCCTATCTTGGTGGAGGAACGAGGGGCACCCTGCCAGGAACAGGTTAGAACAATGCGGGTTAAGCTTTCGGAGTGGCCATGGCTCATGGTTCGGCCCAGTGAGGATTCCCGGATCTCAGGGGTATGTTTACTGGTGGTCTGAATTCGTCCAACCTAGTCACCATTTAGTTGCTCGTGTCGCGACGTGGCTTGCTTTGGACCCAGTGTGTCTGATACACCGGATCTTTTACTTGTAGAGTGGCGCCAGTCCACCAAATGTGGAAACACACGACGCCAGAATTGAATTTTTGCTTCACCATTGACACAATAATAAATGATGAAAGCCAAATAATCTATCCTCAGGTTGAGTTTGGAGCCTTTTTCACGCCTTTTCAACGGCCAAGGAGCTCAGACGCACCACATTCGTGACTCTTTAATCTGCCTCTGCAGATTTTACATACAGTAGTGTCAGCGTCAAGGTTAAAATGGCTTTTTCTCGAAAAAAGCGCCTGACGCCCGTAAAGAAGCTCGCATGGAGGTTCCACAAAGCTCTCTCACTCCCACTAGCCGCCAGGCCTGGACCGGCAACTCTGATCAAATCATGCGAGAGATTGAATGGGGTTCCATGGTCTTACTCAATCGACTTTTATTTGTCTCTTGAAGCCGAAAGGGCCAGGTCCCCCCCTATCACTGACCCAGGCCGGTTCACCACAGCCCACATGAACCTAGATTAGATCCCTCGTCCCCCCTGTTGCATGCCTGGGTATGGCATCTTTGTTCCCTGTGTCAATCCCCTCTACCCCCTAACGTGGCTCAAATTGTGTTCAGCTGTACTCATACAGAGAGAGACGGCATGCATATGCTTAGGCTAAGCACCTATCAATCCCATCATCCTTTTACACGTGAAGCCAAGGACAGCAAGACGCCTGTTGGTTCCTGATTTTTTGGGGTCTATAGTCCTATACACTGCGCATGAGTGTTTAGGGTGACATATACGCACCGACCACACTCACACACCCACGCATCCATACTTCAAGGCCGTGTCAGGTCGTGTCATATTGCTGTCAAGCTGGTAGCATTGTGACCGGACCGTTGTGGCCACCATGATTGTCAAGACGACGGCCAAGCTCGTCGCCGTGCTTAGTCCACTCCTCGTCATCGGCTACCTCGTTCCTCACTTCCTCAACGCCCCCCGCGAACTTCCTCCTCAAGCGCCGTTCCCATGGATCAAGCATACAGATACCTCAGACAGCAATCCTCTGGCGGTGATCCCTCCGTCACACATGCTCGTCATCGACGACGATGGAAAGCCCGTCATTGACACCGCCGTTTACCGACCGTTGCATTCCAACTCGACAGCCACGGGCGATTACTTCAAAGTCTTCTTGGGAAGCAAGCAAGGATATAATCCCAGTTTCATTCCTCACCCCCTGAAGCACGACAGTTGGCTGGTTATTGCCAAACAAGTGCAGACACACGAGTTGGGACACATCCATGAGCAACTCATGTGCACGGCGGGCTTCTTGAACGACGTGCTCGTCTGCAACGCCGACCCGACCATCATCCCTATCGAGAAGACGGTTGGACAATGTGAGGGAGACAAAGCCAGCTTCAACTTTGGACAGGGTCCGCGAGACGCCCGGGTGTTTCACGGCCCAACCGCACCTTACATTCTCTACGGCTCTCTATCTGGATACACCTGTCTCGGTGTCTTTGTGCAGGATGCTCGCATGCTAGTGGACGAATTCCGTCTGGAGGCGGTTCTAGTGGATCAATTCAAGGCGGGTACTGAGATTCAACGCCCACCACCGTACGCGGAGCTCGAGAAGAACTTCTTCCTGTTTTGGGATTCCAAGGAGGAATTGTATGTGCACTACGACCTCCACCCAAAACGAGTCTTTGCGAAGCTATTGCCCGATGGCTCTGTCGGTCCAGATCTGGCTCCGTTGGCTGCCCCCCAGGACGAGAAGTGTTTACAGCAGTATCTGCCTCAATTGCCGGCCGAGAATGCATTTATTCACCAGGCGACGAACGCTCTGTCCATCACACTCTGCCGCCGTGCTGATCCTAATTGCAAGCCCGACGACTCAAACACCTTTATCATGCACATCTTTCACTACAAGACCTTTTTCGACTGGCACGGTGGCTACGAGCCCTATATCATTCTATTCCGCCAGACGGCCCCCTTCGCGGTGCATTCCATCTCCTCCAAGCCCTACTGGATGAGTGGACGCACTCGCTTCTCCAAGGAAACAGGCGCCGTGCTATGGGAAGGTCGCAATGACTTGCCCGAGAATCATTCGGAAATGTTCTACGTCACCAGCATTAGTTGGAAGACGCACGGCCAGAGATACCACGGCTACATCGACGACCCTGTTTATATTGGATTTGGCATCGAGGATTCCAGATCCGGAGGCATGGATGTCATCGCCGAGGAGTTGTTGCAAGATCTCAATTTCTGTTAGATTAGATATGACCCAAAAGTCGGTTGTCAGGCTTGGGCTCATGGGTCGTTCGCATTCAGCAATGAGTTTGGCGTTTGGGTCGGGAGGGTGGGCAGAACATGTGGAATCAAGGAGGCCCCCTACTTGTGTCATCAGATCGCAATGTTTAACGACTCATAATGTTATAGACGCAGCTTCAATCTGCTTTCATTTGGTTCATGGCGATCCGCTTTCTTGCTTGTCCATATTATGTGAGCTCGTCCATGACCAACATGTCGTCCTGTGCTGCCGCTTGTCTGCACCCCTTGAAACCTTGTTCTCGTTCGGCCGACGCTTCGATCAAGCTCGGAAGAAGTATGCACCGCACTTGGAGTCAATGACTTCGTCAACAATATCAATTTCTGATTCATCTTACAGAAGCAAAGAGAATGTGGTAGCCAACCAACAACAAATCAATCCATCGTCTGTCGAAAGTCACAGTTCTGGCGTTTCGATGATTCCAACACAGTCAAATCATGTTCCTTCCAAATACATATTGCCTCGAGAACAGGCTGTGCACCATTGTCCTCGCCCGATCTTAACTTGAAAGGTTCGATATCGCCACCACACGTTGGAGCGAATCCTGCAAAGCATTGACGTCTCCCAAGCTTTCTAAAAGGTAGTTGTCCTGCCCCTGGTTATCCCCAGTATCCCCAATCTGCTTCAGAATTGAGCTCAGGTACTCAAGTGACGAATTGAGAGTCTTGACAAATCCCCTCGCGCGGCGGGTGAATTCGACAAATTTTTCAGACGAAAGTTGCGGTGCCACGACGTAGAGTAGGTTCAAGGTCGAAATGTAAAAAGGTATATTCAAGAGAAAATCGGACACAGAATCGTCCTCATCGTGTGCCGATGAGGTGGTTGATGCATGGGTTTTGGCTATGGACGCTAATGATGGCAGATCGTCCGGAAGAAGAACGTCCAGGATCTGAGTTCTTGCTGATGAGAATTCATGTTCCCCGTCGGCAAGAAGGTCAAGTCCCAGCCCTTTTTTGGCGTCTGGGCTCTCTTGTCGAAGCCGAGTCAAAAACTCATCCTTGAGCCAGTCCACTCCAACAGATCTCAAGACGCCCAGTTGTTGGGGAGGAGCCAAGGGAATGGGGTTTGGTTGCAAAGCTGAAATGCTTCTGGTAAGACCTGTTTCTTCATCGATGCCAGGCACAGGGGTTGGCTCTTCTTCCACCTCATCCCAGTTGGAGCTCAATGTGCTACCTTGCACAGTCTGAGCCACCACTTGCAGTCTCGTAGCGGATTCAGGGTAAGCATGGAGCAATTTGGTTGCCACGTAGTGGAGCGAGTCGCGGAGGTCGGCCCAGGGCGTGATGGTGAAGAGCTGGGTTAGGGTACTCAAGAGGAGGAGGAACTTGGCGTGAGACAATCGGGAGTCCGAGGATGAACTTATCTCGGCATCCCCTGAGACAACTGTCTTTCTGTAGAGTAGTGACAAGAGAGAATCCAGCAATGCGGGATTTGGTATGGTCGGTGATGCAGAGAGTGGGGCGGTATGATCGATCAAGTGAGCAATGACAGGAAGTGGGAGGGTCGAGTATGGTGCCTGGGAGTCCAGGTACAACTGGGATGCACATAAGAAGATGATTCCGTTGGCAGGCAGCGGGATCTGACTCGGGGTAGTGGGATATTCGGAGACTTGATGCTCTGGGTCATGGATTTCTTGTGTGTCATCATCATCATCATGACCGAGCTTTTTCACCTCTTCAAATGCTCCGAAGCCAAGAAGTTTGCTCAGCTTTCCCAACTGCATAAGAATGGCGTCTCTTTGTTTCAGATCTGGACTGTTCTCAAAACGTTTTGTTTCTGTAGTCTTGGTGGGAACAACCCTCTTTGGCTCGAATTGCTCTCGCAGACGACTGGTCCAGGACATGGAGGGATCGTCCAGGGTCGTGAAAGAGGATAGATACTCGTCCAGAACTTCCAAAAGTACGGCCTGCAGTAATCGAGTGACAATGACTTTTTCCTCCGGGGAGGGTGAATTGACGCCTTTGTCGTTCTTTTCCGCATTGGACTCCGGATCTGGTAGCACGGCAACATTTGCTGACTCTGAGCCACCCTCAGCTTGGGAGGCAGTGGTTGGAACTTGAGTGGCGCTCGCTCGGGGAGGAAGAGGAGGTCGACTTTCAGCGGCGAGTTTCTCCAACATATCCAGGAAAGATATGGTGGTGGCTTCCGTGATTGGAATATGTCGGTAGGCTCCTAGGGCGGCTGGAAGAGAAGTGGCCAAGAATCGACTAGGGTACTGAGTCTTGATCCTAGGATGCAAAATACCCAGCATCCGAACAAGTGCTGTAAACTTCAAGGAATTGACGTCTGTATCTGAGGGCAAGTTGGCAGGACTAACGGATTGAGGTTTGGTTGCTGGGGGGGTTTGCTGCTTGTCCTGCTTCATGCCGTCCAGCGTCATGTCTCCAAGATGGACGCGAGGAGCCTCTCCCGCAAAAGTTGGCAACTGATCACCTTCATTGTCGTCTTCTTGTTCGTTCCAGGGAGTTTCAATTGCAGTTTCACCAAGCTGCTCCAGTTCTTCAGCGACTCGAACCACCACTTCACGTGGGTTGCCCCTGCGACTGATGATCTCTAGGCAACGGTTTGCCTCGGGGGGGGTTTTGACCAAAAGACGAAGGACAAGCTTCAAGAGGTCCCAGCCAATTTCTTCGGCCAGAGTGCCATCATCTTCAGTCAGCAACCTCGTCAGAGTGGGCAAGTTTTCAGAGGTCAATTGATATTCCAAAAGAGTCAAATAAGTCACATAATCGGTGGCGGGGGGCAGAGCAGCCACCAGTGGATCCTGACTGGGATCAATCGGGGCAGCCATAGTAGCTCTGACAGTACTGGAAGCTAATTGAAGTCGTTGGATTCGGCTCAGGATGATATTTGACCTACACTTGGCATGTAGCTCAATGGGACTGGGCAATCAGTAGCAGTGTTCTCGTCTGGGACACCTGGCTCCGTCTTGTCGAGGGACCAGGTGCCGGAGCCCAGAGCACGAGACAAACCACAGGTAGGTGATGACCTGCAATTATCTCCTACAAGAAGAGATGGAGTGTAGAGAAGGACGACTGATATGAAAATTGCCAGAAGGTTGAGAGTGAGGGGATTCTGAGACGTCTTTGCGTCAGTGTTGGTGTCGATATTGGACGTGGACCCTTGGGGCTTGGGAAGGCACGCGCCATGGGACTTCCGGGGCAAACGGAAGGCAAGGGCCATGGAGGCTCGCACCCAAAGGTTGGCTTGGCAGCTTCCAGATAGGCTCCAACCCCGCACTTTGCCTATTGTTGACCTCTTGTGCCTCTGTAGTTCCCTGTAGCCAGTGTCACCTCTGGTATTCGTGGTCATGGTGGTGAGGTCTCATGGGTCTGTCTAACAGGTAGCAGATGATGCTCTGTAGGGTACCAAATAAGGCACCAATTACTCATTGTACTTCTCCTACTTACTGTGCCGCTCTCGAGTCAAGTACTTCTCCCTCATCTCAGCAGCCATCAACCGACGATAAGGCAAACCTTGGCGACTGAGTCATCACTCTGAATTTCACCTCACGCCCTTAAACAATCAAAGATTCACATGCAGCGATTCACATCTCATTACGGCCCGCATCTGCACCAGTAACCTTGACTTCTCCCACGCCCTTTTGGTCGTTGTGCACACATCGAAAGTCATCGAAACTGGTGCCGGACGTGCCAAGAAACCGTTGACAAGGCTGAATCTACACCTGGCATGATCAGGTCAACAGGTCCCATCTCTTTGCATTGATCGGCTCTTTACATATTCTCAGGCTTACGCGAACAGTATCACCCTTCGTCTCTGATCATTTTGTCTTTTCTCCTCCCTTCAGACCTATGGTTTCGCCCAGCGCTTTGGGCGCCACGATATCAGAACAACGTCAATCAAACACATCAGACGACGGATAGGTCCAACAGCACCTGTTATGTTCTCAAAATCCATTCAACTAACCACTGTTTGGTGACCAACGAGCCTGTCAAATGAAGGCATGGGTTCCGGCTTCTTCCGTCGACCTACTGATGACAGCTCAAGTTCTGACACCGATGACTCTGAACCGGATACTGGCGTTGGTGAGAACGGCGTGAGTCAAGAGGCAGCTGAGAACTTTACCACCGAGTCCATATCCAGCAATGGCAGCATCTCGACGGGTGATGTTCAGGATGGAGTCTCCGCAGGCTACGGCGCTGTCGATCAACATCGAAACATGCTTCTTTCAGCCCTGCTCGAAGACTTTGTTCGAAATCGTGCCTGTGAAGAGATGAACAAGGCCCACCCGGGAAGGAACTTCACTCGCCATTCCCCTGAGATACAACCACTTGCCCAACAGCTATTTCAGCGGGCAAGCCAGCCTTTGGCCCGCAATGGTTGGATCACGCCCTCATCTGCGGGTGAAAGTGCAGCTAGCATGCAAGCAAGAGCGACGTACTTGGCAGGAGTAGAAAACTTAGCTTTGAGCAGCATTCAAAGTGACCATCTGTTGCAACAAACAAACCAAGTACAGCGTCGATCAACTGAACAGGCCCTGGCGGTCACTCGTCAAGGCAATCCGGTCCAATCTTTTGCCCAAGGCCTTCAGCAATCTATGGCCAGCTTGTCTCTCCATGGGAGGAATGCCCAAGTACCTTCACCTTACTCTGACATGGTCTTTTCTTCTCCCTCTCCACGGCCAAGCCACTATGAATCAAGTTTCCAACAGATAAAGTTCTTGGGTCGAGGTGGTTTCGGCGCGGTCTATCATACGCACAACCTCTTTGACCAAAAGGAATATGCTGTCAAGAAGATTCCCCTTAGCCCCCGACTATCTCGAAGGTATAGAGAATCCGGACATAGGGAATTAGAAAATATTCTCCGAGAAGTGCAAGCCCTGGCACAGCTGGAGCATAACAACATCGTCAGATATCATGCCACCTGGATCGAGGATCCCAAGGAGGAATCATCCAACCCGGGTGCTTATGGACCGCAAAAAACCCCCAGCTTGACAGTCCAAGGAAGACGGCTTCTCGAAGCAGCAGTGGCATCTCCGTCGGGGATTGACTCGGCCAGATCAATTGGGCTTCGACATTCTCCGCCACGCGACATCAGAGCGGTCGATAAAAGTGACGATGTTGTGTTCGAACTAGATAGCCACGAGGAAGCTCTCACACATGGCCATGGCTCACCGTCGAGGAAACTGGCCACCAATTTCCCGGTATCTGCACAGCCTAGCGAGAATGACTCGATGACATCGTCGGCACGGCCTTCTGAGATCTTTTCCGATGGCAACGCTGTACAGAGGCCTACAAATTTAAGAGATGGCATACAGGACTCTTCGGTCTATGTCCTTTATGTGCAGATGTCGCTATACCCAACAACACTAGCGCAGCATCTCGCACCTGCAACACCCACAGACTCGCATACAGGATTGGACACGGCGGCAGGCTCAGGGACCAGGGACATACCCCGACACTGCTTCCACTTGATCCCTGCACTGAGAATACTGATGGGAATCCTGTGTGGACTGCAATATATCCACGCCAAAGGACTTGTACACCGAGATATCAAACCTAGCAACGTGTTCCTAGCCGGCATGGACCTGGCGAGCGAATCTCTAGTGCCTGACGGTTTCTTCGACGTTGGAACTTGCACCGCTTGTGGAAAGCACAGTCCATATTTTGTCAATCCACGGATCGGAGATTTTGGACTGGTGGCACAATTAGCGCGAGACTCGGATGTGGACACCCCAGCGTCCAAAGCAGTTGGCACAGAGTACTATCGACCACCGGTGTTTCGTGAAGCAAGGGCCAAAGGCCGGGCAGCCGTGGTGGACGAGAAGCTCGACGTCTTCGCTATGGGCGTGATCCTAGTTGAGCTTATTTGGTGTTGCGCAACGCGGACAGAACGAATGCACGTACTCCAAGGCTTGCAACAAGGACGACTCCCTGTAGGATTAGCAGCCAAGGTTGATGCCGAAGGCCACCAGCCAGGCACAGGAGACCAACTAGTCGATTGCATCCGAGGGATGATTGAGCGTGATCCAGGTCGGCGATGGGGCTGTGGCACGGTTGCACAACAGGTCAAGGCACTCCTGGACAAAGCATGTACATCAATGGCGGGCGTTGGCTCTGCTGCTCAAGAGGAGAGCCCGGGCCTGGGCGAGACATTAAGTAAGATCACTAGCATTGAGGATGCCGGCGAGAGCGAGCATTTCGGGGATGGAGGTGCTGGATGAAACTCTGTTTGATATGCTGGAGGTGACGCTGTTCAATATACCTATGATGCACACCTCTCACATTTGCAGTTTCCTGGGTCATTCGTGGTAGTCGGCCTGAAGTTCCGTAGAAGGTCTTTTTTGATTTTGGAAAAAATGTGAACAGTCGCTCCTGCCTTGCCAGCCACCTGCAGTTGAAGGAAGGTGTGATCGACGTGACATGATGCGTGCTTGCCCAGTCTTTGAAGCACATGGACACGTGGACAGCAAAATGGCGACTGCGACTATTTTATTCATTTCTCAACAGGAATGATTGTCCTGAGAAGATTAAAGATCCACGAGAACCACCTCGTCTTGACGATGTCTCTATCGTCCTATGCACTGCATTCGTATGTCTAGTGCAAAACAGAACCCAGATCTTCCTTGCTTACCTTATTGCTTAATAGTTCCCACGCTTTTGAATGGTGCGGTAAATCATAGCCTTGAGCTTAAACTACCCTGAATCCCAATTATTCGCCCACTTCCTGACATCAAAAGGATCGCCCGCACGGACTCGACTTCCGGGCGGGAACCACACATCAAAAAGGTGGAAACTCTGAGGTCATAAACAGATTGCCGACAGCAATTCTTACATCATGGCGTAGGTGAGGTTCGTCAACGTTACCATGATTTTTGCTGGTTCAACAGATTACGTGGTGCAGGTAAGCTGGTCATGATGTATTTAAATGGTGTTTAACTTTGGTCCGTTGGATTTTTATAATTGCTTCGTTTATATTCGTTCTTTGGTGTAGCCCTCGACTTTGGATCTCTACGGCTCTTACACTAGGAGTACAAGTACACGTACATTTCAGGTTTGATTCGTGCACCCTCACCCTCACCAACAAACATGGGTTATCCAGAACAGTTCCAAGGGTTCATGATCGAGGACCAGAAGAAATGGACTGAGTTCAAAAAGCAAGAGGTACCTATACTTGACGCTCTAGAGAGTCTGCTTCGATGGCAACTGACTGTTTCTCTCTAGTTCAAACCCAAGAAGTTTGGTGACCATGACATCGACATCAAGATCGAATGCTGCGGCGTCTGCGGGTCCGACGTACACACCATCAACGGTGGCTGGGGCGACGCTCCCTTGCCCATTTGCGTGGGTCACGAAATTGTCGGACATGCAGTCAAAGTCGGCAACGAAGTCAAGACGGTCAAAGTGGGTGATCGTGTCGGCGTCGGCGCACAGATCTGGGCATGCTTAAAGTGTCAGCAATGCAAAACAGACAATGAAAACTACTGCCCCCACATGGTTGACACATACGGCGCACCGTATCCCAAGAGCGAGGATCCAGACGAGACAGTATCACAAGGCGGATATGCATCGCACATTCGAGCCCACGAATACTTTACCTTTCCCATCCCTGACGAGATCCCTTCCCATTTAGCCGCTCCCATGTTATGTGCGGGCTTGACCACATGGTCACCCCTCGTCCGGGCAGGAGTCAAGGAAGGGAAGAAGGTGGCAATCGTCGGGCTGGGGGGTTTGGGTCACTTTGCCGTCATGTGGGCCAACGCCTTGGGCGCCGAAGTGACAGTCATCTCTCATTCCCCTGGTAAAAAGGAGGATGCGCTGAAGCTGGGAGCCAAAAACTTTGTCATCAGCTCTGAAGATGGTTGGGAGGAACCATATGCATTTGCATTTGATTTCGTCCTCAACACGGCAGACATGACGCACAAGTTCGACATTGCCAAATATCTTTCTCTCTGCAAGGTCAACGCCACATTCCATCAAGTCGGTCTGCCGGATGAGGCGCTCCCCGCAATCAAGCCGCAGATGTTTATGAGCAATGGAAGTTCTATTGGTGCCAGCCACATTGGCAATCGACCTGAGTGTCTGGCCATGTTGAAGCTGGCAGCAGAGAAGAAACTATTCCCCATGGTGGAGACTATCCCCATCTCGGAAAAGGGGTGTGCAGAGGCGGTGTCGCGTGTCAGTAACAACAAGGTCAAGTACAGATTTACCTTGACGGATTTTGACAAGGCTTTTGGGAGTTGAGAGGAATTGGGAGGGTGGATGAGCCAGACTCGGATATAATGGTTGTAGGTAAACATGACTTGAATGCTTTAATCGTCTATTACTAAATTTTCAATTCGAGAGGGTGAATAAATGAGAAAGAGACAAATCCAAAGTAGTCACGGCCTAGGTGAACATGAATTTTGGCTATCATGTCAAAGACGAACCATTGGTATGGGAAACCCGATGAGTGGATCACAGACCTACGCATCACGATCACGGGAGCAGTACATACCTACCTTGGTAGATACCAGGTACTTAGATGGATTGGATTCCTAGTAGGTATGCAGATGCAGATGCAGGCGCGAGAAGTCACTCCCGCGGCCCAATCCCAATACGAGCCACCGCCTTGGGGGATTCAGGGGAGTTTGACGACCAGAAGTCTGCATATTCTAGGCATCCTTTAGGCTTGGTCCCGCTATTTCGGGCCAGGATTTGACCAGCCGCCCTCCGCTTCTCCTTACACTTCCTTTCCAACTAAAAGAAGGCCCCTTGGGACCAATTAACGGGCCCCTCGGCTCTTGATCTGGGGTCAGGTTCTCAGGTTTTCTACGCACATACTCGTACCCATCGATATTAAATTGTCCGACGCAAGCAAACGTCCTCGTATACGCACGGTATCTCCAGCCCTCTTATTTTGTTTGGCTCGCCCTTTTTGTGTCGACCGACGCACATCACCCACATGATGCACATCAACGGAGACTTTTTCAACATCAGAGACCTGACACGGAGCCAATTCTTTTTTCCCAAGGATAATTTGAAGTATCATTCTCGATTTGGAGTGAACAACTGCTGATCTTGGGCCTAAAAAATAGCACCAGCAAAGTCGGTGTCTGCCCATACTGTAACACTACTGTAGAGTTTGAGAAATCTCCTGCATACTGGATCTCTGAGGATGGGTGATGATGATCAAGGTTTGTAACCTCCAATCAGGAACATCGATTGGCGGTTGATCGTCCATTATAAAGCATGCCCCGGCCGCTTCGGGGGTCCACATGCTTGAAGATAGGGTTGGATAGGCGTATTCGTAGGCGGATAAAGCTCCATGAAACGCCCATTTGGCCCCCTCACGACCCAGAAGAGGACGCTCCCGGCGGATGCATGCTCGTATCTGCACAGGCGACCTACCACTTAGTGACCTACTTAGTCCTTGGGAGTGAATCCTAGTGGCTCAGTGGCCCCTAAACTCCCACACTCCCTGCCTAAGTCGGCCTTAGTAGGCCTAAGTAGGCACGGTAAGGCCCCGCGGATCCAAGAAGTCGAGCTCAAGTTGCAATTGCGCGGCACTTTCTTCATACATTCATTCGTCATTGGCAACTGCCAGCCATAATGTAAGTGGCGCTTGCCTCTTACCGTTGCACCTGATTCTGACAAGTTGAAGAAGCTCTTCTTCATCTCGACGCCATCCCAGCGTCAATCTATATCCTACTGGACGCTCTCTTTGGCATCCTCCTCTCTAAGCAGAGAGGCTCGCATCTGGAGCCTCTTCATCACCTTCCCGTTGTCTCAGACCACCTGCTAATACTGCTGCTTCGAACCAGCCTCTGCCAAAGCCCATACCCACTCAACGCCGCGGGCCATTTCAAAGCCTCCACTCTGTCGCGTCGGTGCCTTGACACCTGCACATCTTTTTGTCGACCCGCCAGCCACTAATACGATATCAACCGGTCATGTCCTGACTGTCTCTACGCGCCACGTTTGTTTTCCTCTTTGCGAAATCAACCTCGCACCGGAAGTCTGTCAATCTTTCTATCAATCCCTCCACAACTGCACGGCACTTCACTGCACGCCGCCGATTTCCTCAAATCCAGCCCTCGCCGCTGCCTCTGCACGCCATCCTGGACCCAGACCCTCTCCTCAATTGACACCGACGACAAGGCCATTTATCTCCCACTGGTCCTGACAACAGACCATCTTCTTCCTCTCCCTCATTTCGGCTTTCTGTTCTCCTCCCGCCCCACGTCATCTTCGCATCCTTCGACCTATACCTACCACCAACCCCTCCACATGTCGACTCGAAGCTGAATGAATCCTCCTCTCAATACTTCTACTGTTTGAAGCACTCCTACCATGCCTGATGGGACACAATCCAAGACTTGTCATGACTTGTGTATAATCGTACCCCTCCTGGGAATGCAAGCGCATCTGAGCCATGGATACGGGCCTGAGAAGATTGTGGATTCGCAGAAGGAGCAAGGGTCATGACAGTTCCGCTGATCCAACCCTGAAGAACCTGCGAATCAATCACTCAAACCACAGCAGTCCACTCAATCCAGCATCCCAGACTGTACCTCAGTCTACCGGTCCATCCATACGCAATGGCTCATCCAAACTCCTCCACCAAGCCAGCACTGACGCCTTCCGCCCTTCCTCGGGTAACAGGAAGCAGCCAATGTTGGTCGGTGTCTCGAGACCGTCTACGGCTCCTTCCAGGCCAGGAACTGCTGGAAGCGGCAGCCTCATGACCGCCGTGAACCGTGCCGCCGATTCCGTTGTTGTCGCCCAACCCGAACAGGACTATAAGCGACCGACCGAAAAGTACTCGAGAGATCAGATGCAACCCAAATCGCCCAGATCAGTCGATATCTTTTCCATCTCCAAACCCGCCAGCCCACGTGTCTATAACGAAGACATTGCCGAGAGGAACCTCGACTTCAGTCGCATCGCCCATACAAGTCCCCGCTATCCTTACCGAGAATCCGCGAAGTTTCAAGAGGATGTCGCAGCTCGTAATGCTTATCCTCCTCTCCCCGGCGACATTGTCGATTTGTCCCGTTCTTCCTATCCCATCTATCTGGACGATCGAGATCCAATCGCAATCAATTCCACAAAGCGAACGGCCCTGGATCAACGCGGAGGCCCGGTCCTGATCTCTGACGAGGATCCCTTTGTCGGCTTCTCAGATTTCTCCCCTTCTGTCTCTCAACACTCACAAGCCCATACCGACAGCAACTATGGTCCCCCACCTCCCAGAAGCTCTCACAACGAATCTTTTATCTCTTCACCAGCCCGGCCTCTCACCAGCGATCATATCGACAGGGTCAATGGCCACTTACCAGGTGAAAAGACTTCTAGGTCATTTGCCAAAGTCTCGTCGTACCCTCACCGACAGCTCGTTGGACCTCATACATTACACAGTGGTCGCTCTCACGAAGCCGCTCGCAGTGAAAGTCTTCGTAATTATGTCCTCTCCCAATCAGAGTTAGTCCAGTACCATTCAGCCACCTCCAACTCTCGACGCCCCGTCACCAGGCCAGATGAAAATGGGGAGTATGCTCATGGCTCCGAGCGTTCGGGACGACCTCCGTCTGCCATGAGCAACACCTCTTCCGTCAAGAGAACCATCAATCTGACAAACCGCACCATCATGGATTTGACTGGTGACGATTCCGAAGTTTTTTCAGAGCTATCTCCCGAGTCTACCTACAGTTCAAGTCCCATATTGGAGAGTGCCAAAACTGACACCATGAAAAGAATGCACCCTGCGGTGGTGTCCCCCGTTATCAGGCATGACCCCATGGGACAGCCCAACTCCTTCAGGTCACCAGACATGTTTGAAGGCACCGTTCCAAATGTCCCTGTCCAAGCCCCTGACGCTTATGTGTCTCAAACACCTCGGAAACTTGTTTCAGATCAGCCGGGGCCCAACCAGGGTGCACCTTCGAACTCGGTGACCATCGCTTTCTCCCCCATCAATACCATCGCCACTTTCGAGCCTCGGAAGAGTATATTTATTGACCAGCAGCTCATGGACGATCTTGCTCGTGAACTTCCATCCGTCAACTCCGTGGAGTCTAATGGCCAAGACCCACTCGTTTCGAATGACGCAAGAGAATCCGAGGTGTCCCACCAGCTCCAACACCCAATCACAACAGAAGAGCATTCGCCTGTGAGTGGAACTACATCAGAGAGCCTGGGATCGATGCCAAATGGTGTGAATGGCCTAAGCGATGGAGACAATAACCCTGTTAGGAACAAGAGCATTTCCAATCCCACAGACGTCGGCACACAAGACCACACCGAAGTTCCGGATGCCTTAGTTACGCCTCAAAGTCAACCGGTCATTCAAATGACACCTGAAAGCCTTCATTCCATAGACTTTGTCGATCCGAGTAGAAGCTTCGGCGTGACCGCTCGGGATTTTGCAGTCACCCCCAGCAAGCCTATCTTGGAAAGTGTTCCCGAAGATTTTGAGCCCAGCCTGCAGAACAAGCCCAAGCGGCCAGCTCAAGTGACCACAGCAAGCCGGACAACAAGTCACGATTCTGCTCATTCAAATCGCAAGGTAGCCAAGGCACCGGCCATCTACCGATCGACGTTCGACGAAGCGGAATTCGCCCAGAAGCAGGCAGACGCAAGAGCAGCTTTGGTCCGTCTTCAGCAGAGCTTGAATGAGAATTTTCTCTCGCAGCCTCACCCTCCGCCAGCGAAGCAGCCTTCCAGGACCCAACGGCATCATTCATCCCTGAGCGACGGCAAACCTGTTGCCCCATCTTCCATCTTTGCTCAGGCCAGGACTACTTCACCGACATCCACCGACAAGAGGAACAGCGCCGCGACATCAGCTTCTAGCGATGACGGCAGACCGCGGACTTCCTATCACAGCCTCACCACCAGTGTGAACTCGAATATGGATCCAAACTCGTCAGCCCCTGGCACAAACTATCGTCGGACTACTCAAGACAAACCGCGGATCCAGCTGGACACGAATGGTCCTGGTCCTTCGATTCTCAATGATGGTCAAGATATTGATTCGGCTCGTCCCAATGTGAACGGTCAAGTCCTGCCTCGATATCTGAACCACGCACCAGTGCCACCAAGTCCCGGCGAGATATCCTTGTCGAGTTTTCCCATACCATTGTCTTCACCAAGACAGTCGTTTAGACAAGACCGAGATTCGCCGGACATGTCGCGACAAAGCGGCAGCCATCAATCACAGCATAGCAACACAAATAGTGTTGTCATGTCACGGCAGCTGAAACGACAATCGAGCGTCCGAAGTCAGGCCAGTAGTGCTTCAGCTTTCAGCATTCCTTATCATATGATTCCTGATCGATCCAGTAGTGCACGTGATCGATCGGTTCTGGAATGAGGGGGAGATGTTTTTGCATGGCGCAGAAGCGTCGATACCCTGCTCTACCTTGGGTTCCGGGTTCATGGGATCTATGCCGGAATTGAGGTCTCTACTATTTCGGTGGCGGCGACGTCCTTTTTGGTTAGGCTTACGGATGGAATGGAACGATGGGGTGGGTGGCTTATCTAGACGGAGGACACGATTACTTTACGTGAATTGAGTCACATTTGAAGCCATTTAACGAGAAGATTCAGATATTTACAGTTTGCAATCTACGAATGACATGATGTTCTCTTAACTTGACCGTACCTAACTGTTTTCGACGTGTATCATGTTTCTACAAACCAGCAGATTCTAGATCCTAGATTCTAGTATACAAAAGAACCTGATCTTCACACTCCCCAAACCCGTCTCCACCCATCCGGCGTACTGATCCCTCCTCTGGCAACAAAACCGCCCTCAACACCCTTACCAGACTCATACACTTCGTCCTCGCCCGGGAGACGCAGCCACTCGTCGACCATCGGAGGAATCTCCTCTTTAACATGCGACACGACAACCAATGCTTGCGCGGGCGTCAACCCATTAAAGACATGTTCATCGTCTCGACGCGGAAATTGAGTGTCGGCTTGTCCAAACTCCAACCACCGCATGGCTTTATCCCTCGTTTCGGCTGATAGGCCTGAGAATGCCTCGTCGAGGATAATTATATCTGGTTGTTTAATGATAGCGCGCAGGAGTAACAGGAGCCGTTGGGCGGGGAATGGAAGTTGGCCGTATGTATGGTGTGTTTTGTCTGTTGACCAGATGAGGTCGTCGTCGGGGATGTGGGAATTTGTTGCATCGTTGTCAACACTACTCGTTTGACGCAATTCAGGTGCCCACCAGCGTAAGAAAGCATCGACGAGGGATTCTCGTTCTTGCGTCAATGATGGTTTCCCAGCGAATGTCTCGGCCCATGCACTTTCGAGGACGCGACGGACGGTCAAGTGTTTGGGAAAGAAAGCGTGGATTTCGGGACTGGAATGACCAATTCGGTTCTGGATTTCCCACAGGGACAGTCCCGGCTGACCTGGTGTGGGGAGTCTGCTGCGGCCAAAGAACTGGATGGGTAGGCTGTAGGATTGCGGATGGTCGGAAGTCAAGAGACTGAGGAGCGTGGTCTTTCCTGATCCGTTGGGACCGAGGAGGGCGAGTCGTGTGCCTTGTCGAATGGTCATGTTGAGACCAGGTGTGTCGTAGCCGGGTTGTGGGGGTGGATGACCGAGTACTGTTTTGCTGCCGTATCGTACGATGACTGAGGATAGCTCGATAAGAGGTTGACCTTTTGCAGTTGGACTTGGCTCAGTGGGTTGGATCTTTGTGGACTGAGCGTCCCAGGAGCTGGGGTCTTGTTGGCTCGACGTAGACGAAGCGGTGACTTGAGCCTGGGTGACCTTTTCCAGGAGACCAGAGGGTGGAGAGGTCATGAGTGCGAGCCAGTCGGTAGGGGTCCTGCGACCCAAGGGCTTCTCCCTGGCGGCATCTGCGGCTCGTTTTTCAGCAGGCGATGATACCTTGGAAACGTCCACAGCACCATCTGAGAGGAAGTAGTTTGGTCCGGCATTCAACTCGGCATAGACGGGGTGTCGACGGATACCTGTTTGAGACAAAATATCGCCTACACCGAGAGGTGGCGGGCCGAATGCCTTGGTCATGCTTTTCACAAACTCTTGTGCAAGAGCATCATTTGGATTTTCAGAGTGTGTTTGTGCGGAGTGATGCTTGGAATACAACTCGGTCCATCTGTGCAGTTGAAAGAGAACGTGGGGGGCGGGGCCCTGGAGAGGCATGGTGTGATTATGCCCGAGAATGACAAGATGAGTGATCCAATCTGGAATAGGATCCTGTGGCCGTAGACCCAGCAGCAAGAGAGGTGAAGATTTGTAGGCTAGGTCGCGCAAGATGGGTGAGAGGGTCACCGAGGTCGGAGGATCGAGGCCCATGAAAGGTTCATCTAGCAGCAGGAGTTCTGGCTTGCCCAACAAAGCTTTGGCAATTCGTGATCTCCTCGTCTGCCCGTTGCTCAAATGACTGACAGGCATATCGGCAAGCTTGTGCAGGCGCAAGTCCGACATGACCTTCTGCAAGAATGCATCATCGACGTGTCGCTCTTGTGCCGAGACCTCATCTGGATTAAGCTCAGTCTCGCCTTTGAGATATTGGAGAAGAGTCCAGTCAGTTTCCTCACGGCGACTCTCGTACCGAGCACTCAGGTAGGCACCTCGAACTCCGCCTGGCGAGGATTGGCCCTTGGTGGCATTGAAACCGACATATTGAATAGCGCGTGAGGGGACGCGGAGTCGGTGATCTCGACGGTCGACCTCTTCTGATGACAGGTAAGGGAACGATCGTGCCTCGGGCGGGAAGCAGAGATGGCTGCCTCGAAGAAGCTCTAGGAAGGTTGTACTGTCTGTCGGAGAGATGACTGCCCAATGCTGGTCTCTTCTTGATCCTGCCCTCCGCTCGGAGAGGGGAGTGGCAGGGAGAGTAAATGTCAACCCTGGGTAGAGAGGTGGGTTGGACGAGACAGTGTCAGGATCGAGCGAGGGATGATCTCGATAAAATGTGCCATTGCTGATACGAATGAGTGACTGGTTAGAGGTTGATTTGGGAATATGTGCTGAGAGCAAAGCCAACGTCGTCCGCATGGTTCATGGGTAGCCTCGCGTGTGTGTGGTGGAAAAGTAGTTGGCGAGCGACTTGGTGTCTAGTCTTGGTCGTGAAGTTGTAGGTGGCTAATGGCAACAAACTCGAAAGAAAAGGAGATTTCCTTTGCGAACATAACATGAATCAATATACGAAATTCGTCTAACCCCCTCCCTGGTACCTTCTCATGACTCAAATTGGAGTAAATGTAGTAAGAAAACTGGCGATATCAAGTTGTTTGAAGAAGTCATCTCCACATGGGAGATCATATATCGGAGAGGAACTAGTCTCCCCGACTCACGTCACGTGGTTGCCTCATCATCCGCATTCAGACATATAAATCTACTGCAACATGGGCAAGAGCGATTGAGGGCTCGGTGACCTGTATAAGTCGTCCTTGCCTCATCAATCCATTACTCTCTGGCCACCTGATCACCTGATCATCGAATCACCTGATCGTCACTGAAAAACCCCCTCCCCCTCCCCTCCCATATCAAAGATTTATTTACTCAAAGGACACACAGAAAGACGATGCAATTTCATCAAAGTCATCCCGTTTCTTCTTCTGTCATAGCTCATTGCCCCGCTCAAGCAACATGCACGCCATTGTTGGCGTTGGTGGCGCTGTCAGCAAGCTCATGCTTCGATGATAACCAACCATCTTGCCTCAGTGGCGCCATCATCTATCCGCAATAACACAGGAACAATAATTCCCCGTGTCCTTGCATGCACAGGGCTCTGTCGGCATTTGCAGTAATGTACAATGATATATCTCGTGATGCCAATAGAAACGCCGTGCAATGCTGGCAAAAGGTTAGACCCAGTCGCTGGCCCATTCCTATCCTCGCCTGTGTGGATATCCTTCGCTCTCCAGGCTTTGTTTCTCGATCCCTGGCTCCATCCACAATCCATTAGAGAAAATATTCATTGCGACCCCCTCTGGAGGCGGGAACGTGCCGGAGTTCATCCTTGACCGCGCTGAATAGCTTGAAGCTCGGATTCATATCCTCGCCCACTTCGCACACTGACGCCAGATTGCCGCAGCGATAGCAGTAGTTTGGTGCACTCCAGACCGTGACCACGTCTTGACTCTTGAAATGGTACTTGTATCCTTCGTTCACCAGTTGATGTGCTCGTGCGATCAGGTTGAGACCGTTGACATGGCAGAACTCTTGACTGACTCGATCTCCAAACAGCCAACCGGCCCCTCGTGGTGAGACTGCCCACGTCTCGACGTCTTCGGGATCCGACCACACCAGATCACAAAAAGCACCTTCATGTGGGATTTCCTGTGCACGGGCAACCACTCGCACCTGGTCCAACGTTCGGATCTCGGGCGACAGCCCACCGTGCACACACAACACCTTGCCATCCACAATCGCCCCCAATGTCATAAAGTCAAAGACCTGGCAGCACGCCTTCCATACTGACGTGTTTCCATATTTCTGTACACACTCTTCGTAAAAACCATAAACTTGTGTAATTTGTCGAGATTCATGATTGCCCCGCACCAACGTGATCTTTTCTGGATATTTGGCCTTCAAGCACAACAGTAGCGTCAGTGTTTCCAAAGAGAAGTATCCCCGGTCCACATAGTCGCCCAAGAAGATGAAATTGGCATTCTGTTTTCGCGAAATCACGTTTCCAGACTCGGACCTTTCGTCTTCAATTACCGATTGTTGAGACGAAGGAATCTCCTCGGCGTCACTGATTTCACTTTTCTCGCTCGGTGTGTCAGGATGCTCGGCCCCTCCGAGCTTGAGTTTCTTCTTCAATTTCGGGTTCGTAATCGTCGAAGGCGGTTCAATGTCGGCAGATGTGATGATGTTGGCTGGAGTGACAGGTGCTTCCGGAGCGGATTCGTTGGGCATGCCACCAGCAACTCGGAAGAGCTCGAGTAGATCGTAGAATTGCCCGTGGATGTCACCGCAAATGGTCACGGGTGTAGAAACAGGTTGGATGTTGGACTCTATTGGTTTCATCAGATCACTCCTAATCACACAGATTGCAACGCGGCATACCTTCCATCATGTACTCTTTTACAATCTCACAAAGTTGCTTCATGTGGTATTCAGAGAGATATTTGCAATTCTTCGCGGCTTCCAGCCATTCATCTGGACCTGCAGATCTCTTTAACCGAGCCGGTCCAGGAATTGGAACCTTGACCGTGCCCGCCATGGTGACGGTGAGGGGAGGCTATATCGAGACGACCAGGTCCGGGAGTGATTGTTGAACTGGGCAACAAAGGAGGGGGTGGGATAGAGAGTGTCGCGGCACCTTGACGACTGGGAATGTGACTGTGAAAAAGAATCACATGCGTTTGCGTTTGCTATCACCTCTCCACGTGCTGTCGGTATAGAGTGGAAAGATGGTTCTTGATGGGGGTGTGCGTTTTCTTAGAAGCGTGGATGTTGATGCCGACGCGGATATGAGATTGATTGAGGGGAACAAGGAGGTGAGGGGGGGAGGAGATCTAGAAGACAGTGAGCAGTCGGGTTTAACAGAAAGACGAGGCGAGTCAAGACGGTAATCTGGCAAACGCAAAGGAGGTGAATGACAGTGAAGAGGCGTCGTAGGGATCGATGAGGTTGAGGTTGCGCACTTGTTGCTGCCAAATCCGCACGAGTTTCAAGATGGAGGCGCCGCTCACGTGATCGTGATCAAGGTCCTTCAACGGGACAACTTAATTCCGGGGATGATATCAAGAACCAGGAATCAATCTGAAGATATTCGATATTCTTTAATATCGTCACTGTGTTTTATATTCACTCACTCTAACCCATCACTTCTTCATGAGTCTTCCTTCTTTGCCCCGTATCCTCTGCCTATCTGATTTTGTCCGTGCCTGTTGTTGGGAGATTCTCCCAGTCCCGCATCTCTAGACAAGCACAAAACCTAGTCCCGTTCCCTCGTTGTTTCCTGGCTTACAACAATGTCCAACTCCTCCAAAGGCCGCTCTGGCGGTGTCTTGCCTGTCAACGCTGCAGCCAGAAAGACTACTACGCCTACCGCAGCAGCTAAACCTTCCTCGAGGAATCCAGCCCCCAAGTCCCGACTCATCATTCGTCGTCTCCCACCAGGATTGACTGAGACGGAATTCTGGAATTGTCTGGGCCAGGCTTGGAAAGTTGGCGCTGGGAAGATTGACTGGGCTGCCTTTAAAGAGGGGAAGATTTCAAATGAGTCAGTTCTTTCTCCGTCTTCCTGACAGTTGACTAATATCTCCCAGTCCCGCAAAGCCATCTCGGCCTTCCAGAGCTTACTTGAAAGTAAAGGACCAAAGTCTCCTGGAGGAACTGTCTGTCGTGGTTAAGCAGTCTTCCTTCTTGGATGCCAAAAACACTAGCAAGGATGCCTGCCTTCTTGGACCCCCTTCACTCGAGTTTGCTCCTTACAACAAGACTCCCAGTGGACGAATTCGACATGACGGCCGACAGGGCACGATTGATCAAGACCAGGAATTTATTGACTTTTTGCAAAGCTTGACTGAACCCATCACCAAAGGAGCTGCTAATGGGGCTGATGCATCAGACGTCAAAGCTGACAAGGTGTCCACGACTCCACTCATACAATATATCAAGGAGAAGAAAGCCAACAAGGCAAAGGAAGCCTCTCAAGCCAAGGCGACCAAATCCCGCGAAGCCAAAGAGGCCAAAGTCTCCAAATCCGAGAGTCGGTCCACTGTCATCATCAAAGGGAAGAACAATCCCCCAGCAGACAAGGACAAGGTCGCCAAGGCCACCCAGGATGCGGTCAAAGCAGTCAACAGGTCAGTGGCTGCAGCCCAAGCTGGAAAGCAAACATCGACCAAGTCAGACTCGAAGCAATCTTCAAAAGAGACCTCGGCACAAGCGACACCTTCGACCAAACGTGAACGAGAAAGAGGCAGTGCCAATGCAGCTGCACGCATGCTCCAACGCGATCTAGGACTTGTAGCCAAGGAGAACAAGACTCAACGAGAGAGGGCATCTAAGGCTGGAGCTACGAGCAGCACTGGAGCAGACTCTGGCGCCTCTAGCAAAGCAACTGGGGCCACAAAGCCAACAACCACGGAGAGTCTCACTGAGAAGAAAGAAAAGAACAAAGACTCTGTTCCAGCAACACCGACGACCCCAACGCCGCCAACTGGACCCAGAGCATCACGTACGACAAGCGCAGCGTCAACAGCCACATCCACAAAGGCTGCAAATGCAACCCCTGCGCAACGAACTACCAAGGCTGCAGCTCAACCCTCTCAAGGGGCAAAGTCAGCTTTCCTCAAGCACGCCAATGCCTCGCAAGGCATCACGGAAGAAGCTTTACAGACCAGTTTTAAGGAATTCGGAACTATCACACGATGTGAGATTGACAAGAAAAAGGGTCTGGCATATATCGACTTCGGTGAAGCAGAAGCATTGAAGAAAGCCATGGCAGCAAGTCCAGTCAAAGTGGGCAGTGGACAAGTGACGGTATTGGAGAACAAGAACTCGCAAGGTGGCGGGAAGAGGGGAGGTGGACAACAGAAGCAAAAAGGAGAAGGCGGCAAAGCCACAAATATCGAGTCAAAAGCCGCAAGACCTAATAGCGCAGATCTCACTCAAGCTGCTGCAAGCAAAACTGCTGATTCGACAGCACCCTCTACTCCCAGCAATTCCGGAATTCTGCCAGAAGCAACCTCAACAACGAGCACAGCGGCTGCAGCAGGCAAAGAAGCACAGGGTTCAAAGGCGCAAGGTCGAGGTGGCGGACGCGGTGGGAAGGGAGCCGGAAGCTCAAACAGCAACAAGGGCTCTGCGAGAGGTTCAGGACAGGGTGGCAAAGGTGGTAACCGTGGAGGGAAAGGACGCCGCGGCGGACAGGGAGGGCAGGGAGGTGGAGATGCTGGGTCGAATGCCGACAGTTCAGCAACACCAGCAGCGAGCAGTGGAGGTCCTAATACGACCAGTGCCGGAGAGGCAAAGAAGTCCGAGTGAGATCCATCATAGGGCACTTGGAAGGACTCAGTTGATCTTCAGGGCTGGCCGCGTGTTTGACTCAAACACTTCTTGGAAGGTTCTTGAGCCAGCGAAACATGGCCGTGGATGTCTCGCCTCTGACCATGGATGTCAAGTTTGATCCAAGGCGAGACAGGCGTGGTGAGGGTCTTGCACGCTGATCAAGCTAGTCTGGACTTGCAAGTAAATCATTGTCCTGAACAAAGGAGAGAGGGTGAGATCTACCATCCGGCTCTAGAGACCACCTATTCAAATTATTTCTTTGTTGACAGAAACACTCTGCATGCGGTGACAGCTACAAGACAAAGACCAATAACCTCTCCCCCTTTTTTCTTTACAATCGTATTTGGCGAGCACATTGGAAGTGTATTTCACCACCATTCCCATATCGTCCCATCGCATCAGATGATCTTTTCTGGATCTGCTCAACCAAGATCTCCCCCAATCAATCCAGAATCCAGAATCCAGAATCTAGAATCCAGAATGGCAACCGCCTCACCTACCCGCCGGGCTCGCCTCTCTGAACTTCATCGACAAGTAACTCAACTATATGCCACATCCCTTCTCAACCGCGTACAACTTCTTTTGATCATTCGAGAAGCCGGGCTCGACTCTCCCATTGGAGAACAAGCATTGAAAGCCACAGAAAATGAAACCGAGATTGCCAACTTACTGGACAAGTTCAGAGGTCTACCCGCCCAAAAATCGCTAGACCCAGAGATTGTCGGCAAAGAGCACTTCCTACGAGGATATTTCTGCGAATTGAGAGGTGATAAGAACAATGCAAGGATCTGGTACCGTCACGCCGTCATGATCGATAGCCAGCTTGCAAAATCGGAACGCATTCGAAAGTTTCTTGGGTTATCTGATTTAGGAGAGAGTTCGGCGGCTTCAGATGGAGACAAGCAAGATTCAACGACGGTCAGTCCAGTCTCAAGAAGTTCGATCGCTAGCTTGGACCGCAGTGTATCAAATAAAGACGATTCAACCAGACGAGACAGCACGAGCGAAGAAGCGTCCGAGATTGACTCTCCAATCAGACACAACAGACCCAAATCATCCACTGATACAATTGAACCAGACCCCATCATTACATCCGTCATCAATTCGAAACCCACTATCGACTCAGAGGGCAACATCCGACATAGCGAACTATTCGGCGATTTATTGGCACACACGCTCGTCGAGGGGGTTTCACCGTATCGAACGGAAAACTTCTTGAACGAGTTAACCATGTCACCTGGTAGTCTCACATCATCATCATATGACAACAGCCAATATTCACAACGTGGAACTGGAATCGATGTCGGATTCCGTATCAATCATGGACCAGAGGGAAATAAGACCTTTGATGACCTTTACGGTCGACCTCGAGCGTGTTTACCCGGCAAATGTGATGGTGGTAGTGGTAGTGTTGATGGTGGGTTGAGACCAGTATCTAATGGTTGCACCATTAATGGTCATGGTCATGGTCATGGTGATCATGATCATGATCAACATGGTCAATTTGATGAAGCTTCTACTACTACTACCATTACTACGCCTACAAGCCCATCAACCCACCCACACATCCACGTCCGCCACGAACATCCCGTCTCAACGACACGACGACCCAGTTTAACCGTCCGAACTACTCCTCCTCCTCCCACCACCACGACCACGACCACGACCGCCACCACTGGCACTAGTCGACGACGTCTTTCAGAAGAAGGAATCCTTACCGATATTCCTGCACTGGATGAATTGCCAAAAGTTCTTGTCAGTCCAGTTCAAATATCACCTAGTCATGCGGTTGGTGCTAGACGTCGGTCTTGGGGTGGTAATGTGGGTGTAGATATTACGCCGACTTCTCCGAATTCGCCGAGTCGGTTGAGACAGTCGATTACGATTGATGATGATGAGTGAGAGGGAGAGGGAGGGGGGGGGAAGGAGGGTTGATGGATTAATTTAAAGTGATGATGGAATGAGGATTTTCAGCACTTACATAGTTGGAGAATATATTTAATTCAAGCCTCTAGATGTAACGTCGTTTCTATCGCCATCTTGACACTTTACAAACTCCAAGTCAATAACCCGAATCTAACCCAACGTAACCTATCATTCTTCACTGCCCACGCAATCCCAGCCTTTCTAAGAGTATATACATAACCAATCTACATATATAGACAAGCCAAGGGCACGACACGAGCTAAGTAGATCGTAGTCCAGACATCGCCAGAATACAACAAACCATCTAAGTACTTAGATGAGTATCAACCATATCCTTACCTTTTACAACCTTGGCTTCGAAGTCCCCTCAAGAGCCTTTGCATCTCTCTTCGCCCATTCCTTGAGCAACTTCCGAATAATTTTACCACTTGCCAACTTGGGAATCTCATCGACCAGGACAACACCTCCGGTTAGATGTTTATGTTTCGCGAGTCGAGCAGCGACAAAAGCCTGAATATCGGATTCAAAGTCTTTATTCCCATTGGCATTGATCGTCGGTTGCAGAACGACATACGCACGAGGCCGTTCCTCGTCATGAATGAGCATGCCTACGGCCGCCGCATCAGCAACGTCAGGATGTTCGAGTAAAACGGCCTCGAGCTCGGCGGGGGCGACTTGTAGGCCGTTCACCTTGATCAATTCTTTCTTGCGGTCGACGATCCACCAGTTATTGTCTTTGCATACAGCCACGTCGCCGGTCTTGAACCAACCTTCTGCTGTGATACTGTCGCGTGTGGCTTGGGGATTGTTCCAATATGCTTTCAACATCTGGGGACCACGAAGCCATAATTCGCCTGGTGTTCCGGGCTCTTTGATTTCGTTTTCCTCTTCGTCTACTAGCTTCGCTTCCGTGTTGGGTAATAAATGTCCGATACTCCCGGTCTTGTCGTCGGTTTCGCCGGGGATCATGATCCCCACGCACGTCGTCTCTGTCATGCCCCAAGCTTGACCGATGGTTAGTCCGAATCGTCGATTTACTTCATTCTGTAGGTCGCCTGACAAGGGGGCTGCTCCGCAGATGATGCGCTTCACGCTGCTGATGTCGTATTTGGCTGTTTCGGCTCGTTTGGCCAACATGACAATGATGGGTGGCACGACCTGCATTTCAGTGATGCGGTATTTCTGAATGTATTTCAGGAAATCCTCAAATACAAACTTGGACATGATGTAGGCTGGGAAGCCCAGTTTACATGCAATGTTGATGGTCCATAGTTGGCTGTAGGCGTGGTATAATGGTAGAAAGGTCAGCCATCGCTCTGGTCGAGGCCGGTCGCCTGAGTACGGGGTGCCCACGTATTTATTGTGGATGGACTGGCTCGCGTTGGCGATCAAATTGCGGTGGGTGATACACACGCCCTTGGGGATGCCTGTGGTGCCGCTGGAGAAGTTGATGGTGGCAATGGTGTTGAGAGCTGCCTCTCCTTCCAATGGGTCCCACTGCCACGAGCGGGCTTCGTCCTCTGATGCGACCAGGGTCCTCCAATCTTTGATCCCCTTGGTAGTTTCGGTCGGTGTGTCGGAGAAGAGAAAGACTCTGTCGGCGGGAATGTTGGCTTGCTTGGCGGCGGCGACGCCTGTGTCGAGCAGTGACGGATGGACTAGGACCACAGCGGCTGAGACCGTCTTCATCTGTAGGGCGGCTTCGCCGACCGTATATATGGGGTTGACGCCGGTGAAGAAACGCTTGGAACCCGCGGCGGCTAGATATGCGACTGGGACATAGAGATGGTTGGGAGTAAAGACCAGGATTGCTTGAGACTCGCCCACGCCGATTCGGTCAAGGCCCGCAGCCAGCCGTTTGATCCATAACAGCATCTGGGCGGGCGACAAGCTGTGGGATGGATTGGCAGCATCGATCCATAACGGTTTCTCCGAGAGCGGCTTATCCGAAGGGAACAGGTAGGATAGGATGTTGCATTTGGGGATGTCGATGGGTGGGTAAGGTGATCGGTAGGGCATGATGTGCAATGTCGAATGGTATCCAGGCAAGTGAGCTGACTTATCTTGAACAAGATGTTTGTATCTGTACCTGGCAATAGTACCTTCCCGGGCCCTTCAACTGAGATGGTAGATAGAGAGTCTCTCCAGGTAATAGAATCCAGGTAGTCAAGAGCAGTAGGAAGGTCTCTGAGCTCACGGAGGAGGAGATGATGATAGGAAATATACTCACGGTTCACTTCTCACATGTAGTACGAGTTGAGTTCCATAAAGACCCAAGCACAGGAACGGATGGAACGCCTTTAATTTGGAGTATATTGACTTTCGGCACCTCGGTCAATCGAGAAATGTTGGAGGGATGAGTATACTCCGTGCATTGGAGCAAACCCCACCGGATTTTTATCGGCCTCCAGAGTGGAATCAAGGACTTCTCCAACTTCCATGTCTTGTTGATGGGGAGAGGGCCTGATCTCCAGTTGCGTCATATGGTTATCAGGGACTTTTTCAGTAGTCTGGAGACATTGAAAGAGGGTTGATCATTGGGTGAGAATGTGGACAAGATTGTGGGTGGCCTTCGGCGTCCCAGAAATCCAAGAAAGCTAGCGGACCGAGATTTTGTTGGCACTGAAACAACTGATTAGCTGTACAAGTCAATATACACTATACAATCAACATAAATCCAACCTGAAAGAATGAGGAAATGAATATATTGATGCTGATAATCAACAAAGGCTACATCGAGGCGTCGCTCTGGGTTTTAACAGGTCCACCCAACCCAAGAATCTAGGGGACGTTCTGCCGCTAGTCCACTGTCATCGTGTCGTGTTCGTCGTGCTTGTGTCTACGTAGGCTTGGTCGAATAAATTATCTCATTTCGTGGACGTCATAGGCTTTTAACTCGGCAAAGACTGAGAGTGCGAATTCCCTTCCTGAATTGCTCGATTACCAAGGATACATTGCCATCAGATCCACACATGGACAACTTGAATTTCCTACTTCCTGAGGAGGACAATCCGGCTTCAGAGATTGAAAGGGTTTCGTTTGCAGATTTTCTATTTCGGGGAGAGGAGCTGAACGAATTCCTCATCTAAGTGACTTGTGAGTATGGTTCTGTCTTAGAAAGGGCCGGGGGAGCATGAGCAACGTACAATCAATGGTGCCATTGCGGTCCTTATCTGCCTCGCGGATCATCTCATCGATTTCCTCGTCTGTCAGGTTCTCTCCAAGAGACTTCATGACCTGGCGCAATTCGTCGGCAGAGATAGTGCCGCTGCCATCCTTGTCGAAAACATTGAAGGCAGCACGAGTTTCGTGAGCAAAGTCGGTCGGCTTGACAGTGGTGGACATCATCTTCATGAACTCGTCAAAGTCAATGCTGCCAGATGAATCGGCATCAACCTCGTTGATCTGTCATGGCGGGTGAGTGATGATACCACAGAAGGGGTTAGTTGTGGGCGCATACCATGTCTTGCAGCTCCGAATCGGAAGGATTTTGACCCAGAGAGCGCATGATCTCACCGAGTTCAGAGGCAGTGATGGTACCTGAAGTCAGGTGAGCAAGTGCTGTAAATGGCTGGACGGTGACAAGGCTGAGATGGACATGGAGGAGGGACAGCCTTGGAAAAAGGCGGGGTCGAAGCAATCGATCAACTTACCACTTCCATCTTTGTCCTTTTCCTGCGGGTCAGCACCGAGTCGAGGCAGAAAGAAAGTGGATCTTGGGAGATACGTACAAATAGGGCAAAGACGTCCTTATACGCCTTGATCTCTTCGTCAGACATGGGGGCAGGAGTTGTCGGGGTCTGCTAAGGATAAAGACAAATTCAGTCAGCAAGAGCACGTGGTGTGGTGAGGTGCGGTGCGGTATGTGTGGCGTAGATGGGTCGGTCTAAGGAAGAAAAGAGGTCCAGGCGGGTCGGGGCGGGGAACGGGCAGAACGGAAAGAAGCTCACGTCAGAATAATTGACTGGAGGTCTGTTAGAAGAAACCGACTGAGTATCAATCTTTTCGACTTTGGGCGGCATCAGGGAAGAGAGTTATATGAAGCACCTAGTCAGGAGAGTGGATAAGAGATTCAGATGAAAAGGGCTGATTAGGGCCGTGTCAGACAGGGTCCAGGTTCTGGGGCAGGACTGGAGTGACTCGTGTATGGGTGTGTATGGGTGGCTCGTGAGGGTATGAGAAAGGATGTGTGTGAATGTGTGTCTATCTGGACTGCCCAGAAGAGATGCAGCAATCCGGAGACAAGTGTGGGCTAGCTTGTGCAGGGTGGTGTCAGTTGGTGGGACAAGCAGGCCAAGAGTTTTGGGACAGGGTTGTGGGAGATGTTGATGGTGACCGGTGTCACGAATTAGGTCACGGTGGAGGCTGATCGGGCTGGACGAGGGCTGAAATAGACCGAGATGGAGGTACTGGGGCAAGAGAAGTGAGGCGGTGGTTGGATTGAATTGAATCGATCTTGTGAGTGGACAAGTTGACGGGAGGACTGTAGCTGAGATTCGGTGAGACTCGGCGGGTTGAGAAGTTGGATACGATGGATTTGGGCTGGGATGAATATGGATACGAGGTGACGCAGGCAGAGGAGGAAGTGCAGAAGAAACGGTTTAACTGAGGATGGAGGGGGAAGTGGGATTGATTGGAGAGACTTTTGATGCAAGCACTGATGCAAGCACTGAAGGGTGAAGGAGGGGCATTGCTTTGCATTTTGTTCCTGCCACTTGCTGCGTCTACTGCTTCCTTGTCTTATATGCCTGATAAGTATGAGTAATAGGCTAACATGACTGCTCCTGCTACTGCTACAATGGCCTGTTGCGCCTGCTTGATGCCTGCCCATGTGCCTGATTACCTGTGTGATCGCACCTGCCGCACGTGCACAAAACCCCTTACAGCCATTGCAGCTTGAGGAAACAATCACGTGAATAATACGGCAAAGCATTGATTCAATAAACGAGATCCTTTCTTCAATTCCTGACCAACACGTGACTGTTTCCGTCATCATCATCTACGTCAATGCTCCATCTCCCTCGACCATCACCAGATACTCTTTCTTATTCCCTCTCTTCTTCTCTCTGTTTCTCTCTCTCTCCCTGTACAAATCCTCTCGTTGGGCTCCTTCATCGGCTGCTATAACGTAATAGAAACCCTCTTCAAGCTGCTTGTACCACCTAAGAATCACTATAATGCTGGACCTATCCTTGTTCAATTGATATTTTGACTCACAAGTATATCAATACCCATTGACTCACTCACCCGCCCAGCCCATTCTCTTTCTTGAGGTTTTATTACATGTCACTCTCGCACTTGAGAAATATTGTCAAATTCCCCAATAAACGTCCCACCATTGTACTCACAAGACTTTCCACAATGCTTCACCAAGCTAAGCCGTCCTCGTCGTCGGCAGCGAAGCCTGCTGAAAAGCTCATATGTAAGTACCTACCTACCCTAACCAAAATATCATCACATGATATACACCTACACTATATATAACATCACCCTTACCACTTTTCCTTCCCTCAATAGTCGCTCCTGGTAATACAACCACAACAAATCCACCACCACCATCCTCTGGATCTACCAACTCCGTCCCACCACCAGCAGCCCAAGCCGCCCAATTCCAACTTTCCGCCCTCCAACGCACCGACCTCTCCGATTCACCATTCCTCCAATTTCACAAATGGTTCACCGACCCATCCCTCGCGTCCGAAGTGCCTGAAACCGTCACACTATCGACCGCGGAACTGCCCTCTGGCCGAGTATCTTCCCGCATGGTCTATCTGAAAGAACTCGATTCACGCGGATTTGTCATCTACTCGAACTTTGGCACGTCGCGCAAAGCCGCCGACTTGGCTACTAATCCCTACGCCAGTCTGTGTTTCTGGTGGAAAGTCGCGGAGCGGCAAGTTCGTGTGGAGGGGAGGGTGGAGAGGTTGTCGGAGCAGGAGAGTCAGGTGTATTTCGACACGAGGGCGAGAGGGAGTAGAATTGGGGCGTGGGCAAGTCGGCAGAGTAAGATTCTTCAGCCGAACGGGGCTAAGGGAGAGGAGGAGGAGGATGATGATGATGGTCGTGCTGAGCTGGAGGCCCAAGTTGCGGAGGTGAAGGAACGGTTTGATGGTCAGGATCATATTCCCGTCCCGCCTTTCTGGGGCGGTTTGCGTGTTATCCCGGACACTGTCGAGTTCTGGCAAGGTCGTGAGAGTAGATTGCATGATCGGTTCCGTTATTCCAAGGTCGAGGGGTCTGACGACTGGGAAATCGTCCGTCTGAGTCCATAGTGAGCTGATTCAGACCATGTACAGTTCGAAAAAGGAAAACAAATTATTTCCAAAGATGCATTATATTGGGGGGTTTCAACTATACTATAGGAGTTGAATTCTCCATCCTCCTCGTAAAGTCAGTCGGCTGTACCTCTAGCCAACTGTCTGGCCAGTCCACGACCTGGACCCGGCCGAGATCTTTTTTCCAAGATCTCTGTATCTAGACCCCCCTAGATCTTCTATATAGTGTCGAGTAGAGTGTAGCTTTTGTGTTCTGTTGGTACATGCATCCAATGCTCCGCCCAGAAATCTCACAAAGCGTTGTCCAGCGCCCGGCTAGAATCCCACCATCTTCCGCGTGATGCCTCGTCTCTGATGTGATCCCAGACCGCTGTTTGACGTTTCATCCAACGTCGCGATCGATACTCCACAGATCACTCACCCACTAAATCAACGCCGAGGCCGTACGAGTCAGCGTCAATGCTGCTCACATAAAACTGGGTATCGTCATGAACAAAAGAAACAAATTTGCCTCGAGGCAAGCCAGAATTGGCCACGCTCGAGTCAGGAAATTCACTCCACCACCTTAAACCGTGATGCCTCCAATCAAAGCAAGTACCTTCTCCGTCACCGCAGAAGGATACCCCTTTCGCATCATCTCTTGCACCACAGCATTCGCCTCAATCCGGTCTTCGCCGGACAAGAAGGCTCGTGTCATGGCTTCGTATGTACTGGGCTCTCGCTTCGCCATTCCAATGCTGTCGTAGACTGACTTGGCGTTGGCAATATTGCCTTCGCTAGTCCATCCATGAATCAGAGTATTGGCAATGTACGGAGTCATCGAGATCCCATGACGCTTCATATCCTCGACCACCTCGGGTGTTCTGGCAACCTCGTGGTTGGCAACCATCGACTCGAGCAAGTTCTGGTATAGAGTGTCTGTTGGCCGAATCGCGCCTTCTGTAACAACCGATTCGAAAAGTGCCCTGGCTCCCTCCATATCGTGAAGCACACAGCCTTTGGCATGAATCAAAGATCCGTAGTGAACAGCCTCAGGTTGGATACCGATTTGCCTCATTTCCGTGAGCAAGCTTTCTGCAGCACCAAGATTGACAGGCTCGAGCGAAGCATATGCTTCGATCAAGAGTTTGTAGGTGTGAGAGGTTGGCTTGATCGACTTGGACTTCATTCGCTCGTAATACTCCAAGACCTTGGTTCGGTCGCGTTTGGTGTTGAGGAAGTATTGGATGATCGAGTTATACGGTGCTGGTCGAGGTCTGTAATTGGGCGCTGCTTCCATCTCGTCAAACATATCCACAGCGAACCGTTCCTCGCTTGTACGGCACAGAGCGTTCACAAGGGTACCGTAAGTGACAGACGAGGGACGAATACCACGACCTTCCATGTCGCCAAAGTATCGCAGGCAATCGTCGATGCGTCGAGCCTTTCCAAGTTTGCCAATCACAGCATTGTACAAGAAGACACTGGGAGTGACGCCTTCAGACAAAGCACGCTGGAAGATCTTGACGGCTTCAGTCGCCTCATCAAAAGTTCCTTCTAGGGTGGTGATGTAGATACCAAAGGTGTTTGCTGACGGCGCCGCACCCATCTCCAGGAGATCTTGGTGGAACTTGGTGGCTTGTTCACGTTGGCCCACAGTCAAACAAGCTGCCACCATGGCGTCAAGGATCGAGATCCAACCAGATCGAACAGAGGGGATTTGAAGCGCCATGGGCACATCTGCATGTGCCATGCTGAGGATTTCGTGAACCTGGTTGGCTTGCTTGGCTTTACCAGCAGCAGTGATCAGTTTGGCATATCCAGAATAGTGCAAATGTCGGCCGGCGCGGCGAACATTTCTCAATCTACCGAGACTGTCGCTGATGTGGTTCTCGAGGCGACCAGTGGTGCTTTCAACTAGATCTGAGATGGCCTTGGAAGCTCGATAATCCGTATTGTGTGCATACGGGTCAAATGTGTCTGCTGGCGCAATCGTGTCGGCGGCCACTGAATGAGGGGTATGCGGTGACTGAGCTTGAACATGGACCGAAGCAGGTGGGCTCGGGTGGACAAACTCTTGCCAACGCTGGATTAGGTCGGGACGGGTATCAGCAAGTTTTGGCAGGCTCTGTGTGACAATGTGCACAGTCGATGGATCCATGAGAATGGCTCGGTTGAGAACAGTTTCCAAGAGGTGAGAAAAGCGGGCATGATGGGCAATGTCTGCCGAACCGCCGGTAGCCAACATCTGTGCCTGCACATGAAGGGCCAACGCAATATCTTGAGCATTGAGTTGATGGACGCAATCAGGACCAAGGCTCGCAATGGCATGCTGTGCAACGGGAGAGACCAGTCCGCCGTTTTCGATCATGGCTCGCAAAAGCGAAACGCTGGTGGGAGCCGAGACGATAGCCTGCTGCTTAGACAGGGCTTCGCCGAAAAGGACGATGGCTTCATCAATCTCTGCACCAGCTAAATGACTGCTGGCTGGTGTGGCACATGACGAGCGAATGCGTTGAAACATCTCACGTGCCTCAGCAATGCCCTCCTCGACCAAACCATTGCCAATCAGAGTGAGAGGGTACATAGTGGCGAAGTCTGTTGTTGGGATCAAGGGCAATGATCGTGCCTTGGTCCATGCCTCGATCGCCGCAGAGACATTTCTGCCCCTAACGTGCATCGACACAAGAGCCATGACTGTCTCACTGTTCAAGTTGTTGACATTGACTGCTTCGTAAGCCGACAAAGCATCAGTTGCAACATCGGCATCAGCAGCAGCCACAGCGATTGTGGAGAAGGCCTGGTCACGAACAGTCGGTTCAAGGGCGTAGCCTTTGACGCTCGCCATCGCAGAAGAAAATTCCTTGTTGTCGATATGGTGTTGTACAACCCCATTTAGAATGAAGGCTGAGGTCAAATGCTCCGAGAGCACCTGCTCGTTGGAAGATCCCTTGAAGGACTGCAAAATCTTTTCGTAGAATCGAATGCCCGTGTCAGCAAGTCCACAGGCATAATAAGCCTTGATCAAAGAAGCATAGACTTGCATGTCCAGAGGATCATTAGCAGACCGGCTGATGGCGAGATCTCGGTATTGCTCGTATAGGGATTGGGCGGCATGGATGTCTTGCTTGGAAGCCTGAGCATCGATGACAGCTGTGTACAATCGGGTGTCGAGTGCAATTTGGTGAGACTCCATATCGGCAAGAAGAATGTTCATAGCATCAACAAGGCCATTTTGGGCGCAAGCCTTGACAAGAGCATTGTACAATGGTGCTGGAAGGCGGAAATCGTCGAGAGTACCCCGCGCAATGTTGTAGAGCTTGGTGGCAAAAGTGAGTGATGTATCTGCAGAATACAACTGAAGCTGGCTCGTTGCCGAGGGCAGGACCAGAGCACCCTCGCTGCCATAGCGAGTGGCACGACCACCCAGGGTCTTTTGAACTTGGTATGCCTCGAGGCTTCGTCCTACCAGGAAGTGAAGGAGAATATAATAAGTAGTCGCATTCAATTCAACGGCACGTTTGGTCATGTCTCCATAGACCTCGAGAGCTCGGGGCCATGGTTGGTATGAACGGCTGAGTCGAATGGCCGACAACAGGATATGATTATAGGCATCAATGGTCGGCACCAGGCCTTCCTTGATTATCGCCTCGAAAATAGCAGGGATTTCGGTGTATCGCTGCTGTTGGCCCAACTCGACAATCTGTTCTGAAAGAAGTGACTCGTCAGAAGCAACAGATGTCACCTCGGTAGGTGGCGTGACAAGTTGCTGCGAGGAGCTGGAAGACTCGGTCTGGGCTGCTTCTGTTTCTTGAGGGACGGGCGTGGAGATGCGAGTGCTAGGTGCAGGCGTTCCTACCTCGTCTTCATGAGATGTGTTTTCCTCAACTGCGGCCGAAGCCTTGACATCCTGGATCTCTTGAGCGATTGCCTCATCGACCTTGGCTAGAGCCTCGGCCTCAGCCAAAGCATCGTTAACATCTTCGGTTTGTGGCAGCAGGCGATCGCTGTTGACACGGGATGCTGTCAATCTCGAGACTGAAACAAGGCTATCGGTGGCTCGTTGAGAAGCATGCTTTGAGGAAAGCAGGCGGTCCTCATGTTTCCAGCCGATAGTACGGGCGAACTCGTGTCGTTTCCAGTCCGAATCATCGCCGGTCTGTTGTGCATGTTGCCACGCGGCATAATATTGAGCTAAACCAGCATCACTTCCTGACTGAGAGCCATGGCCAGCTTTTGCTCCTGCTCCAGAACCTGAAGGACCAGAGAAGACTTGTTGGAGTTGGGCGGTCTTTGTGAATTTGGCGACGGGATAATTTTGAAATTGACCGAGAGACTGACCAGCAGCAACAACGGAAGGAGCGTAGGTATGGGCGATTCCCTTTGCAAGGCTAACACGGGCGAGATGTGCGAAAGGCTTGAAAGGCATTTAGCGGAAAGAGTTCTCTTCAAATTGAAGAGGCGGAAGGAAGAGGAATTATGAGTCGAGGTGAGGCAGGTTCATTGACGACTGCGAGGTCGCCAAAGAACGCGCGGACTAGAGGTGAGGGTGGAATGATGAATGATGGAAAGTCCACGACACCCTAGAGTGGAGTGTCTTGATGTCTGTGAAGTATTAGTGGCGTGTAGTGAAGGAGAGGATACACGTACCAAGAGAGGGTGTAGATAGAAATATTGTACTTGGGGTGGTGGCTCACAGACCAGACGTACTCGTAAAAGTCGTGCCTGGCGATCAAGGCTGAGAGTCACAGACGCACGTAGATTGAAGATGGTGACGAATGACAGCCCGCCGTCCCCGTGGAAGCCGTTTCGGGAGAGGGCAAAATTTTGAGTGTGGACTTGAGAAGTCAGGTGGTTAGTAGCCAGATGGAGTTAGGCGATGGAATGAATAGGAAAGGATAGGATGTGAGAGTGAGTGGGAGCCAACCATGGTCAGAGGAATTGCAACAAGACTGGGGACGGCAGCAAAGGTTCCAATTTTGGGAGAGAAAACAAGCCGGAATGATGAGGGATTTGAAGCTGGCTGTGTGGCTCGCTAGTAATTGATGCTTCCGTCCGTTTTTCGAGCATCCACAGTCAGCCAGTGAGAATGCCTGGTGTAAGGTTGATCTTACCCGTTGTTGTTAGTCTATGACAGCTTATTTCAAAGCCAAGGTCTGGGGGAGGTCAAGGGCATGGTGGCCTTCCAGAACCCCGAAGACACGCCTGGGAAACATGGATGCCTGGCCTTGTTCGGTCCCAGTTGCCTCCGCAGGGATGTGTAGCTTTCCCTTGTAAAGGTCTCCGTCTGGAGCGCCATTCGAGCTCCCCGGGCCAATAGCCTATCCCCTAACGGCACCCGGAACGTCCAGGCCCGCACACTCGGGGCCGACCACGCATAAGCCTAAGGCCGCTCCGAGAGACCGAGTAGTGATCGTGGCACGTGGCACTTGGAACCGTCATTGAAGATCGTAGTTTCGTTTGTATCGTTCTAATGCAAGGCGTAGGTTTGACGATCAGAGCGTACGTACAGCTAGCCATGGGCGTGAGTGAATTGGCTTACATACTAGCGACAATATGATGTCAATGCCTGTGAGACTGATGCTATTAATTGAGTAAACAAGTAACAAGAGCAGGGTATGCTCCTCTTGTGGACTCTCAAGTTCTCGTCATCAGCGAAAATGACTGAACATGATGATCTGGCGTGGTTGATGATTTTTATTTGTGAGTAGATCCGCACCTCTCGCCATCATCACTATTCAACGTAGTCCCTTTATATCGATCCACATTGTAAGAGTCTTTCGCAAAACAATTCATTATCATCAACGTGCGGCTCGAATTTTAGAGTTCGTAGCTTCAATTCTTCGGAAGATGCCCGAGGCTGGCTATGCTCTAGAGGCCGTTAGTGGAGATTGCTCAGACCTCTACTCGTGTGGTCGAACCCTAATGAGACCAAGGCCAAGAAGAATTCACCATGCTACCTTTATTCGGCCTTTAGTTGTCGGTGCTGATCAAAAGCGAGACACTGCTGGGAACGTGTGTTGCTCTGGAAATCACCTCATGGGCCCTGGACTCAAAATCGCGGATGGAATGACAACTCTCGAGGAGAAAATGGTTGGAGCATGAACATACCGACACAGGACGAAGCTAACCCGAGTACATCCAACTCCTACAGTATAGCATGTCGAGAGTTCTGGTCTCACAAAGGAAAAACAATAATGATCGAATGTAAAATCGGTGCATTGCAACTAATAACCCCATAGAACGCCATGCTATGCTAATTGCTCACAAGTGCTGTACCAACGTGTGTTGCTCTCCTAGCGGTCCTCATAAGTACAATGGTACTCATGGACGCAGACATGTAAGAGTGTCCCGGCCAAGAATCCAATTCGCCGCGCATGGTCAGGTATATATGGTTGGAGCTGTGATGTGCTCAACTTGAAGGATGTCGGCGTAATACTTGTCGATATCTCCTTGCCTCCTTGCACAAAGGACATTAGACGGACGGCCAGCAGCAGGAGGGCGTGATTCTGGGAGAAAGATTCCTGGAGCGAGTGTGGGGCCGTCGATGTCGGCGAGTGGCAAAGTTGTTCAGACCATCTAACATGCGCAGCCATCATCCGCCGGTTTCTGGTTGTTCACAGAGACATCGATCATCTGCGGGTTTGGTTGGTTCTCGCCTTCGTTGTCCATGCCTGGTAGGGCTTGTGCTATCCTTTTGAACAGAGCTTTGACGTTGTGGCCGACCTTGGCCGAGGTTTCCATGAAAATGGCGCCCGATCGCTTCGCTTCGTCCTCTCCTTGTTGGGTGCTGACCTCTCTCTTTGAGTCTCCCAAATCAGTCTTATTGCCCACCAGTACGACAATGACGTCGTTGCCTCTTTCGCCGCGGACATCATCGATCCACTTCCGCGTCTGCTCGAACGTTTTCTTGGATGAGATATCGTAGACCACAACGGCGACGGATGAGTCGCGGATGTAAGAGGGGATTAATGATCGAAACCGTTCTTGGCCTGCGGTATCCCATAGCTGTAGGCGAACCGTACGGTCTTCGAGGTACATGGTCTTGGAAAGAAAATCGATGCCAATGGTGGCTTGGTAGGTGGTGTCAAAAGAGTCGTACATGAATCGAGTAATTAACGACGTCTTGCCGACTAGTGGCCAGAGTGAGTCTCATAAAGCGTAGCGCATGAGGTCGTGGTCGGAGTACATACCACTCTGCTCGCCGAGGAAAACGAGCTTGAATTTCTTTAATGGGTTCGAGTACGCGCCCACTTTGTTTTGCTCCATGGCAGGCTACCGTTAAGGACCTTGTCGAGCTTGTGAGAGAGATGCGACGGTTTATGGATATATTAGAATGTCTGGTGGGCTTTGTACATGGGGTGGTGGCGGCTGTAGCAGACGTAGGCCGATTGAATTGAAGGAACAAAGGACAGTTGTCGGGGGCCGAAGATGCAGGAGAGATCAAAGGGTTGGCATCGACGTCGTTGATGGTCCAGATTGAATCAGATCGCAGAAGTTGTTTGCAAAAAGATGGGGCACCGAATAGGAGTCGTGGGCAACAATTGGAGAACTAAGTAAGTTGGCCCCTCGGCCACAAGATTAGGGATCGCAGGCATCAAGGTTTAGGAATACATCCCAGCGAAAAAGAGCCAACAAGTGCCAAATGAGGTCTATGACGACCTTTTGGTGGAACTCGGAGTTACTGCACTTGGGCCACTCATCAATTATGGCCAAATGCCTCTCTTTAACTAAAAGTGCACCTAAATGTCGCTCAATTCGCATACTGGTGGGGGGCTGATGAGCGCTAAGAAGATGCCTAAGGTTCCTCGCCCGCTCTGGCAGGTTGACAGCGGTCGCCTGGAGCCGATTTGCGCATTGGGCATTTTTTGACTCGACACGCTGCACCCGAATGAACGGCTCGGAATATCTTTCTTCCCCAAGTCAACCGCATGCTGGCTCTGCGGATTTCACATTCGCTACAACCACGACACTCGATCTCGTTGCTTCCACATCATCCACACAGCGGACCATGATCCCTCGGTAATCATGCGACCTACATTTTCGCTACTGAAGCGCTCGATCTGGAAGGGTAGGTGACCCATATCCCATGTCAGAGTCCTGCTCTCGTCGACAGTCTCAACTAACAACAACTTTTCTTTCCGAATTACAGGACCCAATCTGGTACCCTTCCCTAACCTTCGACCGGGAGAGAAAGGACATGTCATACGTACACAAGCTCGAGCGGCGTCAATAATGCCGTTCATGGTCGGTCTCAAATTCTCGGTGCATAATGGAAAGACATACAGCGACGTCTACGTGACAGAAGATATGGTTGGGAGGAAGCTTGGAGAGTTTGTCCCGTAAGTGCGCACAGCAGCCGAAGGGGTTCTCCCTTCTTGGCTACAGTTCGGTCGTCGGCGATTAACGGTTTCAATAGCACGAGAAAGAGGTTCACATACAAACTCAGCAAGAACAAATAGAGAATTAGAGAAGTCGGGAAGCGAAGTGCCTGTACTGTTATACGACGCAGAGGCGATCTCTGGTCCATTCTACTCCAATATGAGCCGCCTGTATCGAAATTTTCAAATACGCGAATTCAGGGACCAAACGGCAGGGCATGTTTCTGGCCAACTGGAGGCCTAAGTGATGAACTTCTGCAGCAAGGACGTGGCTCTCCCTTTTTTTGCCGAGGGGATGACCTGATGTCGTAGATTTGGAGCAATGAACATGTCACACATATGTCTCTTTGAGTCACTGCTACATTTTCTCCTGCCCTCAGGAGGATGGTATACAAATGGTTTCGCCATCCTTCTCCACCCACTATTTTGATCAAGCGCAAACCGGGTCCGTTCCAGTCATGAGTTTCCACGTCAGACCCATTCTTTCAAACGCCGTCGCTATGCCCAAATCAAGTCCGTGATCGTGAGGATCAACCGTTGCAAATGCATCATCTATAAAATTCACCCCTTTTAACGTTGATGCCATACTCTTGCACCGCCATGCCGAGATCCTCCATAGTGAGAACGGTTCTGCCCTGACCACTGCCACCCTGACCTCCACCACCATATCCGCTCCTCTGGACGCCCAACTGCGTTGCTTGCTGATTCTTTGCGGCGGCGCCAGCACCTGACACCGCTGCAGCGCTGGGACCACCAGGACCTCCGGCGCCACCACTTCCAAGAGGATTGTTTGACGACGCCGTGTTCGAGCTCCGGATGCGGCTGTATTGATATGCGTCGGCGGCGATGTCGGCAACGAACTTTTGAGTGGCGAGGGCAAGAAGGCGGGCGAGGGGTAGAGGTGTGGTGTTTGTGCTTGCGCCCGTCGGATCGGCTGGCGAGGGTGGTGGGAGCCCAGCGACTGTCAAATAATGCGCCGTGACGGCGTCGGGAATCTGTTGGGTGAGAATGTCAGTTGTTGTATAGAGGGGGGAGTGGAGTGGTGGGGGGTTTCATGGTAGTGAGACAGACAATGGGAGCATAGTCGTCCATCTTGCTCAAAAACTCGCGCAATGTCACATCTTTCCGGTCATGATGGGCTAGACCTGCAACGCCTGGCGCCGACTGGGTTTCTGGTTGCGAATACTCGTTGTCAAGATTTGTGGAGGATGTTTCATTGGGGTTCCGGGGTTGTGCCGGCGCATCTTGAGTGTCTGCCATCTCTGCATCGACATCGACGTCAACTCCGTCGTCCTTGGTTAAAGTGCCATTTTGTTGATCGGTGGCAGTGGGTGGAGATGCCATATTTCCTCTGCCTGCTTCCCCTTCTTCGACCGCTCTGGTCTGTTGTACAAAGTTCTCCTGGTTGTGTGGTCTCAATGGTCAAGAAGGAACCGGTGTCACGACCGCGGTCGTTGGCTGTGGTCGAGCCAGATTCGGGAGAAAACACTAAGTTCAGATTGGCTGGCCCGACTGGAGAGATTCTGGGTATGGTAATGCAAGATTGTGATGTAGTTGATCCAAGGCGCGAGGAAACCAGCCTGGAGTGGAATAGGCGACTGAGGTGACACGGTAGGCTTGCAGGAGGATTGGCGAGTCACGAGCAGCCTTGGCGGCCAAGATATACCAAGGCGAGCTAGTCCATTTAAGAAATGGCGCCCTGTGGGTTGACTTCGAATTGACTTACTCATGTATTCACGGCAGGGTATTTATTGTCAATAAAGAAGTCTTGTTTTTACGATAGGTACGATACCTAGGTACAGATCGAGGAGGCATGCTGCAAGGTAAATTGAGGGGTTCGGTACCTACCTCGGTTGGTACCTCGGTAGGCACCTAATCTACCATGCTGGTAATTGAACAGGTATGAACAGGGCGGAACAGATCCCCAACTGTTTATCTTGCAATTGATGAATAGGTATGAATAGGTATGAATAGGCATACTCTAGATATCCTTATATCAACTGCTACCATGCTGCTCTATGTAAAATTCCTGATTACCATAGTACCGCCAAAAAGCCAAAGGTACTTAGTTATAGAAGCTGGCATCATCACCATTCATCGATTGAAGACAGATCGAATAGAATCACAAGGTCGTGAATACCATTGCAACAATCCTCCACAGTTGGAACTGCCATAGGGTTAAACTCGTAGGCTCAAACTTGCCAGGAACTTGCAGGCAGAAACAATGATCCTACAATGTATACTGGAAGCCTTGCTGGCCCTCGAGCACCTTTCCTCCCCTTTGTAGCTTGTTCTGATGTGCCATGTACAGTGTAAGGCAAATAGTGAGCACGATCTGGAAGCCCATCATACCAATAGTAGCAATGACACCAGGGGTGTAGGTCGGAGCATCCTGTGACCGGAAAATGGTGGAGCCTATAATGCCACCGCAAGCACCAAGCGAGAGCTGGATGCCTGATGCAACGCTTCGCTTGACTCGAGTCGGGGCATTGTTCTGTGCAAAGCTGAGTGCAATAGATAGTCCTCCGTTCAACCCGCCCATGGTAAGGAAGGTACCGGCGTACTGCGTGGCTGTATTAGGTCCCCAGCGGGTCATGGAGACGCCGACAATAACATTGCAGGCGAAAAAGACGAGGAACGGCGCCCGGCGCTTATAGCGATCGGAAACTGCTGTCAGCCCAGTGGCCACGAAAAAGGCCCAGACGGTAGGTGGTGTACTCAGAATCTGACTCATGGCTCCTGTGAAGCCCATTTGAGCGTTCAGGATTAGTGGCATGAAGTAGGCCATACTGTAAATCGCCGACGCTGATACCATGTAGATCAACCCAAAGCACCAGTACTTGAAGTCGGTGGCATGGGATAGAACTGCTCTAACGGTCATCTCTTCTTCGCTATTCTCCTGGCGATCCGCGCTGATGAGGGCAACAGCGACGTCTCGTTGCTCCTGGTTGAGTAATCGAGAGTTTCGTGGGTATTCATCGACGATGAAATACAAGCCAATCACCACCACGATAGTGATGAGACCCTCGAGGAGAAAGATCCAGCGCCACCCCCTATAGTTTGCAGTATTGATGCGTGAGAAGGCCCAGGCTAAGATTCCAGCAAAGGCAGCGGCTAGATTAGCGCCACAGAAGACGACAGTGACACGTTTCCCCAGTCTGTATCTCGGGTACCAAGAGCCGAGAATGACGATGATGGCAGGCAAGACACTGTGGGTAGCATTGTTAGTGAGTGCTGGGAGGGTCAAGCCACCAACAAGAAGGGGACAAAAGACAAGACTCACCCTGCTTCAAAGACGCCGAGAAAGAGGCGCATGGCTGCAAGTCCGGCGAAGTTCTGTACTACACCCATGACCAAGGTAAAGAGCCCGAATCCGAAGCCGAGTGTGCAGAGCCACACACGAACGGATACCTTGGATAGGAAATAGTTACTCGGGAGGGCGAATAGGACGTAGCCAGGGAAGAAGAGGAGCAAAGTAATCGAATATTGATAGCCAACCAAACCAAGCTCAGCATTCATACCGGCAACAGCGGCCAAGCCCATGTTTGCACGATCAATGAAGCAGAAAGCTAGAAAGACGGTGAGGACTGGGACGATGAGGAAGTCGATTCGTCGTATCGTCTTCTTGATCGTCTTCTCATCGTAAGGGATTGGATTTGGCTCAGCAGAGACTTCAGCCCAAACCTCCTCTTTATCCGTCTTCACGTCAACATGCTTATTGTCAACCGTTGCGGTAGCAGGGGTTGCAGTAGCAGGAGTGGTGACGGCAGGAGTGGCGGCAACATCAGCAGCTTGGGACAATTGAGCAACCGGGTCAAGACCTAGGTTCTCCTTGTTGGCTGGTGTAGACATGGTGGATGGAGGATATGGGTCGCAACGTGATCACGCGTTGGCTGGAAGGGAGAGGAGGAGTGGTAATAACAAAGGAGTGCTGGTCACCCTGTCCAAGAGGTGCTTGCCATTGCTTTATAGATGGAATCCGCTATCGGGACACAGACGACCAGGAAGATACCTGTTGGATACTCTTGAGTCGGCATGGGTGGCAAGGGTGGGTATGAATGATTGGACTCCTGTCATCCGGTTAGGAAGCCTGCATGGCGAAGCACACCGACAGGAGCCAAGCAATCCAGATTGATAGTTTATAGGCAGGTGATGCCTCAGCCAAGAGAGGAGTCTGTCAGACAACATGGGCCATTGTGGAGATACCCCAGCCTGGGGAAAGGGATGCATACATGGACCTTGGTTAAGAACGAGTCGGCCACACCCCGCAGAACATCACCAGGCTGTACACGTGAGGGACATGTGTCGACCTGCAAACGAGTAATCTATGGCATCAGATCTGTGCCTTGTAGGCTTTGACAATGCCTAAACAGGATGAGATGAATCAGGCTGTGATCACGCGGTGAGTTACTGGTCCTTTTGCCTTTTCTGCCCCAGCAATTTGCAGCTTGAGCGCGTTTTATTGCCCACTTTGCTCGGTAGAGCAGACCTCGGGTACTGGGCTGGGGATGAGGGCAATCGTAGCACCCCAGATTCGGTTGCTTCAGCACGAGTCAAAGTGTATAGCCCTCGGTTGTCCTCGCAGCGGGGGCGTTGGAGTTGCTCTTCCCGCCCCGAGGTTATGTCTTGGCACAGTAACGTTTCTTGGCATATGCTCCGGGGATCTGGAGAAACTTCTCCGCAAGTCGCTAAGTAGAGTCAGCCTCCAGAGTCCCAATCACACAGGGTTCTCGGGTTATTGGCCAACTAGATTCTACTTTCCATTGAAGTAGACTATCCCAGTGGGTTTGAAAGGGTGGCACAGGCAAGTTTCTCAATTTTACTTTGGATGTCAAGTAAAGTTCTGCCTCTGCCTTTCACAGAGCACTAAAGGTAGCCTGCGTTGTCTTTTCGAGTGTCATTGATGTTGGCACTATCTATGGCCAACCGTCAGGTCCAAGTGATTGTGCCGCCTGAGCTGCAGCTCTTGCTATCATGGCCTCGACATCATCCATGCTAGGTTCAAGTGGTTTATCCGAGATGGGTGGTGGCATGTCCATCCCTTCAATTGTTGGTGACTGTTGAGCTGATTGTGATTCGCTGGATGCCAAAGCCAGCAGTTCCTGCTCTTCTGCCTCATCCAAAGTTGGGCCATTTTCACGCTCATTACCATCGGTCTGCAGAGGATGGCCCGGTGCTCTCGTTCTGAGATCGCCAGTGACGTATTTGAGATAATAGGGGACCTCGATACCACTTTTGAGGAAGAATAATTTCAAGTTTCGCGCCTTGTCTTTGAGCTGGACCTGGTTACGGTCTTTCAAGGCCTCGCTGATAGTACCCCCAGGTCCATACATGGCCAGTATCTGACTCCAATGCGGTCCTTTGACGCGATCTAATCCCGTCATCAAGGCGTTTTCTTCTTCCGTTGTCCACGGACGTCGTTGGCTAGGCACCACTCCCTTGCGCGCAGGGAGTGCTTGTGCTTTCGTGGTAGCGACCAATCTTGCCCTTTCGTACAGGACCGATGTTGGCGCAGTCTGTGACACATGTGGGATATCGCTGGGAGTTGTGGCATCTTCAGCGGACGATTTCACCGCAGTTGTCTCGGCAGAAGATTCGTGGTGCTGGGACTCGGAAGTCTGCTTTGGCAGGACTAGAGCGACATTGGACGGGTGAGGTTGAGTCGAAGTGGCTGGCGGGACCGGCTCGGAAAAGGCGAAGCCCAAGGCATCTTGCATGGCAATTTCGGCAGCCCTGGCAGCCTGTGCAACGAAATCGTCTTCGGGGGCAGTAAATGTTGGTAGGCCATCTTGCGGAACCGACAAAAAGGGATCGTGCGACAGAGTCGGGAGCGGTGGGACATGCATAGAGAACTGGCCCTCCATACTTCCCTGAGGCATTGCTTGGGACGCGTTGGAACCCGTAGGATCGGCGATGCCATTGAGAGCGGCGGCATGCCCTTCAATGTTTTTGGCCAAGTATGAAGAAACTTCTCGACTGAAGTCCTCCCATTTGTATTTTAGGGGTAACTGTTCCAGAGTGTTGGTCTTGACGTGATTTTGAAGGATATCACGGCGCGATGCGAGTCTGTTGAGAAAGTCGACCTCGCTCGAGGCCAGGGTAGATGTGCCAGGCCTCCTAGAGAGAATGCTCTTGTCTATGTCGGTACCAAAGAGATCGACCATGACGACGGATGGAGGAGCAGCGCGGGTGCGCCAGGCGGTAATGAAGCCCTGGGTTTTCAGTTCTAGATAAATGGAGGCCTGGGCCTTGAGTAGCTTGCCGCCCTCTGGCACGAACACGGCCAGGAAACTGCGGTCCATATCCCGAAGACCAATTTGTCCCGTAAAGACGCTTGATACGAAGATGGCTTGGTTGGCGCGACGGAGGACATCGACGTGGCTACTCTCTTGCAAGCCCAAGTCTCTCGGAGAAAGAAAGTGAGCGCCAGTGTTGTAGAGTCTTCGAGTGTATTCAAATTGTGATCTTAAAGAAGTATATTCCCGAGTGCGAGGAGAGTCTGGAGTGTTCGATAAGCCCATGGCTTCGGCAGGTGTCAACTTGGCCAATAGCGCCAGAATCTGCAGCGAGAGGCGATCCAGCGCGGCCAGGTTATCAATCCGGGTTTTGAGGCTTGGGATCTGAGGCGTAGGGATGGTATTCGTCACATGGGAGGGCTGTGGTGCAGCAGGAGGCGCAGGAGGCGCGACAGTTGTGGGAGGAATGGTGGCATTATTCTTTGATGGTTCCACAGACGGCCGGGATGGCACTTCAGATGTCGATGCTACCGGCTGCACAGGAGCGGGTTTAGGCGATTCCTCTGCAGGCGACAAGCGTCTTCTTTTGGGGCTTCGAGGGTTGTCGTCGTCGCCAGCATGTTGAATTGGAGTGGAGGATGGAGCGGGAGGTTGGGCTTGGAAGGTTAGCAAATTCTTGCTCAGGCGAAGAGATTGGACGATGCAAGTACCTGTCTGGGTGGAAGGATCGGTTTCAAGATTGCCACCAGGATCTAGCGGAGGTGGTGAAGTGGCCGACATTGTCAGTGTCTTTGGACATTTCCATGCGAGGTGGTTGTTGTTTTTCTGAGCGCAATGGGAAATAAAAAACCACGTGATGTCGCGGCGAAGAGAAGGAACGTGGGGATTTATTTGGAGAGCAGCAGCTGGGGAGAGAGAGGAGGAGAGTATAAACCAAGCAAGCCAAATGCAGCAAGGCATGCACGGGTAGCACGAGTGCCTGGACACCCTATGGATGCCCCTCGGCCCCACCTAAGTAGAGTTCTACGCAGTACCGGTGCGTACAGTCCTCAGTAGAACATACTCCATACCTAAGGTCGGCACTTTAGCCTGTTGGTTTACTTAGGTAATCTTATCAAGTACTCAGTATATGTGTGACACACCTAGAGCCATGCCCATACATAATTGTGCTTGTGACACCATCAACAGCTATCATTCTTCCACCCTCATCAACGTAGATACTCTATACCTATCTTCGTTATGAACACCTTATTGTCCATGCACCTTGAAGTCACCCAATTCCTACTCGCAAGCCAGACAATTCCCTCAGTTTATGATCCGTTGGGTCGATGGAGGAAAGCACCATCAGACCATTGTCTTAGTAAGGCTTTAGACGCCCGGAGAAGCCTAGATCTCTCGGCCTTGGGAGCTAGATAGGATGCGCATGAGCAGGCTTTTACACGGCTCGGCCTGTCAAAGAGCCGACCTTTTGGTAACTATGATTGATGACAAGACTTTGGTGGTGTGGACATGTGCGCCCGCCGGGGTATGTTCAGGAGCATATGGGTAGGTAGTGTTAGAAGCGGTATGGACGGCGTGCACGGGGCACAGGCCCTCAAGCGGGGCCAATACCCAGGACTCATCCGCAGATCGGGAAATAAAGCAACCTCTAGTTTGTAGTTTCCCAACCACCTCGATTTTCCATCGCATCATTAGAACGAGGCAATTGTCTGATGCCATCGTCAAGATATAATACTAACACAGGCTAAACATCTTGGATGGGTGCCGCCGCAACGCCATTCGGACAAGCCAACTACGTCGTTGCGTGGCTTGTCCTTGTTGGGCAGCGCCTGCTTCTTTTAAAGCGTCGCAAAGACGTTACTGCAGGTGCTGCAGGTGCGGCAGTCGAGGTCGTTCTAGTAGACCTCGCTTCCTCTAGATACCTAGTATTGCTCTATCATCGAACAGCTATCTGGTCTACCTTTGCTCGATATGCGAACAGAGTCGTTAGGCCGGTGGAAGTAGCTCGTGGGACCAACGGCGGTGTCAACATCTAGACGGTGTCGGGACCTTGCATGGCCCGGGTCAATCGTTCAATTCAATGCCAAGGACGGAAAAGCCACGAGAAGGTTACACTCTGGGCGGAAGAAGTCTGATCAGTAGTTGAGTTCTGTTGGTAATGGAGCAGAACAAGGACGAATCTGGCGAGCGAGCTACTGTAATCAGGAAGGAGGAATGACGGCACTTCCAGGATGGAAGGCGCATATTGGCATGGCATCTCCAGTGCTCGTCCAGTGCTCGTCCAGTGCTCCATCACCGCCGTCAAGGCTGCAAGGCTTATTGAAAGCTCCAGCAGCCCCAGCATCTCCACTCGTGACATGTCGTCCAATCCCCTTGCATCTGGCGCAGGCAACCCCACTTCCATCACCTCATGCATCTGCGTTATCGAAGCTCTCTTCCCGCTTATCCTGCCTACAGCCGTCTCCAAAGCTGCTCATGATCATGGGACAAGAACCTCGATGTGGTAAGTCGTCTACCCACCTTCACAATTCATGCAAAGAGCTTGCATGAGTCCTCTGAGCCCGTGCCTGTGCCTGGTCGACATTTCCTACACTTTGCCGCCCTACTGCTGACTTTATAAGGTACGCTTCACCCCGCAACCCTTCCTCTCTCGTTCCTTTCCCTTTCTCGAGGCTTCTGAGTCGACTCAGCTGTCAAGCCGTACTGCCTGAGCCTGACTGCCTTGATATCGCGCCTGTTGTCCGGCAACAGTCAGAATGCTTCCACTTGCTCCTTTGACTCCTGGCCTCGGCCTCCTTGCCCTTGCTTCCCTCGTTGCCGCTCAGTCGGGCCTCAAGCATGAAGTGCTGGGAACATTCATCTATACTACCTATGGAGATCGGACTCCCTTTGTATTTGACACTCCCACCACGTTGACCCCTCTGGGCGCCCACCAGCTCTATGACGCTGGCGCCAAGGTTCGAGAGCGATATGTGACTCCGATCGAGGGTGATGGCATCAAGACAACCATTCGTGACATTTCGCCATTTCAGCTGCAATATGATCAGCTGAACATCCTGACTTCTCAAGACCAGTATATCACTGGCTCCGCTCAAGCCTTCCTCCAGGGCTTGTACCCACCCTTGGAGACCTTTTCCAATTACACCTACATCCAAGGCCTAAGTACCATTGAAAATGGCACCAATCTGGTTGCCCCGCTCAGTGGTTACCAGTATCCCAGTATCCTCACCGTCACCAGCAATGACCTTAACTCCATCTGGCTGGACGGCAGCAAGAATTGCCCAGCCTACAGGTCGGCAGCCAACGACTATTACCGGACCGATACTTTCAGAGAAATCCGCAACCAAAGCCAAGATTTCTACCAGAGTCTGCAACAAGATTTCCTCCGCGGCCACTTCCCCAGCGGTGCTGGCTATCTCGACGCATACTACATCTACGATTACCTGCATTATGCCAATATCCACAACACTACAGTGGCTGATCTGCTGCAACCCCAGGATCTTGTCCAAGCAAAAGCCCTTGCCGCAGATTGGCTTTTTGCTCTCAACACCAATGCCGCCATTTCTGGCACCAGCCAAAATAGCATTCGCGCCATGGCGGGGAGGACTTTGGCCACTCGCATCCTCCAGTCCTTGTATGCCATTGTCAACACGCGGGGTAACTCGGCCAAGATGACCCTCCTTTTCGGAAGCTTTGAGCCAATGATCTCATTCGCCTCATTGGCTGGCTTGACGTCGCCCCAGAATGCTGCATTTTACAACATTCCTGAGCCTGGTTCCAGCTTCATCTTCGAGTTGTATTCGATTCAGGCTCAGAATGATACTACATACCCTGATAATGATGAAATCTTCGTCAGGTTCTATTACCAAAATGGCACCGGCTCTGATTCCAGCCTCGTCGAATATCCCTTGTTCGGTATGGGTCCTAGTCAGACCCTGATCCCATTGTCTGATTTCGTGAGCGGCATCCAGCGATTTATGGTACTCAATGTCGAAGAGTGGTGCAGGACGTGCAATTCTTACTCGGTCTTTTGCCCCGCCTTTGTCGACAATAATGGCAGCCTTGACCCAACCACAACAACACCCGCTTCCTCTCGCAAAGGCCTCTCGCCAGCCGTCGCTGGTGTAATTGGGGCAGTGGTGACACTGGTTTTTGCGGCTCTTCTTTTCCTGGCCTTGGCTCTCCTGGCGGGATTCCGAGTCAGCCGTGTGCACAAGAGCCGTAAATCTGACCTTGGGGGATTCAAGGGGTCCGAGAGACTCGCAAGCGACCAAGATCTGACTATCCCCAAGGGCGGTGCTGGAGCAACGGTAATTTCAAGCCCAGATCCTGCGCAGGTTCGTGGCCACGAGCGTGTGGGAAGCTGGGAGCTGCGCGACCAGGCTAAAGCTGAAGAGGCTCAGGGACGCATTATCAGTCCCGATCTGACCAGACCGAGGCGTCCGAGTTTTGAGGACGATGACATGCCCATCAATCCCTTTACTTCTCCGGTCGACCCACGCAATCACGTCTGATGCACCCATAGTTGATTGACTACCGTTTCGAATTCATGTTGGAGTTGGCGAAGGTTGGCGCATGTGATGGATGAAACCCGTCTCCTGGGTCAATAGCATGAGTCAAGTGATATGATTGTTTTTCTGCCGATACCCATCAGATGCATTGATAATTGTTGACAATACATGTAGATCGCCCAATTGTGCCAGCACATGGTGATTCTTCACTATTCTTCACTGTTCTTCGCTTCCCGATCAAGATTCTGCCAGGCCCCTTCCACTGATTCCCTCACTACCAACCACAACAACGCGCTCTCTGCCTGGAAAGCGCGTGTGTCACACTTTCTCAATTTTCCACTTCCTCATTATCTCCTGCTTCCTCTGCCTCACTCTGTCTCTCACCTTTCTCTTCCACCAGCAAGAGCCAATCCATCGCCCCTTCCTTTTATCTCGCTAGAGGCTCGTTCCTTCCCGAGTCTCATCAACCTCTCTTTCCTTGTCAAACAATCATCATCATATCGTCAGGTACGTATCCCATCCGCGCCCCTTGCCCTTGCCGATCTTGAACCTTGCCGCACCTTTGTCTTTCTTCTCCCACTCTTTGCCCGCGGTCCATCTTCATTTCAAGGCCCCCCAGTCTGGTGTCCCTTCTCGGTTGTCTTGTGAAGAGCGTGCTGGCCTTCTCATCTGTGGCCACAAGCTCCCTTTTGGTTCTCTTCTTTGGCTACCCAACTGCATCTCACTTACCATCACATCCCAAAACTCCATCGATATGACTAACGAGATCAGAGATTGCTCATCTCGCAGAAGGCGCCGATACAGTGTGACTCGTCTCCTGGAGCTCGCTCCTCGGGCTGTCACCGCGAGCTTTGATCTATCAAAGTTCACATACGACGCTGCCAGAGGTAATCCATCTCCAGACCTGGTCATGACCAAAGACGCTAATTGTTGCAGCGGGTGTAGTGCCTCCACTGGGTGCCTGCGCCATGTTGAGCCGTCGCACTGTGAGCGACCAGCCTCGCAACTGGTCTCGTGAATCTGGCAGTTCCCAAGAAGAATACATTGTCTATGTTGGCAACCGCGTCACTCAGCCTGAGAGACAGCCTGTCAATGCACCTTCCGACAATCTGGCTCAAAAGAACAAGGGGTTTGCACGATTTTTGCAGAAGCACTCGTCGCCCACTCACCAGCGTGTTACAGCTGGAGGTCGGATCGTGCCCATGGAGCAGCGACCGCGCCCTCCCGTCTTCAGCTTGCCTCCGAACGAGACCACCACCCTCGATCTCCCGCATGAGAAAGCAACTGATGAGGCACATGATCTCTGCCAGAAAGAGGTTGAGGACAAAGGCAGTAGCGACGTCCAGGCCACTTTTGGCACAATCGTCCAACCTCATTTCCACTCAGTCGCAGAGACCTTGGATGGCAAACCTGGCCCTGGACTCGGTGCTGGATTGGATCTTCAAATCCTACCTTCACCAGATCCTCTTTCTCCTCTTTCCCCCAACCCAACCCAGCCAAGTGGGTTTCCTCTCTTGCAAGCGCCTTCGATGTTTTCTGGTCAATCATTTGATGCATATGGCCTGCCGACCCCACCCCTGTACCCAGCACCGGTGATGACATTGAACTCAGTCATGAACACCACTGGTGCACCATATTGCATGCCGGGTTATACGGTTACAGCCCACCCCTATGCAGAGATGTACGGATTTGCCAATGCCCAGCCAGTCGTTGACAATCAGAATTCCTACCTCTACTGCCATCAAATGCTGCTGAGTGCTGTGGCACGCTTCGAAGAGCTCGACAAGCAACTCAAGTCACTTGACCGCCACCGTGCCATGACCAAACTGGAGCCCAATCTGAAGGAGCAGCGCGTCATGGTAGTTCAGCAGCGCGCCGAAGCAAAACAGACGATCACTCACTGGGAGCGCTGTCTCGCCAACGCAACGCCTCTTGCCTTGGAGCCGCCTGGACTACAGCAGTCCAAAGTCCTGAATGTTCAAGCCCCGGCCTATGTTCCCCTTGCATCTCCCGTCAAATCCATCATGCCGATGTCTGCATCGACCAGCAATGACCCCAAGGCCGAAAGCTTCCATAGCAGCGTTCATGTCAATAAGGCAGCCCCGAAGCGAATTCCAATTGTGCCTCCCACAGCTCCGCCGCCCCCTCAATGCCAGGCCTCTCCCCCGGCCGACCATGAGAGCGTGAAAGCCACTGAGAGCAAGCCCGAAGTTGATGAATGGGGTGTTCGTAAAGGCCGGCCTCCACCACACATTGAGAGGGAACAAACAAGAATGCTTGAGGCCATCCTTCGCGAAAATAAAAAGTCCTCCCAGGGCTCTCAACCAAACTCAGCATGCTCGGTCGCTCCGGTCATTTCAGCTAGCTCAAGCTTCCACGCCAGGTCGAGCGAGAATCTTCCACAACCTGTTCCGGATGACGATGACATGGACAATGCTGAGTGGCTGCGACCCAACCCAGGACGTGCACCTCCACTTGTGGAGGCATATTACGAGAGACAGCTTGACGCGATGCGATTGCCTGAGGGATGGGTTGCTGACATCGAGCTTCCTGACGGTAACGTCACCCGTGTTCCTGGCCGGAATCTGCAACGCCCCCCATCGTTCGAGATGGATGAGTTCGAGTCTCAGTACTGGACAAAGCGACCGGTGTTGACCAAAGATGTCACGAAGAGGTTTGTGCGCCTCCATGACATGCGTCATGTGCAGTCGTCAGACATGGCACATAGCACTGTGAGCTTCAGCAACCTCAGTTTCGACAGGTGAGTATTCTTTGACACGATTGAGTTAACAAAGCTGATACTGTGGTCTTTGAGCAGTGACACTCAGATGAAGGAGACCACCAACGGACTCTTTTCCACGAATAGCTCCCAGTCTTCGCGTCAGCACAAACCATTGGCTCCATTGCTTGTTGAGACAAGCCCCAATGCATTGGCAGTGAAGCAGACATCGGCACTTGGTTCCCCTACTTGGACACAGTGGGCACACTCAAGCTCCCCATGGGTGACTGAAGGAAATTCATGGCAAGATGGAGAATCATCGTTGGACGCCCATGCCAACAAGGGATACTCATCGGTGGCCGTGCAAAACGTGCATGCATTGGGTAGATTGCCTCACATGATGGACGGAACTTGGGATGGACAACGACGATCTGCTAAGACGTTGCTTACCGCGGCCGGCAAGCTTCGAAGCCCCACGCTGGTTCACAGACCAAGTCCAACTGGTGGTGTTTGGTATGGACCACATTCCCGTGGGGTCGGCAACAATGATACCAACATTGAGAGCAACTAAGTGAGAGTCGTCTGAGACCAGAAGGTAGGCACACAAAGAGCCAATGTTGGACAGTGGTGTCGTCAAAACAGAATGATTGTCTTTTTCCGCGCGCAGGGCCAGAGTTGTTGGTCAACAGGGAGGAGTTGGTTCAGTATCAGGGGCGACATTGGACGGCATTGGTCCTGGAGAGTCAAGTTGGAGACGCGGTTGGTATGAACGGTTGTATGGGGCTTTCCGAATATTGCAAGCCAGCATGTCATGTGGAATCACCACGTGAGGACATCATGATATGGTCGAGTCAGCGTGTGATTGATACAGTACAGCGATACAGTGCCAAAGGGTGTGCAAGGCATTTAACTTGTATTCAGTCGAGAAACATGAAAAGTTCAGAGATGCCCGAATAGCAAAGATGTATCGACTAGAGTCTAGAGTCTAGAGAGAACATCGCCAACTCAATGAAAGTTTAGACTGTAGCCTAGGCCAAGGGTGCACACTCGAGATTGATTTGACCGGAAGATTGTGACCAAAGAAGAATAGAGACGACGCAATGATGTGGACGTGGCGAGCGGACACGCAAGACTGCTGAGCAATCAAACAGTTATCACCAACAAATGGAGGGGCATAGTTGATGAGCCACCATCTGAGAATTCCATGACGGTGAAATGATAAGAGGCATGACAAGGCACCGCGACGGGCCACGCAACTCTAGCCATCTTAAGTTGTCTAGGTACTTAAGAGTAGAGGAGATGGGGGCGGGATTCTTGTTAACCCCGGGCACCGGTTAGCTTATAATTTACCTGCCCAGGTCCTGAATAAGTCTGGCCGGGGAGCGGCAAAGCCGCCATTAGTGCCAGTCAAGTAAGTACCTACCTACCTACCTTAGCTAGGTACCTGACCTACGTAGAAGTTAGTAGGTTAGGGACTTACTCCGTTGTCCTACGCCTCAATTACCAAAGAGGCCTGAGTGGCCGTCTCTAAGCAGTCGCCCTCCTTACTGGGCCAGACTCACCACGACCAAGTCAGGCTAAAAGATTCCTACTCAGACTCGTCCGAACTGCTCCCGCTCCTCCCACTCCCTGTCGCGGCCGACTTACCACGGCTCCTTCCCCTTCCTCCATCTCACAACATCACTGCCTCACATCAATATTTTCCAGAGCCTCAAGAAGTCTCCCCAGAAGCTCCTTATACCATCATCATCCTTGACCACCCATTATAAACCCTTTTCGCGACAGCGTCCTCTGGAAGGAAATCAGTCTTCTGCTTTGAAATCCATCCTGATATGGCGCTCCATCGTCGATAGCCCTACGATCAAACGACCTTGTCCGACCATCTCTGAATCCATCCTGAGCACCGCTTGTCTCCTGGGTGCGCAGCCTACGAATAGCCTCCTGTCAATCCCAATTATCCCTATCATCAAGAGTTGCCGTCGACCTCGTTGCATTTCTGCAGACCCATTAGTTTGGCTTCTACAGCATCATGACTACCGAAAGACGCAACTTCTCCAGCCTATCTTTCTCGTCCAAGAAGAACACAAACGGAGATCCCGGATCCGGGACTCACACACCGACTTCTACAAAACTCCGAAACTTCTTTCGAATCAACAGTAGTGGCAGTCAAACGTCAATAGGGTCAGATGGGCTACCCACTCCACGCACCGAATCCAAACCCCTCAAACAATCGAGATTCCTTCCCGGCCTAGGGAGAAACAGATCGACCACGATCGCGAGCGACGGCCATCCACTCGACGACGCGATAGTCTCTCCCACTGCTCAGGCAAATCCCTACTTTGCCCATCAAGGACCTCCCGCTTTGCGACACCATAACGAAGGCAGCGTTCCTCCGTCACCTCCAGATACTCCCAAAGTACAAGGCCATGGCAGTGTGGCTGACGAGAATGTGGTCACGGCGGGTAAAGAAGAGCTGGCCCGAAAGTTGAGACGTGTGGCCTCCGCCCCCAACGCCCAAGGACTCTTCAACAGCAACAAAGCAAACCATGACCGGCCTCAAACGGCTGAGTTGGGCAAAGAGCCTGTCGCCGTCGAGACAGGTGACACTCCCAAACTCAGCATGATGGCCAAAGAGGATGTTGATGTTTCCATTCTTCCCACGGCTGGGGCCAAACTTCCACTTCCCGGCCAACTCCGTCAATCAATTGCTTTTCGACGGACATATAGTTCTAATTCGATCAAAGTGCGCAATGTGGAGGTCGGTCCTGGCAGTTTCGACAAAATCAAATTGATTGGCAAAGGGGACGTGGGTAAAGTCTACTTGGTGCGGGAGAAGAAGTCCAATCGGCTCTATGCCATGAAAGGTCGTGTCACCCGTGCTGCGTGAAGATACTCCTCATACTGACAATTTGTAGTTCTGAGCAAGAAGGAAATGATCAAGCGGAACAAGATCAAGCGTGCCTTGGCTGAGCAGGAGATTCTTGCTACTAGCAATCACCCGTTCATTGTCACGTTGTATCACTCGTTCCAGTCGGAGGAACACCTCTATCTGTGCATGGAGTACTGCAGCGGGGGTGAATTCTTCCGTGCCCTGCAGACCCGACCGAACAAGTGTGTGGGCGAAGATGATGCCCGGTTCTATGCGGCAGAGGTGACGGCAGCGCTGGAATACCTCCATCTGATGGGCTTCATCTACCGAGACTTGAAACCCGAAAGTCAGTCGGCATCCCTCTATTGACTACAGAAATCATGCTGACCACATCTCTCAGACATCTTGCTGCATCAGTCCGGCCACATTATGTTGTCTGATTTTGATTTATCCAAACAGTCTGACTCGGGTGGAGCACCCACCATGATCCTCGGTACGCGAAACGCGTCGAATCCGACGGGGTATCCTCTTGTAGACACCAAGTCATGCATTGCCGACTTTCGCACCAACTCGTTTGTGGGCACGGAAGAGTACATTGCTCCCGAGGTGATCAAGGGAAATGGTCACACCAGTGCTGTGGACTGGTGGACACTAGGAATATTGATCTACGAAATGCTCTTTGGAACCACTCCGTTCAAGGGTAAGAACCGGAATGCCACATTTGCCAACATTCTGAGGGATGAGGTCCCCTTTCCAGACCATTCGCATCCGACTCAGGTTAGCAAGTACGTTTTGTCCCAATTCCCCGGTCAGGTCTAGGGCTGCACTAACGAGGTGTTCAGTTTGTGCAAATCCGTGATCCGCAAACTATTGATCAAGGACGAAGTCAAAAGGTTGGGTTCGCGAGCTGGAGCGTCAGACGTCAAGAATCACCCATTCTTCCGGCCGATCACATGGGCATTGCTTCGACACATGAAGCCTCCCATGATTCCCCACCAAGGCCGGGGTATCGACACGCTGAATTTCCGGACAGTCAAGGACAGTGGCAGCGTGGACATTGGAGGATCGCCGACACGACTCAAGGGCGTCCCTCTCGACTCGGGCATGGCAACCCCTGGAGGTGAGATTGCCGATCCATTTCTCGAATTCAACAGTGTGACACTGCATCACGATGACGACGACATGATGATGATGCCAGAAGGAGGTCCAAGTGGTGGTCGGTGATGGGGATGATGGGGATGATGGGGATGATGGGGAGCATTCGCGATTCACTAGTGAACTTGGGTGCAATGACTTATGGTGTGGCATGGAAACTTGTTTGGCGTTGGGGCGTCACTCAACAACAGGGCTATGGACTTCCAGGTTGCATGGTGATGGGAACACGCGGGATCAAGACGAGAAAAGAACTACAACGTCTCAGGCGTTGGAATCATGCAAAAGACAGCTGTACAGATATACATTGGACCAGGTCCGCCGCTTCTCTAGGCACTTTTTGTTGGTGATTATGGAAGCAAAGATTTGTTCAGCAGACCCAACGGTACCAAAGGAACGAAAGGCACGATTGAGGTGACTGATAATAATAGCTCGGGTTACTGTACTGTATACCCCATATGACTGTGGCCAAGGTGTTTTGTGGAGTTGGACTCAACAAGGCCCTTGGCTGCGTTCATTGTGCTGCGCTATGCGGAGTCATCGATACATCGTCACCGCATTTTTCATTTAGGCGACATTTCCGCTCGGCTCGCTCCGACGTTGGTAGGTATAGAGACTGCGTGGAGATGAGGGATGAAGTATGAGGTTTGAGGTATGAGGATGACTATGTGAGGCACATGAGGCACGAGGTGTGATGTATGAATGGGGCAGAAGCTCTTGGGGTTCCTTCCATTGGTCATTGGTCGTGCCTGCCATTCTCATCATTGGTCTTGGAGGCACCTTCCCCCTCCAAAACCTGGGGACTGGATTACATCTCCGCCCCGAATCTTGGCAGGGCTTTTTGTTTTTCGTGCGCCAACGTGTCTCGTCTCTGGGCGCACTCAGACTCAAACCCCCACAGTTATGTCAGCTGTGATCATATGGTCACCTGCGTTGGTTCTAGGTCTACAAAAGAACGCAACGCACTGGCACCTGGCACCGGGTACCCGGGGGCGGTGTGATGGTGGGTGGACTTGGACCACTTTCAGGACCATGTGTTGCTGGTTGAAGTAACAGGCCCGACCCAGTTAAGGTCAGGTGCGCCCGGGGGGCAATCCGCATCAACCAATCACGGCAGCCCGCGTGGAAAATGGGTCGCCCGCCAATGACAACAGGGATTCTTTCCACGCTGCAACTTCATTCATCCTTCGTCCCTCACATGGAAATGACTATGGCTTTGTCGGCTCAGCATCCACGCTCAATTCTCCTTCATCTTTGTCCACTTTCCCCAATCTCGAGCAGCTTATGAACTCTGCGTGATCCTTGGTCTTCTCATGTCAATTTTCACCCTGACTTGAGCTCTAACCCTTCCACCCGTTCCCTCTAGAATGGCAAGCCTCTTTCGCTTCCATCCATTCATTCCCATACTTCGAGTCCGCTTGAGGCTCCAGTCCTGGTTCCTCTGATTACGCGGCGTGACTCCGATCCTTTTCCCTCTCTCACCCTCTCCTTACTCTCTTTTCTCCTCTTTATTGCCGCCCATCGCCCAAGCTGCACTGCTTGGGCACCCCACCATGAAATTTGGACGCAATCTCCCTCGTAACCAGGTCCCCGAGTGGGCGTCTGCCTATATCAACTACAAAGCCTTAAAAAAGTTGATCAAGGCGGCCTCAATTGCTCGGACGCAAGATGGCAATCTTGATCTTGCCGGTAGGCTTGGGCCAGACACGCCCGCGCTGGCAACGCTCATTCTGAAATAGGTTTTTTCCATGCCCTTGACCGCAACCTTGAAGACGTGGACCACTTCTACAATCGAAAATACCACGACTTCTCTCGACGCCTCAAACTCCTCCAAGATCGATACCCCACTTCCCCCCAAGCCGCAGTCTTGTTCGATAGGGATGAACGTGAAGACTTGTTGGCTGCTCTACTCGAGTTGCGCGGCCAAATGCGTAAGCTGCAGTGGTACGGCGAGGTCAACAGAAGAGGCTTCATAAAGATCACAAAGAAGCTGGACAAGCGTATTCCCGAGGCCCATGCCCAGAAGAAATATCTGCAGCTCAAAGTTGACCCTTCCCCATTTGCAACAAATGCCCTCCTCTCTGAAGCCTTGAACAACACCAACGACTGGATCTCCGTCCTCGGCGACGTTGCCTCCGTTGTCGTTACCAATGAGGATCGTGCCTCCATCTCCTCCGCCTCCTTGACTCGAACAGCATCCCGACCGTCGTTGGACATTTCCACCGACCAATTTGCCAAAGCAGAAGTCATGATCCGGCAAGATGACGCACAAAGCCTGCAGACATTGATTGCCATGATTCGAACCAGTCAGGGCTCCGATGTTCCAGAACATGCAATCCAACATCTACTCAAGACACTCCTACAAAGGGCCATTTTCTCCCGAAGCCGCTCTTGTACCGCTCAGCTTCTTCGTGATATCATCTTCCTGGACGATCAAGATGATATCAACTCTCGAAACGTCATCCATCGTTTGATTGTCTCGATCGGTCGAAAGCAGACTGAAACCAACAAAGAGTCCAGCGCAGGGCCCCTTCCTGACGACGAGTCAGAGTTGTCAAATTACATCACGCCTGCCACTCCATCTGCCGTGCCATTTAAGCGATTGGTACCTCAGGAAACCCATCGAAGACGCATACTGACCCGTGAAGATGAATCGATCTCCTTCCTGTCATTTCTCTTAGACAACCTGCAGTCCTCCCAACGCCCTGCACTGGCGGCGCGAGACAGTGCTGGACGCACCCCACTCCACTTTGCTGCTGAGTATGGCGTTCGCGTCATGGTCGAGGTCATTATCGAACATCTGCGCTCCTGGAAACTTTTCAACGTGGACGACGGCATTGATGGCCTATTCTGGCAGGATAACGAAGGCTGGGCCCCCCTACATCTGAGCGTCATCGGTGGTCATCCTCTCACTACACAAGCATTGCTCGACGCTGAGCAGTCAGCGGTCCCAGACTTCTACAAATCTACTGTCCGTCGCAATGCCCACAAATCTTCTGCTGTCTTGGCCCTAGCTGCAAAAGCCAATTTCGTCGACATCGTCAAGATTCTAGTCCAAGCTGGAGTCGATATCAATTACCAGGACGAGCAAGGAGATACCGCGCTCCATGTCGCGGCAAGGTTTGGACATTTGGACTGTGTCAATGTTCTTCTTGCTGGCTCCGAAACTCAAAAGGCCAATACTGAACTCGGCGAGAAAGCTTATGGCTGGACCCCGTTATTCATCGCCTGTGTCGATGGTTTTCTACCCATTGTCGAGGCTTTGATCGAGGCTCATGCTGATTTGGAACGACTGGATTCTTCTGGCTGGACTGCAAAAGAGCACGCCGCGCTCCGTGGACATGTCGATATCGCCAAGCTGCTTTGCGACGTCATCCCTGACCTAGATTCTGAGAGCGTCGCATCCGATTCCGCTCCCTCCACGTCCCCCCCGGTCTCTTCAAGCCTTTCTGAGAGGAAGTCCAATGCCATAGGCAGTTCTGCCAACCCAGTCAAGATGAGCGAGCCAGTAAAGACATTTGGACATCGCTATTTGACCGACAAAAGCATGATTCTGGTGAGCTTAGGCACCATGGACACTCGAAAGACCATCCGGCCGGTTAATCTGGACCGCATTCCCCTCACCAACGCTCATTCGACGCAGCTTGACACCGCTCTCTCCATTGTTGTTGCTGCCAAATCCGCGGATGGTGAAGCCGAGGTCATTGACCTCCCTGTCCAGGATAGCATCTCCACGGAGCCTATAGTCTTTCATTCGGCTGATCCATCAAAGGTCAAGCTTTTGTTTGATCTCATCCCTACCTATGCAGGGTCAAGAGAACGCATTGTCGGACGTGGTGTCGCTCTGTTGTCCAGCGTCAAGTCCAACATCGGATCGAGAAGAATGCCTTTGCAAGGAGACGTGACTGTACCCATTGTTTCTGCAACAGATCTCGAAGTCATTGGGTCTGTGACCTTCAACTTTCTTGTCATCACCCCTTTTCATCACCCAAAAATGTCCATCACAGAGAATCAGACTTACTGGAAAAGTATGTCTTCAACTGTGGTCATTGGACATCGAGGACTTGGAAAGAATTTGGCTGCGGGCCGTCGGTCACTTCAACTTGGTGAAAATACCATCCAGTCTTTCATCGCTGCTGCCAATCTAGGTGCTTCTTATGTCGAGTTTGACGTGCAGCTCACAAAAGATCATGTTCCTGTCATCTACCATGACTTTTTGGTCAGCGAGACGGGCATTGACGCTCCTGTTCATACTTTGACACTGGAACAGTTTCTACATGTCAACGAGATGAGGACACCACGTCATTCGAGACCGGCCTCCCCGGTCCCATTTGAAAAATCCCGAGTGAGGAGTCTGAAAAACAGCGAACCCCGAGCAAGCCGTATGCGTTCCATGTCGGTTGGCGGAGGCGATAGTGACGTCGTCGATATGGAGGAGCGCATGAAACATACTCGAGATTTCAAAAAGAACGGATTCAAAGGAAATAGTCGTGGAAATCATATCCAAGCACCATTTGCCACGCTTGAAGAGATGTTTAAGAAGCTGCCTCAGAATGTGGGCTTCAACATTGAGATGAAATATCCCATGCTTTCTGAGAGTGAGGACGAGGAAATGGACACTTATGCCGTCGAACTCAATTCCTTTGTTGACACGGTTTTGACCAAAGTCTATGATTTGGGCGAATCGAGGAACATCATCTTCTCCTCCTTCAATCCGGACGTTTGCTTGTTGTTGTCCTTCAAGCAGCCAAGCATACCTGTCTTGTTCCTTACTGATGCCGGAACTTCGCCCGTTGGAGATATCCGCGCAACGAGTCTTCAAGAAGCCATTCGATTCGCTAGTCGTTGGAACCTCCTTGGCGTTGTCAGTGCAGCAGAACCACTTGTCTATGCCCCTAGGCTAGTGAGAGTAGTCAAGGAGTCAGGACTTGTGTGTGTCAGCTACGGCGCTCCCAACAACGAAGCTTCCAAGGTCAAGTTGCAGGTCAAACAGGGGATCGACGCTGTCATTGTCGATTCTGTTCTGGCCATACGGAGAGGCCTGACGGGAGACGACAAGTCAACCAAGGGTGAAGCAAAAACAGCCACAAGTGTTTTGGGCGCCACCTCGCTCGCTGCACAAGCTGCCAATGGAAGTCTCGCTATGAAATTGACGGGCAGCACTGAAAGTCTTGAAATCCCATCGATGATGAAGACATTGGAACCCGAAGAAATGAATGGAAGTTTTGTCGGAAGTGTCATTTCGGAGAACGATAGTAATAACTCTGGGAGTACAACAGATACAACGCCGGAGGTGAAGATTGAGTCGGAAGTAGTTGAAAGTTTGACTACACCGAGTCTCGCGAGAGGTGAAGTCACAAAGGCACCTCCGGTGCAAGTGAAGCGTGGATGATGACCACGTCGTTTTCTCCGACCTTGGAATCTACGAGGCGGTTTGAATCTTGGTGTGGCGCACGAATACAATGATGGCCACTGCATAAGGCCGGGCAAGTTGACAGAGCATCAATTTGATTATAGAAGCACAGAAATAGAGCTCCAGAGCTAGTGCAGCGTTGACGGAGGCGTGCTGTTGTGAGCATAGATCGACATCCACACTGAACCGAAGCACTCTTCAACAACAGTGCAGTACGTCGGAAGTTGGGGGTTATGGCGTTGGATTGAAAGCAACGAGGTCACGATGACCTTGGAAGCCGACTTGAATGAGAGTGATCTGGACTTGAAAGAGACGGATTAACACGGTTGAACAATGTGGCCTATATCATATCATCATCATCTTGGGCAGCTCCTTGCGACTGGGTTGGAACCGGTCTTGAGTAGTCACAATCTCTACTCAAAGATATGGAGCTGGAGCTGGAACTGGATTCAATTGGAATTGGGCTGGAACAGGATCTCGAAAAGCGTCACAGGGTTTCTTACGAGCTGGACAGGATATCATCGAGATCAATTTGCTGTACTGGTACATAATATGACCAATACCGATTCCTTTAATGACCTACCATGATCACAGTCGCCTGAATAAAGTACCTACCTATGGGGGCAATTCGATTTTCGGCGGTGTACTTGAATGTCTAGGTAGTAATCAAACTTCAATCCGCTCCCTCCCCATCGATGTTCAAGTGAAAAATGATGTCTGTGTCATGATGCGTCCTCACATCAAACAAGCATCCTTCTCACTTGAATGTAGAACACTTCCTCCAACACGCATCTTGGTTGAATTTCGACCCTGCCGTCCAGCCATCGACCCACTCGATGGTGAAGTCACATAGACATACACGTCAACCAACCATTCATACCAGACGCGACGATCATCAGTGCGTCGCCACATGGTGACAGTCAGTTCCGCATTGTCGGGGATTGATAGTGGAGTCTGAAAATAGTTTTTAAGTAGTCAGGTCAATTGAACACACACACACTCACTCACTCGCTCAGCTAGGGAGATCTAGTGATACCCTTAGACTGAGAAAAGAGGGAAAGAATCATACCTTCAAAGGAAAATAAATGGGAAACCAACTGATCATCCCCTCACTCTTCGCATCCATGGTATTGGGATTCGTTGACAATTCCACTCCTTTGTATAACACGGTTTCGAAATATCCCGCTAATCCATGGCATGTTCCTCGATGGCGGATGGGGAATTTCAAGATACTGCTGCGTGCGTTGTGCGAGTTGGTTCGTGTGGGTTCGGTGTAGATTTGGGTGTTGTTTGATAATGAAGACGAGGAGGGGGAGGGGTTGGTGGTGGTGTTGGTGAATGGAATAGGGTTGGGGAGCCATGGATTAGGGTGTTGAAAGGACCATGTTGTGCCAATGATGGGGGTTAGTGTAGAGGGTTGAGGTGGCGGAGGGACGGAGATTGGTGGGCTCGATGGTGATGGTGATGGTAACGGGGAAGGTGAAGATGATGATATTGTGTGGATTTTCGAGTATGGTGGTCCACCACTTGTCGGTGATAGGGGTTGGGAATTAGGAACTGATAATGGAGGTGATGCGACAGCGATTGGACTTGTCGATGATGGTGATGAAGATGATGGCAATGTCGAGGTTGATGATGTCGTCGTCGTCGTCGTCGTCGTCGTCGTCGTCGTGCTGAGAAAATCGATCGCATTAAACATGACCACATACGGAATCTCAGCCGCATGTGGTGTTGTACTCGTCAAGCCATGGTTAATATCAGCATGTAATTTAGGCGCGGCAATCGGTGTGATGTGTGCTGTGTATGATGATGGGATACTGATTCCATGCACGGGATTCATTAAATGTTGTACCCCGTCTAAACATTCGGGACTGAGTTCGTTGTCGGCGAAAGAGCCCAGGAGTTCGGAAATCAAGATGTCGATCTTATATGGGATTGGTTGTGCTTGTTCAGTAACATCATGGGCTTCGGTGGCGGAAGGTCTTCTGGATGAGTCTGCTGTGGTAGATACTTCGTCTTCATCTTCAGCTTCGATATCCTCGGTGTTGTAGATCCGTCGTGGAGTTGGCATATTCCCGGGTCGAAGAGGTCCTCGCCATGTTCTCATATCTGACTTGACCAGATTAACTTGCTGGTTCCATGTCGTTTGATTATGTCGTTGCAAGAGGACAAAGGCGTTGGGATTCTTTTCCAATGCCCACATGTCAATATCGACATCGACGTCCTGACTGGCCTTCAGAGCACGGGTCACTAAAGGTCCTCTCCCGGCGCCGACCACAGCCACAACCACTCGTCCATCGGGGTTTGATGTTGGCTTTCCCTGTTCAATCCAGTCGTGCAGAGCCCGTGCCACAGCACGTTCATACCAGGCATACTTGACGGGATCTTTCTCAAATACTTCATATGTGATGCTCTCCAGGTTGACAGTCAATGGCTGGAGCGGTGCTTGTAGATAATCTTGGTATCCTGAGCCAAAGCGGTCTAGGTCAGATAAGGGAGTCTGCTTCGTTTGTAGATTACGCATGTATGAGAGATGAGGGGAAGGGTCTTTCAAGTGCGCATTCGTGGCCGCTTCAGCAAGAGATGGAAAGCCTGTTGATGTCGATATCACATTGCCTGAACTGTCGTACGATAATTGAGGTATTGGGCTGACATCGCAGAGTAGGAACCATGGCACTGAACGGAGGCGAACCATTCGATTGATGAATGCTTGATGTGTCCTGGTCAGCACAGGATAGCCTTTGGCGTTCTTTGCGAAGATCTTGCTGTCCAGCGTCAAGAGTCGGACGGGCTCAGAATACCATCTGGTTTGAACCGGTGTTGGTGGCATCACTTTTGGAAGTGACAACCCTTTTGCTTGTTAGATACATTGACACAGGACAATGGCATGGTGGAGAGATGTTGATGCTTACCTACACATAATCTGGATGGATAATTACATATCGATCGAATCATGTCCCATGCTTCCCAAGTACCAAACAAATCCAATCTTGCGTCTTGTTCAGAGTCTTCCTCTTGCAAGAATTGTTGCCGGGCAAATGGCGCTAGGTCGCCCATACTATCATACTGATCCCCTTCGTTATCGATCATGGGAAACCACAGATATAGCTGCATATAAGGTCCATTGGCGAGGGCATCCGTCAAAGCTCGAGCGAAATGGGCCACTCTGCTATCGGAAGCTCCATTGCCGCGTAATCGAGGGGCTTGGATCACAGCATGTGTGATGCCACAGAATGCTGCGTAGGCCAGCTCCAGTTTCAGGACTTGTCGAGAGACATCGGCAATGATGGGATCCGGAGAGCTGACATCGATCCAGGGGCTGGTGATTCCAATGATCTGGGGAATTGTGTCGTCGGGTGTCAGCGGAGTGTCTGCTGGGGTCAGCTCGGGCACGATGATGGGTGATGCGTTATAGGTTCTCGTGACATCGACGTCTGATGTGTTAGATTGCTGCGAGAGTGTCGTAGACAGTATCGCCAACACTCGAGAATGAAACTGTGGTGTTGTAATGGGGCTGGTCAGCATGTCATACTACAGTCGGTCAGCTACACAGTCTGAAAGCCATGACGATGGAGTAGTCTCACGTTGGCAGCATGTGCGTCTGAAATCATCTGTGGTGACACAGGTAAAGGACGCTTGGGGTCATGATGCCCTATGATGAAGCGAGGAGTGTCATCCATGGTTCCAATATCTCGGTCAGGTGCAGCGGGAATTCCCCGGAGCGGCACGATGCAGAGGACGAGGCTCAGGCCAAATTAAGAAATTCTAGGTCAAAAGTCCACAGCCTTGTTGGAACCATTGTGCGTGAGAATGATATTGGTAGAGGTAGGTCCGGTCAAGCGCTAATTGGCGTCGAACAATGGCTAGAGCTGTAAGTGATCGCGTTGATAGCTTATCTGTTCAGGCCAATGCCTGTTTATTAGGGCAGTGCCTGGGTCAACCTTGAACCACGGCCTGGCCATGGAGGAATTATACCAAAGAAGCGAAAGGCAGATGTTGAAATTCCCAAACCGTGCTAGCGTGGATTTATATGCCAAGATTGAACTTTGCTGGATTTGGTCGGGATTGGCCAATCGGAGAACGGAAAACCCAGGGCTGCGAAACGGCCAGCCGCAGAGGCAGGCACGCAGGTCATGGCAGGTGCGACCTTTGATGTTTGTCTGTAGAATACCTGCAGCAACTTTTTTGCTCATCACTGCCAGCTTGTTCAACAGCACCACAACCATTGACCTCCATTCTCTCCTTCTCCCCTTTTCCCAAGGGTGTAGCTGAGGTCTTGTTGCTGACAACATGAGTGTCACGCGGACCGCCGAGTGCCTTTTGTGCTCCTTCACAAGAAGCTCCCGAACAGCTCGCCCATCTCAATCAACTCGTCGCCCATTCAGTTCGACGACCTTGCGACAGAATCGCAAACCTCGTTTCCCCAGCGTCAAAGCCCCCGTGCTAGAGAGACCCAAACACCCCTTGTCGTATCTCAACCAACGAGCCGACCAGTTTTTCTCCGAAGATGGCACCCTCCCTGGAAATTACACTCGAGAGCAACGCGCAGCCATTGAGGCAGCCAAAAAGTTTGATACAATGAAGCACTTGAAGGAATATCGGGGCGGTATGCGTACGGGGCCTTACAAACTCGAATACTTTGACGATCTCACCCAAATCGACCCGGTCATTGACAAACCCGTACGCAATCCAATGGCCAATATCGACGACAACCAGAGGATGAAAGAGGACGAAGATTTCGCCGACGATTTTCTCGAACAAGCCATGCAATCACACCAAATGATCAATGTGCGAGACGAGAGTGGCAATGAGTATTTGGACGATGAGGTCGCCGATGATGCGTGGAACAAGTTTGACCAAGGCATGAGGATGACCACCGGTCGACCCGAGGCCGAACTCGCACCACCTTCTGCGCTGGCCCCTGATCTACCCTTGCTCAGCCCATCCAACCTAAAACAAAAATCATCCTCTAAAAATTCCGACTCTGCAGGGCAAGATAAGCAAGCAGTAAGCCCGGAACTGATCACGCTGTTGCAAATGACGGGCTTGACCCCCAAACAATTTGCCGGCATCCGGGTGAGAAGTCTCATCCAGCACAGAGTTGTCAACCAAACACGATTGGGCAAAATTCAACGCATATACACACTTGCAGTGGCAGGAAATGGAAACGGTCTGATCGGAATTGGTGAGGCCAAGTCTGCTGAAGCGTCCGACGCCAGAATTCAGAGTCAATATCGAGCGATTCGAAACATGCAGCCGATATTACGATACGAGAACCGGACCATTTTTGGCCAAGTCAAGGCCAAGGTCTCCGCGACGGAGCTCGAACTCTCCCCCAGACCCCCAGGTAGGTCACGATGTCCACAAACTATTTACTCCTGTGGCTAACATGTATCTTGTAGGATTTGGACTTCGGTGCCAGCAATACATTTGGGAAATTTGCAAATGCGCCGGCATTGCCGATATTTCGGCCAAGGTGCGTCGAGCCAGGAATCCCATGAACATGGTCAAGGCGGCAGTCCAGGCATTGGCCAGCCAGAAAGACCCAGAGGACATCGCTCGTGGGAGGGGGAAGAAGTTGGTGGATGTTCGAAAGGTGTACTATGCCGGGCGCACATAGATTGTACAACATATATCGTGGGTCGTTGGTGAATATGACCTTTGTTCCAAACAACTTTTTCCTCGTGGCCTGTCGTTGCCGTGTCTGATGTGGATCTTGTTTGCGATCGTGACTTGTCCCGCCATTCTCGAGCACAGATGTTGGCTCTTTGACGTGAAAAGTTGTTGGAGAGAGTAGCGCGTTGTCGACTGCTCCGATGTCTCCCATATTATCAAGTTCCCATATAATGGAATTGATCTATTGCTGTCACGCTCCGTCTGGATGATTGCCTTCATCGTCGCCAGTGAATGCACTGCCCTCGTCTCCTTCCATCTGGCCCTGCTGAAGCACAATGCTATAGACACTGGCTTTCATCAGAGTGTACACACTGGCCACCTTCCTCTCAAGCAGTCGCAAGCCCTCGGCAATCTCGAGAGTCATGGGACCTCCAGAGAGGGATGCTAGTGTAGATGATAGCTATTTGTATGCACAAGTCAGTCACATCTCACAAGAAATATTCAGTCGAATTACATGGCCACAGAGTCCGGCCATAACTGACTCCTTGCTTTGGTTCTGCACTTACCTCATTCATATTGTTCAGTAGTCGCTGATATTCATCAAGAACCTCCTGTTCCAGGGGAGACACTCCGGAAGAGGCTTGAGCGGTCAGACTCAGCAGTGGATTTCTGCCATCGTTGTAGACGGTGCTTTCATCCATTTTGGATCAGATACGATGGTTATATTCTATTAAGCTGAGATGCTACGAGGTTGAGGAAATCTGGTGTCGTCGCGATATGATCTTGAAGCGCGTGTGGCCACGTGTGATCACGTGTGATTTGATTGCAAAATTCAGGGGTTCAATGTATTTATGCTCCGCATGATAAATTGCACTCAAAATGGTCAACACTTTGCTGGACTTTTGTCGGTTCTGGTGAACGATTTCTACATCGTTTGCCAGCAAAAAAATGGAACCAAACGCCAGGAAGGCAGGCCAGGTCTCAGTCGAAAATGAAACATCAACCGTGCCGATAACCGATCACCTCAGTGTCATGACCTTCCACGAAAGGGAGAGTGTTTTGTCATCGCTCGATGCCATAATTGTGCAACATCCGAGTCTAGGGCTTCTTGCTAGCGGAGCCTTTCCCCGCACGCCGTCGCCAGTTTTCATATCTTGTCCCAATGACGATGACGGATACTGATCAGACTAACTCGGCTATTGACTGGGAATCGGTGCTTTTGATACCCCAAATCCGGTCAGTCCGAGGTTGGGTGAGGTCTATCCACAGACATGTATTTCCATCATCTCGAAGATTAGCTTCACCTTTCGGTGAACGCGACAAGGTACGTGAGATTTGAATTCTTCCATTTGCTTGCTTGTGGTGTGTTGCCGCGTCTCTCCCCATGGCGTTGATTTCAGGACTTGCAACGGCTGCTGTGGCCGCGGCCACAGGCATGTACCTGGATGCCAAATACTCCATTAGCAGCGATGTAGCCCAAGTTGTCGGCGGTAAGATGATGCAGAAATACGCTCTAGAGATGGCCAAGAAGCACGGAGAAGATGACTGGTCCTTCTATCACGTTCTTCATTGTTCGTACGACGACAATCACCATACCAACAAGGAGGCATTTGTTTTTGAAGGACGAAGCTGGACATATCGCCAACTTCGAGAGGAAATTGGACGCGTGGCCGAGGCTCTGCAACGTCTAGGAGTGAAGAATCGAAGCGTCGTTGCCTTGTTCATCAACAACTCTCCCGAATTTCTTATGGTCTGGTTCGCCTTGTACAAGATCGGAGCCATCCCTGCCCCGGTCAACACTGCGGTGACCGGAGAACATATCCGACATTGTGTCAAGATCAGCGAGGCAGAGTTGTTCATCACCACGTACGAGTTATGCGGGACTGCAGGAAAAGCCCTCGACAATCCAGGCGTTGGGGATTTGCGTCGGCTGCGTCAAGTGGTGGTTTATGACTACAATTCATATGCACCCAGCGCCGAGCTACCATCAGATATTTTATTGATCAGACAAGACGACCTGCCGCCCACAACACCAGAGATGGGAGACTTTCCCAAATCCAAGAGACCAAAGATTACTCCCACTGATGCATCGCAATATCTCTTCACGTCTGGCACTACTGGCATGCCCAAAGCATTGAATTGGCCGGCAGGTTACTCTTTCCTAACCACGTTCTACAAGAGGTGGCCTGGGATGCAAGCTAAATATCGACGTTTTTACATCTGCTTACCCATGTTCCATGGAACGGCGACTTTTGCAGCACTCCCAGCGACTTTTGCATCCTCCGGGACGGTGATCCTGGCACGCAAGTTTTCTCGAAGTCAATTCTGGTACGACATCCGGACCTACAAGGCCAATGCCATCCTTTACATTGGCGAAATGTTTCGATATTTGGTACAATCACCGCCGGATTCACGGTACCCCAACGAAAAGGACCACGATGTGGATCTGGCGTTTGGCCTCGGACTGGCGCCGAAGGTGTGGCGTGGGGTTCGAGAGCGATTTGGGATTGAATGGATCGTCGAGTATTACTCGGCCAGCGAGGCCACAGTGTCACTGATCAATTCGAATAAGAATGATTTCGGAGTCGGCAAAGTGGCCCGGTGGGGACCAATCATGCAGAATCGATACCTGGGGCAAGACACTCTGTATATTGTGAAGACGGATTTGGAGAGTGGAGAGCTGATCCGGGATCCCAAGACGGGTTTCTGCATCAAATGCAAATATGGAGAGATTGGCGAGTCGATATGTCGTATTCTCCCACCAATTCAACGAAGACACGACTACGTTGGAGAGGGCGGCGTGGAGGCTACGCAGAAGAAGGTATTGACGAATGTCTTCCAAAAAGGAGATGAGTTTTTCCGGATAGGGGACGCTCTGATGATGGTAAGTGACCATGAGTGAAGATCCAAAAGCGAGCAGGACTGATAAGTGGTGCCGCGTTTATAGGATCACGATGGATTCATCTCGTTCCACGACCGCCTTGGAGATACATACCGTGCCAAAGGTCACAACATCTCAACCACAGAAGTCGAAGGCTGGTTGAGCAACCACGAACAGATCACTAGTGTCAATGTATACGCCATCGCCATGAATCGATATGGATACGATGGGCAATTGGGCTGTGCCGCGATTACATTGGGAGACAACAGCTCTCCGAATGAAGCGAGCGCTGTGGAACGCAACACCATGGCTCAGTTGGAGAAATGGCTTCTGGAATCAAAAAGTGCACTTCCATCGTACGCAGTACCCCGATTTGTGAGGGTATTGGTCAACGAGGGACCTGCGCTGGATCAAGGAGGCAGCTCTGGCGACAGCGGCAGCGAAAGGGTCTCAGTGATTATGAAGAAACTGAAGACTGGCCTACGAAAAGATGGTGAGTGCCTATGCTTGGAGAACTCGTTACTCAAATATGGCACCGATATACTGACTTGGAATTCTCTCCTACAGGCTTTGTCATACCGAAAGGGAACGGGGATAGAATGTATTGGATAGAAAAAGAAGGGTCTGGATATGTTCCCTTGACTGAGGCCGCGATACAGAATTTGTTGTCGGGCAAGGCGACCTTGTGAAGAAGATATGAGGGGAGGATAGGAGACGTCGTGTAGGCTCTGACAGGCCTTTTGGCCATAGGGCTGTAGGAATACAAAGTGGTAGTTTGGCTTAAGTAGAATACATACATACATACTACCTATATACATAGGCTACTCAGGTGGCTGAATACCTTACCTAGGTACATCATCTTAGGCGGTAGCTAAAGTCTGCAGGCATTCCCCCGTCCCTCGGCCTTTTACCCAGGCAAGAACTGAATGGATATCTTCCAGACTGCGACTTCCCTGTAGCGGGCTGCAAGCCACTCGGTGAGGCTGAATGAGGCTGAAGAGTGAAAACAGAAGGAAGTATCCAACCGTCAAGGGTCTTTCTCTCTATCACCGCCTTGGCTTGCCGCCGCACCTTTTTTATTTTGTCTTCCTTGCGTTGACACAATCGTTCACGTCAACAATTACGAGGTTTCACGCTCCAGACTTCAGCCTCCAAGCCTCCACGCGACCTTATCGATTCCACCAGGTTTCTTGGGCCGAGGGGCCCCTCGGCCTTGCTCCACACTTCCCCTGCCGCCTCACTATCCTAGTCCTCGGTCCTGGCGTGCCTGGCCATGATTTCCATCATCGATTGACGAGATTCGTCGTACTGAACATGGAGATTTTTGACTCAAATTCCTTGATCGAATATCTTGGTACTTTTAAATTACTTCTGATGGAACACGTGGATCCACCTACTCTGGTGCCATTGGCGAACTTGGGAGCTCACGACCATCGCAGTCAAGAATCCATCCGTACAACCTTTGCCCATATTACAACAATTCAGTCTCTCAGAGCCTGACACACCTGGTCACAATTGTCTCAGTGCATTAATATCCCTCTGCATCTATAACAAGACAATCCAGCTAATCTACAATGCATTCCTAGCTCCGCATACGCAGACGTGCCCTATCATGCAGCTGCAATTCCACCGGTCAGCCACGAGTCCGCCCGGTTTCGTCTTTTCAAACCATTCAAGGCCTCCAGTTGCTTATCTTCCATCAAACCAAGAAGCCAATAACCTCCCCCCGTCCACTATCAGACACCGCGTGCCTTTTCGCCTACCACGACGCCTATTCCGGGTCCTCTCGTCCCTCTTTGCCCTTGCTACGCATTCTTGTCCTCACCAAATCACCGCTATTCCCCCAACTACGCGGACTAATTCTTCTTCCCCGACTTGGGAATTTAGAATCCATCATCCATGCATCAACCATCCCTCCTGCTCCCACACCTGGTTTCTTTCCTTGACCTCTCTCCCACAGCCCAAGCCATGACTCTTTCAACCCCTTCCCTTGACAAAAAATCCATCGAGGCGCATCGAAGCGAGCCTGACTGGGGACCTGTGTCCTCTTCTCGCTACCTCAGCATGGTGGCGTTAAGCCCCCAGCTTTCCAGAGCCAGCCACGCACCCACGCTGAAGCCATATCATCATACTACGATGCAGCCGACACTACTTACATCCCTGGTCTGGCCAGATTCGGCCACAAATCAAGGACCCCTCAGGTTTGCCATACCTGCTAAGGAAGCCATGCCACCGCCGTGCCCGTGTGACGCCTTTTTTTTCCCCACCAGTGTGGTCCATTCTTCAGTCCCAGACACGTAGGACAGACACAACAAGCTACGGAGAACCCATACATTGACTGTTGGCCTCAACTCCGATCTGAACGTGTCTGGTCTCTGTCATTTCACCCTGCCCTGTCTTGTAGCCGGACTGTGACTTCTCTCCAAACGCCACGTGTGATGTTGCTTTTCTCTTATTCTTGAATCACTCTTCGTTTACCCCTCTACAACTGATCTACCTATTGAATTCATGACACTACTTCCAATCGATCTATGAATTGCGAGAAATGCGCCAACCATTCAACGCTGTCGTGCATTTGAAATTTAAGTCTCCGTCGGTGGTCTTGTGCCAAGATCAACATGGACGTTCTATCGGTTGAAGCGTGCGTCCAGGCAGGTAAGTTTGACCCTCAGTATGACACTCAAGAAGACATTCTCCTCAGTCCCCGACTTCCCTGATGCACTGGATCTCCTACTAACATCCACGTCTAGTCGTATCTGCGTATCGTGACGCCACGAAGCTTGTGCAGCGCCTGAAAGACAAGCAAAGCCATGGTCAGGACTTCATTCTTCCAGATGATCTCACCAAGGAATTTGAGGATTCACTCCAGCTCGGCGGCTTAGCCATTCAATCTCAGTACGACCATGACGTTCGTCGCTTTGGCGAGACTTATGCCCGTGGCGACTCGACTGGAAGAGAGCAAATGAAGGATATTTTAATCACCTTGCAACAAGCCGTCATTTCTCACCTACGTGAAGTCTATATGGATGATGCCGCCCTCAATCTCCATGCCCTCAAGGAAACCTCAGATGACTGTCGAGTCAATGCCACTGTATGTCTGGGTCAGCTGTACCAGCGCATGTCGAGTGCCACTGCCGCCGTCAAGCAAAGCTCCAAACCATACATCGATAGCACCGATCCCTTACAACTACCTCCCTCTTTGGCCTATTCCAGCAGCCGAAGCACCCATTCCTCATTCGGTGGCCAACCATACGACGCCCAATCATCAGCATCATACAACACGTATAGTTCCAAAACCGCCACCGAGTTCAACCGCAAGCCCGCTCCAAGACCGGCTCCTCAGCGACGGATTTCCTTGACGTCGGCCGTTTCCTACTCAAGTGAGATTCGGACGCGTGGTGAGGACAATGTTCTAGCAATCGCGTCACCAATGTCGAGACAAGTCAGCCAAGGACAGGTTTCTTCCAGCAAAACTCAGACGACTCAGGTAGAAGAGGATGATCGGGCATCTCTGCCTTCATCGCCTCCCCCCTATGTTCTAAGCCCCACTATTCAGACGTCGGACGAAAAAGGCCAGAAGTTCCCTCCAAGTTCGACTTTTTACCAACCACCAACAAAGACCGTGGGTACGAATGCAAGTCAGCCGCTGTCGACAAGGGAACTTCGTGGTACTCTAGACCAAAATGCTTCTCTGACAACAAACATCATACAGCCGATCCATGAGTTGGATATCACGTCGCCACCAAATCTCCCACGGCCTGGTTCCGATTCGTCCTCGCCGGGGGCTGCTTTGCAGGCTCAGCCGCGTAGGGTCTCTTTGAATCAAATATACAACACTCAGGAATATGTAGAATCCTTGGATAAGAAGAGTCGACCACCTGCAGAACTCTTGGCATCGCGAGAGTACCAACAATACCTCCAGCAGCTACAGATGCAGCCTCAATATCGAATGGATCCCTTACTGGGCCATGTCCGGCGAAATGAGCATCCCTATAAACATGCGGCAGATCTTCATGACCAGTCGATTCACCAACCAAACGATGTAGAAACTGATCGGCGCATATACAATGATGCCTTGGCCAAGTCACCTCGGCCGTCTGGAGGTTCACTCTTACAATCTTCATTGCCAGGTCAGCATGTGCAACAACAAAATTTGGCCCTCGCTCGACCGAACAAGGATGATGACAACAGTTCGAATTCTCCGACCTCTCCGACAGGGTTGCTTTCTCAGTCCAAGGTAAGTTGCGACGGGTCCAGGGAGTCAGAAGGCTTTGCTAATGATGTCCAGATGGGGCTCTCAAGACCAAGACCTCTGTCAATCCGATCGACAAGCTCGACTTCATCCAAGATAGCATCATTTGCCCTTCGCAAAGGCCTTCCTCCTGGCATTGCCGAAGCCATTCAAAAGCCCACGCCGTCAGCTCATGAACAGGCGATCCACAACCAACCCCGTTACGTGAGGCCCCAGTCTCTCATAGTAGCGCAAGATACCCCCAAAATGGGATCGTCATCCCCTTGGCCTGTTGTTGAAGGTATGCAGAGCCCGTTGGAGGAAGATAATACCCAGATGGAGATCAGACAGCACTCCTCGTTGGAGTCGACAATGAGATTTCCTGGGTTGACATCGTTGCAGATCAGCCGGTCAGAATTAAATCTGCCCAGTGAGTCGAATCTGGCGGGATTCTGCAAAGGTGCGGTGCGACAGCAATTGGGGGCACGGAAAAAAGGGTTTGGAGTGGAACACAAAAAGGGGAGCAAAGGGTTGGAATACTTCATGAAATGCACAAAGTGTAACTTTGAAGGACCGGCATCGGTTTCCAAGGCTCTTCCTAGTGGAGGGAGAGCAGCAGCCAAGGTCGAGAAAACTTACGACAATAAGGTGCGAGTGGCTGAGGGCGGGATCAAATACCGATGGATCTTTCTGGCCAAGAGCCACGTGCTTAATCGGGGCAACGTCAGCGATTTGAAAAACAGCAACGACATCTATGGATGCTACTTCTGCTGCGCCGAGGGGGCAGCCAAGGGCTGGTTTGACAACAGCGTGAATCTGCATCTGGCAACATTGGGGGGATTCGGCGAAGGGACCAAAGCGACGGCCGTGACAACACCAACGTTCAATGGGCTGGATGCCTTTATGGAGCATCTGGTCAGTCACCGACTGCCTGGACGAAGGCCTGGATTGATTGTGGCCAACGAGATGAACTGTATAATTGGAAGGACGGCACACGACAGCGAAGATTTCGACCTCAACCTACCGGCTTTGACAAGCTGATGAGGAGGGCTGACGATGATTATTGGCGAGGTGTACTAGATCAGGATGAGCAATCACAGCAATGTAGACAATCATTTGAGAGATGTCACGTGAATTTACAGCAGAAAGGATAACGTTGTAGATTGGATTGAAGGCATAGCAGCCGCCTGTGTCTGTAGGCAAAAGATAGATACGTGGTGTAGGTGGGAGGTCTGGCTATGAGGACCTCGCCCAATTAGAAACCCCATCGCCCGTCGCGTCGCGTTCCCCAGACTGCTCAAATTAAATTACTCCATACAGTGGGCTCACACGCGCACTCGCGAAATGACGCATTAGGACTAGAGGCAGAATGCATAATTTGGAGATATGCCGATTTATGTGTACATCCCAGCCATAATCTCGACTCGTTGTGCAACTGCAACCTCGACATTCAGAACAAATAATTAATAAAATGTGACCAAATGAAGACTCGTTTATGCAGTAGAGCACGTGCACCTCTCGAGTGAGAAGTTCTCAGTCAGGTGAGATTCAGAATCAATCAATCAATCCTTGACGAACAGACCAATAGCTCGTATTCGAGCTCTAGTCACAACGAATGAATCCGCTAGCTTCCGGACACTCCACAGGGTATCACTAGCCTGACCTTGGTAAAGGGTGGACTTTTAATTATGTGTGGTTGGTGGCCGTGAAGACCTTCTGAGCCTATAACAGGCCATAAAGATACGGCTGGTGGCCCTGTCAGGCGGCACCTTCGGCTGCTGACTACGTGAACGTATATTACAATTTCTCGTCCGCGGGCACTGCGGGCCATGACATTGACAAGCACACAAGAATCCATCGTGCCATCCCATCACCAGCTTCACTGCCAACCACCCATCCTGCCAATTATTGTCGATCCCCCAGCTATCAGATTCAGAATCTTCTGTGCCTCTGAAGGATTCGCACTTCTAAGCTTCCCTCAGAACCTCATCTCAGCATCTTCTGATCCTTCATAAGACATCCTCTTTTCCATCGCGTCGCACAAAACCCAGCCAACCGCTTTCATCTTCATCCGGCCCTCCGCCCCAGTGCACATCTACCACCGTTCTCACATCTCTCTTCATCATCTCCATCGCATATCTCTCGACAATCTGCCCCCACTGAGACTCATTTGTCATAGTTGGTTGGCTGGTCAGCTTCACTCCACTCATCGATTCAATCGTCTTTATATCACGCGGTTCAATCCGGAATCATCTTATCTCTTTGCACTTTCAAGGCCCTCTTTGCGCGTTCAAGGGGGCCGACAACGTTGGCCCGACCACTCTCGACCAGGTCACGGTGAGGCCTCGTCTGCAAGAATGATCCACCAAAGCCGGATGATTCCCTCAACACCTCCTACGATGGCGACCAATTTCTACTCCTCCTCGGTCGAACCATTTCCTCTGTTCATCGACTCCGCTCCTCCCAATTCCGCAAACTACTTTTCTTCTCCCATCGCCATGGCGGCCATCCAGCTCCTCGCCGCCAAAAGCCCCCATCCTCCTAATCGATCCAGACTAAGCATCTCCATCCCACCGAGGATAACTAATTATGTCCGCCTTCGTTACTACCAATACGAAGTCACCTTTGGACTTTACATGTTGACTCGGCGCGAAAAGCTCATCTTCAACACCATGCTTCTTTCTATTCTCGCCGCCATCCTGTACACGCTCTGCTGGGGCTTACAAGATTTTCTCATCAGCTGCCTTTGCAAGCTCATTTATTACGTCTACGGTTCCTTCTCCAACGCTCCCGAAATATGTTCACAACAAGGTTTGACCAATTTGAATGCTACATGATGTCATGACAGCACCTTGTCGGTCACTCCGACTCTACCGTCCGGGAACAAAGGAACTTCCTGAGTCAGGATCCAAAGAATCAAGATCGTCCTCGAATGGAAACGACTTATCGTCTTGCGATGAGATATAACGATCGTTCATCGTCGTCTGAGACACAAGACTTGAGGCTGGGTTGAATACAACCAGAAGGGCATCAGACCCACCCACCATCGTTGCCAAAGCCACCGATTGATGTGTTGTATGTGAATTATGGAGGATTTAACTCTGAGAGGATCAAAGGATCTACAGGTCCGGTCAAAGGAAGCCAGACCAACGAAGCAAGATCCATGGATTATCATGGATTGATGAATTATTTATAAGCCAGCGCTTTATTTTGCCAATGATGTATCAAATGAAGATAATTACTATTGTATTATGCTTCTCAAGCGAGTGACATGCTATCGATGGTTCCTTGAAGCGGTTAATCCGCCTGATGATCAGACGAAAGGTGTGGAATATGAAAAGTCACGTGTATGGCCAACCACAGTCAGACCGTCACGTGAATTACCAAGATTGTTACTCTGCGCGTACCCAGAAGAAGTAGAGATGAACGAGTTCGAACCCCGAGTCCAAACCTCCGTGTCAGCACTAAATACGAAGATATGTATAGAAGTCGGATCGTCATGACAGATGCCTATCATGAAGAAACTCAGTCACCGTACCTTTACATTCCCAACTCACATGCCGGCTATGCTCCAATGAGGCTCTCTCTCATACAGACATGATTACCTTATGGTTGCGGACGGCACGGGAAGCCATGGATGCCTGTGCGGTGGTGTTTCAGCCTGAGTGGCTGACCAGAGTCTTCTCAGTGAATGATGGTCCTTCCACGTCCTCCTTGACACGGACGACACGTTGAAGAGTACGAGTAGACGAACACAGATGCCACAGTCTCCAATGGACATGGCGCCACAGCCAGCAAAAAAGAAAGCAAGGGGGACATGATGAACAGCAAAGGGGCCGATGCTTGACTTGGAGCTACTCCGTACTCCGTACACGACCTGGGACTTTATTTTAAGGAGGATGAGCCATGGCCTAGCATCGCCTAATGCAGGTACCAACCGCTTGAGCCAGTCAGAAGCTCCCTTCACGGTTGAATGGGGCTGAAGCGTTGCGGATGAGCGACCGCGCCTTGCTACTTTCTCTGTTGTGAGACACGCCCAGCGCCGCCTAAGACGCCTTGAATTTGCCGCCTTGGGAGTTGGGGTCTCGGGCAGCGAGGCTCTAGGGGTAAAAGAGACCTGAAGAGCCCCTAAAAGAATACCGGCCAGGCATCAAGGCACCAAGACTCGTGTTTGTTAGGTGCTGAGTGGTGCTGGAGATGGTGAATGTCACCTTTTAGTACCTGATGATTGCTCTGTAGCCAAAGTCTAAGCCACGTCAATCCAGCCGATTCAAGCACCTGAGCACCTTAACTTGAACTTACAGACAAAGAAGAGCCACCAAACCGCGCCACCTCGAGGCCTCGAGGCCCCAATGCTGTTGATGCTGCATGCACCAAAATATGCCAACTTGTATGCGTAAATGTACACGTAACACACACAACACAACACGACACGACACGTTCCCATAATCCCATTCACTCAGCTCCTAAATCAGCCTCTTTTAACAAGAACCAACCCTTCCAGAATCTATCAACTCCCAGTTATCCCACCCATTATCATTACAGTCGTACTCAGGAATTCAAACAAAGACACCTGAAACACCTTTGCAATCTGATCGGCTGTTGTTTGACACCTGCCAAACCGTCTTTGCACCTTTCCGCGGGGGTGTCAAGTTTCTAAACCAGTCATCATTCATCAATCAACAGTGATCAGCCAAGGGACCAACCCACCCTCGTCTCCTCACTCCTCACTCCTCCTTCTCACCCTGTCCAGCCTGTTCACCCTACTCATCTCATCTCAGTTCACCTCCCCTACGGTCCCAACGATCCATTCGTTTCTCGATCCCCTCAACTCGATCTCGAGTCACTCAAGAATGATCACCCTCTCTTGAGACAACGACTCTCCACACTCTTTTGGCCCCGTTTTGTTTGTCGTTTGTTGTCTTCCAAGGTACAGGCGACCTCACACTCGTTGGAAATCCATCTTCTACATACCGTTACCATCACCTCCTACACCACAAGCCCCTTCCATCTTTCTTCCTCTCAAAATGTCGGCAAATGATTATTATACCGCGCAGCCTGCGAATCCATACAGTCGACCTCAGTACCTTCCAGACACCCAAAACCAACAACTGTCTGCTCCCGACCGATACAATCCTTCGTACAGCGCTTCTTCTTTGGATCAATCCAATTCGCATCTTCCTTCAGCTGCCGACTCTCGGCCACACCATTATGACCGCAATGACTCTAATTCATATGCACCATACAATGCACCAATCCCTTTGAAACAACAACAAAGCCTCAATACCAATCAAGATGACTGGCGATTGCACGCCAACCAATATCCCCCTTCTCCAGAATCCCAGGGCCCTGTTCCTCCGTTAATTCAACCACATAAATCCAAGAAAAAGAAGGGTTTCTTCTCCGGCAAGATCCCATGGGTGGTGTACATCGTGAGCCTCGTGCAGATCACCGTTTTCATTGTCGAGATCATCAAGAACTGTAAGTTAAAGCGACCCTTCTGATATCCCAGAACTAACCAACACATCCAGCCATCATCACCGGATCTCCCATCATGATCAAGCCACAATTTAATCCAATGATCGGTCCATCGACCTATGTCCAGATCAACATGGGTGCTCGCTTTGTCCCCTGCATGAGAAGAGTCCCGGGTGTACAAGATGCCACGGAACCAATCAATTGGCCATGTCCAAATACCACCACTTCAGATCCCAACGATCCAAGCAACCAGTGTACCTTGGCTGAACTATGTGGCTTCTCTGGCTTCAACGAAGAACATCCCAACCAATGGTTCCGATTCATTGTGCCCATGTTTCTACATGCTGGGCTCATTCATATTGCCTTCAACCTGGTCTTACAATTCACCCTGGGCCGCGAAATGGAGAAGTCTATCGGTAGTATCCGTTTCGCCTTGATCTACTTTAGTTCAGGGATTTTCGGTTTTGTCCTTGGTGGCAACTTTGCCGCGACCGCTATTGCTTCGACTGGCGCATCTGGTTGTTTATTTGGAATCCTGGCACTCGTCCTTCTCGATCTAATTTACACCTGGAATGAACGACGAAGTCCGGTCAAAGATTTGATGTGGATTCTCGTCGACATCATCATTTCTTTTGTCCTGGGCCTGTTACCCGGTCTAGACAATTTCTCACATATTGGTGGATTCTTGATGGGGCTAGGAATGGGGGTTTGTCTACTACATTCGCCAAACATTCTTCGCGAACGTATTGGAGAGACGAAGAACATGCCCTACAACAACATGGGCTCAGATCCTGATCTGACCAATCCCAAGGCCAGCTTGATCTCTGGCCCACAACAGCCCACTGCAAAGCCAGCCGACATGGGAGCTTTTGCTAGACAGCCAGTCAACTTTTTCAAAGGTCGCAAGCCTCTCTGGTGGGCATGGTGGTTGTTGAGAGCCGGAGCACTGATTGGTGTTCTCGTGGGCTTTATCGTCCTTTTGAACAACTTTTACAAATATCACGATACATGTTCTTGGTGCAAGTACTTGAGTTGCTTGCCGGTGAATGGATGGTGTGAATTGGGTAATCTCACTTTTGATCAGAGTGATTCCAACTCGAGCAACAAGAAGAGAGCGTTGATGGAGTTGGGTTCGATTATGGCACCGGGATTGAAGTCACACTGATTATCAGTTTATGGACAAATCAGTGCGATATTCCATAAGTTGTCGGGTGGACAAGAGCCCGAGGGCCTCCTTTCAGTGACCTAGATGGTCATGATACAAAATAATGACACAACACAAAAATTGCATATACAGCAATTGTTAGTCCTAGTCGAACAAACATAATGACAATCAGGCGTTGGGTACGAGTACTCGAGCATTTGGAACAATTTACTTGGTTGATTAATGGTCTTGCAGATAGTGCTGCTGTCCCCGCCCCTCGGCCCCCTTTCCTTGTATCAAAGACTCCGTATGTATATAATCCCCGAACAATCGTCCTTCCTCAGAGGCATTCCTAGTATGGCAGGTGAAAATGGTTCAGAATTTAGCTCTCGTGATGGAGAGACCTCAACTAGGCGCACAGGCAATTAGATCTGTGCTTCGTGTTCTCTTCAAATCTTGTACCAATCTATTCACGGTGTCATGCAAAAGCCGCAGTGTACTTAAGTCGTCACTAGCGCCGCCACTGTCAGACTGTGATAGTATAGCCTCAAGGACCAATTTCGCACTGTTGGCCAAAATCAGAGCTGCAAGCTGACCCGTCTCAACCCGACTAGCCACTGCCATGGCTAGCAATGCACGAACCGAGAGCACTGACGGAGGAGCAAGCAAAACTTGACCTAGAGCTTTGGTTGCGTTGCGATGATACGCAGACGCGATCTCGGATAACCGCAAAGCAGGCGTGTCGACTGTCTTGGCTCGAATTGCAAGCGCAATCGCTGCGTTGATCAGTACCCATATTGCAGGATTGGACCCTGGATCTTTCGGGCATTCTCGACGTTGTTGATCAAACAAGGCTGTGAGTTCAAGACGGCTCGCGACTACGCTCCGCGGGAGCGAGATTTCTTCGAACGAGGCTTCAATCAAGTGTCTTGCTATATTGTCTGGTAATATTGATGAGTATTCATCCCTAGAACGTGCTTTGTCGAGAGCTGCTTGTACGGTTTCGAGGTTGCTTTTAAACGAGTGCGGTGCCAGAAATGCGGGAAGTTTGGCAATCAAAAGGTCCTTGCCCAACTCTGTCGATTTGATACACAATGGTTCGCAACGACTTGCCGTGGACAAAGAAGACTGCACCAGAGGCAGAGGGATCATTTGATCAGCCTTGCCATGCCTTCCCCTGGTAATGATCCTCGTTAGGTGGTTTTCTTTTTTTCAAATCTTGGTGTGTTACGAATGAATAGGTACCTTTCCTAACTTTGATGGGTAGATTGGTCGACTTACTTTTTGCCTGCGCCACGAAGACGTCGGACTGCTGAATATGTACAATCCGCACGCTGCATGGCACAAAGACTACATTTTGGTCGATCACCATTGCATTTCTTCTTGCGAAGCTTGCACCTGTCGCACGCCTGTAGCGAGGCTCAGTCAGTGGTCAATTGTGAGTGGCGAGAACAAACCCACTATATAGGCTTTTGCCCAACGCGATTCATCTGACATTATCTGTACTGTTCTACATCGAAGCAATGCGATTTTCAGTGTCCGAGCGATTCGACGAAGCTGTTGGGTAAAGAGACGTTGGCGGAAGCAATCTACATAAAGAGGCTCACGTCGGAAACAAATATTCGCGGAGGGGTGGAGCACATTAATAATTCGACGGAGGCAAATTCGCCAATCAGTTATCATCGGCGTTAACTCCGTAACATCTGTTAATCCATTTCTATGATAATGTCGTGAAATTGCACTCAGCATTGTAGAGATTGCTTACTGTCGCCGAAACATTTGCTTCCGTCGGGTTTCTGGGTTGCACCGATGGGAGATGTTCAGATCAAAATTGTGATAGATGAGACCACGTCTGCTCTTATTTAAAGAGCAAACGTGTGAATGTCGTGTAGACAGCTTCCATTAATCGACTACTTCAGTTAACCTTATGTTCGTTCAAGGCAGACTTTGAACCAAAGTTACTAGTATTGTCTAGTCATTTTGACTTTATAAGTCGTCTATATAACTTATCGCTCGCGAACCATTCAACGCTTCCACGCACGCCGATATGTCTGTTTCAGGAAATCCGGAAACATACGTCCACTCGATTGCAGAGCTCAGACAATATCTTCCGGACTCGGGAACCAATTTCTTATGGGGGATCACCGGCGTCTTCCTGCTTGTGTTTGTGAGTTTAGTAGGATCTCTCCCGAGTCAAAGATTTTTTGGTTTTGACCATGTTTTTACAGCTCATCGTCCTGATATTCTGTTTCACCGCTCCCGAAAGTGATCGAGTATTCCACTATCTCTATGTAATTTGCCTCCTGGTTGGAGCCGTCACATACTTTGCTCAGGCTTCCAACTACGGATGGGTGATAGTCGGTTCTTTGGACGAGACGTCGAGCCAATACAGTCGATCGCAACTCCTTTTCTGGGCCAAATACGTCTATTGGACTGTTGCCTGGCCCTCTGTCTCGCTGAGCCTTGGCCTCCTGTCCGGTTTGTCCTGGGTAACTATGCTCACCAACTTGGCCACCTCGTGGATCTGGGTCATCTGCTATCTGGCTGGAGCTTTTGTTCAAGACAACTACAAATGGGGCTTTTTCGCTTTCGGGACTTTTTCCTGGCTTATTTTGACCATGAGTACCCTCAATGAAGGGCGCGAAGCTGCCCAGCGGGGAGGCATTCAACGTGACTACTTGCTACTGGCTTCCTGGTCAAGCTTGATATGGGTCTGCTATCCGGTAGCATACGCTCTATCTGACGCCAGCAGTACCTTGGACACTCTGGGCGGTGTTATCTTCTTTGGAGTCCTTGATGTCCTGATGGTTCCTGTCTTGTCTCTCGCTTTTCTCACACTCGGCAGAGGATGGAATTTCCAGAAGTTGCACTTGGCAGTCAGCGCGGAGCGGTACAACCAGGAGCGGAATCAGCTGAATGATGACTCAAAGACACCTGGACTTGGCGGGTTAAGGAGCTCAACAACTTGAGGCAAGAGAGGATGTCTTTTTGCAAACGTCAAATGAGGAATGAGCGACCTCGTTGCGATGCATAAAACTCAGACTATGGGGGTTTTGGTCTTTCTACGACGCTGGCGATGAGGCCAGATCAAATTTGCACCCCAAGGCTCTTACACCACACTGGAAACCATGATCAATCTGCAACTACGAACTCTGGCGCGCTCTGCTTTGGCAAGCCAGAGACCCACCGTACCTGCAGACTGTGTATAGATAGGGCTCGAAGACAAGCCTCGGTGTTTCTAATAATAATAATTTCAGAGCAGTAACTAGGTACCTAGCCACGTCACATTCTGGAGAGTTTCGCTTCTCCAGTAGTCCTGAACGAAAATGGTAAGGGATAAAGTGTGATTCATAAGAGACTTGGCCATTCTAAGAGATAGCTGGCGAGTTGTCTGTCTATATACTGTGAGGAGACCTACGGAGTAGTGGCTCTAAGGCGCTAAGTAGGCCGGCGGAGATGTCCTCTAGCCTGAAGGCCCCCTGGCCTTGAACCAGCGGTCTTTATAAAAGCTCGGCGCCCTGGAATCTCAAAAGTACAGTTCGGGTTATACAATATATGTATATATACAAATCCTCATCAATAACAAGATACATCCACTACCATATCAATACACATCATGTCCTACCCTCTACATACCCAACACACCATTCCCGCCCGCTCAGGCATTGCCGTGCAATTACAAATCAACCAAACCATCAAAGTCATCAACACACATGGCTCACAAGTCATTGATTTCTGGGCCTTGACTACTAGTACTATCCCTGAATCACCAGCGTCGTCAACCGAAGATGGAAATGAAACTCATATTCTTATCCCCCCATCCTATCTCTCCATGAGCCACACTCGAGGCACCACACTCCATTTATCCCCCCTTGTCGGCGATACACTCGTTACCAACCACCGAAGTCCAATCTTGACATTAATCGAAGATTCCACCCCTGGTGTTCACGATACTTTGATCGCAGCATGTGATATTCATCGATATCGTCAATTAGGTGTTCCCGAGGATGTGTATCATGATAATTGTGTGGATAATTTCAGAAAGGCGGTTTCGACGTCAACATACTCCTGGCCAGCTATGCAAACTCCTCCGGATCCCTTGAATCTATTCATGAATATTCCTGTTGATGGAAGGGGTTCTTCGGAGAATGATGATGAGAATGTCACAGCAGGTGCAAATATTCGATTTGAGAAACCGGTTTGCAAAAAAGGGGATTATGTCGTTTTCAAAGCGCTGACTACTTGTTTGGTGGTCATGTCCGCGTGTCCGCAGGATTTGGTCAAGGTTAATGATATGATGCCGACGGAGGCGCATTTTGTGGTTAGTTAGTTAATTAGTTAGATGGGTCAGGATTATCATTTCAATCATTAAAGAGGTTCCTAAGTACCTAGTATATCTTTCCGGTCATGTCATCTGCTCATGTATTGCAGATGTGCAAGACACCCCAACCATAATCGTGAATACCTAAGACAAACATGATAACCCCCCGTCAACACTGCAGGTCTGACGGATCAACACTGCTGATAATAAACATTATACCCCGCCGCCAAAGAAACAAGATGTTTATCCTTCTTGTTATTATCCACCATGATAATATTCGGTTGACCTCTCGAATCCGCCCACAAGAACGGCGACTTATAGGGAACATTGTTGCCGCTTTCAGCCAGATGATTATTGAGGATGTTTGCACGAGTGGTGATATGATCCAGCGGATTGACATTATTGCCGCCATACATGGTGATAGTCCAAGAAAGAAGAAAGATTTCATCGTCCTGTCTGTTCTGATTGAATGACTGTAGTTTGTTGTACTGGTCGCGACGAATGACGTCCAATCTGTCGTCGTCGGCGTTGGTGCCTCGTAGTGGAAATGCCGTCTTATCGAAGAATCCTCGTGTCGTATATCCCTTGTCACTGAGGAATGATTTGGATACTTCGTCGACAACGACCACCACGGCGGGGCCGGATGAGATGAATGTCTTTAATGTGATTCGAGTCAATACCGCGTCGCTGTCTGCTTTGTATAGGTAGTTTAAGTTGCTGTACAGCTTGTACAGCAGTGATTCCCATTCCCCTTGGTCGAATGGCGAATAGTCTGTGTCTGTGTTGGCTGAATGACTGAGGTGTAGGATGATTAATTCGGCGTTGGACTTTGTGAATTCATTGACTTCGTCGATCATTTCATCAATTGATTCTCCTGCCGATCCTTGCCAACCAAAATCATCTGTTTTGGTGTAGTGACCTGTGTAGTAGCCCGCGTGTGAGATTACCGGTCGGATGTCCAAGTACCTTGCCCCGGCCTTTAGTTGTTCCAGAATGTTGGTTTCTTGTGTCATTGTATTGGATGCCCATGATCCGGCCGTGCTGTATCGTACTCGAGACATGCCTGAGTTGTGCGTCCCAGGGAGCTAAACATTACCAGCGTGGAGGGTTAGTTCAATACTTAGTGTACAATGAAGATAGAAACAAGGAAAGAAAAAAACGGGTTCACCGACGACGAGGGAAATGACTTTGTGTGTCTTACAGTCAATCTTTGCAAAGTCCGACATCCAACATATGGGAGAATGTTTTGCATCCACGCCTGAGGCGGATTGTTGCCTATATATCCCTTGTCCTTGTCACCAGCCAGAATAAACGGCGTCCAAGTTTGTGGATCTTCATTGCCATTGTCTCGGAAGCCAATTGGGGCCGATTTCGGGTTGCCGAGGGTGCTGATTCCGTCGAAATTCGCATCGAGGTGGATATTGTACGAAGTAATGCTGCCTGAAACTTTCAGTGCAATCTGGATCTGATTGTTGGTACCGTCGTCTAATTGGTAATATGCCTCTCCTGCGTCATCGGCTTCTTCCAAAAACACTCCCACTGACAGCTGGATGTGCGCACTTCGAAGTGCATCTGACCGGATCAATCAATCATTGAACAGCTCAACTTCCTCGGTCTCAGCCGGACCCCCGCCTGCTGTTTCGACTTACGCGAATTGACCCTTTCTGGGAACGCATTGTCCCAAGACTCCATCTGATATGAGTGAGGTTTTTTGGACTGGATCAAGGCATATGGTGTGAGGTTGATGATTACTAGGTTGGTGGCATCCCCGATGCATGGTGTGAACAGCCACGCCCATAGGACCAACAAGAAATGGACACGCTTTGCCCACATGATTCCTACCTCAGCCTGAATGATGGTAAAATTGTAATAATCACAAAACCTGATGATTGCGAGGGTGGGCCGTCCCAAGGCTATATATACTTACTGTATGCTTCCACCCATGGTTCATCTGAACTTGTTGCCGTAAAAGGGAGACGCCGTCTTCAACGGTCGAGGCATTAGCTGAGCCCCTCAAAGGCGTGTGTAACGCAGGCTGCAGCAGCATGGCTAGTTGCGTCCTGGTTTGGTGTTGATAGACAAATGAATACGAAAGGCTACATTCGTTGCTTCGCTTTGCAGGGCGTATACCGAGGTGAAGGCCGTAGTTGCAGACCGAATAATCATCTTCGTGGGATCTTCTGGCCCCAATATAATGGAGGCTCGGTTCTGACAGTCTCAAGCACGAGCATTCCAGCATCAGGGAAGAGATTCGTCAGGGCAATGCATCTTGGGCATCTACCAAGCACCGTAGAAGAGGGGAAGACAGCCAGCGTATTCTAGGCGGGGAAAAGAAACCCCCCCGAAGGCTCACGCCACCAACTTGATCAACTCTGCGTAGGGAAATCGTGCGCCCGACTGTCATTGTGGCCCTTGCTTCGCTTGGACGTAGAGCTTTTTGGGGTTTACTAAGTGCAGTATACTACTGCACCTGTAGATCATAGGGTTGAATACACCAATAAATTCAAGTGATCGAGAGAGACTTTGACGGTTGGGGTCTGAAAGAAAAGTACAAAACATGCAAATGCTGCCCGAGCTCATGCATTGGCGTCACTAGCAACTGGACTCGATGAAGCCTTATTCAGCATTGTTACCTTAGTTTGGCCAATGAAAAACAGATGGGAAGTAGTGTCTCGCTTGATGGAGGGGACGTGGGCATCAGATGAGTTCAGCCTTACCACGACCAGGCAAAATCTTGAACGTCGAGGGTTGATTCTGATACCGAGGAGTAGCCTGAAAAGAGCTGGGAGGATTGTTGAATTTAAATTGAGACCAGCAGCAAGACTGGTGAAGGGCTGTCTCGAATAGTGGTTGACAAGAAGTCACAAAGAAGTGTCCGTCAGTGTTCTGATGTGAAGTCCAAATGCCGATCTGGCAAAGGGAGGAGGACTAGAACCTAACATGTTTGGGGGCGAAGGTATCAGTGAGAGCTTCGTATGTGACTAATGCGGTCGAGAAGCCAGACAGTTGATGAATGGATGATATATTCAAGGGTCTGGTTGAGTTGATGTCTTGATGTGACGTTGAGGCTCAAAAAGTCATGTGACTGTGCCACGACTCACGTGACATTATTCCAATACTTCTCCCCCTTGCATCCCAAATCTCTATAAGTGCCGTGATTGAAGGGGTTGGATGTGATCTCAGAGAAATGTAATCGTAGTGCTGGAGAATCTGTCAAGTACTGCTCTGCCTAGGATGCCCATCAACTTCGGTTCTGCATAGTTACATACGCCGAGGTTTTCCATATGTCCCCTCCTTTGCACCCATCTTCAGGCTCGTTGCTTCCTACGCCCACATCCCAGAGTACCAGACACAATATGTCTGACATGACTTAAAAAAAGATCGGCATGATGCAAAAAACGGATTCCCGCACAACCTTTAACTCGCCGTCATCGTCATCGTACCAACAAGCATCCAAGCTGAAACTGACACACCAACTTTATCAAGTTAGAAAAGCCACTCCCCCACGTACTATTCCCAAAGTAGAAAAGTTCAATATCATTGACGATTCCCTGTTCCTTTTCCCAAGGGTCATTTTTACTTCCAACATACTTTGAAACCATCTCGAGGACTGTAATCATATTGTGGAGACGGAAATCTCTGAAGTTTTCTCTTGTACAAACTGCCCCAGGTTTGCTGAGTGTCCAGTCCTCGCAACATGAGCGTCTAATGCAATGCGTCCACGCGGCCTCCCGTTTGATCTGAAGTCATATACAGACGCGTCCGCTATGGCCGCCCCTCCTCCACATACCCCTGGCTCATCTCGATTTTTTCGATTGCTCGAGGATGATGATATTCCTGTCATTGACGCCAAAGAATCTCTCACTGATGTCGTCTTCAAGCTCACCGCCTACATAAGCAAAGCAGTCGACACCGCTTATACCTATGAACAGCTTCGGACTTCTGTGGCTGGACAGACTTTAAGACCCTTGATATCCCGGCTCAGTGACGACTGCCACCATCCTGCCATCGTTGCAGCTCTCCTGGCTGCTCGCTATCTCTTCGCCAATGCAGACGCAGATGGTGACAGCGCATTGAATACGTCCAGAGCTCTGGCATGTGAACTTGTCGCCTGGCAATTCTTGACCTTCCTATCTGAGAAGGAGCTCATCGACTACCTTCTGCACGAGCTTCCAGAATATGAGCAAGAGCCATCTGCTTCACCTGGGGATTCTCTCCGGCCGGCAGACGATGTCTCTCGTCGCCGGCCTTCCTCAACCGAGCGCTCTCCATTGATTCGTGCTCACTCTGCAGAGTATGGCAGTCTTCGCCCACCCAAACGTGCCAGCCTAGACCGAGGAGCTCTTTCAAGCGCAAGCATTGTTAATAGCAACGGTTCTCAACCAAATCTCGACGAGTCAATGGCTGGGATGAATGCTCTTGAAATCGCTGCTATTGGAGATGCAAAGAAATTCCTTTCTCAGACTCAGGTCCAGAAAATCGTCGAGGACATCTGGAACGGCGACGTCATCTTCTGGGAATCCCTTTCCGTCAATGCTGTGAAGAAAGCTCGTGCCTACAACAAACGGGTGTCTGACCCCTTCACACGTCTGCGTGTGCCTAAATACCAGAAGGCCTTCCAAACCGCATTCTTCATATCTCTGTTGGTTCTCTACTACGCGGTCCTCGTCGAGAGAAATCCACAGCACATCACAACCACCGAAATCCTTCTGTATGTCTGGATTGCGGCTTTTGCTTATGACGAATTTGGTGAAATCCAAGATGCTGGATTGATGTTCTATCAAACTGATTTTTGGAGCCTTTGGGACATTGGCATTATTGCAACATCAGCAGCTTTCGTTGTCATGCGTATGTCGGCGGTGAATGGTGTTTCAGATGGATGCTGATGACTTGCAGGCATCATCGGACTCATCAAAGACAGCGATTATCTCATTGACGTCGCCTTTGATCTTTTATCAATGGTCGCCCTGTTTCTAGTCCCAAGGTTGGTGCTATTGCAGTCGATTTGCTTGTACAATTGATTGACCCGTGCAGAATATTTTCAGTCATGAGTCTGAATCCATATTTTGGCAGCCTGGTAGGTTTTGTCAGGTCTTTGATAAGATCCAGCTGACAAGTATTTCCAGATCCCCGTTCTCAAAGAGATGGTATGACCTTACCAATGTTTTGGGAGTACTGTTGACACATACTAGACCAAAGCATTCTGCAAATTCCTGCCCGTGATTGTGGTCCTGTATCTGGGATTCCTGACAACTTTCACAATGCTTGCTCGAGATCGAATGACCCTCAACGACGTGTCTTGGCTCCTGATCAAGGTTTTCTTTGGGTGAGATGATCTAGGTCACAACGTCGATTACCACTGACAGAATGAACAGATCGAGCTATCTTGGCTTTGACATGGCCGTAAAGGTATATCGAGTTCCATATGTCGCAAGCAATGAGGGCTGACCGATGGTAGATATCTCCACTATTTGGATATACTCTGATGTAAGTCCCTGACAAGCCTTTACCACTTTTCAAACCACCTTCATTCCACCCCATGCATCAGAAGGCAGTGGCAATAGTGAAATCGGCATGACAGTCTGCCTCGGCGCTTATGTGGATTCTTGTTGACGGTGGGCCGATATCAGGTTGATTTTTGTCTGCTTGACCAACATTCTTCTCATCACCTCATTGGTGTCACTGGTGTCAAATTCCCTAACAGAGGTATGTTACTCGGCTAAAGGGCGTTTCACGTCTTGTTCAAAGCCACAAAATGCCCGCGGCTAAGCAAACCGCCCCTTTCTCTTAAACGCCCGGGTCTTGGCCGGGACGAGCTCTGATTGGTCAATAGGTCATGGCACACGCACGAGAGGAATATCTTTTCCAGTATTCCATCTACGTACTGGAAAGCAGCACGTCGCGAAGGCTAACGTACTTTATGCCACCGTTGAATCTGTTCCCGCTGACATTGCTGCGGCCGCTACGGTTGTTCTTCCCATCGGAGCAGGTTAGGGGGATTCGGATCTTTGTGCTCAAAGCGACTCACCTTCCATTCGTAATTGTGATATGGGCCTACGAGAGGTCTCGCCGGCTTGTGACTCGATCGAATCCGACGTTGACCAAAGCCCCCCACTTTTCGAGTCGACCTGTGAGCACCAACCAGGTCGGCTTCGAAGGTGGTCAAGATCTGTTCAAGGCTATGTCATCGCGACGGACCCATCACCTCGATCCCTCTCCCACACGAGCCCCTGATGCAGCCGCCTCAACAGCCCATTCTGGTCCGGGAAGTGCCGACAATGCTCAAATGCTGGCTCTCATTCAGAAGTTGAGTGCCCAGGTTGACTCGTTGACTGCAATGGTTGCTGGTCAGCACAAGGATTGATGAGAATCCTCGAGAAGTCACAACCATGTCCAGCCATGTTGGATGCGAGAACAACTGCCACCCCACCACCCACTTGTCCATCCACATACCCACCTACGCACCTCTCTCGCATGCACCCTTAGCTCCGTTCGCGACAGGTCGAGTCATACACCTGCCCGCCTGCTAGCGGATTACGGTCACGGGCACATCCTTGGTGACCAAGACCTGCCATTGGCATACCCATCTCTTGCCTCGCAGGGATGAAGGGAAGATTTTCCATATTGGAGCAGGGTTCCCTTTCGACCTCAGAGAATATTGACGTTCGGTTGGGCCATGTTCCGTTGATCCTCGCATTTATCCTCCAGGTAAAGCACATCATGTTATCCTGGCACACCCTCTTAGTGGCTCAGACTCGGTCCCTTGTTTTCCACGGCACTCATTCAACCATTTTAGCTGCCTACGCTACTGCACAGAGACAACGGTTCTCCACTGAAATGGAGGTTATCTTTGGGCCTTGGGGGCCGCTGAGCAAAAGTCGATGCATTCAAAGTCGTAATATTTCAACAGACTACTCCAACCATGGTTTAATTCCGCTGATATGGACGGACTGGCCAAGCAGACTGAGAGTTATTGTGGCAAATGATATGTATGTATTTAACAACGAATTTCATCCTAGTTGAGAGTCTGGCCGAGTCGGCTAGATGGTGGAAAACGGCCATTGTTCCTTCTTCCCCCTCCTACCTTTCTTCAGTCTCTCTGCTTTAATTTCTTCCACCTCTTATTGAGCTTTTGATCTTCCTTCTGGGACCTTCACTGAACCTGCCATCGGCACCTGCTAATGCCATCGTTGTTCGCACATGCCCCGTGAATGGCATCCATGGATAGCGGCCGAAGTGGCAACCAGGGGCGGGAGCGCGTGAGGAAGAACAAGCAATGGGAGAGGAACAGCCAGGGCCGATTCCAATGTCAACAATGTCCCAAGGGATTTAGAAAGTTGTCTGCCATCAGACTCCATCTCCGGACCCACGGTTCCATACGATATAAATGCACCAAAGATGGTTGCGCCAAAATCTACACCAGACCTGGCGATCGCAAGCGACACGTTGAAAGCGTACGTTGTCCATCATACACTACTCACACCTTGAATCGTCTTTATCCCCAAACATGACAATTTGAAAGTCTTTGGAATCTGATCGAAAAACTATTTCTAGTACCACGAAGGCCGTACGTATAACTGCTCTCTATGTCATGTGGCCAGTTTTACTCGCCATGATCTCAGAGGCAGGTAAGTTGATATCATGTTACCCTGTGGTAGCGCCCCCTGAACTCTTCCTCACCTGTGGCTTTCGTTCGTTCCCCTTCGCCCTATTTTTTCCCAAGTCGACACAATCATACTGACTCGACTCGCGCTGCCTAGGCATGAAAGAACGTCCTGTAAAGTTCGCAAGCGTTCACATTCACAGCTTCAAATTCCGATGGACCACCAACGATCCATGGCTCAGACGGCGGACACCGATCTTGCTCGAGTCTCGGGGTGTCCGCCGGGACCAGTGCCTGCACTCTCGCGACCTGATGTCCACTCGTTGATGCCTCTGCCTCGACTACCTTTGTTCCATTCTCATCAACTGCCGAATTCGAGTTTTTCTGGTGGAGAAACGAGTGTATCCGAGACGACAAACGATGACGACGACCTTATGTTTCCAGACCAAGGTACTCTTGGCTCAGAATATCCAACCATGACTCCCTATAGACGGGGAGCGACCCTGCAAGAGGGGGTAAATGGTGATGGTGATGGTGATGGTGATGGTGATGGTGGGCTATATTTTTCCTCTGCAAACAACAGCATCGGCGGTCCTCGAAACACATTGATCGGTGGTATTGAACACATGTCACCACGACTTGGACGTCAGCGTGATTTCGAACGCAGCAATGCGTATTATACTTGGTTGATGGCTTCGCAGGCTGCAGGGCCAAGTAACAACAATAACAACATGGTCAACAGTGCAAGTACCAGTACCGGTTCCAGCAACACCAGTTCAATCACCAACATGTCCATGTCCATGTCCATACACATGGCCAACACAACAACAGGCATCCATACTCTCTCCCTCGAAGAATACATCGAATCCTGGGATTGGGACACCCAATTACAAGTAATGAATCAATCTGCAACATACGACACATATGTGGATTGGAGTTGATGTGGATGAGACATCTTCCCTTGATGAATTTGAAATGCTTTGAAATCTTTTTTTTCCCTTTGGGTTTGGAGCGGTTGGAGAGGTTTCCACGTCGTCGTCATTGCTTTTATTGTTGATTGTTCGGTCTGTTCTGTTCTGTTCAGTTCAGTCTACATCCTCCCCCCCTTCTCCCTTTCGTGATTGAGGGGTGATTGTAGTTCTGGTGAGAGGAGGGTATGTTTCGGTACTTAAGTTCGGGTTCTACATATACTTATGTTCAATCAAACTTTTTTCATCCATGGTCTTCCTGTGCTCATTGATGAAGATAGCAAAAAACCAAAAGTTGAACTTGTAAGAACACGCTCGTGCAATGGGTATTTGATGCTACAGAGAGAAAAGCCAAGTCTCCCCCCCGACCAGACTAGGATTGTCGGTGTGAGATTCTAAATGGATCATATCAATCAATCCATCAATCAATCAATCCTGAATGATCAACCCAAACGACGAAGGCGACGGGGGCGGACTTTTGTTCGTTCTGCATTATTGGACCATTGGACCTTTCCCCCCAGCTTCCATTCATCCCGTGAATGGTCATGCGTGGTCCTCGTTTCATCGATTCATCGATTTCATCAACTACACTGTTTCTCATGTGTCTCGTTTTAATCCTCGTCCCCTTCCTCTTCCCCGCCTAGATGAAATCTGCCGAGTAGGAGAAACCTCGGAATTCTTCTTGATGAGCTGGTGAGAGAACTACACAAATGATCACGTTAGTCCAGCGTTCCGTTGTACAATTTCAAAATAATCTCAAAGGTAGTGAGTCACTTACCACTCTGTACAGGTGTCAAGACCGGTGTAACACTGGTGAATTCCGAGTCAAAATTGCTGGTATCTTTCTCGTTCTTCACCGTAGGCTTGAAAGGTGTGGGGACTCGTTTGTTGTAGATGTCGTCCCAGTTGACGCCCTTGAAGAAGGGATGACTCATGATTTCCTGCGCATCGCCCTGGCCACTACCCAGGCGTTGATCAGGATCTCGCGTAAGTAGCCTCTGGAGAATTGATACGCTGTCGCGAGGCATGTGAATGGGGTACAACGGTTCGTCAGCCAAGATGGCATCGTAAATTTCATCCTCGTCTTCACCACGGAAGGGCGACTGTTGGAGCAGCATCTGGTAGATCAAGACACCAAATGCCCACCAATCAACCGCGCGTCCATACTTCTTATCCAAAAGAATCTCCGGGGCCATGAACTCGGGGGTTCCGCAAAAGGTCGATGTGACACTCTTATACCACATGTCTTCTTTGCAGAGACCATAATCGGCAATCTTGATGTGACCGTCCAATGTGAGGAGAATATTGTCCAACTTCAAGTCGCGGTAGATGACGCCGTTTTCGTGAAAGTACTTCAACGCCAGGCATACTTCGGCGGCGTAAAACTGGGCTCGCTTAAGTCCAAATTGTCCACGTTGAATGTGCAACATCAGATCGCCTCCGGAAATGTATTCCATGACAAAGTAAACCCGGGTTTCTGTTTGGAAACAGGCGTGCAGGTTGAGTAAGAAGGGGTGTCTTTCCTTGTTGGCGATCAAAAAGACTCGCTTTTCGGATTTGGTCGACTCGACTTCATCATTCTCAATGATGAACTCTTTCTTAAGGACCTTGATGGCATAAAGCTTCTTGGAGCTTTTGGCTTCTGCCAACATGACCTTTCCAAAGTTACCTTTGCCCAGGACAGCGAGGAAGTTGAAATGGTCAAGGCCAATTCGTGGACCGGAGCCACGTCCTGTGGCAGGAGTGGCGACTTGTTGATGAGCGGATGGAGCCGGCTTGACGGGGGCCGGGTGGTAGCCTTGTGGACCTTGCTGAGCCTGTTGCTGTGCTCTTTGTTGTTGGACCATGGCTTGCTGGGAAAGTTGATGCTGCTGCTGTACCTGCTGTTGGACCGGTTGCCTATCGTATTGTTGATATGCTCGAGGGTCGTATGAAGCATGTTGCTGCTGTGGCGGCTCTGCTGCCGGCGGCCTCGCGTGGGCATAGCGATCGGCCGCCGGTTGTTTTTGAGGGCTGTAATCATTGAAGTTTTGGTTGTAACTCTGTGACGTGGGACGGGCTGTGGCAGCAGCCGCCGCCTGAACAGCTGCACTGGAGACGACTCTCTGCTGAAGCGGTCGCTGCTGCTGTTGCTGTTGCTGCGATTGTGGAGGTTGATTGTACATGGAGGCGGCTGCACTCATCGCTGCGGAGGAAGGTTTTGGTTGTTCCTGAGATTGGTCGTATGATTGATTCGAGACTTGCTGACTCAAGGTGGTATCGGAGCCAGCAAAGCTTTGAGTGGGAGAAGTCGGCCCTGGCCGACCAGAATTTGGTCTCAAGGTCCGTCCACTCATGCCTGAACCTATAGATGAGGATTTGTTGTGGTTCTTGGTGCGGGAGATGGTCTCGAGAATTTCGTTGGCAACTATCATCGACATGCCACAGAAATCAGGGACCAGATGCTGACATTGAGCATGGCATGTCAAACCACACTCAGAACACTTTTTGGCGTTGCGTCTCCCTAGAGGCAGAAGATAACCACAATGACAACACCAATTGGCGCCAATGTTGGAGAAATTGTCGAAGCGATGAGGGATGCGATGGTTGATCTTCTCCTCGTCTGGGTCGGTCTCGTAGTTTGCCTTGCTAATGCACTTGGTGACGACCTTGGGATAACATTTGGTGTGGCAGGTGTATTTACAATCTGCACACTGCATGCCGGCGGAATACTTGAGGAAGTCGCCGCAGAGAGCACAGCGCATGACGTTGTAGAATTGTTGCTTGACAAACTTGTGACCTTGCTTTTCATGCACCTCTTCTTTCTTCTGTCGCACGGCACCCTGTCGGTTGAGACCAATATCAAAGGGACGTCGTGCTCCAGTCTGTTTCTGAAAGCTCATGGTCAGATGGATCCTGCCAGCAGGCTCTAGAGAAAACCAGGAATCAATCATGACAGGCTGGACGTTTTGAGCAAATCCGGCGGCAGAACCGGCGCCAGCGCCATCTCCCGGGGGCATATATGGTGATGAGGTAGAGTCGGGCCCATTTCTGGAACCGGGGCCGCCGTTGGCCATCTTGTCGGCAGAAACCCATCCACTCTGTTGGAATTCAGACTCGATCCTCTTCCGTCGCATCTCTTCGGCAATATCTGATATTCGGATCCAGAGGAAGCCGATGGGTAAAGGACGATCTCCGGCTTTATCGTAGACAGTCAACTCGATTTCGTTTGCCTTGTCAATATCAACGCTGTGGATTTCCTCAGTCCACCTGTCTGTCCGAGTGGCTCGGGTTTTGGCACGAATGTTGTCCTCGACTTTCATGATAACAAAGGTTTCTGGCCCACGTGAGAAACGGGAAGAGGCTGCGTGGTCGACGTCTTTGATGGCGTGGATGCGCATTTCGAGGTGGCCGGTCAGAGGCTTTCGCATGTTGGGGGCGTTGAGACTATCATCTATCGAAGGGTTGGTTAGTGGGGGATCTCATTTGGTGGAGTGAGGCATGCATACCGTCGGCACCATCTGCGGCGTCAATGTCGACATGGAGATCCATGTACCTCTTGAGAGCTTGTTTGAGCAGCTGGACTTTTTGGTTGCTCTCTATCCTCCGGCCCTCGGCGTCGAGTCTACTTTTTCTATCTCCCTCATCTTGGTAGAGGCGAACCATCTTTTCAATGCCAGCCTTGTACTGCTTCTCCACGGAAAGTTTGAACTCGAGTTGTGACAACATTAACTGGATCTTTGGGCCGAGGTATGGGGTATCATATTTGATGAGATCTGAGTGAGCACGTTAGAGAATGGAATTCCAGGTGTTCGCAGGAGCAAACTCACCTAATTTTGAAAAGTTGGGCCTCGCGGCTTTTGCCATGGATGAACTATATGGTCGTTGATCACCGTATGCGGCGCGTGGAGGTCCCATTCCTGCACCAGGATGGCCGTAACCAGCAGGGCCAGGATCTCCATAGCCTCCTTGATCAGGCATGAAATAACCACGAGAGTCTTTTGGTGGGGGGGCGGGTGCGCTCCCCGATTGATATTGTCGTTGATTTCGGTCTGGCGAGGGATAGCCTTGACCACCGTGGGCAGGTGGGGGAGGAGCACCGTCATTGCTGGCGCCGTGCTTACGGATTTGCAGTTCTCTTAGCTTCTCCTCCAGATAAGAAATGTTTCTCCGGCCATCTTTGATGTTGCTGTCGACACGTGCTTGGACGGCGGCATTAGAGGTGGACTGTCGCATGTGGGTTGCGGCATTGATAAGGGCCTTTTCTCTTTCGATCTTGCGAAAGACCTCGGCGATAGCCTGGTCGGTGTCGGCCATGGCGGGGGCGAAGGTGGATGAGAGATGACAGAAGAATAGAGGGGAGGGGGGAAGGAAGAGAGAAGAGGCGGAGGTGGTGGTAGTGAGAGAGGTGGTACGGAGAAGAAGCCGGTAGCGAGTTGTGTGGTTGTCAGGCTCGGTGGGTATGAGATGTCATGGGCCAAGGAGGACGGATTGTTGTTGTGGTAGCAAGGGTAAGTGGGATGGCGTGGCCGGGGCGTGAGGCCCAAACTGGCATTGATCAGAGTGGGTGGTCGAGAGAAGAGAATAGGAAGAATATCAATGTTGGTGTAGGGGAAAGTGGCAGGGCCAAACCAAGTGGATAAAGTAGTGAATGAGAGAGAAGAATGGCTGTGGAGAGAAACATGAGATGTTGTGATGGCAATGGCAAAAGCGATGGTGATGGTGAAGGCGATGGCGATGATGCTGACAATAATATTAGTACCTTGTCTCTTGACCAATGCCGCAGGACGCAGACAAAATAACACCCGCGATTGACATTTACAGGCCCAATTCCCGAGTCTTGGGGGCGTGACGACTTGGGCCTAGAGGGGTTCGAAGCAACGGTTTATGGGTGATCTTCAGGTGGTGCGGGTAAAGCGTTATAATTAAACGACACCTAAAAGCCCTAGAACACATGCCCCACAACCTTAGAAAACCTGGCTGTGAGGTAGAGGTTGGGTGGATTTTCCCCTTGGTTGGTCCATTTGTTGGGGGGGTTTGAAGCTTTGCCCCGCTCGGTCCACCATCAGGTTCAGGTTGAGGGTGAATACACACGTGTGCACAGGCACCTTTCACCCATCCACGCCTACTCACGAGTCACCACCGGTGGTCATCTTGATCACCAGCCACCGTCCTTGTGGTCTTTGCAGAACGCGGTACATATTGACCAACCATCTGAATAGCTAGAGGGCGGCTACTCCCAATCTACTCCCAATCCTAGGTACGTGCATGTAACAAGACATTGGGCATCGGAAATGTCAAATCTACAAACAAAACTCGAACGACTCGGATTGTAAAGGGTGCCAGACGGACGAGGGGACTCCCAACCACCTGGCCCATGTCCGGCGATTGACCTGTCATCATCATCATTTTATTATCGAGGGGTAGGACAAGCCGTGGACAAGCGAAAGAGAGAAAAAATCAAATGCTCGTGTCAACCTTGTTTCAATCAGGCACGAGACAGGCACGAGACAGGCACATTTAGGCACAGTTATGGATTCCTGAGGCAGCGATTTCTGAGGTGGTCTTTAGAATTCCGCGCCTCCACTAAGATTTTTACGTTTACAAGTAACTTAACTTAGTACTACTTACTGTGTACCTACGGAGTAAGGTACTCGAGTTAATTATAACCCCTCATTCATGTAATTCTTTGCATGGTAAAGTTGAGGAATGGAGGTATCTGGCAAATGATCAAGACCATATTATTGGCCGATGAATACTAAGAGTTCTTCAGAAACACATTGGCCAAGTAGGTAGTACACGAGTGTCACGTCTACTCCCTACAGACTACGATGCATTCCAAGTATTAAAATCATTGTCATTGTTATTGTTCAGACACGACAGTCGTTTCTTCCCCTCCAAGCCCGAGAGTCCGCATTCTACTCCGTAGGTGCCTAAGGTACTTACCACGAGGCTCCACCACTCCGCCCCTCCATCCATGACGTCCACCAGCCTCGCTATCTTTGAACCCGAAAGTCTATCCACGCGAATAAAACAGGCACAACAGGAACAGTCTATTGGGGCGAGAAGCGCCTAAAAACAATCACCCACTCAGTACTCAAACTCTGTGTACGTGTGGCAACAATATTTTCAGAAGCCTAAGGTAGGTAGTATTTTGTCTCAGGCAACCATCTGTGCCACCTGTAACCCTTGCATTTCTTTTTTAGCTATAGGAGCACAGAAGGCACCGAGGACAGACACGTGCCTGTTCAGCCGGCTCCATCCTAAGCCTGTCGCCACTCCACCAGCCGAAAACGTGCTTATTGTTAAATGTAGGCTGTCATTTTAGGTGTCGACCCCACCTAACAACCATGTCTTGACGCCTAAAAGTCTCCATATGGGGTCACACATTCCATCATCTCATGCGAGTGTCACCCGATCCATCATCCTAATCCTAGCTTGAGCGCCCCATCATTGCAAAATTCACCGTCACTGACCAAACGCTTGCTGCTTACCGCCAGCTGAACTACCCAGGACTCCAGGACCCAGGATCCAAGGGCAGTGCAGCGTTAGACAGCGTTGGACGACTCGGATGGTATGTCTCCGGAGGTTTCATTTCTCAATTGCACATCGGTGCACCACAACCACGTGTTATCAGATTAAAACTTGACCCTTAGCTCATGTCACTTGGCTGCCGGTAGGCTCTCTGATGCTCGTAAAAAACAGTAATCGTTATAATGCCGGTACCCCTATGGCCACAGCCTGGTCTCTGAACTCTTTCCAACTCCACGACAACACAATTCCTCACTCTCCTGCAGGAACCACAGCATTCATGACTCCTCTCCCAAAGAATTCACTCACGGTACCAAATCGATTTGTGCTTCGAGATAACGCAGCCTTGAACAAATCATGCTGCTCCGTGCTCTCAACCTGTTGTCTGCGGATGGCCTTGATGGTATCGTTCCCAGGCTTGCAAATCGCACATTCAACTTTGTCATCTGCGTCCATCCCAATTCCTGGTTTGTTCAGGCATTCTTGATGGAACGAGTGCTTGCACATAAAGTGCACCGTAGGTAGCGTCAGATTTCGACCACAAGACGAGCATCGCCGTGCTTGAAACACCACTGGCTTCGTCTCTAGATCCGACAACTCGGCTTTCTTCGCCGCCGTCTCAGTTCGATACGATTCAATCAATTTTCGATTTGTCTGGATCTCCCTTCTTTCCCGCGAAATATTCTCTGACAGGTAGGATTTGACCATTCCCATGGTCACTCCTCCACCCTGTGACAGAACCTTGACCACCTGGAGTGGTGCCATCAGGTTATCCTCATTGATGCGTCGGAGCACATTCTGAAGCTCCTCTTTGACCCCTGCTTCATTGAGAACCTCCGCCGAAGAAGAAAAATACCCCAAGGCCAACGGGTACAAGCTTGGGTCTTCAGTTCCATACTTCCGGAGAGCTGATATCGCCCCAGAAGTGTCCTTGGCCGAGGTATACGACCTGAAAATATCAGCATACAACCCGGCTCGCTCTCGTACCAGCGTCGTGCCTATAGAAAATCTCGACAGCGACGACAGAAGAAGAACGTTGGACGTATCGATAGTCGCTCCTTCAGCGCTCTTGCTGTCAGCGATCAGGCCTGTTGCCTTCGCCTGCCATTGGGTCTTGGAAGTAGCGTCGCTTGCGGCATTGGAATTCTCAAGATACATCTCGAACAGCGTCGTAGACAAGTCCGTCAAATCTTGCTTGCTCAGATTGTCTTGCTGAATCAGTGCCTCGAGGAAAGTGATAAATTGGTTGGGATGGGCAAGGAAGGAAGAAAAGGCAGTTCGGGGCCGTGGGATTGGATACGCCGGGGGCTGGCTGATATCGTTGTCTGACGACTCAGCTTGTTCTGGGATTGTTTGTGTCGTCTGCTCAGATTCACCCTTGGGTCGTTGCATAAATGGCAGCGTCCATAGCGCCGAGAGACTCTGGAAGGTGCCTCCACCGGTCTGAGCTTGTACTTCAGCGACAGCCGGCACGTCTTCCTTGGGTTTGTAGCGTCCAGTGTAGTATTCGACGAAAAGCTTGGTAGCCTCATCAGGGCAGTGTTCAATCAGACTTCGTGCATATTTCATCAACACTGGATACGCTGTTTCTGGTTCGAGGCGCCAAATGTACTGTAACGCTTCGGCGTATTTCTTCAAGTCCTCGATCAAGATATCAATCACGACTTCATTCTCGCCGTGCTTTGTCGCAAGATACGCAGCTTGCTCGAAATATCCGCCCTGTCGACACATTGTTATAGCAGTCTCTACGTCAAACTTGGCACTTCCAGGCGTGCGAATAAACGTATCAAGCTTCTCTGTGTCTTTGAGCTTTGCGTAGCAATTTAGCAACAATGTAGTGTGGTCGGCGGTTGCCCGGTCGTGGTCGTGCAGTTCTTCGAGATAGTCGATGAGATTGTGGATTCGCTGCGTGTCAAGAAACCTTCGGATGACTTGGGAAGGCTCAGTATTGTCGATGGCTCTAAGATACTGCTGCATGGCTGTGTCGAAGTCGCCCTTTTGATACAAGTAGTCTCCATATTTCCTGAAAATGATGTTTTGTTGGACTTTATCAGCACCGAACTTTTGAGCGAGATTTATGGCATGGATGTAAAGGTTTCGTTGGTAGAGGATGTCGAGTTTCTGCTGCAAAGTCTTCTCTTGGTACCTGTACAGCTTCTCGTGGGTCAGTACAAATCTTGGTTGGCCATTCTCGTTTACTTACCTTTCCATCCATGGTCAGCAGAAAGAGTTCACCCCATTCCACAAAAACATCCTTGACTTGAGCTGGCAGGGATTCTGTATGAGCAATATACTTGAGGTCGGTATCGAGAAGAGTAAAAGAGGAGCTGCTGAACAGTTCATCAATCTCGTCGCCTCCGAGGCGCCTGAATGTCTTGGACTTCGAGACCTGTGCCACCCTCGGAGGACATATCAGGCCGACATATTCTTTGAAGACTTTGATGATTTTCTTCGGACCCTCAAATGCATAACTAGGCCCTCGGCCGTTGGGACCATAGTAGTAGATGGCATCCTCTCTCGCCACAACGATGTCTCCAGTTTCTGGGTCCTGGGTCATGCATCCAACAATGACACCCCTATTGTCGACTGTCCGGACTGGTTGGCCCTGGCCTTTGCCCGAGATGATCAGGCTACATATTCGCGCGGTGTTGGCAATATACAGTGTTTTGGTTGTACCCTGTCGTAGCTCGAGCCCTGTGATGGGATCTTCTGATTCGTAGACGGTCCTTTGTTTTGTGCCTCGATCGTGGATAAAGTCGCCCCTGATCACGGTGACCGAGCCATTGGCGAAACCGACGGCGACTTGACTCAGGTCGTCAAGAACTGCCAGCGCTGAACTCTGGTTTGATCAATATAATACTTCAATCACGGGTTGAGCCCACATACCGGAAACTGACGCCTTCCATTCTGGACGGCCACGGTGCAGAGCAGCTTTGGAGCTCCAGTCTTCTTTTCGGTCTTGTCCAACGCCCATACCTTCAGCGCAGGCTCTGTTGACAGGTTTTCGGCAAGTGTGATGAGGTACGAGGTGTCGGGGACGTGGTGGATATGGGATATCGTACCATCTGGTGTGTCGGAAGCGGTAAAGGTGCGCACGACTTTCAGGGCCCTGGACAGTACACGAACGGTGCCATTGGATGAGCCGAGAAAAAGGGAATCGGAGCCGGTGGCGAGCGAGACGATATCTGACTGCCAGAAGATGTTAGTGACTGACTGACCGGATAAGGGAGGGAGACATACGTCAAAGACGTAAGAGCCATCCTCATCTGCGGGCACGGGAACTTGGGAGACGTTGAAGAAGGGAAACGCCTTCCAAGTGGTCAATGCCATGATTCGGGTCACCTTGGAGGTGTCTGCGCGTTAGCTCCAGGTTCCATAGCAACAGTGTCTGCGGGAAAAAAGCCGAAGTCGTCGGTTGAGCTACAAACAGTTTTCAGGACGTCGATGGATTGTTTTGAACACAAGTGCTGGAAGGTGCTGTGTCTATCCATGGTCGCTCCTGGCTGCGCTGGGTGACGTACTGCCGAAGAAGAGCCGGACTTTTGGTGGCAGCCTCGTGACCTCAGCCTCGCGATCACACAACTTTCACGTGAGTTGGGTGGGGACTGGAGGGACTGAACAACGATCAATAAGGGCTCGATCATTGATCAGATCGATTCACCCTTTCGTGTCTCAAGAGAGAGTATAAACATCGTCCATAAAAATAGCATGTGTTTTATGATCCAACTAAATAGCTACTCATCGTACCAGACGAAAGCACAAGGTCAAATATGGCATCCTTCAAAGACTATCTCTACAATATATAACAGGTCATGAAACATCCACGGGCATGAGAGATGGGAGCATCATTGCTCCCAGCTGAATCGGGCACGCTCCATCGTCGGCCGCGTCGGTTGAGCGGCAGGCGGAATGGGCGTAAGCTGTTGATGCTGTTCTTCTTCCTCAACAGAACTCAGCCCTTGCTCTACAAACCTGCTCCCCGTGCTAGGTGATCTTGAGGGCGGGCGGCCGTTGAATTGGGGTACTGTCAAGTTGCCGAACCGGCCACTAATGGCAGATGCGCTTCCACCTGATCCATCGGTCGAGTGTGGCAACGTCATTTGCGTTGCGTCTTCTGGTGATATCGGACTTGAGTCGGCTCCACTGCTGTTGGATGGCTGCGAGTATCCTCGACTGCTGTGATGAACAGGACTTATCCCTGCTTCACTTGACGAGATGGTTCCAAAAGCGTGACTGTGTCTTGGGGTGAACGGACTGACACTACTGCTGTTCCGATCGTTGGAGTCGTTTGGAGAATATGGAGGCACGGGCGACGCCGAACGCTGACTGCCGTGTACATCGGCCATGGCTGCTGCTTCAGCGGCTTTGGTTCTGATGTCTTGTGGTTCGAGTTCCGCTGGATTTCTAGGATCATTCCTAGGACTAGTGCCAGACTGGTCACGTCGGCCTGCAAGGAAAGTAGACGACACCTCCTCTGCAGCCGCCATTTCCACTGGCACATTCCCGCTGGACATTTCGAATCGGCTGTTGGATGAGTCGGCCGGAACTTCTCTGGGATAATGTTTGTCTGCGGCGAGTTCGGAGATCGACGATTTCGATTCTGGAGTTCGACGTAGCCGCTCGAAGATGCTGGACCTTTTGCTCTTCTCACCGCTGCTGCTACTGTTGTCGTCTTGGGAACGTTTCTTACGGTAAAAGAAAAACCATACACCAAGAACGGACAACACGAGCCCCGCAACTACGGCAACACCGATTCCAGCCTTTGCGCCTGTCGATAGTGATGTATCGATGGGTATATCTGGCCCCGGCCAAATGCTGCCATCTGGACGACTGATCGAATGAAGGTTGACAGTGTTGACAGCCGCTTCAGTGAAAACGGCCTGCGATATTGAAAAGTTATTACGTTCGTAATCCACTGCAAGGTAGGTTTCTTGCAGGAATGCTCGCCCGATTGCATATTGGGTGCTGTCAGACGTTCTTCGGAGGGGAAAGTAGTTGGTAGGTGGAGATCCAAAGGTGGCATTCAGGTTTGGAAATGGATAAGATAGTTGCAGGTTGAATGCGCTGTACGGCAACCTGATGTCAATATTGGCATCGTCTCCTCGTAGATTGCCCAGTGAGAAGGTAAAGGTCAAGCCCCAGGAAACAAGGTCAGAAGGAGATGAAGAATTGTCAAACAAGTAAAGATCGAGGCTGTCGTCATAGGTCAAGTTCAGGGCGTCGGCCACCTTGTCACAAATAGCTGGGGGCATCCATAGAAATGGCGTGGAGGAGTCAATGGTGTATAGCTCCGCCTCAGAGGCATCTTGGAGTGGTAAAGGATTTGAGGCCCAGTTAGAAGGTAGATTGTTTCCAACAGGAGGTGAAGAGGAGACTGTGAAAGAATTAATTGCCACGATCGGTCTATAGCCTGAGCTCAAGGTGAAAGTCATGTTGTTGGGCTCGAAGCGATTGGCATCAAAGCCACCGAGTACGAGCGACGCCGGAACACTTTTGAGACCTAGATGGTCAAGTTAGACGGGAGTGGGTGATAAGATGAGAAAACATACGATACGACGCTCCAGCTGTATAGCCATAACTATGGCTAGGAATGAGGCTTCCATTTTCCACCAAACTTGATAAGAAGGGTAACTCATTCTGCGAGTCTTGGAAGCGACTCTGCTGAACTCCTAGCCCCAATGTTCCAATCCAGTCGGAGGTGTCGTTGACCAAGGCAATTATCTGATCGGACGTTTGAGCATCGTCTTGCAAGTGAATCGTGTCGAGGCCATAATAGCCAACGTTCGAGTCGCCGTTGTTCAGTTCAAAAAAGCCCAACTCGGTAAAAGAGCTGGATTCATTGGAGGAAAACAGGCCTCCACGGAGAGTTGCACAGGTTGATGTACCATCGCACCCAGCTGGACCAACGACCCACGTCTCTTGTCTTAACGTGTTGGGAAGAACGGCGAGATACTGTTGTGGAGTTCCCACCCGAATACTGATAGCAGACCAAGATCCATCATATCCTAGGAATCCAGGGCTTGTTGTCGCGACAATCGGTCGAGGGGCCTGTGCTACTGTAGAAGAGGCGAAAAGCAACAGGTTCAAGGCCAGAAGGGAGGATCCTTTGGCCGCAGGTCCACGTTTGCGATTGACGGCCATGCTATCGGCGACATTCGAGTCACCTCGACATGCCGCGCGAGAGATCTGAGGGCCTGAGGGAAGAATGGAGATGCAATCGATCGTTCAACAACGGGTTGGAACTGTGGTATCCTGGATGATGGGCATATTTCACAAGCGGCAGCAGTCCAGAATTGACCTTGACGCAGGCAAGAAGGTTGAACAAGCGCAGGTTGGAAGCCTGAGGAGTCGAGGATCCAGGGTCGACAGGGGATCGAGCAGACCAAACGGGCCCGAGGGGGTCGCTAAAAACTCAAGTTCCCGGGGTTTACGGTAAGTCTTTAGACACAGCCGGTTAGCATGGATCTACTCCGTAGTCTTTCGTTTCGTCGAGGGTCAGCTTCGTAGCTTGGACTCCGGGTTCAGGGACGGACTGTGGCCACTCACAGGCCGGCAACACTGACTTGCACGTCTTGCGAGTACCCCGAGGCCGAAGGCACCACATTGTCTCAGTCTACCTATGGTGCGTATGCGCAAGGGGACTCTCAGTCCATATCGATTGTGATTAGCTGCACATCTGATAGGGAAGGCCTTCCCCTCTCTGTCGCCTAGTAGTCTACAAAGGTGGGCGTTACATGGTGTTCTTCTTTCTACTGCACAACTGCTGTAGATCTACTAGTTATTACTTGGTTACAGACGTATTTACTACTCCAGGAGGATATGGATCGCCAGCAGTATTGTCGTAGCACTAGTGAAGTCATCTTCGGCCGTACATAAACTCTCGGAAGGAATTTTTAGTATGCTCGCGAGGGGGCTTCACTTGGAAGTTATCAAAAGTCTGTGAATAGTCTGGACAACGTGGTCGACGTGTGCAACTCGCGGGGTGCGACACAGCGACACAGCGACACAGCAACACAGCGACATCGCCCCTTGACACAACAGATAGGCCTGCTTAGGTTTTACATGTGATCCCAAGCGCGAGTCTGGTACGAGGATACGACACTGCGAAGAGCTTGGACCGCCGCCCGGGGTGGTGTGTTTTCTGGGCATGACGAAGGCAAGCCCACCTGCTGACTCGCGATCATCCCCAATTTTTACCTAAGACGTTCGCAGCGCCGCGGAGACAGGTTGGCCAAGCACTCTCTCACGCCATGCTAGGCACGCCGGTTCCAGACTTGTTGATTTTGTGGAAGAGGCCGACCTTGCGAAATCTCCACTTTGGCTGCGGATAGCCGACCACCTGCCTGCAATTGCGGTTGCTCTCAGTCACAGATTCACAGCAAATGGAACGGTGGGGAAGAACGGAGCCAAAAACAACGAAGCCGGCTGTGGGTTGACAGTTAACAGGCTGGGAAATGACGACTTCTCATGGGCTGGCTGTAACGGGAGAGAGCCAAGGCCGTGTCGATCAAGAGATAGGCCTTGCACGGTCTTGCTACTACTGTGCCTACGGAGTAAGTAGTAGTTGAGAGACAGAGCAGGTTGGTCTCTCAAACTGAATAGCCAGAGAGTGCCCAGTCGAGTCCGGCTCATTGCTTTTCCGAGTCCAATGGCAACCTGGGGTCGTAGCTGACTGTCAGGTAGTGAATATAGCATTGATCCTGGCGTTGATCACATTCGCAACGACCTAGAGGACATTGTGCACCGAAAAACACCGTGAAGCAAAATTTGCTCAAAGAAGGTTTTGGCCTATGGAATCCCGTTATACATGTCCTTCTTTAGAAATGGTCGACTGAACACAGCTCGTAAGGTTCAACAGGGTGGCTCTCGTGGCGTGTCTCAGAATAGGTGCCAACCACGGCATCATCACAATGTAGGCCCCGTATGACGATGCACTTTTGGGGGCAGAATTGGTTCCAGTCCTGAATGCGAAATGCTGTCAGTGATTGAAAGCCTATAGGTAGAGAGAAAGTGCCGAGTGGTTCTCATCAAATCTCACGGTCTGTGCATCGAAAATCCTACGAGGCTGAGTTTATCACTACTGCCCGAAACACCATCGGAAATTGTGCCGCGTCAGAATTGCTCACCTGATGATCGACCGTGTGGCTGTTTACTCCTCGTTGCCATCAATCATGTTATCGAAAGGGAGAAATGTTCGTCGTTGTCCAAGTATATCAGATTACTTTGGTGAGATTCGTATTATTCTACAACCTCCAATCTCTATGGTTTTCTAGAGAACATATCATGGATAGTCTTCTAGTCATGGTGACATGAGCCTTCTCGGTGCATTCAATTGTTGGCTGTCTCTGACCTGAAATGCAGTACATATGGGTACTCGCACATGCTTGCGAGCTTTGATAAGCAGCGAACTGTAGACGAACAAACCCATGCCCGAATTGCAAGCCTTACTGATAATATAAAGAGCCTCCAGACTTCATCCAGGACATGGTAAAGTGCCTGAGTGGCCCTTCACAAACTTGAAATCGGGTAGAAATCATCAAATCTTGAGGCGTGGGCCACATCTCGCGTTTTCAATCGGTCAGAAGATATCGGCCAATGATATCGCCTTCGTGGAGCTGGAGCTCAAGATGACCCTCTTTTTCTACATGGAACCCGGCCATGGGAGTCTCCAGTGCAAGTCGCTGTTGGTCAACCTGACACCACCCCCTGCACTCCATTGCCGTAGCCTGTGACCCACACGGTAGACTTTGCATGAAGTGGACAGGCCTTTGGTTGGAAACCCGAGAGTCGATTCTCTCGCCCTTGACCAGGTCCCTGGTTTAGAGTCACACCCCTGCCATTCCTCCTGGGCCTTGCAAGCATTCAACTGGGTTTTGTTGGAAAAGTCAAGATTCCAAGGCCCTCGGGCTTCCCAAGTGCCCAGCAATATCACCTAAGGACGGGACACTTTGGATTGCGCTGGAACTTGTTGGTGCCATTGTATCTTTCACCATCTTGCAACCTATCTCCACCACCGCATCCTGCCTGAACCCGGCTTCAATACACAATACGTACCTCGTCTCTCGTTGACCAACCTCGTCCCTTGCAGCAAGGGCACCTCGATCGAAATCAGGGTACTACTACTACTCAGCATTATCGCAACCTCAGGGCAAAGTGCCAATCGTTCTTTTCATGTTGTTCCTGGATACCTCTTGCGACATCATCCATTTCTACGGTCACTCTATCTACCCATCGGTTCGAATATTGTTCGCCCTAGGGAACAACGATCGTTCCCAAATCAACGTTGAAAGGGGATGATCCTCTTTGGCCGTTGATTAACTATGAAGCACTGAACAAGTCAACGGTGCATCTACGCACAGCCATTCGTTTAAAAATACCACACTCGCTTGAACGCGACAGGGCCACCGAACTCCTGTCCGCGCCATGTATATTTACAGCATTCTCACTGCACTGATGGTGGTCAGTGCATCTGCTGACGACCTCAGTGCATTGAGATTGCCAAAGAGATACATGCGGAGAATGAATCCTTTGACCAATACCTCGATCCCCCTTCCCGTCAAGGAACCTCCATCGTCTATCCCTCCCCCAGACTCAATATCTGACACATCGTACTCAACATCTATCTTGCCCACGGTCATGACATTTGTCCAAGGACCAGAAAACACTCCTCCAACGAAATCGCCCAGCTCTGGATCAACACCACTGACATTCTCCTCTCTACCTCCATATCCCAATGTAACGACACAACAAGCGGCCTGTTTTGGAATTGCAACATACACGGAAAGCATTCCTCCCACTGTTTTTGTCACGGTAGATGAACCATTTGATGTCACTGTCACAGCCAACGCTTCAGTCTCACTCATGGTTCTCGAAACACTCGTCACACCTCCTCCAGCATGTGGCCATACAATCCTACCGGCTGTGTTCTCACCCAACTTTAAATCGTTCAACAGTCCCGCGCCAACATCAGTGGGGGAACAGCCTCGTCCAGGCGTAGCACCAGGACCAGAGAGTCCTCCTGGATCTCCCAAACCACGACCATCACCAGCACCAGCACCGGATCGACCTGCCGCCGAGTCAACGGAAATGTTCTTAGTTCCAACGGAAGAATCCGCAACAGAAAAGGTTTCTCAAACTGTTGTGTACTCCAGTGTTCCATACACCAGCACCGTTACCGTGACGCGAAAGACCCCCGTTCCCGTTACCGTTCCTCCCACTTCAGGCCCTGACGTCAACTTCGACCCTAATCAGCCAGGGCCTGCTGGTCGCCCTGGTCAAGGTGGTGGTGGAGAGGCCGGTGACAGTGGTGACGACGACAACGACCAACCTACCATCACCCCAGGTCCTACACGACCACCTCGTCCAGGACAGACTCCACCAGGAGGACCAACCTCACGTCGACTAGGCGACGTCGTCGCATCAATCATCCTGTCCGGGATCGGTGGGTCTTCTGACCCCAGCACAAGGCGAACCACTGTCGTCGGGGGAGTCCCCGTTGTGGTACTGCCATCGTCAGTCGTGATCGGCGGATCGAGAGTGGCCATCCCGCCTGAATCGACGACGTCGGTTGTCGTCAATGGTGTGACTTACGGTGTAGGACCGTCTGAGGTGGTGGCACCCTCTGCGACCATCACGCTAGCCTCGATTCACCCAGACCACGACCCCAGGGTTATCCGGCCACAGTCAAGCACGACGGTTGTGACTACAGGTCAATGGACATTGACCGTGGCATCCAGCGTGGCCGTCATCTCTGGGACCACATACCGCATTGGCCCAGGAGCACACGCAACTTCGGTCGACGTCGGTGGAAGCACCGTATCAATTGGGCCTGGAGGCATTGGGCTACCACAAGAGACAGGGGCCACAACGGGCCCCGGCGCCGGCCGCTATATGATCTATACCGTCGACGGCCACACATACTCAGTTGGCCGCTCAGAAGCCATCATCGGCAGCACCACATACCGCGTCGACTCAGGTGCTCCGCAGACGACGACCGTCATCGGTGGCCAGACTGTCTCGTTGGGTCCTGGTGGAGTCGGCCTTGCGTCCACCACGTTGGGCCCAACGGAGGTGCCCTCTTCGACATCCTCCGGCGCTGCTTCGACTCAGAGTTCATCAGACAATGCTGCTCCCCGCAGCGTCTCAAGAATACCATATTCAGAACTCTTGGGCTGGTATTTAACACCGCTGGTCTTTCTGACATGTTGGCTTGTTTTTGCTTGATAGACCCAGGAGGGCATGTGTAACGATTTGATTTGCGATTAGACGACTTTGTTTTATGGACCATCATGAGTGGGAGGACGGGAATACATGCATATATGTGCATTTACTTTGATTGGTCAGCCGCGTTTTGGTGTCACGGTTGTGCAGCATTCCTGGGTATAAAACGCAGCTTGGAAACTGTGTATCTGGCTTGGGGTTACGGATCTGTCGATATGAATGATCTGGAAATAGGTCTGATCGCGAGGGAAAGTGAAAATATAGGATGTATTAATTAATAAGAACTGATCAACGATGCAATCAAGGAACTCAGACATGAGAATTTGAAACTTAATCTTGATTGCGATATAGAGGATTATACGATTAGCGTGCCAACGAGTATGCCTGCAATGCTCAAGATGCTAGCCATCAAGAAATTGATCTGGTTATTGTCCAGAACGTCAAAGCCTGAATTGATGATGCGACTCTCGACATGATTGATTGTCTTTGCAGAAGGACTGGCAGGAGTTTTGGGCTTGACCAGCACCTTGACACCGCCATGACCTTCAACGATCTTTCCTGATCGTCGGTCAATCACGGATGCTTGTAGAACCGCACCAAGGAGTGAGTCAAGGAGAGTTCCTGCAGTGCCTAGCAAGGTAGTCGAGGCAAAGATAGTGAATCTGTTCTGTACCTCGTCGTGACACAGCCGCAGCAAGAGCACTGCTGTGGTAGCAATGGCAGCACTTCCACCTATTCCGGCAACCAGACCAGCAGCGGAAACTCCACCATTGGTTCCCGGTGGAACAGTACGCAGAGAGGTGATCAAGACAGGCTTGCTCTTGGACAGAATACCCAGCTCACTCGACAATGTGTCGGCAGCAACAGCAGCATAGTTGGCAATGATGCCAAAGAGCAGGAGATCTGCGGTATTTTTGTTTCCATGGCCAAAACATGAATATTCACCTTGACTTCCATAAATCCATAAATGCGTGAGGATCAAGATGGAAGCAGCACCGCTGTTGGCCAGGACCTGGACACTGGTACGAGGTCCCTCTCCTCCAGAACTCCCATCATTGGACAAGGTGAGCGTTGCCTTGACTTCATGTTTGACTTTTGTTGCGGTTGTTCCAAGCAGAAAGAAGACGATAAGGAGGGTGAAGGGGATGGCTGAGGGATGCAAAGCGTGTACGGTAGCGGTGAAGATGGCCGCGAGAATACCGGCGGGAGTAAGGGAGTTGCGAGTGTAGGCACGGATGACGAGGAGGATTGTCACTGGGATGGCGATGATGGCTTTCATGACCGCGGCGGGGGTTTGAGGATGGACGAGGGTCAAGTGGAGGAGAGGAGAGAGCAGTAGCCAGGGGAATATAACAGTTATAGTATTACTTGTCGTATAAATAGAGAGATGGCATTGCTGGAGTGAGATTATTGAGATTATTATTTATTATATTTGATTATGTGGGATTTGTAGTCAGAGACAATGAGGAAGGTACAGACATAGGCAGCCGTCTCAAAGAGGCAGGAGGCCCTTCAATCCCATTTTACCTGGGGAAGGTACCACCGTCACACACGCACCTGCCACGCCCGCTGGCTCCCGGTCGTTCCTTCCTTCTTCACCAAAGATCACGCTGGATGACGTCGTTGGATTCCCACCAATCATCTCCATTACATTTCTATCAAACTCTAGTCCTTCATCTTCATTGTGTCTTGACGACCGATAGAAGACTCACTCAACCGCCATCTCATCGGGAAACAGCCCGTGTGGCTATGGACACTCAAATGTGATTACGCTTCCTCATCATAGCCTCCCAACAATGGTCTTCAACACCCACATCCCTCCAGACAATGTTCAAATCATTCCTCGCTAAACCACCTGTCACTAGAGTGGGATGGAGGAGAACTCCATCATCCTCTTTGTTCCCTCAGAGGAGAGCTCTTCATCTAGCTCCACCGTTTCTCCTCGACGACTACCTACCTCGGTATCAACTGCTGAGCCCATCTGACGCTGCTAAGAAGAGGTCCGCCGCATATGCTCATCTACGCAAGTGCAACCTCTGTCCACGCCTTTGTAATGTCAATCGCTACGAGACCACTGGCCACTGTCTCATTGGTGCCGAAACCGTCAAAGTCTCGACAATTGCCCCTCATTTTGGTGAGGAACCTTGCCTGCAGGGTCACAACGGTTCTGGCTCCGTCTTTTTCAGCGGCTGCAACCTTCGCTGTGTCTTCTGTCAGAACCATGACATTGCTCACCAGAGTGCCGGCTTCGACTTGACCCCAGAAGACCTTGCTAACTGGATGATGAAGCTCCAGGAAGTTGGTGCCGTCCATAACATCAACTTTGTCACCCCCGAACACGTTGTACCTCAGGTCGCCTTGGCCATCCTAACCGCCAAAGACCTGGGCTTAAAGGTTCCCATTGTCTACAATACCAGTGCTTTTGATAGTCTGGATAGTCTCAAGTTGATGGACGGTCTCGTCGACATCTATCTCCCCGACTTTAAGGTTTGGAATAATGAAACAAGCAAACGACTTCTCAAGGCTGATGCCTACGCCGACGCCGCCAAAGAGAGTATTCAAGAAATGTATCGCCAAGTCGGTGATTTATGTTTTACTCCGGATGGCATCGCGAAGAAGGGCCTGCTTGTCAGACATTTGGTCATGCCCGGCAAGGAACAGGAAGGTGTCCAGATTATGAATTGGTTGGCTCAGTCTTTGGGTAAAGACGTCTTTGTCAATGTTATGGAACAGTATTTCCCCACCGCACATGTTGGGAAGGACAAGAGGGGCTCCAGTGAGGAGAAGCGATATTCAGAAATCAATCGACATGTCAATCCTGACGAAATAGGCGTAGTCCAAAAAGCCGCACGAGATGCCGGCCTTTGGAGGTTCGCCGAGGCAGCCAGACATGGTGGGTGGAATGTTTGAGCCGCCGTGGCCGCATCCCTCTTTGTCTTCCCACATTCCCAACCCGCTTGCGGCTGGGTTTCCCTCAATAGCTGGTACCATCCAGCCTTCTCTTTGGTCAAAGATGCTCGCCTGTGGTCTCCCTCACAGTGGGAGGCTCCCTCACGCCGTGACTTTCTTTCTTGTCTCTAAGGGTGCAAGACGCAGCCTGGTCCAGCTCGCAGCGAATCTACAATTATGTCGCAATCTTTATACGGTAGTCTGCTGGATCACACCGTGTGCATGTCTGGGTGCTCTCGCCTTCAACAAGAACAACTCTATCTTCGACAAGCTCTTGTCGACGAAGAACGTCAAGCGGAAAGATTTAATGTACTGGTATGGAAATTCGAGCGCCAGTTGTCGGTGGAAGCGTCCAACGATCGTATGAAAACGCTACGAAGGCAGCTCAGGAACCTCAACGTGAGAAAAGCTCAATCGGAGAAAATAATCTCATCCCTCTTGGAAAAGATGAACCTCGTCATGGAACAGCTGGAGGGGCTCCACAGCCCTACCTGGGGCAAAGCGTACTCAGAGTATACTTTGAACACACCGTCGAGCGGTATGACCACAGCAACCACAATTCCTCACTGGTCGGTAAACCCTTCACCTCTCCTAGTCGGAACACCACATTTCTGGAAACTGCCCACCACAGCAACCGCCCTGCCATCGTCTATCGTCCCGAGCTTCGTCTCTCCTGACCGATTGCAATGCATTGACGAGCAACTTCCGGCCACATCTATTATCCAAGCTATATCCTCTATAAAGAATTCAGATTTGCTATGGCAGGACTATCCATTTCCACATTACGTAGCAAACCACCCGAGGATGGATACAGACATGGTTAGCCCGACAGATACGCTGTCTCCTTGCACTTTGGGTCCACTAACGCCAATATCAACCGAGATGTTTTCCATGGATTCAATTCCTGGAACGCAAGTGTTTGATCTTGTCAATGGCATGAGGGCGATAGGTTTTGATCAAGAGCGAGAGCATTTGCCGTCCGATGACTTCTTCCCCAGCCAAGAACCGCAGCTCCAGCCCATCAAGAGTCAATATACAGTCACACGACAATTGAATTTGCTTAGTGGGCAGAGTGCGGCAATCAGGCTGGAGAGGGCAGCAAGGGCGATTGATATGAATAGCCGTCGTTCGATCTAATGATTGAGAACTTTCATCTGATAGCTGCAGACCTCAAGTCGCTTTATTAGGCCTCCATCTGAGCTGTGAGTAGGGACGTAATCGACTATATGCCCGTGAAAGCATCAGCAAGAATGCCTTTCGCAATGACAGTGACAGTGACAGTGACAGCGATGAAGAAACGGAGTCGTGGCAAAATAGTTCGCATATTGGTGCCATTCCATCCAAATCTGGTAACAAGAGGAGCTAAACTGCGAGGTTGACTTCTCCCAGAACCAATCGATTTTGACATTCTCGGATAGACCCGATCTTAGACAACCTCCAAGAGGGACCTCGCATCTCATGCGCTGGGGCCCTGGAGGTATCGACTTCTGAACCGTGACCAAATATTTCGCACTCTTGCTAGATCTACTGGACTCGGTATAACCTACTTGTTCTCGTTCCGCTGATGTACTCGGCCAGTCGACTTTTGATCCCTTAATCGTGCATCATACCGAGGTAAGTACTAGGTAGCCCTTGGAAAAGATTTTGTCTTACATATTGCGACCTCCACAAATGGGTCAAGCCCCGTTATTTCCATGAGCCATAGGTAAAAGAGACATGGGGAAATACTTGCTCTGGTCGGTCTGTCGCCTGATGATGTGTCATGTCGGGTCTCCCCCTCTTGAGCCACAAAAGCTGTTCACTTGGTCGAGTATAAAAAGGCGTGGACAGGACATCTGCCTCTGTGTCCCTTTGCCTCTTCTCTCATCAGACCTTTTTGATCATCAATTCATCCATATTAATTTGAAAGTGTTAGAGTCGACTTCTTCCATCCAACAAGTTCCTTTAATTCAACACTCTTCTGACAAAACATGACATCCGACACCATTACCATTTCGGCCTCTCGAGCCGCACAGGTGGAATCCGTCATTCGCAAATTCGTAGCCAGCTTCCAAAAACCGATTGATTCCATGGAGGAATTCACATCCATCTTCCACCCAGATATTGAATGGTATGACCATGCGTTCTTGATTCGCAGGGTCGGTCACACGGCCATCGCTGGTCTCCACAAGGGCTTCACATGGTGCAACAATCCTTTCGAAGTCAAATTCAAGGTACGAGCAGACCCATCCTGTTGCTCTTTCTCCCTCTCTCGAATGTTTTCTAGACTCTCTGACATGTTTTCCTTGCTGGTGTTTTTAGTCAATCACCCCGACTGCCACAGGAGGAATCCTCGAACAAGTGTGGATTGGGAATTTGTCAAGAGATCTCGTTCGTCCTAACGGCGACGTCGCCATCAAGGCCACGGGAAAGGACTACAAGTGTCATGTCTGTATGCCAATCCAAGTTGACGAACAGGGGCTCATCACTCGGATCGATGAGTATTATAACAAGCATTGGGATGATGGTATTCCAGAGGAGGAGTACCTGATCATGAAAGGTCCTAGCATGAAGTCCAATGTCTGAGTGAGATTAGAACAGCGTTTAGCAATTTAGGTCTGTTCATAGTACCCATTTCATCGTCGTCATCCAGTTCTTGTCGACTTGTTCCGACTTGTCATCTGGGACGTTAGACCATAAATGTCATGGCTACTAGTCATTACCTACTAACCTATTTCATATCTACCTCATAAGTATCTCGCACCATCCACATCTTCCCTAACATACCTACTTCTCTTCCGTGCGTGCACATCTCAAGACACCATTAACCCGCATCAAAGATACATCTCTACTTAAGCCAGAGGTCACGCCTTCTCAAACGCCATGACAGCATAACGGAAAGCCCCATTAGCGTATCCGCGACGCATGGCCCTAAAAGCCTGAAGGAAAGCAAGACCGTCTCGGCCTTGACTTATAGCAAATTCCCATAGAGATGGAGACGACACGAGTTGCCATGAGATATCCCTGTCAAAGGAAGAAGGTTGTTGTAAGTACATGACGAAAACAAGCAAGGAGGAGCACATCGCCAGATGATCGATTCACGTACCATGTCCTTGCGACATCTTTGCTGATATCCTTCGGGGGGTGAAGGACCTTGAGCCCCGCGGTTCCGGCCATAGATACATATTGGGAGGAGGTGTTAAGTGGAGGGAGAAGCATGCCGTCTTTTTTCATAGAGTAATCGCCAAACAATGTCAGTCCAGGAAATCTAGCCATGACACACGGTGATAGGTAGAGAGAACCTGTCTTGCACTCACCTTCAATCAATTTAATATCATCATCTCCACCAACAACACCCTTCAACTCGTCTTCCTCCGCCTTGAACCAATCAGCAATGACGAGTTTTCCTCCTGATTTCAATACTCGGCTGGCGTTGCGGAAGAATAACGCCTTATCCGGGAAATGGCTGAGAGCTTCGGAAATCCACACGGCGTCGAAGCTAGAAGCAGAGAAATGCGCTTCCATTGTCTCGGCGTCGAGTTCCATGTACTTGACGCGACCGCCGAGTGTGCCTAGTGGGTGGAAGGATGCAGTATCGGTTTGGTCGGCATTGGCGTTGGCAGCAGTGCCATCGCTATTTGCCTCGTCGAGGGTAATACGATTGGCGATAGCGACTTGTCGACCACTAATGGTGATACCGGTGACGGTGCAGCCGAGATCTTTGGCCAGGTGGCGGGTCGTACCTCCAATGCCACAACCGACATCGAGAACGGTGCTGTTGGGCGAAAGTTGGGAAATTGATAACAGTAGATTAATCAGATTCACTTGTCCGGTTTCTTTGGTGTCATTTTCGGATTGGAAGTATGCATGGTGGATATGTTGGCCCCTGTGGGTGGATGGTCAGCACACCGACTTGTAGTTAGCCTGATGGTCGATGAAGAGAAGAAGAGAAGTATGTGATAATGATAGGAAGAAGTGTAGAGATGCACAACTCTTACTCACCATAGAGAGTAGTAATAGTCGCTGGCTAGCTCGTAGTGATGTCGAATGCGCTCTTTCAACGCTGTAAACGACGAGTGAGCTTCGTATGCTGGTACTTCATACGTATCTCCAGCGTGTTCCTGGCTGTCAGTTGTGGGCGTGGCGACAGGTGCTGTGCCTGTAGAAGGGTCTCCCATCTTTCAATTATGATCTGTTGAGATGCTGAGGTGGTTGGGATTGCGGGGATCGTGAATATTCAGTGGGACGACAGACGAGCAAGCATTATGGAGTTAGTCTTGACTTCTTGAGTTCGATAGTTTGCTTGGAAATACTTCCGATTCGACGGATGGACGACCACCCAAGGATGTCGATTATCTAAACTTAGAATCAACTTATGCTTATGAAATGGAATCTGTAGGGTCTCTGTAATATATCATTAGCATAAAGAAGAGGTATTGTTTATATCGTAACGTAACATCCGAATGACACCCTATCGCTAAAGGATACAACCAACCGAAACGGTTCATACGTCGTCAATCCCATATGCCTAATCATGCATTTCCATATTGCCTCATCCAAGTATCTGAAAATGGAATATCCGGGGGAAATTTCAAGTCAGATTCATGGTCTGCGTGACTTCTAGACTGTGATTTCTCAATCTCACGCAGACAGACGGCCGCCGCGACATAGCAAAAACTGATTAGTTTCTCACCTCTTCCCCGGCCGTCTTGCGAGTCGTCAAGACTCTTGACGCTGATAAGGAAGCATGCGATACTCCGCTCTAGGCTATCTTCGCTTTCCTCATACCCGTCTTTGATGATGCGGTTGACAATGTACGTCATGGCGGTATTCACTTGATCTCTTAGGCTGAGCGACAGGTCATGTTGTCTCTTGGTTTGGGCTCCATCTCTGCCCAGAATATTCCCAATGAAGACCTCTCGCTCACTCAGAGGCTTGGTTCGACTGGGACTAAATTCCCAGCACAAGTTCTGAATCATCTCTTCGTACCTGTGAACCAAGAATGTCAGTATCCCAGTTTTCCCAGAAAAGTCCTGCAAATGCCTACTCGTCCTGAATGCCATACGCTCTCGTTACGTGCGAAGTCAAGTCAATATGACTGCAGAACTTGACCACATAATTCCGGATTGCCTGAATGACAGTGTCTCTGCTCTTGATGAGCGGGAGTTTCGGTTGTTGGATAGATTGTAACACATCGCGTTCGTCAATCCTACGGAATAGCTTCCCAAGGATCTGCGTGCTCTCGTAGAACTGGTATTGAGGTCCGTCATCTTCTTCCTCCTCGTCATCAAGAGGATTCGGGTCATTTCGAGGAATGTCACTGAATGAAACCGGCTTATCCTTGTGGATCACAGTATGAGGCCCGAAAGCCATGAAATCTGGTCGATAAGGCGGGATTTTCGGCATTCGACTTAGATCAACCTGGATATAACTCAGAACGTGTTCAACTTGGACCGTCACAAAGCCTACCGGAATTCCACTTTTGGAAAAGTCAACTGCGACAGACGCCATTTCAGCTAGCGTAAGGCAGTCGCCATGTAGAGTGCCTTCAGGACACTGATCAGCCCGGATCTTATGGTTGTTGGAGATTCGGCCAAGTTGGTCCGTTGCCATCTGAAAGGCTAGACATTAGACATGGTCAGACATCGGCTTAGGCAACTTACAAAAGTGACAAAGAAATCAGTCATATCGGCACGGTCAACGGGCCGACCGAGGTCAACGGGCTTTGCTCGCGGATAATCGGCGGGAATATAGCTTCTTCTGGGTCTTGCTTGGGGGTCGAATAGAATTTGGTAGAGATCACCATCCAAATCTCCGCCACTGAGCATGCTTGGTAAGTCCCTTGGGCCCTTTTGGCTAAAGCATATGCAATTTCGAAGAGACAGAAGCGGCGAGTCGTGGGGCACGTTGACGCCCCTGACAATTTGAACGTCACCCGGATGCAAGGCCGGAGACCGAGTGACGAGTAGGTTGGAACCTACAATGATGGAAGGGCCACTTTTGTCGTCCACAATGCAGAAAATTTCACCTTCGTTCAAGTAACCTGTCTCATCCATGATCCCGAGTAGTGTGTACCCGAGCTCTATGGGTATCCTAGCTTTGTATTTGAGTGCTCGAAGCTCAATTAAAACGGCAATTTCCACAATATCTCGAAGGAAAGGATCGTCTCTGAAATCGACGTCCATTCTGTCAAGCTTTTGGATAAACCATGGAAGGTTGATGCGCTCGCCGATCGCGTGTTTCTTCAGGAATTTGGAAGCCATTTTCGAATCTGCTGTCGTTTTACGGAGCCTTTCGATTTCTTTGGTCTGGTTGTCAAGGAAAAAATCATCCGCAACACCCATGTCTTCAAGGATCTTGATGCTCTGATGGTTGAGATAATATGGGAGAGCCCGATAGGAGCCAGTGCAAAGCTCAATGTCAGTAGATGTTGAGCCTGGAAATTTCATCATCGAGGGGCGTAGATTTAGCACGTCTCCCTTGAGACGGGTGTCGAGGGAAATCATGCCCTTGGCACCTAGGTCACTGTTAGTCGAGACCCGACACAGAAGCCTTTAGCGCATCTTTGAAAAATCGCGTGTACTCAGGTGGCTCGTCTTGTAGAAAAATGGACTCACCTCCATAGCGGATCTGGAACAATGTTGGCCTCGTCTTGTGGACGGGTAGATGATTCCAGATCAACTTCATGACTGAGGGCGACATGGTACCGACTCCGTCGCTAAACACTCTTCCATTTCGTGCGACGTCTGGGATTTCTTTGCAGACACCGGCTTCAAGGGTAACGGCCGTTGGCGTCTCTGAAAAGGCCTGACCGATCCTTGCTGCACACTTGGCGGGACACCTAATATTGGAAAAGTCGCCCAAGCCTTTGATAAGCTCCCGGTCGAACAAGAGACGGCCATCGTGAACAAAGGGTGCCATGAACCAACACGACTGAGCGCGAAGGGACGAATGGGAAAATCCCAGAAACGAAAAATGTTGCCCGGCGAGGGTGAAGCCCTCGTTGAGGATCTTTTTGAACCTGTCGTTGTAAATGACTTGGTTGGATGCTCTAGCATTGAATCGAAGGGGCTCTGAGTCTTCATCCGAGAACTGGACTCGGAGGAAGTTGTTATGGTGCTGAGAGTATTTTCGGAGAACACGATTATTATTCTCTGGTGTCGGTCCCGCTAGAATCATACCAGCTGGTGTGATGGTCACTCGGTGGACATTGACCAAGGATTCCGAGTCAATGAATTCATCCTCTGAGGCTTCTCCTGCCTTTATCTGAAATTCCTTTTCAAGGAGGAGGGCTTTCAATTTCGGAGGGTTCCAGTAGCTTGCATCATCCTCGAGACATCTCCAGGATAAATTTTGGAATAATCGACGGACCACAGTACTGCAGATGGCCTGACCAGAACGACGGGCCAGTGCTCTGATCTCTGGCAAAATAGCTGAGACCGTCTTTGGCGGTAAGCAACCCTCTTGAGCTAGTCTGATTACCTGGAATTTGATGGGAAAAGGAAGTGGAGGAGACTCCATGGATTTGAAGAGGCGGGACAATTGGGTTTGGAATGGAACGGGGGATTGTATAATCTGAACTCGTTGCCAAATGATAGGTGGGAGGGCTCTGATAGATGTCACATTTTGGAGGCCAGAAGACACATGGTCGTCTGCGAATCTGAATATGTATACGAGGCAGCTTCCCGAGATTGTGGCATGATTTCCATCAAGACATGGGATCCGCATCAAGTCTGGACCGGTACCCTGTTTGTGGAGGTTCAGACCAGACATGAACTCGTTCAACTGCAACTGGCGATTGGCGGTTGCGGTATTGTAGAAAAACCTTGGAGGCTCCTTTCCCGTTAGAATCAAGTCGCTATTTTTGTATTTGGAGAATACTATCTCGTGCAGTATGTTCGCTGAAAATTCAATGACTAGTCTATTCTGCAGTTTGACGGCGATGCCTTTTGAGGTGAATTTGAGAGTTCCAGTTTGAGACCAAGATTGGTAGTACACATATGTAGGACTGACATTGACCAGATCCCATAACCCGCATGAAAACATGCTCACGGAGAGGCCTGATGGCTTTTTAAGTCCCTGCTGTTGAGCAGACTGTTCTTGGACAATGGGTTTCTCAGCTGGCGTTGAACTGAGAGCCTTTGCTTTTCGGGCTTTGGACTCAAGCTTGAGACTCCTCAATGCGAAAGGGTCCGGCTGTCGATTGCTTTTGGTACACGAGAGGGCGGTTCCTTTGAACAAGAGTTGAATACGACCATATGGCAGTTGAGGACGGCCAATGCTGGTTGAAACTGACCCATGTTTATCGAGAAAAGCCTGTCCGTCGGAGGGGTGTAAAAAGGTCAGAGAAGCGAAGTTCTTGCCTTTGACCTTATGGACGCGCCAATCGTGGATATTGAGGGTGAGGAGACTAGGGCGCAGTCCACTAGACAACTGATTTGACGTGGTTCGCTCAGGCACGCCGCGTATGAAGACGTCCATCTTGTGAGTCAATGCTAGACAGGGACGGCTGACCCGATGGCGGCTAAGGGGGATGACAACAATAAGATAGTTTTGTTCAGCTTGAAGAAAGGTGTACAGGAACTCAACGAGATCACCAGCCAATGATTGACAGTATCAGAGTCAGGACTTTTGTCGAATAGCCTGACGAAGGAGGGGACACCCGGAACGATGCACAACGGGGTTCAGGACCGAAATACCTTTATGTTCAGTTAGCAAGTCAAGAGGATGCATGTTGGTTGCCGACAAGCCCGTGCAGAAGATGATATGTGGTTGAGATGAGAAGTCGATTTAAGGTGTAGGGTGGGAGTTGAGTCTCGAGGAAGGTACAGCACAGACCAAAGGAGTGCACCTTCCCACCTTCCCCGTCTTTCGTACAGAGGAAAGAGCAACCGTAAATGTAGCCAAAATGCCAACCCAAGGAAGGAACCCTCGGACACACCTTCCTCACCATTTCCACCAGCCAATCACCTTTACGACACTATAATCTCCCCAACGTCTCGCCAATTTGCATGCTGACTCCATGTCAACTCATGGCACTGCCTTAGGGTTACAACTACTATTAACATTGGCAAAAAGTCTCTTTCATGTCGATTCTGCTACTAACGTGGAATTCTCTGGTTGTTCAGCCTAATCGTCCTGACCACACTAAGCTCGCGTCATTGTAAAGTGACAGACACCCTGGGACGCATGTCACCGCTAGACCAACCAGATCAGAATCAAATCCATCAATCATCGGTCCACACCGCCCACGCCCTGGTCTTACTCCACGTGGTCAGACATCACTCCATCACCAGTCTTCCAGGTCCCAGAAACACCGTCTTCAGTTGACACATTGAAGCCCCCCTCCGAGAACAATGGCAGGCCAGTCAACCCCTGGATCCACAGCCTCGTCGTCATCCCAGTCAAACCAGTCAACTGCCCTGCAACAACACGTTCTCTTCTGGGATCAGGACAACGATGGCATCATCTGGCCTCTCGACGTCTACCGAGGGTTTCGTGCCCTGGGGTTTAGCATCATTTTCAGCCTTGGCGGTCTTCTCATCCCCTTACTGTTCTCCTATCGCACCAGACTCGTCCATTCATATATCCCCGACCCATTCTTTCGTCTTTACGTGTCAGGCATTCACAATGCGAAACATACTTCTGACACGGGCATTTTCGACGTTGATGGCCATTTCGTATCTGCTCGCTTCGACGCCATGTTCGACCAGTTTGACCACACCAATTCAGGTGGCTTGAGCGCCGGAGAGTTGTGGGCTCTGTTGAAGTACCACCGAAGCGCCTGGGATCCGGCTGGGTCGAGTTTTGCCTTTATGGAGATGTGGACGACGTGGCTGCTTATTCAGAGAGACGGCAGGGTGTCAAGGGAGGACCTTAAAGGTTGCTATGACGGCTCTTTATTCTGGAAAATTGCCGACTTGGAGACTGCTCAACGGAATGATGCCAAAATCAAGGGCTGATCCCAGCTCTGGGAAAAGGGCTATGGAGTCGCCGACTTTGTTCAAGGCTTGTGGCATGGACGCACCTGGAAGAACTGGGAGCTGAAGAAAGACCTTTAGATTACATTGTTACATCATAGAAACATGATCTCTCTATTCCTCTCCAACCAAATCTACTTGAATGTGAAAAGGGATCACACAAACGCTTGCGTGGTGCTTAGTGATAAATGTTCTTATATGTATTGACAACATTAACAGGACTCGTCTCGGTCCCGATGGCACACGCATGCATTCCCAAATTTTTATCATGCTACGCCGCTATGCAAATCTCCTGCAGGCTCATATAATCAGACATGGTCAAATTTTGTCCCGCTCACCATCCTCCTGTTCATTGTTCCTGGTGCGAGATTCATCACTGAGCGCCCCATCACACAACTGGGAGAAATCTATTCCTCATCGCTTTCCTCCTCCGCGGTTCCCTCGTGGAAAAATTTGCCTTCAGTGGTCTCATTGATCACGCCGGCGCGGATCGTCCAATCACCGAATCTCTCGCCGGCGTTGCGTTCCTTGGAATACCGACTCAACAGCCCCTTCATGATCTCGAGGATCTCGTCCTCCTTGATGCTGCTGCGATACAGCTTGTTCAGTCGCTGTCCGTGGTACCCACCGCCCAGGTACATATTGTATGCCCCGTACGCTTTGCCCACAAACGCTGCTTCTGCCAACCAAGGTCGGGCACACCCGTTAGGACATCCTGTCATTCGCATCACGATCGAATCCTGGCTGAGCCCATTCTCCTCCAACACCCCTTCGAGTTTGGTGATGAGCACCGGAAGATATCGTTCCGATTCCGCCATGGCAAGACCACAAGTCGGGAATGCCACACATGCCGAGCTTGATAGTCGCATTGCTGAGAATTGCGTGTTGTCAAGCTTGTATTGCTTCATCAGTTCAATCAGCTTCGGTTTCTCTTCATCCGTGACATTCGAAAGAATCAGGTGCTGGTTTCCCGTCAGCCGGAATTCGCCCTTGTGGACTTTGGCGATTTCCAAAAGACCGGTCCGCATGGGGAAATCCGCGGTATCTTCGATTCGACCATTCTCAATGAAAAACGTAAAATGGTTCAGCCCTTTCTCGTCTTTTTGCCAGCCAAACGTGTCGATGTTGGAATCAAACTTGAAAGGTCTCGGTGCCTCAAATTTGATCTTCAATGGGTCCAGGAGGTCTTGAACCTTGGCCTTGAACACTTCATTTCCCATGTCGTCCATTGTGTACTTGAGTCGAGCATGTTTGCGGTTCTTGCGATCACCGTGATCACGCTGCACGAGCATGATCTTCTCACACACAAGATGTGCCTTATCGGCGGCGACATATCCCATCATGTACCCAGTGCGCGGGTAGGTCTTCTTGTTATTGTGCGTGACACCCATGCCACCTCCGGCCAAGATGTTGAAGCCCTCAAGATGGTTGTCCTTGCCCCTGATGGCAATCAAGCCCACATCATGCGCGTACACGTCCGTGTCATTGTGAGGTGGGATCGCAATGGTAATCTTGAATTTTCGTGGGAGATATGTAGGGCCATACAAAGGCTCAAAATCTTGAACCGCGTCGCCAGCAACCTGAGTTTTCTCACCCGTGGCATCGTCCTTCAGCCAAATCTCGTGGTAGGCTGTTGTCGAAGGCAACAGATGATCAGATATCTTCTGGGACACCGCATACACCTCTCGATGGTATTCGGACATGGTTGGCAAGCTAGAGCACATGACGTTTCGGTTCACGTCACCACATGCTGCGATGGTCGTCATCAACGATCTGTTGATAGCCTGCATAGCCCCCTTCAACTTGGATTTGATCACTCCGTGGAACTGGAACGTTTGTCGAGTCGTCAGCTTCATGGTTTCATTTCCGTGGGCAGAGGCAATGGCATCCATTTGCTGCCATTGAAGCGGTGTGGCCACACCTCCAGCCAAGCGACATCGAATCATGAAGGAATACGCAGGCTCGAGACCCTGTGCCTTGCGTTCGTCTCGCAGATCGCGGTCATCTTGCATGTACGTGCCGTGGAACTTGGTCAGTTGTTGATCAGATGCCGAGATGGCACCAGTAGTGGTGTCAAGAAGCCCCTCGACGATGGTACCGCGTAGATAATTGGACGCGATTTTAATGTCTTCGTTCGTCAACGGGGGTGGCTCTTCCGGTAAGCCTTCCACGTTGGCCACATTGAGTGCTTGCCACAAACGTGGTTCCCATTCTTGGTATCCCGTCTGATATGTGTCTGGGTCTTGGTCATCACCAAGGCCAATAGGAGTCAAGACCTTGCCACCCAAGAAAGCCAACCGAGCATCAAGATCTTTGCCAGGCTTGTTGTAAAAGATCTTGTCTTCCTTTCGAGGCCAGTAATGGCTGTCGCCAAGTGCAAAGACAGAGAAATGGACATTGGAAAGGTCGACATCGGCAGTGTCCTTGATGGCTTCCCAGAATCCACGACCATTTTGTGGGAATTCTCCCTGACCGGCTGTGCTGGTGATGAAGACAACATTCTCCTCATTGGCAAGGTCCTCGACAGGGTAATCGTCCATGGCAAAGACCATGGTCTTCAGGCCACGGGCCTTTCCACGATTGCCAAGTCGCTTGGCCAGACTTACACCGTTGCCATTGTCGGACGCGAACAGGATGGTCAGGGGAGCACCATACAGGCCTTCCAACATCTGCTCATATGCATCCTTGGCCGTACGCTTTTGCAGCTTGCGCACCTCAGATCCATATGATTCGGAGAGGTTGGCTGCAAACTGTGGATGACGGTTCATAAGTTGTGTGAGATGATTGTCGCGCTGCAAGAATTGTTCGAGTTCTCGTTTGATTCTTTCCGAATCCAGCGAGAATGTAGGCTCGCCCTTCTCTTCATTCGACGGGTCCCATCGATAAAGAGGCCAGTAGCCCAAGTCCACAGCCTTTTTGGTCTCCTGTAAAGCTGTCAATGCCGAGTCATCCTCCTTATTGTATGGCAGATACGCGAGGACTACCGAAGGTCCATTGAATTTCTCGGCGTCGATCATTGCCTGCAACACCTGGGTATATGAGCTGTAAACGGCAACGGAGGCTACGTAAGCGTTGCCATAATTCATTGCATACAGGCCAATGTCTTTCTTCCGTCGCTGAGAATCAGCTGCCGCTCGAGTCGAATATGGTTCGGAATCAATGATCAAGAGGTTGACGTTTGCGCCGGACGCAAGCACATGGTGAACACCGGAGTTGCCGAGATCATATGCCCAGGCGTCGGAACCGATGAGCCACTGTGCCTCCTTGTAGAAAAAGGCCTTGTTGTCAAGTAGGCGGCTGGCCAATCGTGAACCGTCATTTTGCAACCGGGAGACTACCTCGGGCGCAATCTCATTGGCTTTGGACGAATCTTGAGCATTCAAAACCCATTTCGAGAGCCATTGCTTGGGGCTTTCGGTAATGAACTCCTTGCTTCGGGCAGCGACCTCGGCTTCCTTCAAAAATTCCTGGCGTTTATCGATGCGTGCGAGGAGGGAACCAAGACCATACTCAGGGGAAGCAGCCAAGGTCGCTGAGACACCTGCATTCTTCTGCTTCAGCTGATTCGCAATGTACAGTCTGGTGCTGAAGAGCTGATCAAGGATCTTGAGATAGGCATTCTCGAGCTCTGGTTGTTCGGGTTTGAAGTCGTCAACGTGCGGAGGGATTTCAGCACCAACTGAGAGATTTTGAATCAGGATTGGAGCAGATTGAGAATGGCCTCGTCGACGAGCATGCTTCCTCGGGGTTGTCGGAGGTGCCAGGTTCTGGAAAATTCCTCGCAGGGCTTGCAGAGCTGTGGCGGCATCAACCTGGCCCAATCGATATTGGACCAAGGAGACGGAGCTTCTGTCCTCACCGGTAGAATTCAAGGTTGACAACAGGTCAAGAAAGGAAGGGCCCCATTTGGTAGTCTTTCTCCTAATCTGTTCCAAGACTGCAATCTTCTTGATCGAAGAAGGGATCGCAGCTAGCAGAGTTGCGGCCGACTGCCATGGACGATACAAACGAGCGGTGATGAGGCCGACGTTGGTCAGCTCCGGAGCGACATCATCTGCATCCAAGACATCAACAAAGACACCAGTGGAGCCAAAGATGAATAGGGCTGCTTCCGCATCAGGTGGGCCAGAATACTCGATTGGTGAATAAGCACGGCCCGTACTCCGCTCAATTTTGGCCCAGATATCAGTGACATAGTTGAGAATATCAGAGGCGTTCACTGGTCTGGAAACCGGGGCGTCAACAGTAGTGGCTAGGGATGAGGGTGTTGTGCTTTCGGATGAGCTATCTCTTCGTGAAGATGATGCCGAAGAGATATCGGTAGTGTCATTGGTGGACGAGGGGGCCGTCACTGGTGAGAAAAGATTTTCGGAGGTTGTACGAGGGGGTGACTGTGCTGTTACAGTGGTGGGCAGGCCCAATTCTGACACAACGGCGGTGCGTCCACCATTTGCGTATAGTATATCGTCAGATGGACTCGAATACGTCACTGGTGTGCCCAGGGCATCTTGGAAAAGGGACTCTAGCAATTCTCGGCCCTCGGCGGCAATCGAGGAATCCTTGGACGAGTTGGTAGGGTCGAAAAAGTGAATGACACCCTTGCCACTCTTGATGGCCAAGGCATGGGCCGTCAAGGCAATGTCCTGGGCTTCTTGGAGAGTCTCTGACTGTAGAAAGGTGAAACCGGACTGGCGCACTGAACTGATATCGGAGAAGTCAGGATGTGTGGAGTCGAGAGCCACATGCAGGACCACGGGATATTGGGCAAGTTTGTATAAATGAGGAACAGCGCTCAAGAGGATGGACGAAGGAGCTGTGGCTGATACCAATTTTCCTTCCTTGAGAGCCGAATATGCAGAGAGGAGAGGGTCGGCATTTTGACGCACGACAAGGACTTCGGGGATGTTGTTGGAAACCAGATTCCTGGTCTTGGTCGCAGTGAATCGAGACAAATGGTAGGAAAATTCGGAGTCCTGGCTCAGTGAAGGCTGGACTGAAAGAATCACATCGCTCGCCAGATAAGCAAGTCTCGCCACTAAACAAGATCAGAGTCAGTAAAGGTGTGTAGGGAATCTGAGAGGAGTGGGAGCTCTTCTGCTGTGTTCTCGAAGAGAACGAATCCCCAGCGGAGGAAAGATTAGGGCGGGGAAGGGACGACCACTTACCTGCCTCGGCGGGACTTGAGATAGAACCCATGGTGGAGAGAGGAAAAGAGAACGACGACAGAGAACCACCAGGGAGAGAGAGGGAGAGAGAGACTGCGCCAACAAGAGCGCTCTGGAGGATGTGAAGCAGTCTTGCAGAGGAGAGATGAGGCAAGAAGGGAAAAAACAATTAATTAGGAAGGAATCGAGGACGACGGGGCAACGCCAGTATAAGCCGGCAAAAACGAGGGGAATGATAATAGTCCCGAGTCAAGGAATCATTAGTCTCAGGTCAAATGGTTCATGACTTGACCAATTTTTGCGGTTTATTCTGCTACAGATGCTCCGCTTTGCTCTGGATCGACTTAAACACTCGTGGTAAAGTTCCTGTAGACGCATGATTCCAGTTCGTTAACCATCGAAGCCTTAGTCAACCCTTTCTTCTCTCACCAAACCGAGCCGGTGAAATTTTTCCAATTCTCGTCATTCGCTCCAGCCGCGCTATGATTGGTTGCAAGGGCGATGGCGCCATCGATGCTCTACGGAGGACTTCCCAGCCTTTTTGCGCCGTAAGTTCGCTAACTCGAAACGATTTTCCGGAGCAGTTGCCTCCCGCCGGAAGCTAATGATTGAGCTGTAAGAAGGTGGTGTGAATATCACTTTGTGACTCTTCTCTACATGTATTTGTCCTCCCTCGGCTTGTGCCTATTTCCTCTGTAGGTCTGTCTCCATCTTGGTGTCACTTGATTCTCTCCCAGTCAGGACTCCACGCAAGCACATTCGAGAGATGCACTCCGCAGTAGTGATGGGCTTGGCAAGTCCGAGGCAATCCGCTCTTGGCATTTAGTCTTCTCTCAGCCTAGCGTCATCAAAGTGCCTCCAATCTGCCAGTTGCCAAAAAAATGTTTCCCCTCACGGCGACTTACAGCCTGAGACGTCGATACCAGAGAACAGAGTGACAATCAATCTTGTCGTTCAATCAACAACTGCCTCTGGGACAATTGCTTCGTTGCCATCTCGTAATGGCCGACGATGATGACCCAGTCGTTGCCGAGTATGACGTTTACCTCACACATCCCCCACCCTCCACCTCCGACGAGCCTTCCTCCAAACTCTGCCTTCTTCAGTATCCCGCCCACCGTAAAGCCTCAAAACCATACAATGCCGCGTTGTCACAAGCTCCCACTGCCTTGAGGCTGAAATCAAAAACAGGGTTCCTCGAAGTCGATATACCCATGATCGCCCATGATCACTACAATGAACTTACTGGCGAGAAATATGGCAAGGCTATTGCTGAGAATCGCACTCTACACACCGGAGGTACCCATGGCCTGGCCGGTGGTTTTTCTGTCAACTCTCTGCTGAGACCAGGTGACACACTCGCTCTTGATACTCCCGACTTTGTTTATCCACCCCTCGTGACTCAGACTCTTGGCGGCAAGATCGTCACCCCTTCCCCTCGAGATCCTATATATCTGCTGGGTCATTTTCGAAACAAGCAGCTTCACCTCTCCCACCTGGACAGCGTGGTGCAAATGCGCCCACAGTTACACCACATTGATGCCGAGGACGAGAACAAGCGGCGTCTGCCTTCCACTGCCAATACTGCCCCAGGCCGCACGAAGGCGGCATCCGACGGGCTCGCCAATAAGGTCGAGTCCAAGGCCATTGAGATTAAGTTGAAAGACAACAAGGATGATTCAAAAGACAGGAGCCTCAACGATAATGCCAAAATGCTCCGAGATATCCAGACAGATGAATGGCAAGAATTTTCCTGGGTGGACCAGGATGAGGAAGAGGCGCGAGACGTATTTGAATCACATCTCAACCTCTCCCCTACAAAAGTGGCTGCAGCGCCCAGGCTGAAAAGCGGAATCAGCAATGGCGACTGGCTCGATAAGATGAGCGCCCCACGTGAAGATGGGAAAAAGGGTCTCCTGGCAAAGTTACGGGGCCGCGAGAGGGAGCGTGCCAGAAGGAAAAAAGCAGAGGAGGAAAAGCGACAACGCCAGAGGGCAAACGCCACAGGACTGCAAGGGGGCATCAGTGCTACTTTAGGAGTAGACACTGACAGCGATCTGAGCAGTGCCGAGGATTCGGATGTGCCTGTTTGAATGCGTCCAGCCTGATCTGGGCAAAAGCACCGAGCACCGAGTTGCTCACTTTCCCATGCCTAGATGGACGCTATCGTCGATGTTGTCGCTGTCCGGCTTTCATGAGCAGTTGAAATGTCCTCAGGTCCTCTTTCGCATCCTTGGCCGTGGTCTTGATCTCTTTGCCACCAACGACCACGTCATACAACTCCTTCATTTCAAGTGTGTACGGATCTTCATATGTTCGCCTCACGAGAGTTTCTCGGTATGCACCATCGACATTCTCACGGATGAGCATGGTCACAGGCAGACCTTTGACATACGGGGTATCCCATGACACCTTGACCGATTTCTGGAGGCTGTAGACCTCGAGATGTGCATCGAAGCGCGGCACATTATCAATACCAGATTCATAAGTGACGGAGAAACCCGGATATCGAAACATGGCGCTAGATTTTGTTGAGCAGGGGACGAGAGCATCAAGGTCGACAGCAAACATACCTCCAAAAATTGGGGCTCATAAAGGCACCGCCTACATCTTCTGGTTGCCCGAGCGCTTCTCTCATTGCCGACAAATCATGAGATCCCAGCCCACAGAGCAGGCGCCACATCTTGGTGGTCTCAGACGTAACAGGCACACCACATTCGACAGCCAGTGCCTGATTGACAATATCATCGGCTTTCGCTTTCTTCTCCGCGATTGCTTCCGGACTAAAGTCAGTAAAGACCTTGGGAAAGGTCCCTGACTGAGAAACAAAATGGCTGTTAGGCCCAATGATGTCTACGAGAAAGGCGTCCAACGATCAGCTATGAAATGGAAAGAGCGATAAATACCATAGATAGACAAACATACCTCTAACTCGAGCATAGAGGATCTTGTCAATACCTCCAACCTCTTGCACCAAATCCACAAATGCTGTTGCAAATCGTCGCATGTAGCCTACCATGACTCTCCCTTGAGACTTTTGCTCAGCAGTAATGATAGCATCGGCATCTCTAGCACATAAAGCCATGGGCTTCTCAACGAAGACATGCTTGTCATGTTTCAAGGCCTCAATGACATGATCAGTATGGTACTCGTCCGAACTAGCGATGAAGACCAGGTCAACATCGGGGGACGCGCACAGTTCTCTCGGAGACTGTGTCACGTGCGGAACATGATTGATGACCTTCTGAGAACTATGCCGGAGCGCCTCTTGAGACACGTCACAGAGGTAGGTTATGGTAAAGTAGTCGGAGAGGAAGCCCAATGTAGCAATATGGGCAACCTGGGTGACCTCCCCAAGACCTATCAGTCCGACTCTGACGATCTTATTTGTAGACATTGTCGACCGTCAACCGCTCAGCACGTGCGTTTCCCCAAGAATTCAAGGACAGCCAAGTATCAGAATGTGCAGACCTTATGGAACTTCTCCTCAACAAGTTCTCATATGTAGTTAAGCATCGTTGGGGGAGACATGAGATCAAATATCGAGATACCAAATTGCGCACAAGAACTACATATCCAAAATTGTAGCGGTCTGACAGCATTTAATTCCGATATTGTGCCAATTGTTGAGAAGCTTGCCGTGCCTGCGCTGCGATTGGACAGAACCGGAGGTGGTCTGACAAGATCGCCTGTCCAGCCAATCACAGCTGCCAGATTGGACCCAGCTGCGCTCCTCCTGCATTTTGTCCTCGCAAAACTTTCATACCAAATCAATTCCTCAATTTCATTCATTCTCTCATTCATTCATCATCCACACCTCGAGTGTTGCTTCTATCGGGTTCCACTGTCGGACAATGCATCTCGACTAGATGTTATCATCCAAGTCCCCGAGACAGTACTTCCGAACCCATCTTGAGCTTCCTGCTTGAGGTCACCTCTCACAGCAATGCTCACACGAGCAGCTCGTCGGAGGCATGCTCTCCATCACCTCCAACGAGCAGCAGATAACATCCAATTGAAATGGCTGTGTCCTGCTCTTGCACAGCCTTACACCACATTCCCTCCATCACACCCTCGTACCTCTACGACGCGACCCTTGGCCCCCCGATCCACGAGTACGCCTTCACAGCGAACTCAGCTTCGTCATCTCGCCTCCCCAGCATCGGCCCACGAATACTTTGACACTCCTGATGATTACATTCCCTTTTCTCTCGGCAATGGAGAGCATTCGCTCCTCCACTCTGGCCCCCGGAGTCCGCTGAGTGACCTGACTCCGTTCGACGTATCCCAAATCCTCATGCTTGACAACAGTCCTGAGTTTGAGGACGAGTATGCTCTTGCAGACGACCCGACCTTGAGAAAACGAGGAAATCCCGACGAGATTGAGGCAACTCTCGATGCCTGCCTGCATGTTCAACAATGGACTCGAGCTTATACCCTCCTGTCCCAGCTGAGTGTTGTACGTCAAGATGATTACACCAGATTACGAAATGCCCACAACAAGTATCTGGCGGCCATAGTCGACGACTTGCTGCAGAACCGCAATATGGAACATCAACCGCGCATCAACAACTGGATTGAGGGCCAGATGAAGAAAGTTGGCCTGGAGCCTGATGCTCTAAGCTTAGCCTTGAGACTCAAGGTCGCCCTCGAATCATTTGAGGATCCCAATCGACTCGCCACCATCAATCGATATTGGAACTTGATCCAGGGCCACCAGCTCGAAAACGAGGTCCTGAGCATGAGAAACATTCTTGACGACAGAGATTTGGGGAGACTTTTCGAGGTTTGCTCATTTGACGTTGAGGATCTTCCACACGAGGTCTCGTCCACAATCGCCATAGGCGATGCCTCATTAAGCCCAGAATCTTACCAAGAACCGGCCTTGAAAATCCGAGAAACAGACCAGAAGGGCATGGGTCTTGCCTCCCTCAAGAAATCCCTACGCATCTTTTCCGAGCGGGTGAAGTCAGAAGATGCCGCTACTGCCGAGCAGAACATCGCAACAGAGAGACAGGCAAGATTGGAAAAAGACGCCATCGAAGCTGCTATGGGCCGGTGGAAGGCTGAATACAAACAAAGGAGAAAAATTGGTGCTGTAGGAGGTCTGGGTGTTGGCAGGCTCGGTGGACTTCTCTGGGTCTGGCATGAATCTCTGGCCAACAAGATAACCAAAGAATTGGAGCTAGTCCGACAGGCGACCGAAGCAAAAGGCATCAAGACTACTCAGCAGAATCTGCGCGCTGACTACGGCCCTTTCCTAGCATCCTTACCACCTCAGAAAATGGCCGCCATGACCGTCATCGCAATGATGCAACTTTTCAGCAGAGCAGGTGTTGCCAAGCCCATCAAATTAGTACGCCTCGTGACAAACCTGGGCCAATCGATTGAGAATGAATATGCGGCCTCGTTCATCCATGAAAAGAAAGATCAGCTCATGAAAGACTTCGAAAACGCCCCCAAAGGAGTGAGTCAGGAATGGAAAACTGACATGACAATTCACATGCACAAACGCAACGCCCATCACAGCGCAAGTCCTTTCAATTTCAAGCACAATTGGACCAAGGTGCAACATGCCAAGCTCGGTGCAATTCTGTGCGAGCTGTTGTTTGACACGGCAAAGATGGATGTCACAAGGACCGATCCTGTGACAAAGACCACAAGGACCATTTCTCAACCCGTCTTTCACCGATCCATTGGTTATCAAAATGGCAAGAAAATTGGATTGGTTTCGATCCAGGAAGACTTTCGCAATGTCCTCTTCACTCAACCCGCCGAGCACCTAATCGCCAAGCAGTTGCCCATGGTGTGCCCTCCTCGGCCATGGACCGGGTTCTACGAGGGAGGCTACGTGCATTCGATACAGCCATTCCTTCGAGTTAAGCACCATGAGACGGCACAGAAACATTATGCAAAAGCAGCAGCGGCACGGGGAGACTTGGATCAGCTCTTCGCTGGCATTGACGTGCTCGGTCGAACTGGCTGGCGCATCAACCGTAATGTCTTCAATGTCATGCTTGAAGCCTGGAACAGTGGCGAAGAAGTTGCCAATCTTCCACCCCTCAACAAAGTATTCCCCGAGATCGAACGTCCCGAAAAGGACGCCAGCCCCAAGGATCGTTGGTTGTGGTTCAGCAAAATGCGTGGTATAGAGAACGAGAAAAGTGGCCTTCATTCAGAGCGTTGCTTCCAGAACTTTCAGATGGAAATTGCCAAGGCATTTTTGGACGAAACCTTTTATTTGCCACACAATGTGGACTTTCGCGGTCGCGCATACCCAATTCCACCGTACCTGAATCAGATGGGCGCCGATAATTGCCGGGGATTGCTTCTTTTCGACCGTGGTCGACAACTAGGCCCAGATGGTCTCCGCTGGTTGAAGATCCATCTTGCCAATGTCTATGGGTACGATAAGGCGAATCTAGACGAACGAGCTGCCTTTTTAACGGAGCACTTGGATGACGTGTACGACTCTGTTCGCAATCCACTCGATGGCAAGCGGTGGTGGCTGACAGCGGAAGACCCCTGGCAATGCTTGGCAACATGCTTTGAGCTTGTCGGCGCTCTCGAATCTCCTGACCCTGCTGCGTTTGTTTCAAGGCTGCCGGTGCATCAGGATGGCTCTTGCAATGGTTTGCAACATTATGCTGCACTTGGCGGAGATATTGCGGGCGCTAAGCAAGTCAACCTCGAACCGGGCGATCGGCCGTCCGACGTCTACACGGGTGTTTGCGAACTGGTCAAGGCCAGCATCAAGGAAGATATCGAGAAGGGTGACCCCGTTGCCAAACTGCTCGACGGAAGGGTAACCAGGAAAGTTGTCAAGCAGACAGTCATGACCAACGTTTACGGCGTCACATTCCTGGGGGCTATGCGACAGGTGCGAAAACAGGTTGAGGCTTTAATGCCTGACCTCGAAGCCGCCCAAGTGTCTGGCAGAGCGGCCAACTATATCGCTAAAAAGATCTTTCATGGTCTTGGGACGCTGTTCTCCGGCGCTCATCACATTCAGTACTGGCTCGGCGATTGTGCCAATCGTATCAGTTCATCAATCTCGCCCGCACAATTAGAAAAGATTTACGCCCAAGCCTACGGGCCTGGCAAGACGACAGTGGAGAAGAGTACAAATCGAAGCAAAAAGGGCTCCAAAGTCATACTAGAGTCTGGGGTCTTCCGATCTAGCGTCATTTGGACCACTCCCCTGAAGCTCCCCGTCGTCCAGCCTTACAGAATGGTCAAAGGACAATCCATTCAGACCGCCCTCCAAAACATCACGCTCAATCAGCCTAGCGTGGCGGACGCGGTGAACAAGCGCAAGCAACTGCAAGCATTTCCCCCCAATTTTGTTCATTCCTTGGACGCTACACATATGGTTCTTTCAGCATTGAAAGCCGAGGAATTGGGCATTAGCTTCTCTGCTGTTCATGACAGTTTTTGGACGCACGCTGCCGATGTCAACACGCTCAATACGCTCCTCCGCGAAGCATTCATTCGAATGCACAGTGAAGATATCATTGGGCGGCTTTCGGCGGAGTTTCAAATGCGGTATCAAGGCCATTACTATCTTGCGTTCGTCAAGAAATCTCATCCGTTGTCCAAGGCAATTGGCGGCTATCGTCGAGAAATGACCAGTAAAGGCGAACTACCAACTGGGGGAGGTTCGAAAAAGCTCGCCGAAAAACGACATGCGGAGTTGGTACGAGAAGTGCGAAAGCAAAAGCTTATGGCAAGCGAAGATCCAAAAGAAAGGGCAGAAGGTGAAGCCATGGTGACTGCAGCAACCCTTTTCGAACAGTACGATGGAGAAGACAGTTTATTCCATCGTGATTCCCTCGGAGCATCTGCAGTGGGGGCAATTCCGGAGGCAGCCGAGGAGGCAGGAATTGAGGAAGCGATGCAATCGGATTTAGACATGAGCGCAGTCGTCGAAGAAGACGACGACGACCTAGCCAATCCACTTTCCTCTTTTAAGAGTTCTGGCGCCAGCTATGACGGGGCTCATGATCTCGACAACCCAGATCTGGCTTTGTCATTCAATGGCCCAGACGCCAGACTGGGTCGAGTTCATGCCAAAGCTGCAGTCCACGTTGGCGACAAGCCACCAACGTCAAACTCGAAGAACATGACGACACACACGTGGCTTTGGTTGCCGTTGACATTCAGACCTGTCCCCAAAAAGGGAGACTTTGATGTCAACCGACTGCGAGAGAGCACATATTTCTTTTCATGATGTATTATGGAGAACAGGTTTTGACCAAAAAGAGATGGGTTAATCAATTAGCATTTGCGTTGGCGCAGCATGTGAGCGAATTGTGATCGAGTATTTACCTCGATTGGTCCCGGTGAGGAAGGATCAGCATCTCTTCCGAGATTTGTACCAATACATAGGGCGGGATGAGAGTCCAACGGAGAAAGGAGGAGACGGACGAAGCGACGACAGGTGATGGAGAGTGATGTGTACCATGTTGATCGAGGACCAAACCAGGCTCTATCGCGACTTTGCTAGGACCTGAGTCTGGTGCTTCAGGTCGTTTGTATAGATATAGATATCTATGTATATATACACCAGATACACTCAAAGACAAATCATCTCAAAACAACTTCTCATGACCAGGTTTTTTATGTCGATGTGTTGAAGAACTGACTAAGTAACAAGTCAGGTCAGGGACGGGCGTAATACCGGCGAGAAGTACGCCCTGAAAATCACCAGACTATCACACGATGCCATTGCATTCCCTACCCTACCCTATCCTACCTTTTTCATTCTAAGGAGAAGCCAACAACAAAGCCACACACTCATCCCCTTTTTCAAGATATCCTTCCCGCAACGGAAGCTGAAGCAAAGCATTCGCAGAAGCCAGACTCGCCACACGACTACTACGCTGCATGCCCGTCGACGAAGCCACCAGACGACCTTGCTGCTGACCGGACCCTGTTCCAACAAACCGTACTCTGACTCGATGGTATTCCACTCTCGTCGGATCGCATCTGATACGTGAATCGACCGTCACTGTAACTCTTTCCAACCCCTTGGCTGCGATAGAGCCGCCGCCATATCCGCCTATGTGCTGGATACATGGCAAGAGGAATAAATTCGCTGTTACAAGTGCGGAGGCGGGGTTTCCTGGTAGACCGAATAGGAGACGTGATTCGCGAGAGGACGTCAATGCGGAGGAGGGTTTGAATGGAATAGAAGCAAACGTCGTTGGTTTTCCTGGTTTCATGCTAACGCGTCCAAAGTGGACGGTTCCGCCGAGTGAGCGTTCGACTGTGGGTTTGAGGAGGTCGAGTTCGCCCATGCTGACTCCACCCGTGGTGACGATGATGTCGAGATCATGATCGCGGTATCCGGCGCGAAGTGCTTCTTCCAATGCCGTGTTGGGTGTGTCGCGTGCGATTCCGAGGTCGACTACTGCGCCAGTGACGGGCCATTGGCCTACTAGTGTCAACAAGGATGGTCGGTTGGAGTCGCGGATCATGCCGTTGGTTAGGGGTTGGCTTTTGGTAGTAGTGTTGGAGACGTCTGTGACCTCGTCACCTGTACTGAGGATGCCGATGCGGGCTTTGCGGTAGACTGGGACTTGTGCAATGCCCGCTGCGGCAAGGACGCCGACTTCGCCGCCGAATCTGCTGATGGATGTGCCTTTGGTTAGAACCACTTCTGACAGTTGGATGTCGGAGCCGGGCTCGCGGATGTTCTCGCCAATGGCTAGCTCGGAAGTTAGGATCTCCACCGTTGCTTCTTCACTTTGATCGTCCGTTAGGCTTGCAATCGTGGTGTCTTCGACCATGACGACCGCGTTGGCGTTTTCCGGAAGAGGTGCTCCCGTAGTGATACGAGCGATTTGTCCTGGTTGTAATGGCGGTGGTAGAGATGCCGCTTGTGCGTGAGACACTGAGGCGACGGGGAAGACACCTTTGATGGAGGTCACGGCGCTGGTTGAAGAGGTTTGGTCTGATTCAGATGGGACAATCACCGCGTATCCATCTACGATGCTGGCGCGGTAGGCGGGCACGGCTTCGGCGGCTTTGATGTCTTCGGCCAAGACGTAACCTACCAAATCTGGTGACACGTCTCGAATCTCAACAATGGGAGATGGTGATTGTTCAATGATCTTGGCCACGGCTTCTTCGACACTGAGCATGGGATATGGAGAGCTTCGAGCACGTGCTGTGGCACCTAGACGAGGATCATTGGATTGATGAGGTCGTTGTGAGGGATCAGTGTGGGCTTTAGGCACTTTATGTCCTCCATGTCCATGTCCATGGTCGTGATCGTGATGATGATGGTGATGAGAATGGCTGTGAGAACCTCCTCCAACTGCAGGCTTTGCTGTCGAACTGGAAACTCCAGCATCTTTCTCCAGTTTGCTGACTCCGCCGGCATGGGCTTGTCTAGAATCCTCTCCTGCAGCCTGCATACAAGCATGAGGTAACAATTTGAGAATGGCCTGCAAATTCTCCTTAGCACCTTTGGGCGATCCAGGCAAGGTGACAATGATGGATTTATTTCTGACGCCGGCCACGGGACGAGACATCATAGCAAAAGGCGTGACTTGAAACGAAGCCGCCAACATGCCGTGCACGATACCTGGAGCGTGGCGATGAATCAGTGGGCTGATGGCTTCGGGGGTGAAATCACGACGGGCGAAACCAGTTCCTCCGGTGGTGACGATGAGGTTAATCGGTCCAGAAGCTTGACTCTCGCCGTCACTCCAAGATCGAACGGCCCGTTGAATTTCGAGAACATCATCCTTGACGATTTCGATGATAGGTTCTTCCCAACGACCGGCACCATCGACTGAAAACGTCTCTGTCAGTGCTGATCCGGCCTTGTCAGTTGATGGATCTGCAAAGGCAGTGTCTGAAACTATCAGAATGGCCGGTCGAAGAGGTGGTGCTTGGCTCATGGCTGTATCACGTGGGATTGACTGGTTATCCAATTGATTACTTTGGTTGTTGAGAGTTGCAAAGAGCTCGCCGTGGTCAAGCAAGCTGGAGCCGAATCAAGCGAAAGCTCTGTATTATCGAGTTAGCCCTAGAGCGAAACAATGTGTAGCCGTCACCACCTTATGCGCAATTAATGGTGATTGCTGAGGATGGAGCTGCGGATATGAATGGAGGTTGAAAGATGATGCAAGTGGATTCCTCAAAGTGGAGACTCTTGGCGTAGGGCGGAGAGGGTATGCTCACGTGATTTCAGCCTCGCTTGTAACTTGTTAGTGAGAGTACCAACGTCCCTTATAGAAGTACGTAAAGGCGACGACGATTATGGAAAGATGATGCGTGTCAGGCCAAGGTGGAGATCAAGGCTATGCTTATATATACTTCATCAAGAGCCATGTGTAACTTGCAGCAAAGTTCATGGATGGTTGCTGACATCATGCACTGAGTGAACCGGCTGTACCTTTAGGCAGAACATGACCTATCTTTGCAGTTTCTTTTCACAGAAGTAAAGGCAAAATTATAAATGGCATACTAGTAAACATATACATGGTATATTGAACGACTAAAGCGACTCATGTGCTTTATCATTTCGCTTGCAAGAGCGAGCAGCTACAGACAACGACCAGGTCGGCGAGGTCGACGGGTGGACAAAAAGAGGCAAGGGTGATCGATCTTGTTGATCTTGAGATCAACAGAACCAAAATAGCCTCTTTCTTTATGCAACGGGTTTGCCGTGGATTTCTGGCTCAGTTCTTGCTGTCGTCCAGGCTTCCTCATCGTCTTTCAACGCCCGTGGGTTGGCCTGAGTGAAGTCAGAACCCTCGTCCTTTGGATGTGGCTCATCAAGCGAGCTTGAAGATTGAGGCTTGGCTCCTGCAGCAGCAAGGTCTTCTTCTTCGAGCTCTTCAACCTCTTCAGGCAGGGTAAGGTTCAAGATGACACCAATCAATGCAGAGACGGCAAAGCCAGTCTCCAAAACCAAGGTGATGGCGCTATAGAAGCCGCGGAGGCCGCTATTGTCTCCGGAATAGGTGAAGACATTGCTGAACCAGCCAGGCACCACGGTGGCGCCAACACCGAGCGCCATAGATGCGGTGACGATGAAACGTGTTCGTCGGTTGAACGGCACGCGACACAAAATTGCGAAACCTGCTGCCATGACTGCTGCGAAGAGGAAGGTAGTCATACCTCCCAGAACAGGAGGTGGAATAGCCACCAGGGCAGCGGAGAACTTGGCAAAGATGCCTGCCAGGATCAAGAAGAAGCAGCAGCAGTAGCCAGCCTTGCGGTTGGCACACCGCGTGAGAGCAATGACGCCGTTATTTTGCGAGAATGTCGCCATCGGAGTGATGGTAGCCAAGGGGGCGATGATGCCGTTGAGACCATCAGCCAGGATGCCACCTTGGACTCGACTCTCGAACAAGCGTCCGGTAACTTCCAGCCTGGACACATCCGATGTCGCGGTGATATCGCCAATAGCCTCGCAGGCACAAATGACAAACACCATCAGCAGAGGAAGGACGAGTGGCCCGTAGATGGACAGCTTGAACGTCTTGACCCAGATGAACGATGCTGCAGGAGCATTGGTGATACCCGTATCATCAAAGTATCCAGTCGCGCTGGCAACAATACAGCCGACCAAGAGGCCGAGGATAACACTGGTTGATTGCTGCATGGAGAGTTAGCACCTTGATAACACAGACAAGAATGGCTACGCACCATGATGGGAGACCCGAATCTCTCGCAGAAAATAATGGTCACGAAGACAAGGAATCCAAGACCTGCATCATTGGTCAGTCAAGCTCTTTATCAGAAGCTTCCGAATCAGGTTGACTTACCGACAAAGTTGGCGCTGCCCCACACAGCTGCTCTTGGAGCATTGATATTGGGGCACAATTGGAAGAAGCCTGTCTCGGGTTGATTGTAGCAAGCGTTGCTTCCACCACCCCAGTTACGGAAGCCTGATCGGATGAGATAGACACCAATCAAGATGACAACGGGGCCAGTGACAATTGGAGGGAAGATTCGTCGAATGACACGAGGCGGCAAGAAGGAGATCATCACCTCGATCAGGGCACACAGAGCACAAGTGCCAAGAAGGGCACCATATCCATCAGGGCAGGCGAGACGATTTCCCTCGTCATCTGTTGGGCAGAATCCTGTGGCATACATCTGATTGAAAGCACCCTGCAGGAAAAGATGAGCAATTCGCAATTTTGGGAAGCAGTTGGGCCGGAAGGACTAACCGTTGCAACGGGAATAAAAGCAAACGAAGTTCCCACGACAGAGATCATGCCAGTACCAACAAAGTAAGGGGTCTTCCAGATGTGGAAGCGGGTGATCTGAATGGAAGACATAATGCCCGAAACAATCAAGGCGGTGGAAACGAGATATTGCTGGGATTCCAGGTCCAGATTGACACCAGAGGCGCTAGACATCATGAGCGGGGGAGTGACAACACCAGCCAACATGGCAAGGGCATGTTGAAAGCCGAGCAAAAGGGCCAACACTGTAGGTAAGGCATCGTGGAGACCGAAGAAGGGACTTGGTTTTCGTGCCCTTTTCATAAATGGGATGTTAGGTCGGAAGAGGAAGGCATAATCATATGTTCCAATTAGACCATCTCTGGTCGTGAGTGCCTTGCGAGCCCGTTGCAAGCGTTGACCGAATCCCTGTCGAGGGCGGATGCCCAGGGCATCTCTGTCGACTTCGAACATGGTGAAGTCGTTTGGCGAAAAAGGACCTAGTAGTATATAGATGCAAGCGGCGAGATGATTGTCGCACGAGGGCTGGAAGTACGAGGTCTGCCACTTAGTACAACCCAGTCGTCTATGGACGGGCGAACGAAGAATTTTATAATGGCTGGCGAGTTCGAGCCATTAGATCGTGATAGACAGTCGCCTGACAGTATCGTCGGCGGCCGAGTCAAGACAGTGTGATAATTCGTCGGCGAACGCCCTTATCTCCAAAGGTCTGGGCAATGACAGGAGATCGAGGCAATGAGAAGCGAGTTGATCGACTCCGGCACAAGCAACGGGCACAGGGTCGAAGCCAAGAGGATCGGACAGCGGCGAATTGCAACAGCGGAGAGACAAAATGCCATGGCGGGAAGTAGAGATTTGTAGGAGAGCCAAGGCTGAGCGGTGGTTTACCAAGGCTGGGCTTCGCGCCCTCCCAAGACTCTTGTGCCCCATCGTTATCTCCAAGACCCAAAGAATCACTCAGTCCCATTAGTCAACCTGCGGCTCTGGATGGACCATGGGCTTGGTCTGGAGAACTTGCGTCGGACCCGCGTCGAGATTGTCGAGATGGAGAGGAGGGGAGAGGAGTGAGATCAGACGACGTCGAACATTTTAGATGGGATCAGAGATCGATATCACCGGTGGTTCGGTTTGTCGTCAGAGCCGCTGATCCCCAGATCAGTTGTTGGTTGCATGATTGGCTGGAGATTAAGAAGGCTTGTGTCTGCACAGGGTTTTTTTCATCAGACCATATTGACACTTGCATTATCTGGTGGAGCCCAGAAAAGAGTATCACGACGGTCCGGAGCCACGAATACTTGGGATGCTGGTGTGACGGAGGAGTCGATGGCCCGTGGTGGAAGAGACCGAAACTTGGGCGGAATTTGCAATGGCGCGGTTCCCGAAATGGCTTAGCGTCTTGGCACGTGCAGCGCATCCTCTCTTGGCGATCCTTGATCCTCAGGGTTTGGTTTATCCTTGCCCGCCATGCCCGACTCCCCCATTTTATGCCAGTCAGGTCGCTACGCATGCATACTGGAGCTTGAAAAAGAAAACTTCGCTTATGTGCTACAGGGGAATTCCCCCACGAGCCTTGAGGCCCGGACACTCGACCCATGGTCAGTTTAGTAGCACGGCAGAGAGTAGACTTGCGACATTTGTCACGTGGTTACTTGTGGCACGTGATGGTGGACCTCTCCTTATACATCATACGATATAAATTGACTGCAAACTCCGCCTTAGACTGGTGACGTGCGAGCCGAGAATCTAGCTTGGACTCATGAATATGGCAGTGTGAACAAGCGATGCCTGACGACTTTGGCAGATGTAAGAGACCAGATGTCGGCAATGATCACCATTTGATACTATCCTTCGTCGATCATATGAATTGAATAGGAGGGCACAAAGTGATTCACGCTACATGATTGTTTCCCGTGTTCGGAAGCAAAAGACTGACGTCAGATATCAGATCCAGCATCACCAGGAACCGAAATTGGTCTTCTTTCTACGACGTGCCCGGGTGGAACTACCGCCCAATGTGAATGGATCCGAGGGCTCTTCCTTTAGAGTCTCGAGCTCGGTAGGATGGTTGGTGTGGTTCTCTGCTGGAGCAGCTGGAACTTCATGCTCAAGCAGGCGTTGACGCAACTTCCTTGCCAAATCCAGACCGAACTCCCCTCCGCGAGCAAGCAGCCCCTCGAAGCTGCCATGCAACAACGAGGTGAAATTCAACGCGACAAACTGAGACACCAGCTTCCTCATTGGCTCTTGTCCGTCTTCGTCGCCAGAAATGGTCTCATAGACAAATTGAACCAGTTCGGTAAGCTCCTCTTCGGCGTGCTTGACCGAGCAGTCGAGTTTTCTCAGCGTGGCCAGCATCCGCTGAAGAGCCAGTTCCTGCAATTGCGCGAGACCATAGTTCTTGCCAAACTGGTACACTTTGGCGTGCGCAAGCAGTACTTCCCTATATGAGAAGGAGTGGTGTGGAAAGTCTCGCTCCTGAAAGTCCCCTATCGCTGTTTTGTTCGTTGTCTTGAATGGACCAATCTTGACGCACTCGCCCAATGGAGTCAGTGGTCGGTGGATTCTCTCTTCTGGTTCCACCGGACGTGTGCTCCATTCCACTTCTACTGGTGCTTCCTCAAGCGGGCCCTCATCCGAAGGCTGCACTTCAGCAATTTCATACGCAGCAGGCTCCTCTGCGGGATAGTCTTCCGCAGGGGGCGCCTCTTCAGGAATATCAAGCTGCGAATAGTGTGACTCAACTTTTTCAGAGGCAGGAGGCTCGTCATTCGGCTCGGGCCAAGATACCATCTCGTCAGGATGTTCATCTCTCTCTTGTACAAGTTGACCGCCATTTCTCGAGTCAAGAGCATGACCTGTCTCGAGGATCGACTCGGGTTGAGGTTCAACATCTCGGCGCACAGGATCAGGACTGGGATAATCGCAAATATAGAGCCAGGTCAGGACTCGACGAACAGTCTCGACTTCATACTCTTTCCAGTCGATTGCTGCTCTCGCCAGAGACTGCCCTTTCAGCCAGTAGGGCAAGATCTGGTCACGGAAGGAGGGTGAGCCAGAGTCGTCAAACACAGCTTCATGAATATCGAGTACATGGTTTTGAGGGCCGGCCGTGACTTGCACGACCCGACTGCCTAGAGTTCTGTGGCGGACATGTCAGTACTTTCCGTTCATCTCGACTTCGCTTTTTCCGGGATTAATGAATGCAGTCCTACTTTGGAAGTCTTTGAACAACGTCCATTATCTTGGCTCTGAGGCTGAGTCTGACTGAGTCTAGGTCTAAGTCTGGTCTTGGTCTCATATGAGTGAATTTAGATCATCACAAGCAGTTTAATTCCAGTAAAATATCTATTTCGTGCCTTGTTCGCTGGCATGCAGGTCTGCGTTGGCCGATGTGGCGTTGCGGCGTTGGGCCTGTGGCTGTCTATAAAGTGTCGACGAACAAGATCAACAGAAGATGCATTGTACCAGGATTGTATCAAAACTGTAGTAAAAGCGCTATAGTTGATGGTCTGAACCATTTCATGTCGTCTAGACTGGGCCATTTACATCATGGCAAAAAGCTAACTATGTATGTGTACTCATCGCTTGAACGCAAACAATACAAATAAAGAACACTTCTATCTCACAACCGTTTCCCAAACTCCAGACCCATACACAGTTACCTGTTCATGTAATACTTGCTCTCTTGAACTCCCTCCTCTTCTTAGCCCGCAATACTTCAACGGTGTTGGCCTTTCCCGGCGTCCTCCCAATCTCCACCACCAGAAACCTGACAAAGTCCTTCAACACCCAGTAACTACTGTGTGCGCCCAGCATGTTGAGATATTGAATCTCCAGCGGCCCGCCCGTGTTGAGAAACCAGTCGATCTGTCCGTTTTCGTTCAACAAATACATTCTCTTTTCTGCAATCTCTTCACGTGTAAAGTCATGTGTCTCCATTTCCACAGTAGATGGCATTTGCGTTAGGTTAGGACGACTCGAGTTCGACCCCGTCGCGGCATAGGGGTCGGATTTCGAGCTGGTTGCCCAACGTAATGTATTGCCCACTCGCGTCATGAAGCCCATCTCGACACTGGGTATAGTGGCAGGTTGGAGAGTGGCGGCATAGAGTTGATCTACTGCTGCATTCTGTAGATATGATATTGGATCGTTCCGATGGCATATGTTGTATATGTTGTCGACCGCCAGACACCCGTACTGAGCCTCTGAAGCAATCCCAGGCTGTCGATCTTCAGTTTCCATCCCAGGTTTGCGCCGTCCTCGACGAGGGACGAGGCTAGCATTGTGCAAAAGAAGGAAGAATCCAGAAGGGCTCCCACAGCTGAAAAGGTTGGTCGTGTCGAACTCGAACATCTTCTCACTCGGCTTGTGAGCATCAAAAGTAAGTTCCTTACCAAGTCGAGTTGGTTGTCGACTAAGGATCTCCATCGCCATCACCGATCCGAGAGAATGCGCAATCAGATGCACTCGCCCCTTGGTCTCAAAGCCTGGGTTGTTTCGACACCAGAGTCTGTACACCCGGTTGGCCTCGCGAATCACGGCGGAGATCATTTTCTCTTTGTGGTGCGATAAGTAATATGGAATATCGAGCATCACGTCGCTGATCAAGGATCGAACACCCTGCAGTGTGTCTGGCGTGATGTCCTTCAGAGAGTATTTGTTGTCCGTCGAATTCTCTGATACTTTGGTCTCATCGTCAAAGGAGACAGTCAGACGCCAGTTGACAGGAAGCACCATGACTCCTGATTGATCCTTCAGGTTGCCCTTGACTGTCTCGTTCGACAATTCTACATTGAACTCACGACGTAGTCCATTGATGGCGTGTGTAAAGTGAAAACTGTCCACTCTCTCTGAAAGCTTCTGTCCAATCCCATGGATAACCAGGACCAGATCGGACACTTGTGGGGTCTTTGATTCCCGTTCGCACGCGCCACAGGAAGCTCGCCTGTTTTTCGTAGTGGCATCACCCGACTGTGACATATATGCACCTACCTTGGCATGTGCTGCCGTTTCATTCAACTTTGGATTCGGGTGCAACTTCAGCCACGCCTGACGGTCAAAGCCGCGCACTACAGCAATCCCAATCTGTCGACCTTTGCGAATGGAGTTGAGAGGACGGCGGTTTTGTTTTGAGGAAGGCAACAAGCTGGGTCGGAGGATTTGAGCATTGTGTGCATCGACGTAGACAACGCTGTAGCTCGCGAAAAGCCGTTTGGCTGGGACTTTCCTGACGTCTTCTGCCATGTTCTCGGTGTTTTTTGGTCCCTGCGAGGACGAGGAATCATCAAAAGCTCGAGAAACATCACCTGTCTCGGGCTTCAAATCTATAGCGGTTGTAGGTCTGCTGACTTTGATGTCTGCTGGCCATAACTTGTGAACCACTTTCATCTCCGCATCAGCACCGTTGTCGATACAAGCTTGTAATTCTTCTTGGTAGTGATCGGCATATGGCATCATATACTCGTACCCGATCTCTAGGCGGTTGGCCACGTCTACTGGTATAGGTGACATGGTATCTTTGTAAAACCACGTGGCCCGCATCACAGTGGACGTATCGTTGATAGGCGACCAGTATATAGGCTTCATCACCAGATCCGGAATCTCGACCAAATGAAGTCTAGATATCCCCACAGGCACAAAGCTCTTCTTCGATGGATTGGAGCCCTGCTTTCGAGACCGGCGACCCTTGCTACGGGAGCGGTGAGGTTCTTTTAGAGGTCTGTGGTAGGTAGCATTGTCGTCAGACTCGCTCGAAGAGAATGTGACATCGTCCATTCGGTTGGCAAAAGTGGAATGTATGTTTCGCCCGCTGGGTGCTCGAGCAAAAGGTCGACCACTGATATCTGAATCGACCCCCGAGAGCTTCTGCGGCACAGCTTGCGGCACAGAGTCCAACTTTGAAGACTGAGAAGATGACTTGCGCCGTAATTTCCGCTCCCTGGACATGCGGCGCAAGGACGAGAAACGTCTGGCGCTTTTGGGCACCCGGTCCATGTTTTGTTCGTTTTGTCGTAGTTCTTGCTCATCAACTGGTCCCGATGCCTCTGCATGGTTTTGATCTGTTCCATCCAACATGACATGTGCATCTCTTTCTGGGCGCCCTTGCTGCGTTGTAGATGTGCTGGGCACGCCGGATTGAGGACTGGATCTTGGAGGGGAGAGGGAAGCCGGTGTCCGAAGACCAGACGAGCTACTAGCATCTCTGAAGGTTGGGAACGAGTAGACACCCCGTAAGTTGTGCGCTTTTGAATCCCCCTTCTTGCCCCGCATGCCCTTGTGATATACTTGCCATGCTTCTTCCAAGGCTGCATTGTCTCTGAGTGAGAAGGGCTGCGGGGGCAGGTCGGAGGCCTTCCCTGCGGAGATGGGTGGTAGAGGAGAAAGAGGGTCGTCAATTGGGAGTGAGGATGTATAGAAGAATTGTGCCTTTACTTTGGTTGGCGAAGCATTGTCGGCTTCCGTCGAGTCCGAGTCAACATGCAAGGCACAAGTCGGGCCATAGGTATGTTGAGGTGCAACCTCAGGCATTCTTGTTGCACACGATCCGTTGGTGCTGTCCAGGCAAGGCGATGACTAGTGGACCAAAACAAGGCCAACTCCCGTTGATATCGACAAGTGGACGCAATGACTTGGGGAAAGAAATTAGTGAGGCATTGAAGGAAATCTATCTGATGTGCATTTGTGTCTTGCACAACTCGACACAGAAAATTCAAGGAAAAGGTGTTAGAGCAAACCGTAAGGCAAAGTCGAAGATGGAAGCCATCATCCAATTACTGCTGCCTAAGTGGGATGTCGGGACATGTGTTCAGTTGAGGACATGTAGTGGTTGGATGAATTGCAGTTTAATGTATGGTTGGTGCAGGTGTCAGTGACGTATGTCATTGTTTTGGACTTCTACTTGTTATCCGATACTTTTAGGCAGCTAACTCGGCTAGTCAAGCACTTGCCTCAGATAACACGCATGAATGTTGCCACTATCCTGAACTAGCTGATTTAAGTCAATTTCACAACTCATTGCCTATCTTGATCCCCAATGAGATCTCTAAGAATTGCTGATCAGCTCACTATGTGCTGCCCAGTACCTTATCTCGACGGCATCTCACTCAGTATTTATTCCACCACGGTGATTGACCAGCTCATTCCATTCGCCATGCCTCAGTTCCGTCTAAGTAGGCTCTCCAGTAAAAGAGTATAAATATACATAGACGTCTATAATCAACAAGTCGTCATTTCCTCTGATATGCCTTGCCAGCATCCTTCTCCCAATTTCGACGCCATTTCAGAGGCAGCCCCAATACCTGACCTCCATAGTTTGGACCTATTGCCCAATACTTTTCACGGCAGCGTAGGTCCAGTCACAGGTCTGTTCTTCACAGACTGATTTATAAATCGATTGACAAAAGCCTGTCCATGGGTGTTGAAAACCCATCAACCCCGCTTATTGAAACTCCTCGGCTTTGGCGGTGACTAGCAATCCAATGATGAGACCAAACAGACCCAAGACACTGGAGAAGATTTCGATCACCAGCACCTTGACGAACATGCTCGCGTCTGCCGCATCTGCAAGGGCAGCACTGCTTCCGTTGATGCCGACACTGACACCACAGATCAAGTTGCACATGCCAACCGTGAGGCCCCCCCAAAACAAAGCATAGCCTGTGTAGTAGTTGGCTCCCGAGTATAGCTTCTCTTCAGGGACCATGGCGAGTTTTGAGGCAAAGACAATCGACATTATAACTCCGTAGATGGCGACGACTTCGCAGAAGATGATGGAGATCAAGTTCTTGGTTCGAATCCGAGGCGCTTTGACACCTCCGCCGAGAATCGAGGTTCCGGTGATGAAGATACCCCTACGACAGATTCCGTCATGTCAGTGCTGCTGCTTCTAATGGGTATAACTCAGCTCCATAAATGCAAACTCACCATGCAGCCCCAACCACCGACAGACCTATACACAAGCCAATTCCAATATCTGCCCAAGCGTACGGGGAGACTGATTCGAGAAATTGTCCCACCTAGTTGCGAAATTAGCCCCTACCAAAGACCCTCATTCGAGATGAGATCGAGTGTGACGTACATTGAATTTCTCGCCTTCGCCATTGAAGAGCATGTCTAGAGGGCCATCGTAAGCAAGGTTCGACGAACTCGGGGTTGAACATGGGATGGACTTACAGAGACCAACAACACCCAGGGCGGCGGTCGCACCGCCTGCGGGGTAGATGAGGCTCATGACGAGAACTCGCACAGAGCAAACCGTGGAATCACAGGTCTTTGAGGAACTCTAAACAGGAGTGGCGACGAGGGACGTTGATAATGGTCGACGACAATGAGCTGCCCGTATCAAGTCGGAGATGGATATGGTCAAAGCAGGCCGCAGCTCAAGCCCATCCCCACCTCCCGAGGAAGGTATGCCGAGCCGGAAGATTGATTTGCCATTCCCGAGCTTCTGATATCCCTTCCCCACCGTTCCCCTTTTTATTCGTCTTCATGGTTATCTACAAGGAACAGTCAAAGACTTAGAGGTCGATCGGTCCCATTGCGAAGATCCTAGTTTTTGGAATAATTATATTCAAATATGGGTATCGTTCCAGTCAAAGTCCGATTTTCACTTTTGTAATCTCGGTCAATCTGATTCCGCATGTCCCCAACCTGAGACATTAAACCTATCATCAATCGTAGCTCATTGCTTCATCATCATTCGATTGCCTGCCAGCGTTTAATGTTGTCTTCAATCTCCGTGCTTCTGTCTATTCCCAGTTTCATTTCCTCCTCCAGCCGCCGATGCATCTCTTGACACCGATGCTCCATCTCGAATCTCTGGATCGCCGCAGCCTTCAAGGTTTCAAAGTCGTTGCGGTTAACGGTGTTCAAGAAGATTGCCCGCATTCGTGGGCTGTAGAGTTGACAGCTGATTCCTCGAATCATTTGGTTCCGACGACGTGCGGGCACTGGCGTCAGAGATTTGCTGACTTCCCGCGCTATCGGTCGATTCACTAGTGGCCACACGAAGTCCATGTAGCAATCTTCGCAAATGGTCAGCTCTGGGAGATCGTGAATATGGTGCCACATGAGCGTGTCTAGCATCGTATCGCGTCTACACTCTCGGTAGCGACAGTATCCCCGGACGTGGTCCACGAATCCTTCCACGTCTTTATCTTGGAGATAGCCTTTCTGCTGACGGATAGCCAACCTGTCCAAGTCTGTAATAATGTCTAGGAAATGTCGACTGCTGGTATTCAGGGTACACACTTTCTCTTTGGAGAGCGTGTTGGTAGGCCGGTCAAACAGCTTGCATTCCAATAATTGGGGAAAGATCATGTCAAGATTCCTCACACACGAGGAGCAGACATCGAATCCCTCCACAGGTCGCTTGGACCTCGGATCGGTCAAGTGGTACCATCTTCTGATGTCAGTTCGGGATCCCATGCACTTCATAGTGGATGGAGGTGGCTCGGCACAGAGTCTTCGGAGCAACTTGAAGTCTTGCCTCGGTTGTCTCGTCGTCTGCACCCATCCAATTCGGAACCATATTTGACCCATGCTACAACCCACGGCTCCAGGATCCTGTGAGAATCGTGGAACCAAGTAACTCCGAAATGGAGAAGCCCCCAAAAGCTTGGTGCAGGCTGGACAGAATTGCACATTGCCTAATTCGCGAATGGTGTACCAGTCGTGATAGCCTGCAACAGGTTTGGGTCGAGAGCAGGGTGGCAGTCGAGCGACAGCCTTTCCCATATCTTCATGGTAGAAAAATGCCGGTGTTGTGGGCTGTGGCGGCTGAGGGTAGACATACATTGTCGGCTGATTCGTCGCCAGATTGCTAGACTGTGCTCGGAATGGTGCAGGCGGCCTATGCTGGTCAGGAGAGTAGGAATATGATGCTGCCCTTGACGCAGAACGTGGGACATCAATTTGGACGGGTGATTGCACAACATTGCTGGGCAGCCCACGTTCATCGTGACTCATATGGGTCGTGCTGCGCGAGATTATATTGTCATCTCGAGAAGCATATGAATTGTGACGCGTCACGGGTGCCGAGGCTGGAGGCGATGGCAATGCTCCGTCCACCAGTATTGGGGAACTCTTCCTTGATCGATTGTTGCTGGACGAGCTGGGAGACTCGAGCGAGTTGTTGGTGTTTGAGCGTGACAGGCTGGGGATAATCTTTGACGCTATCGATGCACCCAGAGTGGCCACTCCAAGCAGGGTTGCATTGGTCTTGAAATCCTTGTAGCGTGCGTCTTCAGCCGAGTTAGGCCTCGAGGTATGTGCAGGTGCTTTCGAAGAAGACGGAGGTTCAAAGTAGTCTCGAGCTGAGCTTTCGCCTCGTGGAGTGTGAGGGGGACTTTGTGGGGCCGAGCTCAATGGTGAGGCTGGACGAGATTGGATGTTGCTGGTTCGCTTTTTGTCGTTAGCCGCCATTGCTTTCACAAAAACGTCTTCGAAATCTTTGGCATCCTTTGACGACCTGTGGGACGACCCCTGGCTGCGGATACTTTCTCCCCGTAGGGCTGGCTCTGACAAGTCGTAGTCTTTGCTGAGCCTTTTTCTCTCCACCTTGTCTTGAGGGGCTTGCTCGTGGCCGTACAAGGACCGTAGTTCGGAGTCTCTGTCCCGGTAGAGACGGGAGCCACGGCGGGAGCGCGCCCGATGAGCAGATCTCTTCTCATCACCTGTGCCGTATTGTCGGCCCTGGCTTTCTTCGGCAGAAGATGTATAAGGTGAGTCTAAGACACCACGTTTATTAGACTTGGTGGCTGGCGGCCCAGCTACGAAGCCTGTATCTAGGGTGGATGACCTCGCAGAGTCATTTGGTGGCTTGGGGGTTTGGGGCGGAGTGATGCCCTCTGGGTCTGTATAAATGTAGTGGCCGACACCCCCCTCTGCTGGACCACGACTCCGATAGCGGCGGTCATCACGAGCTGCTTTTGAATCTGGACTTCGGCGTCGAATGGACCTTGATCGCTGTGAGGTAGAACTCTGGGGTTCTGTACGGTGGGCCTGAGAGGGACTGTAACGAGGAGCTCGGCTGCGGCTCCTCTCATGGTGTCTCTTTGACCTTGGCTTGTGGTCAGAATCACTGCTATCATGCAATTGGCCCTTGGACCGGGGATGGACCGAAACAGGCCGCTTCACATGATGAGCATCCATAGGAGATAACAAGTTATCTCGAGTGCTCGTCCGCGATGATATGTATGTATGAGCATAGGGCGATGGAGCACGAAGGTCATGTTGACGTCGTTCACCTGGTTCTGTCCCAACATCGGTGTGAATACGGGAGACATGTGGCCTGCCCCTGGGGGAATCTTGGTCCTTGAGTTGGGTGGTAGACTTTGAGCGGTGAATTATCGGCGGTGATAAAGTCTGCCTGTCCTTTGTCTTGTTGGAAGAGTCTGTCTGGCGAGCATTGTCCCCTTTGGGCTCGCTGCTGTTGGAAGGGATGAAGACAAATCTCCTCTCGGTGTTGGCGCTGGAGGGGGATTTTGGTTCTTGTTGCTCATCAATTGAGGAGTTATCTGGGGTCAGCTCGCATGGTTTCTGTGCAGCAGGGGGCTGTGATTGAAGAGAAGGTTCAGGACCAACATTGTCGAGGATTATGGGATATTGGTCGACGGGACCCCGGCTATGTGCACCTTGATTGTCGGTCTTGAGCGACTCGAGAGGGACACGGGCGATACATTCTTTGGCAAGAGAGACATCTTCGTCCTCTACCAGAGGGGACGGCGGCCACTGCATGGTTTTCTCAAGTCCTTCGCGCCACAAGCAGTGTGGGTGAACATGTACTCATGGCCAGGAAGTGACGGGCCGAGCCTTAGGCCTCTCGGACGGAGCGGGGGTCCGGAAGGAGGACGAGAGTCTCTGTAGACAGGTTGCGTATGCGAGAGCAATGGTCCTAGGTTGCCCAAGGGAAGTTTGTAGTCTTGAAGAGTCAAGGGAGCACTCTTCGTTCCTGTCGGAGGTAGTCTAGGTTTTGCAGCGAGTCTGACTCAAGCCTTAGGTGGGTTGGTTGAAAAGGGTCGTAGGATGTTTGGGTAGCGGAGGAGAAGTATGAGGCCGGATCGAGGTAATCAGATCGGCGTTGGGAGTAGAGCCGGACAAGCCACGTCGAACAGTGGGCTCGCACGTCGAGGGTACTCGAACCAACGAAGAGGCAACGCAAGCGACAGACGCACGTCTTCTTGGCCCACGCTGTGAAGTGGAGCAAGGTATAGGAAGGCGGTAGAAGAGGAGATTCAGTGCCGGAGAGGGGCGTGAGAGGGACAGGTGAGCGGCAAACAGAGGATCAAGTGGTACGGCTGATGATATTGGACCGGACCAGGTTCATGTCAGAAGACAGAATAGGGCTGTCACGGCAGTGATGGAAGAGAACTAGAGCTAGAGGATTAGAAAAGGGATGGACATGTTGAGGGTCTGGGGTGGTGAAGACGTAGATCAAAGACTACTACTGAGGATGAGTGTTTTCGCAGGGCAGCATGGGCAGGCACACAGAACAGTATGACAGGATGAAAACTGGGGACTAACACAGCCGAGGGGCATGGCGGTTGTGTTTTGCAGGAATTAGTTACAGATTGAAGTCTAGGGAGCGTGTTTGAGGCAAAGTGGAGAGAGGTGTGGAGGATGAGATGGACTCGAAGGATGTTTGATGGACGTAACGGGTTAGTGAGTGGCAGTACATAAATGGCGAATGCAGAGGATATGCATTCAACGAGGACATACCGACATGATGGCAACGAGGGTCTCACAAAAGGCGGTGGAGGTTGAGAGGAGGTGGAAGAGGATGAGACTAAGGAAGAGGAACGAATAGTAAGACAGATCCGACGACTGGAGAGAAATGGATTGTTGGATTGCTGGACGGGGTTGGATCGTCAGCCTGCAGCAGGAGCAAGGGACAAGGGACAAAAGGGACAAGAAGACTCAGGCAGAAAGATCATAGGCCGCAGTCAAGCCTCGTCGCTTTTGGTGAGAGAATTCTGTAAATCGTCAGTTAGTTAATTGGTCGTGATTGATGACAATGTGCATACGAATAGTAATTCATGCCTAGTACATACTCCGTATGCACGTAGAATTAATTGCACAGGGTAAATAATAAGAGTACTAATTTGATTGTTGCTGAGAGCAGGCGAACCCCGCAGCCAGTGCTGCACCAGGCACCTTAAGCACTTATTAAATAGGTACCTAGTCCCTAACTATACCTACCTATCTAGGTACAGTAGCATGAGTAGATACCCTCCCTCTTCTTGTCTCTTCCCTGGACCTCATCACACCATGCGTTTTCCCTTTCCATCATTTGGGCCATTTGGTCGACTAGGAAAATCGCCATCAGAACCTGTCCAAGCCCAACTACCCAATTGTTTCCTTGATAAGTTCAATATTGACAATGATGAATAATGTTGCCACGACTCACAGCCACGGTTGACACTCCCACGTCCCCCCATATTTCCGGTTCTGCAGCTCTAACCTCGCCGCATGCCCGCCTAACAAGCTTAGCGGGATGCCGAGTGAGTGACACTGGGTCGCCTAATCCAAGTGTAACCTTGCACGCCCCCTCGCGCCCCTTCCTCGGGCATAGTACACATAACTTGCCTATGAGTGGTACTGACACCACTAGAATTGGAGAGAAGTGCCCTAGAGAGAGTGCCTAAAGAGAGTGCCCCCTCAGCCCTAGAGAGAGTGCCTAAAGAGAGTGCCCCCTCAGCCCTAGAGAGAGTGTATAAGGGTGATTTCTAGAGCTATGTAGGCAACTTAGCGTTAGTCGCAGCTGCTACTCGCTACGTATATTTTACATATAATGATCTGTCACCTCGTACACCTCCAAGGCTGCAAAAGCCCAATGTCAAAGTACCTACTCTATCCATGTCTATTATACATACTTTGTATGTAGGTAGTCTTGGATTGTAGGTACCCGTTGTGGCGTTGCAAAAAGCTGGAGTGACTGGTGCATGCGCATCCCACTGTAGTGCCAAAGATGCCAGACGGCCTTTATTCTATCAGACTTGGGCCATTTCGGGCCCTCGCAGCCGTACATACCCTGTCACCCTGTCACGATGTCGTCCACTCGGCACAATACCTTTGGACTACCAGTCAAGTTCACTTCCGACTCCTCTCGATCCCACTTCATTTGTCACAAGTGGAAGAATCCAAGCCCAACCTGCACCAATATCATGCGGCTTGACCCAAAGGCCAAACGAACCCATGTCGTGTCCACTGAAACGTATCTGCGTGCTTGCTGCTTGTGAGACTGCGGTTCACTTTCAAGTCAAACCGATTGCCAATCCCTCTCATCATCTGTCAGTGTGCTTATGATTTAGACCCTTCTGCTCGCATGCCTGACATGACTTACGGACACTGCCACTACTTAGACTCATGCCACCAGCTAGTCTCGGTGGAGTTGGCCCAGTGGCAACAGATCAACTAATAATCATCCTAAGCCATGGCGAGACAAAAGGCCAGCATAAAGTACCATCTGTTGGTCTGCAAACCTTCGTGTTTGGTGCTCACTCGCCCGTTCTTCATCGGTTGGGAAGATTTCCATCGGTTCCATGCCCAGCCACTCACACCTGCAGAGTTCCTGGAATGATCGTCAGCAGCCAGCAGTGCCACACAGCCGGTCTGCTGGGGAGGCGTTTGAGAGTTTGTCAAATTGATCAGTCTATCTTTGCCCAACGCCCGCCTATGCTCGCTCGCGCCCGACTATGCAGGGAGCCAGCGATGGCCAAGTGATGTTTCTTTGCTTATGAACCAGTCATGCTTCGCAATTAACCGATGTCATCCGGTCCTTCCACCACTTACATCCGCTGTGTTCTCATCTAACAACTTCAGGACACTGTACAAGTCGCACAATCGAGCGTTGAAGAGCCAACGATGACAGCAACTCATATTGCTCAACCCAAGTTCATTCAAGCCATTCCAGTGTGCATGATTTGGGTCGTACGTGCGAGGCGAAGCTACGGCCACCCAATACAAACATTACGGCGCCAGTGGCCAGAGATGGAGTGCACTGCTAATGTCCTCATTCTTGTCGTCTAGCAGCTAAAGAACGAGAGACGCCGTTCCTAACTAGCTAGTGACTAACCTCCAGAAAATCCCTCCCTAAAACGCTTCAACCTGTTCAAAATGGGGCGCCGGATCGTCTCAGCCATTGTGCTTCTATACAAGGGCAGCCTTGTTTCAATCCTGGGCATGAACATCATCCTTCCCTTTCTGGCCGCTACAATCGATCCTTGATGGAAATGTCATGGTACCCCTCTTCTCACATGATGCCGTATCAGTCCAGGTTATGATGATCATACCAGCCATCCGACCACACCTCGCTTGTACGATCTTCCTTCCCACTCGTATTTGAAGCCGCCTCATTCGAAATGTAGCTAAACAGACGTATATCACTTCACGGTGTTCATGACTTGATGCCTGTAATCAGGCTCGCTCCGCGCGGCATCAAATCGAGGACCATGCACCCGATGCCCAGAGCACTCGCAGTGTGTCTGCCTCGCGGAGCTCGGATCGATTTCTAAGCGCACCCGCACCCAAGTAAGTGGTGTGTCACGCAAATGAGGCTCAAGGCGCAAGTATTCCCTGCAGAACGGCGAGCCCAATTCTGTTCTCGGATTGAATGGAGTGCGATTATTCCGGAACAAGGCATGTTCATGCTTGATAGAGAGGCAGAAGACAACAGCACCAAGCGATGCATTTGGTCGCGGGGACGCTGTTGAGACTGCGTCGAAAGGATGGGATCGACTTGGGGACCAGTCTAATCGTCTAGAATGGAATTACAGCGACCTAGGACTCATGAGTCACTGGGAAGATGCACCGGCCATGAGAGGTTTCGGGACCGGTTTCGTAGACTCACGCCCTTGGATTGTCAACATGTCATGAGGCTGTTGGAGAGGAATTTACCATTCTGCCTCATCCTGGGCACCTGCTTACCATATCAACACAAGTAAGTCTCTTCTCCATGTTTGCCGTTGAGAGGGCACAAGGGCAACTTTCGCTGGGCGGTTCGATGAATCGGTTATCAACGGACAAGCCATTGATAGAGGCTTGTCGACAGCGAGAATAGGAGAATGCGGTTTTGACGGGGAATGGTGACATCCTCCGAATATGCGGGGAACAGGCCCCTCGGCCGCGCATGCCCCTCCTATCTTGTTGATTTTCGGGGGAAGGCGCGACGCACAAACGTTACTTACTAGGGAGGGAAGGTACGATTGCGGAAACCTGCCCGGAAGGTGCACCACCTCCCGGCGGAATCTTGGAGAGATTGAAGATAGAAACCATCTTGATTGTTAATCCTTCAGATGAGCTCGCGTGGTGGCCTTTAGCTTTCGAACTTTGAATCCAACCACAGCTGTTTATTCAGATACATTTCCCGAACCCATTGACTTTCGAATCGATACTTAGTCTCAGCCCTTCGTCCAAGTACTGTCCGTGGCCTAACTTCCATGAGCCACCTTCGAACTGCCAGCTCAAGATTCGTCGGAGCCATCGTCAACAACGGCATCTTCCCCGCATCTACAGCAAACCGTCTAGCGACAGCTTTGCTGAACACGACATCGTCAAAACCTTTCCTGACCTGCTCATATTCTACCTCTTTCCGCGCCAGACGGCCTGCCTCAGCCCTCCACCCAAACCCCTTGAAGAGCTTCGCCAGGATGGCATCTTCTGTTCCTAGCACCCAGCGTGCCATTTTGGTTCCCGAGAATGGCTCTGCTGACGTTCTCACGTATGTCGAGAACCACCCGGTTCCGACCCTGTCTGATGGCCAAGTCTTGGTCAAGAACACTTATTCCGGTGTCAATTTCATTGATACTTACTTCCGCACAGGCTTGTACCCTGCTCCAGGAGGATTACCCTTGGTCATCGGCCAAGAAGCCGCTGGCACAATTGCCAAAGTTCCTGTTGATAACCCATTGAATTTCAAGGTCGGGGAGCGTGTTGTCTGGATCGCAGGCAAGGGTTATGCAGAGTATACTGCCGTTAATGCCGACCGAGTCATTCGCATCCCAGACGGTGTCAGCGATGAAAAGGCCGTCGGTGGTTTCCTTATGGGTCTTACTGCACTCTCCCTCATCAAGGAAGCCTATCCTGTCAAGTCGGGTGACACGATCCTTGTTCATGCAGCAGCTGGTGGTATGGGACTTTTGCTCTTGCAGCTGCTCAAGGCTATCCCTAATGTTACAATCATCGCAACAGCTGGAGGACCAGAAAAGTGCCAGTTGGCCAAGGAAACGGGTGCTACCCATGTCATCGACTACAAAGCTAGCTCCGGACCAACCTGGGTAGAGCAGGTGCTCAAGTTGACTGACGGTAAGGGCGTGGATGCCACTTTTGATGGCGTTGGCAAAGACACCTACGAGGGGAGTCTCGAGGTTGCCAAGAGGAAGAGCAAGGTTGTATATTATGGCAATGGTAATCGAGTCTTGTCTCGCCGTTTTGACTACCCAGTATTGACTTGCGAACAGCTTCCGGTGCTATCCCACCATTCAACATCGCCCGACTAGCAGCCAAGAACGTCTCCATTATGCGATCAACCCTCATGAACTATATCGTGACCCGCGAGGAGCTGGAATACTATGCCAACGATCTACTGGACCTCATCAAAAACGGCAAGTTGAATATCAGGATCCATAAGATATACGACCTCAAAGACGCCGCAACAGCTCATAAAGATCTAGAAGGACGGAAAACAACTGGCAAGCTTCTGTTGAAGTTATAGGAAAGTGCGAAGAGGAAGGATGATGGTTGTGGCCTGTACGAGTCAACGAGTCCTGTCACCTAACCATCGAAAACGGTACAGTTCTTGCACATGTCCTTCTCATTTACCTACATAAACTCGGTTCAGGCCGAGTCACATATTTAGAGACCATTTGAACCAACCATTGATCGGACATATCAGCCATTTATCATGGCCAAACTCGCATCCATCTCATATGTCCCCAACCCCTACACCATCACAGCTCGACACACGAAGCTATCCATTCACCACTGCGCTGAGAAGTTTCCAAGCAGTCGAGAATCTGTGATTCATTGTAGCCCGTAAATCAATCGGCTCCACGCAAGTATTTATCCTTTTCCGCTGGGGCCATTGTAGTTGTTTTCGTCGATACTGAATTAAGTGCGAGCTTGGACCGGGCGTATACGTATGCGTATGCTTATGCCGTGGGAAGGTAGGCACACTCTGCATTCTTCATGGAAGGCGACCACGGGTCCGTGAGGGCTCCAACGCAGGATCGCTGAACCCGTAGAGCGGTCGACCCATCTAGAGTCACATGATCAGATATGTCTCAAAAAAAAAAAAGAAAAGGGAATCCAAATCCGTAAACGTACCCTGTACAAGGCATAGACAATGTCATCCGTCTTGACAATCTGCACACAAGGTTAGGTCAGCATAGATTTTTTTTTCGGAGACAGTCCTCGACAAATAGTAGATCCATGACACGACGACGACATAAGACCAACGCTAATTGCCTGATTTACTCACCTTTCGGTCCTGATGCTCCAGGATGAGAGTCACACGTCTGAGGATCTATATTCCAATTAAGTTAGTCTCTAGTCAGAAGAGGTCTTGTAATTCAAGAATGGGAAGAGGAACTCTGAGTCTTAGAAGGCACTTGGTTGAACTCACATCTCTCAAATGAGTATCCAATACGGTCCGAACAGTGTCGTAGATGTCTTTCTTGATCCTGTAGATGCCCCCGCGGCGAGCGAGTCGACTAATGTGAGAGACATGGAGTGAGTAATCTCTCTTGAGGAAGTGGGTGTCAAGCATACCGAATGTCGGGTTTGGCTAGGTACACACCAGGCAGGAAGTTAGTCATCTTCCCTCCATAACGAAGGGTTATAGGTCATAGGTTCTTCACATACTAATACCATGAATTGCGGCCATTTGACCACGCGCAACTCGATGACGCTTATTGATTCTCGCGCCGGGAACATTCAAGCCGCGACCGATGAATGGTTGTCCAGTATTCCTACGGATACCAGAAGAAGAGAAAATTCCTAGACCTAGACCCTTGTCCATTGCACCAGACGCAGGGACAGGCGCAGAGACATGAGAGGATGCCATGGTGGTGGCCATTTTTGAGATCGGTTGTTTGGATCGAGTCAAATGAAACAAGGGGGAATTGTGTTGAGATCTTTGGGAGAGAGTTGCCAATTGACAAGAAGAGATGTTTGAACAGGCAGCTTGAACAACGAGGGTGGGGAGGATAGAAGGCAGAGAAGAAGAATGGTTAATGAAACGAGTTGGGGGTTGAAGAAGAAGAGGAGGAAGAGGAAGGGAAATTATAAAGAGGCGACAAGTCACAAGTTTGAGAGACATCAAGACAATGAAATGGTGAGGCATGTCAAAAGGGTCGACGTCAACGAGGCATGTGAAGGATCTTGGATAGAAAAACATGGGAGGTTGGAACAACAGGCCCTCGGGCCAGGCACCAAGAGCCAAAAGAAACTCCATATCAGAGAATTAGACATTATTATGAGGACTCTCGTGGTAATATATCCAATGCTTAGTGTATCCAGTACCAGTAGTCCAGTCTATGCGGGATGTGATTCAATTCAGGACAATGTTCATACCGTGCGTCATGTCTCGTGTCAAGAAATAAAAGTCGCTTCTGAAAACAACCGTCCAGTTTCTGACACTTCTTCGTCACCAATCTTTAACTTGAGGGTGAGGGTGTCTTTGGAGGAATACTGTAGATAGCACAGGGATCAGTATCATAGCATTCAAAATCGCATTACCACATGCTGAAGTGACTTACTTGGAAGATATGCGGCTTCAATCCCGTCGCGCCGCTGATGAAGGACTTGACAAAGCCGGGCAGATGAGCAAGAACATCCACTCGATCAGTCCGCTGTGGCAACTCGCCGTCAATGGAACCAACGACCTCTTTACCATCTTTTTCGCCGGTCCATCGCCATGAAATGACGGTCGGCTCGGGCCAGTCATATTCAGACTCTTGTTTTGACTCGACATGTTTGACCTCGGTGTTGCCCGCGACAACGATTTCACCGTCCTTTGCAATGCCGCCAAAGCTGACAGAGGTCTTGCCGTAGGATTGAGGTGTGGTGTATTGCATCAAGACGGCCGAGTATGAAGGTCCCTGAAAGTTGACAAAGTTCCACCGAGCAGCCAGATGATGTGGCTTTCCACCCTGGATAGCATAACTGAGAAAGCCGCTTCCGACAATTTGGTATGTCTTGGTGCGGGTTTGCATGGTTCCACTGACGGCGCCTCGTGGCCAAAAGGCATGACGCATGTGCGCCCATGGATTTTCTAGGTCTGTTCCATAGTAACTTGTGCCATCAGCGCCCACCTGGAAACCAGGGGCGGTTCTCTTCAAAGTCAAATTCACAATGTTCTCTTCATTCACGGCAGATTTGATGGTATAGGTATCGCCTGCCTCGTTCAATTCAATCGCCACATTTTCTGCGTAAAAGTTGGTCTGGCTCTCGTCGAAACCGTAGTCACTGAGGGGGTCGGAGGTCCAGAGATGTTTTCCGGGGCCGTCGTGGTTGAAGATTTTGGAATTGAATTGGGCAGTAGTGTGGAGGCCTCTGTGAGAATTGTCAGCATTTAGCCACGGTCTGCGGTCCAAGACGATTTGACTGACCCAACGTTGCTATAGATGACCTGGGCCATCGCGGTGGTGCCATCATCGCAAAGGAAATAGAATGTCTCTGTCTCCACGTTGGTGGTACCAAGAGCTTTCCATTTCAAATCGTCTCTTGTTAAAATGGTATACGGCGTCTTCTCGATTTGGGTATTGAGGGATCTTATGGCGGTTGGGCCATACTCAGGTTCCTCAGTGCCAACCACATTGGCCAATTGTTGCTTGAACCAATTCATGGCGCCTGAGGGAGTTACAAGAGCGAGATAGAGGTAGTAAAATGTACTGATTGTAAGGGTATTCCTGGCAAAAGTGCAAAATGGGAATGAAGTACAGTGAGTGTTTTAAAAAGTGCACGAGAGTGATGTGATGGGCGACGTTAAGGACGTCACAGCCGTGCAAGCCGCAGGTGGAGGAAAGGTAATTTGGGCAGGCCGCAGGCTCCTCGGGCTCCTCGCCCTACTGGAGGCTAACAACAATAGGCGCGAAGGCTGGGCTTGGACACCTCTACGAGGTTGGCTCTAGGGAAGCACATTGGTTTGTCAGGAGCCTTGGGCCTGGGGCTAGTAGGAGCGGTATGTGTCTGGGAGGCCCACAATCCTTTGCGGCGCAGGTAGAAAGAAGCGACAGCCCTGGACATTGTCACGTGCTCATCATTGAAGGCTGACCTGACATTGTGACCAGATCATTAGAACTTTTGGAAAAGACCTCGTGTCTTGATTGTCTCAATTTTTATAAAGTCGAAATATCACATTCCTTTGTTGCCTGAACAGAAAATTTGATCCAAGGTTCATCGTATTCGCGTAGGATATACTTGTAGTACAAATTGAGAACTGTCGTCCTGATGGACCAGCCAGAAATGACTGTTGCTGACCTAGGCGCAAGGCAGGCCAGAGCGCCAAGGCTTCCGGGCTTGAACCAGCCTATATGCAGGTTAGCACGGGCATGAAGTCTGGTCTTCCCCCTACTATAATATTCAATTTTCCAGCCACGATGCACCTACCAATAGGAGACTTCTAGGTGTGCATCCAATTATACACTGGCCTTGAGACGGTCAGGTGCAAAAAGGTTGGAGTTCGAAACTCCTTCCACATCGAGAAAGTCGCAACATTTTACAGCTCACAACCTTGAATCCGCGCTCGAGTTCAAAGTCCAATTCACCACCATCGACTTCCATCATCGAACCCATAAACGACGCTGCATCTGTGCAGAGTATTTGGAAAGGCTACCCCACAACAGCCCAAACTTTTGCGGTTCTGTGGAAATGTCGAAAAAGGTGGCTGTCGGAGATCAAATTGTCAAGCTCATTGTCGGAGCTGGCAATGCCAGTCCCAGTCCTCCTGTCGGCCCTGCACTAGGTGCTAAAGGAGTGAAAAGTATGGACTTTTGCAAGGTACACGAGGAACTACCATGATTAGAGTCTGCGAATGCTAAAGCCTTTAGGAATTCAACGCTCGTACTGCTCATATTACTCCCGGGATTCCTATACCAGCTCGAGTGATTGTCCGACCGGACCGGTCCTTCACCTTTGACATCCGAACCCCCAACACATCATGGCTTCTATTGCAGGCCGCTGGAGTTAAAGAGGTCAAGGGCAAGATCAAGGGTGCTAAGAAGCCTGGGACGGAGACGGTTGGTCAGGTGTCGCTGAAGCATATCTATGAGATCGCAAAGATCAAGCAAAGTGAAATGCGGCTTTCCAGTCTATCTCTTGAAGGTCTCTGCAAAAGCGTCATTGCTCAAGCCAAATCAGTCGGAGTCGAAGTTGTGCCTTAGGCCCATCACCACCCCCCAGGTATCATGGAGGACCTATGGGATCGGTCAACTCTCGGCAGTGCTCTGTTGTCCACAAGTTCAATTGATGCAAAGATTACACCACTGAATCGGGCTCTGGATCGACAGTGGGAGAAAGCTGTCAAAGCGAGGTTCCTGGTTGGAGTCAGCCACACCAGAACACCGGCTGCATCGTTGAATGCATCACCTACGATTGCGACTCAGGAGAATCGACACGGTCTCGATGCCACGATTAACAGCTTAAACCGGTGGAGATATCAGCCAGATCGGGAGTTGTCACGCCTCACAGCAAATCCCCACAATACCAGGCAAGGTGCCAACTCACCTCGCTACCTCTCCAAGGTTATCTCCGTCAAAGATCGGCGCGGGCTATCTTCTCGGGCTGGATACCGAATACCCAGAGGCTTGCAAAGACTGCTGAATCATTCTAGCGGGTTTAGACGTCTGACAGAATGACGCGAAGGGAAGGCAATATGATTCAGCAGCAGGGCAGACGAATCAGTCGAGGGGAGCTTGAGCCTGATTCAGAGTATCTAGTACAGGCCAAGTGATGATGGCGTTGTGGAGGAATAGCTACTATAACAAATCCGCGAAGCAGTGATGTTTGCTGGATGGCAACATCGTATTCGGCATGTAAGACGCCCGGCTATGACGTCCTTGAGGGTAATCAATTATAAAGATTTTTTCTCTTCTCAGGCAACTCTCTCGCACCAAAACAGGTTATTTCTCCGGGCGCTCCGGATGCGAAGAGTCATCAGCATTTAGGTCTGTCGCTGGCCTTGTATTGCCGCTAGCCCGTGTAGGAGGAGCTGGGGAAGCAGGAAATTCCCCACCCAACTCAACGGCGACAGTTGAGAAACCCTCCTATGGATGAACATTGGAGCGCACGAAGATTCTTCATATGGTATTTTGGAAAGCAGCGATGCCCTGAAGATCTACTTTTAGGTGGTCAGACACAATTGGTCATGCGTTTGACATGTAGTTAGGGACATAGGGTTAGACTTGGCTTGTGGCGTCTGCAGGTGATAGAATGGAGGCCGAATGAGGTCACCAGATGGAGTATTGAGATCCAAATTCTGGGTCCAACTAGAGACACGACCAGTGACTTGTTAAATTGATAGACATGGAATTTTGTGAACTGACCGTTGATTGAAAATTGGGTCATCTAGCGGCCGTACCTGCGCAAGGGTACGTAAGATACCTATTTCTCCGGAGAAGAACTCCCTACGGAGTACATGGGCTCTAGGTTATGAGGTACTTAACACAAGTTACTAAGGCCCCCTCGGCACCTCGGCCAGGAAAGGGGCGATCCCCCAGCATTTTATTATCCATGCGTGCGTCGTACCACCATTTTATTAGGCATCTTACCTAGCGTGCCTAGGTACTGGTGCCATGTGTGTGTACCTCAGGTTGAGTAGTATGTCATCGCTCAGCACCACCGCTATACACAAGGACAAGACTTACGACCGCACTTCATATTAGGTGGATCTCAATGTGCACTGCCTCAGTGTTTACATAAGACGCTCGGGTTGGCACGATTGATAAACATGAATTGCCGAATTCTATATAGATATAGGGTAATGAGTGAAGAAAGCGGGTTGCCGGCCGCGGCGATTTTCAGGAGGGACACGTGTTTGCTCGGTTTGCACTGAAGGACATGTGGGCACTAAAAAGTGGTACGCATACCTGCTCCGTACTACTAACAGAACAAACTTACCCATTACGCACATGTCTATGCGTAGGGCGGCGCTGGATGGACGGGCTGTCGGGCGGGCGGGGCAGATCAAATCTCTGAGAGTCAAGAGAGGGTCGGAGGGTCAGAGGCTCAGTAGTAGAAATCCAGACAAAGACACTCAGACCTCTGGACATCCCACCTCCCGCCCGCACTCTACGCCCTGGCCAGCAATAAGAGTTTTGCCGATTCTATCATTATTACCTACCTATTGAATCGCCTCTTGTAGCAACTTGGTATTACCGCCACTACCACTACCACTACCACCACCACCCGTCCCTGCGATCTGTGACTCGAAATCTACTTCCAACTACAGCTTCATCCTCAACTCACCTCACCTCAGCATTCATTCTTCGCTTCAGATATATTGATATCAACTCTACTATTCTGGTCATATTACTCTTATTCTTGCTGCTCCTTCCATTGTGCCCAAGCTACCACTCAGCTATCTCACTCGTTTTCTCATCCCCCACCCGCGACCCTCCATCCACCACCGTCTTTCCCGATCCACATTTCTTGTCCTCTCTTTTGCGTCCGTTGACGCGTCTATGTCCATAAAATCTCACACTTTCATATGTAAGTCATTTATGCTCCTACAGAGTCATCTGGACCCCACTGTGTTGTTAGACTGCAACTTCGACCTCATTGCTTCTCGTCCTTCTCATGGCTTGTTCGCTCCTGTGTTCACCAAGATTGACAGAGACCTACCTCCAGTTTTCATCTCGCATTCTGCCTAGACTGGCCGCACGCTTTACATCCATCCTCCCCGACAGAGGTCGATTATCCTTGCCAGACGCCATCAGGCTCAACAGACGATCCGGTCGTCCCGCATCATGACGTCCAAACTCTCCTCCATGTTTTTCCCTGGCGAAGATCCCAAAGATTCAAAAGGTACCTTGCCAAACCATCCATGATCAATCAGGGCTAATCTCTCCACTAGGATCAAATACGCAAGAAAACAAAAGTGCAGACCCGGGAGCTGCCGAACGTTCCAACGTCCGCTTTGCCGCACAAGACGAAGAAATCGACCCCCTCGATGAGAGCAGAAGAAACTCAAACTTAGGAGACGCTCGTGATGAAGATTTGACCCCAGAAGCGCATGAACAAATCAGGAATTTGGCCATGACCCTCCAAAAGTCCCGGCTGCAAGAAAACAGAATGGCCAACTTTGCCTACGAACCAGTCTCTATGCCCGCCTCAAGAGTAAGCTCGAAACCCGACACATCCGGGCCCACGGGTGCTAACCAGTTAATAGGTCCATTCGAGAGAGAGTGAGGCAAGCGGCACTCCACGTGGCTCTACACGACAAGGCCACAGTTCCGTATCCTCAGCTGTCCACTCACCGCCCCTAACACCTCACGGCTCCAAGGATGGCCGAGCAGATTCGGTTACTAGCACGCGTGGGCAACAAGGACAATCAGCCATCACCCCCCAGACATCCCCTCCCTCGGACCTCCAAGGAAGATCTCTATCACAGTCAATCTCTCCATCACAAGCTACCCCCCATCCACAGAGACACGAGGGCGCAGACTCAAAGAGACCTCGATTTGAAATCGGTCCTTCTGAATCGGCAAGCCCCGTCGAGAGCCCGGTAGGAACACCATCGCTGCGACCAGCCTCACCACAACCAGGCACATTACCTCAGTCGAGAGCCGGCGCAGCTCTCACCGAGGCCAAGGTCGAGAAGACTGAGCAGCGAGAAGCCAGCCAGCAAAGACATTTTGGAAGTGTCGGAAGGGGATCTTTAGCTCCTGCCATTGCAGCGGCCGCCGAGAGACTCCCACGGCCCGGTAGCAGTGGTGATCTAGGAGCTTCGGAAAAGCGGAGTTCCATCTTTGGATCCAAGAAAGACCCATATTCACACGTCACCGACAGTGGTAGTGAGAGATCTGGCCTCGAAGGCAAGAAACATGGTTCAATGTCCGAGTTGAAGCGTTTTTTCAGGCTTGGCCACAAAGACAAGCACCATAAGCACGATCGACATTCCGATTCTCCCGCGCCTTCGGTCCCAGTCTCGCGCAAGAGCAGTTCCAAATCCGGGACGCGGACACCTCCTCATCAAGCACCACCGCCCAATGTTCCGTTTGCGGATGACCACAGTCTGGAAGCCAAGTATGGCAAGTTTGGCAAGGTCTTGGGGTCCGGTGCAGGTGGCTCTGTGCGACTGCTCAAGCGTAGCAGCGATGGTGTCACTTTTGCTGTCAAACAATTCCGAGAAAAGCACTCATGGGAGTCGGAAAAGGACTATTCCAAGAAGGTGACTGCTGAGTTCTGTATTGGATCGACCTTGCACCACGGCAACATTATTGAAACCATGGACATCATCCAAGAGAACCATCGATGGTTCGAGGTGATGGAGTACGCCCCTTACGACTTATTCGCAACCGTCATGACGGGCAAAATGACTCGAGAAGAGATTGCATGCTCGTTCTTGCAAATCGTCAACGGAGTCAGCTATTTGCATTCAATGGGCCTTGCTCATCGCGATCTGAAACTGGACAATGTGGTCATCAGTGAACATGGCATTATGAAAATTATTGATTTTGGCAGTGCCACGGTTTTCCGGTATCCATTCGAAAACGACATTGTTCTTGCGACCGGTAAGTAATCAAGATGCAGCTTGGCGGACGTTAAACTCACACTGGACAGGTATCGTTGGTTCTGATCCGTATCTCGCACCTGAGGTTTACGACGAACGAAAGTATGACCCCACGGCCACAGATATCTGGTCATTGGCCATCATCTTTTGCTGTATGTCGCTGCGGAGATTTCCCTGGAAGCAACCTCGAATCATCGATAATTCGTACAAGTTGTTTGTGTCACCTCCCACACCAGGCACCCCGGTCCCAGATTCTCAGCCTCGGAGAGCGTCACACCTCAGTCCACAAGACGACGGCCATCGAAGAGGGTCTGAAGCCAATGGCAGCAGTTCTTCACATCAACACCATCACTCGGACGCTCACGAGGGTTCGGATTCACGGCCAACCACATCCAGCGGTGAAAAGCAAGAGGTCATCAAAGGTCCTTGGAGATTACTCCGGATCCTTCCGCGAGAAAGTCGACATATCATTGGACGCATGCTCAAAGTTGACCCGTCAGAACGCGCCAGCATGGAAGAAGTTCTCGAGGACGAGTGGATCCTCGGGGCCAAGGTGTGCTATCAAGAAGAAAATGGGACGATTCATCGAGCTGAAGGACACACCCATGTGCTTGAAGCAGGATCAGGAGGCCCTCCTCCGGCCAAAGTGTAGAACAAGGCCATCAAGGCTATGAAGAAGAGATTCTGATGCGTTTGGGCCAACTTGGACGAAGACAGGAGTACAGGAACGGAATCAATGACGACTGGAAACTCCTCCAGAACAATAGGTGGAAGCATGTTTGATGTGGAACTTGGCGACAAAGAAGATGGCGCTTGATTCGGATCTTGATCAAGGCAAACGATCGGAGTGGTTTGGCTCTGGACTTTGATTATAATGTAGATAGCATGTCTGATATTGTGATGAATGAGAATACTTCAATCTATAACAAAATGTGCACTGGCGATCTTGTTGGGATGGCGCAGCCACAGAGAGTTGATGAACCTGGGGAGAGTTCAACCCTAAGAGGCTCCTCGGTTGAGGTGTCGAGGCCAGAGGGGCCAGAGGGGCCCTTCGGTGCCTCCCTTGGGATTTACGAGACTAGTGGTTGGCGAAGATTTGCCGGTGGGCAATAGCCACCGAATAGCCTAATAATTGTCGAACAACGGCGGCGATACGGAGTATGTAGCAATGGTGGTTGGTGGCAATAGGAATGAATGGCAATAATAGGAGGCGCGATCGATGATCGAACCTCTTTGGGTACTTAGGTACCTAGGTAGCTTAAAGACGACGAGCAGAAAGGTGCAAGGGGGGCCGGGGGGCCGGGGGGCGACTCAGGTCCAGCCAGTGACCACCTCAGGTGCCCCTCGGCCTCGAATTCAGTGCCACGAGTGCCTATGTGCCTGGCTCCTGCTTGCTCCTGGGGCTCCTGTCACCTCTACCTACTCCGTAGACTTAATTACTCCGTACAGTGGAGGAAGCCACGCGGGCTGTCCTCCGCGCTTAACTCGTCCAGGTTAGGCGCGTCATGCAGCTAACAAGAGTACCTGCAAGTCACTCCAATTCTCTCTCCTCACAGGCTTCTGGAATGCGGGACACCCTCCCTCGCTCCAGTTTGCACCGTCACTTTACTGCCTTGGGCTAACGTCCGCACCAAGTTCATTCAAGTGCCGCCCGTGTGCCTTTATCCTCAAGCTCATCCTGCTAAGCAATAGCCCAGATTCTGCCCTGGTTGCCTCGAAACCTCTGCCCGTCGCTGCCACCATTTCATATCACCTCCTCCACTGTTCGACTTTAGCCATTCTCCTCCATGGTCTTTCACCGCGGCAGATTTCCATACAACGGTGCATTCCCGAGTCCGAGTCGAGTCTGAACTGAGTCCGACGAAATCATGGTGGGCTGAGCAACCTTAGATTCCATAGCCCGCGATAACGCCTCCCACCCGTCTGGTCTTTTCTCTACCCTCCTCCTCAACTGCTTCTCTCGCCTGCATATGGCCAAGAAGAAGCGCCAGAGGATCAGCTATGGTATGTCCAGACCCTTCCCTATCGTCTTCCTCCTCCCCAGCCCCTCCGCCCCTCTGGGATAGATTCGCCGCTGACATGCCGTACCAGTCCTGCCCTTGGCGAATTCGCCGGGCGGACATAGACTCGGAGTGAATGGACTCGCCTTCGACGAGGATCGATCTATACTGTACGCCCACGGTCTTAGCGCCAACGTGACGAAAGAGTGAAGAATCAAACGCTGAGTTGTGGTTGCAGATATACGGGTGGACGAGACGGTGTCGTCTGCGCCTGGGACATCGACCTCGATGCCCAAAACGCCCCCTCTTACACGGACAAGGAACCCACACATACCTTTCGCAGACAGGTTCAAGCTCATACCCACTGGGTCAATGACATTGTCCTGGTGAAGAACAGCCTCGGTCTTGTGTCGGCCTCGTCAGATGTCACCGTCAAGCTTTGGCGCCCTCACGGCCACGAAACGACACACGCCTACACGATCGGATCCCATAGCGACTACGTCAAATGCCTAGCCACTCCCAGTGCCACGTCCAACTGGGTCGCCTCGGGCGGTCTAGACCACAAGATCAATCTCTGGGATCTAGCGGGAGGGGGAAACACCTTGCAGATTGATATTGGCAAGGCAGAAAATGTCGTCAAAGGCTCCATCTACACACTTCGTGCCAAAGGCTCTCTTCTGGCCAGTGGTGGACCTGAGAGTGTTGCCCGCCTCTGGGATGTCAGATCTGGTCGAAGTATCACCAAGCTCGTCGGTCACACCGACAATATCCGAGATATCTTGATCAGCGACGACGAAGACACGATCCTTACCGCATCCTCGGATCAAACCATCAAAGTCTGGTCGGTGACTGCTGGTCGATGCATCCATACACTGACCATGCATAACGACAGCGTCTGGTCACTCTACTCCAGCGATCCCAACCTTGCAGTCTTCTATTCCGGCGACAAGTCAGGTTTAGTGGCCAAGACCGACACCCGACGGGCAATGGAGATCGACGATGGTGTCTCAGTTGCTGTGTGTCAAGAGCACGATGGTATTTCGCGTGTCTTGCCCGTCGGTAACTCAGTCTGGACGGCCACTTCGAGCTCGAGCGTCAACCGATGGCTTAATGTAGACACGGAACTCGAAATTGAGACACCACCGTCCTCCCCCCATGACGAACGCGCAAAGAGCCCTGAAGGTCGATCTTCTCTTCACCCAGATGATGCCGTCAACCCTCCTGTGGTCAACGGAACAACTAATGGTGCAGTCAACGGCCTCCCAACCAATGGTCTTGACAGCAAGAAAAGAATTCCTTACAGCGCAGTACTCCGCGTCTCCAACACCGCAGTCCATCCTGGGAGAAGATATCTCGGAAGACACCCCACTTCCTCTTCGTCAAACTTACGGAAAGCTTCCGAGGTGATAAATGCAGATGACCTTAGTGTCGTTGTTCCCATTCGTGGACAACCCGTCGAGACCATCGAGGGTCAAAACGGCCTCATTAAGCATGTCATGCTGAACGACAAGAAGCGGATCCTCACACTGGACACAGCAGGCGAGGTGGTGCTGTGGGACTTGTTAAAGGTATGCTCCTTCTTGCCAATCGCATGTACCCACTAACTCGTATCAGTGCATCCAGATCAAGTCATTTGGTCGCCGACACCTTGACGAGGTGGTGCCCGAGGTCAATAACAGCGAAAGTGTTGCCAATTGGTGTGCGGTAGACACCAAAACCGGCAAAATCACCGTCATGCTGGAGGAAAACTATGCCTTTGACGCAGAGGTTTATGCTGACGAGCTCGACTTGAATGACAAGCTTTCTTTCCGAGACGATCAGAGAAGTAGGTCCATTGAACAACTCGAGCGAGACATTCTTCTAACATGGTGTGTCTCTAGTTAATCTAGGGAAATGGGTACTCAGAAACCTCTTCTCGAATTTGCTCGACGAGGAGATCCGTAGGGATGAAGAGTACCGAACCAATCTGCAGATAACACCTCCACCGCCAGCTTCTGGACTCATCAGACCTGGAGCCCCAACCAGCATCACTTTGCCAGGATCGGTAGGTGCAACGCCAATGGTGTCTCCCGGCACCATGACCACCCCCAGAGCCCCCAACGGACCGGGCTTGGTCCCACCTACCCCTGGCTTAGCTATCGGCGCTGCTACCCCTGGCTTCTCTCCTCTGACAACAACCTTGACGTCGACGGCCGAAGAGTCTGCTGATGCGGTCGATGGCAATTCTCGTCCGACACAGCCGACGCCGACTACTGCGACCATCACGGATCCCTCGAGCGACTACTTCTCACGAAACAGCAGCGCTCACAACCAGTCTGAGGATTCATCTGACAGCAACAAAATCCCTGATACTCCAGGAGGCGGTGACAACTCGCAGCATGCTTTGGCCACGCCCACTTCCCCTACCGAAGAGAGGAAAAAGGGCATATTTGGCAAGAAGTTTTCCGGCATGGCTTTCCCCAAGAAACTCGCTCGGACTTCGACCGAAGTGGCCAAGACACCGATGATCACCCAGGAAGAGAAATCCGACACGGCGTCTGTCAAGTCATCGGAGAAGGAGGAGAGAGTCATCGAGGATAATTTCTACGGCGTGGTGCAGAGAATCCGGCAGGAATATGAAGATCACTTGGAGCATAAACCTGGTGAGGCGCTGCCGCCGGGAATCACCCCGAGCTTGCCGAATGAAACCCCCGTGTTAACACCACCACCTCACACGACTATCATCATACAAGAGGACAATCCAGAGAGTGGCGGGTTGGCAGATCAATACAGGGGTGAGATTGGTGAGTTGGGTGAGAAGAGCGAGGTGGACATTCTGGAGAAGATTGCGCCAACATGGTTGGGCGAGTTACTGCTACGGGTATGTGTCTCTCCCATGATCCTGGTTGCCTGATGATCTGTGCTCCCCGGTTTTGGCTTGCGCGTGATCAGGTCCCTCCGATCCTACGATTAGAACTCTCGTCCATGCCCATGCACCTTGCTAACCTGACTGGCCGATAGAATCAAATTCCGTACAAGGACACCATCAAAGTCAGCTTCATTCTGCAACCGTGGGAAAATCTTTTGCCGAGCATCGCATCGCCAGACGGCAATGCGCGACTAAACGCAAACCGAATGCTCCGGGCTAAGAAGATCATGGCGTACATCGCGGAACGCATCGAGGCACCAGCAGACCCGGAGCACCCCAACCCAGATGGCACCGATGCGCTCAAGCCGGAGGAATACTTGGAGCTGTACTGCCAGGGTCGTAAGGTGGACCCCAACATTACGCTGGCGAGTCTGAGGGTGCACCTGTGGAGGACAGGAGGTGACGTCGTCTTGTACTATAAGACGAATGGACGAAAAGAGCTGCGTGTTCCGCATCCGAGCGAAGTGCCGACGCGTGACGAGAGCGAGGAGGCCACTGGTGTGGTGAGATAGACAGTTGAAAAGTTTCGTGCGGTCGGAGATCAGGCCCTTGAGAGGCACGGGATGGAGGTGCCCGTGGAGGATTACTCTCAGGCCTCGATATCTAGATTCTCGGCCCATCTAGGAGACTCCCAGCAAACGTTACATGGCCGCTGGTTAGGGGGTTGAGATTGGATAGAACCGAGAACTTGTCGAGGAGATCGGCCATTTCAAGACAGACTTGAGCAAGGTAATGTACATACAGATATACAGCGATGCCTGGAACCAAAAGACGAATGAACATTGGTAATATTTATATATATATATATATATATATATATATATAGGTATACAATGAGACGAAGATGGATCAATCTCAGTTATGACGTGACTTTCGTCCCAGGTCGGTGGTTCTATTCTCCAAAACTTCGATCTCTTTGATAGATACGATACATAGTCAACGCTCCTCAGAGCCCAAAAGGTTGGACACATACTGATATGTTCCGAGGAAGATTGCACCACCAGTACTGATCCAGCCGATTCGCGGAACGATGCCACGATAAAGGCCAGTGACGCCCTCGGTGGTCCAGATCTGGTGCAAGACCTTGAACGCTCCACTCCGTTGTTGGGCGCCCTCCCCAGACTGTTTTCTCGCCAGCATGATCCTCGTCTTAAGCACGTCAAGAGGCGTAGTCAGACCCGCAGCGACGGCACCTGCGGCACTGCCAAACAGGGCGCTCTCTGTCGCCGTGACCAGACCTTGTTGTCTTCCTGATGTCTTGTGTTGACGATCAGAATAGGATGTTTTAAAGGATTCCCACAGACTGAATTGAATGATTGTAAAAGGTATCTCACGCATAATGGTAACTCCGCCGCCTCGATAGAGTTCTTTAACCATGGTGGTGACGCCATCTGTGCGTTGCAGAGCAAGTATGTCTTTCAAGGCAAGCAGGGACGAACCCCCAAACAGTCCAGCCTGTGCTCTTTGCTTGACCACTTCAGTCGGGACACGAATGGCGCATGCCGCTATCTCTCCCATCGAAGAAGCCAGCATATGGACGTAGGTCTGTCTCGAGGAGGATGTAGAAGGAGCTATCAGGGATCTCTTGACTCCGTCGTAGACAAGGAAGAAGGACGCCGCTGACGGCATGGATCCCAGCATCGCCGAAGGGAGACCGGCGTACATGCTCCGAAGGGTACCTCGGAGGGTGTGTCGTGGCGTGAGAGAGACATGTTGAGCAGTCAAATTCGATTGAAGCCGTGTCTTGAGCGTATCGAGAGGAAACAAGGACACATCGACGGTGAGACCTGCTAATGCGCCTGACTAAAGGAAAAGAAAAAGGTCAGTCAGTTCAGTGTATCTACTTGGTCTTGGGTTGGTTAGTTGGAAGAGGAAGCATAGGTATGTCAACGTCCTCGTCCAGCAGGGGAAGAGAGACCAACAATAAGTGAGCGAGTCCACAGCGACGTGACAAGCGCCGTGGGAGCTTGGTTGGAGATTACATCCTGCTCCGGCATGCCTGGGTGTCGCGAGTCTGCGGGTGAAGCAGAGTCGGACACTCAAGGTGGAGGAGGGGATGGTCTCGAAGTGACGAGACTGACTGTGACCCTGAGTGAAGGGTGGTGGAGGATGAAGGACGGGGAAGAGAGAGGTGGTGTTGAAGTCGTAGTCGTAGTCATCAATCGCCGAATATCATAAAATTGATGTTACCAGCGGCGCCTTCCGATTTCGGCCATGACATCAATTCCTTCCAAAAATGGAAATATATGCTTCTATCCACACGAGGCAGGCACGCGACACAACGACAAGGACATCAACTTGTAGAGACTCATATTTAATGTTCTTGGAATTGTACATAATATCGCATAGCAATGACTATGCGATCGGATGATGGAGTGGGTTGAATAATCACTTGGTGAAATATATCCAAGGCATATCTGCAGTTCCGCAATATATGCATTTATATCCTCCAAGACATACAATACAGAGCATAAATAGTCCGTTATCACTCTATCCCTTGACGTTGTCTTCCAGCTCCTTGGAAACATCACCGGTCGCATGTCGAATCATGAACCCTCCGTCTCCATATCTCAAAAGCCCCTTGACCCAGTCAACCCCAGAGTCCCACCATCCATGTCTGTCCGGCTTGACCAGCTCCAGATGGTCTCTGTCTAGACTACCAACCGTAATGTCGACAAATGCCATGGGTGTGTTGAGACGTTTATGCGAGAGATAGGTCAAATTTGTCCCACAGCGAGAGCAGAATGCTCGGGTAGCACGCTCGCTACGATTGAAGCGAGTGACATACGTTTGGGCAAACATTGTATCCGTTTCAATTGGCCCAATTGCGTCCACCGTCGACAGGACGGTACGAGGGGACATTTCGGTGCCGATTCCTGCCTCGTCCAACCTAGCGAGATTCCATTCAACCCAGTCGACTGGAACAATAAGCCATGTTTGGATGATAGCGCCAGATACTTCTCGACAGCTGTTGCAATGGTCGAGATCAATCAGTGGCATTCTCGTCTCGATGTCTTCGCTGGCAGAGATTGGAGTCTTCAATGCCCCAGGCACGGCTGGGCGTTGGTTCCATGCTGGGATATTGACAGTGTATCGAATCGCTTTGCAACAGCAGCCTCCATTCAAGGTCAGTGCCTCTTTGGGAAGATAAGCCATGATGCAAAGATAATCATGGAAAAGTAATCATGTGTGCAGTGCCTGGGACAAGAAAGCCTTTTGCTTGTTCGAACCACCCCCGTCGATCAAAGTCAAGACTTACGGAGTAAAGTATATTGGATATAGACTCTTGTTGCGTTGGTAGTGCTGCTGCCTGGCTTCAACCTTGCCCTTACTAATGATTGGCTGAGAGTACGAAGCTACATACGATCATACAATCGTTACTAGTCGGTCAACTAATCCCTTCACTCCTAAATGCTACTCCTTGCCCTTAATGGCTGGGGCAAAGTCTTGTAGAAAATCCCAGAATAGCTTCTCTTTCAAGCCCTTGCTTTTCCAGTCGTTGATCGACTTGGGAAACATATCCACTTTACCACGAATAAACGTATCGTGTGCGTAGATGAAGAAAACGTGATCGACAGCGTCGGCCTCCTGTGTCTTTTTGATCGTCTCGATCGCTTGTGCGATATCCAGACCCATGCTGGGATCGTAGAATGGTTCGTCAATCGCTCTCGACCTGCTTTTCTGCAACGACTCGAGTTCTGCACCGGGACACACTCCACCTGCAAGATGTGCGAATGCGCTCAGCCGGACTTGGTCAGGGAGGGGCATATACGGCGAAGGTCGAATCTCGCCCCCATGGTGGCACAGATCTCCACCCATCAGAATAAATGAATCTGGGGTCGTTCGGGCCAGTCCCGCTATATGTCCCACTGCATGCCCGGGGGTGTCGAGCAAATAAAAAGACCCATCCCCGAAGAAATCAACTGCTCGTAGTTGACCAATCTTGATCACATTGGGTCCGTCAAAATCAATCTCCCGCACTTCTCGACCTCTGTGGAAGAAAAGACCGTCACTAGAGACACCCTCAAGACGTGACCAAACTCACTCACCTGAAATCACTCTCACGGACTGGAGAGTCCTCTTTGCTCGGGTAACCCGGAAAGAATGCTTCCTTGAACCCAGGGCCGACCACTAATTCTGTGCTTCCCGGAAAGGTGGACGGGTCACCTAAATGATCCCAATGCCAATGACTATGCCATGTTAGAAATTCGCTGATTTTCCAGGGCGTGGTTCTTGACCCACCTCCATACAATACTGTTGATCGAAGCAGGATCGACTTGGTTCTCCTTCAAAATGTCCACCACGTGCTTGTCCGCCTTTACCTCCCAGCCGTTAGCAGTCAGCCGGTTGACGACTGCAGGTGCAAATGTCTCCCAGTTAGGCGGCACTCCAAGATCGAACAGCGCTTTCTTGCCCGTATCACTTTCAACGAGGAATGACCATGTTGGAAGTTCTGGAAGGATGTCGAAACCCGGGATGGGGGGCGTCATCAAGAATTTGACGGCCAGTTGCTTGATACTTGTCGTAGTGTCGATAATGCGGACATTCGCGACGGCCCCCTGGGGGACTTTGAAGTTCGCTGCCATGGCTAGAGATGGGGTTTCTTCTGATATCGTACAAGATCTCTGGCCAAGACAGATTCTCGATCAAATCTTGGTCACTTAGCCTTTGCTTTATACAGTATTGTTGATAAGATAACGTGAGGAAGGATAACCTTCATTCCCCCCCCACCATGATATAGATATTCCCCCTCATATTCCTTTGGAGGTCGATAGCAGTAGCGTCAGGTCGCACCATCGCTCCCCGCACCGAGAACGGATTGAGAAGCTGACGATGTAATCCTTTCATGCTTTTCTCTCATGAATGAATGTTAAATGGTTGGCTTCTCCACAACTTCAATTGTACCTGATGATGCCCGATTTTAACTGGGGATTTTCTCTCATTGGTGATTTGAAGCTTATATAGAGTAAATGATTACACCCAGGTCATGTTGGTGACAGAACTGTGGTTTATCTAGCTATTGCCACTACTGTCTGGCACGCCCTCTGCTTGTCTCATCCAGGATTAATACCTTTAAAGGAACATGTCAAGTCCATCGACGTCCATCCACGTGACTTGATATTCACGTGACTGGTTGCCCTGGACAACGCGCCGGCAACTCCCGCATCAAAAATAACGTCGCGCATTTTCGTTTCTGCCACTGACGCGCCTTGAAGCAGATCTGCGACCACATCTCACACCAAGAATGCTCTCAGACCGTCTTGATATGAGACAACTACTCTAACTAGTAGTAGTCAAGCATCGTCTTTGTGCATTCACCCCACAGCCCATGATTAACGACTACAATTCTTGTTTGTATTTCCACTTCATCCACATCACCAGACTCTTACACCCAGGCCGACTTTAGCATATCATTCACCTTCTCATATCTCATATCCATTCCATCCCACAGCTTACAGCACACATGCGCGTCTGACCCTTCTTCGACACAATGGAACCGTGGTTGGACTCTCTATCGGAGGACTGGAAGTCCGATCCCCAGTCATCTTCGCCTGCGCCTTCGGCTACCAACAGTCGTCGCCAGAGCACTGCCGCCCTATCGCACTCCCAGAGCCGCATTCCTCATCTCGCTCGCAACATCCGTAAGGATTCCACCTCATCTGGTAGTTTTCTCAGACACCGATCCACACGAGGGAAGGCTGGCGGCAATTCAGAGCCAATCTTGAAGGAACGGAGTGCCTCAAGCCTCAATTTACCCCCTGCGCCCTCATGTAAACAATCCAGTCTTCCCCGACGCCCTTCCAGCGCCTTCTCCGAATCCCAAAACTCCGTTCAACACTACTCGGTACGCGAAAAGCCTGTCGATGCCGAAACTCCAGAATGGAAGAGAAGGCTTGTTCAGGGAGAAGATCTCACTAGTGATGGATTCGATCTCTTCTCACCCTCCAAGCTCGAGGGCGTCTTTAAACAACCCACTCAGTCCCAGCCTCACAGCGATATCGACCTGGATCAGAATGACGGTGATTCAAAGTCTTGGAAACCCTTTACTCTACCTTCTGCCGCCGATTTCCCCCAGCAATATAGCAGTTATCGTCCTCCACGAAACCGGCTGAACGATCTCGAAGTTCTTGAAGAGGTCACCGAAAATGAAGACACAGGCGATCATAGCATGTCAGCTGTATCCTCCGAGCTCGGTAGGACTGGGTCCATCAGGGGGTTGGTTCAACAACGCGTCAAGAACTTGGAACAGGCGAATATATCCCAATCCGGACACTCGTCGCCGCGACCAATGAGCCGACATTCTGACAAATCTGATAAGCACTCGCTCAATGTTAGAGACCCAAGATGGAGGACGATAAGCGGACAGGAGGAATTGAAAAACGAGTTCATCAGCCCGGTCACCGTGTCTAAACAGAACTCGATTCGTGAGACCATTATGCGAGGCACTTCAGACATTGATGTCAACCTACTCAAATCCAGACTCCAAGAAGCACAGGCTCATGATAACGATCGTCCTACCTCCAGCTCTAGTGACAAGGACGTCAGCTATGGTTACCTTCCTCCGACAATCGATGATTCACGCAACGAACCTCTTCCAGACCTGACCTCCCAGTCCCTGCCCGATGATCTCTCGATGGGTACTCAGGATTTCATATCGCATGGTGGCTTCATCAATTCGCGTCGTGGTGGACGCTCAAATGAAGCTTCGTTCCTACGCAAAGACTTGAGTTTCTCTCAGGAAAACTCACGCCTGCCTTCTGCTCCTGACCCCCCAATGGACTTTCACAGTTCCCCTCCCGTTGGCTCAAGTTTTTTCGACGATGTCGCACGAAGCAAAGTCAGCGCTAGTGCACCAACGACCCCTCAAGATTCCAGTGTCATTCATCATACGGAAGGCCATCAACGGCCGGCATCGTCTGGTAGTCCACTTAAGTTGTTTGGTAACCGGGATACATATACCAACAATAAGCTCATGCGGATTCTAAGCCAATTTGAAGAAGATGACAACGATAAAAGAGACGGACCGGCAGATGGTACAAAGTCTCAGCAGAACAGTGCGAGCTTGCGTATGAGTCAATTCGGCCGTGGGGACCTCGATGGATTCGGCTTTGAGAAGAATGTGCCGCGTCCATCGCCCCAGGAAGCAAACTCGCTCATCTCTGAACAGCGCATCTTCAAAAGCGTACCGCCCGCGGACCTGCAAACTTTGGAAGAACCCGCGAGTTTTCATTCCAAGTCAGACATGCGGGAATTCGAGGGGGACTCGATACAGAAGCAGGATGGGACGGTCTTGGAGAGAAATCGGACCAACAAGCGACGTAAGACGTTGCTACGAGAACAAGTCGCAATTAGCGAGATCCAGATGGAAGTCAAAGTGAGCCATCTGGAACAACCGGCTAGTCTCGCGGGTTCGAAACGCAAAGATGCAAGGCCTGGAGCAGAGGGCGTTCGGGCTGATGCAGAAACACTTGCATCGAGAAGCTTGTTGAGGCCCCGATCAGCTAGACAACGATCTGGAAGTCACGCTCCCTCTGTCGATGCTACTGAGAATTCAATTCCAGAAGAAGAGGTGTCACAGCCGGATCTCACCGAGGCACTGGCTGCAGAACTTGCTTCATTCGCACAAGAAGCTGCTGATGTCAAACTTGACTCGAGAAAGCCATCACTTGCGACCAAAGACTACATGGAAGAGGCAAACAAGGTCATGCAGTTTATTCGATCGAGAGGCAAACCACAACCGGCGGTCACACAAAACCATGAGTTTGGAAACACATCTGAACTTGATGTTGATGCCATCTTGGACCTGGATCTGGACGCGGACTCAACCAAGGATAGCTTCACTAGGCCTCCATCGCGAGAGCGTATCACCAATCCATCCCCTCATCGACGTGTGGCAAGCCATGATTCGATGACTGCCAGATATCTACAAAAGTACAAAGATGAAGAGGACCTGGACGTTGTCACAAACACATCTGCTTTTGAAAGCCTGCCACCGCCCAACAAAGCTTCAGCACAGCCTATGTCATCTGAATCTAAGCTCGTCCTCCAAGAGAGTGATCCTCCGAACATGCGCATTTTGAACCCAACCGACACTTTGAGGAAACGAAAATATTCGACTTCTACGGTGGACAGAACTCACGACCATGTTGATGAACATGTTCTGCAAACACACAAGTCTCCGGCGGACTCGAGCCAGAATACGTTTCCAACTAATTCCTCAACCTCAGGTCCAAAAGGTGTTATTGCATCTGGCACTGTTTCTATCCCCGATCAGATTGGGTTCATGACTTTTGATCACGACAAGAAAATCTGGATCAAGAAATTTTCAGACAATCAGGAGCAAGAGCCTCGTGGCAGAGAAGTAGCCGGCGCAATGACTGAGGATGATCCATTTGACAGCATCCCCGATCTGAGCGTCGATGAGACACGGGAAAATGCTGCTCGCATGAATCTTGAATCGCCTGTTCGAGCACAGACCAAGGAAGAGCTAAGAGCTCATCAAAGCGTCACCAGCCAACCCTCAGCGCGATCTTCTGCACCAACCCAGAATCTAAAGAATGGTCCAGCTTCGGACGACATGCCTGATGAAGTCGTGCAAACTTCATTGCGATCCAAAACTTCAGAGCATGAGGCAAACCTGCACAACGGATTCCCTTCAGAACCACCCGCTGAGACGAAAGTGGATCGGAAGCAGGCTAGAGTGGTAACCATAGCATTTTCATCACCTCTGGTCTCAGCAGTCAACTACACAAAGTTCGACGACGAGGATCTGGACAATTTGCCACGTGAAGAGGACCTGCCACTTGATGATTCGGATTTGAGTGAGCCAGGAGAGGCAGAGCTTATCAATGGGCCTGTGAAGGTGTCTTTCTCCAGCAACAACATTCAGAGCACCCATGGCACTATGCAAGCAACCTCGTTCCAGCTTCGAACCATCTCTCCAATTGAGGAACAAGATGAAGACGTGGGAGCGACACAGCTTAGTCTAGTTCCTTTGAAGAAATCCATGGATCTCACACCTGCAACCCAGCGTGCAGTCATCAAGCACAAGTCTGGACTTCGAGCTTCAAGCATTCTTTGTTTGACACCTTTGTCAGATTTCTCCCTGCACCAAGTTGACAGTGGCAAAGACTATGATCAAAGTTACGTAGAGGACAGGCAGCACCCGCATGCTCTGCGACAAGCACATGGCTCGCTGGCCCTCTCCGTTGATGACTTGGTCAAGGCAATCACCGATGCGGTTTCCGATGAACTCTACTGGGAAACCCTTCGTCGTCTGCAACTATCACCCTCGAACTTGAGTTCTGCTCACGGCTTGAAGGACTATTGTCCGGTACTGGAAGAACTCTCCATCTCAGGCAATCAGATTGAACACGTTCGTGGACTTCCAGAATCTCTTCGCCATCTTGATATTCATAACAATCTGCTGAATGATCTGACGTCTTGGTCTAGCTTGTCGAATCTGCAGTATTTGGATGTGTCAGACAATAAGCTCGAGAATCTTGATGGTTTCAGTTCCTTGGTCCATCTCAGAAGACTGAAGGCGAGTGGCAACAACATTACCAACATCGATGGCATTCTAGACTTGGATGGCCTTCTCGAGCTGGATGTCCGTGACAATGACCTGTCAAAGGTTGACTTTGAAGGTTCTGAGCTACATCGTCTCCAGCGACTTGACCTGAGCCACAACCAGCTGACAGAGGCACGAAATTTGCAGTGCCTTCCCGCTCTGAAGGATCTTGATCTCAGCTTTAATGCGATTGAAGAATGGCTCCCCGCAGAATCAACGGCTCTTGCGGGATTGAACAAGCTCGAAATCTCTCACAACATGCTTGAATACATCAACCTGGACATGACTCCGGCGATCAAGTACTTGGATCTGGACAACAATCGAGTTTCACATATTACTGGACTCTCACAGGCATACCACCTGGAATTTCTATCTTTGAGAGAGCAAGGCAAAGATTCAAACATTGTCGACGATGTGCTTTCAACTCCGAACGAATGCCGCCACATTCGACTGTCATCCAACTCCGTGGTTGATGGAACATTCCGATTACCTCAGACACCGCAGCATAATCTACGGGAACTTGAGATTGCAGCCTGCGGCATTTCCAGCTTCCCTGAAAACTTTGGGAAATTCTTCCCCAACTGCCGTCGACTGAATGCCAATTTCAACGGCATCAGCGACCTAGTCCCACTCCGAGGCATGCTGAAGCTCAGAACTGTGCTTCTCGCTAGAAATCGCATCAACAGGATGAGGAGAACATGCATCTTACTCTCCAAACTGCAATGTCTCGAGCAAATCGATCTTCGAGAGAATCCATTGACAGTGGGATTCTACAGTCCCCTTGCAAAGACGGAGACGGAGACGGAGACAGAGACAGAAGAAAACAAAAAGTCCTCGGAAGAGGCACGCTATCATCTGCCACTAGGCTCGAGAATTGAAGACTCGAGCTGGAAAAAAGTCCTAGATGAAGTGACGGGTCTTAAACGACGTGCCATTGAACTTCTGTTGACTGAACATTGTAAGAATCTGTTGCAACTCGATGGCATGGATATATGTCGTTCAAAGGTGGTTGGAAAGGATGTCACATGGGATAAATTGACCGGTCAGGGCGTGCTCGCTATCCCCATTGCAGTGCAGCCTCAATGTGTGGATGAGGAGGTTGTTGTTGTAGGGCAAGACGACGGTATTTGCATGAACGAGCCAAGGAAAGGTGACGAAGATGAGATTTGATAGACGAGGAGAAGATATCAATGTCAATTGATGAAGCAATGGGTTTTGGATTTTGGAACTGTACCACCACTATGAGGAAACGGATTCGGGGATGGATGCTGGAAAGGCGGTCTGTCTTTCTTCATGGAAATGAAAAAAAAGGGAAATGACGGGGTTTTATTTTTCTTTGGTCGTTATTACTACAAGACGAATAAGAGATATGATGATGGATGAGGTTGGGTCACTTGGGCCCTGGGGAAAGTGCCACGAATGGTAGAGACGTAATAATGATTAATGAATGGATTTTGAAGTGAAAGGACTCCCTCAATGACCTTCCGTGATCCTGCTTGTAGCGGGGACTTTTTATTGAAGTTCATAATCTATAGAATCTCGGATGAATGCCCCCTGACCTGGTACATTCTCCCTATTTTCGCTTGATGAAAACCGAATAGTGTTGACAGAGATGGAAGGACATGTAGTCTTAGATATATGATTTGATGTATTTGTGAGATACTAACTAAGGTTCTTGCTTGATCTCCATCCAGTCTCTTTTCTAATTTCACTAGCTCCTTGTCTGTTGATTGATGTGCATGTATGTATGTCTTTATACAATATATAATATATAATATACACACACACACATATATATATATATCATCCCCCGAACAGTCGTCTGCCCACGACTTCTTCATCCCCCGCCGATTTGCTCTCCCGCAAACGACTATTTACTCGATTCCCTCCCTCGTCCGCTCTCTTCCACTCTCTTCCTCTCTTGCGCGCTCCCCCTCCACTCCTTTCTACTCCCTTCTGCTCCCTCACGTGCCGGTTTGGTAGTAGCACCTGAATTACGTTCTCATGGTAAGCAAAACGATCAACATCGTGGTGGAGTAACTCCTCCCTTTGAATTCACCATGATGTCATGTGGCGTCAGAACTGAGTACTGTGAGCACTTATTGGAGCAGACTCCGAATGCCACCACAGTTAAATTGGTCTTCTTATCAGGGCTTCGAGGTAACGATGATCCTCGAAGAATACCTGCTCTCTTTCAGCGGGTTGGCGTGGCTGAAATTCAGTATCTCCTTGGTAGGTATCTGCTGTATCTGGTGTTGCCTCGCCTCGTTTACAAGAACCACTTTGTTCCACTTACTTGTCCTGAAACTGAGAAGGACATCAATCAAGCCAGATTTCCGAGTGTCGCTCACGCTCATCACACAGTTCTAGGATCGACTCTCGACGAACTCGTCACAAAATGTCGTCTGACCACAAGTTCGAAGGCTGGGTGGGTGAAGACGCATCCTCAGCCGAAGGCAAGATGGTGTGGAAGGACTATGAACCAAAGACGTGGGAAGAAACAGATGTAGAGATCAAAATCACTCACTGCGGCGTGTGTGGGTCCGATATACACATGTTGAGGTCCGGCTGGGTAGGTATATGCGCAGCTCTGCCCTTGACCCTTTGAGCAATCCCCGTAAACAGAACAGTTAACACTCAGACAGCGTCAAACTCCCTATCCCATCGTGGTCGGGCACGAGATCGTCGGCATCGCTGTCCGCGTCGGTTCCAAGGCCTCGAACGGCATCAAAGTCGGGGACACCGTTGGAGTAGGCGCGCAGTCCGATTCGTGCCTGAACCGCGACTCCCAGTTCGCGTGTACGGAATGCAAAGAAGAAAACGAAAACTACTGTACGCGAATCACAGGGACATACGGCTCCAAGTTCTCCAATGGCGACAAGTCTTTTGGTGGTTACGCGCTGTATCACCGCTGTCCCTCTCACTTCGTCTTCAAGATCCCAGACGGGCTCGCACCAGAATTCGCGGCACCAATGCTCTGCGCTGGAGTCACCGTGTACTCACCACTGAAGCACTTTGGTGCTGGGCCCGGGAAACGGGTCGGCGTTGTGGGAGTCGGCGGTCTGGGCCACTTTGCGGTGCTGTTCGCGCGTGCGCTAGGCGCCGAGGAGGTGGTGGGAATTTCGCGCAGAGAGAGTAAGCGCCAGGAGGCGCTCGACCTGGGATGTACAGATTACATTGCGACTGCAGAAGACGAGGGCTGGGAGGCCAAGAATGCCCGGAGGTTCGATATTATCATCTCAACGGTGTCGTCGCCGAAGGTGCGTTGCTATTCCCATACCCGTCCCCGTCCTTTCATACAATCGGTCCTTGAAATTGGTCGGTGGACGACCTAGTCCACAGTGGAATGCTGCCGCCACACCAGGAATTCATACTGACTCATGACCCAGATGCCCTTCGCAGACTACCTAGGCATGCTTAGACTCGAAGGCATACTCGTTCAGATCGGCCTACCAGAAGGCGAGCTCCCGTTCCGCGCATCCAGCCTCACGGGGGCCCGACGTCGTGTCGCCGGATCATTTATCGGTTCCCCCCGAGAAATCCGTGAAATGTTGCAGTTGGCCGTTGATAAAGACATCAAGCCGTGGGTCGAGACACGCCCCATGTCTGAGGCGAATCAAGCTATTGTTGATTTCGAGGCTGGGAAGCCGCGCTTTCGCTATGTCCTCGTCAATTGATGAATCTGGGGAGAAACGTGCTGATCGGGGCCCAATTTTCAAGTTGGCATCTTCTGAAGCGCCAGGACCGACGTCAAGATACTACCTTATGTTGAAAAGCAACCTAGGGATCTATCTACCTTGGTGTTTGGGACGTCGCCTTTTCTACGTTACCAACGAAAAGCTCTCCTTAGAAGACTGATTCTCACGTAAACTGAAGGAGCATTACTTTTTGAAAGGTGCTATTATCTTAGAGTTTTTCGCTTTCTATTATGACTGTGGTTGTACACAAGGACAATATTCCGACAGACGCGCCTACAGGAACATCACGGTCACACTCCCAGCCATCCTTCATAGCGGAGAGGCAGACCGTGCAGCGCCAGGGTAATCTTTGCTTATTGAATCCCAGAGCGGTCCACCTCCATACGCCAAATCTCCGAACGGCGGGCAAGTCAAATCTGTAATGGCCGTACCTAGCGCGTCAGTAAGAAGGCTGAGAGGAACAGCAATATCTAGAAGGGTTCATCGTCGAGGCCTAAAGGGACCCCTTAAGCCCGAACTGGCTTCTAAGTACAGGCATTAGATGAGCTCCCTGTGGCTTGCCCAGTGCTCGGGCGATCCCCCCCTCCCCCCTCCCCCGTACTCTGCCGTAGCTCCCGCGGCGCTCTCCCGTGCTCGGCTGGGGATCCGTCACGTACCCGAGTAAAGCGGCCGCGCTCCCTTTCCTGAACGAAAATGAGAAGGGACGAAGCACAGTTCGGGGTTGATATAATGTAGATATACTTTGGCGCCAGCCATGAGCAAGGTTTGGGGGTATTTAAGCAAATAAGGGGTCGATATATGGTGTGATATACTATTTGCCAAGAGGATAGGATGAGTGACAAGCGGAAGGTCGAGAAGAAGAAAATCTAGAAAACATTAATACAACGATCAAAAGATGGTGGAGCTCAACATCCAGAGCCCCAACATCCCCGTCAAGACCAGCGTTTGTGTCATGGCTGGAATTGAGAGTCGCATGGATCCAGAATCGTCTCCTCCTTCGCTGTCATCGTCGTCGTCGGCATCGTCGGTTTCGGTGTCGGGATGAACCCTATATGACCAGTACGTTAGATTATTTTTTCTCCAGCTCAGGGGGTACGAGCCAAGGTATAGAAAACGAGGCAAAAGCAAACGTTCGGAAAAACTAACCTTTGTCCCTTGATGATGTCAGCGGCCTTTTCGGCTACTCCAAATGCCACGGCTTGGGTATGGGCACCAGGCACGATAGGGAGGATACTGGTGTCGACGACTCGGAGGTTCTGGGTCCCGTAGACAATCAGCTCATCGCTGACTACACCACCAAGGCTGAGTGGTAACATGGCTGCAGTTCCGCTATAATGGAACTGAGTACCGACGTGGTTCCGTATAAGTTCCGCCATTTGGTCTTCAGTGGCGTCCTCATCTAGATCAGGGTACGACGGCTGAAGTACCTGGATTGGCGCGGTGTGAAGGATACGCTGGTTTAGTTGCAAACCGAGGATTAATGTGTCAAAGTCGAAGGGGTGGGAAAGCCACCGTGGGTCAATTGCTGGTACCCGGAATGGGTCATCGCTGGTGATGTGAGTGGTACCTCGTGACAAAGGTCGCATCAGAGCAAGATGTAGACCTCCTGCATTGTCGTTGAGGTTCTCAAAAATTGGAGTGTACGATTGATTGAGGTCGTTTATTGTGCTGACAAGTTGGGCGAGATATCCGTTCTGGAGAGTTGTTTCATTCGCGTAATTTGAAGGGAGATAGTCGGGGGCCGAGCGCGCGCGCGCAAGTCTAGAATTCGCGTCTCCAGCGTCGGTGACCTGGCGGAGCGAAGGAAATGCAACAGCACCGCTAGGTTTGGCCGTCCAAGGGCCAGTTCTCGATTCCAGGAATTCCTCTCGGCATTGTTCGTTATATTCTGGGTCACGTCTGAAGTCAAGGATTGTTCGATAGCTGCTGTTGGTGTAATAGTACGAAATTTGAATCATAGGATGATCTTGGAGGTTATTGCCCACTCCAGGCAGGTTCCGGAGCACTTCAATTCCAAGAGGCTCAAGAATTGATGCTTGACCAATGCCAGAGAGCTCAAGGAGTTTTGGTGAAAAAAGGCCGCCTGCGGCAAGGATAACTTCTTGACGTGCAAAGACCGTCTGGACTGGCTCGCCTCGTCCAGCGGAATATTGAACAGCGTGGGCCCGGAGCTCTTCAGCTTCATTGTCTTCAAATAGGATTTTCGTCACTTGCGAGTTGACTTGGACGTTGAAATTGGTGCGATTTGCGTTTGGGTCGTAATATCCTTTCCTTGCGTCCCAACGGATCTGTTCGTCTGGGTGGATGTTTAGCGGGACGAAGTATCCACCAGCCTCCAGACCTTCGTTTGGCTCAGCGGACAAAGGAATATCAAGTTCCAGTAATGCTTCGAAGTAGTTATCTGACTGAGGCCAGTAGTACTCAGGATATGAAACATGCATGGGGCCACTGTCGCCGTGAACCGACGAGTTCTGGAGATGTGGTTCGATTAATGTTGAAGTGTTGTAGATCTTGGGTGTGTAAGTCTCAGACTGTGAGGTATGTCAGTCAACAGCATCAAACCATCAAAGCAACATAAAAATGACCTTCTTGAAATAAGGTAAGAGGTCATCCCAGCCCCATCCATCGTTCCCTAACTCGTTCCAAGCATTATAACCATCCTGGTTACCCCGATTCCAGATCAACCCGTTGATAAGGGTTCCCCCGCCAACTCCTCTACCCACCGGTACATAACGACCTTCGCCGTTAAGCTGATTTTGGGGGACAGAGTGCATGCCCCAGACATAGAAGTTAGGAGGCTGAAGACCAATATAGTAGGGGAATTGAATTTGGTCTTCCCCTTGATCCCTGTCTTGATTTAGTTGCGATCACCACGTGAACTCAAGATACTTACAGCTCTCCAGCTTCTAGACATAACACTGACACGTCTTCATCCTCAGACAATCGTGCCGAGACGGTCAATCCTGCAGCACCACATCCAACAACAATGTAGTCAAATGTCTGGTTGTTTGCATTGTTGATGATGCTCCTGCTGTTGAGTGTTCGACCCCAAGATAGACTGGTGTGCAGCAAAAGACCCAATAGAAAAGAGTGTTTCATCCTGAGGACTGGAACAGTGAAAGAATTGATAGAGGTACCCTCACACCTTTGGTTATAACTGCTGCAACTCTGATGTCAGGATACTGGCGAGTATGCTCAAACTGAGTGGTGGGAATCTCAACCAAAGCTCAAACCCCTCAACTTTGGTCGTTAGAAACACGATAGCAAACAAACAAACGCTCTATTGGGAACGGGCAATAGGAATAGGGTGAGGACAAGCCGCGACTGCAAAACTAGAATTAGAAACACAATCAAAGGTTGGGCAGTCAGACACCGTTCTTTTGGCACAAACTTGGCTGCTCGGTTTGTATCGAAGTCGAAGGAGCTACCACTGTGTTAGTCTCGGCTGTGGCCGCGATGTCAAGAAACTTGAATTGGCGCCGACGCAAACGAATGGAGGCTCTACTGTCGGAGGCTCGTGGAGGCTGCATGCATCCACCAGCACACATGATGGAGGGATACATGGCTCCACAACCAGTACCCCATTTCATCACGTATGTCGGCTGAATACCTGATGGGTAAGGCATTGTGACAGCAGAGATTCGCTGTAATTGTAAAAGCAGTCCCAAAGAGGGACCTATGTGATGACAGGGCAGGAATCAAGGCATGATATCCTAGGAATGCCGAGACAACGCCACGCCAATCGTAACAGCGCACAGGACGCATCGGTCGGTGGTCAAGCGTGCCAGAGGTCGGGTAAGATGGCACGCTGGTACGCTGAGTGGCTGGTTAGCGTGCGGCTATTCCATGAGCAGAGACGACCTCATGAAAGGAAGAGCCTTGTGGGAACACGACAGACGGCATCTACCGCTAACACTCCCCGTAGCATGATGTGGTCTGTAACTTTCGGGAGAGCGTCATACTCCGTAGTATTTGATCAGCGGTCCAGCCTTCCAGGGTCGTTGTCAAGGGGTGTTATTAGCCTTCCACCCTTCGAGATTTCTGGTGACCTGGCACCCTGGGAGATATGAAGTTGCGGCCACGCGCCAAAGTCCAAGAGTCACGTGGGGAATTTTTTTTTTGAACATTTCAGAGGGAAGGCACGAATGGCAGATAGAACCCCCTGCCGCGACAATGGCCGCTAGCTTCATTTGGATTTAGCGCCTTGAATGAACCCCACATACCACGCAAGCCTCTTGGCGCCAAGGGTTGAATTAATCTTCCCGCTTGTGGTTCCGGTCGCTACTCATGCCACGTCCAACGCCGTTGTGGTTCATCATTTCTGGATGGAGTCTGCCGAGCATATCCAAGATCCCTGAACCTCATCCAGCAGTCCTTCAAATCACCTGGGGGGATTGACAAAGCGTGGCCCCTTCATTGGCATAGATTTGCGGAGTTCAAACCATGCCACCGTTGTCGATCCTTCGCCGTTTACCGAGTACCAGTCAGGCTCACAAGACCAACGACGGTGTTGAGAGATGGCCGATATCGGGGCGCGTGCTCCTCGCGCAGCCACATTAAAAAAATACGAGGTGTCCGGCCCGCAACGAGCATACTCTCTTGAAGCTGAATATGAACATGCAGACCTCGACTTTCTTCTGTAACAGAGCTCTCGATGGACTCAAGAACCACCAAGGCCCAAGAGCCGCTCAATGATTCATCATGTTGAGGGCAGACGGGAGGCCCTGGATTGTGCCAACTACCTTGGCCCAAGTCTTCTCCACTGCTAGGCGAGGGAGCCCGACAAAATGGGTCATCTGCTTCCGTGTCCTGAGAAGTCATCCGGCGAGTCAGGTAGGAGGTGGTCGTACACAATGAGGAGATCTATCAAGCACGCATACGAATACACACACCCCCATCCAACAACTTGATGGACATAGGGGAGATAATTTCCTTATGGTCGCCAAGGTAATATGTACTGATAAAGCCGGAGCGACTCTCATCTTGGCGGGCGGGAAATTTCCCCAAACAGAATGCCGCTGGCATGGCCCGCCAACACATCTGATGTCCAGCCTGGTCGAGGTACGGAGTATGTGTAGGCCTCCAGAAGAGAGCCTGCCACTGATCAATGCTCAATAAAATGTATTTGCTGGTTGGTCAGTCTAGGGTTTTTCTGCTGGTCCTCACATTCCTTACTAGGTCTGGAAAAGCAGCACGGACCATCTCAGCCTCGTCACATATCTCAACCTGATGCCTTCAAGTGGCCAGCATGATTGAACATCCCAGTGATCTTACGATGCTACTGGCGGTTCACATAATGAAGATACTTATATTCCATTGAGGATCAGGTTTGCCCGTGTTCTCTTTACTCTGTAAGATTAGCAATATTCGTACTAAATCCAGTCTGAACCCCTTCCACCCCTTTTCGCAAAACATGATTGATAAAAATTTGGCCGTGATCATTTGTCTGTTTATCCAAGGCCTCTACACTTCTCCGATAGCCTTACCACAAGCAGTGACAGCAGCAATCGCACCACCTGCTCCACCGCAGCCTGGGTGCTTAGGGTCCTTACAAGGGACATTTGGGATAGCGGTGGTCAACATACCATCGCCGTCATCAACACAGAGGTTGAGGCAGAGACACACGGACCATGACGTACAGTAAGGTTTCACGTGATCCCGATCCCCCTGTTTCATTCATTGACCTTTCTGCTATAGAACAACACCCGCCGCCTCAACGACGACGATATATGAGCAAGTTTCACAGATCGAAGATGGTCAGATTCAAGGTGGGATACGTACCGTAGTCTTGACTCTTGCTCCAGTGACCCAGATCGACGACGGTCAGATACAACACCGGACTCCCACATCGTCAAGACAGGATCGTACGACAACGACCTCCAAGACAAGATGTGCCAATCGATCAGGCACAAGTGCCTCAGTGTCTACGCCAACGACGTCTACGTCAACGCGCACTACTAGCCAAGCAGCCACGCCTACATCCAGTCCAAGTATTCGGCTTGCAACTCTACCGCCACCGAGTGCGAGTACGACCACGACCACGACTACGACTACGACGGCTCTAATGCAAATTCAATCGTCTACACTTCCTTCACCATTGCCAAATACACAGCCCTCTGTTTCTCCTATTCCCCAAACTCGACTCAATTTAGTCAGCTGCCTTACAGAATCGACATTACGCTTGACACTAACAAACCACACCATTTTGGACGCTCTTGATCGCACCGGCTATATTGCATCCAATTATCAGTTCCAGTTCGATAAACCACCTCAATCTGGCGCAATATATACGTCTGGATGGTCAGCATGTCCTGTCAAAGATCCGTCTGAGCCTACTCCTGCAGAGTTCAATTTTGGCTTGACACTGGCTTTAGGTGGGAGCACGACATTCTGGCAATGTCTCAGCGGATCGTTCTACAACCTGTATACTGAGAAAGTGGCAGGACAGTGTAATGCAGTGGAGATTCGGATTGTTGGATTTGTTCAGTGTGAGGATGAGTAAGGTGAGTGGGTGGATGGTGATGATGCTGATGATGCTGATGATCATAACGATGCATGAATAATGGTAGGATGATAAACTATGGACATTCTCTCGGTGGAGATGGCACCCGTTCTTCCTCTATTTTCTTCCTCTATTTCCTCTTTATTCTTTGACGCTTCAGAGATATATGTGAGTGACGGCCACAGATCAATCTTGAATGACGCCTTGAGCCGTGTCTACACAGGCACATGCATGTACACGTGCCAATCAGGCAAACATGTCAGGTTATAGTGAATAAAATCTTTAGATTATTCACTCAACACCCTTCCCGCGTTTACCTTGACAGTGAATAAACAAAGTCTCACCTTTAATTACTAGGCAGTTGAACCTGACCCAGGCAGCAAGTCCGTCACTTCACATGCCAGCGAAACTACAGACTTATTTATTCAGTACCTCAAACCATCCTCTTCCTTTGTCCTCCATCTTCCAACTTCTGTCGAATTCTCATTCAATCACTGACTTCCTTGTCTACTTGACCACGGATAACCACTACTTTTTCCCATCCCATCCCATCCCATTTCATCCATCTCCCCATTATCAACGCTTTTCACATCGCTGCTTCAGACTCTACGCTCTACTGCGTCATTACGTCCACGATCCTATCTCAATTCCCACAGTTCTAATCTCAAGGTTCATCACTCATCAACCCGTCATCATGCCTGACTGGAAGGATAACGAGACGCTCAAGTCGGTGAGTCTGCTCCCATCATTCCCTACATCTTGATCTCAGTAGATCAATCTACACGGTCAATGATGGAGATCCCTATGCCTAAAGATCTTGATCAAACATCTACTAACACTCATCCGTCTACTATAGCTGATCCTCGCCCTGGTGGAATCAGCCAAACCAGACTGGAAGGCAGTGGCCGCCCGTATGGGAGATGGTAAGTCTCAAAACCCCCCATACCCATACCCATACCCATACCCAAAACAAAACCTGATCTTGATCTCATCTCATCCCACCCACCCACCTGACATCAATCTCATCAATCTAACACTCTCCTTCCTTTCCAGGCTGTACACCAGGCGCCGTGGAGAAATTCATTAAGCGCACCAAGGACGCCCAGAAAAGTTCATCATCCACCACTGCCCCAACCACTGCCACTACCACTGCAAAGCCAGCTGCTGCACGCAAGAAACGCACTCCATCAGGTCGAGCTGCAAGGACAGTTTCTCAGGGATCCCGCAACGTAAAGCCCGAAGGCGACACCGATACCAAAGATATTAAAGTCGAGGGTGCTGGTAACGGCATTGCTCGTATCATTCCTAAGCGCAAAGCACATGCCACTCTATCCTTTCAGATCTCTTCAGACGAAGATATGAAGAAGATTAAGAGTGAAAGTGAGAGCAGCGACGACGAGGACGAGGAGAAGCCACCGGTCAAAAAGGCTAAAAAGTCACGTGGCCCGCGTATCACCGTCACAAAAAAATCCCACGGCGGCGTCATCATGAAGCATGAGCCTAAAACTGCTGTGGATGACGACGAGACCGAGGATGAAGTTAAGAGCGAAACCGAAAAGGAAGATGAGTAAACATCCAAAGCGAAAGCGAAAGCGAAAGGACGGCAAAGTAATAGCGACAACAGCCGATGAAAAAGGAACTAAAGCCATCGTCTGATAGTATCTAGGTCCTCTAGGTCCTCTAGGTCCTCATGACCATCAACCTTTCAACCCGCGGCATTAGTAATGGAAAGATGAGGTGAGAAGATTCACGATGAATTTTCGTTGGTGGCCGCGTGGATGGGGGGATGGTGGTATGGCTGGGTTTCACTAGAGTTCACGCTTTTATGCTTTTGTGCTTTTGTGCTTTTGGCGATACGCGAGTTCAGCACAGTCTTGGACTGTATTTTGTGATTTCAATAGGGTGATCACTCACGAGATAAGGAGATAAAACGTGCAGCATCACGCAGTAGCACGTTGAATAGAATCTCCACTTGAAGAACTTGACATGGCTGTGCTATTTCCGTCCTAATTGAAAAAAGGAATAAATCCCTAGGAGTAAGTTCACCCCTATATAGACCACCAATGCAGATAACCCGCCATCAAGTTGAGCTGGTCGAGGCCGTATGTGAATGAGCATGTGTATTTATCTTGCTTGATTCCTCCATGACCCCCCCTTTTTTTTCACCTATCTCACACACAAGTCCGCTCAGCTTAAGCGGTGGCGGCCCAAGCATTTCTGAAGTTGTTCAGTCCGGCCATGAGGCCCAAAAATCCAATGGCGCCCTGGTTCAAGCCGACACCCGCGGGGTAGTTGCTGTACTCGAGGGCGACGGGGAGCCAGTAAGCGGCGGTCAGAAACTCGTTCCACCATTTGCGATCAAAGTCTTCCTTTTCCTGCTGTGTCTTTGTCTTGGACTTTTCGATTTCGGCCTCTCTCCAAAGACGGAGGAAGTCCGAAGCAACACCGACAAGCCAGGCACGACAACTCCAAGCAACCCACTTGGCCACTCCGCCTCGCTTCTCCATGATGGAGACTGGGATTACACCTTTGCCGGCCAGATGATACAGGTTCTCAGTCAGTTGGAATCCAATATAGCCGGCAACTTGCAGGAGAGCAATGCGGTGCAGGGCTGGGTCCATGTCCTTGGACGTCTTCTTAGACAGCAGAGTCTTGAGCCAGATGTACAAAGGAAGAAGTCCTGTCAAACGCAAGGTGGTTCGCAGATCGGAGATCATTGCACCGAGGGGGGTAAGGAAGGTTGGTAACGCAGCGCTGGCTGGGACGGCCAGGGCTGCTTTGGATGGAGTCCGGCCTACGAGGCGCGAAATATATGCAATGACAGCAGCACGAGTCGGCGAGACTGAATGCAGGTAGGCGGCGAGGTAGATGGAATAGTTGAGGGTGGACAGACTAGCACCCAGGCCGGCAGTGGTCTTGAGCAGTCTGTAGCAAAGATGACATGTTAGTGACGGTATCCTTTAAATTTTTGAGAGGTTGGACGGTATTGGAGCAGCATACTTGCTGAGCCGGAGCAGAAGAGCATCGGCTTTTGAGAAAGTGGTTGAGACCGTGCCAGGTAACTTGGTCAGAGCAGGTGATTGTGCAGGCTGGACTGGCTCAACAGCTTTCTTTTCAACCTCGGAGGGCTCCTGAGGCACGACCGCAGGGTCAGGGTGCGAAGAGTCGGCGTTGGACATGTTGGCTAGGAGGTATGGGTGATTTCGTGTGGTTGTCAATTTATGAGGTATACGACAACCAACGTTGGGCAGCAGTGCCCTTGTATCGATGGTAGATAGGTCGTCGACGGTTTGGATTATGGGATAGGCAAGTTTTGTGTCCAAGAAAGGTGAATTGATTACTTACGGCCGCCTCGGGGTTGGAAGAAAATAGGTTGAATTGAATGGCTGTGAGCGGTCTTGGTCATTAGGCGCGGGTGACGGTCAGATTGGATGCGATGCGTACTCCGTATATCGAGGGAACTCCGTCTTCTCTCCGCACACCCGCACCGGTTCTTTGAAAAGGAAGCCGAGGTTGACTTCTGCATCGTTCTTGCCGGGGCCGAAACACGGCTTTATCACGTGATGCACAAGTCACATGATATTCGTACATGCCATGACGGCACCCGCCGATCAAGTGAAAAAACGTCATTTACGCGTTTGAGGCAATTGACATTCTCCGTACAGAATAACTTGACGATGATTGGTTCGTATCCTCCCCTCACCCTCAGCCTGGTCCATTCAAACTGCGCCTCGCCACTTTTCTTCTTCTGGAACCGCAGGTACGCAAAGTGCTTCCTCTTCCTCGCCTATCTATTTGTTCTTGTTTGCTAGTCCATGACGGAGCTATCCGCCAACCATCAGGCACCTGCTTTTATCACTCAAAAGACCTCAGAGCAACAAACTTCTCCCATCCTCGTACACAAACCTCACTCATCCTCTGGCCCTCTTCTATATCTTGTCTTCACCACACCTCTAGGCCGCAGCGTCAAATCTACGACATCAAATCTACACTTCTCCCTCGTCTCATCACGGCAAATTCCCACTTGATTGTCATCATGTGCTGTGGCGATCTATTCCTAGGCGTTCTCGCCATTCTCTTTCCTCCCATTGCAGGTAAGTCATTCTCATGAGAATCAATCATCCCCGAACCCTGAGTCACCATCCATCTAACCCATTATTCAATAGTCTGGATCAAGCGTGGTCTCTGCTCCGCCGATTCACTGATCAACATCCTCCTTTGTGTCCTGGGATATGTCCCGGGTCTGATTCACGCCTGGTACATTATCGCCCGCTACCCCGAACGAGATTACGATTACGAAGTCATCCCCGATAGCGAAGCCCAACGAGTTACTTATTACTACGTCCGTCACGAACCCGGCCAAGGATACGGCACACAGCCAGGACAAAGTCCACGACCCGCACAGAACAACACTGCTGGAGCCCCTTTGCCTCCCAACACGACCAAGCCAAATAAGCCCCGAGCCGCCGCACCACCACCACCACCACCACCAAGCAGCAATGCCCAAGGGAGCAGCAGTCGACCAGCCCCACCTCCACCAAGCAATGAGCCTGTCGGTCCCAGTGTAGGTGCTGGAAGCGATGAACAAGGCGCACCTCCGAGCTATTCAGATGTGGTGAGGGGGGACAACAAAATTCAAACCCAGGATTAAAGACATATGTGTAAACGTGAAACGGGGAAAGGACTAGCATGACTGAAGATTGATCAAAGTGTTATCAAGATATACCTTGGGTGCTCCTATGAGTGGTTGGCGCTGGTGGGCTTTTTGATTTTGTTGCATGACTTGACCTGGAAATCAAAGTCATACCCCTGGCTTGGGAATTTGTCCACCAGGAGGATTGCATTGCACTATACTCTGGTTTCAGCGACACATCTGGCGTGATGGTAGGACTACGCCTTTTCGTGGCTCATGTCAATCATGCTATGAGAGCTGCGATTAATAAAACCTACTCTAAATACCCCACATCATAGTGATTTAATTCTTTTGCATACAGACATGTCATATAGGATTTCTACAATGACGCATTACAGCGATCCCCCGGACCAGGCTTACTTAGCAAGGTTTGAGACTTGAGAGCATTTCCATTTCGTGTCAAAGTCAATCACTGGCTTGTAGAACTAATATAATCCTGTGAGAATCGAATCTCTGCCTCGTTGTGATTTCCATCCATGTCGCACGTGATCGTCTAGTACTCAAGCATTGGAGTTGACAATGTCTACAAAGGCGGGCTTCAAGCTGGCACCTCCGACGAGGAAACCGTCCACGTCGGGCTGCTTGGCTAGATCGGGGCTGTTCTTCTCGGTCACACTGCCACCATAGATGATTCGAGTCGCCTCGGCCACCTCGCTCGACACGGATTCTTTGAGCCACTTTCGAATGGCAGCATGCACTTCCTGTGCTTGTTCTGTCATCACCGTTGTTAGCGCTGCTTGAATGCATCCCACTAGACAGCCGTGACTTACCAGTGGTAGCAACCTTTCCGGTTCCGATCGCCCAAATTGGTTCATAGGCAATCACAATGTTGGCCCAGCCGTCCTTGCCGACTGAGTTATTGACTGCCGCGAGTTGCTTGGTGACAACATCGACCGTCGTTCCAGCCTCTCGTTGCTCCAAGCTCTCGCCGACGCACAGAATGACACCAATTCCTCCGTCCAGAGCGGCCTTGGTCTTGCATGCCACGAACTCATCCTCTTCACGCAGAATCGTGCGACGTTCAGAGTGGCCGACTAGTGTCCATGTGATGTTGCTGTCTTTGAGCTGTGCCACAGAGATCTCGCCGGTGAAAGCACCGTTCGGTCGGTCAAATACATTCTGGGCTGCAACTGCAATATTGTCCGACAGATGTTCGCGGGTCAGGAGGAGGTAGAGGGAGGGAGGAGCGACGACAACCTCAGTGTTGGGATCTGCATTATTGCACCTCAATCGTTAGACCTTTGTATCATAAAAATGCCGATTTGCTTTCGAGAAGCACGCCGTCGATTGATCATGCACGAAAAGCAACCGGAACCAAATGATCCTCCGAAGTAGAATTCAACATACCGAGCTTGGCGGTGGACAGGTTGTGAACGATCTCTTTGATGGACGAGATGGTCCCGTTCCTGTGCAGGTCGACAAGGTCAGCTGGAGTTCTAAAGCATAGCTTTCAGAAGTATAGAGGCCATGTGAATTGACCGACTGCCGGGGAATAAGCAATACTTGCATTTTGAAGTTTCCTCCGACGAAGAACTTGCGACCCATGGCTGCGGTGGTAATTGGAGAGAATTGAGAAGTGACTGTGTATGTTTGGCTTCAAGAGAGACTGGAGCAGGAGTCCTGGATGTGACGGGCTTTTCAAGAAGAATAAGAACAAGAATAAAAAAGCAACGAAAGAAAAGACATGGAGCTCTCAGGTTGGTAAAGATACGGAGTAGATGCATTTGTTGACAGCGGGGCATCCAATGACATTCTCGACCGGGCAGGCGCTTCATCGTTTCATCGGCCCTTCGCTCTTTCCTTTGCCCCTCCAAGATCTTCGTTGGTCCCGTGGGGAAACTCTGCCGAGCACTTCTCCTGATCCTCCGTGATTCTCCCATCCTCCACTGCGTCCACTGCCTGCGTCTCACATCCCACATCCCATAACCCATGTCTTCCGATTTCTCACGAACCATCCTCGTTTCTCCCATCCTACGTCCCACTGTACACCAGACTCGTCCTTGGCCAATAAGGATGAAAGCCTCCGTCAACATATACCCATATGTAATGGCCCCCAAAGCTCTGTAGACTTGGGCGTGGCCATGCACGATTCATGTCTCATGTTGTGGCTTAAGACGCAATATGACACCAGGACCTTGCTTCCGCTTCTCGCCAATTCGTCGCTTAAGGGGACGAAATTGCGTCTGCCAAGATATCTCAGTGGTCTGATTTCGTTATGACCATATTTCGAGATTCGACCACTCTACCTGCTCTTTGTTGTACTGTTGGGCGCCGATCCGAACGTGTACACAACTCGCCGAGATTTCTGGGTCTTGAGATGAAACACGGGTTTGTTAGGGGGCCTATGTACTGAGTTCAGTCCAAGTAGCCTCCCAGAGTAATACGAAAGAACCTCCAACCAAGTTTCCATCCCGAGCTCGACTATCGTCGCTTGTCTGCGTACGAGTACACATGGCGCATCCACCGCACCGCTAGCTTCCCGGGCCCCTGGGTTCAAACTGCCGTTCCTCATTACAAATCGCTAACATGGGGTTTGACACGAGACAGATGGCTGAATTGCTACTCACGCTTCTACAACATATGTATCCCAGTTACAGACTTGTAAACAAGCGTATATACAATACACAGCCACAATTGGTCTACTGCCTATTCGAAGCTCGCGTCGTTTTCAGACCCACCTTCTTAGATCACTCATTCTTTGTTCTTTCTGGAATTAGGCGGCATCTGGTCGAGCTACTCCAGGTCGAGATCTATATTCAGGCACTTGCTACTAACTTTCTACCAATAATTTTGGCCTTGCACACCGACCAAGTTCTTGTTCAGGGGAATGTTTGATCTTGCCAGGATCTCGCACATCTCCACCGCTTTTGACCAGGGTTCTGATCCGTCTTCCGATGGTCACACCACACATACTACCCAGTTCCACGTGTTTGGTTATGGGAAGACCAAAATTCTGATCCGCGACACCACTTGAAATTTTCCCCAAGTCCAACTCGGAATGACTGATGGCATTCCACCCCAGCCGGGCCCTTGTTTGGCCATGACTATAAGATTCCAATGTTGCGGCGCCCCGGAGCTCTTTGGCCGAGATTTTAAGAGCTCCCCAAGGCCACCTCGTCTGCTGGCACGCTGTCACACCTGGTGACCTTTAACCATCTCCCACAACCTCACATCACACATCACCATGGCAGCATTACCCAAGTCTATGGAGCACGTGAGTCGGCGGGAACTATACACCTCCTTGCCTGCCAGAGTCCAGTATTTACAACAATTCCTCGAGTTTGGTGCAGGTATGATACCCATAAGGACAGCCAATGGACCGCTGCTGATACCATTGGCGCCGTAATAGATGATGTGGTGGCATTGATCGATGGGCAGAAATACATCAAAGCAATCATCCCTGCTCTTGTGAACATGGTCTACAAGAAGCTCTTGAGACATGATATCACCGCCAGGGTTTTTAGCACGCGAGATAGCAGAAATGAACAAGACCCAGATCAATGGATCAAGGAGGATGATGCCCAGATCCGCCATCGCAAGATGTTCTTGAGGTGGTATCTCACCAAGCTGAACTCTGACCCCAGCAAGATGGAGTACTGGCAATATCTAGACAAGGTTGGGTAGGCCAACTCTTGGGCGCTTGGGCGCCAAACTATTGTTGATTCAATACTAACCCCTTCCTAGACTCATGCATGTGGGCAAAGGGCGGAAGAACCCTCTCCATGTCGATTATCTCTTCTTGGGAGTCTGCCTCGGCTACATCCAGGATGCCATGACTGAAGCCATCCTGTCACACCCGAGACTTGAGCTTGAGCAAAAGATTGCCATTGTCAAGGCTGTGGGCAAGGTGATCTGGATTCAAAACGATTTAATGGCAAAATGGCACATCGAGGATGGGCGAGAGTTCCTAGACGAGATCGATAACGAGGAAATGGAACTGGAAGCACAGCAGCCCGAGGGATACCTCAATGGGCACAGGGTATTGGGGCGAAACGGGAATGATGACGACAGCTCGGCAGGGGACCGTCCCTCCTCAAGATCATCTAAAGGATCTAATACCAGCGTCACCAGTCTGGGAAGGACGCCGGAGCAAGTGCAACAAGGCGTCGAAGCGAGCCGCTGCCCTTTCAGTGGTTTAGCAGCAGGGCAGCCAGATATGGACATCCAGCGAGCAACCACATGGAGACCACGGCGTAACGAGCCTGAGGTGCCCCTCCCACCCTCAGGTATCCCTCGTCTTCACATTGTCGATGGACGGACAGTGTGCAAAGAAAATCTGGGGCCCAATCCGTTTCACTAGCAGAACATGGATTCTTGCAGGACTTTTGTTGTGGCTCATTTCCAGCATGAATACACACGAGTCTCTCAGTGGTTAGATATCTGCTACCAACAAAACAGATTAATTTTGATACCAAGTGGATGAATGTTGCTGCGAAGAACGGATATCCATGGAGAGCCTCCTTCGTATCTGACTCTCTTGATTCGAAGTAGCATATTACAATCGATAAGCAGTTCTTCACCCTAGCTAAATATTTGTGTCTGACTACAAAGAGCCTCAAGTATCGGCTTGTGTGCTTTGGTCATTGCTGTCATTTGAACCCATTCTACTTTGGCCACAGGCAACGGCCGACAATTTTCTTTTCTCATCGTCAATCCAAAACGTCCGATCCCATCTTGTCGCTTAAACACATCCTGCTTGACATTCCTGTCAGGTGTGCATACCTTGAATCTAGAATTGTTTTATGACCATCTGGAATAATCGTCTTCCCCTTGAGATTAACCACCTCATTGCGAATCGCTCTGCCCTTCTCCCTCACAGGCTGTGTCTGTTACACCCCTCCATCTCAAATTTTGGCCCAACCATGGCAGGAAAACACTCGGACGCGGTGGACGGCACACCCTCCAAGCGTCAAAAGACGTCCAATGACGTGGACCCCAAGAACAACCCCTACCTCTCACATTGGTACGACAACACCACAAATGGCACCAGTAATGGAAATGTTGCTGGTGGCCCTCTGTCGCTGTTGAAAAGACACCAAACCACCGCCACCCTTGCTCGGCAAGTCGAAGATAGCAAAATCAACCCGTTTACGGGAAGACCTGCGTCTGATCGCTACTTTTCCATCCTGAAGACTCGAAGAGATCTCCCTGTTCACGCCCAACGAGACGAGTTCCTCCAGCTGTACCAGAAATCTCAGATCCTTGTCTTTGTTGGTGAGACTGGTTCCGGCAAAACCACCCAAATTCCTCAGTTTGTCCTATACGATGACCTCCCCCAACAAGAACGAAAACTTGTGGCCTGTACACAACCCCGGCGAGTGGCCGCCATGTCAGTGGCCGAACGTGTTGCGCAAGAGTTGGATGTCAAGCTTGGTGATGAAGTCGGCTACAGCATCCGGTTTGAAGACATGACCAGTCAAAAGACTGTCTTGAAATACATGACCGATGGCATGCTGCTGAGAGAGGCCATGAACGATCATGATTTGAGCCGCTACAGCACCATTATTCTTGACGAGGCTCACGAGCGCACGTTGGCTACTGATATTCTCATGGGTCTTCTGAAGGACGTTGTTGGCCGGAGACCTGATCTCAAACTCATCATCATGTCTGCCACTCTTGATGCCCAGAAATTTCAACGCTACTTTCTCGATGCCCCCCTGCTTGCAGTCCCCGGTCGAACTCATCCGGTCGAGATCTTCTACACACCAGAGCCAGAGCGAGACTATGTCGAAGCGGCGATTAGGACGGTCTTGCAGATCCACGCAACCGAAGCAGAAGGCGATATTCTACTCTTCCTGACCGGAGAAGAGGAGATCGAAGATGCTTGCCGAAAGATATCCTTGGAAGCGGACGAAATGGCGCGAGAGGCTGACGCAGGCCCGGTCAAGGTCTACCCATTGTATGGTTCATTGCCACCTGCCCAGCAACAGAGAATCTTTGAACCTGCTCCTCCCCCAAGACGACCTGGCGGACGACCCGGTCGAAAATGCATTGTTGCCACGAACATCGCAGAAACATCTCTGACCATCGACGGTATCGTTTATGTGGTTGACCCAGGGTTCTCAAAGCAAAAGGTTTACAACCCACGAATTCGAGTCGAATCGCTTCTTGTCTCGCCCATTTCCAAAGCATCCGCTCAACAGCGTGCCGGTCGTGCAGGCCGTACTCGCCCTGGTAAATGCTTCCGACTCTACACCGAAGGTGCGTTCAAGAAGGAACTCATCGAGCAAACCTATCCTGAAATTCTCCGATCTAATCTATCATCGACCGTGCTGGAGTTGAAAAAGCTAGGAGTCGATGACCTGGTGCATTTTGATCTCATGGATCCACCAGCGCCAGAGACTTTGATGCGTGCCTTAGAAGAGCTGAACTATCTCGCCTGTCTTGATGACGATGGCAATCTGACCACCATGGGACGGCTTGCCTCGGAGTTCCCTCTGGACCCTGCACTGGCCGTCATGCTCATTTCATCGCCCGAGTTCTATTGTTCCAACGAAATTCTCAGCTTGACTGCATTGTTGTCAGTGCCTCAAGTTTTTGTCCGTCCTGCCTCTGCGAGAAAGCGGGCCGACGAAATGAAGAATCTCTTTGCTCACACTGACGGTGATCATCTGACACTGCTCAACGTGTATCATGCATTCAAGGGAGAAGCCGCGCAAGCAAATCCAAAACAATGGTGTCACGATCACTTCCTGAGTTTGCGTGCGTTGCAATCTGCAGACAATGTTCGACTTCAGTTGAAACGTATCATGGAACGCTCTGAGCTCGAATTGATCTCCACACCATTCGAAGACAAGAAATACTACGAGAATATTCGACGTGCGCTCGTGTCAGGGTTCTTCATGCAAGTTGCCAAGAAGGAAGCCAATGGCAAGACGTACACAACCGTCAAAGACAACCAGACAGTTCTGCTGCATCCCAGTACCGTCCTCGGCCAGGAAAGCGACTGGGTCATCTACAACGAATTCGTGCTTACCTCCAAGAACTATATCCGTACAGTGACTGGAGTTCGCGGCGAATGGCTCTTGGATCTGGCACCGGGTTATTACGACATCGATAGCTTTCCCAAAGGCGAGGTTAAGACAGCGTTGCAGCGACTAAGTGAGAGGGTCGCTCGGAGACAGAAGATGAAGGCAGGCCGGTAGATACGTCAGTCAGTCACAGATCATTACCTAGCTTGCTTCTGCTTGTGTCAGGCTCGGAGAGACTATCATCAGGATCAAGTCGCTGCATCCGGAATTGCAGCGAAATGTGACCAAGAATCATGGGGAGGGGGCTGAGACTTGTATCATAATCATGGCTGAGGAAGGCATCCGCGCAGACGCCAACACCTGTTGGTGGCCAGAGCTGAGCATTTGAGCTTTGGGATGCTCACGACCTGATGAACTTGTCCAGAAATCGTCCGAGACAAATATTACAAAAACAGCTACTTGTCTCACAGATGACTGCTACAATCAATACCTACCAAATTCTGCCATTACTTGAACACAAGATATTCCACCTGTGACCTTATTCACTCTCTCAAGCAACCATCTCTGTGCTCAAATTACCATAATGGCTGGCATTCTCCGACGAAGCTCTCTTGATGGTCGGGATTACGTTTCTTGCCCAGTTGGCGGAGACTTTTACTTGTGTGCAGATGTTAACTATGACACCTTCCTGGGCTGCTGCAATGCCAATCCTTGCTCTGGTCGAATGTGCTCTGAGGACGATCTATCGCCGATGGGATTCGGGGAAGAGACATCACCAGCTCCAGATTACCCAAACCATTCATGTCCTTATGGCGGGCTGTGGTACACTTGTGCGGACAACGACCCACCTTTTCAAGGGTGTTGCGACAGTGACCCTTGCAATGGAGACGGTTGTCCAAAATCAGATCTCCGTGCTGCAGGAGTTCATACTGTCGAAGTTGCTGGAGGGTCCACCTTTACCGTCCCTATGTCTACGACAACCACTACAACACCACCTAGCGACGACATGTCATTAACTTACATCACAATACCGACTAGTAGTAGCAGCAGCAGCAGCAGCAGCAGCAGCAGCACCCAGGATCTGACCACTAGCTCGGACTACAGTTACTCCACCTATACCTCCCCGAGAGAATATCCTCTCGAGGCTGGAACGTCGACAGCCACAAGGACAGCAACAATCGTGGGAGGCACTGTTGGGGCAGTTGTTGTCCTGGCTTTACTGCTCGGCCTGGCTTTTCTCTACTACAACCGACGCAGTAAAAAGCAGAAGGCTTCATCAACAATTGCCCCTACACCGGTCGCCCCAGAGAAGGATACCAAGTCTCTGCCGGAATCTTCAGCAATATGTGACCCTAAATCAGCTCGCACGGGCTCGTGTGTTAGTGCAAATGCTCCAATGCCACCAGGGTCACCATCATCAGGCTACATGCCACTGCCGACTTACAGCATATCCTCTTCCGCATTTCCCTCAGGAATTCCCTCGGCAGCGACGTCGTCCTTTTTGCACGGAGGGCCCAGCAAGTCGGACTCAATGGCACCCAGTGAGATCATGGGTACCGAGCTTAGTGAACAGGAATACAAACAACGCACCAGGTCACATATGCTAGGCACTGGAATGGATGCACCAATCGAGCTTGCGGCCTTTCCACTGTCTGCTGGAGCGAGAGACTCTGATCTGCGCAGCGTGTCCTTTATGTCCAGACCAGATTCTGAGACAGGGATCACGGGGTACTCTAATCAATCTCTTCGTGAGAGCACAGCGACAGGAGGTCTACCGATTCCAAGACCTTTCTCCGGATATAGAAATTCGTGACCATTGAAGGAGTAGGGGATGGATTGCTTTTCGACATTTTCACGTGTTTTCTACAGGGGTTTCAATGTACTCAACAATGTTCAATGACCAGGAAGGCTGGAGTGCATATGCACGAAGCGAATGTCAATCCTTCATAGAATGATAGATGTAGAACAAACACAACAACACCTGGAGATGGCGTCTTTACTGTACTCGTAGAACATATACCACGTGATCAGGGAAAAGTGGTCAAATAAGCGCACTGTGATTGGTTGACACTTACGCGCTAAAGTCACGGATTGAAAAAGTCCTTCACGTGACCATAGATTTTTCTGGCATCAAATTGTGTCTCTCTTCATCCATCATCCCAGATTCAAAATATTCATCACTTGCCTCATCCTAGGCAATCCTCCATGGTTTCTTTGTTGCACAGGTGCCTTCACTTGTAATAGCATTCATGTGGCGGCCCTGCATTGTACGAAGACCGTGCTTGCAAGCTACTTCGTTTACGAAATCCTTTTTCAGGCACTCGACCTTTCAACCCTTCTGTGCCAACGAGCCCAAGGCTCCCGAACCCAAGGCCGGTGGCTTCCCACCAAAGGGGAAGAAACCCAAGGAACCCCAGTCGCAATCACAGGCAACAAGCAAAGACGATATCCCGATTGAAAGTCTCGACGGGTATCTCACCACTCTTAATCCCATTTTACCTTCTGGCGAGTATGACGCTCGGACAATAGCCGTAATGAAGTCACGTTCGAAGCGCCTCATTGAGGCTGAGATGACTAGACGTTACCGGCAGTCGCACAAGCTTCAAAAACGTTCTCATGGCCTCACTGAAGGCTCTCCAAAAGAGGTTCTTGTCCTCGAAGCCAGTGCACTTCTTGTCAAGCATAAGCCTATCTCTGTTGTGGAGGATGATGCCGCAAATGTCAAGGAGTCTGAAGATATACCTGAGGAGGCCAGAGAACCGCTTCCCGACCATACTGAAGTCGAGTTAGAAGTCGAGGAACTCTCATCTACGGGAGACGGACTGGCGTATTCGGCTACACATGATATTGTTTTTGTCGTCCCTTTCACCATCCCAGGAGACCGAGTCCTGGCGAAAAAATACCCTCAGGCAGAGCACCCGCTGTTTTACATGACGGATTTTGTCAAATTACTTCGTCCTTCACCCCAACGAGAAGGGGTCACCCCCGGTTGCAAATACTTTGGTACCTGTTCCGGCTGTCAACTCCAGATGCTCTCGTACGAGGATCAACTCAAACACAAGAAGACGATTGTGGAAAAAGCATTCGCCCAATTTTCCAACCTCGACCCGGCCTTGATCCCGCCGGTCTTGGACACGATTGGATCACCACTACAATACGAGTACCGGACGAAGTTGACTCCACATTATCCTGGAAGCTCACCCAACAAAGAACATATAGTGTGGGGTGAACCTCCACCGATTGGATTTTGCAAAAAGAACTCCAGAGCCGTCATGGACATTGAACAATGTCCTATTGCGACGCCAATTCTCAACCAAGGCCTGAAGGTCGAGCGTGCCAAAGTGCAAGAGAGAACCACTCAGAGAAGGAAAGGTGCGACGATTCTCCTGCGAGAATCAACGGAACGTATGACCACAGCAAGCAAATCCGCCTTGTCGGGTTTAACCATCGAGCAAGCGCTGAAAAACGGGAACAAGGAGCAAGGAGACTCAGCAGCAGCAACAACCACAGAAGCAGACAACCCAGCAGCATCAGTTGAACTCGCCCACCTCAAACCCACCTCCACCGAACTCAGCTTCAACCTCCAAGGCGACCCTCGCATGACCTACACGTACCCTACACACGTCGACATCAAGACCTACACATCCGACAACCGCGGCATGTCGACGGAATACGTCGGGGAATTCTCCTTCCGCTCCAACGCCAACTCGTTCTTCCAAAACAACAACTCGATCCTCCCGAAATTCATCAAACACGTGCGCGACAACTGCATGCCCAAGGACATGGACCCGCAAGCCCCCGGCCGACTGAAATACCTACTCGACGCGTACTGCGGATCTGGACTCTTCGGCGTATCTCTCTCACCACTCTTCTCATCGGTGCTCGGCATCGATGTGGATTCGCACTCGATTCAAGCCGCGCGACTCAATGCGCAGAGCAATGGTGTTCCGAATGCGGGATTCATCGCCGCGGATGCAGATCAGTTGTTTGCTGATGTGCCGTTCCCGCCGGATCAGACGATGGTGGTCATTGATCCGCCGCGCAAGGGTGCGAGTGAGGATTTCCTCGCTCAGTTGTGCCAGTTTGGTCCGCGTCGCGTTGTCTATGTCAGTTGCAATGTCCATACTCAGGCTCGCGACATTGGTATGCTGGTCCATGGGTTTGGGACTTCTTGGCGCTATGAAATCGAGTCGCTGAGAGGGTTTGATTTCTTTCCTCAGACTGGTCATGTCGAGGGTCTTTGTTTCCTTGACCGCGTCCCTGATGTCCCTGATGTCCCTGATGTCCCTGGCGATGGGAACGCCGCAAATCCTGCCACAGAGTGATTGCCTGATAGTCCTTGACTGGATGGACCAACTTTACTTTCTTTCTTGTGGCCACTTGAATTGGGCTCTGAGGGACATTAATATCCTTCTAAAGCCTCCATTTGTTTTGCTTGGATTAGTGTACGATTAGGCGTGGATAAAATTTCACTTGTTCATATCCTCTGAAATTAATAGACTTTGTGACTCTTCATATGGCATTGTTTTGGTACCTCATCAGACTATCTATCCGTCTAGGTGCTTCCTGGTCCACCGAGTAGTGCAAATCTGCGCACAATGCTGGGTCCAATCTCGTCGTACTCGGCCTTGGTGTGGCAGTAGCTCTTGAATTCAGGAGTTTGACCCAGAAGACTACCTCCGAACCAGGGGCCATGTCGTTGCCGCTTATGTGTGACGACCTGAACATCGAGACCACCACTCTTAACCCCTCCGCTGCGTGCTTCTGAGGCTCGAATTCGAGCATCTACCAGATGTCGAATGTCGCGTTGCAGCCGTCGACCAAAGTCTTTGTACAAGGTGGAACCGCCTGAAAGCACAATGTTTTTGTAGAGACCTCTTCGGACATCGATAGGAGAGGACTGGATCACACCATCGACCACGGTTGGCAGTGGAGTGAGGAAATCAGACGAATATATCTCAGGGTTGAAGAAAATTTCTGGAGCGAGGAAGCGTTCGTATCCCACATCGATCGAAACGGATCTTCCATTGGGCGAGGTGACGGTATGCTTGAGGAATCGATCGGGTTCTTTGTCGTAACGGGCAAATTCCTTGACAATGTCAGGACACACGTAGCAGTACTCCTCTTTGACCTTTTCAGCAGTCTTCAGACTACTATCTGGTTCACCTCGATCTCTCAATAAGCTTTGGACAAAATAGGTGATATCGCGACCAGCGATGGGAATGCTCTTGATTGAAGAGCCAATAACGTAACCCTCGGCGACAGGAATGACGTGAGTCACACCATCACCGGAATCGATGACAGTGCCAGTGAGAGAGCGGTCTGTGACCTTGGAAGAAGTCCAAGAAGCAGCCAACGCTAAGACGGCCTGGACGGCAATGTAGAGACCTGCGCAGTTGAAGGATTCGAACATGATTTCGGCAGTGTTTTCACGGTTTTCAGGAGGATTTAGTGGCTAATACAAGGTCAGTACAAGCGTCAGGGAAAGTGAACCAGGCACTGACAGGTTCTGTGAGGAGGAAGTAATGGTCCTCGGGTTCCACCCTCAGATATTTGAATATTGAGTTGGACCAGAAGCGTTCCATGTGATCCCAATTCTCGATCTGGCCATGTCTGATGGGATAGTGAATTCCATATCCAGGGCCATTTCCAGCAGCCAGGGCTTCATCACCAATGAAAAAGTCTAGGTCTTCAGTGCCTCTCTTGCCTGCGAGGTTGGAGGAAGGACCAGCGCCGCCAGTGAGAAAGGAGGGTTTGTTGGCAACTGCTGGGCGGCCTGAGCCAGCGCCGCCTGCGCTTCCAGCTCCTTGTTTTGTTGCGATAGCTGTAGGGAAAACCCACGAGGGTGCATCGTTTCCGGCAAATCCTATGAACTATGAGTACTATTTCAACGGGATTGGAGGTGGGTATAGGCGTACCAAGTTTCGAGAAGCCGGTTCCGCTGGAGAAAGGTGTCAGCGAAAGAAGTCTATCAAAGAAGGGGCAAGGGTTCAACTCACTTGTCCATGACAACGGCGGGCGTTTGGGAAGCCATGGTGGGCGGGCTATTCAGTCAGGGTGCAGCAGCAATGTCGAGCGTGGTGATTCTTGTGGAGGTGGGGGAGTGGCTGCTAGGAGGATTGTCTGGCGCAGTGTATACTCATGGCAAATCAAAAGATGGCGTCTGATGAGGGTAGGATATCTTGCCAGAGAAATGCGGTCAGACTTGAGATCGCAGATGGGCCGCAGGCAGCTTCAATCTTGCTGCATTGAAGGCTGTGGTTGTGTCGAGTGAGATGTGACGAGGATGCCGGGGACGAAGTGGGCGGCCGCAGTGTGCAGTGGCAGTGGGCGAGGGGGCAGGGTAGTGATCACGTGATTGGAGTTGTAGCCTGCCTCCTTCCGCTACGAGTCCGGCGAGTGCGTCAGCGGCCCCCACATCGCAACATCAACAGAAGGTAGGCACAACCTTTACCGTTAAACATGGGCCTTGGCAATCCATCCTATCTGGTATGTAAAAGTTGGTTGGCTTCAACCTCACCAAGTTGTTTGTATCTAGTAAATGTCTCTTTCAAGGACTTGTTTTGTCCAGTTGTCTGATCTGATGCTGGTATTAAACCATCCGGACCCTGGAGCCACACACAGTATACCTCAATGTCATGTTAATGTTGAAATAATCACCTCGTGACTTGACTTCCCACCATCAGTCGCACCTGCCTCATCAAAGGCAAGCAGGCAGCGGTAGAGTGAGTGCCAAGCGGAACAACAGCCCGACTCCGACTAAAATACACACGAGAGCCTCGTGTTGAAGTGAAGACCAACGTGTTGCCGCTTCCCCCATGGCTCTTAACTCGACTCTTCTTTTCACTCATTTTTTGTACCAGCCAATCTACCGATCTACCAACCTATCAGCCAACCAACCCTCGTACTCATTCAAACAACCTTGACTCGGTATTTGTACCATCATTATAGCCTCCACGGCATCTCATGTCTACTGGGACGTATACCGTGCAATAGCCTCACCCCATTCTTTCTCTACATTGCCGCTTGACACAGGACTCCCCAGTCTTGCTGCATTCACTTCGATCTCCAAGCTACGGCCTCGTGGGATCCCACCCTCTTTGAACTGTGAGTTTCGCTCATCCTCAACTCCATCCTCCTCTCCATCACCTCAGATCAACTTGATGACTCACACCTGTCCTCCAGCCTTGACACTGTCTCCACTAGACCATGCCATTGTTCACCTAATGCACCCCGCCACTGTTACGGTCTTCAATGCGACCAATGTCGCGCCGTCCACAGGAAGGTGGTGATATATGTGCCATCTTCATTCATGCTGGGGCTGGCTACCACAGCCATCAAAATGAAAGAATCCATCTTTCCGCAGTCAACGATGCCGCCAAGGTGGGAATGGCGGTGTTGAAGAGTGGTGGCGATGCTACCGATGCCGTCGAAATGGCTGTTCGCCTGCTCGAAGACAAAGAAATTACAAACGCAGGCTATGGCAGCAACTTGACCATGGATGGCCATGTCGAGTGCGATGCCACTATTGTTGATCATTTCGGCCGCAGTGGAGCCGTTGGTGCTTTGAGACAGGTCAAGAATCCCATTGGTGTCGCTCGACTGGTCCTTGAGGAGTCCAACAAGCCGCTCTCTCTCCAACGCGTCCCGCCAAACCTTCTGGTCGGCCCTGGAGCAACTGATTACGCTGCTACCAAGGGCGTGCCCATCCTTCCCCCGGATCTTCTCATCTCGGCCAGTGCGCGTGAACGATGGTTGCGTTGGCGACAAGACCTCGAGAGTGCTGCCGAAAGAGAAGCCTCCAACCAGAAGTTGCCCCAATCCCCCATCTCTGACCCCCGGGCCGGAGAAATCCCTGCCGCGATGCGTACCAATCTAAACAAGACTCCAATCACACCATATCAATCTCCTCCGGAACGAGAGAAGAGACCTAGCATTTCACAACTACCTCCTCTCACTCGGCCCTTGGTCATCTCGGCATCCGATATGCCAACACTATCGACCGTGAAGGACTCCCAAACCCGAGAAATGTCCCCCATAAAGAACAGCTTGACTCCGTTTCAGAGCAAGCAATTCAACACTGCATCCAATGGACCTACCGAACACTCTGAAAGTGCCATTGATGACAGTCTGCAATGGAGTATTCCTGCTCCTAAACGTCAAAAGCTTAATGGATCATTTGATGGTTCGAACCAAGCACATCCTGAAGGAGACGACGAGGAACACTTTTCCTCCTCAGGTGAGTGTGCTAAAGGCATGACAGTTGAAGATGATGGAGAAGACTACATTACCGACACTGTAGGAGCAATAGCGGTTGATTGTTTTGGTAGGATTGCTGCGGCTTCGTCGTCTGGCGGCATTGGCATGAAGCACATGGGGCGTTGTGGGCCAGCAGCACTAGTGGGCACCGGCACGGCGGTGATTCCCATTGAGGAAAATGACCCCAACCAGACCTGTGTGGCGACGGTGACGAGCGGTACAGGTGAACACATGGCCACCACGACGGCAGCAGCCACAGCGGCGGGTCGAATCTATGCGTCAGTGAAGAAAGAAAATGGACGACTGGTGGAGTGCAACGAGGATGAAGCCATGTACTCGATGATCCAGCAAGACTTCATGGAGCACCCTGGAGTCCGCCACAGCCACTGTACAGGGGCGATTGGAATTCTGGCGGTGAAAAAGTGTCGAGACGGTATTTACTTCTACTTTGGACACAACACCGACTCGTTCGCCCTAGCCTCGATGCATTCGGAAGAACGTAAGCCGGTGTGCACCATGTCTCGGAGTAAGGGGCACGGATCGATCGCACAAGGCGGACGAGTGTCTCGGGCCAAGCATGCGCGTTTCCGCTGACCGGAAGGCTCAACGGAGGCTGGCTGGTCAGTGTGAGCATGGCTTTGTCAACGGGCCCCAGTGGCGGTGGAATTCCGACTGTTGTGCCGTCTTCTCTCAGATCATGCACAAGGACGGCTGGAGCTCAGGTGCTATCAAGAACAATGAACAAGCCCAGAGAAGGCGTGGAATGACAAATCAAGGAGTGGAAGATGCAGCAAATCGGTCAATGGCGGCCTCGGTGGTGGACACATTTATACCAGGGCACGATGTGATGTCGGAGCGGCTTCTTGTCTCATATTCCGCCATTGACCGAGGCGCAGCTCCTAGAACCTAGAATCAATCTCAACGTCCTTTTCATTTTTGAGTTTTGCTACAGGACCTTCTAATGCTACCTTTGAAGTATATCTACCTGGACGGTCATGCCAACGATCTCGCCAGGGTGTAGATGATGAGTGTTTGAGTGGCCTCAAGATGATCTATGCACGCGTGTGCATGATATTGTTTTGTCGTCGAGATATGACTACTGTGATCCATATCACGTGTGGTGTATAGTGCTAATTCATCTGGCCTTTGTCCGTGCGGCCTTCTTCTTGGGGACAACGACCGGACGGGCACCATAATTTCCGATACTGAGATGAGTGCCACAGGTCAAACAGACGCCATTTTCCGGCACAGAGCAGAATATGCTGAGACAGATGCTGCACACAAAGCCCGTGGAGACGACATTGCGGTGACAGAAGCAAGCGGCGCGGAAATCCACATCAATACGAGTCGGTAGGATCAGATGTGCGGCTCGTGTGCCCGGCGAAGGTAAGAATGATGTCAGCAGGTAGGTCAGCAGTGCTTGGCTGGCTGTAGACGAGGTTTCCGGTGCTGATGCGGGTGAGGTTTGGGAGGTCTGGGAGGTCAGCTTGACGGGGATGAAGATGCCTTTGGTGGCGTCGGCGGCTTGTTGGAGGAATACGGTTGAGTCGGAACTCGCGGTTGACTCTGTCGAGGACTTGGATGGAGGGTCGGATGTGGTGGTGGTGGTGGTGGTGGTGGTGGTGGTGGTGGTGGTGGTGGTGGTGGGAGTTGGGTTGGATGCTGAGTGTGGGATGGGGAGTGAGAGGACGTCGATGGGGATGGATAGTCGTTGACAAGCGAAGATGGCGTTCATGATGGGGATGTATTGATGGGCTAGGTCGGTTGAAGGAGAGGCTGAGATCAGGAGGATGCGAGATTGAAGCGAAGTGCTGTTGGCTTCGGTCGAGGTCGACATCTGGTTGCTGCCAGTGTTATCGCCAGCGGCGCCTGTACCTGTGCCGATCAGAGATTCTGCGTAAGTGATTGATTCGCGATTGATATGGCTGAGGGCGAGAGTCAAGGCTCCGGCAATCATGGTGGATGTGCTACTCGAGACAGCATCTGGAGTGGTGTCTGAGAGTAGAGATGACAGGTTTCGCACGACTTGTTCCTCAACGAGTCGGAAAGGGCGATATTTGTTGCCTGAGGGATTGTTAGGCCCTGATGAGGAGGTGGTGGATGACTTGGGAGTGTGAGATGGTCCATTGAGCTTGAGGCGCTTAGCCGAGTCGGTGAGGTCCTGGGATTCAGCCTGCGTATGTGTGGCATGGCGTTTCTGTCGGTCTTGAACAGACCGTGGGAGCCGTTGTTCGACGGCTGTTGGATAGAGCCATTGTGCCTTGTCGCAATGGGAGGCGATTACGGCGACCTTGTTGGTGTAGTTCCCAGCGAGGTGGGCGTTGATGAAGACGAGAAGATTGGCGACGGTGGCTGATAGGGTCAAGGTAGGCGACAGTAATGCCCATGCGGCAGGATTGGTATCGAGGATGATGGTCAGGAGGGATGGGGACAATTCTGGTGATGTTGTTCAGCCTCGTGTACCTAGTCCCTTGTGATTGGACTGGGAGTGTATGGGGATTGGAACAAGACAAGACATGGCTTCATGGTCTGGCGTGGGTGTAAAGGTGGGAGGGCCGGGAAAAGAAGCAAGATTGGGATTAGCTCGATTGGTGGGCTGGACAGACTCACCATGGGATGGTTTCGCAAAGTGCTCGGTGGTGTCGACGGCATTCATGATGAAGCCAGGATAAACCTGTGAGCCTACTGAATTGTGGTCCTCAACCTCGGTTGAATGAAGAGGTTGATGGATTTCGATGGATTTGATGATGGTTGGGTGGAAAGATGGAGATGGGGGATTTGAAAAAAGGCAGATGAAAGTGAGGCCGAGTGGCGTTTCTGATGGAGGCAGGAAGAAGAGGGCAACAGCAATTGTTGGGGGCGTTGAAGCTGGAATCAGGCGACCGTTGGTTACCTAGAATATCAGGTTTGGTTACCTAGGTAGGGAATGTTAGGTGGTCCGCAAACTACCCACCTGGCTGCTCGGGGGTACACAAGGGTGCCTAGGTAAACACCTGCAATCTGGACATAGCCACAGTGATGAAAGACTGCAGCCTTGTCCAGCCTTGTGCAGTATCAACTGTCGGTGTTCAAAATAATGCTCTAGTTAGGTGATCCTTGGCTTTAGGTGACATAGTGCAGATGACTGTTAGGGCCACAGTGTGTTCTGCTAGGCCCTCGGGCCCCCTCGGCCCTGTACACAAGCCTCAGGGGTGCCTGTCAAAGTAGGATTAGGCGCTAGTCAGGTCTAGAGCTTTTTACTGAGGAGCCGTCAATGCCATGTGGGTGGCCCTCGCCCCTACGGAGTAAGTATTTTGACTTCTGCGTCTTCTACAGTCAAGAGAGTCGAGGCGTCGGGTTAAGCAGGGTTTATGTTTGGGTATTTCAACACAAGTGGTGGCGTCAGGGAGAAAGAAGGCCAAGTCCAACAATTGATTCACTTCGTCCAACGTGCGCAATTGATTCGATGGATCCAGTGCATGCCGGAGAAATGTCATGGTGGTCATGGAATTTGACATGATCAACGTCACAAGGCATCCAGGCGCAGTCGACTGAAGGTCATGCAGTGCAGGCGTGGTACAGACGAAAGTCCATCAGTAGTACCAAACCGCCCAAGGGACCCTGGTACTGTCATCCTCTCTTCACTCAAGCATGGTTGTAATTCTTATTTTGATACGCTTGTGAACATTTTACTGCAGTATTTCCTTGCAAATCGACAAGGGATACCGAATACTGAGGTCAAAGGTAGAATTCAGCCTGGCACCGAGACTATCATGACCCAGTCAACGACACAGACTGCCAGTCAGAGGGTGCACATGCCAATTTCAGAGTGAAAGCAGTGCCTGTTTTAGGTACACATGTCGTGCCAAGCAGGGTTTTTGAGCAGGTCAGTGATACCTGGGACCGGCCGAGAAGCTTCCTCGGTGGGCGGAGTTGATTGCCGTCTTTGGTGCGCACGGAGTAGACAGGCGTTGTGGGTTTCGGTACGGAGATAAATAAGGCCTAGGACATTGCCGATACTGGCCCCAAGTGCCCCATTGGTGACATTGATTAGATAAAGCAGGTGACTCAAGGTACAGTACTGAGGCACTACAGAGGTGATGATGATGATGCGTAGTACCCACCATCCTCCAGCTGTGCTACCAACAGTAATAACTTTAATAATAAAAGGGTCTAGGGACCTGACAGCCGGGAGGTGCTTGGGGTTACTTGATGGTCCGGTCGGTCGAATTGTTTTGTACCCACGTTGAAGCCAAACACTGTGACTGGCTGACTCCCTGAACCTTTTCCCCTTGTTTATCAAGGTCCGCCTTTTTGGACTGTTGAAATTTTCAGTTTGTTGGTGTTGGTCTCTACGCATGTGTGTTTTGCATTGACAGTGCACACAGTGCCAGTAATCAATCCCACATCCTCCTGCGCCTACACCACGCTACCACTACCACTCCCGTTCCCTCTACCGAAACGCTACCAGTTGCCAAATAGGCGCGTCTAAGTGACCAAATTGTCTGTCTGTCTGTCTGTCTGCCTGCCTGATTTTCCACTTATTTTTTCTCGCTTCGTCGCGTCCTTCCACTGGAATCAAATTTGCACCCCACGTGGACACTTTTTGCATCTTCTCCCACCAATCCACCAATACTGTCATCATCAACCATCAATATCCAACGGTCAACTTTTCCTCCACGTCGACTAAAGTTCCAGTCTTTGCTCTGTAATTCAACCTCGACAAAGAAGCAAATCCATCAGCACCTTGAGATCATCTCCAATCATACCGTCAAGCCTGTCAGGCCCCTTCTGTGCATAACCTGCATTTGTTGTCGTTCTTTCTCCCTCAAGTCCGTCAGCCTCATTCCTAAGCAACTCATTCTACCCACATCCTTCGCCATCCTCTTTCTCGCCTTCAAAACTTCGGCTCCGTCGCCCTTCGCCTCTACTTTGGCCTTACTGCCCAACGAATCAGTGGTTCCTTTCTCTTTCTGGTCAACGACACCACCATCCACTCTGCTGAACGCCGCCATCCGCCGACTCCATCATCCTCTGTCCTTGTCGACTGCCACTATCTACCACTCCCTTCGGCCTGGTCCCTTTTTTGCCTCTTTCTCCAAAGAATGTCTTCCACTTCTTAATCTCACGTCGACCCCAGTCGTGACTTCTCTCATTCACCCACTTCTTCCTCCATTGCTCTTACCCTCTCTCCGCCATCTGTCGACCCCGACTTCCACCTCAGAGCACTCGTTCTTTCTTTCCAAATGTCGACAATGGCGGCCGTCCAGCGGATGACCCGTAAACTCTCTGAAGAACGCGCTTCCACCCTTGCCAAGGAGGCCGTTGAACTCTCTCACTCTGGTGACAAACAGGTATGTTGACCATGGTCCCTAGAATCCTCTCCTTCCATAGCTAACCCTCCCTCTAGAAAGCTTCTAGAAAATTACGAGAGGCTGCAGCTCTTGGCCATGACAACCCTGATGTCCAGAGTGCCTTTTTGGCAATTCACAACGACCAGAATCACTCTCCCCTGCTAGATCTGTGTCGGAGGTATGCACTTTACCACAACAAGGCTGCCGGTGTCGATGCCGTCGCCTACCTGAAGGGCCCCGAAGCACCCAACGCTGCCCCTGTCGCCCTGGAATGTCTTCAGATCATTCTTGAGAGCCAACAGAATTCATTATCAGACTCACAGGATTTTATCATTGCCGAACTTGGCAGACAAAGCCCTGCAGTGCGGCAGTATTTTGCCTCGGAGCTTACCGTCTCCACCACAGAGTTCTTTGACAATGTGTATGAGCGAGGTGACGATGCCGCCAACTGTCTTCGATCCGTCGTTCTCGACAACAAGCTCTGGCTCGATGAAAACACCAGACTTCGAGTAGAGGATGACCTCTTCCAACTCTTTCTGGCCAAACTTATGGAGACTGGCCACGATCATGATGGCCGTGCTCTCAAAGGCATCGCCCTCCTTCTCATTGCAGATACCCAGAGACTCCACTCTTTCATCGACGATGAAGCTTTCGAGGCTTTGATGGGCAGTCTGGACTTGAGATTACCCCCGGACGTGCGCGGTCAAGCCACCCTTGTTCTCTCAAAATTCTTCTCCGTCGCCGAGCCTGAAGCTCAGGAATTTTTATCAAAATACATCACCACCCATGTCTCGAGACAAAAGGGAGACGACCTTATTCTTGCCTTTTCCGCAGCTGCACACCTTTTCCCTGTCGTCCCAGCCATGATGGCACAACTCTTTCTCACAGAAGGCTTCCTGGTCTCACTCATGCCTCTCCTCGCCCGCCAGTTCAGCAGCACCGTCGTTCACGACGCCTTTCTTCTTCTCCTGAATGCCGCTTGCATTGATGGCGCCTGCCGCACCGCCATTGCACAACACTGTGCTACCTGGCTGTCTCAAAAAGTCAGTAATGGCTCCGGAAAGCAGCCGGCCATCGCTGCCACCACACTCGCCAAATTGAAGACTTCTGGTGCCAAGCCCAGTGAACAGAGAGCCAACAAGGCGGATGATGATGTTAGTGAACTCGTTACTCTTTTCAAAACCACTCTTGCGTCTGAACAAGGGAGAAACGTATCTGACTCGGTTGAAGGTCTTGCGTATACATCTTTGAAGCCCGAGGTCAAGGAATCCCTCGCCAATGACAAAGCCTTCCTCAAGTCTCTGTTACACGCCCTTGACTCGAACCACGAGTCCCCCGAGATCGTGGTCGGAGGCCTCAGCATCATTTCAAATATGACCCAGTACCGTCCTAATCTTTCCGAAGAGCAGCGCAAGATATCCCAACTGAAAGCATATGCCAACGCCTCCAAGCCAGCCGATCCCAGTCCTCTGGAAGACGACGACCACGTCCGCGCTCGCTGCTCGGCCGCAATCGAAGCCGGCATTGTTCCTATTCTTATCAAGCTCAACAAAGGCAGATCCCCGTCTACCTCCCAGCTGACTGATCGAATCTTACTGTCCCTTTCCAGAAATCAGAAAGAAAGGGGCAAAATTGCTCAGCAAGGCGCTGTCAAGTTGCTGGTCGTGCATTCTCAGCGAAATCTGCAATCAACAGACAGTCATACTCAAGCCAATACAGACGCTGCGCACGCATTGGCGAGACTACTTATTTCATTGAACCCAGCACATATCTTTCCCGCCGGCTCGACCCCTGACATCACAGACGCTGTACCGCCGCTGTTGGCGTTGGTTAAGGCGGCCAAAAGCGAAGGCCTGACTCAAGCTGATCAGCCTCGTGATCTTCTTCCTGTCTTCGAGAGCCTGCTAGCTCTGACAAATTTAGCCTCTGCACCGGATCAAACAGCTGCCAAGGCTATTGTCACGGGGGCCTGGGACGACATTGAAGATTTGCAGTTGGGCAACAATGCCATGATTCGCCGCGCATCCACAGAGTTAATCTGCAACCTGACGATAATCCCTTCGGGCGCTGAAAAGTTTGCCGATGGGTCGAAACGTGCCAGTCAACGACTTCATATTCTCGTTGCCATGGCCGACGTAGATGATCTCGCAACAAGACGGGCGGCAGGTGGGGCTCTCGCCATGCTCACTGACCAATTCTCAACCGTCAATTCTGCTCTTCTCGAGCTAAAGAGAGCACCTGAGATTCTACTAGAGCTTTGTCAAGACGAAGATCCTGGCGTCGTTCACAGAGCACTCGTGGTGGTTAGAAATATACTCCACGATGAAGACGCACAAGTCGCACTCAAAGCCAAAGATATTTTCAAGTCCAACAATGCTATAGAAAGCTTGAAAACGTGTCTCAAGCAGACCAAAAACCCTGAGTTGCTTCGGATCGGCGTCCAGGCGCTCAAGGTGTTGGTTGAGCAAGCATAGAAACCTGAGATGGACACAATCAACACGGATTTACCAGTTTACGATTAACGAACACCAATCCCTCCGGGATGGATATCACTTTTGCGCCATCCCGTCATACGACTCATGTCTATACACCAACATGGGGAAGAAATCACGGATGAACTGTAGCATCATCCGACAGAGGGGCGTTGTTTGAATACTTTTTTGACTTGCAAGGTGTTGGGTTCATGAGAGTTTGGCATGTTTGCAACAGTATGTCAGAACTTGGGATGGGTATACGGATTTTATAGTTTGAAAATGCATTGGGAGGCAGCATGGGCAAGAGTTTAGACATTCCTGTCAAAGCATTATCAGATTTTGATGCATCTAGTCGCAAGAAGGTACTGTTTGTCAATGAGACCAGAGTTTTAGCCCTTATCGACGGATAATATGATGAATCAGCATGTCCCTTTTTTTTATATGGGATCTGAACTACTCGCCATTGGGCCATACCAACTACTTACCTAGAAAACCCATACTTGTTTAAAACTGACGACTTGAGGGTTCACTACTAGTACTCTAATGAGCGAGGAACAGAACTAAATGCATAAGGGTTGAGACTATGTGCCCAGTGAGAGTGCCTTTGTACCACCTCCCCCTTTTTTGCTCAGCCTCGTGCGACCTTATTCCATTAGGCATGCCAATCCCTGAACCGCTGCCTCAAGTCAAGTCACCAACGCCGAACCAGCTGCCGCACAGGGCGGATGCACAAAGAGTCACCGTGGCGACGGTGGTATGCCGAATAGAAGTGCGGTTGAAGAGCTCCGAACATGAGGTGCCGGTTTTAAGATGGGCTTCCATGTCCAGACTGGCCTGGGCGTCGTTGACCTACTTTAGGTAGCCCTTACATTTTAAATTGAACAAATCAGTACCATCTACCAGCGTCTTCGTCGCCGCCACGACTGACTTACTATTGGTTGTTGGGCTTGATTTTGACTAATATTCGGCTTCTAGAGATATAATTAAGATATCTAAGAGTCCCTCTAGATATAGAGAGTAATTCTTCCCTATGTTAAAACTCATATATACAGAGATTACTAGGTCCCTAGCTAATTGTTAAGGTAGTACAGACTAAAGTCTTTGAAGCTACTAAGTTTAGATGCTAATACTTACTACTGACCTTTCTAATACCGAAGAAACTTCACTGAGGTTCCTGGACGGGATATCCCCTAGCCGAGGAGGACGTAGGCCACCTTGACCCCAGACCCCCGCAAACGAACAGTCCTCTAGTTCGATGATTTACTGAAGCGAGAATTCGGCAGTCCAACCCCACGACTTAGTGGTGGGACTCAATGGGAATGGTCATGATCAGCATCGGGGTATTCCTCAGCTCCGAGATGTGTAGTATGCCAGCTCATAGTGCGGTCCCGTATTTTCGACCCTCGCGGTCCTTATGCAGTCCTTACGCAGTCCTGCTGTGAGACCTACGGCCGGCCTCTTGTCACCCTCAACAGAAGTCAAATTCTCTCACATGTGGACAACTTAGTTGTCCAGCCGTCCTCCATACTGGAGAAAAGCTGTACAAATGTCCCTGCGGACGCCAGATTTCGCGCAGGTACGTGGCCCGTGGACTTTCGACATCCGACTTCGATCCCGTGACTGACGAGTGGACGCCGCTAGTGATGTCTTTGCTCAGCACCTATCTAAATGTGAATGGGGAGGGAGGATGGATTCGTCCAAGATGTGACTCTCGACCAGCTTGACCCGAAACAAGACGGCTTGTGACCAGTGTGTCAAAGCCAACGTTCGGTGTGATTCTGTAGACCCTTGCGCATGCTGTTTTGAACGAGCTCTGAATTGCACCTATACTCGAACAGGCTATTCTTGCGAGCGCCATCGTGATTGGCGGCGCGTGTTTTGCCGACGATCGGATATCCACCAAGGTCATTAATGAACTAAGGATGGGGCTGTTGAAATCGATCAAAAGCCCATCAATAATACGAAAATCCCCCCTCGTTGCTGTTCATGGTACTTGCTTGGTCCCCCAGACCAACCGACACTGACACTACCCGCTCCGCCATGCCATAGCACGAGATTGAGATGCGCGGCCCCTCCAATATCCACGATGCAAGCCAGCTCCATTACACCCGACATCCTCGCCGGCTCCCGGCACGAGAAGGTCTGCGAATTTTTGTCCAATTACCTGCCCACCAACCTCTCGGTGAGTTCTACCGAGTTGGGGTCGTCTGATGAACTTGTCTATCGCGTTTGCTACTGAACTAACCTCCTGTTTCTTCTTCCGGGTGATCAGATGGGGAAAAGAGCCGGCCTCAAGATGGCTAATGTAAACAGACGTGGGGATTGGGATGGGCACGGGTAACTTGATGGACGGACTTCTGCACACCAAAGCTTGCGATAGGGAGGTCGGCAGGAGAGTCTTCCTCAGGGCCCCTGGCCAAAAGAAATCGTGACTGAGGACGCCATACAGGGCAGACAACCCGCTCCTAGAGATTTTTCAGCTAGCCCAATGCTACCTATGGATATTTACTCATATTGTTGATGTGACTCAACACCTCAACATAATGCCTTGTCTTCAGTCCGGCGCGGTGTCGTCCACGGTGTCTCCTCCACCAGCCCTCCGAGGCCGATATCGGGACCGGCCCGTGGTCTACTCGTAGTATAGGACTAGGCCAGGTAGGCGTTAGAAACCATGTTTAATGCGGCGCAGTCTGAGGTAAGGTCTCGAGTCACGTTCTGGACCGGAATGCCCCCCACCCAAACCTGGGAAATATCCCTTGTGTTGGCGATATGGAGCAATGGATTGGAGTTGAGAAGGACTAGGTCCGCGCGTTTCCCGGCGTAGATGACTCCACGGTCATACATGTTTTGCACCCTGGACGGATCCTCTGTTGCGGCTCGCAGCGCCTGTGCCGGGGACATTCCTGCTTCAACGAGATATTCCAGCTCACATTGGAGAGTAAGGCCGTACGGGAACGTGACGTTCAGAGGGCCCACGTTGGTAGAGTCCGTTCCGGCCAATATAGGTACTCCTGTCTCGACAAGGATACGAGCGTTACCCATGGTAACGTTCCACTGAAAGTTTTGTCTCAGCATAGTCTTCAACCAGGCTGAGTTCGCGCCGATGCGGAAGATGGCCATAGTCGCGGTGACGTGCTGCTTTTGTTGGAGAAGCCTTCGAGCCAAGCTACGGTCCATGACCGCATCAGCGGGCAGGTGCTGGATGATTTCTGGCCTGGCAATAGCGGCCTGCTCATACGCCGACACGTATGAGGCGTGCATCGTAGCGTAGCGGCCGAGCGTATGTGCTGCGGCGACCAAGTCGTTGAGCAGCTCTTGTTTCGGGCCATCCGGCTCGGCGGTCACTTTAAGAAACGAAGCAGGGCTACCAGGAGGGAACGCGTTTTCTGCTACCCAGGCCGTTGCATTGGTGCTCGCCGACACGGTCAGGTCGGCCGAGGAACCTCTTAATCTGGCATGGAAGCTACCATTTCCCACGGCCGGGAGCGAAGCGGTGAACATGGAAGTCGTGCCAGGGATATCTTTAAGGCTTTCGCAGAGCTCGTAGTCGTAGCACGCCAGGTTGACACAAGTGGTCACGCCGTAGGATGCCATAGCATCCAGTGCTTGAGGAATATCCACATGGACGTGGCTGTCAATGAGGCCGGGGATTAAAAACTTGCCTGTGCCATTCACCACAATCGAGGCAGTGGCCCCGTGTCCGGCATCGATGTCAGCAATCCTTCCATCGCGAATCAATACTGTGCTCGGCGTCTTCATGACCTGGCCATCGAAGATTCGCACATTCTCGATGAGCGTGGAATCTGGAGTCGAGGTGCTTCGTCGGGACACGTAGTTCAAGACCGAGGCGATGTCGGACTCATGATCCTTTCCGAGGCCTGCGCATGCCAATGTATGTTGAGCCAACAAGGCGAAGAGAGCGGCGGAGCATAGACGTAGACGCATCGTGGGAGGTGGACCGATTTGCAATATCCGTCTGCTGTGCCGTCTGTCGAGATATCTGAGACTTTGGACCTCACCTGCGTATGACTAGTGAGGGAGCCAGGTACAGAATTGAAACCCTCTCTTCTTCAAACTTTTAGTAAAGAGGAAGAGATATTCTGAAGCATATGCATGAAATAACAGCAGACATGCTGCCGTGGTCCAACTGGTGGGACGCTGGCACTCGCCCTCGCAACCCCACAGCCTGAGGGTCGAATACCTGGAGTCAGTTGTAGTGGCTGGGACATTTAGCAATTATCTACCGTGGGACCGGAGTTCAAGGTATCTAGATACATAGCACCCCTGCTAACGTACTAAGGTCCCACATCAACTAACCGTACTCTCCATGCGAGAGCGCCATCATGGACACTTTTCGGGCGCTCGGGCCGCGCCGCAACTTCGAGGAGGCCTGAAGCTCCCCTCGGCCACCTCCAATCAACAACCTACGATGCAGTTGTCTCTGGTTGGCCAAGACGCGGGCTCGACGTGATAACACTCTGTAGAAGCACGAGATGTATGTATGTACTTTCCTGGGTAATCGTGACTGCAGATAGACTTGGTGGCAGTTTAAGATTTAACCCTCGACCGCAGATACAACTCACATTGCGCGATGTAAGATCTCTGCCTCTTTGGAAACGAACAGCAATAGAGAGCAGCTACCACGATAATGATGAGACTGATGTGATAATGGCGGCCCTCACGGACTAATTGCAACACCCAAGGGTAAGGAGAGGTGGTTCCTCGGTAGGCCAGGCGATCTCCAGTACTTGGATCTGCAACAGCATGGCCCTTGACGTCGCATCTTTGACTGAAGCCTTATCAATGATGAAATCTTCTTTGAAAAAGAATGATCATAATCTGGTGGCTACAGTGCGATAGCGGCTCTATATCAAAGATTGCTGGAAAGGGAATAAGTTGCACAGACTCGGCTGCCCTCTGAACTGATTGAAGACAGGTAAACCTGTTCCTCGTGCTTCTCAGCTCGAGCGTCAGCAGGCATGCATGGTTGCTCTGCGCCTTGGTTGGTTCCGGCTAAAGGAGCTGGTCTTCCTCCATGGAATTTTCCAACCATTAACTCGAACTCGGTTCTTAAATATACATAGCATCATGTTTGCTGTGAAGTCTGCGCCTACCTATGTACTAGCTTACTCTACACACTTCCAGTAGACACGTAAGTCAAGGAATGTTTCACTGGGTTTGCAAAACACCACGAGTCCACGAGACACCATTGAACGCCACACCTTTTGAATATACTGGCCATTCGCACACCACCTGGTGAGTCTCAGTGGAAGTGCCAGATGACAGGCTATATGCCAGGAGACTCTTTGCCTCGAGGCCTTGAAGCAATCCATTCGATCTAACAGCTCATAACTTTACATTCTGCTGGTAAATTGCCCTCTGGAAATCTGCGTACAATGCAGCCGCACCATTATCACCTGGTGGAAGTAGCTGCGTAGCAAAGATGCCACACGTGCCTCCTAATGGATCGATCCACTGTATTATGGTTCCTATTAGCTACCATCAATGAGACGTTGAAACTGGAATCCGCCTACCCATTGAGGATTTGAAATCCCACTCCAGGTCATGGTCCCTTCCTTTCCGCGACCAGGGATGCCATTGGTTGCTATGACGCCGCCAAACCCCCAATTCCATTGTCGATCATTTGGTACTCCAGGTAAGAGATATTGTGCCAAAGTGGGGTTGTGAAAAGCTTCATTCACGGGCTGATCGTTTTCCAGTTGAGGCTTAAACATGCCTTCCACCGTCTCGAATCGGAGGAGAATTCCGTCGTTCATTAATAAGCTCTTGAGAAGCTTTAGATAGTCCTCTGCACTACTGAAAATACCAGATCCGCCGCTGTCCTGCTCAGGATTTTTGTTTGGAAACGGGAGGTTAGAACCATCGGCAAGTTGTTGCGATGGTAATCTGACTGTTAGAGGGACAACCCTGAGGTCGGGTCGAGTAGCTGGCCTAAAAGTAGTCGCGGACATTCCGAGAGGTTTCCAGATGTTCTCCAACATGTAATCTCCCAGTCGACCGAAACCGGTGACATGCTCGATCATCCGGGCTACCACGTCGAGGCTGGAGCCATAAGACCACCCTTCTCCTGGCTCGTACACCAGTGGTAGTTCAGCTTCCGAAGGTTGCTGCAAAGGAGAAAGTCAGCCCTTGCTCATGCACCATGAAGTATGAGCTGTCTTGTGCGCAAAGGAATACTGAATCCACACCCGTAGCACACCTACCGTGAAGGCGCTGCGTATTGCATCTATGATATCTCCCTGACTACTAACATTGCTCGCATTCGTAAAGCCATTCTTGTGTTTCAACCTCAACAGGGAGGGAGAGCTTTGCTCCAGGGCCAAACCTGACGAGTGCGTCAAGAGCATCCTCAGCGTGATTGGATTGTTGGGTTTCTTGAACAGAGGTTGGTCTATTGTTTCATCGAATCCGACAAGGACATCCGGGGTGTTCCAGTTCGGCAGTATTCGACTTGGATCATCTTCCAGGGTGAGAAGACCTCGTTCAACGCATTGAAGTGCCGCTACAGTCGTCTGTAGCTTCGTACACGACGCCAGCCACATGATATCCGAAGGCGCAAGTGATTCTGCATTGTCGTTGATACTTGTGGTTCCAAAGGCTCGTGTGAATGTATCCCCTGAAGAAAGGCATTCGAGACATTAGCATGACACATCTTGTCGGTCTTTCTAGGATCGAGGGTGATTCTGAGCACGAGATTTACCTGAACTTGACGCTGATGCTATCACCGCCCCAGCCAATACTCTACCTTCACCGGGAGCCGTAGCCCTTTCGAATCGGCGCACGAGTTCGTCCATGTTTGTGTGTCTGCTCTTCTGGCTACGTAACAAAACATTCCAGCATCATGTTTTCCTAGCAGAGAAACATGATCGGACTGACGATTCTTGCCATAGAAATGCCTTGAACGAAACAACACCCACAGGTCGGCCCGTGCAAAGACTCATGGTTGACGTGCCGCCACTAAAAAGCCGCGGTGCCGCGGAATCCGTGTTCCACACTTGGCGTTTGATTGGTTCGAATCTGAGGAAAGACTGGTGGATGGTACTATTTGCATCAAGCCCTGAAAGTACTACTAATCCAAAGCCTGTTAATTGATCGATACGTCGTTGATGATCCAGGGATAGAAAACAAAACTACCTAGTACTGTACTATGCCTCGTGAGACTGATTAAGTAAATGTGGGTTGCTACGAATAATCCCCATCTTCGACGAGTTGAGAATGTTGCCAAACTAGATAGTACCTAGTAGCTTCCCGGACATAGTCCACTGCCTATCTACATATCTGAGAACGAGAGGAAAGACTGATCACGATCTCCTCCATGTATTGGTCCACTTCCACTCAACAATCAGGGAAACAATCAACACTACGACCGAGATATCCATGTTCTTATTTCCTTCTCAATGACAATGACCAAGTCTGCACGTTGGCGATAGTCTCGGTCGTTTCAAACATCGGCCGATCTTGCACTGACCGATTTCTCATTGGCAGCTGTGACCATGACTTTGTCCTTCGTCAGCTCGGAGAAGAAATTTCCTCTCAATCTAGTCGCGGTGTGCCTAGTGTCAGATCCTTGTTAGTCCTATCCTCACGTTTGCGCAGATATTTTCACGCGACCGCTCACATTGTAAGTTTGTGGTCGATGTCTCGGATGAAGACCACAGCGAAGCAGGATACGCCTAGAACGGTGATTAGTGAGGATTTATCTGCGGGAACCGGAAAAGAGACAGAAAGAAGAGGCCATACATCCAAAAGCAATGCTGACAAGGTAGATTTGTCGGAAAGCATTGGAAAAGACAGTCTGCATTGCATCGATTCCTGCAGCAATAATAGCCGGAGTAACACTGACAGCAAACTCTCCAAGGGAGCCTGACGTAAGAGCCACTTCAATGCATGTTAGCCCTTGACAGTATCCAAACGAGAGGGTTACTCTCATACCAATGAAAGACTCAACCTCTTCGACAGGTAGTCCAGCTTGGACAACCGCCGCTGCCACGTCCGGAACAAGGTGTTTCGCCACAGAACTCTGCATGACACTCGAGTAAACTGCAACAGCAACGGCTCCACCCGTCGACCGGACGCAAGCCGTCAATCTGTATTCTCATCAGAACCGCCAAGACAAGTATGAGTACTGCGATGTTTCCCACCCTGTAGCGACTCCAATATGCTCATCTGGAACTCCCAATTGCGTGATTAGTAAAGCTGATAGCTGCGAAGCACCTATGCTAAGTGCTGCAATAGACACCAGAGCGATTGCACGTGCGGGAGTGTGTTGCGTGACCGTGGATATAGAAGCGACAAAAGCTGTTTGCAGAAAAGTAGCCACAACGAATTGCCATTTGGCTTTGCCAATGGTGGAAAACAGCACGCCACAGACGAAGCCACCCACTGTAAAGCAAAATTAGTATCCCTGCGAAGAGCCTGACTAGGAGAGGACTTCCCTGTGGCAGAGAGGTTATACGCGAGACTGTACCAGCCAATCGTTCTCGGTGTGGTGGTGAAAAGTCGAGTCACCTCTTCAATCTTGTCAATTACATTCCCATATTGATGCAGAAGTTTCTTACCTTGGGGCCATAGGACTGCCAGAGCGGTAAACTGGGATGAGATAAGTTCAATCTGTCTGATATCAATAACCCCTAGGACATATATACCATCATTCCAGAAACAAAAGTGACCACAAGGGGTAAGGTGAATCCTCGGATCTCCTTGAAAATCTCAGGTGGGCACAATTTGGTGATCCAACATGGGCTGTATATTTCCCAGGCGGGAAATGCTACCGTTACAGTGACAGCTGGAGATTTTCCTATTAGCTAGCAAGACTAGACGGAAATCTTGTTTAGACTTACCTCCTATTATCAAAGGGGTCAACACTGGTGCGCTCGTCCAAGAATGTGGGTTATCTCCGAAGGAGATTCCAATCAATAGACTTGCTAGACCCCCGCCCAAGAGTAACAGGCCTAGATAATCAAGCTCTTTGACTTGTTGGGAGCGAGACTTCCCGTCTGGGTGCAAGTTCTTGAAATCCGGTGGGAAGTAGAACAGTGCGATAAGGATGAAGGCAATGCCGTTCGCAATAATCGGAATGTAGAACGTCCAGCGCCATGACAATGTGGCGACCATAGCATATGCTGATAGGGTCAGCTTCAGTTTCGAACCGCGTAAAGGAATAACAAAGGACGTACCGATGACAGCTCCAAAAGCAGATCCTGGGATTGCTGCGATATTGATGCAAGCTACAGTTAAGCCTCGATACCTTTTAGGGACAATTTCGCACGCAGCAGCGAATGCCAGTGTCTGAAATGCGGAGGCGATACCCTGACATCTAATTAGTTGATTTAACAATCACGATAGGCATATGCCGCACAGTTAAGGTAAACCCGGCGATGATTGTGTTTATGTTGGTTGAACTGCAACGATTTAGTTTTGCTGAGTTGTTCCAATAGCGGCGTCAGGACCCGTACCGACATGCAATAGCACAACCTGAGAATGAATCAAACCTGTCCTCCGACCGCTCGAGCTATCAATGTCTTCAGGGGATTGACTATACCTGTTAGTCCAAGAAGATTCCCCGCAAGGTAGAAGTTCCGACGACCAAAAATATCACTACAACGGCCCGCAATGGTCTGCACGACCGCGGCGGAGAGTGAAGACGATATAGCGACCCAACTAAGCTGAGATGCAGGTCCTATGTCGGCGTTGATAGTGAGCAGAACCGAGATGGGTAGGATGTAGGTGAGCAGACTAGCTTCATAGGTGAAAGTAAGAGCCTGTTGTTTAGATGTAAGCATCTCTAGGTCAATCAAGTACTTCGCCGCAGTTGAGGTTCTCACTATGATTGAGGCAATAATCTGAAAATTCAGCTTGTGAGTCCCATCGTCGGTGGGGTCACCTTCGACTGGGGCCGCGCTTTGGTGAAACATCGGAGGAGTGGCTTTGAGATCCACTGGAGGATCGAACTCTTCGACACGCTGTGAGCTGCGTTTGGAGCTCGGGAGCTCATATTCTTGTTTGGATGTAGACATCTTTCGTTCAAGAGTCATGCTGCGTGGGTAAAACTTAGCACTACAGCATGGAAGTAATGAGAGAAAGGTATCCAGGTCGCGAGTTTGACGAGCCCATTAATTGCCTGGCTTATGTAGAGTACAGTACCTGTTGTATCTCTTTGTAGGTGGTAGCTTTCCCCGTGTTGCTCTAGGGGGTCGCGTATCGACCCCACAGTCTCTCACAGTCTCCGCTCCTGACTGATGGCAAGAGGATTCTAAGAGAGCGTCAGCGAGAGTAGAAGGCGTTTCCCGCTGGTTGTGGTGCCTGAGGCTTTACCTCCATTCCAGTATCAGGAAATATATCCACAATGACCGAGGACTCCACCGTGCAGTCACACCGCGGCGCCCGTTCCCCCCGAAAGATCCGAATGAGTGGGAATTGAATGAAATGTGGGTCGAATGCTGCACAGGGGGCTTGCATGCGTGTCAAAAGATCTGAACCAGTGTTGACACCACAATTCCTTCGTTCGTTCTCTACTGGACACTTGAGATCGTTTCGAATCTCGGCAGAGCCCAGCCATCGTCATCTGGCCTGCCATTCAAGAAAGGCACCCTTCAGCTCAAGGTCAGATTACAGAGGTGCATAAGGGGTATCCTGGGTGACACAGCGGCGACTTGTGGTCATTAGAGGGAGGAGAATTTGTAGCACTTTTGATTTCCCTGGATAGGGTACTCCCGGAACCGTCACTTTCAGCATTACAAGCAGCCAAGTTCGGAGTGATCGTTTCAAGTTCAAGATGGGCACCAGACCAGATCGCTCGCACTTGAATACCTACCAGATTGTCGAGTCTCTGTGGAAGCATCTTGGGTTGCCCCCCAAAGCTCTCTCATCGCTTACTTTCCAAGGCGAAGGCTTTGGTCTCCCGTCTTCGTTCCGCATAACTGAGGTGGCACAAGCTACGATCGGGCTGTCAGCACTTACAGCAGCACAATTCCACGCACTGCGAGAAAACTCTTCTGTGCCCAGGGTACACGTTGACCAAGAGAACGCGGTGCTCGAGTTCAAATCGGTTAATCTATACACTCTCAATGGATCGCCGCCGAGCGTCGAAAGCCACCCAATAGGCGAGTACCACAAGACCGCAGACGGACGGGTTCTGATACATGATTCCTTCAAGCACCACATTCAAGCTGCGTTAGACATTCTATGCTTGCCCTGGGATGCAACTCTGGAGGAAGTAGACCGAAAAATTCTGCAATGGAAATCAGCTGATCTCGAAGCTGCCGGAATGCGACGTGGAGCAGTAATTGCAGCGCTGCGAGACTATAACGGCTGGGATTCAATGCCACAGGGAAAAGTAGTCTACGAGAACCCGATATTGATACGAAAGATTACAAACGGCCCGCCCGTGCTACTGGAACATCTGCCCAAGGGTCAGAAGAAATGTCTGAGGGGTATTCATGTTGTCGATATGACTCATGTTATCGCTGGTCCTCTCGCAGGCCGTACGCTGGCCGCTCATGGCGCCGATGTGCTTTGGATCACGAGCCCTGATATGGAACGTCTGCCAGCGGCCGATCTGGACTGCTCACGTGGCAAAAGAGCGGCCCAGCTCGACTTAAATCGAGAAAAGGACAGAATGACTCTGCATTCAATACTAAAGGACTCGCATGTGTGGATCAATGGTTATCGGCCTGGAGGCATGGAGTCGAAAGGCTTCTCGCTGGAAGCCGTCTGTGCCAGATCCACTCGGGGCATTATATGTGCGAGTATGAGTGCCTGGGGCTCCCAGGGGCCTTGGAGCCGGCAGCGAGGGTTCGATTCAATCATTCAAACTGCTTCCGGGGGATTCGTCTCAGAGGCTGAGCATTTTGGGGCTGGGGAGTGTATGCGCTATCTTCCAACACAAATCCTGGATTACGCCGCAGGGTTCCTACTAGCTACTGGCATCACTGCGGCACTGTGCAGGCAAGCCGAGGAGGGCGGGTCTTATGCCGTGGAGGTCAGCCTGGCGGGGACAATGGACTATGTACGGAGCCTGGGTCAACACCCGGACAAGCGCTGCTTCCAATTGCCCAACCCACGATGGCAAGGCGAAGTCTCAAATCCCAATGTGTTCGAAACTCACCAGACAAGCTTCGGAGAATTGCGCTCTGTGAAACACGCCGCGACTATACAGGGGTTGGAAGTTGGCTACGAGAGAATTCCAGAGCCACAGGAATACAGGGCCGTGAAGCCACCGCGGTCAGTCATTTAGCAACACGGCTCTCCTAGAACACCTAGACACTCGTATGGACATATTTGCTCTTGAGCGGGACCCATGAGAAATCAGACCACAACCGGACATGGCCCCTAGGAATCGCCAGGGCCCTTTACCTATCGGCTGATCATATCTCGCCGGATCTAGGGCTGCTCGGAGTCTCTAGAAAGGTACTGCTCTAGGACCGTAGAGATTTCCTGAACATGGTCCATCCCAGTGGAGGGATTCCATTCATCTAGTAAACTGAGCATTCCTTGTGACGTGAAAGGCAGATCGAATCCTGTGGAGTCTCCGAGCAAAGTATCCATGTGCGTATCCGTCGACAGTAAAGGTACACCCTGGCATTCTCGCATGGTCGAAGAGGAGGGCATTGCTTGTTGCTGACTCCGCTCCGATAAAGCCCTCGCCTCGCTTTCTTGTGAGTGCGCTCCGAGATATATCGCAGCGATTCTGTAGAGTATATGACACGCATGATGCAGCTTTTTGCAAGCATGGCTGATTTGCGCAGCCCCGTGAAGCGTTGAAACCGACTGTTCCAGGAGCATGAGACTGGAAATTTTTCTCTCTGTCATAGCGTCCCCAAAGATCACTATGTACGGGATAAACTGGCACCAGAGAAGAGTCCAATGTAGGAAGAGACGCCGCCCATAAACAGTGTCGTCTTGCAAAGCGATCCAAGCCTCGTTGTGCATAGTCAATGCCTCGCGAGCAACTTTTACTGCCTGCTCGGAAAACTTGAGTTGCCTGAGCTTTTGCGGAATTTCATGAACGGGTGGAGGGATTGTGCGGTAGATGAGTGTTAGGGTTGATCTCATCACAAAACGCGCGGCAAGCTGTGAGGCCATGTCTTGAATTTCGGAAACAAAAGATGACTCCAGTACGCGAAGGCTCATAGCAAGTCGATGCGCCCTCTCAGAGCGAACGTTGGCTGGCATTCGTTGTGCCTGTGGAGAGAACAAGTTGTCGTATATTTCACCTTGCAACTGAGCAAAGTCGAGCCAGTTGTTAAATGCCGGCGCCCAGGCACTCGAGATCTCGTTGGGAGCACAGGGCCGATCGACTGTGATGTCTGTCTCTCTCAGCATCGGCGAGCGCCCCATGTTGAGCGAAACTCCTCGGTCTAAGGCATATATGTACCAGAAGGTAATCTTTTTCTTGGTGGTTTCGGGGTCTACAACAGGATGTGAGATGCAGTTGTAGCCCGCATCTTGACACATTCGAGCTGCGGTGCTAACGAGTGTCCATTTAGAGTAGGAAGAGGAAAACTCTCCTACAAACATTGCCTGAGGATTTATTGTTAGTTGCTAGAAAGGCAAAGCCTTGAAAGCGTAAATAAAAAGGCGGGGGCTTACTGCAAACCACAGCGCCTCAATGTTTTCGTGTGTAGCCTCCATCGAGAGCCGCAGATGTTTCACAGCAATACTGGCATTGGTACCGCAGACAGAAACGATTTTTCCAAGATCTGTGGAGCTGAGGTTCATTATACGCGCTTCCTGGATTGGTAAATCCCGGAAAAGGTAAAAGAGCGATACATGGGCAGTGATGAAGACTGCGATGGAATACTCTTCAATGGCGAAGAAGACCTTTTGACACAGATCTGTGATGTATTGTTCGTCAATAGTGACTATGTCATAAAAGAATCGCTGACGGTGAGCTAAATCGTGGTTATTACCGGAGACAGGACCCGAAGACGTAAAGAGAATAATACCTTTGATATGTCTTAAGAGTTGTAGGACGATATCTGTTGGTGGAAGAGGAAGCCTAGCCAGTTCTGGGTACTCAATCACATCATGGAAAAGATGATGAGAGATGAGAGATCCTTCCGAGAAAGCCTCTCCTTTACTAAGAACATCTTTCAATCTGGCCACCGCGGCCAATGCCTCTCTCCCTGAATCTGAGTAAGGTGTTGTGTTTAGGATTTCTTCAACCGCTTGAGTGGCATGTTTCGAATGTGTAACGAAAGAAGAATCGCCCTCAAAATCAGCTCTTTCCTTCCAGCTATTAGAGTCGCGAGGAATTTGGGTACTGGTAGATGGTGGGCCGAGGGTTGTCGTCGTGACATCCTGTCCTTGTTGATTGACCAAGGCTCGAAGTGTGTTTTCGACTTGGCTTAGCCGGTCACTGTAATCTTGAAGCCTTTGATCGCTTGAAAAGTAATGGAAACTGCTTAGCTGGGCATGTATCTGGTTTACCACTGTGTACATACTTGCGGGGATGAGCCAGCAGGCGCTGCCTCCTCTCAATTTGTCTCTTGGTAGTCCGACAGGCAATATGTGATGTGCGGCAACTAGCGCATGGAGTTTTCCTGTCACATCTTATCTAAGCAGAGGAATTAGCTCCTCTGTCTCGCAGAGATTGCGGCGAACATCTTGGACTTACTTTGCGGTATCGACACGCGTCGCACTGTTGAATATTGTTAGCGATATATTTGTCCGGATTCCAATATAACTCCTACAGCTGGGGCTCGAATTGTGCCAAAATCTGGATCAGACTCGTATTCGTCTACTTCCGCCATTTTTCCTCTACGTCCTGGAAGTGATTGCGCTATGGTGTCATGAATTGAACGAGTGTCAAGAGAGAACACGGAAATTCACGACACTTCCACCATGCATCCATATCACAAACTTAAGGCGCCGTCGGAAATTCGGATGCCGCGGGATCCGTAACCACCGTTAAATGCCAGCTTCGGCCAAGGCCAAGGTCTTAAACACCTCGGCTGGCAGTCTGGCTACTTAGATCTCTCATATGCCTAGCTGTACGATATACGTAGGCAACGGCGCCTCTATCAAGCAGGTGGCGCTCCGCCGGGTGGACTTGATTGGACGGTGACTGCTCTATCAAAACATCAGAAGTGGACAACCCTCCACCTTTGTGGAATCTTCGAAACCCTCAGGTTGTCGCGGCTCGGATGTAACCAGCATCCTCCCAATATCGCACGCAACGTATTGAAAGCAACCTCTGATGGCGAGGATCAGGTGTGTTACCTTCACATCCTCGCTTGCGCCTTGACTCGCTTGTCTCGCACAGCATTGCTTGTTCGTCGTCGACACATTGCGTCCTAGATATAGGTGTTTCGAAAACATAACTTCTGGTTTCACAATTCTCCCAGCCTGTGGCTTCCACTCGCTCAGCCCCCACCCAGTCATTGGTAAGATGGTGCAGAAAGCTGCCGTGGGTCACAACTATAATTTCGTGCTCTCTGTCTGGGTTTTCAAGAACCAAATCGCGTGCCTTCTCACGCAGGAAGCACCGGAACTTGCGTGCTCGCTCCTCCAAGGCATCATAGCTAGGCGCATATGGACCGTTCATTCTTTTATCATTCCAGCCGCGTTTCACAAAAGATAGATCCACTGGTAAATTTAGCTGCGTGCAATAGTCTTGGAGCACATCGACATTGCTGCCTATGTCGCAAGCGTTGTCCGATATCTCTTGGATCTCAGGTAAGGCGAAAATACGCGGCCAACAGTGCCCGTTGGCCAGGGCAGGCCCAACAACCAGATGTGCAGTGTGGAGCGTGCGTCTCATTGGAGAGGCTATGACGAGGGAGATATTTGCATGCTGGTTCACGAAATGTGTTTCTCGAAGTTCGTGGCACTGATTTTCCCCTCGGGGGGTGAGGACGGGGTCGGGCAAAGTATAGACTCCATCACCGACATTGTGATAGCCTTCTGCGTGGCGGATCAAATGGATAACGACCGTCGAATTGACCATTCTTCTAAGAAAAGCGTGTTCGAGATGATGGCCTAATGTTCCTGGATACTGTGCTTTGACCTAGAAGATGTGGCGATGAGCAAACCCACGCCGACTTCTTGAGTGTATGACCCGAACATCAGTACTTGCTGTGAGCCGTTGCGAAGATATGTAAAGTGTGTGCTGTAGCATTTCTTCTTTTCTCCTCGCCGCTTCTGGCTTCCACATAGTGGAGGCCGTCGACAGATGTACATCTTCCGGACATTTTCATTCGGCGACCGCGGTCCCCACGCGCTCTCCACCTATGGATACGGACGATGAATTGACCGAACTATGATGTCTCTTGGCCCAGAAAAATTCACCTGGGCTAGAATATGAAGCACATTGTCCCGGGTAGGCTTTATCGTGAGGGCGTATCCGTTGTCATCACATGCGGCCCAAACGGGCCTTTCGCCACAGTCGAGCTGCCACTGTCCCGATTCCCGAAACTGCTACTATGTCTCGCACACATTATGTCGTATCGCAATGAACGACGACAAGATTCTCTCAACGATGAGGAAGAAAAGGATTTGAGTCACAATGACTTCAATTGTAGCTGTAGTAGCTAAGAGATCTGATTGTCTGAGTTGATTGTTCTATTCAGAGGAGGAGGAGGGAGGCCGGTAGCCTGGCTTTGGAATAAAGGGACACTATGGCGGACAGTCTGAAATAGAAGTATCCGATATCGTAACCTCTTCTCGGACGAATGCTAGGGACTATGTAATGCGTCATGGAGAACTCCTTGTCGGAGCGATGGTATTTCTGCAGAGATCCGACTTTTCGGGCCACGTTCTCACCTGGCCGAGATCCGGTCCCATAGACGTGGAACTGACGACTAGTTGTGCTTCGGTTGCTAACTGTTAGATGGAGCCTAACGTGAGTATTTCAAGGTCTCCTGGTTTCAAGCTCCTGGTTTCGTGGATTACAGGCACAAATAAAGGGAATTGCATAGATTGACTTGGTCACGGAGCATTTCGTTAATCACCAATTCTACATATCTATTGATATTGGAGATTTTGACAAGACCAGAAGATGTTTTCTGTAAGTAGTCTTGAACTGTTACCCATATTAAGTCTTCTGATACAGGTGTCCTTAGCGTTTGGTTCGCTTCGTGGCAGACGATGGCAAGATTTATCACGGCGACGCTGGTGAAGGTACTGACTTCACCCATGCCAAGGTGATAGAGGGAGACATCTTTGGGGACTATGAGATGACATCTCGGACTGTTGTAAGTGAGAGATTCAGTATGGATGGGAGATCATCTAAGTCCTTGTCTGGGACTGTAGAAAATCCAAAAGCTTTTAGCTCCTTTGAGCAGAAATCAGCTTAAAACTGTGCGAGGTATCGGCGCCAATTATGTCGGTGTGCCTGAACTTGTAAGTGTTACTCATCTCAAGATGTTCAAAATAGGTTATTCAACTGACGTTTCGCCCAGGTTGGGCTTGCATATCCCAAATATCCTCTTTTGTTTGTAAGATCTTATTCCCATGAAACACAAGGGAACATCAAGGTGTCTAACCAACAGTAGTACAAGCCACTAACATCTGTCATTGGCCCTGGTGATGACATCAAACTCAAACCCGCCGTTCAGGAGCAAGGGTTAGATGCTGAAGTTGAACTGGTCATCATCATCGGAAAAGAAGGCGACCGCTTGACCAAAGAAAACGCTCTCGACCACGTCTTGGGCTATACTGTCGCAAACGACGTGACTCACTTTGGATGGCTCAAGAGAGGCAACATGACAGGAGCTCTAGGCAAAGACCCTGACGATTTCGCACCCATAGGACCTGCCATTGTCTCTATTGCTGACCCTACAAACTTGCACCTGTGGTCCAAAATCAATGGTGAAATCGTACAGTCGGGGCATAGCAAAGATATGATCTTCCCTGTGGTGGATTTGCTGTGTTTCTTGTCAGAAAGGACCACTCTTCTTCCTGGCGATATCATCCTCAGTGGAACGTTAGTTACACCCGTCTCGAGCTTTTCAAGTTAGATACTAATCAATGACTACAGGCCGCTGGGAGTTTTGAGCAGTCGACAGCCTCCAGAGTGGCTAAAGGAAGGGGATTTCATCGAGGTTGGCGTCGACGGCATTGGCTCGATCACCAACAGAGTCACGTTCGTCAAAGATCAGGGACCATCAATAGAATAGCAATGAGCAGGTCACCGCAATTAGATTCAGTTGATGGAGATGAAAGTTTCTGGTCCATGTCGACCAATGTGGACGACCCTAGTACCAAAACTGGCGATTGCACGTTTGATCGACAACCTTAATTTCAGTGCATCCGATGGTTTCGGAAGTGCTGATGGCCTTTCGGATGTAGGCTAACAGAAGTCCCGACAGCGGCTATATCTAACTCCGTAGTCTGGGGCTTTCGGAACAAAGGCTCTTCACCTTCATCCCAGTCATGGCAGTAAATCGTTGGAATCTCGCCTAGCTATGACAGGTAGCCTCTGACCCAAGCACTATCTTAGATGAGCATCGTCGACCTAGCAACAGTCCTGGATGCCAAGTTAGATGAGTGGAAGTGGTTGTGGGCCTGTACTTTTGCTCGTATAGATTGTTATGAGAGAGAAGTACTGTTGAAGCCCAGGGTCCCAGCTTGAGCACAATTAGATTCCACCGACGCTGAAACACGGTCATGAGCAATAGCTGGCGCCACCCGCCCTCTGGCGAGAGTTCCTCGGCGTAAGACTTGCTAGCTGGGCAAAAGAACTGGGCACCAACGAATAGGATATCTATTCTCGTGCGTTGGGGGCCCTTGGGCCCAAGGGCCCCCTTGGCGAGCAGCCCGCTCGGCCCAAATGTTCGTCCATCAGGGTCTCTCGGAGTCATGTCCAGTGAAGATCATGCTATTTCCTCGCCCAGAAGACCCCCAGCCGCACCCCGCAGCCTCCAGTCCTCCCCACAAGTGCACAGGCGGGGGATGAGAGACTGGCTGACTTTTCTAGATTCTGACTTAGTCAACAAGTTACTCCCGGAGACTCTCTGAGGTTGTTGCTCTTTGATCGTTTCATCGCAATGCCGGCAGTCAGGGATGACAATCTCAGCAGCCGCTGCCAAAAAGCCTGTGAGAATTGCAAAAGAAGAAAAGAAAAATGCGATGGAGTCCAACCTTGTGCTCGTTGCACCAAGAGAAAAGTACCTGGGCAATGCCGTTTTCCTATCGCAATTCCATCAGTGAAAAGACTCAAAAGCCGCAAACACACTTTTGTCTTGAGCGAAAACATGGATTGCTTTGAAGATGCAGAACTTGCCATCGAAACCCATATCAATAATCGTGGCCCTTCAGAACCTGTTCATCCCGCCAGCAAAGATGGTTCGCCTAATAGTGCAGCAACGGCTCCAATACCTCATATGGCACGCCTGCTACGAGCCGACGACGGCAAGTTCATCTTTATTGGCGATTCTTCCAATTTGTCGCTCTTGCAGAATATTCGAAAACTCGTGGAGATCGCTGTTGGTCCTTGCAGATTCACCAGCGATCCAAAGCGATACATCATGGTCGAGACCGTCCCTACTGAACATCAAAGTTACGAGCAAAGATTTCCGCGAGTACCGGCCGACAAACCAGAGATGGACGAGACCAGAAGACTTGTTGATCATTTTCTGTGGGCCACACATGGTATCCTGGATGTACTCATGGAGCATGAACAACATGAACAACTACTCCACTGGCAAGGCGTTGTCGAAAAAGACTTCAATAACCCTTTGAGCGCCAAATACTTTCTCATTCTTGCCATCGGAGCCCAAGTAGGCTTGCAAGAGCGAGACACTATCGCCGAATCGTATTTCAACACTGGCCGCTGTCTGACTGCTATCCACCATAACGATTGCCCGTCTCTCGCCGCCGTTCATTGTCACCTTCTCATCGTCTGGTACTTGCTGGGGGCGGGTCGACGGAATGCAGCATACACGAGCTTTGGAATTGCTGTTCAAGCCGCGTTCGCCATTGGGCTGCACCTTCGAGAGGTGTCAGATCTGTTCAAATTGGAAGAGTGTACCAGCCGCGAGCATGGCTGGAGGAGTATTCGAGTACTGGACCTGTTTCTGGCGAGTTCTCTTGGTCGTCCAGCTTTGACGTCGGAAAGCCGTCGAGCGGGAGACGACCACCACTCCGCAGCACTTGACATTTGCAACATCCTCGAAAATGTGCTCAAACAGGTATACACGAGAAGAGCGGTCTCATCCGAAACGGTGGCGGACATCTCGAGCCAGATTCGCAAGTACGTATCAAGGCTAGCTGAGGGCATCACAACCGACGGGATTCCGGCGCTGGAGTTCCTGGAAGAACGAAATCAACTTAATGTCGGTCTGGTTTATATCCGAGACGGGTTCCACATCAACGTCATGCTTCTCACGCGACCATTCCTTCTCGAGGCGGCTACGGCATGTGTGAAAGCAGATCAGGCATCGAACAACTACACTACATCTGGACAGACAGTGTCCGACCCCAACCAAGTTCTTGTCTTAGCATGTGTCGACTCAGCTATTCAGATTGTAGAACCTCTTAGACTGGTTTGCAATCGGGAGCCGTTTCCAAAAAGACTACCTCTAGTGGTAAACTCGGTCTTCCTTGCAGCAATGGTTCTTGGACTGGCATTCTTTGCTAACTTGGACCGCACGATTCCATTGGATCGTCATCTTGATGATGCTTTGACGATTTTGAGGTTTATGGGCATTCAAGATGTTCAAGCACAGCGGAACCTTGGTATCGTTGAGTATCTCATCGAAGCATGCAGAAAGTACGTTGACAAACGAGACTGGGAGAGAACCAAGTCTCGAAATACCATGGTTGGAGGGCTTTTTGGCACACAGCAATTCAGTCCTATGGCAGACAAGGAATCTGAAGCATTACAAGCTATGTCTGCGCAGCCTACCACAGAACAAACTTCGCAATTACTTCCACCGTCGTCAACACTCTCATCTGCGGCGACGAACGATACAATGCCAGACCAAAACTCAAGACCAGGTCAATTACACATCGATAATCTAACATATGCTGAACCGCCACCGATAGATCCACCATCATTTGATGGCATTCCACGAGTAAACTTCCTAGCGGAGCCAGACATTTCGGATGATATGGAGGTCTACTACGGCACAGAGGCGTTGCTGTCGCCGCAGACCTTGATTTTTGACGTATTAGGCGACGATTTACCTCTTTTTACACCGACGACTATGTCGTTGTAGAGCTCAGCTTGTTGGAAGTTGCGGCAGAGCATGTGTACAGCGGTATTTATATACATATAGGTCAAATTGCTCTTTAGGCGTGCAAACTATTCGCAGGGCCTCCTAAGCCGTGATTCTCATTCGTGTGTACCAAGCATCCGATGCTCAATTCTTCGGGCATCGGTACTGGACCCACCGCCCGGCGGAAGGAGAGGATTCGGTTCCTTTGAAGTAGGATCCGTTGTCCGGGCTGTCCTTATCGAAGCGGCTTCAGAGAGATACCGGAGCGACTTGATAGAGAATGTGATACCTGGTCTCAGCCATGTATTACTGACGTAGGCCTGAAGACGCCTACGACCCTCTCTTCTAGATATCTGGTTGCATCTTTAGAAAAGGCATCACTCTAGAGGTCTTTCTCTCAGCTGCCAATCAGACACGAGCCCTTGCTTTGCAAGGCCACATTACTGGACGTGATATCGAGAAAGTCTTCTTGTGCACTCGACGACAAATACAGGAAAGAACGGTCTATCATGGCTCTGGATAACCGTCTCGAGAAGAGGATGGCTTTGGTGACGGGTGCTTCAGGAGGGTATTTGGACACCCCCCTTTTAGATCGAGAAACTGTCCGCCTGACTAGTGACTCGATATCATAGGATTGGCGCAAGTGTCGCGCGATCTCTCTGGGCCTGTGGAATGTCACTGGCTGTGACATATTCATCGAACAAAACCAGTTTGGAGAACCTCATTGCAACCCTCGAACCACAGCCTACAGCAACCGATGGAGGGCAGAAGGTTTCGCTGCACCAGGTCGATCTCGAGCACAGTGATCGCATCAAAATACTATTCGAAGAAATTCAGTCTGCACACGGCCATATGCCGGACATTCTCATCGTCAACGCGGGCCATGCGAAACTCATCCCCCAACCACAAGACATTCCGATCGATGAATTCGACCGCACCATAGCCATCAACTTGCGAGCGAGCTTTATCCTAGTCAAACATGTCATTCCGTGGATGATGAGCCAGGACTGGGGCCGAATCGTCTTTATTTCCAGCATCGCTGCTGAGGGAGGCGGAATCAATGGCTGCCACTATGCGGCGAGCAAGGCCGGCATGAATGGAATGATGAAGAACCTGGCGGCGAAACTGGCCAAGTCTGGTATCTCTGTCAATAGTGTTGCGCCGGCCATGATCGGTGACACGGGCATGATACCCAATGCCAAATTCTTGGTCGGCACGCCTGGCGACGTCAGTAACATTCCAGTTGGGAGGTTGGGGACGCCGCAAGAGTGCGCAAATGTGGTCGAGATGATCTGTAAGACGGGTTATCTGACGGGACAGAACATTCTACTTAGTGGAGGACTCAAGTGAGCGAGCGTATCTAAAAACGAATCCATCTTATTGTGCTAGGCCACTGTCAGGAAACCACTCTGATCCCTGTGGGATCGCCACAAAAAGACTGGAATCTCGTGACTATTCACGAGTAGACTTGAGTGGTTTAATAGATATACTGTCATCACAGCCGCCGTGCATGACAGCCACTCTATCCCATCCGCTGCTATGTGAGGCCAAAGTTGTCATGTAGAAACTCAAGCCTCCAGTCGCCAGCTTAATGATTGTGTCGAGGCAGAGGGTGATGATCTGCGACTCGTTGATATTTCACCGCGTCCGTCAGTACCATGCCATCACTCAATTGAGACGTCTCTCTGCGAAAGATCTCTTGCCAAGGGGTCTGGCTCTTCGGCGTCAACCTTTGAACCGCCTGAACTATGGCCGCTCTTCTAGCTTGAATCTCCTCATCAGATAAGAGAAGATCAACCCGTCGGCCTTTGATATCAAAACGTAGTATATCCCCGTTTCGCAAAATAGCAAGATTTCCTCCGGCTGCTGCTTCTGGAGAGGCATGTAAAATGGAGGGCGAGCCAGAAGTACCAGACTGCCGACCGTCGCCTATGCAAGGAACTGCACGTATCCCTGCTTTCAGTAGCTTTGTTGGAGCGTGCATATTGACCACCTCAGGGGCTCCAGGGTAGCCAATAGCTCCTGCTCCTCTCATTACAAGACATGGTCTCTCCAATGTTTGGTTGGCATTCTCGTCATCAAGGTGAGCATTATAATCTTCTGGACCGTCGAAGACTCTGACCTTTGACTCCCAGATACCAGGGTGTTCTGGATGTTCGAGGAACGCCTGTCGAAAGTCGTCGGAAATGCCAGATGTCTTCATAATTGCGGAGTCGAACAGCGTCCCCTTGAGGTGAATGAAACCCGCATTCTCCATAATGGGGTTGTTGTACGCTCGTATCACGTTTCTGTCCCAGCTAGGTCCATCTGTCGTATTTTCTTCAAGCGTGCGTCCATTGCAAGTCAGGACTTTTGGGTGTAATTTTCCTGCGGCCAATAATTCTGCCATCACCATGGGAAGGCCACCTGCCCGGAAGTAGTCCTCGCACAGCATCTCTCCGACTGGTTGTACGTTCACGAGTAAAGGTATTTCGTAGCCAATGCGATCCCAGTCATCCAAGTCAAGCTGTATTCCCATGTGACGCGCAATTGCGATCAGATGGATCGGACAGTTGGAGCTGCCGCCAATGGCAGTGTTGACCACAATAGCATTTTCAAAAGCCTCGCGAGTCATGATGTCGCTCGGTTTGCGGTCCTGAAGTACCATTTCCATGATCTGCGTCCCGGTCTCGTAAGCACATTGGAGTCTCTCGCGATAGGGTGCAGGAATCGCAGCGGATCCCGGCAAAGCCATCCCCAGAGATTCAGTAAGGGCATTCATGGATGATGCAGTGCCCATGGTGTTGCAATGTCCTGCCGAAGGTGTCCTGGAGAGCCGTTATTTCCAGAGGAATTCGTCGGAGATAGAACACATACCCAGCTGTAACCATATTGAAGAACTGATTATCATTAATGACACCCTGGGCTTTCAACTCCCTTGCTCGCCATAATACTGTTCCTGTACCAATCAGGTCGTTTTTGACTTTGCCGTTCAGCATGGGCCCGACGTTGAGGCAGATTGCTGGTATATTCTGGAGACTCAGTAAGCAGTTGACTCTCTTTATAGGACTATGGCTTCAATGACATACTACTGTAGCTGCTGCCATCAGCGCTGCAGGCGTTGTTTTGTCGCAACCCGTCAGAAGCACCACGCCGTCGAATGGATACGAGTGCAGAAGCTCAACCAATGTAAGGTATGACAGGTTCCTATCTAGTGTAGACGTTGGTCGTCGAGAACTTTCTTGAATCGGGTGGGTAGGAAACTCAAGTGGAACGCCGCCTGCTGCAATGATGCCTTCTCTGACGCGTTTCGCCGTCTCCAAGTGATATCGATTGCACGGAGATAGATCCGATCCAGACTGCGCTATACCTATGATCGGTCTCTTTGACTTCAGTTCATCTGGAGTCAACCCAAAATTCAGATACCGGTCCATATAGAGGACACTGAGAGCTGGATTCTGCTCATTAGAGAACCAATCCTCAGATCGAAACTTCCGGCCATTGACTCTGCGGCGCGGGCTCTTCTTCACAGATCCTTCGAGTTCCGCCACCTTCCCCATCAGCGTACTGTTCAGGGCCTGAAGCCCTCGAATCCTGTTTTGGAAGTCTTCGATATCCAGCTGAGCGTTGTCGTCTTTGGGAACCTCGCAAGAGTCGCACGATGAATCCGCCATTCTTGCCGTGGTTCAAGGACGGTCAAAAACTATGTGCCCAGGCTTGCCACGAAAGTCTAGTCTGAATTGTTTGCTCTCTAAGGCGAAATTGACTTGTCGAGAAAGCCAAAATAAGCAATTGGTGATAGGTGTGGTGCGATTCCTATGGACAAGTCTATCAACATCTCTGTATGCATGGAAAAGCATTGTCCAGTGCTTGAGCTGGCCACGTGAGTACTCTAGCACTCTACCTACCGGCCTCAAGGCTGTATTCGGACTACAAGTTCCGAGAGCTGGCAAGGACAAATATTCGGCTCGGCATCTACATGAATACTGTATCTCCGACATGGAGCATTGTTGAAATTATGCGGAATCCGAGGCGTCGTATCGTTGGATCGAGCCCTTGCTATACACTACTGGCCCCATAAGCCGAGACTCCACTTTCATGACCTTCCTTTTTACAGTCCTACTGCTTGTTTCAACGGCTGATATTTGGCCGGATATCGGTGGACATTGGACAAGAGCTCAACTGTCGTATGGCCACTTCCCAAAGGCTACGTGTCTGTACTTTGAAGCCTTCTTCCCAATGCCTGATCAATAGTTCTTGATTGTTCGAAAGGATTTCTCTCACGGCCTGCTGTAATTCGCTATCAAGTCGCCCAGCTATGAGCGGACGTTGACCGGAGTGAGAGCCTTTCCAGTAGCAAAGAATGCCTCCACGTTCTCCATAGTCAACCTCTCAAATCCAACAGTTGTTTCTATGGTTGCCCCACCGATGTGAGGAGTTAGTGTGACATTACTGAGCTCAATCAGACCAGGATGAACTTCTGGTTCCTTTTCCTGAACGTCCAAACCTGCACCGGCGAGGTGACCTGACTTCAATGCTTGCACAAGTGCTTCTTCATCATGCAAAGGGCCTCGCCCCATGTTGATGAAGTACGACCCCTTTTTCATCTGAGAAAACCTCTCAGCAGTAAACAATGTAGTCCCAGCGAATGGAACACAGACTACGACACAATCGGAATTCCCAAGCAGCTCCTCGAGTGTTTCGAAGTATCTGGCTCCGACAGCTTTTTCTTGTTCTTCGGATCGTCTCTTGATGTCGTAATACTGAATTTTCATACTGAGCCCGAGTTGTGCCTTCTTTGCAAGAACATAGCCAATGTTACCCATACCCACGATCCCTAGGGTATGACCATCCGGATCGTGTACACTGCCAACATCGGCGCGTCCTTTGAGCCATTGTTCCACACTTCCGGACTTCGCTGCGAATTGTGCGTGGGTCAACTGCCGGAAAACAGAAATTATATGCCATAATGTCAGATCTGCTACTGAAACATCGGGAGCTGTGGCACCGTTGCAATAGACAATACCTGTGAAAGAAGATCGATGAGAAACCAAGTAAGTCATTTCTCGGTAGGAAGGCTCACCTCTTTCAGTATACAAGGGAATGTTCATATGATCATAACCAGCACCGCAGCTGGTGTGAACTTTGAGAGATTCAGGAAGCAATTTGATCAATTCTTCGTCGAAATCACCCATTTCCCCTCCTTCATACCAGAAGCATCTTATGATCGCTTGGAAGTCGCCCCAGTGCTTCTCTCGCAGGTTCTTGAGGAACGTTGGCCTTGCCCGTTCTTCTGGAGTCGTTGTGATTACATCAAACGCCTCGTAGAATCGTTTGACTGTTTCAGGGTTGTGGTGTGGAATGTGTCCAAGAGAAAGAACCTTCACCTTGGCCATGATGTCGATAGGAATGGTCTAAGTGCTGGCAATTTGTGTCTGCGAGTACTGGTGTATACTTGTGTCAGGTATCTATCAACATTGGAATCGTGACCTATAACATGTCCTGTGCAGAAGCAGAGTAGTTTGGAAGTCTAGAGGAGTTCTTTCGGGAGATCATCCTTCGCCATGTTTCCCTCTGAGGCGCCTCCGAAATCTGGATCGATCCGATGTACTCTTCAATTGGTCTGGGTGGCCCGTAGAGTTCGGAGACCGAAAGACCTCATTCTCTCGGAGGCAATGACACCTCATGAAAACAAGGAGGACAAATTTTACTTAGTATCTTGACTGGGAGATGGAGAGATACCGAGAGGAGGACCTCCTGATCTTCAATCGGAGTTCGCTTGAAATGTGTTCAATCCTGGTTTTCTGGTCCTAATGATGTCGGGGGTGCGGCCGATGTTGCAAAACTCCCTACGCAAGAAGACAACTAGCATAGCCACGTGCACTGCCATTGTCGGACACATACATTGTTGAAGTTTATGGAACCGTGAGAGGCTTATATTCATCTACTATAACAGATATCTAATAACTAAAAGTCTACTATATATGCCTACCTCCGCACCTCAGAAGATTGCCATTGCATTCGGGGGTGACGAAACACCTCCGACCATGTTGAATGGCATAGATGCCACGAAGAAAGTCCAACGGTTCAATTCCTTGCACTTTTCGGCCAGACCCTCAAGGTCGAATAGCTCCCCTGAAGAGACGGTCAGTGTACTCTCTTGGACAGCCGATCAATATCGAGATGTAGCAAGACTAACCTATCGGCATTCCCCAGCCAGCAAGTAGATACTCGTGTAGGACAAGGTCTTCCTTGGGAGGAAATGACTCCCAGCTCAAACTATCACCTGCCACAGCAGATATCTTATTATCCCAGAGGAATCTCAAAGTCGCCATGGTGGCTTCCACCCCAGAGTGCTTGATGTGCTTCTCTTTGGCGTAAGCATGAATATCTTCTGCACTCATCTGGGTGTCATATTCCTTGGTCAAACCGATGCGGACAAACAAGATATCGCCGGCTTCAAGCTCGATTTTGCATTCGTCCATGATGGAATGGATATCGGAAAGGGGAATATGATAACCATCAAAGGCACTAAACTTAATGCCTTTCTTCTCAGCCCACGAGGCGTAGTCGATGAGAACCCCCCGGCCTAATTGACGACAACGGCTAAGTCAACCTTTCCTCGTATGTAAGTGGCGCTAAGGTACTTTACCTGCAATGCCCTGTGTTGCCCAATGCTGAATACCAATTCTATCGTTGGAGCGGTCCATTATCTCATTTGCTGTCGTGCCTCCGTAAAAGATGCGCTCCCCTTTTGGATCATGTAGTGTAAACCTTTGAGAAGTATCCTCATTCTTGGGCTGAGAAAAATGCCGGAGCCCGTCCCATTGGCTACTCTGTTCTGCAGCTCACCTTCAGTACCTCTCAAGACGACATCGGAGAATTGCTGAGGCCACGCTTACGGGGATTGAAAATGTAAACATCATCATTGGCAATGCCGTTGATAATGGGAAGGATGTGATGCTGGCACGGTTGGCGGTTACTAGTTGCAACCTCCATCTTCCTCATATCCCAATTCAAGCCGACTCTATGCCCAGTCTTAATTTCGTTGGCAGCCGACGAGGCTACTATCTCTGGGGTGAGAATAGCTAGTCTCCCAAGACCTTCTTCACGGCTGCCGGGCTCACCAATCCAAACCCGCTTGGGGTTGGGCAAGTCATCGAATGCAGTGTCGAATACTGCGGCCGTGAGAGCAGGCATGTTCAACGATATCTGTGAGAATCAACGTAAAGTCCAGTCTCGGAGAAGTATAATTTCAATCAAGTTCAATAACGTTGTCCATGTGCCGGGTTTTAACTGCTCTGATGCATTCAGCATATCTATTCAATGGTGGGCCTAGACAAGAGCATAAAGCGAAACCGAGATAACGATGAAGTACATAAATTTGGAGAATCGGACGATACGGCTTGGGTGTCTTCAGCCCGGCCGATGACTTCGGGAGCATTCTGAGTGACCTCAACTGCGCCGGCAGAAGATGCAAGCTCGGCAAAGACCAGTTCAAACTTCATTTTAGTCATGCTGGGTAGCTCAGACTCCCATGGGGTTTCAATTGGGTGCTGCCAAAGATGGACAATTACATTTCTGGGCGCAGGGAGCAAAGCCCCCGGAAATTGAGGTGATCAGGCCTGTCTTCGTTTACAGCTCCCAGCAAGTCCCCTATGGCCCTCCTGATTGATCCACGGCAAGCAACGAGGCCCATATACTCTTGATCAAATGCCATAACCTCCAGAATGTTCTAAGGGGATATTGCTACTCTTCCCGGAGTCCATAGACTTCGCGAAAGAGCAAGCCACATTGTCAGAATCGAACGGAAAAACAGTTGCTGGACTTTGAGTCCTTGTGAGCTCTGAGTCGTAGGACGCCGATTGCATAGAGGGAGCTATTGCGATATTCGCCTTTCCACAGTCTCCCGTATGGAAACGACTTTCTGAAGGCCTTTCGAGAAACTGGAGGGTGTATGTCACCTACCTACCGAGAGCTAACCATTATGAAAGGCCCTACAAGTCTGGACCACTGTTGTTTAAGCCTGAAATGCCTGCCGCATTTGAGGCCGGTCACATTATGTTGCTGGTACGGCGACCAAGTCTGAAGGTTGATAAGCATAATTGGAACCGTTCAAGAGGAGTCACCATGTTCTTTTTGCGCCCGAACTGTCGGTGTCAGAACAATGTTCTCGAAGGGCATGAGTGGTATTCATGGTGTTGCTCACATCTTGACAAGGCGTTCCAAACAGCAATTGTGACCCATGCACCAACTACACGATGCCATTTGTTTGAGATGTCCCCACCTATATCTGCAGCGTACTTACTACTTTCAAGTGCTTGAGCGTCATCCTTTGCCATACAAGATAGAAACGATTTCAAGTGAGTCTCTCGAGCCGCAGTCGCTTCTATTCAATAGATGTCAATACATTGCGGAACCACACCTGGTCATGCCTCTCTCAAAGAAGCAAATGAAAAGATTTATTGACCTCTGCGTTAATAATTGGGACCGTATGAGCCAAAAGCTGAGTCCACAGAATGAAGGACGTCCACTCTTTCCAGCACGAACATCACTCCACGACAAGGACACAGGAGTTCGCGTAGACCAAGGAGCAAAGCATGCCCACACTAACGACGACACCTACAATATCCACATCCAAGCGAACAATCAGGGCCGTGCCAGTCACGGTATCTTGTTCACGGTGGAAGTTCAGCCTAGCATGAGCAGGGCTGCGTTCAGAAGTTCGATGGAAAGAGCGGCTCAGGACGAGGGACTGATTTGAGTAGTAAGTGGCGAATAGTTAGTCACTCAATCTATCCATCAGTAGTCAATCAGGCAAACTCCAGGAGTCAAGTCTTTCGTGAAACTCTTCACGTTCTCTATTGCAGTATAAAGAGTCTGCAAGAAGAAGAAGGGACCGCTGGCACTCGAGATAGGTCGAGAAGTGCCGAGCCTGGGTAGTTGGCTCTGTCGTGCTCCATCACCTAACTCCTCTAGAATTACTTTAACCCTCCAGAGGAGCATGTCTACGGCAAGAATAGGGCCATATAGCTCTATAAGACTAGTTGCAAGGTCTGTACAGAGATATAGCAGGCCTAGTATAGGCGAGAAAAATCGGGCGGAGGATAGACAGGGATACTTGAGAGATTAAGTAAGCAACCAGGCGAAAGTTTCGGAAAGGCAAAAGTACTTTGCTTTCTTTGATTTCCGTTTGAATTTGCTAATCCACTACTTAATCGTTCCATATAAGTGAAGAGATTGGTCTGGAAACGACTTTCTAGAGACAGAACCGGTCGAAGGCGGATTATTCTCCCTCATGCCGTGTCGAACGGGGTTTGTCAATCACATTGTCCGCGTCGGACGGAAAATGTATTTGCTCAACAGCCGATGAATGATATACGTCCAAGATCATGACTGATGGCGCTTCACGTTCATGTCTCTTTATTTGGACTCGTGTCTCTATCTGGATATTTTAATTCTCAGGCTAAAGCTCTCTTCAACATAAAGCATAGTGCTCGGAACAACGACATCATCGATCAAGAATGGCATCCTGGGTCACAGTAAGCGAGAATTCAGACTTCTCTTTACAAAACTTGCCATATGGCATATTCAGCACCAGTGGAGATGATGATGCTAGAATTGGTACTGCCATCGGTGACTCGGTTTTGGACCTCAAAGTTCTCGCACAGGGCGGAGTTTTTGACGACCTAAAGTTTGATGTCGGAACTCTACAGGAGCCCACACTCAATTCTTACGCTGCCCTGGGCAAAACGGTTCATCAGAAAGTACGACACCGACTCCAGAAACTCCTTGAGAAAGAGACTCAGCTCAGTCATCTTCTTCGAGATAATAAAACAATTTACGAAAAGGCCTTTTACAAACAAGCCAATGTTCAAATGCATCTGCCGATGAAAATAAACAACTACACCGACTTCTTCGTTGGACTTCATCATGCAGTAACTGTAAGAAGTCGAAGGATTTCCCCAAAGAATGAAGAAGCTGATCACCTCGATTTAGTGCGCAGGATTAGTGAAACCAGGCCAAACCATCGAGCAAGTCTGCCCTTGCTTTTACAATCTGCCTATCGCATACAATGGCCGAACATCGTCTGTGGTTGTCAGCGAAATGCCTTTCCACAGACCTAACGGGCAGTTTCCAGTCGACGGAAAGGTCGTCTCTGGGCCTTGTCGAAAGCTAGATTTCGAAGTTGAGTTTGCTGCTTTCATCAGCCGCGGAAACAGCTTCGGAGCACCGATAAACGTTGATGAGGCTGAAGATCATATCTTTGGTTTTGTTCTACTAAATGATTGGTCAGCTCGTGATATACAGATGTATGAATCGACTTTGATGGGACCATTTAACGGAAAGAGTTTCTGCACCACGATCTCACCATGGGTCGTGCCACCAGAGGCACTGGAGCCTTTCCGTGTCGCTCCAAAGGTGACACCTGTGAGTCAAGCCGTAGGCTCTCTTAGCCGTGGCAAATACTGACTAGTAACAGCGCGAACTACCTGAATACCTTCGAGAAAAGAGAGAGAAGTCGGCCTATGACATTCCCATCAGGGCTACACTCGGTGGTAAGGATTCATCTGATACTTAGGATGACTAATCAGTCACTAAACCATGGCAGCCAACTCTGAGAACTACCGCATTGCAGATTGCAACACAAATAATGTGATATTCTCCTTTGCACAAATGATCGCTCATCACACCTGCGGTGGATGCCCTTTGCAGACAGGTGATCTTATTGGAACTGGCACCTTGTCAGGGCCCTCCCGAGCAGAAGCAGGCTGCCTACTCGAGCAGACACTAGGTGGCACGAGCCCATATGAGATGAAGGCAGAGGATCCGTCAAAAGGCAGCGTGATTAGAGCGTTCTGTGAGGACAACGATACCATCACCTTTACTGCGCAGGCAAAATTGAGCGAAGGCTTTGGTAATGTCGGCTTTGGGGCTTGTTCAGGGAAAGTGCTCCCTGCGATCTAATCAGATTCAAGCCAACATATAGTCAAGCCCAAAGGAAAGTTCATAAACTACTAGAATGACTCTTTCACTTAGGAGAGGGCATGATTTGGTTTCAAGCCAACAAAGCCATCCTCTCGATACGTTAAATATCTGTCGATACTCGTGGCTTAGTGATTAGAATCCTAAGTCAGGTGCTCAACAGTGGGACTTCTGTGACCAGGTGACGTGCTTGTCTCTTTGAAGTTAGCAAAGACTTTAATGGGCTCAGATGAGGCTGTAACGGCCAGCCATCATGAGTGGTTGACATAATATGGAGAGCAAACCTACAAAATCGTCGGTGTCGGTAAAGCTCTCCATACGAGGTGATCTAAAAGAGACCTCCGGTGAGGTGGACTGACAATCTAGTACCCAAATGGTACATGAATGCCAAACCGCCTCCTCTTGGCGGAATAGTCAAGGTCAGGGCTCTTGGAGGCCGGGGTTCAGCATCCTTGTGTTTGATATCTTCGGATTGAGCCGACCAGTAGCCCCGGTTCTGAAGTATATAAGGTGTCAATTGTCTCTCAGACGACAAATTTCGGATCTAGGAACATTCTTTCCCCCAGAAGTAACCAGATCGACCTGTTCTCGAACCATCAATTACACATGCACATCTGAGGCACGATGTTGGCACATCCTTCTCAGGCAGTCATCATTGGAGGTGGCATCTGTGGCATTACGGCTGCTCTCGCGCTCAAGAAAGTGGGGATTCCAGTCGTCGTCTACGAGCTACGGTCAGGCCCAGCCACAGCTGGAGGTGCTGTCAACCTCACTCCCGTTGCTCTCCGCTATCTCGACCACGTTGGGGCTTTGGAAGAAATCTACAGAAGAGGAAGCCGGACCAAGGAAGTGACCATCTTCTCCATTCCAAAGGCCAAACGACTCGGGGGTTACAAATTCAAGGCCGACATCACTGGATATCCGGCAGTTCGAGCGACACGGCATGATCTTTTACAATCGTTGCTTTATGCCTCTGCCAAAGAAAACATTACTATCCACTATTCCGCCAAATTGACTTCAGTGTCCGAGGACGAGGACAGCATCACAGCGACATTTGCTGATGGCAGAAAGGCTTCAGGGGCAATGCTGCTGGGATGTGATGGCATCTACTCAGCCACCCGTCTGAAGTATGTCGACCCTAGCAGAAAGCCCGAGTACACAGGCACGGTCGCAGCAGGAGGAGTGTTGAAAACAGCGACGCTGAAATCGCCAGTCCACTTTGAGGATGCCTGTGTGAATCTATCCGAACATGGCTTTCTGGTCACGGCATACTGCAACAAAGACAGGTCCAACATGTACGTGGCTTTGTCGCTAGACAAGCAGGCCAATTCGCATGATGGATGGGACATGACTCCCGAAGAAGCCGAAGCGACCAAGCAATACATGATTGAGAAATATGCCGATGTCAAAACGCCAGTGATCAAAGAGATCATTCAGCAATGGGAGGACCAGTTTTACTGGCCGGTCCATGAACTCAAAGGGAGTGGCGTGTGGAGCAAAGGTCGCGCGTTGCTCCTCGGCGATGCATGCCATGCGGTAAGTGTCTCTCATCCGACACCCAGACCTTGACTGGATTTCTGAATGACTGACACGGTAAATAGATGCCACCAAATGGCGAAAGCGCCGGCTTCTGCTTGGAAGACGCCGTATTATTGGCCACCGTCTTTGGCAAGCGAGGAGCAAAAGACCTGCAAGCTGTTTTCCAGGAATACATTGCGATCCGCAGACCCGAGATTGATTCCGCCCGAATCGAGACCCAGTCCAGATGGAAGAGCGCACAATTCATGACGCCGTGGCAATTTCGGCTCCGTCAAGCTATCATTCCCTGGTATCTCTGGTGGACTGAGTCCAAGAGAGATGCTTTGTTTTCCAAGGATGTCAGGAATTCGGTGGTATAGTTCGGTGATGGAAGGCGGTGTGCCGCTGGCTTGGTGTTCGGGTCAAGGGCTTGTGGTATAGTTTTAGTGCGAGATGCTCATGTTTAAGGGATAGTCACTCCGTAAATTGCTTTCAAACTAATGAAACGCGGGTCAACATGGAGAACTGGGACTTTGTCTCCGCGTACCCCGTCCTCGGCAACAACTCCTCATACCTCGTGTTCAGGTCATTCAAGCTAACTTGCATTGTCGACATTGGTCTCGACTCAGAGCCTTGGAGAGCCGAGCCTAGCTTATCTTCCACTTTGATCATGTCGTTTCCCCGGCTAGAGCTTTTCAACGTGGTTCTTCGGCCCAGATTTGATCGAGTATAGGCTCACACATGCATCGACGGGTCAACAACTCTTGGCCTCGGATCCTACTAGTACTCCAAGACGTATACGTAGATTAGCCTATCCGATAAGCATCCGAATCTGTCGGCAGCCTTATATTGATTACCCCTTAACAGTATCGGATATTGCGGCCTGGCCCGAAAGGACTCGGCTAGCTTGGTTGTGACCTGTAACCCAATCCTCACTGTACGACCGGAATCGAATTCTGGGCCAGAGTTTCGTATCATCTGGATACTTTGCACGAAAAATGGGCCCAATAGAATGACGGCTTCGGCAAGTCGGGGCCCCAGATCGGGCATGCTCCAGCAAACACTGCTAGCTGTAAAGAAGTGATGTACTTCGTTGAAAGACAACGCCAGGGAGCTAGTTCTAGGAGTGAGCCAGGAAGAAGTCAAATATGTCGCCCACAATTCACAAGAATACTCTCCTCGAGTCCTTTGCAAAGGACCAAGTCAATGTGGTAATTATGTCAATGTCTTCCCAGAAAGGACTTCACTGATCAATCTGGCAGTCTCTGGGTGTAAAGATTTTGAAAGGGGTCGAAATTGTTCATATTGCAAAATCCGCTGGCTACGATTCCCTTTTCGTCGATCTTGAGCATTCCACCCTCACCATCAAGGATGCAGGTCAGATATGCATCGCAGCATTGTCAGCTGGTGTTTCACCTTTCATCAGGGTGCCACACGAATGTGGTGATGGGATGATCCAGAAAGCCCTTGACGCAGGAGCCATGGGTGTGGTTGTGCCTCATATTGATACTGTTGGTGAGACAATTTCCTCGACACATGCATGTTTGTCGACCTTTCTCACCAGTCTGTCTTTCCCAGAACAAGCGCAAAAAGCCATTTCCATCACAAAATTCCCCCCTCTAGGGGGCCGGTCCATCACTGGCGCGTTGCCTCAGTTTGACATGGCTCCGATCCCTCCAACGATTACAGGACCACTACTGGACCAGAGCGGTTCAGTTGTCGCCCTCATCATTGAGTCCGGCTTAGGAGCCGACAATGCTGATGCTATTGCAAATCTACCTGGAGCAGATATACTTGTTATAGGCTGTTATGATCTCGCATCCAATATTGGCACACTGGGTGAGTGGGATCACCCCAAGTTTCTCTGCTGTCTGGAAAAAGTAGCAAAGGCTTGCAAGAAACATGACAAACATTGGGGTTTCGGGGGTCTTGAGCATCGTCCGGATTTAATGGACATATGCGTCAATGAATGGGGTGCGAGGTGGATTCTCGGTCAACAAGACTTTGGCTTGCTTCTGAAGGCGGGTAGAGAGAACTCCCAGATGCTCAAGATGATACAGAAAACCAAGTAAACTATTCGTTCATGCATGACGAAATCTGTTTTTCCATTGGTTGCAAGTCACACCTCTGCATATTTAGAGCACCCGAAGGTATAGGGTCAATCGGGTTTCCGAGTAGTGACATATATGGTGGCTGATTTCGTTCGACTAACCGCTGGTCTCGTCCTCCACAACGTGACCCAATCCAAGTCAATTGTGGGGTCTACCATCGATCTTGAGTTCTTGTCTCGGCTCGGGAGTGAGGTGTGTGCCCCAGTGGTGTTGATTCAAGTAAAAGCAAGTCACTTAGTCTCTCTGCTTCTTCCTCGGTTGCTCTTCTTCAGCACTCGCCGTCAAAGTCCCCTTCGTTGGAAACCCATAAGAGTATGACAGCAAAAGAGTCAGACCAAAGTCCAGGAAATGGGGTTCAATTGGCATTCCTGCCACCCAATCAAGCCCATTCTCCCCTTGGTTCGCGACGACGTCGTACATGGATGTCTTGCGAAAGCTGTCGCAAACGTAAATGTCGCTGTGAACCATATCAGGGCCGTCCCCAACCATGCACAAGATGTGTCGCAGAAATAAAAGAGTGTGAAATGCGACCGATAAGGCCAGTACAGGATCATTCTCGACCAACTAACCCAGCCCCAGGTAAGACGCCTCGGGTTAAAGATGCGAGTTTCGGTCATTACGGTAAATCTTTTCTTGTGCCACTGGATATTGACGTTTCAGCTGACTTGGTTTCCGTATAGATGGGCAACAACATGAACAACAACCTGAATCCCTTCCAGCAATAACGCCGGTGTGTTGCGAAGCTCCCCAATCTAACAGGCCAATTGTGGCCCCGAACAGCGCAACGTTGACGCTAGAAGATCACAGTCCTACGAGCGTCAGATCGCGGATTTTAACTTCTGACGTTCACAGAACCACTGACGCTCTCGAGATCTTTGCGCGTGCGGCTGACGGAAGAGGGGATGGCGTTCAACTCCCGATGGAAACGCCATCTCTGATGCGTCTCGCTACGGTCCAGGTCCCCACAGCAGAACAACTTGACACTGTCAATGGTTTGGATGAGTCAACAGTGAACGCGATTTGGGCCCACTTCGTCCCCATCAAAACAGGCGTCTTAAACAAGCAAGACGTTCAAGAATATCTGTCGTTTTATTTCAGGACATTGTGGCACTTTAAGCCAGTCATCCCACGACACTACCGAGACAGATCAAAAGACGTTCTTTTGATTGACAGAGAACCTCTTCTCACCATCACGTTGCTTGTCCTCGCATCAAGATGGCATCCGTTGGCCGGTCCCCATGGCGAGATTCGATCCGAGCGTATCCATTGGCAGTTGTGGAAATATCTTCAGACATATTTGAACACTGTTCTCTGGGGATCTAACTGCACAAGGTCTTTGGGAACGATAGCATCACTGTTGCTCGTAATCGAGTGGCATTCAAAAGCCACCAACAACCTTTCCCAATTATGCGAAGATCTCGAGGACGGCGTAACTCGTCGGCCTCGAGCAGGTCTCCGAGGAATAGAGCAGACCACAAAGCTACCATCAGCAGGCCAGCACAGCTATGAAGCGGCGAGTGCTCTAGAGAGGCTCAATATCCTATCTGCTGCGCATCGGAGTAGTAAAATGTCATGGTACGTCGGGAGCACATGCCAATTTTGATAGGATAACTGGAAAGTGATCTGACGCAGTCCCTTGATGATAGGACCCTTCTTTCGGTAGCGATCTCCCTGGCACATGAAGGCCGATGTTTTGAGAATCCTCTACAGCACAAATCTTCGGCATGTTCAGAAACCGAGAAGGCCGAACAGGAATGGACGAAACTGCTCTGTGTGTTTCTGTTTATGGCGGACGAGAACCTGGCTTTACGGCTTGGGAGAGAGCCTCTGTTGAGCGAAAGTGCGCGGCAAACGGTCATGACTCGTCTCTCGGCTTCTTTTGCAAGCTGTCTCGATGATAGTTTCATCTGGGAAAGCACGCTGGAGTTGTATATTGAACATCGGAAAGCCAGACAATCGATTCAGGCTTTAGCCACAGGTCGACCAGGATCGGAATATGAGTCGCCCAATGTTCTGCCAACACTTGAACACATACAGAGAAATCTGGCACGATGGCGGCGTCGACATAAGACTGGAATCGAAGGTATGCCTCAATTTGGCCCAACACGCGAATGCGCGACACCAGCTAATGAATCTAGGCTCAAGCTCGACACTGCACCATTTGCTGGACATTGAGTATCGGTACTCGCTGTTGTACAGTTTCTCTCCTGCGCTGGCATTCTGGCGGCACCATGAAGCCAATCGCCATCCGCAAGATCAAGCGACAGGAGGGAACGCCCATCTATACTCACAGTTCGCTCATGTCACCAAGCAGGCTAGTCAAGAGCTGTTGTCTATTGTGGTGTATTCATTGGAACCATTGAACCTCTTGCGGTATGCTCCAGTACGGTTTTGGGCATACATTATTCCAACAAGTCTATATTTGATCAAAGTATGTGTCGATGAGTTTTTTCCTTGCTCTGTCCACTAATCTCTAAACAGGCATCGCTCATCCTGCCAACACGACCGGGCGAGATACTGGAGAACACGAAGTTGCTCCACGCGCTCGTGGGAGCCGCGAAGAGATCTTCCCCCGACGACCTCCATATCTCAGTAAGCTTCTCACAGAGCCTTGAAGCGCTCTTGAGAGTAACATTGGACCTTTGTCCCGATGACTCGAGCACAGGTCTGCCACAGACAGGACAACAATCAGGGAACACAATTCCATCTTCGTCAAGTCTTGGAGAAGATGAAAATGCAAACCTGTTGATGTTTAACCAGTTCCAGGCATTAGAGAGAATGGACTTTGGTAGTTTTGACTTCCTCGGAAACTCTGAGGCTTGGTTTGCTGCGTCTGACTTGATATGGCCTGAGTCATGAACCATATGGTAGGTAGTGGTCAGAGAACGGTATTTCTCCGTCAGCGGTGCTTGCAGAAGTATGTCATGATCATATCCGAACAGCCTTTGGAGAATAATGGCCGAGTTTCCTTCACTTCCCGATATCTGGCATTCTGACACCATGGAGTCCACCGTCAACTCACCACCACGTCATGGCGTCCAACTATGCGTAAAGGGGAGCCCACTCGTGGACGACCAGACTGTCTCACACATCAACAGGAGTGAGAGCAGGAGCTCGGGAGGATTGATTGGAAATCTATATCATATTTGTACACGGCTCTTACGTTGCAGTGCTGTCTGTTCATATGTACTGAGCTCCTCGCAAGACTTCCGATGAATAGTGTCTTGGTGTCCCGATTTTGGAAACTAGATCCATGTTTTGGACGATTGGCAGCTGATCTCGAATCAGGGTGAGATCCCTACTAATCAGCTTTTACACCTGAGAATGATTTGCTGCCTTCTTGTGCAGGGTCAAGAGAAACGTGTCTAACGACAAATGTCGCACGGCGTTCCTCGTGCTCCTGAACTTGTGCAGCAGCATCTTTGGCTGCAAAAGATTTATCAGGGAGACGCACGTTTTTGGAGAAAGGAGAACCCCAGTTCCCACGGCGCCGCTTGCCGACGAAATGCCTTGTGATGGAAACGACATCGCCTTGGGAACGTCGCTCTCCGGCTTCTGGGAGCACCTTCCCCACCTGTGATAAATCGAACCGATGCTCTGCCGTGAGATCTGAGGCTTTCCCCGAATAGACGGGTCCTCGGAAGTCGACATTTCCATGCGGGATGGCGTCAGGCGTCGTAAGTCGTACTGGTGTTTCATTCTTATCGTACGGGTGAGACTCGTCGGTGGAGATGTGGGAACTCATCCAAGCGGATATCATTTTATCTGGGGGACAAGTATGTTCTCCAAAGAGCAATTCTGAAACAGTAGGCTCAGGATGTGAGTGGCCGACAGTTACCATGTTTGGTTCCTTGTCACTTCTCGTGGCAGGGCTCCTTTCAGACGGCAGCACATTGCAGTCAACATTCGAGTCTTGTGCCACTAGTACCGAGTTATTTGGTCGATTGCTTTTTCTCCACTCACTATTGGCTTTGTTAGAATACTGCCGGCCCTTTTTCAGTGCAAACGTGGAGTAATTTGCTTTTGAATCAATGGCAAACCCGTGAATAGCACCTGGCAGTCTTCTTAGTGTTCCTCGTCTCTCGGCTTGGTGATGGATAACCACTTCAGAGTCATGGAGGTGTTGTCTCGATGCAGTCATTGCTTCGTTATGCTCCTGCTCCTTTGCTGCAAGTTGTTGCTTCAATTCGTTGATGAGATTATTTTGTTCTTGTAGCCTTTGTTGCGACAACTCAAGGAGGCCTTGTGTCTCTGCAATCTTTGCCTGCATTCGCAACTCTAAATCGATGCCCTTGACGATTGGCGCAGATGTCTGTGACTCACGGGAGTCATGGCGTAATTTGGAACTATCCGTTTTGTACGGTGCGGTTGTCTTACCAGGATCGACCATTGCGAGTCTGCGCTCGTTGTCTTGCGCCGACTGTGTTAACCGCTGTGGCTCAACCTCCTGAAAGCTTGCACTTCGAGACTTTGAGATGGTCTCCATGATGGGAGCGCATAGGGCAGCGAACTTCCGCACCTTCAACTCATCTGTGGGCGTTTCAAAAGCTGCGTGTATTGAGAGCGCACGCCACTCCTCTAGGATGCGTAGGCCGCGATGAGTATAACGCACGGGGAAGTCGGGATTTGTTTCTGGCGGGGGAATGCCAGCGTCAACCGCAGCTTGCAGGATGACGGTGTATTCAGAGGCTCGTTCACATGCCACACAGAGATCCAGCATTCTGAAAATGAAGACCGAAATGACATTACTCGTCACAGCCGAGAGGAAGGATACAACGTTGTCGAGGCAAGTTGCTATCCAGATTCTCCCATGTTCCCAATTCATCGTAAGTGAATAATGTCGTAGGAAGGTGTACAAAAGATGTGCCTTCACCTTAGAAGAGCTGCCCCCGTCCTGGATCGATGAGAACCAGGCGTCGGCTTTGTCCATCTGGCCACACTTTACTGCTGTGCGAACCAGACTCTTGAGAATTTGTGAGTTGAGGTTTGCGGGGGTGGGCACCGATATTCCTTTGTAGCGGACCGGCACCCAAGGGGTTCTCGTGTTGAAATAATGCGCGGGAGGCTTCCTCATGACTCCTTGTAAGAAAGCGTCGAATTGGATGAAATCTCGCGTCTTGCCGAGATGTGTAATCAGGGTGTAGACGGTGCGGTCGTCCAAGGGTAATTCGCTCGACTTCAGCGCGCTCACGACATAGTAGGCAAGGGTTCCTTCGTACTTTGAATTGCACAGAACGTGCAGAAAATGGGAATATGTTGAACTGGAAGGCACCGACTGAGGATTTTGGGCCAAACCTTCAGCGAACGTTTGAACAAGGGTGTACACGTTGCAGTTTCGAGCCATCATGTCGTCGAATGACTGGCGCATGCGGTTCTGAAAGCTATCCTTCCGCATTGCATCTTCTATAACAGAGGCCATGCCTCTCAGGTCAAGTTGCTTGTCCAGGATTAACCTGATTTGAGATCGTGTATGTTTGGTGAGGTCAACCAGCTGATTAATGTTCATCTGGGAGTCTAGCTCTTGAATTTCAGAATTCATGCCACCCCGGCTGATGTCTCGATCATCATAGTGGACAAACCGCGGTGTGCCAGACAATTGAAAGTGAGTGAGCATCCTTAGGGCGCACAAGGTAGCGACAAGGCGGTGGAATCTGAAGGCATCGGCCAATTCTTCGGGAGAATAGTTGTGTAGTCGATCGTCGTTATGGTGTGAGTATTCATCCTCAGTAGGAACTTGTCCATAATGCCACTCCTCCGGATCATCAACAATTCCAGACTGTAAGGGTTCCGGTTGAGATTGATACCGGGAGACTGTACTGTATTCGCGAAGCTGTTGCCTGCGAGCATTGTAGAGGACCGCATCACTCAGGGAGGAATAACGCTGTGCTCGAGCATGAAGCTCGGCTATCTCACCATTCACATCGGCAAGCTTCCTCTCCCATTCTTTTCGTTGCTTCTCTTTCCAACTGGTGTCTATCACGAAGGCGGTGCCAAAAACAGGGGTGAGAAGCAGGGTAAAGGCATCGTTGAAGGTCAAACGGCGTTTAGCGGGTGCGGTAGTGGTCCGTCGGGCTAGGACTCGAGCCACAGAGGCTGTGGTTGTCTCGCTCTGTTTCGCAGACCGAGCGGATGTGAAGGAACCAGCCAAATTGGGTCTGGAGACTTGAGACCACAGCGTTCGCATTTGCCCGTCTCAAGGGCGCCGAAGCTTTGCAGTCGACCAAGCACCAGAAGGCTCGGTGTCATGCAAGCTAGCTTGGCCAGAGAGTCCGTCAGGGTGAGGAGGGTGAAGGCTGTTGGAAGCTCGAATTTGGTGATGAAGCCATGGGTGGATGGATGACTTTCCTGTTTGCCCGCATTGGACGTGGAGTGATGCTCGAATGGATCAATAGTTTCTCCAGGTCCGGATTCACCATCTCTGCACGTGATGGATCTCCAGCGTAGATGTGGAGGCAGGCACGCAGGGTGGGTCGGGCACGTGATATGAAATCACTCCCATTCTAAAAAAGATAGAGAGCCCCTTGAGAAACGCAGGCATTTTGGTCGTACAAACAGATCCTCCCTCCCACAAGTCCCTCTCTTGTCCTTTGAAGTGAGGGTCAATCACCGCTATGGTGGTTGTCACCTAGCCACCGGAGACTCCTCGCACTCGTGCAAGCCTGGTAATGTCTGCCAGGAGTAGGTTCATCCCTGACGCTCGACTCTCCGAAGACAAGAGACATGCATCCTTCATCCCAAGATCGCGTGATCGGCGGTCACTCCTCCATCCTTTCCGGTCCTTTCGTCGCAAGCGTTTGATTCTCGTCATCGTGGCCATATCGCTCCTCTACTTGTTTTTCAAGCATATGCCCACTGATGTTCCGACTGCGGCACAACGATATGATGCCAGATTTGGTGGACTGCATCCTTTAAGGGCTGGCGCACAGCACTTCCTTCAGCAGGATGCAGGGGCAAAAGTCACTGGAGAAGGCTACAATGGGCCCATTAAATTCCGCGAATTGGGAAAATCATTACATTATAACCCCCTGCTTTACCCGGCTTTGGGAAATGTGATGTTTGTTGTATCAAGAATGGACAGCATCGCACGACTCCTCCCTGTCGCCTGCTCTATGGCCCAGCAAAACCGAACAGTGGTTCAGTTGGCCTTCATGGGCCGGGACATGCCAGCCTGGGACAAGGTTCTGAGTCTCAATGGCATCGCTCAGGAGGATTGCAAACTATACGTTCATGACGCTCGTCCAGACTTTGCTGTTCAATCATCCTCAGCACGTTTAGCGATTGCTGCCCAGGCCAGTTTGGATCATGTTCATTCTGCAAGCCCACTTAGTGCAATCCTGATAGGCAGTGGCGAGTTCGAAGACGATTGGCTTATGAAGGCGATATCGGACAAGAGCCATTTGCTTGGATTATCGGTAATCACCATCCCCTCAGGCGGTGTGTCTGGGATCTCCTGGCTCTCTTCGCTGGATGCTTCGTCCTTGGGTCACTTTGGCCATGTGCAAATCGACATCGTCATTCATGTGCAGCCCGAGTCGGCAACTTCGGTGATACGGCTGCTCAGATCCATTCAAGCAGCAGATTACTCGGGTTGGAACAAGCCCCGGATCATTGTGGAGCTGCCCCCGTCTCCTGACTCCTTTCTGATGAACTACTTGTCTCGATTCAAATGGCCGTCTGAGGGTCCCAGTGGTGGGAGTAAACTGATCCTGCGACACCGAGTCAACACAAGCCCACTCAAACCCGCGCAAGCAGCCACCTGGGTAGTTGAGTCCTTCTACCCTAGTATTTCAGTGGCATCGCACGCATTGATTCTGTCACCTGAAGTCGAGTTATCTCGTGGATATTACCACTACGTGATGTACACATTGTTGGAATATCGATACGGCTCTCAGCATCCCGACTTGGTGGAGACGGCAATCGGAATAGCGCTGCATCTACCTGACCAGACTCCGGACCAGAAAACTCCAGCTCCGTGGAGGGCGGCTGGGGAGACACATGCCATGACTCTGTGGCAGGTGCCAGACTCGAAGGCAGCGATTTATCTTGGGGAACGGTGGGTCGAGCTACATTACTTCCTAGGACAGCGTTTGGAGAAAGACGCCGAAATGTCCAAGCGCATCAAGGACGCCGAGGTCATGTCCCCCGAGAGTCCAGCATGGGTGCAGACAATGATGGAGATGATGAAGGCCCGGAACTATTACATGCTATATCCCAGTTTCATTGCGCAAGACGACACGGCGATTGCAACTATCCATGGAGATCTGCAGCGGCCCCCAGAAGAATCCCAAAATATCGACGAGGTTGAACAGGAAGTGAACTCCAGCGTGGCTGGACAGGACTCTGGCACAGGGACGGTGTTGACAGCAGACAACGAAGTGCAACGCCTGCTGCGACAGGAACGTCCTGGGAGCACAGAGTCATTCGTCACGAGTTTATTAGAGGCAGTCTCATCTGGTTCGGGGGATCAGAGCTTCCCACTTTTTACGTTTGCAGGAGAGAGTGTGGCTATGTCAGAAGGGCTTGAAAGGTCATGGAGCTTTGCTGAAGAGTTTTCACGATCGCTAGGTGGTTGTAAGGGGTTTGAACGTCCCAGTATGGGAGCGGCGACTCTTGACTCTTTGTTCTGTGACTCGGACATGTGAGATTTGCATGGCTGGGTTCAAGGACAGCAGCGACAGTGGAGCGTGTATCTGTAACAATAGGCATTAATAATGTGAAAGAATGTGAGGGGAAATGGCAGGGGTCGGGTTAGGTTTGAAGATGAAAGCGACGATCATCTGTAAGGGTTGACGATCGACGATCAGCGTGGCTTGAGGGTGTCCGTCGCAGTGCAGAGTGCGCAGTGCACGGAGGTCAGGTAACTCGGTGGAGAGGAGATCTTTTGTGTGCAAGATACGGAGGCAATGGAGGGTCAGGGTAGGAAGGCTCTTCAGAAGATCAATCATTCATCAGGCCGTTGAAGCCGGGAAGGGCCGAAGCTGAAGTAGGTATGTCGACGCCTCTGGCCTTTGTTACAACAATTGTACAATATATTGATCGAGGAACAAGAGATGCATCGAGAACAATCTATCGTGTGTAATAATACGAGGAAGGTACCTTCCTAGCCACTTGTGCCGCTCTTGCCCCAGTGTTAGCCACCCCAGCTTGTCAACCCTGGAAGGAGCGTCGGAGTCCATGGCTTTGGCTCATGACATGAAGGATGTGTCCTTCCAAGCATCAGCATGACTCCTTGCTCCAGACCCAATTGTTTCGACAGGGTCGCCATGCGAGTTGATGTGCCACTTGTGCTTGGGAACTATACCCCTCACTTACAGCATTCTGGCATGTCACGCATCTATAACTGGGGTGGGACCGCAGATCCACAGGTTAGCAGACTGGAAATTCCCTGACTCAAGGTGATCATTCCAGGTAGATCGTGCACAAGCTACGAGTGTCCATTACTCTACTCACTGTTTGCCTGTTCTGTTTCCTAGAACAGCAACATGAAGTTCCTAGGTATCTAGGTAGAGAGAAGTTACTCGACGGGTGGTGGTGGTATGTAGGTCCCCAACAAGAAGTGTAACGGACGCATAGGCGTAGGTGCCGTGGACGGGGATGTGCATACTGCATGACATGGGTTTCCAGGATCCCCAGGCAATGTGGACGCGCTTTAATTCACCCAAGGCCAATTAAAGACCTTTAGGCGACGCTTGGCGGGGATCTGCGGCGTCTCTGACCACTCATATCACTGAGCAACTCCCCCCGGCGTCCTCCCGTGGCCCCCCCATCACATGTCGCCCTGCCCCTCCATCTCGTGTGCCGCAGTGGCCGCTACTGCAAGCCTTCTCTTCCGCGCCCACCCAAGCCGGCCGTCCATAATGTTATCGGTTCGATCCAAGTCGCCGACCGTCGATGCTCGCCAGTGAAAAGGGACCAAGCAACTCTACTCACTCGAATGCCGTCGATTGCTGCTCAACTGTTGGAGGCTTTAGATCCACTCATCCAGCCGCCAGGTCTGCCATATGGTCTGGGCTCAACTTTTGAACAAGGGATCTGCTCCACCCTCCCCAGATGCCTCAATTGTGTCTGTGCCACAGTCCGCTGCTACTGATGGTCCTACGGCTGGTCCTACTGCTTCTACCTCCGTACTGACTCTGCTCCTGCTGTTGTTGCTAATGCTTGCTGCTGGTGGCTCCTGCTTTGCCGGCCCCTCCACTCCATTCCCAGATGTCGATTGCTCCTGCCCATCATTTTGATGTCGCAGTTGCCTCTTACACAAGTCGTACCACAATCTCCTCCCCACCAGAATCTGGGGAAGTTCTTTGTTCTCTTTTTCTGTTTTGTTGCCTCAGATTCCAGGCTGTTCATCCCACCTCTTGTTTGTTGACTCGTCTTTGATTCACACTCTCGTGCTACTATTGTGCCAACTACGTCAACTATTTCCCCTACCAACATCACACTCGATTGGGCTTATCAATCTCCACTGCTACCCCTCTTGCTTTCCATCATCACCACGACCCTTGTCTGGCTAGGACTCCTGCCGCCACAGGATGAGCCTTTGAGCACTCGGCGACGACGACAGTGACCTTATACCTCACCAGGCTTGTTCTTTGTGCTAGCGATTGAGAGTATGGCTACAGTGGTGGTGCAACAACAACAATCAGCCATCCGACAGTCCACTCCACCTCCCTTGGGTCCAACCCTGACCCTCAATCGACCCTCGACACCCGTTCCCAACAAACACCTCCCATATTGTCCTCCAGGCCCTATCCCATCACAGTCTCAGATCACTCCACCAAACTCGCCCCCCCTACATAAAATTGTCCAGAAGCCCAGCTCACTACTCCATCCTCCCACTGCCTATCAAAAGCTGTGCAACTCTCCACCCATCTATGGCATATCCGCCAAAGAACTCGCCGATGCCCTAAACCACCACTCCTCTCAACCACTCCCCAACCCAGGCTCCGTCTTCCCCTGGCTACATGGTCTTCACCCAGATAACCATATTCAATTGGCCTTCTTCGTGGCCAGAAAGAGGTCTCTCCGCAAAGTCCCAAAATGTCTGCGAAGTATCACTATTATCAAGGCTGGAGGCGACCTGAGTCGGTCTCGTATCAAGGGCGCTGTTGCACCCGACGAGATCCTCAACCTGTCTGAATCCAATGGCAAAGGCTTCCTCGATTGTGACCCTCCAGAAGGCTTTTCCGTCCGTAATTTCCACATCCAAGCCGCCAAAATGGCCCTTGTCTCCGATATTGTCATTTATGGTGATGAGGACACCGACCACCGCATCATCAAGTCCGTCGCTGAGAGAACCGCCGCTGTACAGAAGAAATGGCGAAGGGAGCTGGAATCCTCCGGCCAATCCCCCGAAACTTTCAACACCTTTCTTCTGATGCAAACCTTCGAGGACTTTGAGCAAGACTATCCTGAGTTGGTCGCTGTTGACTCCAGTGGCAAGTCTACAGAGCACACCCTTGACTTCCTCCAGCAGGAGAGGCGAGAGATGTGTGCCATGTCCAAAGCATCTGAAATCACTCAGGGCTTCTTCCAGGGCCCTTCTCCCGGGCCCTTTACCATTCCCACCTCCTCCATGGATGATCCTACCTTTGACCTGTACGTCGAGGCTAGTGACCACGCCTCCCTGCCCGATGACAAGCTACTTGCAGCAAAGTTGAAACAGCTGGAGGACAGGGACGATGACGAACCCGTTCATTTGTCCTTTCCCAGCTCCGGCAGTATCCTGCCACCTTCGTGGTCCCAAACCGAGGTCGATGGGATTTTGAGAATGTGTCGATGGTTGTATAATGTGACCCACCATGTCAAGCCCGTCGCTCGAACAAAAGACCGGGATGGCAACATTCAGATGACCGACTTTTCGCCCTCGCGCCGGGTTTTGCTGCACTGTGCAGATGGGTATACGGAAACCTCCATGCTTGCCGTCGCCTATTTCATGTATGCCGAATGTCTTCCGCTTCACGAAGCCTGGATTCGACTTCATTGCGACAAGAAAAGAAATTTCTTTGCTTATCCTTCCGACGTTGCTCTACTAAAAGCCATTCAAGAACGTATTTTGAGAGAAAGTCCCCGATCGGCGGAAACGACCCTACCTTTAGAGAAACCTCCTGCTTGGCTGTCTAAACTAGATGGCAGTCTGCCCAGTCGCATATTGCCATATATGTATCTGGGAAATCTCACACATGCCAACAATCCCGAAATGCTGAGATTGCTGGGTATCCGACGCATCCTCAGTGTTGGCGAGCCTGTTTCTTGGACCGACGCAGAAGTCAAGTCCTGGGGTCGAGAAAATGTCATGATGGTTGATCGGGTTCAAGACAATGGGATTGACGAGCTGACGACAGAAATGGAGCGATGTCTTGATTTTATTCGTGAGTGCCGCGTAACAGTCGCCCAGTGGCCAATCATCTAACCAGAATGTCTTATAGGCAGAGGAAAATCAGACGGGACCGCCACTCTAGTCCACTGTCGAGTGGGGGTCAGTAGGTCCGCCACCATCTGTATCGCAGAAGTCATGGCAAGTCAAGGGTTAAGTTTCCCTCGTGCATAGTAAGTCTTGTCCACTGGAATGACGCTTGATGTTCGAGAACTCATGCGTGCCTTAGCTGCTTTGTCCGAGCCCGTCGCCTCAATGTCATCATTCAACCCCATCTGAGGTTCGTGTATGAGTTGATGAAATGGGATGACCAATTACAAACCTCTCGCGGGGAGCAGGTCAAGCGTGAGCTTGATTGGGCCGTTGTTGCAAGAGAAATTGCTGCTATGAACCGACCGTACGCAAGAACTTGAACCAGAAGGCAGGTGGTGCACAGCGCCGCAATGTCCCAGTCTTTCTATTGTGCTCTTAGAGAGCATTGATGTCTGGTCATCATACGGTTTGTTGAGCCACGCAGCTCTGGTCAGGAATGACTGGGCACGGACGCAGTCTTTGTGGTTCACATGCTCACATACCGACGGCGAAAAGCAATTATGTACTTGACGATGACGAAATGAGATTTATGAAATCAGGGTTAAGGATCGGGCACAGGGATTGGAGGTCCGGCGAGACTCTCTCTGTATATGATATTATGAGATAATGAGCCAGTCGTCTTGCTGTGGAGATAGCAGCGTGTTGGGTCAAACACTGGAACTGAACGGGTTTGGATTTTTGAGTGGCGGTGGAGCTTGAGGTCTATAAGAAACTATGGGAACAGACACACTTGGCTTCTGTTGAAGATTGGTCAGAGGCTGGGAATATTTTGGAAGCTCTGAACAGGGCACAGGCTACGTATTGTGGTCGAATATTGTGGCAGTTCAAGTCTGGTCACACACGCTGGCTGATGGTGCTGTCAAGTATTTCAGCATCGTGTCAACAGGCTACTTGGATCCCCACAGATATTTGTACAGCAAAAGGTCAGGAATTAACAGGATTGCCACATGCATGTGGTCCTATCGAGATCCAGGGACGATATGACAATTCAGTTCGTTGTGCTCCGGCCATCAGTCTTGTTGAGCAGCCATGTCGCCTTGTATGTTTAGTCTGCTTCCAGACGCAGGGAGACACCAGAGTCTGTGGGTTTCTGGGTTTCTGGGTTTCTTCTCGACCTTTTGAACACCTTGGTCGTTTGTTTACTTTCGGGTATTTGACTCTGATGATTACTGTTTACTGTCTTAGCAGCCATGGTCGACTTGATTTTTTTTTGTTCACTGATTCTTTGGCCAATCGCTCTAGCAACAGAGCCGGAAGATATACAAGTTATATTATTAGGTCAATGTCCAACTAGTACAAAGACATTTTCGATCCATGATCTCTATCTTTTGCTATGTCGCGAACCTCGAAGACGCCAGCAATTACATTCGCTTTGACATTGCTCGGACCATCTACCCAGATTTAAGCATCAGGTAATTATGATCGTGGAATCTCTTCCACCATCACTTGGCCTCCTCAGAGCTTCTCTGCACGCTCACGGAGCTCGTCGGCCAGCCTTTCCAAATAAGCTTTGGCGATAGACTTCGGAATCTCGCCTGAGAGAATCACTTGGTCAGAATCAGTTGGTGAGGCGGTGGTAGCTATAGTGTCCTTATCATGTGCCCCGTTAACGACAGAACTTGCAGTTGGCTCGGCGTTCTGCTTCAAATTCGCTGCGCCTGTGTGACTGGCACCACTCTTGGATACGAATCGCCGGACAATCTTCTCCAGGTCTCGACGTCCATCTTCATAGGCAGCAAGATCACGATTGCCATAAACGTCCCGTCCGACTTGATATTTCGAAGAAGCTAGACTTCGGAAGAAGATGTTGATCGATATATTGACGCGTGACGTGGCTGGATCGTCGCTGGCATCAGTGTTCGTCCCAGATTTATTAGGTCGAGGTGTCGGAAGCGGTGTTGCGGTATGCGCCCAAAGTGGTGGGATGAATAGGGCTTCGCCTGGCCGCAGGATGACGGTGTGTGGGTGCGTATTAGGAATTGCCTTCAGTCGGTCCTCTTCGTGATCTGAATCGTGGGCGGGCTCCAAAACACTGATGGTCGAGGTCGTGGAACCGGATGGGAAAGATAAATGTTTGATATCTTCCGGAGGGAAGAGGATCAGTTTCCGCGTCCCTCGGATTTGGAATAGAACGTTCGCCATGACGTCGTAGTGAAGCCACATGCTTACGTTGGCGCTGATGCGCAAAACGCTGCTGTGCATTTGGCGCTGTATCAAGTCCAGCACTGGGTCAAGATGAAAGTCTGGGGCAATCGATGGCCAGTCGTTGGTGAAATTAGCGGGACTCTGCGCAGGCTTTGTGGCAGAGATTGATCGCAGATAGAGATGAGCATTAGGATTGGCCTCACACTGCCGCAAGAACTCATGAAATGCAATCGTCACGTAAGAAAAGTCTTTTCGTTGAAAGTTCATGATTCTGCTGCCAGCGGCGTGAACTACAACCTTGTGGTCCGCCGGGAGCTGAGAGTGAAGATAAGATGGGGTCCAGAGAGAGACACAGGGGCCCAGCTTGAGGCCACTGAGAAGTCGTGGCGTTGATTCCTCTATAATCTTGTACAGGTCTTGCTCAGTCGGTTGGCGTATACACTTGAGTGCGACGGGAATTTGAACCGAGGATTCTTTTTGGTCGATAAGGGATGTCTTGGACGTGCTGGGCACAAGAGCCCAATGTGAGCCAACACCAGCTTCTCGGTCATATAAGAGCCAGCAGCCAGCGTTCCAGAAAGCCCCGAAGCTGAAACATACGGCCCCGCCGCCTGCGATCAGTGTGGTCTCCTTGGCCGTGCGATGTGTACTGTGGCCGACCAAGAGCGGTCGAGGCACATCTGGATCCATCTTTGGGTGTACGCACGCGACTCTGAGCTGCATTTCTTTTTCAAACTCCCCAAACGCTGAGAAGCTTCCCAGTATGGATAATATTTCGTAGTCTTTTGGAATGCAACCTTGTTTTGCTACGCCTCCAATGACCAAAAGCTCATTCCTGATGACACTGTATGAGGCCCCAAGCCGAGATAGCCAGGGGAATACGCCAGCAGACGTATCGAGAGCAGATGAAGTCTTGAACCGAATGCCGGCTACGATGTTGTCACGAATGATCAACCGCCAGCGCCAAAGACCCTGACAGATGACGCCATCGTGTCGCATACCTCCAAAGAGGAGGCCATGGTTATAGCCCAGGCGAACAAAGCTGGCACCAAAGCGTGGCATCGGATCGCTGCGCAGTGATTTAAGGATCTGCCATCCATTCTTTCTGTCCCACAGGAGAACTTCGATTGCGACCTTGCTCACAGAGGTTTTCCCTCCGAAAACGACGACGCCGTACTGATTATCCGGAAGAACCACTGCTGTGGCTCTGTGACGGAACCGAGGTTCCGGCAGATCCTGAATTCGTTCCCATTTGGAGCCTGTTTGAAGCCAACAGTCCTTCATGGGGGCGGATGGCGATGCCCGGCCACCAACAAGAATATTCTGCCCATTGCCCAGAGATGTGATGGTGTGACAAGAGCGAGCGCCTATGTCTTGTGGAGGGACTGCAGGAGATTTGATGTTGTTGTCTGCCGAAGCATAGACTGATGCCGTGGACAATCTGTTTTGCATACCAATGCCACCAAAAACGCCAATAGCATCTTCACCAGGGATTGGAAACGCTGACGCGTGGTGAGTCCGGCCTTCACGCTCCGGGTTCTGAGAATACTTGTACGCAAACCATTGCGTTCGACCTTTATACGGCGAAACAGTCCTGGTAGACAGATCGGAAGCGAAGCTGTCGATGGATGCTCGTCTTGATTTCGGCTGCTCTGGGATCAAGGGTTCAGGTCCCGTCTGGGCGACAACCAGACAATAATGTGAGGCAAACAGCGCGAATTCCTCCCTAGAAACGATCAATACATGAACGGGAGAGGACTTGATTGAAGAACGTACCATTCATCAAAAGGTTCAACTTCATCCAACGAAATCCTTTGCGAAGGTGACAAGAACCGTGGATCGCTCCACAATTCCCACAGGTTTTGAAACTCGACCTGGGGGAATCCAGCGTCTTGGAAGCGTAGTACTTGGGTGTGACAGCCTGGATAGGTGAGGACGGTACGAAGAGGGGTGCCGAGCTTGGCGAAATGCTTGAGCATTGTGGCAGTAAAGGGGTGGTCTGGCCGGTCAGGAGATTGCTGCTCGAGCAAACAGAAGGTGACATCTAAAGGATTAGAAGCTTTCCAAAAGAAAAGGCTGGATTTGCGAAATACCGGGAGACAAGCTGGAGGTCCAGGCAATGAGGGCATCAGAATCATCAACAGACATATAAGTTATGCTGACTTCTGCCACGCAAAGGACCAGGCAGTTTTCAATATCCGCCACTTCGTTGAGCAAGCGACCAAAGCGTTTGAGATTGCGGAGATCACACCCAAGTGCTGCATACTCGTTGCTGTCAAGCAGGACTCCTCCCTCGGTAGGCTTCAAAGGATCGGTCAACAGATCGTTCATTTTTGGCGTGCTCAGAATCATTTCACACTTGGTGTGCATGAGTTCTTCGAAATCAACGTCAATGAATTTGGTGCCTCGGCATGCTTCTGGGTCCTGGCTCAGCCATTGGAAAGGAATTGGGTCACTGAGCTGGTCAGACGGAATGCTAGGGTCGATATAGTTGCCGGTTCCTTACTCACTAGCCACAGCCCAAGTTGATAACCACTTTTCTCTGCTTAGAGGGTTTCTCGAGAAATTGCCTCACCACCCAGTCGATGGCCCTCATACGAAGCCAATAGCCACGATTGATGGTTGGAGATCGCCGCTGAGGCTTCTTGACGAAGTATCGGTAGAAGTGAGGCTGAGGAAGGTATAACTTTTCAACACTTCTCTTGGAGACGATGCTGCTGCTGTTGGTCTGTGGAGGGATGTCAGAGTGGAATGGACCAGTTAAGCACAGTTATGAAACTCACGCCCATGATCAGTCCAGCATTCTTCTCCATGGCCATCTGGTCGTCGACTGATGCCGAGACGGGCGCCATTTGTGGAAGTGGAGATGTCATTGTGACAGCCTCTTGCAGCCAAACAATGAGGCAGTGATCAAGGAAAGGAAAATACTCTCAAGGTACTTGATCAACGGAATCCATCTTATAGGAACCGTGAACATGCAGCACGCAACACGGGCTTGGTGACTGGTGTGAGTCAGAAGAAAGATCTGGGGTATGATGAGACTAAAAACCCGGAAAAGATTTGGTTCATCTGCGGCTTGTGGTCCCGCTCCTTCCCTTGCATGCAAAGACACACGACCGCTCTTGCCACCCCAGCACCGAATGCGAAAAGCTTGGCATTGACTTGCCACAGTCGATGCTGATTGGCTGTATTCTCCATTCACCACGTGCTCATTATTCGCTTACCAAACTCGAGTCAACATCAACGACAGAATCTCGTCCATGTGGCAAGGCTCTCGATATATGTCGGGTCGAAGAAGGGAGATCGCCTCCAGCATTGACCAAAGAACGCCAGCACGTGGCGTCACAGGTGTCGCATAGTTCTCGAACATTCATTCCTGATGGTGCATTAGCGTCCCACACTCAGATTTGAACCCTCATATCAACTTGGGGCCCGCATCTTCGTTCCCCTCAAAGAACATCTCAAGTTAAATCTGAGCCATGGAAGTTCCCGAGTCGTCTCTAAAAGAGCTCTTCAACCGGTCTAGAGAACAACATGGTGATCTGGAAAGTCTAGATCCGCAGAGCGCCGAGTTTAAACACACATTACAGTCACTCAACAACACGCTCGAAAGATGCCAACAACTCATTCAACAACTGTCCATATTCAGCACAAACGAGGAGATTGAGGATGTGTCAACTCAGGATATTCAGTACGCATCCGTTACAATTCACGGAGTATTCATGAACTAATCAAGCGAAGATATTTCACCGTCGACTACTCCTTGGCCGAAGTCAAATCCAGGGCGTATGGAGGCGATAGAAAGCTGTCCTTGCAGCGCTCGGCAGAGCTCCTGGAAGGCTTCTTGGCGAGATTAGACAATTATCGTCTGCTTGCGCCTGCAGATCACCATCTCTACGAGCGTTACCTGGAAGAGCGTTCGAGATTCAGGGTGATTTCCTCGAACAACCCTGAAGAAAAGCGAAACACCAAGATCCGCCGTTTCCAGGAAGAAAAGGCGCTCAAACAGAAACTAGAGGTGAGTATGGCTCTTTCAATACATCCATGCGCTATCACTGACAACAACAGTATCTGACAAATGAGTCTCACAAACTCAATGTCGATGATGAGACGCTGCGCAGTCTTTACCTGGCAGAAATTGGACTTGACGTCAACCGGACGTTTTCTTCGCTTGACATGATTTCTCAGGAACTTGACATTCTGTCTCAGATCGAACAGTCCAATCCTATTCCTGCAGGGCTGCCGCCTGATGCCCGTGCCCCTTCTAGGTCGAATGGGTATACGGATCGACTTGATGGCCCGACTACTCTAGGAGGACTGGGAAGGCGAGGCGGTCCACTCCTGAGCTCAAAAGGAAAGCCCCTACAACCATTCACCCTGACTGACAAACGCACCCAACTTCAACAGGGCGTCTTCAAGCCCAGTCACAATCTCCCAACCATGAGTATAGATGAATATCTCGAAGAAGAGAGGAAGAGGGGAGGTATCATTGAGGGTGGTAACACTGACGGCGAGAAGCCCGATGTTGATGAGGACAACATAGCAGAGGTTGACGCCGCAACAATGAAAGCTCGTCAATGGGATGAGTTTGTCGAGGCTAATCCCAAGGGAGCGGGCAATACATTGAATAGAGGCTAGCAGAAATAGCATGCCATTTCTGTGACCCGTTTTTGTACATCGGCCCAGGCTTCTCGCAAGAGGCATTGGAGACTTTATGTCTCCTTGAGGTCGATCGCCGTGGTCGGCTGCTTGGCTTTGATCTCTGACAAGATCTTATCTGCGCCTTTCTTGAGTATGTCGGATGCAGCGCTGATTCCGAACGCCTCTGCTTCTGACTTCGATGTCACTGTTTCAGTGACATCGATTTCGGCACTCTCCTTTCCATCGACACTAACCACGATCGCCTGCAATCGTAGTTGTCTACTCTCAGTGCCATTGTGTACCCATGAAGTCTCCACACCAAGAGGTGCACTGCATCCTCCCTCGAGCGTTCTCAACAAGCTTCGTTCAGTTGCCGTAGCCAAGTGAGTGTCGAGGTGATCTATCGCAGCCAGTGATGTCCGGACCCGCCGGTCTTCGATTCTGTTCTCGATTCCGATTGCACCTTGCCCCACCGCATGTAGCATTCCACTCTTGGAGTCCAGGTACTGAGTTATGCGATCTCCAAGGTCAAGTCGTATGAGACCAGCGGCCGCCAAGACCAATGCATCGTATGCACCATCATCGGCGTCCAGCTTGGACAGTCGTGAGCCAACGTTGCCTCTGACATCCTTGACCTTCAAGTGGGGGTACTTCAAAGCGATTTGAGCTGTCCGGCGAATAGATGAAGTTCCCACGACGGACCCTGCGGGAAGGTCTTGAATACCTACCGCTGGTCGACCGGCCTTGATCACAAATGCATCTCTCGGATCTTCTCGAGGAAGGACAGCTCCAATTTCGCAGCCGGGAGGCAGTTGAGTGGGCACATCTAGGCACTGGTTCAGTTTCAAAGTGAGGTGAGAATACAGGGCTAGCTGACCTTTTAAGGAATGAACGAGTATATCCAATTCGCCTTGCGACATCAGGCTCTCGAGTTCGTGGGTCCACAAGTTCTTGACTGGCATGTCCTTGAACGGGGTGAGCTTGTCAATGTCTCCTGCAGCCGTATCTCGTGCTTTGATCGTGTAGACATGGTCAGGGAAAGTCGATGACAAAGCTTTTACGACCAAGTCTGTTTGTACCAGTGCGAGTTTTGACTTTCTGGTACCAACAGTAAATTTTATATCCGTCTGAACATGTTCTGTGTTGGAGGATGCAGTCTCTCCCCCGGCCACTGAGAGGGTAGCCATTGTAACAGAGCGACAGACACAACTGTATGTAACTCTTTGTACTGAGAGGACTCACCGAGTGTCAGGAGAAAGGCTGCTGTTGAAAGACTGAGAATGACAACCAGGGTTCATCCATGAGTCAAGCGTTTTGGTGCGATGCAGCGACCTTGAAGTAGCACGTGATCAACACGTGTATGGCTGCAGCTGCCTTTCTGATTTACCGTAAATGTATACGGCAGAGTATAGTGACCGTATCCCATATGCGATATCATGATTCCGTCAACCGCAAGGACCTCGGCTGCGGTCACTGGCAACACGAACTGTCATATTGCCGATCCATCCTCTCCCATCCAGCATCTTCCATGATCTGTCCTTGATCGTGTGATGAGCCACGCTTCACCACCCTCAACTCCACTTGATCGTGTCGCCCCCGGACTTTGATAAACATCTTTGGAACCCTCTTGTCACCATCCTACTCCCCCTCCATTCCAATTCTCCCAAATCCCTCGTCCGCCACCCAACATGCCGTTCACGGCCAAGGCTACCATCCCGCTTATCCCCCTCGCAAAGGACGCCGTGCTCCTTCCAGGCGTCACCCTCCGAATCTCCGTCTCAAATCGTGCCGATATCCCTCTTCTTCTCTCCTCGGCCTTTCAGCGAGCCACAAATTCCAGGACTGGGTCAGCTCAATTGCCCGTTGGCTGCGTACCCTTGAACTCCACCTTTCTCAGCCCAGATGGCAAAGACTTGTTGGATAGTGGCAACAAGGAGAGTAGCAAACACATAGAGACCGTTGATTTGGAGCCTGGCAAGGCTAGAAAACAAGACCTCTTTGGCTATGGCACCCTGGCCAAGATTATCGGCGTCCAGGGCAATTCCAATTCCGACCCTTACCTCATTGTGGAAGGCATTCAACGATTCAAGATTGATAATATTAAACATGAAAAGCCACACTTTGAAGCCGAAGTCACCTTTTACGAAGATGAGGTACCAGACTTAAACGATGGCGATCTCCGTGCCAGTTTTACTCGCCTAAAGCAACGCTCTCGTGAGCTGCTTACTTTATTACGACTCTCTTCGCTCTTCCGGCCCGCCTCAATGGTCCTGTCGCCGCTTATCGCTCGGCGTTTCGAATTATTCATTGCCAAAAAGGACCTGTCTCAGGCCGGTCAGCTGGCCGACTTTATGACCGACATTGTCGAGGCCAGTTTTGAAGATAAGCTTCGTATCTTGAGCACCTTGGATCTGCACGATCGACTCGAACGTGTCCTGGCTTTGTTGAACAAGCAGATATCTGGTATTAACGGCAACATCAAGATCACATCCATCACCTCGACCCATCTTCCACCCAATGTCGACATCTCCGATTTAAATCAAAGCCAACGAGAAGCACTGGCCCGACGAGCCATGTCCGGTCTCAATGGCATGACCCCACCAGGAATAGCCGGGCCCGGCCGAGGTGACAAGGATGACGATAACGAAGTTAATGAGGTCGAAGAGCTCAAGAGGAAAATCGCCGAGGCCGGCCTGTCACCGGAAGCCGCCAAGGTCGCTGAACGGGAATTGAGGCGCCTGAAGAAAATGAACCCAGCGAACGCCGAATATGGTGTCATTCGCACCTACGTCGAGAATCTTGCAGAAATCCCATGGAGCAAGACAACAGATGACCAATTAGGAGCAGATACCCTACAGCGTGCTCGGAAACAGCTCGATGACGACCACTATGGTCTCGAGAAGATCAAGAAGAGACTCATAGAGTATCTTGCCGTCTTGAAGTTGAAGCAGTCCGTCAATGCTGATGTCGATCATCAAATCAGCCGACTCACCAAGCAGCTCACCCCACCACCCGAAGGAGAGGACAAGGAGAAAGACAAGGACATTGAGCAGATCCCCGACAGTGAACGAGATGCTGCTACCGCAAAGCTCCACATCCTCAAATCCAAGCGGATGGTTGACAAGTCGCCCATATTACTGCTAGTCGGTCCTCCAGGCGTGGGCAAGACTTCTTTGGCCAAGTCGATTGCATTGTCGCTGGGTCGCAAGTTCCATCGCATCTCTCTTGGAGGTGTGCGAGACGAAGCTGAAATCAGAGGACATCGTCGGACCTACGTCGCTGCTATGCCTGGTCTCATCGTTAGCGGATTGAAGAAAGTTGGTGTGGCGAATCCTGTTTTCCTGCTCGATGAGATCGACAAAGTCAGTTCCAACAACTTCCACGGCGATCCGTCCGCAGCCATGCTAGAAGTCCTTGATCCAGAACAAAACCACAGCTTCAACGATCACTATGTCAACATTCCCATTGACCTTAGCAAGGTTCTCTTCATCGCGACGGCCAATTCCCTCGACACCATTCCACCCCCTCTCTTGGACAGAATGGAGACCATTCAACTCTCGGGATACACAACGATTGAAAAGCGACACATTGCCAAGCAACATTTAATCCCCAAGCAAATTCGAACCAATGGACTTTCCGACGGTCAAGTGGCCCTACCAGACGACGTTGTCGATGCCATCATCACATCGTATACCCGCGAGGCAGGTGTCCGCAATCTTGAACGAGAAATTGGTTCCGTTTGCCGTTACAAGGCTGTTCAATACGCAGAATCACGGGATGCAGGGGATCAGAAATATGACCCCAGTGTCAGCGTGGGCGAGCTTGAAGATATCCTGGGAATTGAGCGCTTTGAAGAAGAGATTGCCGAGAAGAAATCTCGACCGGGTGTCGTCACAGGTCTTGTGGCATATTCTTCAGGCGGACAAGGCAGCATCCTCTTCATCGAAGTCGCCGACATGCCCGGCAAAGGACGTGTCCAACTTACAGGCAAACTTGGCGACGTGCTCAAAGAATCCGTTGAAGTTGCCTTGACATGGGTCAAAGCTCATTCTTACGAGCTGGGTCTCACCCATGACCCCAATGAAGACATCATGGAAAAACGTGCAATCCACGTCCATTGCCCAGCAGGTGCTACACCTAAAGATGGTCCATCAGCGGGTCTTGCACACACAGTTGCCCTGATCTCCCTGTTCTCGAACAAGCCTGTGCCGCCACAAATCGCCATGACAGGTGAAGTCAGTCTTCGTGGTCGTGTCATGCCCGTCGGAGGCATCAAGGAGAAATTGATCGGCGCACATCGCGCAGGCGTCAAGACGGTTTTGTTGCCAAACCATAACCGGAAAGACGTCAAGGATGTCCCAGAAGAAGTCAAGCGGGAGATGAATATTATTTATGTCAAGTAAGTTTACCCCTTCTAGCGTGCCCCCTTGATCATTTCACCTTTTTTAAAAGTATCGATCGACTAACATGTGGTTTTATAGGCATGTCTACGAAGCTCTGCGACAGATCTGGCCTGAGTCAGTCTGGGCGACGGATTCGCATTTTGCAAAGGTGGAAAGTCGTTTATAAACTGATATCATTTGAGAGTCCCATTTTAGTTTGATTGTTCTGGGCGTTGATCCATTGGTTACGAGACCCCAAAACCCAAAACCATACAATTGAGTTGAAATAAGGAGAAGAAGGTTGAGTGAGTGAAGCGATACAGCGAGCAAGTGAGTACCAGGAGCAGACGACGTCGGCGACAACGGTGGTGGCTCACGTTTATATACATATACATGTCACATTATATATGCGCATCAATGATGATTTTTCTCAATGAACAATTGGAATTGAAGATCCTCTAACGGAATCTCGCCATCCTTTTTATTGTTGATACAGCGCTTGCATATGAAGCAATGCATACCCACCTCTCTCGTCCCAGGTTTTTGGTATATACAACGAATTCCCCAATGTAAAACACATCTATGGGCGAGATCAATCTCCACAACCACAAAAGTCTACGAGGCACTCGTCAATCAGCCTATAAGGGCATTGATGGTCTCCTCTTCCAACTCTTTTTGGTAAACAGGATTTGAGGCTGTGGTCTCGGTGGCGGGACGCTCATCAGAGAATCGTCCATGACTTTGGCACTGCTGTGCAGTTCGTGCCATGTCGGCTTCCACTGCGACTTGGACTTTCCGGCGATGACTGATTTGGCTTCCCTTTTGAGAGCAGCTCGCTGTACCGAGTCCGCTTTTAATGGCATCTTCATTTGCGCCTCCATTTCTTTTCGCGACAGTATCGACGTGCGCCAGAATTCTTCGTGATCCCATCTACACGTTTAAAGAAGCAAAGGTTAGCAGGTTGCCATCGGTCAAGACGAGGTTGAGGTGAAGGGAGTATAACATACGGTTTAAGATCTGTAATCTCTTCAGGCCATACAAATGGGTTGACCAATTGTACTGTCATCTTCTTGATATTGGGTATCCGGGCAAATCGGGGTGCTCCAAATTTGGAGAGTGTTCTCACTTCCCTATCTTTTGTCTGATGGATGTAGCTTCGGACTTGTAGAACATCGACATCGTACACCGACTTGAGGTAGTCTCGCATATCGAGTTTGTTGAAGCGTAGGGGAACCTCGAAGCATGCGAAATTAGGTGAGAGATTGGGGGTGCGAAGGAGGATGACCGCCTCGTGTACTTGAGGGCTGCAAGGAAATGGGTTAACACCAACTTCAGTGGCACCAGGAATACGTGATTCAACTCACAAGTAAACTTGCTGTCGTTGTTCCAAGGGAACGTTTCGGGATGTACGGAAATATGCCGGGGGATTAGACATCATTCTTCGAAGTGCCTTGTCATCGAGCTGTGGATTGGCGACGATAAAGGTTTGGACGTCCAGTGAGAGCTTGCTATAGATGGGGTGATTTTGCATGTATTGTAGGACGCGGTTTTGATCCTGCTGCCACCAGTTGGTGTCTTCCGGAGGGCTGGCAGCACGAAGCTTGACTCGTCTCAATTCAATCTCTGCGATTTCAGCTTCTGGCGAAGGGCGGGTTCGCGCTCTCTGAAGGTCGTATCCGAACAATTCATCAGCAGGACGAAAGGTCGGTGTCCCAGCATCTTGTCTCAATAAGTCTCGTCGGGACAATCCCACCAAGCTTGGGATCCTTCGTTTGGCATTCCACAATCGAGGCGCCTTGCCTCTGGGAGGTGGTTTCTGGAAAGGGTTGGTGACGAGCCTTGGAGGGACTCGAGAAGCTCGAGGCATTGCTCCCGAGATGCTTCACACAAGAATAACGGGCGAGAGTGGGATGGAGAAGAGTAGCCTTTGACTTGGAAGTCGAGTGAGGTTTGGTAGAATTTCCATGAACTGGAAGTCGCAAGGGAAACTTTGCCGAGAAGCCGCAGCCTCGTCATGATTGGCGGCGCGAGGCTGAGCGAATCGCCGCTGGTGCTGGGAATTGATTCAATAATGTGGACGCGCGACAATCACTGCCTGCACCTCAAGAGTGACAATCCACCTCATTCTCTCGCTCTCTCTCTCTCTGCCTCTCTACTTGACATCAATCCCTCCGATCTCAATCAACAATCCCATTTCTTTAGATTCATCTGTGTTGCTCTATCTGTTTCCCTGGAGGGTCTTTCTCCTCTTACCCCCTTGGATCTATCGTCCACAATCTCTCAGGTTCAAGCACGCCTCCGTACCTCCGCTACCTTGACGCCATACACAACTTCTTCGCATTCCATCTTTGTCCTAGCAAGGCCACCGACGGCCAACCCACAGCATGGCTCAAGATTCAGACAAGCCCTCGGCCACAGACAAGGGCAAAGGCAAGGCGCCTGAAGATCCCCCTGCCCTGAACGGAGATGCCAAACAATCCGAAGAGAAAGATGCAGACAAGAAGGCAAATGGCAAACCCGAGGAGCCAGCCGCGGATGAGGAGCTAAGCGAGGAGGACCAACAACTGAAAAGCGAACTCGAGATGCTAGTGGAGCGGTTAAAAGAGGATGATGCATCTCTTTACAAACCTGCCATCGACGCCATCAAGAACTTCATCAAGACCTCTACCTCTTCCATGACCGCAGTCCCTAAACCCTTGAAATTCCTCCGCCCTCACTACGACGAACTCGCTGCTCTCTACGACAAATGGCCCGCGGGAGCAGACAGAGACTCGCTCGCAGACATGCTATCAGTCCTAGGCATGACGTACGGCAACGAAGAGAAGCTTGAAACACTCAAATACCGATTGCTGTCCAAGTCAGACGATCTCGGCTCCTGGGGTCACGAATATATTAGGCACCTGGCCCTGGAGATCGGCCAAGAGTATCAGAATCGCCTGACTGACGAGCGTGAAGTGGGCGATCTGACCGAATTGGCTCTCTCGCTAGTACCTTATTTCCTTTCTCACAATGCCGACGCCGATGCCGTTGATCTCTTGAGCGAACTCGAGATGATCGAGGAGATACCAAGATTCCTGGACGAAAACACCTTCTCAAGAGTTTGTCTTTATATGGTAGGAATGGTCAATTTGCTGACATATCCCGACGATGTTGCCTTTTTGAAGACGGCCCACGACATCTACGTCAAGTATAATAGATTGGCGCAGGCCATCGTCGTTGCCATCAGACTCAATGATCTCGAACTCATCCGCCAGGATCTTGATTCTACTGATGATGTCGCCCTCAAGAAGCAACTCGCCTTCTTAATCGCCCGTCAGAGAATCTCCTTAGATCTGCCCACCGACACCAAGGACGAGCAAGATATCTTCGAATGTCTTGGAAACACCCAGCTTCCCAATCACTTCAAAACTCTCGCCAAGGAACTCAATATTCTCGAGCCCAAGGTCCCCGAAGACATCTATAAAACACATTTGGAAAGCGGACGTGGAAGTTCAGCAAACGCCGACTCGGCTAAACATAACCTCGCCAGCGCGTTTGTTAACGCCTTCGTCAACGCAGGTTTTGGTAGTGACAAACTAATGTTAGTAGAGGGTGAACAACGCCCGTGGGTATGGAAAACTAAGGATGACGGCATGCTCTCCACGACGGCGTCTCTTGGGATGCTGACACAATGGGATGTTGAAGGCAGCTTGGACACCATCGATCGATTCCAACAATTGACCGAAGACACCATTAAAGCGGGTGCTCTATTGGCCTACGGAATCGTCAATTCGGGGGTGAGGATGGAGGGCGACCCGGTGATTTCCCTACTCAGTGATGACGACATTTTGCAAAGTCCTAAGCCGATTAACAGACTGGCTGCCATCATGGGCCTGGGCTTGTCATATGCCGGATCCAACCGAGAAGACTTGCTCGACTTCCTGCTGCCGATAGTGGAGGACAGCACTCAAGAAATGCAACTGTCGGCCATGGCGGCGGTCTCACTCGGAATGATCTTCGTCGGCTCTTCCAATAACCAGGTTGCAGAAGCGATCGCGACGCAACTCATGGATGACGACCGTCAGAAGCAATTAAAGGACAAGTGGGCCAGATTCATGGCTCTGGGACTGGCGTTATTGTATTTTGGCCGGCAAGAGGAGGTTGATGTCATTCTCGACATCCTCAAGGCGGTCGATCACCCGATGGCCACCCCAACGGCGACACTGGCATCAGTGTGCGCTTGGGCCGGGACCGGTGCCGTGCTAAAGCTGCAGGAGCTACTTCATATCTGCAATGACCACATCGAAGATAAGGAAGAGAATGTGGGAGAGCAACTAGTGCAGTCTTATGCGGTGCTAGGGTTATCGTTGATCGCCATGGGCGAAGATGTTGGACAAGACATGGTCCTTCGACAATTTGGGCATCTAATGCACTATGGAGAACCGAATATCCGCAAAGCGGTACCGCTAGCCATGGGCCTGATCAGCCCGAGCAACCCTCAGATGAAAATCTACGACACGCTATCTCGGTACAGCCACGATAACGACAATGATGTGGCCATCAACGCCATCTTTGCTATGGGTCTCGTCGGTGCAGGAACCAACAATGCTCGTCTTGCACAACTGCTGAGACAACTTGCAAGTTACTACCACCGGGATCAAAACTCGCTCTTTATGGTGCGTATTGCGCAGGGACTTCTCCATATGGGCAAGGGAACCATGTCCCTCAACCCCTTCCACACGGACCGACAAGTGTTGTCGCGTGTTGCTGCCGGCGGCCTTCTCACAATCTTGGTGTCCCTGATTGATGCAAAACAATTCATCCTGGCCGATGCGCATTACCTGTTGTACTTTGTGGTGACGGCCATGTACCCACGGTTCTTGGTGACTCTGGACGAGGACCTGAAGCCATTGACGGTGAATGTGCGGGTCGGTCAAGCAGTGGACGTGGTCGGGGCGGCGGGTCGACCAAGAACGATTACAGGCTGGCAAACACAGAGCACACCGGTGTTGTTGGCGTATGGTGAGCGAGCGGAGCTGGAGGACGACGAATACATCCCACTTAGCAACACGCTGGAAGGTCTTGTCATTTTGCGCAAGGTGAGTTGAATTTTGACAACTCATTTGAGAAATTCCAAGTACTGACTCATTGATAGAACCCCGACTTTGAAGACAACAAATAGGAGGCGGAGGCCTGGTCGAGTCTCAAGAGACGTGTAACAATTGCGAAAAGCATGCATGGGCACTTGGTAGAGTGTAGAATAACTGCCTAGATTAATCTAGAAATGGGACACAGGCACTCTTGTCTTGATGGGCTCATGGCGTCCCAGAGAGGCAGTGAGCATAGATAGGGAATGCTCTATAGTGTCATCTTCGGTGCCTCCCAACATTATGCTCACTTTTAAGAGCGTTATAAGGCAATGAACAATGGACGATGGATGTTGAAAGGCATGCTAATCTATCCTTGCCGTGGGTTGCTCCTTCCATGTCAAGTCATCAGATCCAAGTTCGCACCTGCCCTGTGATGTCTACCACGTCACGTGCAATATCTATTGCTCTTTCCCTCAGGAGACATACTCCAGCCAATCATTTTTTGGGGAGCATGACCTCAATTCTTCCTTTTGCCTCCAACTTCATGAAAATTCATCATAAAGCCAAGGGTGTTATGAGTTTTCAATTCGACAGCAGATCCCCGAATGAAGTCAGGTCGGAGAAGCCACCCAATTCCGAGACGTCGATCTCCGTGATGTTGTACCACCACACAACCTCCGAAGCCTCCCAAATCTCCCGTTCAACCATAACCGCCTCGCCTCGGCCCTGAGCAAATGTCCATCCCCATCTGGGATATTATCACCCCGCCCTTCGCTCCATAGCAGTCCGACAGTCGACCCGTTGGCCTTCAATGTGCGTGTGCGAATATGCTTACTAACTTAGAGTTGCTCCTCATGGACGGCATCCTCGTTCCGTCCTCTGAGGCTAATATTCAAGCCAAGCTATAATATGCATCATATCGACTCCACTCGACGATGTCAGACCCCAGTTTTCTTTCGTTGCGTCAATCTCCAAATCAGAAAATTAGACCCTGTAAGTTCGACAATATATTCACACATGGAGCCTTTCTGTTGCCGGTAAGTCTTCAGTGTAAAGTACCATGCAATCTGTCTTGCAGTACCGAGGCTTTCGCCGAAATCTCGAACAGCAAATCAGCCGTCATGGCTTGGAGAGGGTGGCTTCGTCTACCATCTGCCCTGTGCCTTCAGGAGCCCATTTACCCGTTCTCCAGCGCTCCCTGACTCGAGGGAGTAAACGATCAACTCGCTCAATCAGGGATCCTGCTGACGAGGAAAACCAACTCCAAAATGAGACTCCGGTGCTGAACCCCAATGCCGCCAACGTCCACGAGCCTGTGGCATCGACGTCGTCTGAACCTACTCCGCCATGTGGCGAGGTCAACCCAACCACTACAGTGTTTGACTACGTTGAAAGTGATAGTACATTGCAGGACGATAGTGGTAAAGCCGACCATGGTGACCAGGGCATTCGTTCACCCAAGACGCCTTCAGTACACTCATCAAACACCTCCGAGAGTGGGGTGGAGCGCATACATCTCAACAAAATTGCCACGCAACCATCCCACGGAACGACGACTCTAGGTCAAGCGATAACTGGTGTCGATGTACACACTCCAATGACCAACGAAAAACACCACGGTACTGGTGATCACGTATTTATCGTGGGATATCAAGGACTGGACGATGAATTGGACCCTCATAACTGGTCGACCCCGCGACGATTATGCTATACATTGCTCATTGCCATGGTTGGGTTGATTGTGGGATTTGCATCCAGCGTTGATTCTGCTGCTGCACCGCAAGCAGCGGAAGAGTTTGGGGTAAGCAGCGTTGTAGAATCCTTGGCGACTGCCATGTATCTGCTCGGGTTTGGACTCGGAGCCCCATTTGCTGCCCCTCTCTCTGAGACATTTGGGCGCAATCCAGTGTACATTGGAACCATGGGTCTTTTCATGGTGTTTGTCATGGCCTCAGCACTGTCACCTAACATTGGCGCTCAGCTTGTTTTCCGACTGTTAGCTGGATTGTTTGGGTCGACTCCCTTGACATGCGCTGGAGGGAGTATCAGTGATATGTGGAATGCAATTGAGAGGACTGCAATGTTCCCAGTCTTTGGAACAGCGGCGTTTTGGGGTCCCATTCTTGGTTTGTGGCCCTACGACGCACCTCATGAGGCTTTGGCATTGGCTAACTGATTTCAGGCCCAGTAATTGGCGGATTCATCGCTCAGTCATCGGCGGTCAGCTGGCGTTGGGTGGAGTGGGTGACATTGATCTGGTCGGGCTTGATTCTTATCTTGCTCCTGTTGTTTTTGCCCGAAACTTATACTCCAACTCTGTTGAAATGGAAGGCAGCAAGCCTGCGGGAAATCACCGGGGACAACCGGTTCATGTCCCAGATGGAGGTCGCCAACACGAAGCTGACGGACCGTGTGATTGCCAACATGTGGCGACCGGTTCTTCTATTTGCATATGAGCCGATTGCGGTCTTGTTTACCCTTTATCTGACGGTGGTCTATGTGGTATTGTTTACCTTCTTGACCGGTAGGTGGCAGATGATTTTCGTCTATTGAACGGCAGGCTAACCGAGACTAGGGTTCGAGTTCGTGTTCGAAGAGACCTACGGCCTATCGCAGGCGCTGACGTTCCTCATCTTTATTGCAATTGGCCTGGGCCTTTGCGTAGCTGGGGCGCTGGTGCCCTGGGTGTACAAGTCATATCGACGGGCTCTAGAGGAAGTACAGGCACAAGGAGGAACCACACTACCTCCAGAAAGAAGATTGGTGTTCGCAATGTAAGCTGGGCAATATGGAACGGTGGATCATTCAAATAGGCTAACCATGAGGCAGGCTCAGCGCACCCATGTTACCGATCGGCCTCTTCTGGATGGGATGGACAGCAAATAGCGCGGTGAACGTCTGGGCACCCATCATGTCCTGCATTCCCATTGGATTTGCCATCTTGGGCATCTTCATCTCGACATATCAATATCTGATTGATGCATATGTGGCGCATGCAGCAAGCGCATTAGTGGGGGTGACATTTGTTCGGTATATTGTGTCTGCGGGGATGATACCTGCGTCCATACCGTTCTATCGCAATCTTGGTGTGGCATGGACATGTACAGTCTTGGGATGCATTGCGCTGTTGTTGGCACCGGTGCCTTTTGTGTTTTACAAGGTAGGTGAAAGGACATACGTGGCTACCTAAGATGAGATGCTAACAATGAACGCAGTATGGGCCGGTAATTCGCAAGCGCAGTCGTTATGCATCAGAACACACTTGATGTATCGCCTTGATTCAATATGTTGTTCGAATGGGGGCAGTGACCAACATGGACAGGTGTCTAAATACCTGGATGGGTGTCCTTGTTGAAGACGTTGTTGATCTGCACAGCATAGCGAGGATGGTTGGGAGTACGATACTATTATGATGTGTATGATTTCATAAAATCTCAACCTTGCCATAGGCATATTGAGCAGATATACCTGATATTGTATAGATACAGCATTAGCCATATATGCATCCATAATGCATCCAGATATACATCCACATATACATCCTGATAAATGCCAAGGAATTATTTATTACATCATTTCTCGCAAGCCCGGGAACGGAAGCTGCCATGCAGCCCGAGAGCCATGCGGCAAGCCCATGTCATGCTCTTGCCTATCCTCGGCGCCCGTACCCGGTCCGTCTTGAAACTCGCCTCTTCCTGTTGGTTCATCCCAACCACCGCTGACCCACCTGCAACGACCAGCAACCTCTCGTTATCACTTCGTACTTGATCAACACGGATGCCATCTCATCTGTTGTTCTCGCTCCGTGTCTCTCTGTCGCTGTGTCAGAATCATCTATAACCCTGTATCACCATGGCGTGGTTCTTATAAACCAGTCATCAGAATGGTGCACACCTCGTCTCGCCAGTCTCGCCATTACTGACGTCGTCTCCCCCCACCTTCAACCTCAACCTCACCTGCGATCGTACCTTCCCTTTCTTCTACACCTGCCATCTACAGGCAGGCAGTAGGTCGCCATGGCGCCTGCCTCTCCCTCCACCGTCCCTCGTATCTCATCCCTCGACTTCGACATCAGCCGCAGGAGTTCTAGGAGATCACACGACTCTCATAGAAGGATTGACGATGACGACTTCGACTTCATGGGCCAGGTTGCTCAAGAGATCATCGAGCGGGATCGTCTTCGAATGCGTCGAGAGTTCATCCGTGTCATGAGCTTCGCCTGCGCTGTCCTCAGTTGGTATGTCTTGTCCATGGTCCTTACAATAAACGACACGCTTCCACTAAAGAGCCTCACACTAATTCGTTCCCAGTCTATGCGCCGGCTCCATTACCTCCTTCTCCCTCTACGGCTCCCGCTTCCTTGAGGATCTCGGCTACACCCAACTGCGAGTCAATGCCGTCTCCATCACTGCCGAGTTGGCCATGTACCTTCCCGTTCCAATCTTTGGATACCTGTGCGACCGATACTCTCCTCCTCCGTTGTCTCTCCTGGCCTGCTTCCTCTTTGGCTTCGGCTATATCCTCGCTGCCTATACCTACAAGTCTGGCCCCCCTCCAGATGCTGCCCAGGACGGACAGGGCTGGCCCTTTCCCGTCATGATTCTGGCGTTTGTTGGTATTGGAGCAGGCACCAGCTGCATGTATCTGTCCGCTGTCGCCACGTGTGCAAAGAACTTTGCCGCTGCAAAATATCGCGGTTTCATGCTCGCTGTTCCCATAGCTGCCTTTGGCTTGAGTGGTATGTGGGAGTCGCAGGTCGGTGCACATCTTTTATCCGAGCGACTCCCCAATGGCGGTCGAGGTGATCTCGACGTCTTCCGATACTTCATCTTCCTCGCCGGCACATTGATTGGTGTCGGCTTGCTAGGCGTCATTGGCCTCCGCATTGTCGACGAAGAAGAACTTATTGATCATGGGGTTGAAGCACTCGAGCAGAGTGGTTTGCTCCAGGAAAGCGAGTTTTACCACGACTCAGAATCGGGCTCACCTGTTAACTACGGCACATTGCAACACGATGTCAATTCGGGCGCCACCACACCCTCAGATACGAGCTCTGGCCCGCCCCTCGACCTGTCCGAGTCCCAGATGCTCAAGAAACGCGAGATGGACCACCGACTCCGGAAGAAGAAATGGTGGCTCCTCAACCATGCCACCCACACTTTCCTGACCGATCGCACCATGTGGCTGTTGGCTGCGGGGTTCTTCCTGCTAACGGGTCCTGGTGAAGCATACATCAACAACCTCGGGACCATCATCCCAACCCTGACTCCCAAACACTACTTTGACCTGACAGCACCCCCGGCTGGACATGCCTCGACCCATGTGTCCATCATTGCCCTGGCCTCGACCTTTGCCCGCCTCTTCACCGGCACCTTGTCAGACCTCTTCGCGCCGCCTTCCAACCCCGAAACTCCTCCCTCCGCCGGGTTCAGCTTCTCACGCCTGGTTCTCTTACTGCCATCGGCATTCCTGCTGCTCTTTGCCTTCCTCAACTTGGCTATCCCCTCCCTCACTGCAGCCACACCCTCACTCTTCCTCCTGTCCTCGGGCCTCCTTGGGTTAGGGTACGGCGCCTCTTTCTCACTCGTACCCATCATTATCAGCGTTGTGTGGGGCGTCGAGAATTTTGCCACCAATTGGGGCGTTGTCGCCATGATGCCTGCTGGCGGTGCCGCCGTCTGGAGCATCGTCTACTCGCTTACTTACTCTCACGCTAGCCATGGTGGCGGCGATATCGGCATCCCTGAGGGCCGCGACGAGTGTATCGGTTACTCTTGTTTCGGTGTCTGGGCGTGGGGTTGCGCTGTCAGTGTTGCCGTCGCTATTGTCCTATGGTCTATCGCCTGGAAGACATGGAGAAGTCGAAATGTTTCAGTCTAAGGCATTACGGCATTCAGGATTCGCCTCCATGATGATTAGAGATTAGGACCGCTGCTCGATACTCTTTCCCTCACGTCCCTTGGGACGACTGATTGACATCGTCTCTCAATCACACAAACCCACTTTCTCGCCGTCTCCTCCTGCCACACCTCTACATTTACATCCATTGATATATATACGAACAATTAACCATAGCGCGGGGTGTTATCTTTTGTTGTATTGGCATTGAGGCCCGCACCCACGAGGCTGATTGATCATGGACTTTGATCGATGCATTCCAAGAGACCATCCCATGCTCAACCAGGGACAATAGCTTGTGCCTGAGAGTTTTGTGCGGTACACATTCTTCAGTGTTGCTCGCCATTGGGCTGGATTTTTTGGAGGGGCTTATGTGACGTGGAATTATCATAGCGACTATTCAATGCAGCTAGATATCATTGTCATCTGTCTGACTACCTATTTCGGATCTCGTAAAGATATATCGCAGGGTCCAGTCTCAAACTACAATATCATAAACCACATCAAGTCTACTATGCTATAGTATATAGCATTCGAATTCAATGGTTGGATTTTCGCACTGATGAGAATAGCTGCTCGCTTCAGTACTTCGTTCCCACCTTCCCCTTTGTCCGATTACATGCTGGGTATCTGTGGGGTTCATTATTATCGTCGTCGTCGTCGTTGGTATTATTAAGGGATCCATGCCCCCTTCTCGTATATCGGGGTCGTCCGCCATCCAGTGTCCACCTACCCCCTCCCTCCGTCAGCTGTTTCCCGTCTACCGTCCAGCCGGCGGAGGAGGCCATTGATGCGCCCCAAAAAAAACAAGATATCGAAAGAAAGAAAAAAGAACCGAACACCAATCATCCATCCATATCCGAGCATCGTCTACTTGCTCTCCCCTGATTGACTCCATAGCTCCTTCAGTCAGCCCGTGCAAGTCGAATAATTCATTAGCACAGGCCGATTCAAATGCAAGACAAGCAAACCAAAAGAAGAGATCGCCCACAAAGCAATCTCAATTGATCGGTCCTAGACCAATTCCCATGCTGCAATCCCAACAAACCCCATTCCCACACGTCCTTTGCCTTCCCTGAACTCGCGCACCGTCAAGCCCCGCGCGTCCTGCCGGTCGCCGAAACTCGTCACTGCAAATAACGTGACTGTCTGACCCCGTGGTCCCAGCTGGTGTGCAGGAATGTCCACGGTCCAAATATCGCCGCCTTGCCCGGCAGGTCCGGCGTGGTGGTCCATAGGAATCTGATCTTTACTTTGTCCGTTAGCTCCTTGCACGGAGACGATGAACACAGGCGGTGGGCCTTTGCGGGTTTGGTACTCCAATGTCCAGTGTGGACACAGAAGACTGAATTGGAAATGCACCATTCCTGATTGCCCGACGTTGATCTGCCTTGCTCGCGGCAGGACCGACTTCTCGCGGATCGAGTAGTCTTCCTTAGCGTTGGTGAAGACGGTTGGTGGTTCAACCATGTCGGGCCACCGGGCAGGATCGATAACAATGTATTCTTGCCAGGTCAGCCTTCGACCTCCTGGGAGGAAGAAGTAGTCTTTGTTCTCGGGGAAGTGCTTGATGGCGAATTCTTCATTCGTCATGGAGAAATACTCCGGCGTGAAATGCTTCACGTACGGACGCCCCGCACCTTGGACGTGACCAGCACCCCAACATGCGTCAATCAACTTCCATTCTCCGTCGTCGATTCGGACAGCATTCCAAGCATGTCCTGCGTTGTATGGCGGAAGGGGTGACCCCGGCGCCAGCGCTGTATAGCCGTATCCTTTCCCGTGTCCACCAATCACTACTGACTCAAGCCCTGCGTAGGTGGCCAGATTGCAGAACAGAGCAGCGTAGCCTTCGCACACAGCGAGACCGCTTTGAAATGTCGACTGCGGTGTGGATGGTTTGACGTTCTTTTTAAAAAAGCTGACCACATCGTAGGCAATGTTGTGGTGAAGCCAGGAAAAAATTGCTCTTGCTTTGTCGGTGTCGGATGAGAAGGGCGCGGTGAGTTGGTGAGCCAATGTTTGGAGAGAAGTGACTTGTTGACGAGGGAAAAGCGTGGCTTGGTGATCTGGAGCAGAGAAATCACGACAAACCAAACAGACGTTGGCCGAGGAAGAAGAATGATGATGATGTGACGCAGTAGTACCATTAAGCTTGGGCTTGGTTGCTTGAATGGCAGAGAGATCTGGGCGAGAAGAAACGGGGATAGGGGGTGGGCCTTGGTGATGTTGAGCAAGTTGCGTGGAAGCAATATCTTGAACCTGCTCTTGGTGGGAATTGTAGGTCGGGAGAGATTCGCGTAAAGGCTGGGTCTGAGGGATGTGATTGGGAGTCACCTCTGGTTCTGGCCTGGAGATGTAACCATTGGTTTTCTCTCTGTAGACGGGTGATACATGTTTGTTGAACAGGTCTCTTGCGGAGTGGACATGGGCGCTTACAGCCTCTCTTGATGGCAGGCTCACCTTATCTCTGGATGGCCAGGAAGGCTGGTCTCTTACAATGGTTGAAGTAGGCTCAGGCTTGACCGAGGTCGGAGAGTCGTGTTGGGTGTGATGGACCTGTTCTTGAGAAGGTTCTCGCGCAAAAGCCGCCTTCTTTGCCCTCTCGATCGACTCGGCTGATGGCATGGGCGGTAATTTTCGTACGGCAGGCTGTTCAGTGGCATGCTCCCGATGTTCGGTCTCTGCTTTCCGGGAGGGAAATCTAGGTGGAAGAGATGGTCGTGGAGGAGGAGCAGGGCGGGTGTCAGTTCCTGTGGTTGGGGGGGTAGTAGCGGGCGTTATGGAGGTGGCAGAAGGAGCTCTATTAACATATTTTGGCTTTTCCTCCGAATACTTTCTTGTGACAGTCGCAGGGTGAGCGTTCTTTGGTGGGAGAGCAGGTAGTTGACATTCTCCCCACGCCGGTGCTTTGACTCGACTAGCGGAATCGGTTGATTTGGTCCTTGTAGTCGTCACCCGAGATGAAGCTGGGGTGTCCACCACACTGCTGCCACCAGTCGACACTGTAGAAGCCACCGAGCCTCGCCTCTCTTCTTCTCTCGAAGTCTTCCTGTTGGGGAGTGGGGGAGGGGGCTTTCGAACTACAGGTGGAGGAGCAGGTTGGTTCCCAATCGTTGAATTGGCAACTGAGACGGAGGCATTTGATCGTTCTGGAGGATTATTGATTGAATGTTGTTTGACAATGATCGGTCGTCTGGTAGGGACAATTGGAGGTGTTGAATGAGACGAAGGACGAGGAGGCTCTCCTGGTACACGGCCAATATGAGCAGCGTTGAGAGCGGCAATGCGTTGTTGGAGAGTCAAGGGTTGAGGATCTTCGGCCATGATTGCAACAACTCGACAAGGACGAGTTGAGACTGTGTGTTCAAGGGCTGGCGATGGTCATGGTAATGAGAAAGGTACATAAGATTCAAGGGAAAACGAAACCACGACCTGGGGCTGAACTGATGGCTGGAGGAGAAGTTGTGGAGCACCGCAGTTTCAAGACTCACAAGAATCTGGGATGTTGGATACGGGCATTTGAGAGAATGTGTTAAGGTTACCTAAGGTGGTATTGATGGCATTGGTGGTACTGGTGGTCACTGAGGTCTGGGTCTGACTAGAGGCTTACCTGGAGGTTAGCGTGGAGGATTCTCCTTCAGTGGCCCCTCGGGCTCCTCAACCACTGACGTTCGGCGTCCGGGTACGTTTTGGTGGGCGGTTGTGGGGGCCAGAACAGAGGGATATCCGTCAGTGGAGAGGCACGAGAGGCTTGGACTGAGAGGGGCCGGCCTATCTTCCGCCTGGCGTTGGCAGTACGCGTCTTTCAGTGACCTTCAGGAGGAGCCAGTCGTCGCGCCAGTGCCGGTGGTGCCCCGTGCCACCCGCCACCAAATATGCATGTGCTCCAAGTGCCTGAACTCGCAATAAGCCGCATCTTTTAGCCACAAGCCGTTATCCGCAGCCTTGTGACTGTTCTAGGCTGCTGTTGCCGGACTTGCCGCCGCCAACGCTGGAAGGCAGAGGGTCGCCCTTGCACTTTATCACGGCATTGCAACCTACCTCGGCAGGTGCCAGAGCTTGAAGGCATCGAGAGATCATCCAACGTTGGCCACATAGACATGAAAATGTGGTCGATCCAAGGTAGCCCATAGCTGCTCCACCGGCGGCGTCATCAGCATCAGCCAACTTGAGACACACGGAAGATCACGGCACCGGAGGCGACAGAATTGTGTCATTTTGAAGCGAAGCCCTAGCGCAGACACTTGTAGTTGTTGAAATAAGGTCAAGGAGCATTGAACTGGCGTCGAGTATTGGCATAAATATAAAATAATGTGAATGGCACACGCATTGGGATTCTAATGCTGTGGGTGCGTTTGTCGAAATATATAATTTTGGGAGGTGAGAATTCAGGCGGCAATAATTAAAACAAGATGCAGTAGGTAGGTAGGTATCTGCGGAAATTTATCACCATAAAGCAAGATCTTTTGTACCTTTCAAAACCTACTTTGGTCGTCATGATAGGCGAATGGTGTCTGGCTTCAGGAAACAGACACCTGGGGCATGAAACTGAGATCAATTCCTGGTTATTCCAATCGCGATTTATTGTAGGAAACGGAAACAAGTTTGGAAGCGAAATGCCCACATAATGTACAGTCATCAACATTGTCAGTCAGCAACAGGCAGCAGCAGCCAGCAATTACTATCTTCTCTTACTGTCCTGAAAGCCTCTTGATCCTGTTGCTCACCATCTCAAGTGTAAGCTCTCACCTCTGCAATACCAGATATCACACGGACCAGGACCTTGGTGCAATGACCAACTCTTAGGTACCTTAGTTACTCCGTATACGCATACTCCCGCACTCTCTACGGAGTATTTAAATTTAGACTAGAATAACCGACAGTACAAGCTAGCTAATAATAATTTAGGTACCAAGGAAGGTTAGGTACCTATCTGCGGTTATATCGAGGCAAGGCTGAAGCATTGGGGGGGGATATGAGTCTTGGCTGCAGCGTCCCAGGTAAATATCAATTCCTCGGCGACGCCATTTCTGTTGAATCGGTAATCACGCAGAAAGGTCATGTGCGCCTATATCCCCATAGGTCCTAATCATTATTATCATCCCTCAGTAATTCACCCATCTCTCGGCTGGAGCATGCTTTACAAGGAGCCTTTCCTCCTTAGCGTTAATCTCCTTGGTGTGGGGATGACAAACACTTGAGCGTCGCCAAGCACAAGCAACGCGTCAGCCCCCTCGGGCCCTCCTTACCGACCAAGCACTTGGAGGACTTGGAACGAGGTTGGAGGATCATACAACACATACTACTACTCCGTAGAGCTAAAAACTCTGTGCGATTTCGTGCGATTTCGCACCCGGTGCGAATTGTCATTTCAGGTAATTGTACTTGTAAATCGATGCGATGTAACCGGCAAAGCGAAAAACCGTAGGCATATTCATCTCAGCCTTGTCTCGCTGGTCTTCAAGTAATCCAAAAACGAAGCACAATGATATGATAACCCAGCCTCGTCTCGTGATGGAGTTATGTCATGAATCATGAGTTCCATGGCAGGAATTTACATTCCAGCCCAAACTGCGCACCCTCGGCACAGATCCAATCTACCATTTGCTACCACCACCCCAGCTGCTCTGGTTGTGTTGCTTCTTCTTCTTGTCCTTGAAGAAGTCTTCTGCTACACTACCGAGGATGGCACCGCCAACTGTTCCTAGGAAGCCATGGTTGGCTTTCTTTCCCAATAGGCCGCCGCCAATACCACCGCCAATCTGTAGAATTGTCAGTGTGAAACATCCTAAGGACTCCGAGTAGGGGGAAACTCACAGCACCGAGAAGACCTCGATCTTGATCTGACATGGGGGGACTATATATAGGCCACGTTAGACGACTGGTCTTAACTTGCACATATAGCGACTGTGACTTACGCATTGGGGTCATAGTTGGGAGCATTAGGATCTGACGATTGTTTGGCAAACTCATGTTGACTGGCATCTTGATATTGCGGCTGTCCTTGGTAGCCACCCGGTTGGTTCATTTGAGCTTGATAGGCTTGATTCTGAGCGTATGCGTCGTTGCCAGCCTGCGAGCCGTAGTAACTGGACGAGCCTTGGGGGTTGCTGGCGTCATATTGGCCAAAGTATTGACCTTGTTGGCCGTGTTGAAATCCACCATGCTGAGGAGGACCGAAAGAGTCCTGTCGACGTGGGGGACCGAATCCCTGATCTTGAGGAGGATAGCCGCCGTAGCCCTGCTGAGGGTATTGCTGCTGTTGCTGGTTGTAGCCTTGTTGTGGATAGCCCTGTTGAGGAGGGTATCCGCCACCGTATCCGCCTTGCTGTTGGCCGTAGCCACCCTGGCCGCCGTAGTTGTCGTAGGGACCAGACATTGGAGTTCTTGTAGGAGATCGGTATCTGAGAGCAATTTGAAAGGTCTTTTGGTCTTCGATTTATCGATGTAGTAGGTGATCGTCTGAAAGAAATAAAGAAGGAAAGCTAAGCTGGTGAGTAGCGGAATAAATAACAGAGCAGTACAGTCGAGGGTTTCAGGTGCAGAGCAGTAACGCAGCCCAGTGGGCACGCGGCTTAGCTTACCAAGTACTCTGTAGTAGTAGTCACGGCCGAAGGCGAAATGGCTGACTGCGCCTGTCCTCCACCAAATGTTGACCGATGGAGAGCATGACAACGAGACTCAGCCCCGCGAACTGTCTAGGGTAGTCTGTAGATTACCCTCTGACTCTGTGTCTGTCTGCCCCTCCCACAGCCGAGCCCGGCACCAACAGGCGGACCCGAAGGACCCTTTGGGCCTTTTGTTTGATTAATGGGACTTTCATGGTAACGCTGTCATCCATTCAGAGTCCGTCGTTCTGTTTCTCTCATCTTTAGTTCTCCGGCCTGCCCGATCTTCCGTCATTTGCCGTCAACCTTCTCGAGCCGCTCCCCAGTTCCCGTACGAGCGTCTCCCCGCCAGCAGATGATGACGTGATGTCACGTGGCTTTGATCATGTGGTCGATGGCGTTGTGGCGTAGACTTCTCAGCCACTTTCATCGCCTACGTCGAACATCATCGACAGACGTCTAGAAGATGTCGCAATGGATTGGGAAACTGTTTGCATACGCTGCATGTCATCCCCATGACCTCGTACTCGTATATAAGCGACGACTCAACAGTCATTCATTCTCTGTGTGTTCCTCCAATTGTGACACTGCCACGTAAAAGGAGTAAAGTTGTAGGAAGACCTCGGTATCTGCATCGTACATCTCCGCAATCATGGTGCGGGAGGGATGATCGACTCGCGTGGAGACGCTGCTACATCCTCGTAATCCCCAAAGTGCGAGTTGTGTTCTATTATGATAGTCCTAAATATGCTATTATCCTTTTCGTGTTTGTAGCCGTGGACAACGTGAAACAAAATCATCATTACCTCCTTGTCACCGAATTATATCACCATGGCAACTTCTGACTACGTGCAAGCATCTGCCACAGCGCGGAAAAGGAGGGCTGCAAACATCAGTGCCTTTTATAAGCCTCCTAGTTGGCCTGAACAAGATCTCCCCAACAACTTGACCGAGTTTGGGTTAAATTCCGGTTATCTGACCCCGGATGAACTCGAGGTCGTCCAGTCTGAAGCAGACGTGATATTAGAAAAGATCAAGTCCAAGACATGGACATCGCTGCATGTTGCCAAAGCATTCTGCAAGGCGTCGGCTCTGGCTCAACAATTGGTATGTACTTGGGGAATCCAACTCAATTGTTACTGACACGTTCCAGACCAACTGCTTGACCGAAGTACTGTATGCTGAAGCGGAACAACGTGCCCAGGAACTTGATGACTATCAAGCAAGGACAGGCAAGCTCATCGGTCCCCTCCATGGCTTGCCAATCTCATTGAAGGACTGCTTCATCACTGCACCACACCCATCATCCAATGGATTGGCAGCGTTTGCCAACGAGCCTTTGGATCAGGACACGCTCCTAGTGACCCTGCTGCGCGATCTGGGAGCCGTCTTCTACGTCAAGACCAATGTCCCTGTTGCGATGATGATGGCCGAGACCAACAACAACGTCTGGGGAGAAACCAGAAACCCGCTCCATAAACTGCTTAGCCCAGGCGGCTCTAGTGGCGGAGAAGGTGCTTTGATAGCATTCAAAGCTTCCCCATTAGGGATTGGTACGGATATTGGTGGAAGCATCAGAATTCCCGCTGGCTGGTGTCATCTCTACGGTCTCAAGCCGAGTTTTGGTAGGTTCCCAACTTATGGCGGAAAACCTGGCATTGCTGGACAGGAATATATTCTCGCGGTTAATGGACCTATGGCGAGGTCTTTAAAGACCATTCAACTATACTCCGAAGCAGTCCTGTCTGAGCAGGTGAGCCCATGGGATTACGACCACAAGGCATTACCCATTCCCTGGAGGAAGAATGTGATTCAGCCACCAGGGAGAAAGCTTCGGTTCGGTCTCATTGGCGTTGATGATGGTCTGGTTCACTGCCATCCACCCGTCGAACGGGCACTGAAGATGACTAAGGCTGCTTTGGAAAAGCAAGGCCATGAGGTCATTCCATGGTCTGTAGACGACCACGATGTCATCATCAAGGTATGTCCCTCAACATCTGTCCCATGGCATGACCTGTCACTCATGAATCCTTCCTATGTTGCAGAACCTCCAGGCCGCATTCTTCGACCTCGGCGGCGCCGCCATCATGGACATTGTCAAACCATACAATGAGCCCGTCTTCCCCAGCATGCAAGGCTATGCTGTAGCTGCCGAGGCCGGCGAAGGCGAACTCGGACCGACCAAGATGCGCATGATGAACATGCGGCGCAACCAGCTCCAAAAGGCATATTTGGACCGCTGGAACGCGTCCGCGACCGATGGTAAACCCCGAATCGACGGAATTATCCAGGCCGTCAGCCCATGGGCGGCCCCTCGGTTGGGAGAGACGCAAAGATCCGGCCTGTATGTCGGCTATACCGGCGTATGGAATCTGCTGGATTTCTCCGCTTGCACTTTCCCCGTGACTTTTGCCGACAAGAACCTCGACCCACCAAGGGACATGAGTTCCTTCAAACAGCTCAGTGATATCGACGGTCGCATTCAGCGGGATTATGATCCAGAACTCTATCACGGAGCCCCGGTCTCATTGCAAATTGTCGGTCGTAGACTTGAGGAGGAAAAGGTACTCGAAATGACTGAGGTCATTGCTAATGCTCTGAAAGCGGCATGAAGAAGCATGTAATGGCCCAAAGAAACGAGAAAATGCCGCGATCCTTTGCTAAATGATGGTTATTCGTCATGTATATCATAGACATTGGTCTTAGGTTTTGTGCCGAAGGCTGTGGCTCTGACTGCCAATCTAATTTGGATATCCCACAGAAGGCTCTACGGTAAAGGGGGTTCAACGAAGCGGACCTTGCACGTGGGATGGCCACATATCACACAACAAACGAATGCCTGCTGACAATATGGAATGTAAACTTCTCTTGTACACATTCCGTCGAATTGATCGTTTTGCAATGCTTTATTACTCATACCGTGCTAACATCATGTGCAAAGCCGTATCGCTGTACACGAAACTCGCAACATGGCGAGGACATCTCTTTTTTCCCACCAACGACAAAAGTCTGTCGTAAATCTTCACGTCCTTATTTCTACCCATCCGCCCACAGGAGACTGAACGCCAACCTCATGAATTGCATCACTCGATTGCCTTACGCTTGAAATACATCCCACAGCATCCGACGTGTTTATACACTGACCTCAACACGACCCTCACCACCCTTGCCCAAGGTGGGGAGCAGGTAGGTGATATCATCCCAAGGATGACGGTACAGCCCAGTGCGGAGACGCTTCTGATCCAAGAAATGCGCAATCAAACCAATAGAGCGACCCAAGACGAAAAGACCGTTCAAGACTCCCATTCTCAGATAGTCCTCAGCCTCCTCGGGAGAAAAGGCACCACTGTTTCGGAGCAAATCAACGAAGCTGACGGCGATGGCACCATCGACGTTGAGAATCAGGTTGTCCTTCTTGGAAGTGGTAACCGTCTCAACAGCAATAGCGTAATCGAGAAGCTTGTGAGAAGCAAAGTTCTTGGTGACGAATTCCTTCACAAGCTCGACACGGAGATCGGGGTTGTTTCGTGACTTGACGCGGTGACCAATGCCGGGAACTGAAAAAGGTTAGGATTGTGTTTTCACAAATTGGGATCAGACTGGACTTACTCAGCTTGTTTTCCTTTCTCATTGTGTCAACGAATTCTCTCGGCGACCAGCCCTTGTCGAAAGCCTTGGAGAACTCCTCAGCAGCACCATCGAGAGCACCACCGAAACGAGAACCGATAGTCAGGAGACCAGCAACGAGAGAGGAGATCAGATCTTTGCCGGCACGAGTGGTAATAATGGTGTTCATGGCACCAGACACAGCTGGACCGTGGTCGGCAGTCAACATGAGGATCATTTCCAAGAACTTGCTGGCTTGCGGTGGCAGTCTTCGACGGAACCAAAGGAGCGACATGACACCTCCGATACCAATGTCCTCCTTGAACACATCCGAAATTGGCATGCCTGCATACAGCAACTCTTGACCTCTGTCGTCGGAGATGGTGGAGATAAAGGCAGCGGGCTTTCGGATAAGACCCAATTCTTGAGCCCAAGCATAGTCGAGAGGGATCTTGGGAACGACGGGTTCTTTGGCAGGCTTGATGGTGCCCTGCTTAACGAGCTTCTGGTAGACTTCGCTGAGGATCTGTGGCAGGTCTTCAAAGGTCTCTGGAACAAAGAATCCGGCCTCTCTCATTGACGAGTTCTTGACAACAGCCGTCTCCAACTGAGAGTTGGCTGATGCGCCTGCGTGACCGAACTGAACTTCAGTCTTGAACATGCTGGCACAGGTACCAATTGCCCATGCAACAATGGGCTTGGTGATTTGGCCGTTCTTTACAGCCTCAATAACGCGGTATTCCTCCACACCACCAACCTCACCGAGCAAGAGAATGATTTTGCACTCGGGCTCGGCTTGGTAGCGCATAATGTGGTCAATGAATGAAGTACCGGGGTATCGATCACCTCCAATAGCAATACCCTCGTAAACACCATCGGTGGTTTGGGAGATGATGTTGTTGAGTTCGTTGGACATGCCACCGGACTTGGAGACGTAGCCAACAGAACCCTTGCGGTACAACTTGGAGGCCACAATGTTGTCCATCATGCCACCAGTGTTTCCGATTTTGTACGCGCCAGGCTTGATGCCACCAACGGTGGCAGGGCCAATAATTGTGATTCCCTTCTCTTTCGACTTGACCATCAGCTCACGAGCACGTCGCTCAGGAACACCTTCGGCGATGATGGCGATTGAACGAACTTGAGGCACGTTCATCAGTTCCAGAGTGGAGCTGTAGACAGATCGAGAAGAGGCAAAGTTGACGATGGTGTCAACGTCAGGATGCTTCTCAAAGGCCTTCTCGACGGATTGGTAGACAGGGATCAAGGTCTCGGTGGTTCCCCAGTACATCTTGCTGACGAATTGACCGCCAAAGGTGTAGATGATACCGGCCACTGAGGGAGTAGTTCTCTTGCAGATGAAGTCGAAATCGAGCATGCCTTGGACAGCCTTTGGCTGCATACCGCTGATTTCAATGTCAGCATGGAGCCTCTGGCAATTTCTGAGTCTTGATCACTTACTAGACAAAGCATCTAGTCTTGTTATGAAAGAGATTGTTCTGTGCGGGACTTGGGACCCTTGAAGGAGGCTCAAAACGACGGATGTTGTCGTTGGCAGAGAAAGGAGTCTCTGATCCTGGAGTCGAAGCACCATCGGGGAGGTCGATGGTTGGCACTCCGTTTGAAGCACCCTGAGTTGCGGAAGGCATGGTGGGAGGAGACTCCTGTCGAACGGGTAAGCCCATGAATGAGGATTGAGTAGAAAAACGAGAGAACAATAAAGACAATGTAATCCTGTGATAGACTGCGGTGTCGAGAGTCTTCTTGCCGTGGGGTAAGAGGGCAGCAGGGGGTTCGGGGGATATTATTGCACTTACAGTAGATGATTCAACGGTTGAGTGAATGAAGTATGCAGGTCAGGGGATGTGGTTGAGATCCAGCAAAGAGAAATATCAAGCTATGGGAAATGGGATGTGCTGAGGCTCGAGAGTTCAGAGTTCAGGGTTGAGGAGTGGGTGGTCAAGTTGTGACAGTATGTGGCCTCAGGACGATGATGAGGGCCAAAAATTGCCAGACCAAAGTGCCAGGTGCTCAGAGGGTAACCAGGTTGAGATGAAGGGGCAGTTGCAATTGGAGGGCTGTGGAGAGTCCCTTGTGGCCCTTCAAACTTCAGGGACACGTTGAATGCAGCCAAAGCATCCAGCAACAACTATGGGATTGGAAGATCGACTGTTGAGAGCCCGCTTACCACACTGGCTAGGGCGGGGCGTGAGTTTTAGGCATTGGCGGCCCCCAACCTTCAGGTGGGAACCCTGTGCCACGCTGCACGCCGCACTATACATCATCCTATTTGGGCGGTGAGATAATACTGTGCGTCTTGAGCGGGATGTCATCAACAACAATAATAGCCACTGTACAACTAAGCTCGTTTACGTGTCCTCTCTTACGGAGTTGTCAAAATCGTAGGCAGCTTACGCCCTACCGTTGTGACCATGTAGACTCAATTCATCCGAGAGTTGGTTGTGTATCAATATGGTACCCTGTTGAGACGACAACGCTCATCTACTCGCGTGCTCTCCCTTAATTGTTCAACAAAATAATTAAAAATGTCGGTGGACTTCTGTTCCCCTATGCGTAGCGCAGGCACGTACTCCATACTACTCCTTGTTCCGGCATGGCCTGATCGCCAATTGCCCTATCAGAGCCTAAATCTCACCTACAGTAGGCCCGGGGTCCGGACTCATGGTTCCTACCGTAGGATCTCGGGCCCCCATATCTCGTACTTCGTGTTCAGCTTCTCCGACCGGAGTTCTTTTCGATCGCAGCCTCAGCAACCCCATTATAGCCCAGGGGATTTGTTTACTTTGTTCATTATGGCCTGTATTTTGCAATGCTAGGGAATTCGCAGGTGTTGACATCACGCTCCTACGGGAATTATCGCTAGGATTGCTTTACATTATCTCATCGTCAAGGTATATTTCTTTTCTCCGCCGAATCATCCGAGATGGGCTCATCCAACAAAAAATTAAGAATGTTTTGGGTGCCATGTACAGTTCAGGGTCCCGTGTCACTAGAGCGGACAAGACTGTGACCGCCTATGCTCAGCGTGCCTCAGCTGTCGCTTCGGTCCAATACCAACCAAGCTAAAGTGACCCCCATATCCTTAAATTGGGCCTGACCATTGTCCAATGCAGCCGAGGCCCCGTCCCTGGCGTCATGCTACCAACCTGCCACATCGAGTTCATCCGACAAAAATATTGCTGAAGATTGTCTTGTTGCCCCTCGATAAGTTTAGCAAGTTTAGCAACGCTAGTGATGATCCCCAACCTATCAACTTCAGGCAAGGCGTTGTTGGAGGAGCCAGACAAGCCTGATGGACCCCCTTGCTCCCAACAACCACCATGCACGATGCCACCAGTTTTTAGTGCCCACCCATGCCACCTTACTCCCTGCTGACTGGGGAAAATTCTATAGGGGAGAACTGCAACTTTCCCACGCCAACAACCGCTTCGGCCCCCATCATTCACAGCCAATGTGCCGATGGTTGGATCAGTATTGTACGCACACCGAGTGAACCCATTCCCACGTAAATTCAGGCTTAGGTAGATTGGTACAGTGTGTAGGTGGTACTCGTAGCACTCAACCTGCCAGGTCCGCATCAGACAAAAGTGGCAGTGGTCAATCCAGCACTTTCTGTTTCAACCATCACTACTACTGTCAATAATTTCCTAGCCCCAATTCCCAGCAGTCTTCTGCATCCCACACCAACTCCAACTCCAACACCCATACCACCACAATTGTCCTCTGTACACTCTTGCCTCTTGTTGTCTCTTGTCCACTTGGACTTGTTCTTATCCTGCAACTCTTCCTCATCTACACGTCTGCTCCCCATAACGGCGTTTGAACCGTCTCTTCTAAACCAAGTCCATTGACCACCTGTCCAAAGACTACCCCTCACCGCCGCGACAATGTCAGCAAAGTCCATTCTAGAGGCTGATGGAAAAGCCATCCTCAACTACCACCTCACTCGTGCCCCAGTGGTCAAGCCTACTCCCTTGAAGGCCTCAGGAGTTCACAATGCTCCTCCCAAACTAGCATCTCTCTACTTCCCCGAAGATGAGGATGTTGAGGGCATCCTTGCCCAGGCCGAAGCCACCTACCCTTGGCTGTTGACCCCTGGCTCCAAATTCGTTGCCAAACCAGATCAGTTGATCAAGAGAAGAGGAAAGAGCGGTCTTTTGGCCCTGAACAAGACCTGGCCTGAAGCCAGAGCCTGGATCGCTGCACGAGCTGGCAAGGAACAACAAGTCGAGCACGTCGTTGGTACCCTGCGCCAGTTCCTGGTCGAGCCATTTGTACCTCATCCCCAGGATACTGAGTACTACATCAACATCAACTCAGTTCGAGACGTAAGATATTCTACAACCCTATGCATACCAGCAGTAAACTAACAATTGGATAGGGAGACTGGATCCTGTTCACTCACGAAGGTGGTGTGGATGTTGGCGATGTCGACGCAAAGGCAGAGAAGGTGTTGATCCCAGTCGACCTGAAGAAATTCCCCTCCAACCAAGAATTGGCCGCAGGCCTTCTCAAGAAAGTCCCCAAGGGCGTTCACAACGTTTTGCTTGACTTCATCATTCGATTGTACTCTGTGTATGTCGATTGCCAGTTCACATACCTCGAGATCAACCCTCTGGTCGTTATCCCCAACGCAGCCGGCACATCTGCCGAAGTCCACTTCCTCGATCTCGCGGCCAAACTTGACCAAACTGCCGACTTCGAGTGTGGCACTAAATGGGCCGCCGCCCGCAGCCCAGCTGCCCTTGGCCTGCCCGCCACAGCCCGGACTGACGGCAAGGTCACCATCGATGTCGGACCTCCCATCGAGTTCCCTGCTCCTTTTGGCCGTGAGCTGAGCAAAGAAGAAAAATACATCTCCGACATGGATGCAAAGACTGGTGCCTCCCTCAAGTTGACCATCCTCAACTCTCAAGGTCGCGTCTGGACTTTGGTTGCTGGTGGTGGTGCTTCCGTGGTTTACGCTGATGCCATTGCCTCTGCAGGCTTTGTTAGCGAGTTGGCCAACTACGGAGAGTACTCTGGTGCCCCTACCGAGACCCAGACTTACAACTACGCAAGAACGGTGTTGGATCTGATGCTCCGCGCTCCCGTCCACCCTGATGGCAAGGTGCTGTTTATCGGTGGAGGTATTGCCAACTTCACCAACGTTGCCTCAACCTTCAAGGGTGTGATTCGTGCCCTGAGAGAGGTTGCCGTACCCCTGAATGAGCACAAGGTGCAGATCTGGGTACGACGTGCTGGACCCAACTACCAAGAAGGTCTCAAGAACATCAAGGCCGTCGGCGAAGAGTTGAAACTCAACATGCACGTGTACGGACCTGAGATGCACGTCTCAGGTATTGTACCGTTGGCTCTGTTGGGCAAGACCTCCCCTGTCCCCGAGTTCGGTGGATAGATTTGAGAGTCGCACTTGTGTGTTTCTTGGGCAGCGAGACGAATCATGTTGTATGACTTGACAGTGGAGCACATCAATTATCGTATCGTGTCGATGTTTGATATGCTGTTGGCACGCGTCGGGGCGATCGGAAAAAAAGGGGGGCATGGGTTGCAGGCGTTTTTTGTCCTTTGCTTGACGCAACGAGATGAAATTAGTGCGTCTTGTCTTGTCCATGTGACCCGGCCGGCCTGCAAGATGCAAATGGCTGGAGGTCAAACTTGATAACAATCAGCGTAAATACGTTACTCCTTTAGACTCGAGCATGGTGAGGTTGAGTAATAATGAATTGATGGAGTGAAAGACAATATGGTTGGCGTGCAAAATCACGTGATATTAATCGATCCTCTTCAAAGGCGTCTGTTCTCAGACTTGTGTATGTAGAGCAGATGATGATCAGAGTCTGTCGTTGAATTATGTCAGGACATGTTTGATGACATCAATTCAATGTTCTTTCCTAACTGACATTAAGCTCGACTTAGATCAGGTGCTCGCTCAACCTAGCAAAGTAACTAATATAACATGTGTGAACCCTGATGAATGGCGCTCTTGATTTCTTTGATCCATATGATTTTGCTTACTCTCTCTTTCATGTATTCATTCAGCAAGACCACGAGCCACAGTCAATGCAGACTCGACGACAAGATCAACACCTAGTCGTCATCATCACTCCACTAAAATCGCCTTCCCTCCGCCCAACTCATCGATATATGCAATCTTTCCACACCCCTGACTCGTCGACTTATCCTCCTCACGAAGAAGCACCGCCAGGACTTCAACGGGTGGTTCTAGACCTAATAAATTGGCTCGTTTCCAGCGCTGTAGGCGCGGGGTTCCAATACATGGGCCGTATTGGGATGACAGGTCGAAATGGCGAAGGATCTTCTCGTGCATTGAAAGGTGGGATTGGTGGACTTTTAGGGGGAAGAGAATGGTTAGTGATGGGAAACACGGGATTTGTGGGGCATCTCATCAGACACCAAGGACACATACCTCGAGGAGCCAACCGTCCATCCTCTTCTGCTTTCCAGTACTTTTTGATCTGAGCATCCGTGACTTTTTCTGCCAGAGCCTCTCGTTCATCCTTGACTGGCACTTTGGTAATGGGTTTCGTTTTCTTCTTCGGCGTTTCTCTGATTGCGACATCGATTTTTTCCTCTGCTGGTTCAACTTCAGGTTCTAGAAGAGTCGTCTCCTGTACCTCCTCTTCCTGGTCGGTGGGTTGTATAATCTCTACGTCGCCAGCGACTTCATCATCGATGATCGCTTGCGCGGGAGCTGACAACTTGGAGCTGGCTTTCCGTGACTTTGAATCATCTTGTCTGTTGGCCTTGGTGACGCGGGCGGAGTTTTGGTTGAATGATAATCGAGATTGCGCATGTGAAGTTGGGCCGGTGGGTTTGGATTTGCGGGTTCGAGGGGGCATGGTGGGCGAGCGACTATGTGAGAATCGGAGGGGTGTATGTGGCAATTCGTAAGATTGAGTCAACGGTGGTGAGACTTGTTGGTGATGTAAGAGTAGACTGAACAAAGATGTACGGACTACTCGCTGGTATGAAAGATGAATAATGGTATTCCGACTATTGGGGCAAGTTCTTAGACATGTAGAGGCAGTAGAGGTAATACTATGCGTAGTGGTGGATCAGTGAAAGTCCAGACCAGATGGATACCTTCGCTTTCCATGACGTTTCGTTGCTGAGGCAGCCGCGGAAACGCCAAGAATGAAATCACGTCGCGTCAAACAAACGAGCACGCGTAAAGTGGTATGGTCACGTGATGAGACACCCCTCGAGAGTTGCGACGTCAAATAATCTTTGGATGGAGATTTTGGGAGATGAAACAAGAGGAACTGTTTTATTTAGATTTTCATATATATTTTTTGGCTATGAGATTTTATGTAGGATTAACTTTGGCAAAGACTAACACAACACAAATGATGCATAAAGCTGGGATAACATCTCTTCAAACATGGACAGATGTATCCATTGTTACCTGCCCTCCGTCTCCATCCCAGCTTTGATTTCTGCGTACTTCTTGTGTACCTCCACTCCAAATGTTGAACCCGAGATCGTGGTTCCAACAGCACAACAGGTTATGCCGGGACCCATGCCTAACCACTTGATACAGGACACAAAGTATTCCAACCAGTCACGACCCCAAGGCAAGCCCCCGCCATGATGTATGGAATAATACAGTTCAAGAAAATTTTGATAAATCTGCGCACTCGAGTCTCTGCTGGACCCGAGGCTAAAGCATGCAATCCGAATCCCAAGGCACCAATACCTAGAAAGAGAAGAAAGCGGCCGGTTCCAGGATGAGAACATCCCCATCCGTTCCTGTGTCTGGCGAGAATCAGAGCAACTAATGAGGCCAAGCCGGCGCAGGCATTCGAGACGGTGCAAGCGATTGAGTCGATGCAGCATGCGAGGGTAGTCCTTTCTTGATTTTCTTCCCGATTTGCTTCCAGGGCAGGATTGTCTCGAGTTTGTTGCGGGATTGTAGTACTACTGTTGCGTCGGTTAATGTTGTCGCGAAATGCCATGAGGGGGGAACGATCATTCAACGATGAGGATGACGGGATGGAGATTGGCGATGGTAGTGGATATCGTCGTGTGCGCGCTTGAGTGACGAGTGGAATGAAAGGAGCAGATGATGGGCGACGGGGTCGGACTCGTGGGATGTCAATGGCCCTAGTGCTCTGGATTCCGCGTGGGGGACTGATCGAGTGGGGATCCAACATGAGGGTCCTGGCTCGTCTGGGGGGTGTGATGTCCTCAGAACCGATGGAGGATGGCGTCAAGGAAGAGCCCCCGGCTTCGAGGTCATCTTCTCGGGGTGAGTACCTCGGTGGGAGAGTGTATGGTGGTGGGGTTGATGATGCAAGGACGCCATCATCTCGATCATTGTGTGCAGCCCTGGTCGAGGTTGATGATGATGCATGCGCGCCATTATCTCGACCTTGGTGTGCAGCCATGAAGGAGGCATATGATGGTGGTGGTGGTCTTTGGTGATGGCGGTGGCATTTCTGCTTGGAGTTGGCAGCTCCCCTAATAATGTGGTTGGCCATGGCTGTGATGATCAGTCCTTGCTTTGGGGTGGGAAAACTTGGTGTGAAAGAAGAATCTGTCAGTTTTTCGAGGGCAGAACAACTGTGCTTTATGGAAAAAGACATCGTGAGAAAAATCAAGGACTCCGTAGAGAGTAGAGTAGAGTCCGTAGCGCGAAGAGTAAACTCCATGTGGTCGATCCACTAGGTCCTCACAGCCTCGTGTCTTATTCGATACCGTTCGGTCGCAAGATGATAGTAGGCAACAGCAAAAGCATCAAGTCCGGCTTGTGGATATGGGATAGTTGTTGTATAGACCTCGCGAAGGTGTGGATAAGAGCATCGTTTTCCGGTTCGTCATCACCACTGGTCAACCAGGAAGGGCATTCTAGAGTTAGTAGCATGACGGCTAGCCAAAAACACCATGCATGCCAAAAGACCAAATGTGATTGAGAAACTTGGGCAGGCTTAGAACACGCTAAGTCCGTTCAAATCGCATCGTCAAAGATCAGCGGGGCACTAACAATGTTAAAATCAATAGAGATGGGGTCAATGTCCGGAGGAAAGTCTTGTGGCTCGAATCTTGTTCATTCAGACGGAAATCGTCAGAGATGTTCGAGCTAGTTGATGAGGTCTTGCCATGCAATTGTATGCAGCCCAGAGCCTGTGTTTTAGATACCTGTACAGCTTCCATGTAACGCCCCGCGATGCAAATCGACAAAAACTGCGCTGAGTGACGCTGCCTCAGAGATGTCGGTGTCATATGTCATGGACTAAATCCATCTTGAAAATGCGCACACTCATCGCAGCTTTGTCATGGCTTTCACAAACCATAGGGTATATACATGATGATGCGTGTGCTTAATGTTATATAGTCTTCAATCGTAAAATCATCTTTCGTGTCGCTCACCTCGTCTCGTAGAAAATGTCATGGACCGGAATCATGAGGTGGGAGCATGCCAAAATTTCCACGAACCTCTCCACCATGGTGTTTTATCGCCCCAACCCCATTTGCCAGTCGTGGCCGAATGCACATCATCCACACTAAGATAGTCGACCCCTTCGCGGACGAGGACACGCCAGAGGTAGTTTCGTAGTCCCTTTGGCCAATCAGGCACGTTCCAGTATCTCACTTTCAAGCCTCGAGAGTGTGCACCTGCAATCTGCTTGCGGAGCTTGTCCTTTTGACTCCGGGAAAGATGACCCCGCCAAGGAAAGCCTATAACCCGCCGGAAGTCAACTGAGGCATAGTAGGAATTGGCTGGCGAATATACGGCAGGGTTTAGTGGAGCCGACCCAGAATAACCTTGACCTTGATTTTGAGAGGTGGGCAACTCTTCATCAACAGAAATATCACGCGGAGAGTCTACGGATGATTCCTGAGCGGGAACTCCAGATGGGGTTTTCGTCTCCATCAGTCTTTCCATGAATTCCAATGGGGCATCAAAGAAGATATCGCGATAGTGAGAGTCGGCGACAACGGAATTGAAAGGCGCATGTCCGGTGGCGACAACAGTGATGGGGCCCTCGATGACAGTACTGCCATTAAAGTAGGTGAGATAGTTGAGGTCTCGCAAAGGCTGCAACTGATCGGAAACGACGGGCCAAAGAGTAGGCCCATCAGTTTTGAAGTCGATGAGGAGGACGAGGGATCGGGATGGCTCGGTATCGAAAACGCCGTTTCGAGGGCTATCGAGGGAGGGGTGGAAGGTGGTGATGGGGTTTTGTTTCTCGAGAATCCCGAGTAGAGGGTTGATGTAGAGGTTACGCAGGGTTCGCTCGGGGGTGAGTGAGGCTGTTGAATGGCCTACGAAGAGATCGTCATCGAAGAGCCAGACGTCAGCCTCTACTCCTGTACATCCTGCGTTAAGAGCAGAAAAGAGAGGTTCTTTCCGCCAATAGTCATTGTGTGAGTGGCAGGCAACTGGTTGTACGTCTCCGGAGAAATCGGTGGGCCATCGCCCTAATTGTGAGGGGACATATTCGGTTGAGCTTATTGCTTCGAACGAGTCATCAAACTCATCGGGGAAGAAAGCCGTGAGAACACCACAGGCAAGGATGATAAACTCGACGATTCCACTGTTAGGTCTATTAGTCAAAATTTTCTCTATATGGCAAGTCAAGAATAGCTCACAGAAGCATCAGGGCAATTGCCAACAGGCGTAAAACTCTTCTCAGTGGAGAGGGCCGGTTGGACTTGTGAGGCTGCTCGTATGTGAATTCTGTTTTGTGATTTCTGCGGCCTAGGCAAAAACATCGTGTGCAAAAGTCAAGTCTGGAGAAGCGCCGACTACTCTTCGAGGAGGTGAGATCGTCTCCATAGCCCGATTCCGAGTCATGATGTAGAGTAAATCGAGTAATGGAGACGGGGAAATTTTTCAAGGAATCGGAACTCTGGGTAGTGGGGCTGCGGAAGACGCCATTTTCTAAGTCGGGGCTGCGTTCAAAGGAGGGTTCCTGCGTTAAAAAAGGTACACGCTCCAGGTCTTGGGATGATTCGTTATGAGAGGCAGCATCAAGGCTCTTGCGGAAGTCTCGGAAGGGTGACAACGAGGATTGTGGCATCTCGATGAGGCTGCACTGCAGCGAAGCGAGCAGAGGACGACCGGAGAGTGGGATGTTGGAGGTGGTGAGCTGACAAACCCCAAAGGGTCCGTCAAAGGTTGCCAGGCACTGCGGCACTGCGGCACCAGGTGGGTATTATTGCGTGCCAGTGCGAGGCCACAGACCTTCTAGGTGGCTGGATTGGGCCAAGAGACCACTAGTTGGGAAGTCTGGATAAGAAGTTAGTCACTGTAGTGGGTGGTTCAGTGGGGAACAGCCGAGGATTGCAAAAGAGGGTCTGGGTCTGAAAATGATCCGACGCGGAGTGTTCGGTGTGGTGTACCTTTGAATGGTGCTAGAGATGCCTCGACGGTTGGCACGTTGGTCTGGTTTGCAACAGCCAGCGTTTGCTGCTTGTCGTGCGAAGATGTTGTGTTGGTGTTTACGCCCGTCCGTTGGTTGTGGTGGCACTTTTCTGGCAGCCACGTAGCTTAGGTCAGCCGCAGTGGGAAGCGTTTTCAGGTGAGAGCGCAGACGCTGGCAAGGCAGGGGAGCGCGCAGGTGGTGTAGGCCAATTCAGTCGTGTACAGACATTGGCCCCAAAACGGTACAACGGCCAGACAGACGAATGAGGGGCAGCGTTCAACGGGTGCAGGTGAATGGCCAGGTAGTGTAGAAAGTCAGCAATTCTACCGTGAATGCACAACGCATAAAAACAGGTTGGTCGGTTTCAACGACAACAGCAAAATGAGGATGTGTAAATTGTGAGAGAGATCAGAAAGTCGGCAGGATTCGGTCGAGGTCGTTGGTGGCCTCTTAAGAGCGAACAAAGTTTGGCAGCAAGACGGAGTAGGTTTGTGAGGGAGTCTGGACTCTCAACTCTTGGGCTCTTTTGCCTCTGGACTTTACATTGTGCCCGCTTCCGAGTCATCGACTGGCATTCCTACCAGGCTACGGCCACCTGCCAACCGCGTACCAAGCTTCCAACCCAGGAGCTAGCACCGAGCCATCACCCAGAAAACGCAAACACCGATGCGCGGTCATACCGCACTTTACTGGTGTCGAGACTTGTCACTGACTACAGAGGACGGCAGAAAACGTGCTGGACATAACTAGCCCCCGAAGCGATGGCGTCGTGCATGTCAGGAACATTTCGGCAAATTTGCCCAAAGGATTTAGGAGTCGCCAAAGGATCGTGGAAGGATGGCAAAGGAATGGCTCAGGATGGAGGAGGAATGTGCCAGTGCCACTTGTGTTTCCCACAGCCAAATGGCACGCAATGACGCCCTCGGCCCTAACATTCTAACGAGTTGCTGGGGGTGTCACGGGTGCATGGCGACGGCGGGGCCAATGAGTCAAAGGACTCCAGGGTCCAACGAGTAGCATCGACTCGAGTCCCAAGGCTAATAATGACGCTTGGTGTGTGGCCTGCACAGGACGGAACATCGAAACGATATGCATATTATTAATTACCTACCTAAGGTGGTTCTAATGGTCTTCAAGGCTCCTCTAGCATTGGGGTCCACCAAATCCTTACCAAATCCGGACCCCTAGTGACATGGCTTTCGCATGGGGATAGGTCACTGATGATGGTTTTATAGGCGTCAAGCTCCAGACGATTAGCACCCACGCTCCTTGGCCCACATTATGACAATCCGAAGACCCGAAGGCCCGAGTGCCCTCCCCAGTAGCACCCATTAAAGGTCCCTCAGGCTTTGGAGCCTCCCTAGCAGCCAAGCAAATTGTCAACTGGGAGTACGTGTCCATCGTGGAGAAACCTAGAAGTCAGTCATCGCAAACCATGTTCAGAGCTATTTTTGATTTCGATAAGGTGGCAATGTGCACAGTCATGACTCTGAAGCTGACTACATACCGATTCACCATTCTTTCTCACATCGCTCGGCTACTACTTAGGAAAATCCATCAGCTGTTCAACTCGGCCGACCTGCTAGTCACTAGACTTGTGAGTGCCCAAGTCTCGGTAGATTCCACCGGGCGCCAGTACTCCGTATGCGTATTCGGGACCCTGACCATACTCTGCAGGTGTGGAAATAAGTGTGGTTGCAATTCAGATTCGAGTGGCCATGGGTCCAGCTTCGAAAGTGTTCCAAACGATTGATCCTTCGCACATGCACCCCACTTCTCTCACGATTGGCTCCCGTATATCCTCCTATCCTTCACTCCACATCCAAATGATCAGCTCTCGCGCCAGATCAATCTAAAATTGCCGGGCGATGACAAACTGTAGAAGCGAAAGCGAAGCAGAAGGCCTGTGATGGTCACTGACAACATCAAAGGCTAGGCACCCCCCAATCCGCTACCCCCGATGACCACTTCAGACTACGAGCCACCTCAAGCGCTTGACCATCCATCGCCCGATAGATATTGATCCTTCAAACGACCGAGTAGGTCTTGTCTTCTAAGCCGCATCCAACGAGTCTCAGCGTCCAGTTGTGATACGCAAACCATCCTGTAAAAAGCATCCGTATTCTCGTCAAGCAGACCAAGCACACCTCACATACCCTCCATCCTCAGTGCGTCTACTATGTACTCCGTACTGCGTCAGACATTCAGGGACTAGTCAAAGTAACCTTAGCCGCGGAGGCAGGCCGACTCTTACCGTGGCTTCGCTCCTCCCGCGTCGCCACCTGCCTGACAATTGTTAATTACTTCTTATTAGTCTCTATGAGTTAGACTGCACTAACAGCAAAATGAGACAGGCCACTTGCATCTTCACAAGACGAGATGTCGTGCTGCCGCACAGATTCCAATCACCGTCGCCCAGGCCCGCACGACTTTTCTCTTGCCCCCATCGGCCAATGTCTCTTCCGCCATAGCAGAAGCTATTTCTCCTGATCCAAGCATTTCAGAGGAATAAAGTTGCGTTTGGTGCGCCATCGTTATGGGCGACTTGGTCCAATTGTCGACCTACTCGTTAGCGGGGACTTTCATATACCCTGCAGGCTGTACATGACCCGACGGGTGCTCAGCTATTGTCGTCGGCTCCATCTCCCGGACATTGGGAGCACCGTCTGGCTTTTCTCGGACAGACAGTGGCGTCTCTGTATACTTGATCGGTCGCCTATACACTTCAAGGTCGCATGGTTTTTCGCCGACTCGGGAAATCCACAACAATGTTGGTGCGAGCGAATCACACTCCTCGGGGTACCGAGTCGATCCAAGCAACCGACCGGAGGACAGACGATACAGGTAATACCGAACACGTCCTGGCGCCCCTTTGCCAAAAACGACCGACAGCAATGCCGCAGAAGTGACCAAGACACCTAGGAGCAGGGATAGCAATGCTGGCACCGCAAACGGCCAGTGATAACGGATTTCTCGATCAAACACCGTTACTGGCACCAACATTTGTTCATCTCCTGTGCTACTCGACTCGTCGCGCTTTTGCAGGTTCGGAGGTGGTGCTGAGCCTGTGCCCCAGCTGCGGGTGCCTACGAACATGTTGGTTGCAATGTCTGTCCAAATCAAATTGGGGATCTTGCTGACACCCTGGGCCGTCTCCGCCAGATCCCTCCACTTGGCGTACAAGGCCATGTTGGAACTTCCAGTGTAGTCGGCAAGGCCCGGGCTGCCCAAAGGCTGATAAATACCTGATAGCACGTCATCCAGTCCATTTGCAGCCGGAAGATTAGAAGATCCTGCTATAGCCGTGGTGAGCAATCCCCCGAATCCTGGAAGGTACAAATGTGACGCGCGGATAGTAGACAGGTTGACCGACTTCTCAAGGTCGGGAGAAATGAGCCCCCAGAGTTGATCCAGATTAGCAAGTGTGTAGTTAGTCGGGCTTTCGACCCCCCACAGTGGCATAGATGCATTGTCTGCATATGTTATGTCTTGGACATCCACAACTGACAATCCCCGGAGCGTGTTGCCTGTATCCGTGGTGACGTTGTACCTGAATTTGGTTTGTTTGATAGAGGCCTTGGCTGTGGTCGCACAGCTGTAAACTGACTGAGTCCACCATGTCAACGGCTCCATCACCAAGCTCTTACTCCCGTCGCGACGACGAGCCGCGCCGAACAGTAGACCGCACTCGACGTGGATATTGGTCAAGTTGGCTAGGTCCGCGCCACCGGCACCCGAGCATATCAAGGAAATGTCTGAATAGTTTGCGCCCGAGATGGAAAAGGGGTTAGAGTAGTTTGCATCTGGGACCTCATCCAAGCTGCGATTCGAAATGTAGGCACCAGGGTCCATCAGCGCGTTGAATAGATTACTGGTATATATCCCATCCAGCTGCAGGCCCCTTACTTGGCCCGGAACGACTCGGTATTTGTCCCCGACTTTGGAATTGAGGTATGCAAAGGCATCGGGACTAGGTCGGGTGATCTGTGATTAGATTGAGTTAGAAATTGATATACGACAATCGAACACGACGATGCTGCACTACTTAGCGCGGCAACCTACGTTCATGATGAGCATTGTGTAAGCATTCACCATCCAAGCAGCTTTGTAAGCTCGGCCCTGCAGGTTCGGATGTGCCTGAGAATCGTGCACATCAACCAGGGGATACTCAGTGACAAGATTGGCGAAACCACCGTTATCGACCAATGATGCATTAATCAACTCGGTGCTGTAGAGACTCCCATATGGTAGTCGGTATTCGATAGAAATATTGGTGTCGACACATGCAGTCTCTGGCTCGATCCAGAGGAGATTTTCGGTCCATTCCGCACCATAGCGTGACTCTCGGGGGGCAGTATGGTTGCGGAATGCCACGCCCCCGGTTTTGGTATTGGCGATGATTCCTTCAAATGGCTCAATGGCATCATTGAGAATGACATTTTGAAGCTGCCTGAAAAAGGTGACTATGTACTTTTCGTCGTTAAGCATCCCTTCTTGAAATTGGTACGAGTACTGTCGGGATTCAATGTCGAAGAAGCTGGACACTGTCTCCGTCTGCTGGGCAAGTCCACTTTGGTAAAGTTCGGCAAGCACACGAGGAATACGCGTGTCGTAGTCGTCGCTCGTAATATTGGCTGACATGAAAGTGTCGTTACCCGAGGTAATGATCTCAACAGTGGTACCAGGACATTGAGCTGGGAGAAAGCCGCCGCAAACCCTAGTGAAGCCGAGATCGCTCCTTGGAGGAGTGCCAAAGCCCATGGGGCCTGGGTCTTGGACATAGGAAAAGCTGACTAATTCTGGCTCCTTGGAGGGGAGGATCTCTTCGTAGAGACCGAGTGGAGTGACGACTGCGGCGATAGTAATCAGCCCCAGAGCCAAAGGGCGAAGCCAGGTGAGAAGTGAGATGGATCGATCGACACCTCTACTCGCTGTGGCGTCTGAGCGAAGGAAGACAGGCCACATGGAACTCAACAAATTGCGTTGTACCACGGACCAGGTGACGGTGGAATGCTCACATCTGAGCGATGCGACGAGGACCACTATAAGAGCATTGGGAATGAGGAATTGGAGAAAGAATATTGAAGCGGCGATGATGCCTGAGATATAGCCGACAGTGAGGGAAAGCATTTCATGAACTGTATGGGCCGACACGAGTAGTGCGAAGACTCAGGAAGGACATGGAGCTCCCAGAGAAACACTGTCTTCTGTTGGCGGGAGTATAAAGGATAAGGCTGCAAGGAGAGCGGCTCTGAAGAAGACATGGGCGGAATACGAAAGTAATACGAGCGATGTGGATAAAGAGGTTGGACCTGGAAGGGAGCATGGATAGACAAGACAACCAGGACCACGCCAGTTGCCAGCGCGCACTTCGCCATGGATGGGAGGGCCAAGGGAAATCATTCTCAAGGGTTCAGAGTGATGATTCGACACTGGTGGAAAGATTGAAGCGATGATGGCATGTTACCGTAGTGGCAGGAATTAATTCTTGGCTGGTGCCATGAACAGGCATCGGACGGGATGGCCAGCATGCTGTGCTTTGAAGATGGGGGCCAGAACTGGGGACCAACGATTATACATGCTGTACTCACCAAAACGAGATCTTTCGTGAATGAGACACTGTCAATCTGAAGACGGGTGTAGGCCAGAGCTGCTCGCCGCAAATTTCAGTCGTTGGTATGGTGACAGCTTCGAGGACGGTCTGAAATTGCAGGACTTGGACAAATAGGGCAGAAGCAGTTAACCTTTGGTTCGGCTAGGAATGGAAGCTCAAGGTGTAGAGTGTGAAACAGCAACGTGCGCATTCGTAGGCTGCGGTCCCACTCGAATGTCCAATGATATACCGTAGCCGAAGATCATGAGATGCCCGGATCCCAGCAAGTTGCGGAAGATACTCGAGCTCGATATGGAATCGCGACCGGGGGTGTCTTGATCGGAGGTGGGATGAGGCTGTCCTACCATGACCCTGGAGGAAGGGCATGCTAAGCGCGTAAATTGACCACAAAACTCGTGAGAATGGCGCACAGGGATCAACTCCCTTCTCATCTTTAGACTGACGAGAGTCTTGGGGACACAGTAGTATCTTGACAGAATGAGAATGGGACGGCGTTTCTTGAGTTGATGATTGTGGACAACAAGAGATGAAGCAGAAACAAAGGCGAAAAAGATGCAGCGGACGCGTGCCTTCCTGGTCCAAGACTCAATCATGACGGGCTCGTCGCTCCTGCCCTTGCAGTATTCGTGTTAATTGCACAAGTTGGGCAACCGCAGGCAAGGCAGACACGGCAGGTGATGTGGCTAGAGGGACAAACCCCCAGTCGTGTCTCCAGCAGTTCTTTTCCATAGGCAGGTTGGCAAGAATTACTCATACTGTGGACCGTACCTAGGTAGGTAAGGTATACAAGGGATTGTCAACCCATTATTTGGCGCCACGGCTCATAACCAGATCCCTGTGATCCCTCAAATAATACTCCGTACGGAATACGCTGGAGCCAACTCTTGGCCACCTGAAGTCCCTCGGTCCTCTGGTAGGCAGGCGCGGAGGGGTATTGACTACAGATGCCAAGACTGCACCTGAAGTCATCAGCTGACTTCTTCCAGAGCCAACTGCGCATACTCCGTACAGTTCAGTGTCTGCTCCACCTCTTTTCCTACATCTAAGGAGATATCCCCACGGATTCACACGCATCATATGTCTCATGTGTCCACAGGAAGAGAAGAATTTCAGTTGATTTAGGTTCCTTCTTGAAATTCAGCCCGATTGTATTCTTTGGGGCTACTCAGAAGGGAGCAAGTCGCAGGGAGCCAATCTGTCAAGCCTCGTGAGTTGTTTACTTATGTCACCCTCCCCTGGTCCAAGACACGAATACATCAACTCTTGAGACCGAAAGACATACAGCTACAATGCTGGCTCGCCAGTTCACGAGAAATTTCGAGTAGGGAGGTTGGCAAAGCACGGACAAGTCATCAATTCTCATCAACACATGAAGTCATTGTCAGTTTCACCTATGCAGTACATCGTCCGCTGTCATTGGTCGAGATCCAGGATTCTCTTCAAGTGGAAAATGACCATGTATGATGGTCCAACGCTTCCACCGAGGTTCAAAACAGAGAAATAATATCAACATGAGGGGGCGCAGTTTCCAAGCGACTGTATCAAACCTACCGTCTCCCTCCTTTAGAGCGGTCCATTTGGATGGATCAGGACTTTAGTGAAGCCCTCAATCCTCTTGTCGAATTTCTCGTACGCAACCTCTGCATCCTCGATCCCAACCTCGTGGCTCACTACAAATGATGGCCTAGCCTTGCCCGCAATGATCAAGTCTCGAAGATATCGATTGTACTGCTTCACGTTGCACTGTCCAGTGGCCAGCGACAATCCCTAGAAATCATGTCAGATTCTCCCTCCTCTACAACCGTCATCGATATTGTCTTCTTACCTTCTCAAACAACTTGCCAAAGCTCAAGCTGATCCGACCCTTGGCACTAGCTTCATCGGGCGCACCAGGGTCCGTTGGGACATAGAGACCTAGGGTTCAGGTTAGTTGACCGTTCGGTAAGCTTATGGTCTCTATCAAACCTGGAATTCCCAATCCTCCGCATGCTCTTGTGGCTTTGATCATATTCTCCAAGACGATGTTGGGCTGCTCCGTCGTGCCCCCCATGTCGACGGCTTGATATCCAACAGCGTCGACAGATCTATCCACCTCTCCACCATTTTTCTCGATGATCTGAGCCACGGCATCTCCTTTGCTAAAGTCAATCGGAATCGCTCCAATCTTTTGTGCTACCTGCAGCCGCTCAGGTACCCGGTCGACGACAAACACTCTACTCGCTCCCCGCAAAGTCGCCGAATACGCCGCCATGAGACCAACAGGCCCCGCTCCGAATACCGCAATCGACTCCCCTGGCTTGAACCCGCTCAAACTGACACCATGCCATCCCGTTGGGAAGATGTCAGCCAAGAGGATAAAGTCGGCCTCGAGCTCTTTACCAGGCGGTAGTTTCAAAGCATTGAAGTCGGCGAATGGGATCCGTATATACTGCGCTTGTCCACCTCGGTAAGGACCTGTTACACGTCAACAATCCCGTATGATGGGCAAGTGATCGCAGATTCAGACTCACCCATGCTAACATATCCGTACGCGGCCCCGGCAAAACCGCTGCCATTGGCGCCCGTACAAAATGCTGTCCGGCCCTCCTCGCAATTGCGACAATGGCCATCAGCGACATTGAAGGGCATAACTACCCTGTCTCCCTTTTGCAAGAGACTCACACCAGAGCCAAGTTCTTCAACGATTCCCATATTTTCATGGCCTGGCAATTAGTCAGTTTGACAGTCTTTCGTTAGAAGCGTGACATTGCCCTGCGACAGTCAGAAGTGAGACCTCTTACCGAAGGTGATGCCAGGTTGAGCGCCAGTTCTTCCCTCATACTATGACACCAGTCAGTGATTAATGGTTTGATGGATGCCCACAGTGTGGTCGATATCTATCCACTGACCATATGAAGATCAGACCCGCAGATGGCTGTGAATCATAGTGAGTATAATCATCATCTTGCAACTTGAGTGCCCACATGCATCTGTAGCGAGGTGAGCAGCGCAAAGACTCACCTGCTGTAGTCACCTTGACAATGACATCATCTGGATGTTCAATCACAGGCATGGGCACATCTTCAACCTTGACCTTGAAGGCTCCTTGATAGTTGACAGCCCTCATAGTTCCCGTTGACACTTGTGTAGCTGACATGATTCCTTGATGGACACCAGCTCACTGGGCTCAGGGTGGATTAAGTTATTGAATGGGGTGAAAAGATATAGCTTCTAGCCGACAAACTCGTGAATCACGCGTTTTTGGAATCACCAGTATACCTAGATAAAGTATGAAGAATCTAAGTAACCAGAACACATCCCTTTGAATCAAGATCCCTTTTTATACTTTTACACATCAGCAAAACACGACGTCCTCCACCCCCTCGCTTCATCCAAGAGTTCTCTCTCCACTGCAACGTTCTCCAGGAGGGATGATGATGTATCGCAACCCCGATTATGGTTCACAAAGGTCATGAAAAGCGGAGAAATGCTGCGTCTTCTCCTCTCCTCCTCCTCCTTCTGCAAACATTGCTGGTCTGTCGTGTCTGTCTTAGGGGGGGCTTGGGTCCTTTTTTGGGCTTGATCTTCCGGTCGCTTCCATGTTTGCGTTTGCGGGGTAAAAGATACATGATGCCTAAATCAGTACAACGTACCCAAGGACCCTTGGGACCCAAGGCGACCAGTAGGTAAGGTAGGTAAGGTAGATAGCCTATTGGTACCCTGGCTGGTCCAGTCGCATCCTACATCCCCATACCTAACCAAACCCTTCCTTCGTTTGTCCTGTAAGCAAAAATGTCGCGTAAGTAATGAAAGCAAAGGCGAAAGTGAAAGCGAAAACGAGGCCATGTCAAGGGCGTCACTCAGTAATCATCAGTCAGTCAGACAAATATGGAGTCTCACCACCAAACCAAACCGTATTGCTGACTGACTGACCCCTCTCTCACACGCATATACTAAAGGAAGAGACGTCTTGGAGAACCAAAGTCAGAACAGCAGAAAGAGTCAGGGTCGTTAGCTGGACCAGCCCCAAAACAACCAAGGCCACCGTTTGCCATGCATTCGGCAGATGCATTTACATTGAACTGCTTCACTGAAAGACGAATGTCGCTCGCATGGACCATGGTGGTACGACGATAGGATCCCTGGCTCACCTCAGTATTTGACTTACTACTGGACGTTCGGTCGTAAAGCTTCAACCGATGGACGCCATACAGCCCTGGTCTACACATGGTTCATAGCCCCATATTCGGTGTAAATATACCGAGAATCTCGAATCTCGACTTCCGTCGGGTTCACTGGACCAGAAGTACATCACTTTCACGTAGCCACGCAATCGCACCATCACTTATTAATTGAAATTTCTTGTATTGGGCTAGAAAGCACTCGAAGTACTGCGGGTGGTTACAGCAGAGCATTGATTGAAACTTGGTTGCCTGGAAATTTGGCTGCGTCTGCCATTTCATACATCACTCCAATCTCCCCTTTGGATGATGTGCGAGCTTGATACTCGAATCCTCCCCAAACGCTAACGCCTCTATCGCATGCTGGGTCCGGTGTTGGTGTTGGTGATATGTCAACTGGGTTTGGGGGGTATACATGATGGTGAATCTTGGTGTTGGTCGTAGATATTGTCGCATTCATCGTGAGGCCGGTGGGTAAGTGCGATTGTGCTGGATGTGTGAAATGATGGGGGTGGAGGGGCGAGAGAAAGTCCTCGCATGCAAATTCAGCAAGAAACGACGCTGGGGTGCGTCCTGTGAGGCCCAAATGGGGTTCTGGGAGACATCAGGCTGGTTGCTGATAGGCTTGTCACGATTCTGACTGGGGACCTCGGGACGTGGCTAGGGGCTCATCATGGCGCATATTTGGTGGCGGCCATCACAATACATCCCATGATGAGTTTTGAGGCTCAAATTAATCACATGTCCATCGAATCGTTGCCGTTGGCGAAGTTGAACTGGCCTTGAGGCTGGTTTGAGCCGAGGGTGAAACCAGTGGCATTTGCTTGAGGGGCAAGCTCTTCGATATCCGCTCCGGCATCTTCGTCGTCCGAGAAGTATCTCTCGATGATGTTGTATGCCTTCATGTAGATCTCTTCGTTGGCATTGTTTTGGCAATCGTGGATCTTTTCCATGCCACCGACCTCCTCAATAAACAGTGCGTAACGGTTGACTTGAGCTTCGGGAGCACGGGCGTCGGCAGCTTCCTTGTCCATCTCGCCAACCTTCAAAATATTCTCCAAACCGTCCAAGGCGACCTGAATGATCTTATTGTCAGGACAAGCCAATAGGTCGCAGAGTGGTTTGATACAGCCTTGTGAAACCAAGTATCTGATCTGGTCAGGCTTCTGCAAACCTCCTGAAGTGGCGTTTGAGATTGCCCAGCATGCCTCCTTACGGGTCTTGAAGTCACCATTCGATAGGAGATGAATGAGTGGTGGAATAATGCCGGCGTCAACAACGGACTGAATCTGCGTAGAGTTGCCCGCGGTGATGTTTGAGATGGTCCAACATGCCTCTTTACGGATGCCATCCTTTTGAGAGGTGAGAAGAGACATCAGAGCCGTCAAGGCACCGCAATTGATGATGACTTGAGTCTGCACATCGTCTCCGGTCACAATGTTTCCGACTGATCGAAGAGCAGGGGTCTGAACTGAGGTCGAGGCGTGCATGAGGAGTTCGACCAAACGTCTTGGAATGCCTGCTTCGATGACGGCCTGGATCTTATCGTTGGAACCATCGGAAAGATAAGAGATAGCCCAGCAAGCATCGATGAGGACTTCGTCATCAAGCATGTAAACAAGCTTGGCAAGGACCGGAAGGGCGGGTTGGATCTAGGAATGTTAGCTGCGATAGACAAAGGGGGGAGATCAGCGGCGGAAACACTCACCGTATTCCAATCAGGCTGAGGAGTCTTGCCACGGCAGAAATTGCTGAGAGTCCAAGTTGCGTTGCGCAGCATACTGAGCTTGCGTCCATCGGCAATCAGGTTCAGCAGGGGTTTCAGTGCTCCTTGGCTCAACACATAGTCACGGCAAGCAGGACTGTCACCAGCGATATTTCCGAGTGCCCAAACAGCCTGTTCACGAACATCGGGCTCATGGCTGCTGAGGAGTTCCACGAAAATGGGGACAGCTCCAGCCTCGATCACCACTTGTGTCTGCGCTGCAGATCCTGATGCGATGTTTGTAAGAGCCCAAGCGGCCTCAAATTGGACCAATGTGTGGGGTGAGCGCAGGAACTCAACAAATCGACTAACAACGCCGGTCTCGATGACCTTTTCGATGGGAGGGTTGCGTTCTTTGGAGAGGAGTTTTCTGAACTTGGTTGTAGCTTGGATCTGGGCATCAATCTGGTCGGAGAAAACCCCCTTGACCATTTCTGGTAGTTCTGTGCTCAACTGCAACACAATAAGTCAACAAGCGTATGGTAATAGTGGGGAAATTATCTGGTGCATACCTCGCTCTCGATGTTTCCGGCCTCGTCATCGCTATCGGCATCAGCCAATCCACCAATGCCAATCTCTCCATTGCCTCGCTGAACACCTCTTCGCTTGGCTAGATTCTCTTCTCTCTTCTGTCGTCTAATCTCAACTTGTTGTTCTTCACGTCGTCGACGCAGTTCATCAGGCTTGAAACTGTTCTTTGCCTTGAATTGCGTACGTCGATGTTCGGGGATGTACCGCTCGGCCATGGTTGCGTCTGGCAAGAAGAGGTAAAACGGATATCAGAAGACCAGAGTGGATTCCAATGACAGTAAGGCTTTTAGAATAAGCCACTGGGAGAGCAGTGTAATTGTCCAAACGATGGACGATAAACTGCGTTTGTGTTGATTGATTAATGGGGCAAAACAGAAGGTCGCAGAGGTTGATCTGGAATTCATGCCACCAAAGCGGCTTGGCATCTGTCACGTGCCCGCGTGTCACGTCTCAGGTGAAGTGCCCCTCTGTTGTCATGCGTGCCTCTCCTTTTTTCGAATGACGCGTTGCTCCGTGTGCCACTATAGTGATATTAACGTTTAGACATTCCACTTAGTACTACTACGAGATACCTCATTGCCCGCTGTAAGGGGAAACTACCCATGTGACCAATTCGGTCCGGGGCACAACCTCCTAACAATGCCTCAATCATCGGAGAATCAACCTGACAATGATCAAGATGGATCGGGAACAGGGGACTTGTCACCGGCTCCCCTTCCACTTGGCTTCGACGTGCTGACCACGGCCATCAACAACATGAATGGGTTTCACAATGTCATTGGGGTTTGCGTGGACTATATGGACGCGTGCAAATCCAGAGGCACTGATTACACCATCAGATTTACGCTCAACGACCCAAGTTGGAAAAATGGACCTGGCATGAGGTTCCAGTATTTCAAGAAAAGAATGGAGGACTTGCCAGCCATCCAGAACCAAGGTGATGTGGTCATTTTGCGTAACGTCAAGACTTACAATTTTCGAGGGTATGATGGAATATCCTGTAACAGCACATCGTGGACCGTCGTCCCAAACACTGCTTTGAACGATCCAATCCATGTTCTTAGATCCAAATTGAGGCGCCTGAACAATACGTCAATACCCAATGACTCGGAGCTTCTCTACGCAAAGTCCATTGCAAGTCGTCAGTCCATGACAAGCTGGCCTGCACTCAAGGGATCCACGGCTTTACAAATTGAAGCCAACATCCAAGCTAGCGGTGGAACTCCTACTCCGCGAAAGACGAAATTCCGCAAACTCGAGGAACTTGACCAGACCAAGTCTATCTATTATGTGGAACTACTGGGTGAAGTCCGAAGAATCTTCGCTTCCGATAACCACACCGAACTGTACATCACCGACTATACCTCCAATTCTAAGCTCTACGAGTATCGCTCTGGGACAGACAAAGATGCGAGTGGTGACGAAGATCCTAGTGGCCGAGATGGCGACCAATTCGCATATCTCAAAGCAACCAATGGGAATGGCGATGGCGATAAACCGTGGCCAGGACCATGGGGTAAAATGACGATAGATGTCACCCTCTGGGACGAACATCACTATTACGCGGCTAAAAATGTGCGAGAAGGCAGTTTCGTTTACCTCCGCAACGTCAAGATCCAGCATGACAGCGGCGATGGCAGACTTCGAGGCAAATGTCACGGTGAACCACAACCCGTCATCAATGTGGAAGTCCGAAAGCCCAGTGAAGCCCGTACCGACCCTCATATGAAGGCTTTGCTATCCAGGAAACAGATATATGAAACAGAGGCAAAAAGCAAGAATCTGAATGTCACATCAAATGTCTCACATGAGAAGAGGCCACACAGTGATATCAGTGAGGCCATGGATCAGGGACCCAAGAGTAAGAATTCCAAAAAAAGAGCTCGCGGGCGGAAGCAGGCAAAGGCGGCGGCGGCTGCTGCTGCTGCTGGCGAGGAAAAGGAGAAAGACAATGGCAACCATTCAGGATCAACAGCCGAGATACGCAACACAGTTAACCCCAACATTCGATGCCTCAAGAATGAAGTACCCTTGATGTCTCTGAGTGAGATTCTCGATCCTAGCATCTTGGAGAGAAAAACTCCATCCGGCAAAACTTTCAGTTTACCGTTCCAGAATTGCCTGTACAAGAGCAAAGTTCGAGTAGTCGACTACTTTCCAGACGACTTGGCTGACTTTTGCGTCCCACGCCAGAAATCATATCGTGACTGTCTCTCAGATAACGAGGGGGACTCTGGCTGCGAAGCCACTCAATTGGACGAAGATCAAGTTGCATGGTCATGGCGGTTCATGTTGCTGATAGAGGATGCACGGCCACGACCAAATCCGACAGGGAAAGCAAAGGCAGCTCAGATGGAACTTCTTGTTGCAGATCGGGACGGAGATTTCTTATTGAATCAAACTCCCTTCGATACGCGCAGTAAGGACAACGCCGCTGAGTTTAACATATTGAAAGAGAAGTTATTTCACATGTGGGGTGACCTACAGGAGAGGAAGGAAGAAATTGGAAAAAATTCCACAAGTCTCCAATCCAGTTCACGACCTTTCGAATGTCTGATCAAGGAATATGGTGCGAAACTGCCTCGACAAGTAAATCAGTCTGGAGAGGAAGAGTTTTTGAGGATGTTTCGGATATATGGAGTTACTATCTGAACAGGCATGCGGAGATTGGATTTCTTTGCTTAATACGAAGCAGGCTTCATCATCAGGAGGGCATCGAACACATTTTCTGGATCGTCAGTATTACAGCGCCCGTTTTAAATCCGGGCTTGGATGGACAGCATGTGGTCTGGAACGGAAAACATCTCTTATGTTGAGAATGGACTATCCATATGTGCTAAAGGGAGCTGTTTTTCCATCCTTCTTTTCTACGTCATTCGACAGAGGGAGTGCAAGAACGCAAGTCATTGAGGAGAGGCGGCTTAAGGAGCCACAGTTCAGAGAAATTGACCTAAACCTCAATGTGCATCATGTCAACTTGTGCATGTGGCAGTCCATATTCGTCTGATCTTCTAGACGGCGTTCGTCGGGTTCCAACATCGAGATCAATGAGACTGGACGTGCTTCAGTCCTTGCCCACCGTCTGTGAATAAGATGATTGTTTTCACATGGGACGAGGCCATTGTGACAGACCATCACCCCTGTGCTTTGGCGCTTGGCATGGTATAGGTTCTTCTGACCAAGGTCCTTCGCAAGGCACATCGGGTGGCGGTTGGAAAGTGATAGAGGGTCGAGGTGGCAACAATGATTGTCTTGCTTCACCACCTCCACCAAATGCATGATCGAGCATGAGAACACCATGGATGGGGTTCGTGGGGCTTCATGATCTAGTGCTGCAGTCCCCCCAGACTATCCACAGCGGCAACTTTCCACTGCGCAGCTAGATTGATGTGCAGAGTAACTGGATATGGGAAGTGGAAGGCGAGAGGTGTGACTTCCTGATCCCAGGATGGAGAAAATGGGCGAGCTAGGCATAACGCCACGATCAGAGGCAGAAGACTTTCCGGGGAAATTCCAAGCAGTTTGCTCCAAGCCTATATTGAGACTCGGTCTTTGCTAGTAAGTAGTTAGGCAAGATGCCGTCCTCCGCAGCTCGCTGTCTGGGCCGGACATGGATTAGATGGCTCCAGAATCACCAGCGTTGAAGGCTCGCTTACAAAAACACCAATCGAAAAGGGCACTTCTGATACGGTCTTGCTAGTTTCTTGACGAGGCAAGCGATAGGACGGCATGTGTGGATCGGACTTCAAGAAGAGTCGATTCAACTCGCCGGCTTAGAGGCACGAGTCAAGTGTTTGGACATATCATAGGGATGGCAGCGAGTATCCCAGAGGTCTCCAAAGTAAGCGTCAAGACGATTGAAGTAGAATCGGTCGAAGCGGCTCTCTTATTGGGTATCTGAAGGAGATGCCGTGAAAGCCGGTTCGAACGGGATGTTCGAACGAGTCGGTTGACAGTGACAGGGCATATTGAATGGTTGCATGCAATGCAGCCATCCGTGGCATGTTGGACCTGACTGACTCGACGGATGAAAATACTGTATGGGTGAGGACTGGGCGAGTTCCAGCCTTGTGCATTGTACTGTGGGCCGACCGAGGGGACCGCTGGAACGAGCGGCACCTTTTTCATTAAGCAGTGGGCCAAACTGTAGTAAGACGCGGCATCGGTCACTCCCAGAGTCCGCAGAGGCCAGCTAATCGGTAGTCCGTGCCTGGCATCTGTACGGAGTTCACTGGTAACAGGTTATTAGCAAGAGAGGGATGACAAGATCGGATACTTGGCCAATGTTCTCTCTTTGCCATATGTGTGGATTGGTGGGAACTGATAGCCGACAGACCCTCGGCAGGTCTACTTACGACATACGGAGTAGGCATATCTGTGCAGTTGTGTAGTGGCCCTTGGGACAGCTTGGAAGTTGACCGAGTTTCGTCGGCTCATTTCAGGCCGACAGGGCCGAGGTGCCACGGATGCTTCTTGGAGAATCTGATGTGAGTGTGACTTGCTCTGCATGGCTCCAGGTTCCAGGCTCCACGCTGAAAGGCGCTGAACGATTCGGAACTGATTGTGCAGTCGTACAGTATACGCACGACACGTCAGTATCGTGGAGATCAGAGGTCTTGGTTCTCAAGGATTACGCTGCATGCCTCCCTCACGTACTCGGGGTTGCGAGTTCAACAACCACCCGCAGAAATCGCAGGTGTTGTGGGTGACTACGGCCCACCTGGACATTGTGGTGGCAATAAGCAGTTCTCGAAAGCATTCAACTTGCGGGAGCAAAAAATACCACCTGTGCGTATGACCGGGGTTGATGTTTATTTGTGGGAGATCGACAAGGAGATTTACAAGTTGACGTCGATCAAGGCAAGTGAACAGCCGCCACGAGCAGTCTCGATCGGCGGCGTGGCTAATGAGAAGCATAGAGATGCGCCTCCATGCCTTGGGGCTCGTTGGTCGATTGCAGATCAAATTGGATCAGTACGAGATGTCCCATCGCCGCGAGGAGCTGCTTGTCGCCCCAGCGGGTCGAGTATGCGACAGGGTGTCTCGATGCTACCTGGGTCAGGGATTCTAGCAGATGCAGTCGATGTTCAGATAGGTGCTGTAAGTAGGGGCTATTACCATCCGAGGGATCACTGGAGAACCATGCCGTGCATGAGTACGAGTACCAGGTCAGGCGCATCGACCCGCCAAGCTGCAGAACAGCGTCGCCCTTGATGGTGGGAGAATAGGGAGCCACTTACGAAACGGTCGGCCCATCGAGTGTGTTCTGAGTGAATGGAATGTCACCGTGCACGACTGGAAAGGAGCATGATTGGGCGAGGTCCTAGCGGCTCATGGTGCATGAAGAGGTTGTCAACCACCTAGCGTGCCAGGTCGGTATTGGCACTTGGGGAGAAGGGCACGGTGAGGCAAAGAGGCAGCGGATGACTAGTCCTGGGCCGCTTGTAGCGTCCTCGTGGAAGATAGGATCAAGGAAGCTTGTCAGGTGTTTGACTGCGCAAAGCCAACGTGCCCAGACCGTGAGTTGATGGCCGGTGTACCAACGTGGGTAATTCAAGCTGGGCATGGGGAAAGCACCAGAGGAGGGTGGTCTCAAGGGTGGTTTGAATGTGGCCCTGCGGCGGAAAAACACATCTATCTGTTCATAGGTCAATGGCGTGGTCGAACAAGATCCAGATTTGCTCCAAACCTTGATCAGAGTTTCTTCAGAGCTTGTACTCGGCCATGTCACCCTGTCACAGTCGTTCACGGCTCTGTCTAGCACTCTGACCTGGCAAAAGGCTCTGCAGATGCGTACCACTGGCTTCTCCACAAAATAGAGCGCGGGCGATGGAAGACTAAGGTGCTGCTAGCGAGGGAAGCCCGGAAATGTCATTTTGTGCATGCATACATGCATGGCTTTTGATTTGATTTGAATGGGTCCAGGTGACCCTGCACGCCGAATCTGACTGGCGCCCTGTACGGGTGTCCAAGGCCATTGTCGGGTGTGGAAGGATTTTAGAACCTGGAAAGGCCTCTGCCGCGTACTCGGTCAACCAGATTTTGAAACACCAGGCCAAGGCAAGGGAACCAACCCAATGTGGGAGGACGATCTGGGGATGAGAACTGGGGGGTGGAGAGAACGAGAGAACCGAAGGGCGAGCTACTCGCATGTACCTATGTATGTAGGTAGATTGGTACTAATGTACCAGCACTTGTCGGCGCGCAGACAAGTGTCCTCAGGTGTGGTGATTGAATCTGACCAAGAACAGCATCAACTCAGGTCCGCCGTCCCATGACCTTCCCAAAATTTGTTATACTTTTTGCTCCTGCCAGGGTAAGCACTTGGGACTTGGGCAGGCACAGAGGCCATTAGGCTCTTTCGGGCAGGCACATACCTATATTTTCGCAGGGGCACTCCTGTCACGCCCAAGAGAGTCCGGGGTTCTGGGGCCTTGACGCCTCATCAGCATCAATACCTACCTCAGGCATGAAAGACGGAGTGGTTTGCGCTCAGTAGGTACTTATCCTGTACGATTATTACGGTGGAATGGTAATTCTAATTCAACACGATCCAGCAAGCGGCCCTGTCACTATTCAATATCCTCAATATCCACGGCACACGGTGACTTATGCCAGCCATACTTCAACCGTGTGGCGATCATTATGGATGGGTACCAAAGAGGTAAGTCAGGCATCCGTGGTTGGTGTTTGCGGAACTGTCTCCGATATCCAGGTGCACCCATCAAGTGGAAATAAATGTCCAATGCACATTGATCGTCGAGAATTTTTCCTCTCGTTATAAGCGAGTCGTCATCCGACCATGTCGGAATGCTCAATTATTTGAAGGCGTTTCTTTTTCTTTGCCCACTCTGACGTTAATTATCGCACATTACTGTAATTCCAAGGCAAAGGGCCTGGTTTAAATGCCATGTTGTCCCCGGTTCCACTGTGGCACTGAGGCTTCTGGCGTATGTCATGTCATGTCAATATTGACAATATGATTGATATACAGTATGTTGACTTGATGTTTCAACATCGATGCGGCAGTGATCAACTCGAGCTCGCATTCGGCTATGCAAAAAACCCTCCTTCAGAATCGAATCGCCCAAATGGCCAACCAGCCAAACATTGCCACTCGCTTACAAGGCTAGCCTATGTGTAGGTGGAGTTTCAGGGTAGGGCAAGGACAACGGGCAGCAACCATCATCGACCATCGACCGAGGATCTCTATATGTATTCCGTCCACGTTATGTTTATGCGTATTCCTGCACGCTTGCTCTAACTGGAATTGAGTACTTTGCATGGTAACTTAACTGATAATGATTTAGTCTGCACGTCAGGCTTGGAAATGGTTCCTTCCACTAGGCTTGGGTTGGCACCAATAATTCAGAGGCAAGGAGAATTCCCACAGTTAAATCTACTTGTACCACCCATGTCTTTGTGGCCTCCCAGATCTATTGAGGTTTGGGCCATACGGAGTATATGGGGTGATCTCGACTACATATGGCCTGGTTTCTTCTCATGCTCTTTCGCTGCCCAACTCCCAAATGATTCGTCGGGGCAGACATAGTATAGGTCCAAATAAGTAAATGCCTCTTGAATCTACCCCGGCGGGGACAAAGTACCCCGTACTAGCACGGTATCACACCAACGCAGCCCCAGACCACCAAGCTGGCCTAAGTGGGAAAAATTCCCCAACCTCAAGCACACCTCGCTGATTCAATCTCAACCTGCCAATCTCACCATGGTGCCTGGCGTTGGAACGCACCTAACCACAATTAAAAAGAAATACTAATAATGTGACAAGCGCCACGAACCACCAGCCCATGTTCATTGCAAATTCGCGGTCTACATTTGACTTGGATCATCATGGCTGAGCAGAAATTTTTTCAAGTTGTACTCTGGAGCAGACACTTTGACTATTTCGGGTCTTGCCCAGGCTGCACAACATGCATTCCTACAAACACTCATCTCTGATTTCAGATGTGACTTTTGAGCTCGGCATCTGGCCAATGTTTCTGAAGTGCCAATTGATCATGCAACTCCCACCCGGTTGTACCATCCTATGCAGATTTAGTAGGTCGTGGTCGGAAAGGTGGTGCGGATGAGTGCAAAGGGGGAAGGTAGGACTCAATGCTCGGTGGGCCGTGTGGCACCCTGGGGCCCTGGGGTATGTCGTATGGGGGCCCGGTTACAACTGTGAGGTTGTGCACCGACCATGCCGACGGGGCTAAGTTTTAGCGGCCAGAACTCCACTGTGGGGAGCTTTTGACTGGTCACTGGTTTACTGGCTTCAGTGAGAGACAATCCCCGGCACCCGGGGCCCAATTCGCATATGCGCAGTGGGCGTTGAGCGCAAGTGAGCCCCCCCAAGTACTGTATTTGCGCACGTGCAGGTATTGTGTATGCGTAAAGAGTAGAGTATTCCTGCGTCCGGCCATCCTGTACTATTATTGCCCACCCAAGACGACACAATCTGGCCACATGCACCCTGGCAGTGGTTATTGGCAATTTTCCAGGTATTCGCAAACACAAGCGACCATAAGTCACTCAGTTTTGGCCTTTTGACCTTTTCGCCTTCATCCCGTCAACGTCTCCAAGTACTAAGTGTCTAGTCACCAGTCTCGGGAGTCTCTAGCAGTCAAGCCCGTGGCGGGACGGACCCCCTGCCTGCAACGTGCATGGATATAGAGTGCTGGACCTCCAGCCTCTACTGTACGCACACCATCCCCATGCGCATCGTTAGGTGCCGCGGGCGTTCTCCAGCGTCCAATAGGAGCATCATCGGCTCCACACCTGCCCCAGGTTCTTCGTACAGGCCCTTGTGGCCCCTAGTGTGCCCCTCCAACAAGAGACAGGCACCCACCCATCGCCCACCACTCATCCTCAATCCTCAATCCTGGCCCTCGGTCCTCGACTCTCACCACGCCCTCTGCCACCACCACGTCCAAACAATTTCATTCTGTCACTGTTCCTGACTTTCTGTCTTTGCTCAATACTCGACACTATCTTCCAGAAAACACACGCCCGCCGTTGTCGCCCGTTCTCCTCGTCATCTCTCTCAATCTGCGCATGTTGTCCCGCCATCCCGAGAGTAGTGCCCCTCCTTAACGTGGAAGCAGAGATCGAGATACCGCACCGCCCACCCATCGAAAATTCTCACTCTCTCCTCGGCCAGATTGACTTACCTAGTACCAACCATCCGTGCCCTCCAACCACACGCTCCCTCGAAGCATCGACTGCAGAACCAACCGCAGGCCAGAACCTCCTTCCTCTGCCACAACCGGCATTTTATACTCTACTGCTACTTGCTCGCAGCTCGTGGGTACCCTGCAGATTCCCAAGACCACTTGCCTGTGCCGCTACCAACCACTGTTCACGCCCACCCACCTCTGACGTCCAAACTCGGCCCAGCTTCTATTCCCTAACCCTCCTACCGGTCACCATCAAAGGACATTAGTTGTCCCTCGGTCACTTCCTTCTGCAATTTTGGTATACTTTGTTTCTTGCGGCCTTGACTTCACTCTCGACGGCCTCAGCCTTGGGTAAGCGACTCGTTGTACATGAAACCTACCTTACGTCTACTCCCATCCGGGTGGACTCTTCCTTGTCTTCTGGCTGACTCTCCCCGGACCAGATTCAGATATCCATTCGTGTTGATAGATCTTCCCTCCAGCCCTAGCTGACGCCCGCGCATACACGCGCTCCATCTCCCGGACTTTTGTGTGTATCCTTTTGCGGCAAACACATCACAGAAACTCCCCGCACACTGCGACATAGCCTTGCGCGAGATCCTAGGGCAGGTACCTTGATTCGAATCACCGAGACGAGACCCGCCCTTTACGATACATGGCAACATAGGATCAGATCCTATACAACAGTCCTCTCCTCCATATCCGCTTTGTCATATACCACCTAAGAAGTGCTCGAGTTGGGAGCCTCGTATGCAGTTCACTGTCCCTAGCGCCACTTTGCAGACCCGTCCAGGCCACTAGCGGAGGAAGCACATCTCCGGGGCATAGGAACAGCCATTCGAAAGACTGCAATTAATGGCAGCACTGGTAGAGGATAGTATTCCCGCTTTTGGCGAGGGGCGCACTTCGTCACCAGACGCTATGTCTGGCCAAACCGTGGAGATCAAGCCTGCAAATGGTATATCGAGTCTTGTGGTCGTATCGATACAGTTGACTGATGTTTGATATTGTAGGCAGCAAAGCCCCGTCGGTAAATGGCTCGACCACATCAAGTACCGTCCCAAGCACGACATTCCCACCCCCGAAGACTGACAAACCTCGTCCGCACGTCTGTACCACTTGTACCCGCTCCTTTGCGCGCCTGGAACATCTAAAACGACATGAACGTTCCCATACCAAGGAGAAACCGTTCGAGTGCCCAGAATGTACCCGTTGTTTCGCCCGTCGCGACCTCTTATTGCGCCATCAACAGAAGCTTCACTCAACCACCACCCCTGCTTCACGTCCACGCGGTGGACGCCGTGAAAGTGCAGCCGGCGTTGCGACCGGCCGTGTCAGAAAGAACTCGACGGTAAGCAACACCACGCCCATGCGCCCGAGAGCCAATACCCTGAGTCACGTCGACACCGCCACCATCGGCATGCTTGCACATTCATCTGGGAGTTTCGGACGTCAATACATGTCCGGACACCACCATCACAACAGCATGAGCATGCTTGGTGGACCACAGGGCTTTCAATACCGAGGCATGCCCTCTCAATCTCAGGGCCCAATGCCCAACCTCCCCAAGTTGGATACGCAGACTACTTCGATGGATCTCTCCAGTGGTCTACGCACTGCTCCTCCATACGGCGGCTTTGGTGCCGAATTTGACATGAGTAGCCTAGGCTTTGGCTCCGACCTCGACAGTACCATCAACCCTCACGCTCTTCACATGACCGGTTACAGCGGTATGACGATGGATGCCACCTCAACAGCGTACCAGCAGATGTTTCCAAGCATGGCTTCGTCACAAGCAATCGTGGACGACGATGCAAGTTTCGACTGGATCGCCCAAGGCTTCGAAAATCAGATGACCTTCTCTCATGCCAATGAGAATGCAATCGATGATTCGTCTCCGTCAGCAATGAGCACCAACAGTCCGCCTGCTATCCAAGACTTGCTGGGTGACAATAACATGTCCATGGCACACAATGGTAACATGTGGTCACACTCGCTCAGTGGCCCAAGCCAGGCCATCAATAGCCCTGTCGGTATGGACCTGATATCCAGCTTTAACGAGATGGTCAATGCTCCACTGGGGACGATTTCCCCCAAATCATTACTGGGTCAAGGGGGTACAGTAGACATGAATTTGCAAAGCCCGGCTGAGATGTCTGGCCTTGATCAAGGCCCCATGCAATCCGGATTACACTTTACAGGTTTCCAGCTTCCTCTAGGTCAGGATGGTCCGGCGTCAACAACGTCCAACACTTCGCTGGACAGCAGTCTACGTCAGAGTTCCATCACAACTGCCTCGTCGGAGTTGGTGAACGATCACATTCGCAATGTTTTGATCACTGGACTGGCTCAGAATGCCGGCTTTGGTCAACGAAAATATTCCCAGCCCGCCATCAGCTCACCGCTTTCCCCAGCTTCTGGGGCTCGCTCCAAAGGATTCAGTCCCAGCACCTTTCCCAATACGCATGATTTGCAACGCTACGTGTCTACGTACATAAAGTATTTTCACCCCCACCTTCCCTTCCTTCACATTCCTACACTCAACTTTGGGTCTCCGGAGTACACCACCCCTATCAGGCTCGTCTCAGGCCAATCTCACATGGGACACGCTACAGTCGCGGGCGGAGGTAGTTGTTTGATCTTGTCCATGGCTGCCATCGGTGCCTTGTACGAGTACGAGCAATCTCAGTCGAAGGATCTGTTCGATTGTGCGAAACGCCTCATCAGCAGCTACCTAGAAGAACGGCGCAAGGCAAACATGGCCAAGACGCAGTTTGCACCCCGGCATTCCTCAGAGCGGGAGGACACGCCCCTATGGTTGGTGCAAGCTATGCTATTGAATGTGATCTATGGCCACAATTGCGGGGACAAGACAGCTGCCGAGCTCGCCAGCAATCACTGTGCAGCGCTAGTCAGCCTTGCCCGTGGTGCAGAGCTCGCACGACCGCCGCAAGGCTACGGCGGGTTCACCAACGATGCTTTCAATGGCAGCATTCACATGAATGGCCTCACCAACGCCGGCTGGAATTCGATGACGAACGAGTTTGATGACTCGGATTGGCTCGAATGGAAGGCAATGGAGGAGCGCAAACGCACCTTGTATGCGGTCTTCATTCTCTCGAGCATGCTGGTGACCGCGTACAACCATCCTCCCGCATTGACTAATTCCGAAATCCGTCTCAATCTTCCTTGCCATGAGGAGATGTGGTCCGCAGAGTCGGCTCGTTCGTGGCGCGAGCTTGGCGGGGCAGCGCAAGCAGAATCCAATCAAACCACCTTTGCCGAATCGCTGACCCATCTTTTGATGTCGGCTCCACGGCAGAAGCGCAGGAACAGCACTACCCCGAGTATGGGTCCTCCGGGAGAAGGTGAGTTGCGGCCGAGCACGTTTGGTTGTTTGATTCTTGTCAATGCCTTGCACAATTACATATGGGAGACTCGTCAACGGCATTTGGGAAGGCAGTGGACCAGTGGCGAGACGGAACAAATGCACGCCCACATCGAACCAGCACTTCGAGCGTGGCAGGCAGCATGGGCAATGAATCCAAGTCACAGTCTGGAGCGGCCTAATCCATTTGGAGCGGGACCCCTGTCAGCCGACTGTATTCCCCTGCTGGATCTCGCATATGTACGTCTGTTTGTGAACCTGGGAAGGTCAAAGGAAGCCTTCTGGCAACGGGACTACGACGCGATGGCGGAAGAGCTCGCAAAGGGTCCGGACCGCATCTCGGACCCGGAGCTCTCCGGCGCCATGTCGGACAATTCCCCCAGCCATGGTCTGTCGAACCAGACGAAGGTTCATGGCTCGCTGGAAGAACCGTCAGAGCGGAACCAGGCGGACTTTGTCGACACTTCAAGCCTCCAGCACTCGCCACCATCTCGAAGAGAGCGCCATCTTCGTAAGGCTGCGTTCTACGCAGCAGATTCGCTGTCCATGTCCGACAAACTTGGCCTCAGCTGGGCGGAATATTCCTCCCGCGAATTCCCCACCCAGTCTGCCATGTGTGTTTTCGACTGTGCACAGGTACTCGCAGAGTGGATTGCAACTGTCCAGGAACGCGTAGGCAGATATCTCGGCATTATTGGCCGGGACGCCATGGACTTGGTCGACATGCCAGCCGGGCTACTTCTCGAGGATGAGGACAGGGATCTGATTAGCAAGATCGACGAAGTGCTTGGAAGTGCTGAACAGAAAATCGAGACTCGCAGCGGCCTTGACTTTACCGCGGCCCGCGAAGGAGGACTGGGCAGCCGAATTCTCATGTTAACGGCGTACCTGCTCGAAAAGGACGCCGTCTGGCCAGGTAAGAGAGTTTGACAGCGATGTGCATCTGGTGTGAAGGCTAACCCGACTATAGTGTTCAAGATCATGGCCCAATCTCTTGAGACGCAAGCGGGCCACATTCGAGAGCGGGCGTTGCGCTCTGTGTGCAGTATTTAGTGCTGTGGTGGCAGCACGAGACCCAGCCGGTTCGAGGCTTTTCCTGACTCGCCATTTACAGGCAGTGTCTTCTGGGACGAGATTTGCCGACGATGATTCGGCAACAGTACATAATCTTTGCGAGGACATAGGAACGCGATATACCCCTTTACGAAGTTGTCATGAAAGTTACTGGACTCGGTCATGTTTATGGGGCGTTGGTGATCTAAAAGTACAATTTTTCGGGGTCGATTTGGCAAACTTGTAATTTCTTGTTTAATCATGTATCGATGCTAAATGCAGCGGACCTGGGACGGCAGATGTCGAGGGCATTACATCTTGGGAGCAAGGAAGGATTCACATAATGTTTTGGATGCTCCAAGGGCTCAGCATTTCTAGGGTGGCAAAGGTCAAGGATTGCATCAGCGCTGTTGCCTTGATTGTTTCCAACCTGGGCCAAAAAGTTTGACCTTTGAGGAGGTTTGAGGTTGCCGACAGTCCTGGCCGAATTGGCAACTCATGAGGTTCAAAGGTTTGATGGAGTGAATGTGATATTGTACCATACAAGACAGCTTCTCCTGTAGCCAATGGACTATATATATAATTACAGCGTCATCTGTCTTCCCTTGACGGGCGCGTGGTCCACGGATGAACGAGAAAGAGGTCCCACAACAAGGGGGACCTTGAAACATGACATCAGTAACCCGGAAATGAAGGAACTGTCGGTATGGAAATGCAGCCCTAGATACGTAACTTGCACAAAGTCGGGGTTGATGGGACCTTGCTGTCAGCCCAGGCTAGAGCAATGGGAGTTACAGCATACGTTGGACAGAGGAGTGTCAAAGGAGGGATGCATGCATCGAGTTGTAACCAGTCTGGACTTGAAGTGACTAAGTTCTCGGCAATTTCTGAGGTCATCAACGCTTACGAACATGATTCATTGATTACTTGACCAGATGGAGAACCTTGGTGCGGGTAACAACTGAGATCGACAGGGCTTCTCCAGGTTAGATATCGCCATTCTTAGACGATGAAGACAAGGGCATACCGAGCTACCATAGTTCAGCACTTTGACATGGTACTTGTAGCGCACCAACACCAGGTATGAAGCAATCGAATGGGTATCTCCAAGAACCACGGAAAAGACCTTTGATCCCACTCACGATTCACAAGTCCAGACCTTTGTGATAGTTCAACTCGCTGGTGATTGGTTTTGGGTTGCTCGCTACAAAAGGCTTGAGTTGACTGTTTGGGCTTAACTACATATCTAAGCCACCTAGCTTACGCCTATCTCTGCGAGCTTCCCAAGTTCTCACCAACAGCACGATCGATCCCGGATAGTTTTCGGCCACTTCATACCCTATACGACGGTTAACGAGCCTAGACCCTGCCAAAATCTTAGATTCAGACCCATGAAAGAAAAAAAAGGAATTCTCCTTATCAGTTTAAGGTAATCGTGGATGGCATAGTGAGTGTCATTATTATTTCGGACTGGTAATGGAAGCACAATGTCGAGTTGAAACTGTCAGGGAAGCCATGATGGGATCAATACGGCTCCTGCCTGGATTATGGAATTGCAATCGCCACGCTCCTGCCTTTATTATTAGAGTGTCTTGGGAAGTCACAATATTATGCCGGGGTGCCGCCTTCCTCCGTACCCATGCATCCATCAGAATGGGTCGCTCTTTCCCGCAGGTTGTGGATTGTGGATTGTTTGCCTGCGTTCCTGTTCGTTGCTTCTTCCAGTTTCACTCTCACAAGGCAGACAGACCCAACATTCACTTCCGACCTTTTACAAGATAACCTACGGGACCTACGGGACCTACGGCAAACACATTACTCCAGTTGGGGGAATCCTGACATCAAGGGTTGAGAACCCCATCTCCTCCATGGTGACATGGACCTGGTTGGCTCCCTATGCCCCTCTAAGTGGTTGAGTGCAAGGGTAATGCCCACGCCGCCGACGCTGCCTACCAATCCGACTCGCCCTAAAAGACCCTCCCTATCTCCATCCACTCCACCCACGAGACGCCGAGCATTTGGCGGCCCTGCGTCCGCTCCGACAAGCACGTCCTATCGCTGCTTGGCGTTGTCTTTTCTCGCGTCCCAAGGATACCAAGCCGTGCAAGCTCTGCTGCTGAGTGTGCTTGCCACGATCAAGACGCTGTATCATTTGGCCAAGGCTCTTGGTCTCTAGATTCGTCGCCCTACCGCACCTGTTCAATCTCGAAGCCCGTCGATTACTTTTAAGACCCTCCACCCCACCCCGTTCCCTCATTTTCTACAATCCTCCGGTCCTACCGGTCTCACTCTCTCTCCCTGCCTCCTTCTTGCCTGTCGGACATCTCTCTTTGTCCGGGTCGACCGAACCATCCTCCCACCGGTCGAGATTGGAACACACTTGACCTGAATGCATCGCATTTCAGAGCCATCTTGTGATCCGGACCAGAAAAAGGACAGTGACTGGGGCTGAATAGCTGCCTGCACATACCATCCCAACCAGTCCCGGAAAGACGGACGTCCAAATACCCCTGCTTCGCTACCAGCATAACTATTATCGAGGAGGAGGCTGTCACCCTTCCCATTTTGGCTTCCACCGTCGGCAACGCTAGAACCCACGGGGTCTCCTCTCCAAGTCGGGTCCGCCCCTCTCGGCCTTCACCATGGCGTGGGATCATTTGTCCATCAACAAACCACATCTGGTCTATATCATCCTCGGAGGCTTCACTAGCATATTCATGCTATGCTCGCTCTTCATCAAGGAGAAATTGTACATTGGTGAAGCAACCGTGGCGACGCTCTGTGGTGTCATATTTGGCCCGCACGCTGCTGATCTCATCGACCCGCGGACATGGGGCAACGTCGATCAGATCACCTTGGAGTTCTCGAGAATCGTTCTCGTGGTCCAGTGCTTTGCCGTTGGCGTCGAATTGCCCAAAGCATACATGGAACGACATTGGAAATCTGTTGTGTTCTTGCTCGTGCCAGTCATGACTTTTGGCTGGCTTATCACCAGTCTCTTCATTTGGTGGATGATCGAGCCCCTCAGCTGGCTTGAGTCCCTCGTTTGTGCTGCATGCGTCACTGCAACCGACCCCGTCCTCGCTTCCTCTGTCGTTGGCAAAGGTAAATTCGCCAAACGAGTACCTAAGCATCTAAGAGATCTCCTGTCCGCCGAATCCGGTTGCAACGATGGCATGGCTTTTCCCTTTATCTATCTCTCGCTCTATCTGCTGAGATACGATCTTTCAGGCAGAGAGGTCGTCTTCCATTGGATTTGCTTCACTATTTTGTATGAATGTATATTTGGAGCGATATACGGCGTTATCATTGGTTACCTCGGCCGACACGCCATCAAATTTGCCGAACGCAAGGGCTTGATTGATCGGGAAAGCTTCTTGGTGTTTTACTTCGTCCTGGCTTTGTTTTGTGCCGGCTCTGGCAGCTTGCTGGGCATGGATGATCTGCTGATCGGCTTCGCCGCTGGAGTGGGTTTCTCCAACGATGGCTGGTTCACTGAAAAGACGGAAGAGTCTCACGTCTCCAACGTCATTGACCTCCTCATCAATTTGGCTTACTTTGTCTACTTCGGTACCATCATCCCCTGGGAGCAGTATAACTCCCCGGCACACGGCATGGTCCCTTGGCGGTTGGTGGTTATTGCCCTGTTTGTCCTCCTCTTTCGTCGGATTCCCATCATGTTGGCCCTGAAGCCTTTCATTCCAGATGTGAAAACTTGGCGCGAAGCACTCTTCGCTGGTCACTTTGGACCCATCGGTGTCGGCGCCATATTTGTCGCCATCCTCGCTCGTGCAGAGTTGGAGTCGGATTCTACCGAACCCTTGGCTGTGCTCCCAGAGCCTGGCTCAAAAGACTATGATTTGATATACTTGGTCTGGCCAATCACCACATTCCTCGTTATCACATCCATCCTTGTTCATGGATCCTCAATTGCTGTCTTCACCCTGGGGAAACGAATCAACACCTTGACTATCACTCTTTCATACACACAGGGCAACGAGAAGGGCCCAGCATGGATGAATAGACTGCCCAGGATACAGTCGAGATCCTTGTCACGCATGTCGAGCTTCGATGTTGAGACTGAAAAGCTCGACATTCCACCAGGTGAACTGCCCCCTGTCGGACTTCCCCAACTTCACCTTCGCCGTCAGCGCGAGGATGAATACGAAAAGACGCCGGGAGCACGATCCTCGAGTATAGGAAAGTCACGCAGGCGCAAACGACGAGGTAAGAACTCGGACGATAGAATCGGTGGGCCCATCAGCCAGAGTGCCATTGCGCCAGTCAAAAGACTCGAATCTCAGCAGGAATTAGGTTCCGATACAGCGTTGGACAAGTTGGCAGATCCTTCGCCAGAAACCCAGCAAAGTGAAATAACTGCCGAGTCGTCAAGATCGTCGCCAGGACCAGATGACAGGGACTTCGAAACACCCAAGAAGACCCGCCGACGATCAGGTGCACAATCCCGATCTCGTTCTCCCACCCGTTCTGTTGAGATTGAAGCATATCAGGAGGGTGATGAGCTCGTCATCGAGGATGAAGAAGGGAACGTGCTCGAAACTGTCAATACTTCTGGAATGACCGATGAGCAAAAGGCTCAGACCATTGAGAATGCTAGAGAAAAATTGAGGAACGACACTACTGGACAATTCACCAAGCACAAACACGAGCCTCACCCCAAAGATGAAGGTGACGAGGCTGAGGCGACCCTCGAAGAAGCCGTGGAGCACCCTCAGAAGACTCTGAAACAAAGGTTCGATGGCTGGAAAGGGTTCGGCAAGCGCAAAGACGACGGACCGGAGAGCAGCGGTCAAGCTCGTCCAGAGAGAAGACGAGGTCCTGCTCACGCATATCAGTTTGGCAATACGGTGATTGTCGAGGATGAGGACGGAGAGGTAATTAAAACATATACTCTACCGAGCGAACCTGGGAACGATCGCAAGCGTGGCGAACAATATTTACGCCGTATGAGTACTTGGGTTGGACTGGGTCGTCAAACGGCAGGCGAGGACGCGAACGACTCTGCCGCGGTGGACGCAGGTGGCGTGCCTACCAAGGACTCTGATACCGATCAGCAGCCCAAGATCAAGGCTGGTCGCCGTTCGGATGAGGATGAATCTGATGATGGCTTACGAATGATAATTTCTCAGAGCGAGCAGTACGGTCTTACCGGGTTGCACAAGAAAACTCGGGACCATCCCGGAACAGTTGCACTAGGTTCAGGTCGCAGACTCTCGACTCGGGACTTCATCAAGCAAATGCAGCAACTGGATCCCAAGAGCAAAATCCAGGCAATCGAGGACAGCGATGCCCCCGAGATCATGAAGAGAGAAATGCGCAAAGCCACTCAATCTAACGTTCCTTCAACGCCGGCCGAGCGCCCAGGTGGCCGTCGTACTGAGACGAATACGGACGTGCGTTTTCAAACACGACGTTCAAGTGTCGGGCAAAGACAGAAGAACGACAACGGTGTGGAACCAAAGGAAGATTACTTTACTTCCCACACTCGCCCCCATCCCGCTCGACTCACAAGCACCAACACGGACGGCACTCTGGAGGAGGAGTCCGACGAAGATTTCGAGGAAGAGGTACCTACTCATAATGTGCGCTCAAGCCTAGTGAAGCATGGCCAAGGCCGGACTGCAGCAGATTTGCGACGACGTAAATTGGCAACGATTCCTTCGAACGAGGAAGACGGTGGTGATCAAGGCGAATCCGCGGTCGAAAAGAAAAGGCGCCTGGCTGCTCTTGGTCAAGGCAATAATTCGAGCAGTGACAGTGAAGGCGAGGAGGACGCGCCTCGCAATACTGGCGCTGCCGTTCCAGAGCCAGAACGCAATCCTCCGGGCCAACCAAAAGCGCGCATTCAATGGGGTGGTGAGAGTGGTCGCGAGAAGAAGCAGGAGGAGGAGGTTGGAAAGGACAAGGAGACGGTTGAGGAAGACATTTATGCTGGTGATCCAATTGTGAGTGCGGCGCGCAAGTTGCGAGGCATGATCAAGAATCGATCCCAGCCTAAGCGATCCTGAGGATGAAGAAGAATAATATCAACGGTTGAACGAGATTTTGATTGACGTTCTGGGAAACTTTGGAATACAGCAAGCCTTGTTTGGGTTGGTGGGAACGTGTTTGCCCATGTATAGTGCTGGTGGCCCATCTCGGGTTTTATTCCACCTATAAAGAATTTGGCATACCGATTGAGCATGATTAGATAGACATACATCAATAGTTTTCATCTCACTTGGACTTGAGCCATTGGCTATTGGTACTTGCATCCATTTTGTCGTCCAGAAGTTGTCGCACCGACTAATTCCATCGAGTGTACCTGTCTAGTTACCTAGGTGCTTTGGTACTGCAACCGCGCCCAATCGTCAGCGGCAGTTAAGGCAGTTTCGCCCTGCTTGGTCATGTGACCCCGATGTTTAATGACGTAAATATAATTTTATTTTTCTCATTCGTAGCCAAAATTCGCCCGCCGAGCACCTTCCGGCAACGATGCATTGGTTTTATAGTGTAGCGGTCAGCACGTGAGATTCTGATCATCCCAGAATTTTCTCGAGACCCCGGTTCGAATCCGGGTAAGACCTCAAAATCATCTTTTTTGAAATTTTTTTAGGTAGAATCACAACAACACTTATTGCTGTCGGAAAAACGGAAAACAAGGTCAGGTTCCATTTCATATGGCTCATAAATTATCACTTCAACCACAACTTGGCGCCGTTAGGCCAGACTTTTTTCTCAGAAGCTGTACTTTACGAAGCAGTACTACTAGTTGTGGTACTTTTGAAATTGTCAACGCCGCAACGGAATTCTTAAGATTCGCGATTTTGCAGATGCCCTTTTTTCAGTAAAATGCCGACGACTGAGGAGAGGGCCAACAAGAGGAGGAAGACTGATGATGCCCTTCCATCAGCACTTCCAGCTATAAAAAGTTCTGAACAACTTCATCAAAACTTTGGATATTGGAAGAGCTCGTCGTCATCCCAATTGAAAGCAGGTAAGATATCTTCGACCGCTTTGAAACGGACGCCGTCTGATTTTACATCAGCACTCGATCAATTCTCCAATTTCCTATCCCAGTTATCCGTATCCAACAAAACAGATGGCGAGTACGAGCGTCGATTAGCAATCTTAAGCAAGTACTGCAAGGAACAGTCATCGGCATCTCACGATGAGGTTGATTTCCCAGACCTTCTGGCCATCTGGTCCCATGCCAGTGAAACCAACGATGAAAGTCTTCTCGCTTCGATACCGTCCGTCCTCGCTCAATTCTACCAATCTATCGACACGTCCCTCGATTTGCGGGATTTTGGTATCTCACTAGGACACAGTCTTCTCAAACGTGATCAACTCCGACTTTTCGACAAGTGTCTATCATCGCCAAGATCCAAGCAGCACCTCATTGCTCCTGCTTTGCGACTTCTCACAAAGCTCATCGAGTTCGACCAAGGTACTCTTGCCACCAACGTGTTCAATAGGCGCGACCACCTCTACAGAAGGCTTGACGACATTCTGGGCAGGTCTCAGACAGCAGACGAAAGTCCTTCTGTTGCGCATAGATCAGCACTCGAGTTTCTGATTGCCAATCTCAAGTACATCGACAACGCGGCAAAAATCGAGCTCATCTCCCACGGCAGTTTGATATACTCAGCCATCCGTGGCCTGTCCACCGAGCAGCCGAACATTGTCTGTGCCACCCTACGTGCTCTAGTCGATTTTATCCTCGATGATCCAAACATGGGTGGCAGGCTGAAGAGTCGATGTTTCAATTCAGGAATCTTAACCGCATTGGCAAAGCTATATGCCTACGACCGAGACGTGCCAGAAGACGACTCCAGTTTATCTGTCAGGGCGGTACTTCATGAAGTCCTCACTAAAATATGTACTTCCAGTGATATTGTCAATCCGCAATACGGATGGTATCCCGTTGGGTTCAATGCAAATGTGGCGGGCAATGACGGAGATATGGTGCCTCTGGGCCTGGATGCTCCCTACTTCACTGACGAGTATGCCGAAAGGATTCCGGTCAAGAATGGAGTCTTGTCAGTATTTCTGCAGACCCTTCGACCAGGAGAAGACGTTTTACATAATGAGCTGATTCTCTCAGTCTTCTCCGCAGCGCCTGAACTGGTCGCCGACTATTTCACAAAGAGAACCAAGTTCAACCTGCAGCCGGGAGATACTCCTCTCTGGCGTGGTCAGTTTGCTTTCCTCTTCTCCATCGTTCAACTTTCAGTTCCAGAGAACTTTGGATGGCCAGATGTTATACCCCAAAATCCACCACCGCTCTCTGTCATTATTGAAAACATTCTTCCTCGACCGCTGGACAAGTCAAACCTCAGCAAATGTCTCCTGTCAAAGGACACTTTGCTTATCATGTCTACGATGCGATACATGACTATCGCTCTTCAGAAACTCAAGCTTGTACTGGAGCAAGTTAATCAAGCATCACGTTTATCTGATTTGTGGGCTCAAGCATCCACTAGCCTGATCAGCTTGTTCAGCGAGCGGTTTCCGCCACTGCAAGAGGTGATTGGAACCATGTCAGATCACAAAGAAAGCGAGCAGATTCGAGGTACCATCCTCGAGTGCATAGCTACTCACTATGATGTCTTGCCCTCAATATCGGTGGTGGCCAAATTTGACGCCGCTCCATTCTTGACTACTGCAATCAAGAACCTTGTTTCCCGAGACTTGGATGCCTATGCACAGGGTACTCTCAATGAGCAGATTCTCCACCTTCTCAACATTGCGTCCCGTTCCTCTACCACCCGATGGTGGCAGAAACCCAGTCCCGAAGATCTATCGCCCGTGACATCACTATTGAGATTCTGCACCCGATCTCCCGAATCTAGCCTGGTGAGAAGTGCATTATCGATCCTTCAAGATGTCTTGGTATTTAGGGGAATTCTGAATGCGAGTCGATCGCTTGATGTGCTGATTCTCAGCCTCACAGAATCTAAGAAATACCAACCAGAACTCGCAACATATGAGTTCTTGGACAATTGCATGACTCGTACAATGCAACGACCAGTCAAATATCTCGATCGAATTGAAATCATTCAGGATGAAGTATCGGACAAAGCTCCATTGAGTCTACTGACATGCTGTGTCGCCGAGCAATGGCCCTTTGTCGCCAAGAAGGCATCCGAAGACGATGTCAAGAACATCGCGGGCTGGATCGCAAGATTCTTTGTGGCTATGGGTCAAGCTGGCGAGAACCTTGGAGTCATGACAGTCCTTCAACAAGAAATGCTCAATCTCCCAGACGAATATGCACGGTCGAAGAAGATCTTGACCAAAGCTCTAGAGAAACAGCTCAAGAAACCTATCGAACTATCTTCCCCAATTGACGCCGCTGGCGGACTCGAGGCAAAAGCAAGATCATCCGTCGTCGACACTGTGAAGATGGCCGAACGTCTCTTCCCTGCCAACGACCTCGACCTCAACACTGTCTTCAGCCAACCCCCACCTATTCCTCAGTCCTTGACTGGCCTTTTCCGCTGGGAGAAATCGGATTTCGACACCGAGATCCAATCTGGACGTTTGGCAAATCTAATCCGATGCACCATTTCACCAAGTCACGAGGTTCGAATTCAAGCGTTCCATACACTTCAAACCGTGGCACATTCAGTGGAAAACTCCAATTACAGTGAAAAAACACAACTATATCTCCTCCTCGGCGAACTCAGTGAAAGCATCCGGTCCTTAATCCTAACAGGTTCCGACGGAGGAGAAAGGACATCATCATCATCTCCTCCTCCTCCGCCACCATCCCTCCTCTCCGAACTCGCCATCCACTTCCTCCCCGTCCTCTCCGACCCATCCTCCCCCTTGTACAGCAAAACCAATGAATTTCTCCTCCTGGGCCCATCATGGACATCTCACCGTCTCATTCCCTACTGGACACGACAGAAATTTCTCACCGAGACAACCTCGGACGACACACCGGGAACAAATGCCCAACATGCCGAGATAGCGTGGTTTCTCGACTTTTTAATCATGGCACTCCGCACGACACTGGATCTGGATTTATATCGACGAGCACAAGTCTTTACGGGTCTTTTCTCATATTATGTCTCGCCAGCGAGTCCGAAAGAGACGAGACGACGGATTCTCCAGCTTGTGTATCGTGCATTGCAGATTCCGGGCGGCAGTGATACCTTGATCACCAGGGTGGGTGTGAGGGAGTGGTTGGCGGTGGCGAGGAATGTGAGGGATCATAGTGGGAATGGAGTGTCGAGGATGGGGAAGGTGGATGTGGAGATGAGGAGGATTATCGATGCTCTGAGTCGGGAGGTTATGGAGAAGTGTGATAGAGACGGGATTGCGAAGTGGGAGGCGCAGAGGCCGATTGATAAGAAGACACATGATGCAGGTGTGGTTGAGGAGATGGAGGTTGATTGATGGGTGAGAGCCGTCGTCCGTCAAAGGGTGCAATGCGTGCAATGTATAGTGCTACCTACACCTGCTAGGAGTTGTTAGTTTGGACTATGGATCGAGGGAATCATCGATTCAAGCTTCAGTGTTCTCATTTGTTATAACACGACTCGGGGGCTGTGGACAAATGTTCAACTTCCGGCAGCATTGTGGTAACATTTCGGCTCCGATTTAATATCTAAGCGGTATCTCTATAATAGCCACCCCTTCCCTATATCGCTTGCTCAAAATCCATTGCAAACATCCTGGGGTAATTCCTCTGCTGATTCGCATCATATTCCGTTCCCTTCTGGTTTCTATGGGCATGATTTACTGCGGATGGGGACATGGCTCCACTCTTATCGCCAGGTCGCATCCATTGTCATATTGTTCATGAGTCGGGAAACCCCTATAGCTTCGGGTGGCCTTGGGTACGCGACTCATGTCTGAGTCAACAAATGACCAGGTAGAATACAAGAAACACTTGTGAAATCTGTCATCGCGGAGATCGAGATCCTGTTGAGACCTTGGTCTTCCTGTATTCAATTCTAAAAGCTCATCAAGTCTGAAAGCGATGTTAGCAATGCGCTGGAGGACAGGAGCAAATTCTCGCCGTGACCTACCTCTTCCGAACATAGCTCTCTTACTCCAGTCCATAGCGAGCAAGATACGAGTTCTGATACTGACGCTCTGGGCAAAGTAGATACTTCTCCAGAGATAGACGGCCATCAGGCCGCCGCTAAAGTTCAAACCCCCAAAATCAAAAACGGCCGCATTTCCAATATACGCAAGACTTCCCATGTGATGGTACTCAAATGCCTTGTAGACTGCCTCGTCTAGATCACCAAAATCGACTTCATTGGCCCTGAATCCGGGAATGGCGGCGGCAATCTTGTTGAATTTTCGACCAAGATATTGACCTTGTTGATTAGCTCTTTGGGCAGTGGCTGGCAGAGACGTCAATTTGTTATCGATCTGAACAAGCAACTCATGCAATTCACCAAAGTCCAAGGTTCCAGACTTGTCTTTGTCATACTCTTCGAAAAGGCGATCTAGGCGTTTTAAGTGACCGGCGGCTTGTGGAAATCGCTTTCGAACCTTCTGGGCAACACCTCGCCAGTCCTGGAAAGTGATGTGCAGTGCATCGGGATCCTTTCCTTGGTCAAATGCCATGCCACGAAGGAATGTGGTGAGGTGGTCAGCAACGTTGTTCTGGACCGTCGAACAATCACCAATGGCATAAACATCCCCTAACGGGGCACCAAGCAGTCTCAGATGTGTGTCAGTCTCTAGAGCGTGACGATTGTTTTGAAAGTCGCCCAGCTTGGCCGCAAGTTTGCGACTGAGCTGAGTCTGGGCGACGCCGGTCGACCAGAGGCAGAAGCCCATTGGAATCTCCTTGATAACAGCTTTGCCGTTCTCCAACTGTGAGAAGATGATCTTGTCCGGGGTGACTTCTTGAACTCGAGAGTTGGTGAGAACCTCGACTTGGTCATTTTCGAATCTTTTCTCAGCATAAACGGAAAGAGCTTCATCATAGGTGTTGAGGATGTGCCCCCGAGACTGGATGACATGAACAGAAACCTCATTCCGTAACAACCTGGGGAAAGATTTCAGGAGATCTTCGTTCAGCATGTCATACAGCTCGGCAGCAAATTCGACACCAGTGGGTCCGCCTCCACTGATGACAAAAGAGAGTAACCGCCTTCTCTCAGTATCGGTTGTGGTAGGCAAGCAGGCCAACTCTAAGTTTCTCAAGACCTTGTTCTTGATCAGACGAGCATCGTCGATAGTTTTTAAGAAATTGCAGTTTTCCAAGCCCTTGACACCGTGGGGGTTCGTGGTGGAGCCTACGCCGATGACGAGTTTGTCATAAGGCAGATAGAAATGCTGTCTTTCTCCGCTGGCATCCGTCTGGGCGACCTCGACCAATTTGTGGGAAAACTCGACGTCTATAGCTTCTGCCCTGAGGAAATGACCTCGTAGGCGGTTGACGATGCGGCGGACGGGCTCGATGAGAGATCGAAGCTCTAGCGTACCGACTGTGGCCGAGGGCAACATGGGTGTGAATAGAAAGTAGTTATCAGGCGAGACCACGGTGACATGATAATCGCCAGGGTTGAGCTCCTTCAGCATAGCGACACTACCCCATCCCGTGCCCAGGATGACCAGTTTGGGTTTATCTTTTTGCTCACGCATATGCTCACAATCCTCATCGTCCACTAGTACCTCAGCAATGGGTAGATTCTTGGGGCCTCCCCGCCGAGGATATAGGGCGGCTTCTGAGACGGGAATGTCGCCCTCAGCGGAGGACTCTCTGTATGTGGAGGCATCGTAGATGAAGAAGGCGAGAACAAGGGATCCTGTAACGACGATGAATATGCCGGTCCAAGCAAAGACGCGGTAGGCAAAGCGAAGTACAGGCCCATGGTGGTTGGGGAGCTCCTTGGTCGAGATAGACCGGACGTGGATTACTGATGCTCGCGAGGCAAATTGAGGAGAGAAACGAGAGGAAATTGGGCGACAGGAGAGAAAGAGCGACCGTGTCGACAGAGCAGGAGGCGCAGGCAGGAGCGATGGTTGTGAAGAATGGAAAGAGCGAGGCACTGCCAGAGGAGAAGTCGTGAGGAAGGAGCGTGAAGGAGGGCTGCACCTCAGCTTCGTGAGTCTGAGTCGGCCATGGCCATGGCGTGAGAATCGAGTCAACGTCTCCATGATTGACCCAGGTGCAGCAATCGTCTACCGCATGCTGTAAATGTAGAATGGTTGATGTCTCGAGGCTTGACGGACAATCGCTGTGGGTAAAGACTTGCTGTCGAGATAAGAAGAAACTGCAGATGCACCAAAATTGAGCTATACGTGCATAGAGGGCGGATGAGGTGGGAAGTGTAAGGAGTTTTAGCATGCGCCCAACACCAATGACCGCATAATCGTGTCCGAAAGCCCGAATGGCATGGGTTCAGTGGGTTCAGCGCTCAGATCTTTCATCTTGTCATCGATCCACCATCCCACTAAGCACCCACTCCCACTGGCACCCTGGCTTCCTCCCGGCCCGGCAGAGCTTGTGTACTCGTACTACTTAAGTACTTTTAGTAGTGACGACAGTCCACCATCCATCGCCCAGTCGCTTTTCCTCGCTTCCAATTCCCTCAATTGGTCCCTAATGGACGGCTAAACAAATCCATCTGGTACTGGGACAATGAGAAGAGAAAAGGAATGACCTCACAGCGCACTGAACGTTGGGGAAAAGCAACTGCCACCGCCACAAGCAACGTCGTTTGCATTTTCACCATTTTGCTTCTTGAACCAGTGGCTATGTATGGATTTATCGAATTCTTCTGTCTGTCTTGCATGTATCGTCCGCTAGGTCATTTCTTGTACATTTATGCCCTGGTCTCGACGCCCAAAACTGTGTGGGGTATCAAAATATCAAGTTCCCATTTCCCTCATGGATTGCGCCAAATCATCAGAGAACCACCTGTACGCCCATACCAGACTGGTTTTCATGAACCCTGTTTTTGTCTGTTTTGTTCGACTTGTTCGATTTGTTCGGCCCCATCGTTTCAGCTCTGAACTCCTCAGCCTGCGAAATCGCCGTCCGGATGCTCTTCCAGTGACGAAGTGCTTGACGATCTCCTTGCTCCCTGTTTCGAAAGCCTGCCTCGAGCCTTCTTTGGTGTACCTCCCATGGATCCTGCACTCTTGCGTTTTTTGCCGCGCTGCCCGGTCCACACTTGCTCCGGTCCGCTCTCCATCCCAAACCCCTCTCCGTCATCTTCTGCTGCAATCTTGACCTCGTCGTCAATACTGACGATCCTCAATAACTCCCGGCACCGGGAGAGCATGCCCTCGGTGCTATCTAAAGACTCGATTGCTCCGTTGGTTGCTGTCCAGTAGCGATCTCCTGTGATCCCGTGAACCCTGGTGGGCTCTTTGGTCGAATCTTTCGATTGCTTGCTTTGCAACACTGCCAGCTTGACATCCCGTGAGATCCCGTATTGTCGTTTCAGGAAATTTCGCGTCTCCGAGACCAATGAAATAGCACAAGCCGCCACAGAGAGCCTTCTGAGAACCGCCTGATCTACAGACACCTTGCTCTCCATGTCCATTGCTTGGTTGCCATTTTCGGTCTCATCTGCATTCGCTTGTTCCGTCAACATTGGACCTAGTTCTGTCTCAATCGCCTGGGCGGTCTCCCCGCCATTCTTTCCAAAGACTAGCTCCAATTGCAAGACAGTATGCAGAAGCTCGTCCATTTTCTTGTACTCAAAGAATGCCAGATTTTGACAAACAAACAGAGTAAAATAAAGATGGTTGCATGCGCCTGTTGGCCCAATCTCCAGCTTGGAATGCTCCGTGTTGAGCTTGGACACAATATTGCCGAGGAACTTCCTGACATATTTTGATCCGCTCCCACTGATTATTTCGAAAGCTGCAGCAAGCTTGGGTTTATATCCAGGCATTGTCGCCCCTCGAGGGTCTTCGAACACCTCAACCTGATACCGACAGGCTTCAGACACTGCATGTACGTATTCACGCTCACACACTGACTCGTGCTGCTGGTGAAGGTGTCGATGAGCGATTGTCGCTGCCTGAGATACCCGGGCGTCTGGGTTGGTTTCGAGGGCTACAAAGGCCGCTGTGCTCTCCTTGGGATGGGTCATGCCCTGATGATCGATGCTCGCCAATGTTTTAGTAGCGAGAAGTGCCTCCTCGCCTTTGGCTGACATCGCAATGCGGAGCAGATGGCTCACAACGGTGCTGGTGATTGTGGAGATGGCGCTGTCATCCTCGCGAGTTTTGTGATCTCCCCCAATGTTCTTCAGAGCCTGTACCTCTGTATCCTCCTCTGATGAAGTACCGTCGGCCTTTGCCTTGGTACGTGCCGCATACAGGCCCTCGAACGCTGTCAATACCGTGAGCTTTGCTTGTGCAGCATCTTGGACACCTAGAGTGTCGAGCGCGCTTCCGTCCAAGACCTGGAAGAATGTCTCGCGAATGTGTTTCTTGTTGAATTGGCCTGGCCATGCTTGGCATATTGATCCCAAACATTCGAAAGCCTTCAGTCGAACCGCAGCTTCTGCGCGTTTGAACGTGAACGGAACGATCGTATCGCACACGAAGCCAACCACAGATCCCGCCTTGAATGCGGGAAACGCATTTTTAAAGATGCCTACTTGTTGTTCGAAATCCAGGAATTTGAAAATGCTGCCCAGGAGACGGAGCATCTTTTGTCGGCCAATACTTTCTCGAACTGGAATCTCAGCCGCCTTATTTTGACTGATCAGAGCCTCTTTGGTCTTTGGCGCAACCTTGGGTTGGATGACATTCTGGAGCACAGAAACTGCGAAGACGGCGAGTTTCCGAGTTTGGTGCAGAACGCCATCGATGCTTCGAAGACATGACATGACCTCTTGTAGGTCTTCAAGTCGGGCAAGGCTGCCCGCGGAACGCATAAGATCTTGCTGGACGCCTTCGAGAAGCTGGCTTTGGGTGCTGGACAAATTCGGTAGCACACACCGGAAAATGGTAACCACGGACCGAAACTTGGGCATTTCATCGGGCTTCATGTCTTTCAGATAGCTTTTCAGACTGGCGAGGTCACCCGAGTGAATCGTTTGTGGTCTTGCTTCCGCAAAGGCAACCAGCGTAGTGAGATCGGATGGCTCTGCTTCGGACCCATTCGCCGTCTCGAGGAGCTTCTTGACTATGCGAGAGTACAGATTGTGCAGCTTGTCGATGCTTTTGGTATTCTTCAGAGTCCATACCAAGAAGTCTTTGAGAGGAACGCCAAGGGCGCCCGAGCTACGATTGATACACGACACAATCTGTGTTCTCAGTTCGTTGATAGCCACGTCAAGCCGTGCATTGTCATCGTGGTTGTTGAGGACCTCAAGTCTTGGTGATATCCAGATCTCTAATAAAGTCTTGCGGGCCAATTCGGCAACGCTCGTCTCGAGATCCGATGTGCGGCGAAGAAACTCAGTAGTGATGGTATCCTTGATATTTGTCCTCGCATCAGTCAAGTAAAAGTCTTTCAAATGGACGATGGCTCGCTTCTGAATGCCCACATTTGAGTCTCCAGTACATCGAAGTAATTGTGTAAACCCCTTGTGCTGCAATTGTGGGGATGGCCGGGGTACTATGAACTTGGCGATCAATGTGAGCGCTGAGTCTCGCACGAGGGAAGAATCGTCTGTCGCACATCTCAAAACATCATCTGCCACTGTGGGAACCCAGTCGAGCAGGCTGGAATCCGTTTCCAGAATCGTTGTGACACTTTTGATACTGCGACTCCTGACCTGGGCCTGGTCACTCGAAAGACATGAAGTCAACGTAGTGGCAATGCGAGGGAACATGTTGCAGAACGGCATGTTGAGTATGCACAAGGTGTATGCCAATTGTGCTTCCTGAGGCGTCACGTCTTCCTCGTCTGCCGACATCCCGTGATAGTTATCGAGCTCCTCGAGTTGCTGGAGGATCCTCGCGGCCGTGTCATCTGTCATGGCCTCCAGGTCGCCATCGCTCTGACGGGTTTTCGAAGCCTTTGCAAAGTGTGTTGCATGGCGAACCAGTAGGTATGCCCTTGCAGATCGTGATCGCAGCCCGTCGCCTCCTTTCGCTCGGAGGAAAGTATGGACAAGTGAGAAGGGACCGTTTGAAGAAACTAGATCTTCATCGGGAATCCTGAGTTGACTGTTTTCCTTGACGAGATCGCAAAGTCGATACACAGTCGCAGAAGATTCGCTGGTCTGAGAAATGCTTGATGACAGATGTCGCGCAGAAGCTCGCGTTGTTGAGATAGCCGAGCCCATGACTCCTAATGCCTCGAGCGCCATGTTTTTGGTCGAGGCTGCTTTGTCATTGTCCACGTGCATAATCATTCGCCTCGCTAGGATAGTTAAAAGAAGCTCTGAGGCCGGCCAATCGGTTAATGGCAGGACGACGGTGAGATCTTCGATGAAGAGATCCAGAATATTCCGGTACGGCGAATCTCCACTTTTAGTCACTTTGGATGCCTTGTCGACCATCCATAGAACGATTTGCTGAGCACTTTTCGAGGCATCTTCGAGCAACACACCTGCTTGGCGAGCTAGTCGGGAAGATGGATCTTTGTCCATGAGGTCATCTTCGAGGCCAGTGTCATTCTCGTCCTCGAGACTATCGTCATCTTCGCTTTCAACGTCAACGGTTCGACGACGCTGCTTTTGGCCTGCTGTCAATTTGGAAAAGCGTAAGTTACCCGATGGTATGGCAGGTGTCTGGACAAGCTGCATGAACAGGGCAGAGACAAGCTGTATGCTTTTGCCGTTCCCAAGTTTATACTGCCTCGCACTTCGGCTGTTGGATGGCAATTTGTCGAGAGATGAGAGCACCTCGTCCAGGATCGCATCTCTTTCGGAAGGAAATGCTGCATACAGTCTTGCCAGGGCCGCCATCGCCTGTTTTCGCACTCTTTCAAAGACTTGAACGCCGATGGCCGATGTCTTCTCGCTGCCAGCATTCTGGACGAAGATCAATCGAGAGGCCAAAAACTCAGTGGCATTAACCAGAGAGCCAGCACCTTTGACCTCGATGCATATTTTTGCTAGAAGATCTAGGAACTTGCGACCCAGGTCGAGCAAGCGCTTGACGGCTTCGCGATTAGAAGACGTAACTTCGAAGAGTTGGGCGTCCTGGGCATCCAGCCTTGCTTCCACGACCGGCATCAAACAATTCTCAAAGACATTCACCAATACGTTCGGTAGCCACTGAAGGACTTCCAGATTGACAAGGTTCTCGTTCTGAACATTGCCGAGGACGATGTAAGCAAGGGTGCACGCCGAAGAGATCCCGCTCTCTGCCTTTTGTAATTGTGATAACCAGGCTGAAATGTCATCATCAGAGGCACTAGCTTGCAACTTCAGATTCGTTGTTTGTGCCGTCTCGATAGCAGGTTCGCAGATCGCTTGAAGCCGTTTCAGATAATCAGTTGAGACATCACGCAGGCGATTATTAGAGACAAGTTGGGTGAGATTTCGTTGGAGAGCCTCTTGGGTGCCGATAGAAAGAGACGGCTCAGAGTCCTCAGTGTCGTCTGGTTGGTAGAAGATGGTCCGATCGATGGTCGTTGGCATGGCAGAGGTATCCGGAGCGAGTCGATCTTGAGCCTCGAAAATCTCCAACATCTGATTTTCAAAAGCTCGCAAGATCAACGTGTCCTTCTCCTTCTTTGAACTGACGGTCAAGTTGACGTTGCCGTTCGTCATGGAATTGTCCAAGGCGCGACGAGGTGATTTCGGCATAACTCTATATTCATCTCGATTAAAAGAGTTAGGGGGTTTGGGAATATTGACTGTGATCTCGTTGGAAAGAGGTTTCGGTTTTGTTTGAAGTGAGGTTGGTTTCTTTACTGGCATGTGAGCGGGAATTGTTGATGGAAAGGTATGTTCAATGGTACTGCTGTCCAGGACCATCTTTGCGAAAGGATGCAGTCCAGAGTCCGATCTCGCTTTGGTCTCGCTTCTTGTCAGAGGACGCTTGAATGCCCTGAAAGAGTCAGCTTTGATATCCGGTGAACAGACAAGTGGGCAAATACAATTTTGGGTCACGGCGGGAGAAATCTAGCAAGGCACCCAGATGCTCCTTGACCTTTGGATTGATCCATTTTTCTTGATAAAATGCTCGTCGCTCGGAGGGAGTGGAAAGTCGAAAGGAGGAGGGGTTGCCAAGTTGAGGATGAGGGATGCGATCTAAAATGTCAGTTGAGATCGACGGGGGGCCGGTCAACGTACCAGTAGATGGCAGAATGCTTGTGGTCATTGGGGTGAACTGGAGGGCTTCGTCCACAGTAAGGTGTTGACGCCCAGACATGTTCTGTGGTCGCCGTGGAATGACGACCTGAACGTTGTCCCTGCCATTCATGACGGCTTCGCTGCGCTCACGGCAGCTCAGTGCTCTTCAGATTGATAGGATGTGGAGGATGGAAATGCGCGGTGAAAATGCCGAACCATTTTCTCCCTCCTCCAGCCTCTGCGTAGGGAATCCAAAGCGGTCGGTGTGAATTCAGGTGTGAAGAAGTGAACTCTAGGATGAAAGAGAGTGATCCATACCTTAAAGAGAATGAGAAGAAGAGTGACAGAGACTATTGGCAATTGCGATGGGAAATGTCCCTGCCCCAAATAGCACGGACGAACGCCGCAAGGCAGGAGGGGCTAAACTATTATTGGCTTAGTCCAGGCTTCTCCAGCCTTGCCAAGGCCAACTTGCCCGCAAAAAAAAGCGTGATGGCAGCCTCGTCAGCCTGGTGGGAATTCTTACCTAAGCCTATCAGATTCTCTGTGCTGAAGAATTCTTTCATCAATTTAAAGGCTCAGTAACCTGTTCTTTAGGGCACCACTTCAAAGCAATTTCAGCAACTAACTCTTCCAACTGCCCTCGTATAGTCTGCACAGTGATTGCAATGGTTGCTATCGGCAGTCTTCTGTTCTGCGACGCCTGTGGTTCCCTGTTGCCTCGCCTGACATCAGGGTCAGGACAACAGGATCTTGTCAAGTGCGAGGACTGCTTTCAATACACACCGGATACCTCGACTAAAGTCATAACTTCAAAGTCCAAGCCTAGCGCTTTTCCATCCGCTTTGCGAGCGAAACACTCAGAAGTGCAGGCTTTTGACGCTGAAAATCTTCAAGTCGAAGCCGTCATTTCCAAGGACTGTCCAGACTGTGGTCGAACCGAGATGTTTTATCACACCAAGCAATTACGAAGTGCAGATGAAGGTACCACAGTCTTCTATAGATGCGAATGTGGCTACAAAGAAACGCAGAACAACTGATGCATTTTATTCGCCCATGGTTATCAAACTCCAGTTGCCACGCTAAATGATGGAATTTTGAGACTATCCTTTTAAACCATGACAGGTATCGCTTCATACCTTGTCAAGCAGCGATGGGCTCAGGAATAGTGGCATACTCCATCTCGCCATTCTTTTCATATTCCGCCATGTCGAGCGCAACAATCACACTCTCGCGCACCACTTGTTCAGGGTCATCAAGGAACCGTCGCAACAGATCTTCCACGCCTGGCTCCTCACCTAAGCTTCCTAAAGCTTCTGCAGCCTCATGTCGGACCATGCTTTCCTCCGCGCGGTTCTCCAGTACCCGAGACAACGCAGGGATAGATGCAGGATGGGTCAATTGACCAAACACAAAGGCGACCTCGTGTCGAAATAGCGCCGAGGGATCTGTGAATCCGCTTGCAAGTGCATCCACTGCAGGTACTGCGGTTGGAATGTCCGGGGGAGACGCAAGATCTCGCAGGGTGAACATGGCGCGATATCTTTGGAAGAGAGGTAGCGAGGTATCGAGAAGAGTTTTCTGTAGATGAGGTATGGAGGGAGTTTCGGACGTCAATGCCATTGGAGGAGCAGGGTCTATCGACGCGAAATCAGAAGGTCGGAGGTTCTCTGTTCGTTGGGCGTCTGATTGAGCCCATCGGATTCGATCAATGGCAATTTCGCATGTTTCTCTGACCACCACGGGCTCTTCCTCGTCATCTTTCATCTCTATCATTAATTGTAGACTGCTCTGATCTGCGAGGGCACCCAAGGCTTCGGCGGCTTCGTGTCTGCACATGGCGTCCTCCTGCTTGTTCTCCAATACCTCCCTCAGAAATGGTACCGCCACCGGATTTTTTGTTTGACCAAGACAATAGGCCAGCTCGTGTTTTAGTAGGGCAGAGGGAGAAGCGAACCCTGCTGCGATAGCCTGAATGGCCGCCGTAGCGTTAGGGCCCGGAGTTTGAGAGGCTAGATGTTTGAGGGAGAAAAGTGCTCGAAATCGGCGGGCAAGGGCGACATCTTCAGAGGCGAGGTCCTTTCTCAAAGTCGCTATGGTAGAGTCCAACGTGCTAGACATGCTGACAGGTCGAGACAGAAAGGTGTGATTTCAGGAACAAAAGGTGAAATAGTTGTAGGAAGTTCTCTGCTCGACCATGAGTCTCGTGTTCAAATTGCCAGGCTGCGTCTCAAAATTTCTCTTTGGAGGGCGGGGTTTGTGACTGCGAGATCGGTATCTTATCTTAGCGCAGGCAGGACATGCTAGCACTTTCTAGTGCGGAACTAAATCCTGTAAGGGTTAGCTCCGGTTTATGGCTGCGGCCAACAAGTCAAATATCCTGCACGACTGTGACTTGGATGTTTGAATTATTCACCTTCATCCATCACCATCAGGCTAGCAAGATCCTTTCTTCGAACGGCTACCTGTTCATCCACAACCGTCACCTCACATCTTACCATCCGGATCGACAGAAAAAGTCAGCCTCGCAGGGGTCATTCCCTCATCACCATCAAAGATGGGCTCTGTTGTCATTCCCCACCTCGTCACTGCCTGGCATGTCGACCAAGCCATCCTCTCTGAAGATGAACGCCTCGTTGTCATCCGCTTCGGACGCGATCATGACCCCGATTGCATGCGCCAGGACGAAGTACTCTACAAGATTGCCGACCGAGTCAAGAATTTTGCCGTCATTTACGTCTGCGATCTGGACCAAGTTCCCGACTTCAAGCAGATGTATGAACTTTACGACCCCGTCACCCTCATGTTCTTCTTCCGCAACAAGCATATGATGTGCGATTTCGGCACAGGAAACAATAATAAGCTCAACTGGGTGCTGGAAGACAAACAAGAACTGATCGACATCATCGAAACCATCTACAAAGGTGCCAAAAAGGGCCGTGGTCTGGTTGTGTCGCCGAAGGATTACTCGACCAGGTATCGATACTGAAGGGGCGTTTTGACATTCGTCTTGGGGCACTTTCTCCCCTTGTTGTCACCTCAAGAGCATCACACCACATTGCTCAACATATGAGAACCATCCCCAACCCAAGCACAAGCTTGGCCTTTGGGTTTGACGGACTGTTGAACTCAACCCAGGATGAGGGCACACTTAGTCTCGCAGATGCTTGGTTGGTCTCCCTTGACCTTTGCGATTATCTCAATAATGAATTATGCTGACATGGAATACCCTCAAGCTTTCTGATTGATCCCGTTTTATTGCCCAAAGCGTGTTCAACGATCTCCAGGAAGCCAAAAGAAGCTAACCCCATGCCACCCCAGTGTACCTCTGACTTTATACTCGTATGACGTGAACGATTCAGGTGAGAATGTCTGGCCCCTCGGATGGCACCTGACGAGACACCACTTGGCCCAACGATCTTCTCATGAAACGAGCTCTTCAAGTGTAAGCCAGTGCCGAAGCATATTTCCAGTAGCACCATGATACCGGAGACTGGGGTCTGGGGGGGCCAGGAGATTTCCCCCTTCGTGCATTATGTACTTCTGAACACTTGCATATGTGATTAGCTGTCTCTGCCACGCCACATGTCAATATGTATTTTCAAGACAATCTTTGAGTAGTTTGAAAATACACTCTCTTTCTCTCCTCATCAAGTGGTATACCTATACAGATTTGCAATGTTGGGGCATTCATGATTGTTGTATCACACATGAGACGTGTTTCACTCGCATGGTGTAGAGTAAAAGTTTACGTGGTTCGGTGTCCTAACACGTTGCTGGTGCGGCGAAATCTGCCAATTATTGATATTACCAACATTAGAGATGAGATGGACTCCACTTGTCGACCCTTTTTTTCCGACGTGCATGAATCCAATATTCCCCTCCATCCCTGACGATCGGCCATTGATTCCTCTTGCCATGTTATGCAATCTGCAGGTGGGGTTCAACCTTGGGTCTGGTTGCAAATTGTCGTTGCAAGCGAGACCAACGACGAACAGTCTCCCACCAACAAGCTGCTACGACATCGGCCAGGGGAACGCTTCTCCAGTAGTGGCCGGCTACTTGCTCACAGTCACAGCACCGCGATACGCCTCGTGACCCAACAAAGACTACCTTGCGCTACGAGTCCCCTGCCACCGTCTTACCGAGTCGACCGATACGAATATACGCATCCTTACTCGTAAATTTGAAGTCGCAAGAACAGAACCAATCCAAACCAAACCACTAGTTTGCAAATGCCTGTACCTTCCCAGTTGGATCGTCCCTATCGATATCAATTGATCAACATCCCCGGGCCGAAGAGGCCACCTTGACCTTTTTGCAGGCATTTGCTCGCTCTCACCTTTGAGGTGTTGGCTGCTCCTCCTGCTCCTCCCTTCACTCCACCTGTTCATGCGCCTGTGCTGCCACGGTAGTCCAAGGTAGGTAGACTCCAAGGGGGCGTCAAGACATGAGGTCTGCTACGTCATCTTCGAGCTCTACCTCGTACACTACTGCATCTGCTGCGCTACCGAAGCAAAAGAATACTGTGTGAGAGGCAAACAACCTCGCATCACCCCACGTGAGACGTCGAAGTCGAAGTCGAAGTCGACACTCTCGCCTCAATCGAGTCACGACTTTGCTGTCCAAGCCCCTGCCCTCCAATCCACTAGCCTTTCTTGCGAACCATGGCGGGCGCCTTACTCCTCACCCTCCTCCTACTTCCTGCGGTACTCTTCGCCCTCTGGCACCTCAGCGCAACCAGTGTCCCACCAGTTCCAAACTCGCTTCGAAACAAGCGCATCATCCTCCTCATTGCGCACCCTGACGATGAATCCATGTTCTTCTCTCCAACCCTCCAAGCCTTGACACACCCTTCGCTACAAAATCACCTGAAGATCCTTTGCATGAGCACTGGCAACGCCGATGGCCTAGGAGACACTCGTCGTTTGGAGCTGGAAACAGCGGCTTTGACGCTTGGCTTACGTCGGAAAGAGGATGTGTTCGTATTGGATGATGAGCGATTTAAGGACGGAATGAAGGAAGACTGGCAATCGGACGACATTGTACGGGTCCTGGCAAGCGCATTTGCCCCTCATCTGAATGCTCCCACTGCGCCAGCGAGCAGCACCGGATCCAGCGGGGACAAGGACAAAGAACGGAGAAAGTCAAAGTCTAGCAAATCTAGCAAACTCTCACCAACCTCGACATCCACTGCCACAGAGTCGACAACGACCCCCGCAACCGAAGGACCCCGCGCCTCGATCGATGTCCTCATCACATTCGACGAGGCCGGTGTGTCCTCCCACCCGAACCACATTGCTCTATATCACGGAGCACGACAGTTCGTGCAGAGTATCATGAAAGGCCATTCAGGCTATACCTGTCCCGTGGCTTTATACACACTTCCCTCCGTCAACATTGTACGGAAATACAGTTTCATCATGGATGCACTCCCCACCTTCCTGAGCGGTATTTCCGGAGCCTTGACAGGGGGTGGAAGTCAAGACTCGTCAGCTAAACCGGTGGTATTTGTCAACGATATCGCGAGGTATTGGAAAGCGAGGGATGCCATGACTTCAGGCCATAAGAGTCAGATGGTCTGGTTTCGTTGGGGTTGGATTGGCCTAGGTCGATATATGGTCGTTAATGACCTACGGACGGTGAAAATCATAGCTACGTAGAAAGGGCATACATGGAAAATACGTTCCTAAGCAATGTGTGCTGAAATCTGTCGAATTATGAAAAACTAAACAATGCCAATGCCAATGCCATGATCGCAAACTTGGTCAAGACCGGTAAGTGTGCTTCACGGATAGAACATGCTGAGGAAATGCATATTTGCACTATATAGGTACATGTATCGAGAGCGGTTGAACGGAACCACGGTAGTTCAGTCAAGACGGTAAGCAGGTAGGTAGATGGAAATGGCTATATGGCCACTTAACTGGGCTAGGCTTGCTGATGAGAAAAAAATCATTGACGAACTGGGCCACGGGCTGTGATCATGCCGCTCCTCATGGACACCTTTCCAAACAAATACTCGTTCACTAGCCCGAAACATCGGTTTGTTGAACACAATGTTGTACATGCTGTCTCCAGCCAAACCAAAAGGGGCTTTCGATCTCCCTCCACATTTGGAATGGATCGAGAGAAGCCGAACAGTACCTTAATTGGGAAGAGGCGGTCCCTGCCATGGCCGCCACTGCCCTTGAGGATTGTCTGCCGAGGGGGAATACTTCACACGTGTAGGTGCGCTTTGCAAACGGTCTTGACGAGCATCAATCTCATCGCCAGCAATCCAATCCACACGTTCAGACCTGATCCTTTCTGCTTCCCTAGCCTTCATTTTCATCATGCGACCTTCATGCAATATGCGGGCCGATTGCTCAAGCCGCGCGGGGCTAAAGGTGTCGAGAAGGTTGCGCATTCTCGCTGTGCGCGTCAATTGATATCCATTCGAGGCAGATACCGCTTCGCGGCGGGTTTCTTTGCCATGTAGGAGTACGTGTCCGGTTTCGGTGTAATAAGGGACCACGTCGGGTAAGAATTCGGGGAATTCCCGCACGAGATTGGGCAGGCCTCGACGAGGCCATTCTGTTTCCTTGCCAGATCCAGGCCACTCCGACTCCTTGAACATGCTTCGTGTGGAGACAATGACAAGTTGGATGTAACATTCTGTCCATAATTCTTGCAGAATGAGTTCCCTTCGTGCTTGCAAGAACTCGCGAGTCGGTAGACCGTGCTCAAAAAGGCCGGACCAGGACCCTTTGGCTAGTTTAGACATGTTGTCAAAGGCGACGGAGAGCTTCATTCGCTCTTTGTCGAGCAGCTGAAGACATTCCCGAGCGTCCTCAAGAGCTGGAGTCAACACACGCTTATATGTCCGGACTTTCAATCGGTAAATCAACGGAATGACACCTAGTTGAAATTCATAGGGTTCCGAAAGAACGATCCCGAAGAGGGATTCGACGGCTGCACCAGTGGGCCGACCTACTGACCGTCCCTGTTTTCGAAACCAAGAGGTACCGTTGGTGAATAGAACGAAAGCCCACTCCAGTGTATGATTCCAGACATGGCGAGATATTTCCATGTTGTAGTGTCGCGAGATGTAGTCGAGGAGCATGGTGGTGTTTGTAATTTCGTTGTTTGTGCAGAATACATGGGCAATGGTGAAGAGAAGGCGTTGTGACGGTCGGAGGGGTGAATCGTTTTCGTAAAATGTTGGGCTTTCTAGCTCTTCTTCATCAATTGTTTCGAGACTGTCCACATCGATGTTCCAAGCGGATTTGAGAACGCTTTTGACCCCAGGAATATCTCCTTCGCGACCCATAGCAACCATAAGGTGGCAGAAAGTGGCCTCATTGGCCGTAAATCCATCCCTCACCAGTTCATTGAATATGCGTAGCACCTCGAACCTAACAGACTGTGGGTTTTCGGGATTATGCGGGGATGCCACGCCCCAACCAGCATAATTTTTCGCACGATTGTCTCTGGACCTAAAGTTGAGAGATTGACGGGTGACTCTCAAATGATATCTCTCTTGGTGGGAGTATGCGTTATTCCATGTCACAGCTTCCATGAGAAGATTATAGCATTCCAGGTCAGGTTTAACCTCATCGATAGGCATCAAGTCGTAGAAGAGATGTCTGGCAGTGGTGCCATCACCACAAGCGGCGGCACAGCGTAATTGGTGTCGATAGAGCGCCAATGTCGCAGGAAAGCCCGCCTCCTGACGTTCTCGCAGAAGATTATTCAAGACAAGAGTAAATGTTGAGATGCGTTCCTCTAGTGACTTGCAGACCCTCCAAACTGGCTGTGTTTCCAAGCTCCTCCGGAGATAATGGTGTATCTCGCGAAATGGGACAATGAAATGTTCTGGGTCCAGGGCAGAAAATGCCTGGGCGAAAGCCTCGTCGCTGGCATTGCGGATAAAAGGAAGCCCGATATCGGGGTTAATGAAGCCAAAGAAGATACGTTCAGGGTCATTCTCAGCGATGAGGTCTTCCATTGATGGACGCACATCTTGCTCTGAATGTGTTGTAGCTGGCGTGGAGACATAGGACCTCGGTGTGTGAGGGTGAGCTCTTGAAGCGGAAGGCCATGACGAAGTGTCTGTCGGGTGCAATTGAGACGATCGTTGTGGAGGACTGAAAGCGGATCGCCAACTTTCTTTACGCTGAATGGAGGAGGAGTTGTGTCGAACGATATGGAGTCTCAGATGAGGAATACGACTAGCTGGCTGCTGGGAGCCATTGATGATCCTCGTGAGAGGTCGAGAGCCGCGCATCAAGGAAGAACTGCCCGAATGCGGAAGGTTGGCGGTGGACAGTGTGAGAGAAGATACAATGGCATCTAAGGAGTGACAGGGCAGCAGTTGAAAGAGATAGCCGCATCAAGGACGGTGGTCCGGCTGTCTATGTGAAGTACTTGTACTTGTTAATCTTTTGTTTCGATGTTCTGAAGAACATTTTGAGGAAGACGCTAGTCTACAATGGGACATGCCCGGGCGAACTGCGGGCGGAAGATCCACGACAACTTCTTCGATTCTTCACCTGTAGCATTACTCTCAAGACCTCATACCGGACAATTAACTCCTTGAGCCTACGCCTTCTCTCGACATGGCTGACTCGACTGATGAAAATGCCACGGCTGTCTCGGAGCCTCTCGATCTGGTGCGATTATCACTCGATGAAATCGTGTTTGTGCGACTCCGTGGTGAACGAGAACTCAAGGGACGATTACATGTATGCACCTCTTGCAGTCTCAGTTGTGCGGTCACGGCATTGCTGGCTAACGAATCAGGCCTATGACAGTCATTGCAATCTCGTTCTAGGAGAAGTCGAAGAAACCATATACACCATTGAAGAAGAGGACAATGGAGATGAGAATGTCAAGATATCCAAGAAGCAGTCGGAGATGCTGTTCGTTCGAGGTGAATACTACTCACGTTGGGATCTAATTTTTTAGAAGCTCACAATCACCAGGCGACTCCGTGGTCCTCATATCGCCACAGCCCGCAGCTTAAAGGCGTCAGTTCCTCGCAAACACACACTTAAGATCGCTTCGATCGAGTCCTTTACCAGCATCTGAGTCACCTTTGAATGCCATGAACCAACCGTGGAGCCCGTGGTGGCAGTGTTCCAGCCAGCTTTGAATCTGGCATGAGTCATTCCAGCAGGATTGAGCGATGGACTGTGCTATTGAGCACTAGATTCCCCACACGGATGGTCCATCTATCCCTGTTACTCTTTGAGATATACTCTTCCAGACAGGCGAGAGTCATACAAAGTCAAGCAGGAACTGAACGATGACGCAACACAGTATATGAGACGAGCATTCCATCGAGGAATGATTTGACCAAAGTCCCGCCTAGTCAGTCATGATCGAATGACTGACCAGTCTGGGACGGGCTACGACTATGACTAGGCCAGGCAAACCGGGGAATTGGGAATAAGGCAGCCTCATAGGATCATGCTTAGTAGATGCCACCTATAGTATAGTACCATAGTTCTACGACTACCTAATAAACAAGGTAGATTTTGGTAGTCGCAGTATGTTCCATGATCCTGTTCTGTTTTATGACTATTGGGCAACTTCCAATTTCGAGTGGCGCGGGCGAGATTCCCCTCGCGCCTGCCTCGGCCCCACCAGTGATGCATCAATGACTCTATCAATTGCAACTGCACCTCATCATGTCTACAAATACAACCTCCTTCAGTCGTCACTATATTCTATCTCCATACCCGCTCACCTCAGCCATTCTCAACCTCTATCTCGCTCATCATGCAACTAATGTAGGGTTAGCTGGCTTCTGTTCCCCTCTTCACAACTTCCAACCATGGTCACTCGAATACCCTGATGAACGCGGGGGCGACTTCACTCATCCCAACATCATTCCGACTCTACTTCCCTGAGAACCAAAGGGTGCCTAGTAAATAGTCGCTCCATCATGGGCTCCCGGATGAAACAAACTCCGCAGGATCGCCGAAAAGGAGAGCTTGTACGCTGCACTCTTTCCAGGACTGTCTGCTCTAGACTGACCTTTCCCAGGCGCTCTCCGACTTCGCAGACTATGTCGAGAAGGAACAAGCAAAGAATCGTCACAAGCCCGCCCAGTCTATAACGAGCGATAGCGGCTATTCTACCGGCGATCGCTCCTCTGTGAACCAAGAACACGCCGAACTTGATATCTTAGATCAATTGGGACTTTCTGATGGACCAAGCCCAGTCAAACTTAAAGAATGGCTGCTTGATATCTCCGAAAATGCCGATGCTACACTGCAACAGATAGGCGCACTTCTTCAGTCACGGATCGACGAGGGCCATGGAGAGACACTGTTCGACCTTGGCTTGGAAGATGACGGAGAGCCGATGGCTTTCACCAAAGAGCAATGGGATCTCGCCTTGCAAAGGTTGACTGAAGCCGCAGGTTCAATACGAGCCGCGGTCCGCATTTTATTGACATACAATGTTGGCGGAGGTGCTGAAGCCCAAACGATCAATCCCAAAGATTCGTCATGCCATGGCAAGTTACTCATCCGACAGATCCCCTCAACTCCTGAGGAAGTCATTGAAACCCGAGTTGCTGTAGTCGGCAACGTCGACGCAGGAAAATCGACGATGCTGGGTGTCCTTGTCAAGGGCAATCTCGACGATGGTCGGGGCAAGGCTCGAGTCAATCTCTTCCGCCACAAGCATGAAATTGAATCAGGCCGGACGTCTTCTGTCGGCATGGAAATCATGGGGTTCGATGCGCATGGCGAGGTGGTTGCTTCCACTGTTCCTGGTCGCAAACTGACATGGGGTGAAATTGGTACTCGCAGTGCGAAAATCCTCACATTTTCAGATCTCGCTGGCCATTCGAAATACTTGCGCACCACCGTCTTTGGCCTGCTCTCCTCGGCTCCCAATTATTGCCTGCTCATGGTAGCAGCCAATAATGGGCTCATTGGTATGAGCAAAGAGCATCTTGGCATTGCTCTTGCCCTCAATGTCCCCGTTATGGTTGTCATCACAAAGATTGACATCTGCCCGCCCCAAATACTGGAGCAGACCATTACTCAACTTACGAGAATCCTCAAGTCTCCGGGGGCCCGCAAGATCCCCATCTTCATCAAGTCACACGAGGAGACCGTATTGACTGCTACTCAATTTGTTTCCCAACGAATATGCCCAATCTTCCAAGTTTCCAATGTCACAGGCGAAGGCCTCGACCTCGTTAGGACATTTCTTAACATTCTGCCTCATCACGGTCACTATGATGAACAAGCACCAGCAGAGTTCCATATCAATGATACCTTTTCCGTTCCCTTCGTTGGGACGGTTGTGTCTGGGGTCATGCGCTCAGGAGTGCTCCACGCAGGAGATACCGTTCTTGTGGGACCAGACTCCCTTGGACAATTCCAAACAACCAATATCCGATCCATTGAGCGCAAACGAATACAGGTTCCGTTGTGCAGTGCTGGCCAGTCTGCGTCGTTCGCGCTGAAGCGTATCCGACGCAAAGAGGTCCGGAAAGGCATGGTGCTACTGCCAAAACTTGAGCATCCTCCAAAAGTGTACAAGGAGTTTGTTGCTGAAGTCTTGATCTTGTCTCATGCAACAACCATTCGCCCGAAGTATCAAGCGATGCTCCACGTTGGTGGAGTGAGCCAAACCTGTGCCATTATCGATATCGACCGAGAGTTCATACGGACAGGAGACCGTGCAACTGTCGCCTTCCGCTTCGTTCAGCGGCCAGAATTCCTCACCATTGGAGAGCGCATCTTGTTCCGTGAAGGTCGCACCAAGGGGCTGGGCATTGTCAAATCTCTGGGATACGAAGCAGGCTCATTGAGCAAACAGATCGACACTCAGGGTGACACTACTGCGCCAGCACTGGAGTCTAAAGGCAAAGCAAAATCTGAAGAACATGCTTCTGCCTCCAAAGCTCAAGGGACTGGCGGTACGAACAGTGGCAAGGCGAAATGAGAATGGAGTCATTGGCAGCAAGAGAAACCATAGTCGTAAGCGACATAGGCATCGCAGGGGTTAGTCAGTCTAGTTGACTGGACTTTGATTATAGTGCGATTTTTCTAGCTAGCTAGAATATATCTGAGTACTATCTCCCGTATACTCACTGGACGATGTGGCACAAGATTGCTTCGCTCGAAACATACCTGATATCCACGTGACTTTCCAATCCAGGAGCGCAGCCTGGCCAGCCAATTAGCTTCATCAGAAGCATTCAGGATGCCACAGCCTTGCCACGGCAGGCTAGCTTCGCCGCATGCTGGGGACCCAGCCTTGAACATATACTAGCATCTTTCGAAACTCCAAATGCCGTTCAAGCAGTCCTGTCACCACTGGACATGCCACAGACTCGACAGCGAAAAGGCCGCGAGACCCGCGGCTTGAACACCTCAAACGTCGACCTCAAGGCGGCCCCTACCTCGAACAGCATCAGGGATCCTGGCGCCACCGAACCAGACATGACCGCCTCGTCGTCCGTTCTGGGTGCCCTGCGCCGTCAACCAGTCTGGATCGTGCTTGCAGTGTCAAGTGGCACATGTGCTGCCTTCAATGGCGTCTTTGCAAAACTGTAGGGAACTTCATTCATATACTTCAGAAAATATACACCTGTTCAACACTTTTTGAAGACGCAGCTAGACTGCACTTCCTCGAAATCATGCTCCATCCAATCCCCCCGTCCCTGATGCCTTTATCATTCCTACCTTCAAACCAACACTGTCAATGTCTCCCTCCACAGATAGATGTGACAGTCCCACTGATCATTTGTGGAATATTTAGAACCACCACTGCGCTGACCTCGACACTCTCCTCGCACATCTCGCTCTTTTTCTCCTTGTCACCAACGAACCACTTCGTCGAATTCCTCGTGCGCGGAACCTTCTTTCTTCTCAATCTTGCCTTCAATGCTGCCATGTGGGCTTTGTTTACTGCCGCCTTGAGGCGCGGGGACAGTGCTACTCGTGTCAGCATCATCAATGTCTCGGCGAATTTCATGGTGACTGCGATTCTAGGGTGGATGATTTTCAGTGAAAAGTTAAATGGCATCTGGTGGGGAGGCGCGGCACTGTTAGCTGCAGGCAATGTCATCATCGGACGCAGAGAGGAAGGAGAAAAGCAGCGGAATGCAGACAATGAATTCGGTGGTTCAGCGAGACAGTCGGAGGATGCAGAGAGGCTGCTGGGCACCACGGGCGAAGAGACGCTACTTGAATTAGATGACGAGCCGGAGCAAAGGAGGAAATCGAATGACGAGCTATCGAGACTGATGAGAGCGGAAGAGGCTGATGCCCCGTTGTGATTCACTACAACATTTCTTGATATGAATCTATATCGGTGGTCGTTTCTCAACCGCCACAGCCAACATCGAAGCCAATGCAGCAGTACAGTTCTGCAGGCAAGATTGTTCATATGGATAGTCTAACAGATCCTAACAGACTGCAGGTCACTGAATGATACACATCCTTCAATTAGTAACGGGGCACGCAGCGTGTATGCACCAACACTGAGAACAACAAGATCTCTACTGCTCTTGCAGTGAGGCATGGCTCTAGAGCCTTCCAGATGGGCAACAAGACCCCAGGCGAAGCTTGTTGGCAAATCCCACAAGGCATACTGAGAGTTGTCTCGGCTCAAAGTTACTCTTGGTCTTCTCACAACCTTCACCCTCTTCTTCGGATCTCGAGGTTTCGATAATACGAACCTTCATAGAATATGTCAGATGATGAAGGCAGTCCTGAAACTTCATCAGCTAATTCTCAGCGCATGACCTGTCAACTAAAAGATCAAGCGAACAAACTTGTCATCTCTATTTTCTTGTCACAATCCTAAACTCATTTGGATGGCCTGTTGTTCTCAAGTATCCTGTGACAGAGGCTCTAAGACACGACTGAGTGAACGGACGTGAGCATGCTGAGTCTTCTGATGATCAAATCACCCGAACTGTAGATGTAGCGCAATGGTGTGACCTGACATCAGGCTCCTGATGCGAAAATACATACACACGACTGGATGAATGCGGGGGTTTATTTGGCTCCGTGGTGCGACAATATGCCTATTGTATCGGCAATGAGGTCGGAAGTCCTCGGATAGGAATAACAATAAGCCGCAATTTGGAACCATAATTGCCAGGGCCTCTAGCGACAATGCAGCTTCTCAGATTCCATGTCGTCATCGCAATTTAAGCGGGTCCATTGGTGTCGTCTGTTCTCCCTCGGAGTCGGCCGTAGCCGGTAGCTGCAGCCTACGCATACTCCGTACTCGTAGATCCTACGAGTTACCTCTAGTGGTACATTCTACGCATCCATCATGTAAGCTGACTGAGGAGGCTGCACAGAATTGACACTCTGGGAATTCGGTATTTCCGGACTCTGCATACTCTCGGGTAACTAGCTTTTGCTTGGAAAAAGAACAATTGATATTCGGCATGAGCAACAATTTGAAATTCTCTCGTCTGTGCATGCGATGCGAGGCAAATTAATGAGAGATCTTTCCCCTTAACTTAACCTACGCAGGACTTCGTTGGCATTCTGGAGGCTGTAGCTATAAACAGAACTATGCTTTTGCGGGGCCCAAATTTGGGGGTATTGTTATTGGATTCCCAGGGGCTGTTGAAGTCAACAGGAGTAGCCAGGCACGCCAGGTAGCGTAGCCTAACAAGATCATCATCTCAGGAGTGCATTATTCAACGCGCTTAGCAGATGAGGATTGTGGGGTAGAAGCTGTAATTGCTGAGACGACTATTGTTTGGCATGCCGACACCTGGAGCAACAGAATGGAGACAGTCCTTTCAGCCCCAGTTGAGCCCCGTGAGCCCCTCAACTTGGGTCAAAGCAGATGCTCCATACCTAGGTACCTGACAGTTGTGACCTCAGACATGCAATTCAGGAGCATTCACCCGTTTGTGTATTGTGCTCAGATGGAGAGACCCACGAGAGCTCAAAGGATCTGCCAGACACGTGTCCAGTAAGGAGTGTGGGAGTACTCCGTATACGAATAGTCAAGGGAAGTCAGTCTACATTCTCCACGTGAGGCCTAAAAGACGATGCTCCGTGGTTATCCGATCTGCAGGGTCATGGCGAGATCGTTACCAGAATTGGGAGGGCCTGGTGGGCAAGTTCTTTGTTAGGCATCACAACCTCATGTAGGATGCATGAGTCTAGGTAGTCGAGAGAGTACGGAGAGGTGTGACAGGTCGGGTGGCAAAGGGAAAGGTGAGGGTGAATCAACCAGTGGTCAGCGACCGACCCCAGAGAGGTGATGCAAGAAGGCAGTGGTGACGAGGCGCAATCGGCCAGACCAGATCAACGCCGGGTGGACGACTCCAAAGTTACAGCAATTGGTGCATAAAGCGCTCGTGCCTGACTAAAAGAGATTAGCGGCCACCGTTAGGGCGACAGTGTACGGTACCTCAACCAGGTGCTAGCCTAGCAGGTAGAAGAAGCGTGCTCACAGGTACCGACACCTGCATCACGAGAGACGCCGTGGCCGGCATATTTCCCACCGTGAAAGGCCATGGAAGGCCGCGAGACGCCTGTGTCCGGACTGAGAAATGCAGGCACCCACGAAAGGCTACTGAGGCATGAGTGGCAATCTGGGAACGTGGATGCGTGGGTGAGGAAAGGCCAATCCAAGGCCAATCCCGGACTAGGAGCAGTAAGAGACCAAGGCGGGGACCCACCATTCGCACCAATGTATCCAGAAGTGGCTCTTGACGTGCTGTGCGTGCCTGGGTACCCGTGGTTGTGCTGGGTTAGCCTGGGTCTGCCGCCTCTGGCGTGTCTGGCGCCCAGTTGAACGTCGCTTCCAAGTGCAGGGACAAATAACTGACCAATAAAACAGCACTAGGTGGGCCGCGCCCAGCCAAACAGGTCCCGCTTCAAAGAGGTGAAGACCCACTTAAGTCGGCTGTAGGTTTGCTAGACCCTTCGTATTTGGCCCATCGGGTCTGGTCTGCTGGCCACACCCATTCTGCTTCCTTGTCTCGCCCGACCGCCCATCTTCCCAACCCACCCTCTCGCGCCTCTTCCACTCCCCAGAGTCCCAGCTTCCCGATCTCTCTACTTACCAAGTCCCTGGCGTGGTTCTACTACTATTATTACTGGTTAGCTCCCAATCCTCACTACGGCCATACCTGCTATTTACCCTGCCTCGCCTCGCCTTCTTGCCTTCCACCGCCATTCGCATATCCTTTCATCATCCCGCCCTCCATCTTACAGCCGCTTCTTTCCTCTTCTCAGCCTTCAATACATCCTAATTGCATCTTTGATTCGATCCTCTCTTCTCTCACTCTCACCAACGCCTCCTTCTCTCCCCCTAGACTCATCAGGGAGACTACCAATCCAATCCCTTCCTAAGATTGCCTGGCACTTCACCGTCATTGTTTTGCCACCGTTTGATTAGCTGTCCCGGCAGATTCCTCAACTGCCACATATTTGCGATCCCATCCTAGATTCTCTACAGGAAAGCACTATAGCTCATCATGTCGACCTTTTACTACGGCGGACATCATCATCAACAACACCAAGTACAAAATCCTCATCCTATGTCACAATCACACAACCATCATGGTCGCTCTCGAAGAGGCCCCCGCATGTCCGCAGCTCAACAGGGCTCCCATCGACACTTTCGTGCGCCCAAGGCCCAGAAAGAGCTCGTAGCTGAAGCTCCGAGCTTGTCGGCTTATCGGGCACGATTCGAGGCCGGCCGGTCGTTCGACCTCGATGATGACCTCGAGTTCTGTCCCAATCTCTTGACTCTTGACGAGGTTTGTGATGGCACATTCGATTCTTTGTCCATGACTGACATGGCCAAGCGACAATCTGTGACATCTGGGTCTGACCGATCCTCGCTGTCAAGCGGCTCCCCTGACTCTTCTCCTCTACAATCCCAAATACAACCTCACCAGATCACACCATCCTTGTCCGTTTCCTCAACTGCCGCATCCTCTTACATGTTGCCCCCGGGCTACAGCACAAACTCCCTCAAGATCCACCAACCTTCGGCGATCCGGACCTCCCGCACGAGTGCCATCCCCATCGTCAACCCCTCTACCGGTATCCGCATTGCCAGCCCACCATCATCAATCTCTCCAGGTTTGATGCAGCAGACCACAGCGGCCCGCCGTTGGTAAGCTGCGATAGCTCCTGCTCGGGCTTTCCGTGCTCTAGCTCCCAGCGAAGCGTTGCTTGTGTCTTGATTGCTCTTCCTTGGCTGATATTGTGATGTGGTGCTTTGTCTTTTGCTCCCGGTGTACAGCACTTCCTTCTCCTCTCACGTTCTCACTCTGTATATATCAGACTCTACGATATCTAACCTCTTTATTGTTCATCGAGCGAAAAGGCATAGCGATTTGACGAATTTTACATCACGATACCAGCCACATATGAAAGATAAGGATAGGATTGGAGTATCAAGGCACACCATGTTTCCAAAACGCTTATCCAGATTTTTAGCAAGGAGTTTTGAGCACACAGGCAAGAGACGATGTTAGAAGGCGTTGTTATTGTTGCAACGTCGTTCTACCTTTGATATCAGCACTGGGTGTTTTTGTTTGTTTTGCACATTTGAAACGGTCATGGTCACGTTGGGGGAGACGAGACATACAGATACCAGATGGATTTGTCAGGGTTCTGGTGGGGTTCTTGGTGGTATCCAGGACGAAGTTTATGCACATCTCATGACGGCTGGCTCTAAAATGAATCCAAAGTTTATGGGAGGTTGAAGATGGTTTGATCCAGCGTTTGACGATGGTCGATGATACCATCCGCTCATGAGGTGTATTTCTAGCCATAGAAGCAGAAAACGATTGGTTCTTTATATGTTTTTATCTCAAGTTCTTCTGCATACAGATTGTGATCGTGATCCTTGCCGTCATCCGCAGATGGCAGTTTTGCGTCTCACGATCCGGCGTTAAAAGGTAGGTAGGGAAAGAGTTGCATATTCGTTGTAGTCAGGTTCAGCTCTGCAAGGTACCCTCGCGAACCGAACCATGTAGGCTCCAGCACGCACTTGGTGTATACGACGGTAGAGTGGGGTGTGGGTGGTGGTGGCAGTGTTGCATGATTCGAGGCTGATGCTCCCTTGGTTGTTCGGCGAGGGGCCCTCGGGCGAAGACTGGGGGACAGTCACTGAAGGTTAGGTACCTACTCCGTACATACCTAGGTACCTACGTAATAGCCTTGTGCCAAGACTGCCCCTCGGACCCCTCCAAGTTCAACTCCAACGTATCTCTGGGTGTCTGGCTACCTACCTACGGAGTAGTACCTACTTAGTGTAGTAGCCTTTTTGTATGTGACAACAAGAACACGCTACCTAAGGTATGGGTCTCCCTTGAACGGATGCGTCCAGAAATACACAACTCTTCCTCAAAGAGCACAGATCATGCTGCAGTAAGGGGCTTGACCTACCATCTCTCTGACTATCACGAGACAACTCTCCTCCAGCCTCGTTTGTATTGCATTGACAATTCTGCCTCTTGACAGTGTTGGTACCCCATTCGTTGGGCCGCTCAAACACAGATCATCTATTCATACTCCTGTTCGCACATCGGCCACCCGTCTTGGCAATCGAGGGGTTTGAGACTGAATATCTCAGTAGATGTCAGCTCCTGTTGACAGACATTCTTTGAGTTGTTCAGCCTGCGGTCATCAGTACGACATCTCATATCCACTTCATCCAAGATGGCTCTCTCTTCTAGGAACGTATGGTTGGTGCTTCTGATCTGTCTCATCCTCTTTACATGTCGAGCACACGCCTTTGGAGCTGGCAACATTGCCTCCATCTCGGCCGTTGAAGGAAAGAATTGGCGTCATGGAGATATTGAAGATATCCTCAAGACTCTGTCTTGTATTCGTCACCACAAATGGAACTCGATGATGATGAAGCGTGTCTATTTCGGGTATGTGCAGATATCCTCGCCTCGCCTCGCCTTTCAACAAGCCCCAGCTAATCATTCACCCTCCAACAGCAATTGGCTTAGAGATTATTCTCAGGCTATGGACACTGGAGCTTTGAAGAAAGCAGCGCCAGAGACAATCCGTGTCCTCGTATGGTTGCTCTCCTTCCTCAGTTTTGGTTATGCCACTGCTGAGTTCGAGGTGACAACGGAGAGACTAGGCGTCTATCGACCTGAGGAGCACATTGAGTGAGAACTTGAATACTTTCGTCTCATCAATCAATCTAACCATCTATTAGCAACCCCAAAGACTACAACGACAATGAAGATGCTCGACAGTATGACCCTCGTCTACGAGGTCCCGTCCGAGACATTGAGCTACAAATCGACCCAGAGACTGGAATGAAGAATTACATCGCAAATGGCAAAGGAGACTGGGCCACTTCCCTTGCTTTTGTCAAATACAGCTTCGAGCGGAGTATTCATCACGGTAGACTCTACACCAACGGTCGAGGGATCTTCAAAGGCAAGGATGAGGATTTGGCAGAGGCGCTCAGATACCTTGGTCAAGGCTTGCATACCCTTGAAGATTTCGGTGCCCACACCAATTATGTCGAACTTGTCCTGCGAGATATGGGCTTCAACAATGTCTTTCCACTTGTCGGAAGTTCCACCGCCATCAACCTCCGCGGCAAACATGTTTTCCCTCTCGTCACTGGCACATTTGGTATGGTCGACTTCTACCACTCAGTCTTGGGTGAGGCTACCGATCATTTCACACAAAGTGAAATCAATGAGATGGACAATGCCCTGGGTGTGGCTCAGCAGGCGGCATCATCCTCGAATCCGTTGACCTCACTTGTCAGTTCGCTGTCCAAGATTCCAGGAACTAGTCAGTTGTGCGCGGAAGCTGCGCAGTTACAAAGAAGCTCAGAGGCCCAAGCGCGTTCAAATGCGGGAGGCTATTCCAGCAGAGGTGTCGATGATTATGGGGGAAGCTCTCGCGGGGTCGAGGACTGGCAAACCTCCCGAAGCTCACAACCTGGATTCCCGTCATACGGAAATGACCAATGGAACGCCCCTCAGCAACAGGGTTGGGACCAGCCTCAGGGTCAGTGGCAGGGCTCGCAGGGCTATCAATCGCAACAAGGCTTCCCTGGAGCTCAGCAAGACTGGCAACAGCCAGCACAGCACCAAGGCTGGCAACAACAGCAGCAACCGCCACCACCACCACAACAACACCAAGGTCAGAACTGGGAAACCCAACAAGGATCGTCAAACACGCAAACCGCATCCCGGCCAGCCGGTCTCGAAGGCATGCCAGACTTTGATCCTGCAAAGACTGTTGCTCAGATTTACCCCATCCTAGCCTTCCGTGACAAGGTCGTCCGCACTATCAGCTCTGTCATCGAGAAGATCCCCGGTCTTGAAGCCCTCGTCGACCGAATCACTGAAACACTGACCGTGTTCATTCTGTCGCTCCTTGCACCCATTGTGCGACCAATTATCAACGCCATGTCCAAGACTCTTAAGGTTGGAAGTGAAGGAGTTATCAACTCGTCCGGCAAGCATCAATATGAAGTATGGACTGACCCTCATTCGTCTGATCCGACCCATTCCATGCTGAGCAAGGACCACTTCAGCAACATTCTCAACGAACCCGCCGGCAACGTGGCAGCCGAGATTCTCAAGTACATTGCTCCACGAGTGCTGTATGCTTGGGAACACGCGAGTGTCCCTGTCGACCAAGTCATGAACGATATTGAGTGCATTTTCCACCACCCTGCAATCAGGAACGAGAGAAACGAAGCCCACCGCAACATGTATGCCGCTGTCAAGAACTGGGTCCACAGCCTTCCCGACAGAGGCAGGAACCTAGAAAATGTGCTGAGCTCTGAAGGCGTTCGTGCTGGCAAGAACCATAAAGGCGGAGTCAACGAACATGCTCACTTGCAATCACATTCAAAGCCTCCACAACAACAATCCCATCAATCGAGTGGCGGCTCTTTCGGAGGTCTAAGTAATCTCACCAGCTTCCTGCCAGGACAGTCACAGCAAGGAGGCGGAGGATCTCACAGCAGTAGCAATCCTCTGGGATCCGTTGGAAGCTTCATCGACAACTTTACTGGCTCAGGACATCAACAGGGTCGTCCTCAACATGGCAGCAGTGGCGGCGGCGGTCTTAGCGACATGCTCAGCATGGCCAGCAAGCTTCCCATTCCCGGCGTGAAGAACATCAACAAGTACACCAAATTCATGGGCGGACTTGGAGGAAGTGGAGGTGGAACTGGCCGACGAGGTCTTGATGGTGACGACGACGATGACAACTTCACTGGCTCCGGTGGCAGTGAGCTTGGTGGATCTCGTGAACTTCACGAAGCTGCCACTCATGCGAATGTTGGAAGATCACCCAGTCCTCAACCGCTCAGCGCTCCTCCTGGGTATGAACAATACGATCAGCAAGATTACGGTGGCTACGGTCCCCAGGAAGACCAGGGCCAACAACCATATCAGCATCAGTATCAAACTGCATATCAGGATCCTTATCAGAATCAGAATCAGTATGGTGGCGGTGGTGGGCAGTACGGTGGTGGTGGTCAACATGGTGGTCATTATGGTGCTCCTCCAAGCGGAGGCTATGGCGGTCATTCTCAGGGATACTATCAGAGTTGAGATGATGGATCAGCCGTCGTCTATCGGGGCGATATTTCAAGTTTATGACGATAATATTCTATGCAGCCTCCGACCAATGCTTTCAGAAGACAAACATAGATACTTTTATCTGTTAATATGAGCATGACCTGATCGAACAAGTCTCTATTCCCCCCCCCCCCCCCAAAATCCAAATCCTGTCTTAACCCTACCTTATCTATCCTATGATCATAATCACTATAATTTATCCATCCTCCCACCCCTGCCCAACCCCGACGTAAACCTCGCTGCCCCCTTCAAACTCTCCACGCCAATCACCTTCCTCCCCCTCTCAAATTCATTCCTCAATGCATCTTCAAACCCCTTTGCATTATAAACCGCATAATACGCCGAATCTCTATCAAGATTCATACACATCTGGGGAAACCTCAACAATTGCTTCGCCATATTTGTCGCCTCCAGCAACGCACTTCCTTTCGGTACAACCCGCGTCGCTAATCCCATCGATAGAGCTTCCTGTGCTGAAACCGCTCGGCCCGTGAGAATCATATCCATGGCTCGACCGAGTCCAATGATTGCAGGCAGTCGCACGGTTCCGCCGTCGATCAAGGGTACGCCCCAACGACGACAGAATACGCCGAAGATGGCGTCTTCTTCCACGATGCGGAGGTCCGCCAGGAGACTTAGTTCAAGCCCGCCCGCGACGGCGTATCCGGATATCGCGGCGATGACGGGTTTGGACACTTGGAGGCGGGAGGGACCCATGGGACCGAGGTTGCGGCCAGAGACGGGTTGGAGGTTGTCGCCCTTGTTGGGGTCATTGGAGGTGTTGGTCTGGTTGTTGAATGATGCTGTTGCAGTAAGGTCTTTGAGATCTGCGCCGGCGCAGAAGAATCCGTCTGATCCAGTGAGGATAGCTACTTTTTGGGTTGTGTCGGCTTCGAAGGCCAGGAATGCAGAGTAGAGGAGTTGTGCTGTCGCTGGGTTGACGGCATTGCGTCGGTGAGGTCGACAGATGGTGATGGTTGTGATTCCTTCGTCTGTCCTTGTGACGGCGACGTTGTTATCCTCTGATGGTTGTGACATTGTTGATGTCGTGCCGACTAGGTTTTGGTTGTAGAAGGTCGTTTGCTTCGCGTGTACTCGGTAGTATGTTGGAGAGTGGGATGATTTATATTTTATATCAAGTGTGTCACTCTTCAGGTACAGCCTTTTGTGCCGAGGTAGTGGGCCAAGTGTTGCTCCCCTTTTGGAGAAATATATTCATTTACTTTCCACACCATACCTAGTATCTTTGAATGAGGAGAATCTGGACATGCTATAACGTAACCTGCGGATGCAGACTGATATAAGAAATAATGGTACAATTAACATGACAGTAGCATCATGCCTAGATATCCCATGGCGTCTTTCCAGGTCGCTCGAAATATTATGGCATTATGCTGCCCACTCATATTCTGGCAAGGCATATTTGTCGCCGCTCGCAAAAGCACCACCCAAGTATCTCTGAGCAACATCGATAATCCTGCTCCAGGTTATAAATGCGAAAATATGGTTCCGGATCCATATTCCCCATGCTGTTTGTGGCGCAATGATTGTGTAAATTACTGACGATGTCTTCTGCATGTCATCAATGAGTGGTCTCATCTGCTTCTCGTAACCCTCAAGTCCTGCCTGCAGATCGCCTTTATGCTTGTTGAGCTCGCCAGCCAATGTATATGCCCCGGTCATGGCAAGCGTGGTGCCCGTGCCAGTAGGCCCCGGTGCGTAGCCTGCGTCGCCAACCAGGACAAATCGGCCTTTGAAGAGCGTAGGAGGTTTGATTTGCACGATCTCGTTGGCGTAAAAATCTTTCGAATCCATCATGCACTTGATGATCTCAGGAGTTTTCCAGCCCACTTCTTGATAGTGGCGGGCGACAAACCCTTTGAGGGCGTCTTCTCCTTGCTTCATCGCTTCGCGGAATGATTCCACCGCGTCTTGGTGCGGCCGCAAGCACATAAAGACTGCTCGATTGACGCCATCTGGATCAGATCCGAGAGCGACAAACCGGCCACCGGTAGCATTGTATCCTTGTCCGACTTTACTACCCTGGGCGAGATCCTGGTCAATTGAGAAGAAAGCGGCCCAGCTGTTAGTGGATTCGACATAATCCCGGAGACCGCAACCCAGGCCCATAGCTCTAGTCCTGGATGTTGAGCCGTCACAAGCAACCACGAGGTCGTACGTAGAGGTTGGAAAGCCATTGAGAAAATTGACTGTGATCGGACCATCGCCAGACTCGGCTTGTTGCATTGAGGCAATCTGCTCGTTGAAGATGTACTTGATCTTGTCGCTGTCCTTGGTCATATCGAAGAGTATCTTTGACAGATCGCCCCTAAGGATCTCATATTCTGAAACAAGCGACTGTTGATCTGGGTTGCCAGTTGCTTTGAGGGTTCCATATGGCTGTCCGTTGTCACGCACCAGACTGATGCCTTCTAACTGAGTGAACTTCCTTCGCACGGCCTCCTCCATACCTGGGATTTTGCGCATAACCGCAACACCGGTGGTGCGAATATCAATGCTCTGTCCACCGCCGCGCAGCTCTGGGAAGCGCTCAATTACGGTGACATTTGCCCCTGCTTTGGCTAACCAGTAAGCGGTCATGGGGCCAGCTATGGACGCCCCAACCACGAGGATATTGGTATCAGGCATGGCTTCAGCGTGCTGAGAACGTTGCCTAGGATCTCATGTGTTGGTCAATGGTCAGATGAGCGGCTAACTCTCTTCAAGGCGGACGGAGTAGTAGAGATAGACACGGAAGGAGGGGAAGTCGGTACTGGGAGGGATTCAGCAGTGATATAAGTATGAGTGTGACCTGAGCCCTGCTTTAAGATACGAGGAATCAACATTGGTCTGGTGTTTCGGCAGCTGGGCAATCCTAGGCATGTCTACCCTTGAATGTGGTAGCCTTCTGCAGCACGTGCTCGACACAAAGGTTCCCTTGACAAAGGTTCCCTTGACAAAGGTTCCTGTGATCGAACTCCCGAGCGTCTGACCGCCTTGCATGATCAGGTTAGCTCACCTCATTTCCTACCTTGAACGTAGTATTGGACACACGGCAGACCGTGTCTACCAGGTACGGAGTCTGTTTTGGCTTCAAAGTGCGCGTCATTCTCTTTGAGGAAACCACTCACAATGTTCAAATATGGAAGGAAGTGGGGCAAATGGCGCCAGTTATGGACGGACGTGACTTCCTCCTCGGAGGCTCGGCGCCGAATGCTTGTTTTAATCCGACTAGCCAATCACAGTCTTCAAGTTTCCTCCACTAAACACTACATCGTCGGTACTTCTGTACATCTCCCACCGAATCATCATCCCTCTCTCATGTATCTCTCTATCCTCACAGGAGCGAACCTGACACTTTGCTACCGAGCGCTTATGGAATGATACCTGTCATGGGTGCTATCATCTAAGCTAGTGTCATCCCCCTCTTCCCCGTCAGCCTAAAGTTGGTGCCAGATTCCAAGCATGTGCTAGTCCCTGATATGGCGACACGAGAGGCCTCGACTCCAGCAGGAAAGCATGCAAATGCCCACTCTTGCATTCGATGTTTCAAACGGAAGGTCAAGTGCGATAAACAGCAACCGTGCACCGCTTGTGTCAGACACAATGTCGATTGTGTGCCTCGAGCGCCAAATAATCCAAGGCTTATAAAGGGACGAACTCGAGAGGAAGCGTTGGTCAGACGCATCCAACATTACGAAGCCTTGCTCCGCCAATCAGGCGTCGAAATTTCTACGCTTTCAGCAGATCCGTCCAGTGTCACTCAGAAAGCGTCAAGTTCTACATCTGAATTGGGCGGACCCAATATCTCACATCCATCGTCTGTCGAGACTAGTGGGGAGCCCGAGAACCAATATCGCAAGTCGCAGCTTGTTCACAGACATGGTGAATCAAAATATCTTGACAAGTGTGTCCAAATCTCCGTCTTTCGTCGTCTTTAGGTCTCTGATAACAGCATAGTGACTTATGGTCAAGAGTGATTGAAGAGGTGATTCTCCTTCCATTGCGAACTAGTATTCACAATGACAGATGAGACAGGTTCCAGATGTAGACAATAACCTCGACTACCTCTCAAGTGAAGACGGTGACCAAGTCGACATCCCTGAGGACAATGCAGACTTCATGTTCGGATTCATGCCCAGAGGCTCTCGCTCTAGAGTGCTCCAACCATCGGTTGACCATGTTCCCGAGTTATGTCGAGTGTTTCGAGAGAATGTGAATCCCCTAAACAAGATTGTACATGAACCGACATTGGACCTGTGGGCAGCAGAGGTCATCCGTAATCCTGACAACATCCCTGTGAAGCTTGAAGCAGTCATGTTTTCCATCTACACTCTCGCCGTCTTATCGCTGAGCGAAGCTGCTTGTCAGGAGAATTTCAATGAGCAACGCAAGGTGCTGTTGACGCGATACAGATTTGCAACCAAGGACGCTCTGTCTCGGGCCAAGGTTCTCAGCACGGGAGATATCGTCGTCCTTCAAGCATATGTGCTCCACCTCCTGGCAATGCGCAACGTTTATAATGCTCACATGTCTTGGACCTTGATGGGCCTTGCTCAGCGACTTGCGGAAGGCATGGGACTGCACCGCGATGGCACCTACCTGGGGTTGTCGCCTTTCGAGACGGAAATGAGGCGTCGTCTTTGGTGGATGATGCGAATGTTCGATTCCCACATGGCGGAGCTGGCTGGACATGCCAAATTCAAACCCATAATAATGGATCCACAGATGCCTCATCGGCCGTCCAAAGTCAATGATGATCAGATCTGTCCAGAGATGACGACTTTCCCAGTCGAGCCTGATAGCGCGACAGATATGTGCTTCTGCGCTCTTCAAAGCGAGTTCGGGTATTTTGCAGCCACACATACCGCGGGCATGCGCCGTCAGCAAGGTGCTGCTGCTTCGCTGTGGGACAATTACGCCTCCACAGACGAAATTGCTGAAAAGGATCGGGCAATTGATGAGTTGGAACAAATCTTGGAACACAAATACGTTCGCCACTGTGATCCAACGCAGCCAATTCAGCTCATGACGTTTCTGCTCGCTCGTAACGCAGTGAATAACCTCCACTTCATTACCCACCACCCTCGGCGTTGGAAAGGAGACACCGAGCTTCCTCAATCGGAACGTCGCTACGTGCTGACTTTAGCCATTCGTTTGATGGAAAGCGAGGTCGCCGTGAGGGCCAACCGACAGTTTCGGGCTTTTGCCTGGTACACCGCGTCGTACTTTCCATGGGCGCAGGCTATCCACATACTCGAAAGTCTCCGCTCAGAGCCGCTTCTGCCAGAGGCTGAAAAGGCCTGGCGACTAATTGGGGAGGCGTTTGAATATCGGCCGGAACTCATTCTGGACAAGAAGCCCGTCAGCGTGGCGCTGGGGAATCTGTGCCTCAAGGCGTATCATGCTCGAGAAGTTGCATTGTCGCAACAGGGCGCAGTGACGATAAAGCCCCCGTCCTACATCACCACACTGCGTGCCCAGCGACAGGCTGCTTTAAATCGGGATCAAGCTCGCGAACTTGAGAAGCCACCGGATGTCGGTGTCAATGGCAGGCGACCGGATCAAACCCACTCAATTCCCCGTAATACGGCCTGGGATTCCTCTGTCGGTCAGATTGACTTTAGAGATGGAGTCCTCGTCGCAGAAAACACAGAGATTTCCATGGAAGCAGGTAAACAAGCTTTGCAGACGTCTTTCGCAAATCCTGATCTCCCTATTGGCACAAGGGAGGGGCTTTGGATTCCCCAGGCCAGCAGAGAGGAGTGGACGCCATCAATCTCATTCGCATTGGACACCATCGTCCCCAGTGATGGTGATCCATTATTCGGACAAGGGGGTAACTTGCTGGATGGTGCACAGTCTATAGATTGGAATCAGTGGGATCACCTTCTGCGCGACTGGAGTGGTACCTTCTATGGTCAAAATTGATACCACGTGACCCCACTGGATGGGTTACCTAATATTTAGCACGAGGTGGCCGATGCACGTGTGGAAGGCGTCCCAGGCACTTTCAGGCACCCCAGGGCAAACTTGGGGGCCAGAAGAACGAATCGGCAATCGCATCGCAAGGCAAAGACCATCTGACTTATCGGTTCAAGATACCACGTACTCCGTACATTAGCTTGCTATAGAAAATATCACTACCACCGGATCATTTTGAGACTTGGCTGATGGCCGCCGGGAATCAAGTTGATCGGCTATATTTACTATGTATGCGTAACACTCGAATTGCTGCAGCCGGCGTTTCGACCATCAAGCGCTCGCTTCAAGTTGGAAATCTAGCCAAAGACGCGTGTTGCTAACTGTCGTGCTTGTCGATCGTGAATAAATGAAAGGTGGAAAATCTTGGAATGAAAGCGCCGTTGGAATTGGTGCGGGGCGGCGCAAACATTTCCTAGGCACTCTAGGCGGAATTCAGGCAAGGGGGTTTGGCGATTAGCCCCCAAAAGCCCCCGTCAATGTTAGGGATGAGGTGTGAACAGGGCGATGGACTGGTGGAGAAGGCGCCCGGGGGGCCCAAGTTTGGGTGCTTGGGCTCCTCCTGGCCAGCCATTGACATCATTGATGCCATGGATTCACGATCGGCGCCAAACGCGCAATCTGCTGTCCACCCGCCACGTTGAACTTTGGGTGCAGAGAGTCTGAGAAGCAATGAGAGTCACTAATGACAGTCAAGCCTGTTGGTTTTGATGCACGCAGTTTGATTTATTCTGCCCAGATATGCATCTTCTGTGGCGTTCAATTGCCACGATCTTGGCTTGCTTTTACACCTACTTTCTTGTCCATCTCTCGTTTGTTTCCCTGTTTATCTCTTTACAATCACCTTCCTTCTCCTACGCGGACGCATATCATCTTCTTGCATTCTTGCAATTCTTTGTCCTCAGCCACCACCATCTCCTCCTGCTTTGTGTTTCTAAAATACCAACAACCCCCCTCGTTGCCCGATTGCCCTCATCCCCCTCCTCCAACTTCACTCTTTGTCAATCGAGCAGCACAGGTACACGTCTTTAGCTGGACAAACAATCCTCTAAGCCTCTCACGCCCCGGACCCAAGTACCATTCTTCCCCCCACACGCTCCTCGACGACCATGCACCCGTTACCCTCCCTCTTTCAACGATAACAGAAACACAACTGTAAACATCCGTCCAAGATGTCAAGCTTCAGCAACCTCACAGGAATTGGTGGCGATGAAGCTGGACGAGAGGCTCAGTCCAGGAATGGCCAAAGCGCAGGCCAGTTTGCCGCCTCCCTCATCACTGCCATTGCTCTCTTCGCAGTTCAGACAGGCGTCTTTCTTCTAATCAAGGATCGCTTCGCCCGCATATATCAACCCAGAACCTACCTAGTCCCAGAGAGAGAAAGGACAAAACCTTCCCCTCCAGGATGGTGGGCCTGGATCGCCCCAGTCATCAGCACTTCCAACTCCGAGTTCGTCCAAAAATGCGGACTCGATGCCTATTTCTTCCTGAGATATCTACGCACCCTCCTCAAGATCTTCGTCCCTGCCGCATTGGTCATTCTACCCATTCTAATCCCCATTAATCTCGTCAATGGCAGAGGCACTGACTATGCCGTGGGTGGCCAAGAAAATACTTCCAATGTCACTGGATTAGATCAACTTGCTTGGGGAAACGTTGCCCCTAATCACACAGGCCGATACTGGGCGCATTGGATTTTAGCCCTCGCCCTCGTCATTTGGATCTCCTTTGTTGCCTTTGATGAGCTCCGAAACTACATCAGAATGCGTCAGGCTTACATGACCTCGCCACAGCATCGTCTACGTGCCTCGGCAACCACCGTTTTGGTCAGCTCCATCCCTCACAAATGGTGCAACCGTGAGGCCTTGGATGGTCTTTATGACGTCTTTCCTGGCGGAGTCAGGAACATTTGGATCAACCGAAACTACGACGAGCTTAGTCAAAAGATTTCGCGCCGTGACGAACTTGCCTTGAAGCTCGAGCAGGCTGAGACCGACCTCATCAAGAAATGCTTCAAGCAAAACGAAAAGAACATTGCCAAGGCCGACAAAGAGGCCGGCCACAAACTATCCAAAGAAGAGAAGAAGTCACGAGCGGCAGTCAGGGATGACGGCGCTGATCGAGCTGCCCATGGACATGGTGTCACAACCGGTGATCCACACCAAATCGACCACAACATTCGTGATGTCATGCATGGCCACCACGACCGTTCCTCAGATGACTCCGGTTCAGATACAGAGCAAGATGATCAACGCAGCCGTGACAAACGCACTCTTCCTATCCCCGTCCTTGGTGAAGGCTTCTCGGCAGTTTCTCATGGCTTGAACAAGGTAGGCAACAAAGTGCTGGGCGGATTCCGGGGAGCCAACAAGGAACTCAACGAGACCATCGACACCACCAATGGCTTCGTTGCCCCTGACCCCAGACGGGATCCCTCGCCCGAGGCTTCAGGTGAGAGGATGCCACCGCAGTCTCGGAGGGATCCGGATAGGCCTAGAGGCATTCGTCCCTCAGATGCCAAAGTCACCATCGACCCACGCCAAAGAGTGCCTGAGCCCGACCTGGAGAAACTCGACACCTTCGATGGTCAACGTAGTCCACTCTCTGCGTCTAGTACCATGCAGGACGAGACTCCCCAAGGTGAACAGCCTCCAACTAAGACGGACAAGGTTCTCACAGCTCTCAAAATAAAACAACCGAACAAGGATTCAGTGGAATATCCCCAAGCTTTCGCAGCCGATTTCATCCATCATCCAGATGATGCCGTATGGCGGCGATATCTGACCGATAAGGATCGTGATACAATGAGACTCCCCATCTTTGGCTGGCAGTGGATGTTTGCCCTTCCTTTGGTTGGCCAAAAAGTCGATACCATTGAATACTGCCGCACCGAAGTTGCCAGACTCAACGTTGAGATTGAGGATGATCAAGCACATCCAGACCGATTTCCTCTCATGAACTCGGCATTCATTCAGTTCAATCATCAAGTCGCTGCCCACATGGCCTGTCAGAGTGTGAGCCATCATATCCCAAAGCAAATGTCTCCTCGTATGGTCGAGATCGATCCAGAAGATGTCATCTGGGACAACATGTCTATTCCTTGGTGGTCATCATACATCCGCACCTTTTTCGTCGTCGTGATAATCGTCGGCTTGATCATCCTCTGGGCCATTCCAGTTGCATTCACATCTGCTCTGTCGCAGCTTGATGTGGTTGCTAAATCCGTACCGTGGCTCAACTGGGTCCTCGATATTCCGCCATGGTTCAGGAGTATCCTGCAGGGTGTACTTCCACCTGCTCTTCTCGGACTCCTCTTGCTCATCCTGCCTATGATTCTCCGAGCCTTGGTACGCTTCCAGGGTACTCAATCCGGAATGCTGGTCGAACTGGCCGTCCAACGCTATTACTTCTTCTTTCTATTTGTGCAACTATTCCTGGTTGTCACTATTGCCTCCGCTGTAACCACCTTTTTCTCCCTCTTCACCAGTGTGGACGGCGTCGCTAGCATTCCCAACTTGTTGGGTTTGAATATCCCCCGCGCCTCTAACTACTTCTTCTCCTACATGTTGCTACAAGCACTTTCGGTCAGCGCAGGAGCCCTTCTGCAAATCGGCAGTCTCGTTGGCTGGTTCATTCTTGCCCCTATCCTTGATAGCACTGCGAGAGCCAAGTTCAAACGCCAAACGGACCTCTCTAACATCCGCTGGGGTACCTTCTTTCCCGTCTATACAAATCTGGCATGTATTGGCCTCATCTACTCGGTCGTTGCGCCACTGATCCTGATCTTCAACATCATCACATTCGCTCTGTTCTGGTTTGTCTACAGGTTCAATACATTATATGTCGTCCGATTCACCCGAGACACAGGAGGTCTCCTGTATCCCAATGCAATCAACACTACATTTGTCGGCATTTACGTCATGGAACTCGCCCTGATCGGCATGTTCTTTTTAGTCCGGGACGAAAACAATGATGTTGCCTGTTCTGGGCAGGCTATTGCTACCATTGTCATGCTCATCTTGACAGCAGCATACCAGATTCTGTTGAACAATGCCTTTAGTCCATTGTTCCGTTACCTGCCAATCACTCTTGAGGACGATGCCTGTCGACGGGACGAGGAGTTTGCCCGAGCTATGCGCGCAAAGCAAGGAATTCTTGATGATGAGGAGACCGAGGGAGAGGATCTGGAAGATCGCTTGGAGCGCAATGAGCGGGAAGAGCGGCGAGAGGATCGCGATGAGCAGGAGTATGAGCTTCAAGAGATCCAACGAGAGAAGGCAAAGCGAGCGGAGCGGTCGCATTCACAGAAACAGCCTGAGCTCAAACCTCAGGACCTGCAGAACCCTGAAATCCTCATGAGTTTGGACGAGGACGGTAGGGGTGTTCGCTGGGCCAAGGCAGCCGCTCATAAAACTGCAGGCACGACCAAACAAATGATTCCTAGGACTCTCTCTCGCAAAACCAACCGCCGCGAGAGCCGGAAATCTTGGGCCGACCGCAGCAACGAGCGCAACCGCCGCAGTTCTGCTTACGGTCGCTCAGAGAGCCCATCGCAAAGCCTGAGCAGGGAGAGGAGTGATGAAGCCTCGCAAGGTCCAGCGATAGAGGACCGCCCCAGCAAGTCGCGCAAGCGACGCCTTTCTCCGCCTCGCAATGTTCTCAACACTCTCAACAACTTCAACCCTGTCACGGGAGGCCAGAAGGATGTTGAAGCTCAACGTGCTGCACGCACACAATTAGCCGACGCACTCTTCTCCGGCTTGAACGATGAACTGGAAGATTTGAGTCCCGAAGAGCGTGACGCATTAGTGGAACGAGCGTTTCGACACAGTGCATTACGGGCTAAGCGTCCGGTGATCTGGCTACCTCGAGATGAACTCGGCGTTAGTGACGACGAGACTCTTCGCATGGGCGAATTCAGCTCCAATATTTGGGTCAGCAATGTCAGACAAGGTCTCGACTCGAAAGGACGCTGTGTGTACAGTGGAGCACCACCTGATTTCAGTCAAGTGGACTTGATTCGACTCTAATGATTTGTGCGACTGTTTACTGTTTGTTGGTGTACTCGACTGTTCTGATCTGACCGACCAGTACGAGTCCGGGTCACACTGACTGATGATGACAACGATGATGTCGATGATGATGATGTTTACCTGCTTTCAGATCACAGCAGGGTGTTTGTTTATCCATAGCGAAGGAGTTTTTGCTTGATGGTTTGGGTTGTTCAATTGTGATCAACAGCACGGGGCCCAGAATCGCTCCTATAGAACTCACCAGGTGTGGATAGATTGTCTACACGTACAGTACACTTAATTAGAGAATGTCGAAATTCTTGTGTATATGGGTCATGATGTCTTGGTTAGATTTATGTACAGTCGAATCGAGCCTAAGCCCGTAAAGCGATGGAAAGAGAAGCTTGATGACGGATTGCGCCTATTTCTTTCCATGGCAAAAAATGTTCATGGTATGTATCGTTGGAAGTTGTATGTCTATATCCATTAAAATGCTTCCAACACCCATGTGTATGATGGAATCCCCATGAATTGTGGATAGGGTTTCATATTCCCATTTCAAACCCCCTTTTTTCCACAACTGCATGTTCTTCATGACCATCATACTTCTGTGCTCAATTCGTGTTCTTCATTTCGTTCTGCGTTTTCAGCGGACACGAGGATCGAGACTCTGTGCCTTCCAGCCAAGGATCTGGGCGGCCTTATTGTTTGAGTGCATGTTCTTAGCGACTGATACGCTGGATGACTCGGATGCAAGTACGCTGGTTCTGGCATCTAGTTGGATTTGGTTGTCCAATTCTCTCGCAGGGTATCTATCAATTTCACATATCCTGGTGTGAGAGAGGGGAACATGAATGAGCGAGCACCGCTCAAGCCGTGAATGTTGTCTGTGACAACGGCGGGGAGTCTGTTGAACATCCATTATCGTCAAAATAAGCTTAGGTGATGTCCTGTAACTCGACACATCAAGCTGGAGAAGGATGGCCCGGTCTTTGTGAGTGGCCTTCATGTTGGACCGACCATTCCTCTGACTCTCTCGATCCGTGCGATCGCTTTCTCTAAGCGATCAAGCCTCTTCCTTTTGTCGGTGTCTCTTTGTTCAAGAATTTTGACTCTCTCCTCGAGCTTCGCTCGAGCTTTTCGCTCAGCGGCGACCATCTCATTGGCTTGCCCAAAGAGTTGAGCAGTTAGTTCCTCGAGTTCGGTTTGTGTCTGTGTCAGACTAGATTCGGCTCTGAGGCGCAACGACCGCTCTTCGTCAAGAGAAGATTGCAGCGAATTAAGCGTCAAAATCTGAGTGTCTGATTGTGAGGATTGAAGATGTGGAGCGGATTTATTCGGGTTGCCGTTGTAGAATGGCGTCTTCGGAGGAGATAGTGTACTATAGTTCGGTGGGAAGGTCTGTGTGGCGGGTGTGCTGGGGGCGTTGGCAGCGTTGGCGGCATTGGCGGCATTTGCTTCTCTCCTTCGGCCTGGGAGGAGAGAACTGAGACTTGCTAATCTCGATAATGAGGGCTGTGGTGGTTGGGATGGAGCTTGTTGCTGCGGCGGTGTTGTTGCTGAGAAACCATCTCGTGGCGAATTGTTTGATTGAGCCTGCTGCTGATACTTCGCATGTGCCTCGCGTAAATAACGCAATTCATCTTCATAATCTGCCAGCTTGTCGGCCGAGGTGGCAGCTCTCGAATTTAGGTGTTTTATTTGGGCTTCTAGCTCGACGACCCGGCGACGGGCCTCGAGAACTGCGTCGTTTTCAGCGGACGCGCTGATTGGCAACCCATGTCCACACGATGGGCACGCTGAAAGAGGATAGGACGAGTGTAGATGGTCGGTGGATGAGGAGTTTGGCATTGTTGAACTTTTCAGGAGAAATGTAGAGGCAGCCATGGCATATTTTCCGTACGGGAGAGTCTCATGGGTGCGCGATCAGTGGGAGAGCATAATCTCATATGACCGGGCCGATATTTTTCAGACCCTCAACCGAACAGCAGAACAAGGAGAGACTGAGTTGCGCGGCGCTAGATTTTTGGACTGCACTGGGATCGAATCGGATAGAGGAATCGAGCAAGGCGTGAGTAGCAAGGAGCAAGGAGAATACAGCAGCAGGTCTAATGATTCCAAGACTGACGTCGGAAATAGATCTTCAAAGCGGATCTACGCGCTTCGAAAGAGGGTGTGATGTGAGGTAAGGACAATTTGGTGTCACGCAGGTGGTTTCAGGTTGTCAGAGGCTGTCAGTGAGAGTGAGAGGGGTGGACGCGCCAGAGGAGAATATTGAAGATCGTACGCGGTTAGAACAACCACGCCTGCCACGCTCCTTAAAGTGTGGGAGGGAAGGAACCACGGGCGCTTGGTTTAGCCTTTCGGGCCCTGGCATGAGTGGAACCGCTCAGCCTAATTAGGCTAACGGGGTTATCACGTGGCCCCTTGGCCGAGGTATGCGTTGTAATTTTGTTCACAAGGAAGGAGCCGCCGGGTGGCTCGGATTGGAAGTCACTCCAGTCAGAAATCTCGTTTGAAGATGGGAATTGCCATGTGGACGGACCCTGGTTGAGATGACGCTGGGGTTCTAGTACAAGAAATTATATCACATAGGCTGTGACGGATGTCCAACACTGATCGGAATCTCTGGGCGTCAAGTCGCTCGTCAGGCCGATGGCTGTCCTGTCTATGGCCATATGCCATTAAGACAAGGCTCTGGTTTGATCTTGCTAGGTTCAACATTCGTGTAAAGCAAAGGTATCTGGTATACTGAGAATTTTGATAATCGGAAATGTCTCGACAGGAACTCGGACAGCATTCAAGGCACGCTCCCGGCTACGGTGAGGTCGGAAGTATTCCTTGAGGTGAGACGATTGCCAGGTGGGATACTCTCACCACGTCCGGCTAGTTCATTTCGATGCCCAAGGTAGAGGCAATATCGCAAAAAGGGTTGGGTCGCATCAAACACTGTTGCTGCATTGAATCCTCAGAAGAAATAGGGAATGGCAGCACTGCATCAGTTAGTCTGTGTCACCATTCGCAAAGCTCGTAAATGAGCTGGTACTCACGCGATAGCCAGCGTCGCCGTTACGCCCAAAACTGCTCTTGTCCTGACCTTTTCTCGCTTCAATTTTTCTTCCAACACACGGGCCTTCTTTGCCGGCTGTGCGGGTAGCTCTGCATCAATGTCTGAAGGCTCTGGGTCTTGAGCTTTGCGCTTCTTGGTCTTGGGCGCACCGTCGAGAGCTTTGGCCTCTTCCACCATCTTCTTCGCTGTCTCGAGCATCTTTTCAGTATCCCCAGGCAAGGGAAGCTCGGGCAAACCGGCCGGCATTTCCACGGTCACATTGGTATGAGTCGTTTCGGTTGTTCCATCAACCTCTACTGACTGATCCACCTCAACTCTGACCTTGTCTTCATCTGCAACAGCTGCCACACTAGCAGCCGGTGGCTCCTGTTTGGCTTCATTTTCCGTAGTCTCTGCCACCGAGGCTGCGTCGTCAAGGGCTGATTGCAGGGAAGCACTGGCAGCGTTGGCGTTGGCAATGTTGGCTTCCTTCTGAGCTTTGGTCTGCCTCTTCCTAGGAGAAGCCTTGGCTTTGGTTGGGCTGCTCGCTTTAGTCGGAGACGAAGATCGAGTCGACCGTGATCGAGGTGTCTTTGTCGCTGAAGGGGGAGGCAACTTGATCTTGTCGACTGTAAGATCGAATTTTGGAGGTGCATTTATGGGCTTCTTCGCGCTCGAGTTGGTTTGGATAATCTCGGCTGGATCCAACAGCGCTCGAATCCAGTCCTGGAGGCCATAGTCGTTTGCTAGCTCGAGAGCTGTGCACATTCCATCAGCTTCAGCCCAGTGGCAGTCGTCAGGTTGACCTACCGAATCCCGGTGCGACCCAAACGTTGCCTGCAACTTCATCCTGGCTTGTCAGGTCCAAGCTCTTGAGATAATCACGTTCTGCCTTCTCCTCTGCGTGTGCCGCCCAAGGGAATGCGATCTTGAACATGCCCGTAGCGCTGACGAAACCATCCTTACTCCTCCGCTGTCTTGGTCAGATATCGCACAGCCTATATGGGATATGAGTATCATACCATCAAGAAATAGGTTTCTGGGTGCGCTTGGTTCTGCTGTGACGCGAAGATCTCCGAGCCAGTGAGGTCTTCCGGAAGAGGGGCGCGTAGATGCGCATACTCGAAGGGGCCCAAATTCTCCGCTTTGGTCGCATTCGAAGTACCAACTTGGCCTGGCTTGACGGTGAGTTTCGTTTTGCCTAGGCGTCTGCGGTTGAGCAAGTCCTCGTCTGCCATCATGTTAACTCCTGTATTAGGTTGGGTCATCAGACGGTATGGTGTACTTACAAGACGGGGCCGCTCCTGGGGACACAAGCGGATTGCGCTTCGTCGGTAGAGATCGCGAGGTAGGCATTGTGGCGAAATTGGTATGGGTTTGAATTATCGAACAATATATTCGATGCGAAGTCCCAAGGCGTTTCAAGCGGTCGCCGACGTGTCACAGCCAGCAAGCCTGCTTGAGAAAGGCGAGTCTCCTCTAGCGACTGGGCAAACAAAGAGTCGAAGAGGCACCGGTGAAGGAATTACAAAAGGTACGAACAAAGGTGTCAGGCAAGTGTCAGGCAATGCGACCAAAGAAAGAAATGTAAAGACGACGACGGAGAGGTGGATTAGGGAGAGAAGAAGAGGCCGCGAGATACAAGTCGCGGGAGTCTGGGGTGGTGTGCCAGACAGACAGCTCACTCCTCCTACTTCCTCTCTAATGTCAATCTGACCAAAGACTGTTAGGTATGAATTGGCATGAACTAGTATTAATTGGGGGGCGGGAGCCGGTGCTTGAGCGCCTACTGGGTAATCCACTAGCGAGTTAGCATTGATTAGCTTAAGTCGATCAATTGGAGCTTTTTATTAACCATTGCAGCTCGTTAGGGACTGATCTCGCCCAATCCGGAGCCCGAGGCCTCCAACAGCCCCTCAACCGAGCTTGGACCCTGAGGAAAAGCCCCGAATCCGCCCCCGAATCTGTTCTTTCGATTATGCTGAACGATCGCCCCAGTGGTTGTCAGATTGGCTCAAGTCCCTGCATCGTCGACCTCCCAGCCTCGTCATTGACGACACCACAGTATGTACGTAAGGTACCTTGGGAGGTACCAAATTATGCCTAGTAACAAGAAGCTGATGGTGTACAAGACACAATCATATTGTCTTACTCTAAGGTGGCAGTAAAAGTACAAAGATGTCCAAGTTCTTTTCTCGTCAGATTCTATTGAACATGTCCGGCGGCGACACAGCAATTGCTCATATTCCTGCCTTTAGCTCAGCCAGATGAAGTTCCTTGTTCTTCTTCGCTCCTGCTTTGGTTTTGGCCCTCTCGTCCTGTCTCTCATCCCCAATATCTAGAATCTCATCACCACGGTACTGCCACGGCGGTATCTCGGTAGGTCCTTCGACACCTGTCGGTGGAAGAGACCATTCTGGTGCAGGACTTCGAAAACTCCAGCTTCCTGGGTTCAGGTCTGCATATGCTAGAGCATGAAGATATATGCCCAGTTCATGTGGCCCTGGGTCCGAGTACAACGGGGTGTCACAGACCTGACACTTTTCTCCTGTCATCTTCTCCCCCTTTCGTTTGTTGTAGTCGGCCACCATCTCATCGTGTGCCTTGACATAGGCCCCAAACAACGCATCGTCCTCTCCTGGCTGTGCCTCCGTGCCAGAGAACTTGCCCACGTGTAGCGTACCACTGTTCAGTGGCTTGAAGTTGGGGTCTTGGATTCGTTCAAGGTCAGAAACCGTCATTTGTTGTGTCTGGTCCACCAACTTGGATAGTCGCTCTTCATCGTATGCTATCGAGCTAGCGACTTCAGTCTTGCCCATTTTGCCCAATCGTTCAATGACTTCATCATCATCATCTCCAGTCGCGTCATTCTTGGACAGGCTGGGTCCGAAGACGGCACGGTTGCTGTAAATCGGATCATTCGTGATCGGGTGACCTAAGAATTGCAGATGGACGCGGATCTGATGAGTTCGACCCGTCAACGGCAGACAATGTACAATGCTATACCCATCGTTTTCTGCTCCTTGGATGGCTGGTGCAGGTTGTGCAGCCTCATGCCCTGCCTCCTTGTCGCTATGGCTCAATTCTGGCGAAGGTTTCTGACCTTGAGGAGGATAATATGCTATCCTTCTGAACAACGTCTTTGCTGGCTTCCCACTTGCTCTGGCCCGATTCAGACCCAAGATGGGACTAATCTGTAAGATACTCTCTTCACAAGAAATGACCCCTCCACGCATGGCATCTCCGTCCCAGTCGTCGCCATCAGGAAAGCGTCCTTTGACTCGAGCAACGTATTCTTTGCGCACTGTTCGTCCACGTAGCTTCTCGCTAATCGCCTCGGCTTCTTTGCCAGTCTTCGCGACAAACATGACTCCACTCGTCAATCGATCGAGCCGATTGCAAGGTAGGGGTTTGAAGGCAAAATGTCTCTCTGCCTTCATAATCTCCACAACAGAGTTGTAGTTGTATCGTCCTGCTGGATGGACAGGAACCCCAGCCGGTTTCTCAATGACAATCATGCTATCAGTCTCGTCGATGACTCGAATAGGTTGCGCCGTGACAGGAGGTTCGTGTCTGTGTAGAGTGTGTGAAATGACATCTCCGTTTTTGACCACTGTATGTATATCATTACAAGGCTTGCCATTCAACGATATTTGCCCCTTTTCTATTGCATTCTTGTAGTACTCTCGCGAACGGTCTCGAAATTCGGCCGCAAATATGTCGAGGAGTTCACGACCACGCCATCTCTGCTTGCAGAAGGTGTTGTACGTGTAGTGATAGGGCGCGACTCGGCGCAGGCCGTTCTCAAGATAATATGGTCGAGGCCATGGGTCACAAGGTGTGATTGCGACCTCGGGTGGTGGTGGAAGGGGTTTGTCGGAGGATCTGGGAACAAAAGCATCGGCTTGCGTCACGGTCAAAGCCATGCTGGGGCTGAACGAGCGACCACGGCTCGCCAAGAAGGCCAGCACTCTAGTTGAGGGAGCCAGTGAGCCTTGGGTACTGGTTGTAAAGGTTGGGTATATCTCGAGAAAAAATATCGTGGCTGAGGAAGGAAGTTTACATTCGCGGACTTTTTTCCATTTGCCGAGTCTGCAGATTGGAGCAAAACGCCCGTTTTTAGCACCTACAACATTGCTACCCCCTGTAAGAGAGAATCACCTCGTGTCCCGGAGATTCGATTTTAGAGAATGGTAATGTATTAATCAATATCCCAATTCCCGTGCGTAGGAGCTATGGTGGTTCACAAGATACGGGCACGGTGAACAAGGATCAATATTTTGTTACGTTCACGTCGGGAATGAAAGTTTTCTAGACCGTGCTTGGGGTGCATACACTCTTCAAACATGTCACGCGAATGCAATGGACTTCATGACACATATTAGCCTCACTTGTGGCAGAGGAGCCGCATGGGTGCTGTGTCCAAGGGAGCGAAAAATTGATCAACAGTGAACTGAGAATGAACGACTGAGGCAAACTCCGGGCTGGAGACTTTTTGATCTCACTTCCACTTTTTAAAGAGCTTTGTGCTCGGAATCGAAACCGGGACAAGAACGAGGATTCCGGGCATGTTCGTATACTTCGTCACAAGCGCGGCACCAAGATCCTTGAGTGGTATCAATTCCTTTTTTTCGATTTGGACTCTAGCCTGTCTGGTGTTCTCCAGTCCTCCGAGTGAGCGACACTCTGGAGTGACAAAACGTCCATTCTACGTTCAACCGTAGAAGTGCCCACAAAATGCTTGCAATGGATGTAGAACCGACTCTCTCACTTCCCGGACCCTCAATACAAGGTGCTTATGACTCGGTGGTGATCTTGGCCTTGGGGTTGGTGACCTTGACACCGAGTGCCTTTGCCTTTGCGATGATGTCGATTCTCTTTCTCGATGAGACGGCAGATGCGATTTCGGCGGCATATGTTCGGTTGTGGAGCAGGAGGAGGTCAACATCGTTGGGGTTGCGGACGAGGAACACTTTGTGGCCTGAGGGGATCAAGTGTCTAGTCTTCTTGTTGGAGCCAAAACCGATCTGTGGACATGCATCAGTCAGTGAGAGGTCCTTGTGAACCAGCAAATCTTCGGTCGCTCCTTTGATCGAGACAGTCCCTAGAAAATTGCCCTTCCATTTTGTTTACGTACCGATGGCATCACAAGCTGACCCTTGAATCGTCGTCGGACTCGGTTGTCGATACCCTTTGGCTTTCTCCATGCTGACGGCACGCACTTGAATGTGTCCGACTGATGTCTATTCCATTTCTTTGGGTGCTTCTTGACGATCGGAACGTGCTTCTTTGCGGAGACCATCTTTTCTCTGTTAGCGACTCGTTTTTGACCAGAAACTCGACCACGTACCTTGTCGGTTGTTGCGGTCTTTGACGTTGGATGCGGTCTTCAGGCAGTGAGGTGCAAAAAGCGATTGAAGTTTGTGGGCGCACCCGCCAAGATTTTTAACACACCAATCCAAAAGCAGACTAGCTACATCGCTTCTTCAAATCTGTCACGTGATATATCGAGCCTTGACTCATGCCCGCTTCCTCCCGCGAGAGAAAGCCCAAAATTTTTGCTGTAGATGCTCATCTCAGATACATGCACAATTGCAGCATTACCACCAAGCTTACACGTCCTGGTATTTCAATTCCACAGGTTTTCCACCACTGACTAGCATGGCCTCAATTAATTCCAGATCGGCAAGGGCTTCCTCCGGTGTCTGTCTTGCATCAATGCTGCCAGCAGCCAAAGCCTCACCCCAAGCCCTCACTTCAGGAGGCACTCCACTCCGTTCGTTGGTGAAGTCTTGCTTGTTGCCGTCGATGGTCAGGTCGCTATCGATAATTGAGACGACCCCATCTTCAGCACCAATTGTCCACTCTGTTCCCTTGGCAGTTGTCCCAAACGAGATGGATAGCGTTCCTATGGCGCCATTTTTGGTTCTGGCTGTTGCCTCGACGGTGTCGACTGGAGGTAGGTGGTCTTGTAACTGAGCGGAGTGCGCCGAAATAGTCACAATAGGATTACCCTTTCCGAGTAAGTATCTCAAACCTGCAACGAAATGGACGCCCCCATCGAGCAAAAAGCCACCCTGGTGAGTAGGTACTTTCCTCCAGCTTTGATTCAGGTGTCAGTTCCAAGATCGTGAGTACAAAGAGGGATGGGCTCTTACGAAGTTTCAAAGTACTTGCCACCGGTCACGAGAGTCTGCATTCGCAATCGAAAGGTCAATTGTCGTCCCTTGGTTTTCACTGCATTGGCAGCCTTTTCAAAGGAATCGAGGTAACGTTGATTTTCAGCAACGGCCCAGGTTGTATCAGCCTTCGTAGTTATCTCGGCATGATACCATTCGATCAGCTCTGCCGCCTCGACAACGTTCTCTGCGACAGGCTTCTCGGACAGGACATGTTTGCCCGCTAGCAAGGATTTGCGAATGTACTCTGGCTGGTTTTTGATGGGAAGTGCAATGATGACAGCTGTAATGTCGGAGCGTGCGAGCAAATCGTCGAGTTGCTTTCCAGGTGCGCTGTCTTCAGAATAAAGGTCCACCTTGGACGTGTCCACTTCCAGAGTCTTTACCGATTTGAGCGATCTTGACCAAGCCGCCTTGAGGGTGAGGTTCTTGACGGCATCAACAGCTGGCTGTAAAAGTTAGCTAGATGTAGTCTTGGTCGATCATATGACAAATGCTGACCACGTGCTCCTCCCGGGCAAAGATGCCTTGGTTTCATTAGCGTTTATATAGCATAATGTTTGCAGAATGGTATATATACCTCCCCCCAGAATTGCAACTCCGATGGTCTCGATGGTCATCCTATATGTGAACGGGCTTTGCTTGTCCTTGTACCTTGAAATTGGCAATGAGTGTCCTAGTCAATTAGTCGGCATTCTAAGACTCGATGAACGTCTCCATGATGATTCTCTCCAATTTAGCCTGTAACATCAGTTGTCGTTCCTATTGGAGTGGAGCCCATGAGATGGCATGGCTGCCACGTGATGCGAGCATGGTGAGTGTCACGTGACAGTTGGTGCTCGCCTGCCCCTAAGCGAGTTCGGTTGCGCAAGAGTTAAGACGTCATCGCCGGCTTGGATACTCTCCGTACATGCCATTTTGATAAACTCCTCGGCACGGTTTGGCATATCTTATGAACTATTGGGGATGGCGACCTCCGATGCCGCTGTTGCCTTGTTAGTACATTTTCTACCTAATCAACGATGACTCGACACGTCTCGACACGTCTCGACACTTATCACCCATCGTGCCGTGTCTGCATATCAAACGGCCAAAGTCCAACAGTTTGATGTTCGCTTATCACTAGTATCTGCCCAAGAGTATTGCTTTTGTTTGCACAACTCTTGGTCAGGCTGTCCCTGAACCTATGGGTCTGCTTATCAATACCCCAGATCGCCCTCACACTCAACTTTGTCGGATAACCCAAACTCTGAATCCTCGTATCCGTTGATCGTCCACAATGTCGACCGACAAAGACGCCGCCACCCGGCCAGCCCTGCCGGTCCAACTCCACGCCGCAACACGAGACAAGCACCATGCTCTCAACGTCGATGTGTTGGCTCACCTACCCCAGTCCCTCCCACCAATTGCATCGAACTCACTGCCATACGCCACAGGAATGGTAGTGTTCGGCCAGGTGTATTTTGCTTTTGAAGATCAGATGCAAGAGACACTGCGACGCGACGAAACACCAGAGACCACTCGCGACATTTACCAACACATATTCTTCCCACGACTGCTCAGAACGGCGCGTCTGCGCGCTGATATTGATGCCTTAAAATCCAAGTTTGGGCCCCATACCGAGGAAGGTCTTATCTCTCTGGGCGAACAATCCAAGCGCTTCTATGACCAAGTTAGAAGAACTCTGAATGACAAGCCACACGTCATCCTCGCGTATGCGTGGACAATGTATCTCGCGTTGTTCAACGGTGGACGTTGGATCCGGAAGCAACTGGCGACGCCCGGTTATGACTTCTGGCAAGGCGACTCGGCATTATCCTTTTGGGACTTCAACGATGGAGACAATACGGAAAGCGATGAAGCCCTCAAGCTGGCGTTCAAGGATGGATTCAGCACAGCGGCCGACTTTCTGAGTGACGAGGAGAAAGACGACGTTATTGAAGGGTCCAAGGCTCTCTTCGACTTGTGCAGGGAGATGATTGCGTTCTTGGACACTGTTACCAAAACGCATGAAAGTCTCCGACCGTTCGATGCTAGGCCCGTCGCGCAGTCTTGGTGGCCGTCATATACGATGGTCGGCAACTCTATCGTCGCACCTGTTTGGAACAACATTGCATCCGGCGTTTCATCGATTCGTCAAACAGCTGCTTCTGCGTGGGTCAGGAAAGAAGTCAGCTCCGAATGAGTTTATGTCACAGTCCAATCACATGTCAATATTGTCGAGTAATCACGGGGTTGTATACGACAGATCCCCGTGCTGTCTCGGCTGCAAAGCGGTTTGGAGCAGTACGTGCTCGACGACCCGGGAATTGCTGCAAGAGTTTGGGCAAAATCTTGCGTTCTCAACAGATAGAGAACCTCACCCTAGACCCGCCTCTCTCTTCACTCCATACTCTTTGTAGGGTGTGTGCATTGGGGCTTGTCGAGAGTAGAGGCGTTCATCCACGACTCTGGCTCAGCCAGCGCCATCGTGGTCAATGACCGGGAAACGACATTAATAATGGCGAAAGTTTTTTTTTAGCAAGGAAGTCAACATAGAGATAGCATGAAGATACCCTTGGAATTCTAGATGTCCCAACATGGACGACGCCGTCTTACCTCAGATGATAGATCCTGAGGGATTTGTGGCCAAGACTCGTTATCATCAGATTATTTCTCCTACCGCACGCTAATTGACACTTGATGTTACACAAACATTATTCTACCTCGAGTGCCACACGAAGATTGGTTACCTGCGAAGTCATATCTGAATATTTCCGTTGGTGCTACATGGGCTCTCGCGGCTGTGCATGCCAGTGATAATGATGTGACGGTTGTGGTTTGCAAGGTTTGAACACCCCGGCTGATCGGCACATACGAGCACCGCATTTGTTGACGGGATATGCGCTCGACCACGATTTGACTTCAGCACAAAGTTGGTGCTTTTGCAGAGATGAGATGCATGTCCTTTTGACTCGCAATACCTTGTCACCTCGTATTCCTATGTCGTGAGGTGGGAGTCACGTCAGAAGCACAAGATTATTGAAGCGAGGGTGCGAGACGTGAAGCTATCCAAGCGTCAAGAATCTGAGGTGTTGCATGGGGTTTTGTTTGATTCTGAGGAACTCAAGGAGGTTTCAGGGTATTTGGTCGAGTAAACCACCCCCTTCGCTTGCATGACAGAGATTCTAGTTGTTATTCTTTTTTAAATCATACTAGCCTTGCTCTCACCCTCACCGCTTCAGTGACTCATTGCGTCAGGTCCTTCTTTAGAGTTGTTTGAGGGTCGATGACATGTCAACTTGACATGGTGACAGGATCGCTAGAGGATTGTTTGGTAGAGGGTCTATGTGGTGATTCCTCTCCTCGGCGTTACCGCTGCCATGGATCAAGTGAAACCGATGAAAACTAACACAATTATTATTGATCAATTGTCGTTGTTATGGTCCTAGCTCTAATCCAGTCTGGTGGTACGTCCTTGGCAAGTGTGTCAATCCATTCCTCGCTTGAGTGAAGATTTGGTCAAACACCTGAGATCTCTGGACGTCATTGGTCTGTTACGATCCCCCGTGTCGACGCTACCAGTGGCACCAGCGACATTGATGGAGCCAGTGCCCGCAAATTCATCCGAATGCAAGGACAAATCTCTTCTCCCCCCAAATATCCGCCAAGAATTCGGCTAAGAGTACTCCCTACCCCGTATGTTTTTTGGAGTCGTCACTAACTTCAAGTGGTCGGGGATGTTGAGTTATCCACCAGCTGGATTTCAGGTGGTGGATTCCTGGGGGAGGGTCCGTGCTCAATCGATGTTTGAATACCCCGATGTTTTGGGATTCAAGCCATCCCAGACTTGGAGAAGTATTTGAAAGAAATGGGTCTGGCGGCACATTTGTCCCGCCATTTCCGTGATTTGGCGGTGGGTTACCGAGGTTGGATCGACTCATCAAAGATGAGATACGAGAAGAAGTAGATTGTTCACTTGTTCATCGCTGAGTCGATCGGCATGATGAAATCGACAAGACATGTGGATTTACGATCATGGCACAGCGTCTGCAGCTTGCCAACCGTGGGTGAATTCAGGCTTTTAGTTGAGTGACCAAGCCAGACATGTTGCAGAATGACACGGCCTAGCAGCTACGCCAGTCTGCTCGCGTGTGATCTGATCGTCGTGGATTTGTGGGGGGAGATTTAGTAGTTTTAGTCCCAAGTGATTCCAAGTCAAACTACGGGGTAAAGAAGCACGAGGACCCAACAAACACATGCACCGTAATTGGGAGCACCGTGGATGCCACGAGTCCACGACCCTTGGACCACGAGGGCGACGATCGCTGATCACTGCTCGCGAACTGGCGGGCCTTCAAGTGGTGAGAAAATCCTCGTATTCACCGCACGTTTGATGTCAAGAAATTATTTTGGCACCGTCTGCGAGTATCACTGTCGCTGCAGCTCATGCTCACTCTGTTGTGTGCACAAACAACGGATTTTGGGTACACCGACTTCAAAGGCCCAGAGACACGAATTAGCTACGAGCTACTGTAGCTGATGCGAAACATTGACGGTGGTTATTGAGTGCTGGGATGAGCTTTAGCCTTGGGGACAGAGCTTAGAGTAGCACCGTTCAGTGGGGCGGCTGAGGGCTGATGGGCTCCTTGGGTACTGGGCACGCCGGGACTCGGCAAGGCACAGGGGCCGTTTGGCCCCCTCGGCCCAGAAGCTATGACGGATGGAGGTTCTCGGGCCAACGTTAAAGCCTATTCAAGGCGCCTGCACTGAAGGCATAGGTGGGCCCCGTTTAACCAAAGGACCTCTGTTGATTTGCGCCAGCATAGACATGATGCGTGCGTGTGCACGCATGTTGCTGCCGCTGCAGCCTTCCCCCGACCTGTAGGCTGCAATGCTAGTCCTGCTATGGGAATGGAGCAACTTCGTACGAGTCGTCAGAGCTTCAGGGAGGCGCCACATGCTTCGAATGTGTCCTAGTTCCACCTGGCCACCCATCTGCTCAAGTGACATTTTGGCGGATTGCATGACTCTACGAGCCGGAAACAGCCTCGACTGGGCCGCCGTGTTGGCGCCATCTGCACGGGGGATCTGAAGAAGCCACGTCAATGGGCCGGTCGCTTGGAAACTCGGATTAGCAGAGCAATGGGCATGTCCCGTGTGGTTAGTTGCCAATAGTCTGGGACATACCAGACCATAACGAGGGGCAAGTCAATTACCCTGCTACCGTTGGCAGCCAAGACCTTTGGCTCTGGCGATGCGACGTTCACACTTATTGGACAATCTGTAGTTGGTTGTCGACCCGAGGATTGGAGGAATCAAGGCGTTGGTCATGATCAGCCCAGGCGCCATCATGGTTCTGTTGTAGTCAATCGCCCCTTTGAATGCTACAGCTTGGTTATGTGCTGCTCAACATTTGTCCATGACCTGTGGAGCGAACGCCTGACAGCACATTGGGTCGCATTGTGTCAATCCCACACATAGGCTAGATATTCACACATGTTCTGATGAAAACCCAGGTACTAGCAGTAGGATTTGTTCCAAAGTACTAGGTATGTATCCTGTTCGCAACCACCAATCGCCGATCCTTGTGTATTGGATCAACCATTGTCCGTAGTGCAGGTAGAAGCTTGAACCTTGAAGTGAATCATTCCATATTTTACATACAACGTAGACTGTTGGACCAGCATGTGCTGTGGTAAATTGAAGGGTAATCGAGTTAGGAGCGCCTAACGTGGGTTTGGGGTACAGCAAACCAGTTCTCTGGGCACGCTACAACGAAATACGAGTAGCCCGTGCCGTGACACATAGGGCGACGATCGGGCGATGCCAACGCCATCCATGTATCATGTCAAAGTCCTATCTCCACACGCCAACATGTTTGCCCGCCGCTAAATGCATGGGAAGTTAGTTCGTGATCCGGTACCGCAACTCTGATATTCCCGTCCACTCCGGGAGGAGGTGCTACCGCATCTGCGCAACCGACAGGCTGCACTAAAGGCGACGGTCCAGGTGTCCAAGTGATTGGGCTTGGGTGGGCAGATGAATGATTTGGTGTGTACCTTCTCTGAGGCTACAAGTGCATCATCGCACCACCTAGACATGGACCACCACTCTCTCTTTGCAGTTTACTCTTTGATAGTTTCGGCAACACGCTGTCAGTCCGGTACGCTAGGCATGGGACAACGGTTCTGCATGTTTTTGCACTCCTAGTATTGCCAAATTAGACCACTCAAAAATGAAAGTAACGCAACGCAACGCAATGCAATGTGCGGTAAAGTGTATGTACAGTCGTGGGTCAGTACATATGAGAATCCTTTTCTGCTGATTGTTGTCGTAACGGTTGACTGGATAACCCGGGAGGTTGTTCACAAAGCTCTTGGCTTGAGTGGCTCTCGGGCCCCAGAGCCAACCATTCCCTTTAAGCTTGAGGCCGAGGGGGTAACGGGTGTGTCCCTAGGTATCTACGCTGAGGGGTCGCCTGGGTCCGTTCGTGGTTCGCAATCAGCCCTTAAGTACCCATACAGAGATCAGCCCGACTAGCTTGCCCCAGCCAACTGGACAAATGCTGCTTGACTCCCCGCTCTCCCTTAATAATAACTACGCCCATCCCTGCCTTTAATAAGTACCACGGTACCGACGTGCCAACCCACCAACCCACCAACCTGCCACTGTCGAGCCTAAAACTCCCCCCAATATTCTTTACCCACAAACCCTCACTACTACTAGCCGTTCGTGGAAGGAGCCAATGAACTTGTGGCAACCTGATTCTCAATCGAACACTTGACCCTGCCTTCATCTCCTTCCTTTCCAACTTGTTCCCTCTTCCTTTCCTCAGAGTTGCATTTTGCAACCCTCACATCGGCATCAGGCTGGTTCAGTTCAACTAATTTCACTGAATACCACGTCTCTTGCTGGTTGTGCAGAGGCAGTCAGGCACGCGAAACCAGCCACCTAATCACATTCGATTTGGAACCCAAGTCCTCACTCTCACTGTTCCGGACCTGGAGGTGCATCTTCATCGAGGAACTTCTTGAGATTGAGGATATTGATTCTACTGAATCTACTGATTTTACGCACTCCCACACAAACAAATCACCACCAACATAAACATTTTGATAATTGGACAACGCCCGTTTCGACTCCACTGTCACAGGTCGCCTACGGACAATCGTGGTCCAGTCTCCTGGGACCGAAATTCCGCCCCGATACCTAGTCACACTCGCGTCCACTCCTTTGGAAACTCCCAACACCGTTTGACACCTGACATCTCGCCCACCACTCCCAAACCTCTGGGCCGACCTTCAGCCAATTGTTACACTACCTGGTCCATCGACTCAATTTTCTTCCCACCACCTCGTTATTTGTGCCTGGGTTGACTTGATGACATTCTCCACCTGAAGCATCTCTCACACACTCTTTGGCCATGGATGCCTCATCACAACCTGTCGAGAAGGAGAAGAAAGGACTAAAGAAATTATGGAAGAAGTCTAAGGACTATGTCAGAGGGAAGTTGTCGAAGCGAGCAACAAAAACTACCACCACAACCACTTCTGCACCTGTAGAACCCACGCCGGCACCGACAGCGCCTGCAGCAGAAACAGCCGTACCCAAGTCGTAAGTCCTCCACATTCATGACCAGCCCTTTCTGACAACGACTAGAAATGATTTCCCCGCCGAGACGTCATTTATAGAAGTAGATGACAACATAGAAGAGCCTCCATCCGTGGCGGCAGCCGCAAAGAAGCCTGCTCCAGTGGTCGCGCCCACGGATGAAAGTGGCGAACGAAGCGAGCCGGAGATGCGATTCCTCAAAGCTCAAGCAATCTTCGCAAAGTACAACCTTGAGCTGAATGAAGCCGACTGGGACCACAGACCAAAAGTGCCGTATGAAAGGGTGGAAAAGAACATCCGCATGCGAGTCAGATATACTTGCCATAATTGTTCTGCTTCATTTGGTCGCGACAAGGTCTGTTCTTCTTGCCAACACCGAAGATGCAAAAAGTGCACACGGCATCCACCAGCAAAGGACAAGACAAAATCTTCGGCATCAAAGGCCGGCGCCACTCAAGCAGCCCCTACTGCAAAGCCAGCCCTTGCTTGTCATGAGTGTCAGACAAGCTTCACCCTCGGCGCCGAAGAGTGTACGAACTGCCAACATACAATATGTGAGCGATGCTTGCACGATGTCAGCGTTGCCGCTGAAGATGCTCCCGGCCCTTCGTCTGTCGAAAAACCCACTACTGAGCCCGCCACTACTGCGACCTGATACAACTACTCTGCTCAAACACTCGATCATTCCATGGCTCCAATTTTGTTTTTTGAATAATCCACATCCTCCACAACGGCTCAACACTATATTATAACGACTCGAGCATGTTACGACTTTGATATACCTTTGAGCGCTTTTGTCCTACACTTTTTTGCACCGGTGTTCGGGTTTTCGCATCTACGGTCCCCTGAACTGGGACATTGGGACATTGGGACATTTGCGATAAAAGCGAGGATTTGGCGTTGGGGGATTGACTGGGGGATTGACTAGGGGGTTACAGGTCTGGATGCAAGAAAGCCTTGTTACTGGACAGAGGATTACAGCAGACGTCAACAGGCCTGGTACTATGTCGGTCAACACGGACGACTCGACCGTCTGCGCGTGTGGACCAAGACCATCGCACTCAGAACGCTGCGAGGCTAGGCAGTTTACAAGTCTCGTAGAAGCGGGACACGAACTATAGCGATGTATCCAAACAAGGACAGCAGAGATCCGGAAGTCATCTAAAAAGATGTCTTGGATTCATGCTACGATACCAATGAAAACAATCTACAACTCTAGGATGGGTATCGCAGGATCGAAATTGGCGTGACTCGCTGTTGTTGAAAGCCAGGTCACCTGGATGCTGAAATCTGGACGGTTCGGTCCAGATACTGCAGGAGCGTTAGTCTACGACCAGAATGATAAAGTCAATCCAGTGAAACATCGACCAGTCACAACAGCCAAAGACCTGAAGAAGAGTCCTATGCACATATCGTCACTCGATAATGAGTTGGTAGGTAGGAGCACGGCCAATCTCGTAGCGAGCAGCAATAACTGGTACTGGAGGCTTATCTTGATCCGGGAAGGGGGTAGTTACATGGACGGTGTGGGAACCCTCAGTCGAAGTTGATAGGCACGCCAGAACGGGTTGAATGTGGGTGTGTGAAGGACACTACCGCTACCGAGTGCGAGTGGTGGTCTGCGAAGAGGACTCGTCTCATGATTTGTTTTCGGGTCTGTAACTTGCAACAGGGTCTGGGTCTTTGCCAGCGCAGACCACTTGTTCATTGCATCATTACTCGCACTCGCACTGTTCCCGCAATGAGCTAGTTGCATGCCGTGTCCGTGATGATTTGCACGATTATGTATCCAGGCCGACGGGGACGCTGCTGTCCTTGGCCCGAAGGAGCTTCCCGCACTGTTGGTGTCATGCAAGACTTCGCATTTCCCAACAAGGGCCCAAGAGAGCTGCGAGTCTACGGTACGGCTTTGGAGGAAGAAGGAAGAGGAGGTGGTGGTGGTGGCGGCGGGGGCGTCGTGGATCTGGGCGTCTTCCGGACGCAGAGAAACAAACACACAGATTTGTTGAAGACATCAACCACCCCGGGGGTCTTTTGCCTTGCAGCCGCGATCGACCGACCCGCTAGCTGGGCAACCTGTTGGAACAAAGAAGAAGAGTTCTGCAAGAAAACGTGTTTGTGTGCGTGACCCAGTGGCCACGAGGAGTTTGGTTCCAGCTGGGCAATTATTGGACGCCTACGCATTTCAACCCATCATCCATCACCCACAGCTTTTGCCCAGAAATGTTGTGACAGCTTTGCGGTGACGAATCCCCCAGACGACATACATGCTGTAATTGGATCGAAGTACAGAGTACTGCAGTACAGTACATACGGACATACCTTAGGTACGGTGACACTGTATGTTCCACCACACGAGTTCAGCCTGACTTTCTTGGCTGGATTGAACCCTCATTGTTTCTGTCCAATACCTTGATAGTTTGCACTAAACACCAGATTTAGAAGTCAAGAAAAAATTATTCTCAGATACCTCGGTAGGTATCTACCAAGGTCTCTTAAGGTAGATTACAGTGCATAATCTATCAAAGTATCTCCTCTCTATTCCTCTAACAAAATCTCCTTCGTCTGCGACTCGGCTCGATTCGAGCCCGACTTGGAGTGCATGTAGTGAGATCAGTGATTGGACACGAGTCTCGACAAGACATGACTCGTAATGAGACAATTCCCACTTCTACGGCTATATCCAGAATTGATGTATTCATAGGCGACAAGTACTAAGGTAGCTACTATACCTTTGAAGGAGATGCCGAAGAACAAACTAGTAAGTTGACAGTATCTCTGGGCGAGGATCATTGCAGTGAGTCCGCATTTTTGATCGCTGATCGGCGGCGGGGGTCCGAAGGGTCTACATACGGTAGCTGAGTCGTAGGCATAGCTAGGTACCTCAGGCATCGCGTACTGCAAACACAGTTGGACGAACGGACAGAAGTGGGTGCCAGTGGTGCCTAGAAAACATGGTCTCTGGTACTGTAGGTGTACCCAACAAGTACCGGATGTGCGATCAATCCCCCCCTCATCCCCCCATGCTCAATCACTATCTGCCGACGCTAGTGGGCCGAACCTTGTTAAGAGTGAGTTTGGAGCCAAAGGAAGGGCTGAGGGGCTGAAGTGGAGGGGCGGTTGGGGGGCATTATTAGGGGAGGGATTGACACCCGGGTGCCAACAACGGAACGAAGCGTGGAAGGAACCAGATCCACTTGTGACGCGGGAATCCTTCCCAACGAAGGAGCCGACGCATCACCTACTGCCAAACTACTGCACGCGGCCAACAGCCTACATATGGAACATACCAAGACACCACGGAAACACCCATCAAATCCACAATACCCACCGAGAGTCATCACTGATCACTACAACCTAGGTACTCAAGACAAGCGTTTTGTCAATCTTGTTTTCATTTGTTGTGAGTTTGCTGACTTTACGGATCAGACGCCTAACTCAGTATATGGATCGGTCGGCTGAGTGATTGTCCGTCGTCTCGACTGTACCTATGCCAAGGAAATACAATTCAGTCTGTGACTCGAGGTTTCCTGAAATCTTTAGCGGACCAGTCTAAGGGGAACAGTCTAAGGTGACCATTTGGGGGGACTTTTTGGGTACGCTTGTACTGTCCTTTGCACCTTTTGGTACCTACCAGGTCCGCAGATACCACGCGCCAGCGAGCCCTAGGAGCCTCTAGGCGCCCCAATCTCTCCCCTTCCCACTACTAGGTCGTGATAGAGTCTGACTGTACGGCGCATATACTGAAAAGGCTGAGTTTTTCTTTTCGGACATCAGCCTTCTCTTCCACTAGCCAGTCACGCCAGTTCTACCTACTATCGCCCACTACTCCGTACTGTCCACACCATCCTTCTACGCTTGGTCTCAGATTCATTTCCGGATCAGCTTGACACTGCGGTAACGATCAATTCTTCTCGTCTCTCCTTTCATCTGCATATGTATTATCATGGACCATACCCTGATCATGACGACATCCCTCTATAAATATATACGGAGTATACAAAGTGATACTCGCTTACAAAACCCGAACAACTAGTTGCTGACCAGGCCCCTTTGCAAGGGCGTGTCTTCCTCATCGGTCTCTTCCTCTGTCTCTCCTTCTTCACTTTCGCCTTCATCTTCGGTGGATCCTTCGGTCTCGGAACCGCTTTCGTCCTCCTCTTCGCTGTCCTCTTCCTCTTCCTCCTCATCGCTTTCCTGCAGCCAGTCGTCCAGCGTCTTTGGCTTACCGCTCCTAGCGCTCCCAGCGGCGACTACCTTCTCCAAACCTTGTTCTCGTACTGCTTCGTCTAATCTCCTGCTCGCCGCTATACTAGAAGTATTCCTCGATGCGGCTGAGACGTATTCTTCCTTGTCGTTGGGATCGATCATGTTTCTCAACTTCGGATCAGGTTCCTGCCCCTCTGGCACCCAGTCTGGCAGTTCCTCGTAGCCCGGCAGACCTAGAACACTCGCTATCTCTTTCCCAATGACCAGCGTCGTACTTCCCAAGACCAATCCACGCCGAGCTTCTGATGGTGAGGGTGCGTGTGGTACTGGTTTGGGCGCCAAGAGCAGCAGGGATGCGAGCTGTGTTGACCCTGGATTCGATAGTGAGGCTTTGAATAGTCGTGCCCGATCGCGAAGGTCGTACGATGTGTCGTAGCGTGCCAGAAGTTGGATGTATTTCCACAGTTTGGTAATAGGGTGGTCTAGCGTTGCGCTTTGATCATTTTCTTGTAAATCGGCTTCTCCAGCATCTGTGGAAGCCTCTTTCGCTGCTCCCGCAGTCTTTTGCAGATGCAGCAGATACACCTTTGCCGCTAGGAGGACAATCTGTTGTTTTGCCGATGTGCTTTCATTCGCAAAACCTTTGGCCAGGATTCTGAGTACATCGGGGGCGATGTCGTTGTCAGGATCGAGACTTGCAAACTCACCAACCAGCCATATTATGGTGGCTCTAGCTTCCGGACTTGTGGTCCGGTCCAGGTTTCGGGCAAGTCTCACCACGGTCTTCCGATGTGCAACTGGATCCTGTTGAATTAGGTGTCGCATCACGGTAAGTACTTCAGAAACAAGCGCATTGTCGAAACTTGAGATCTGGTTGAGTAGCACGCGGAAACAGTGATGAGCATTCTGTGGGTCCGTCTGAGCACAGCGTCCGATGGCTTGAACTGACTCTCGGATCAATTCCGGGTCGGAGCTGTGAGAGAAATGCTCCAGTTCGCACAGGATAATGGACTTCAGATGTAGCGCCGCATGAGGAAAGATGATGGTCAACAACTCGATCTTCAGCTTCCAAATCTGCGGTGCATCGTCACTTCGTAATAGGAAGTGCGAAGCGTAAGGGACAAAGAGTTCAGGTGCCGCTAATGAGACCAAGACGATGTTGCACAGAGCAACTTCCTGGACTTCGGATGAACCACGAAGGAGCCCAACGAGTGGACCAACCGCCTCTTGCAAATATTCTGGGGTGCCCAGGTACAAAAAGCAGCTGGTGACCGAAACCACCACGGCGGCGCTACGACTGTTAAGAAGACTTTTGCATGTCTTCAAGAACAGCTCCAGGTCCGGATCGAGGGCGCGAGCGACTTGACCGGTCTCTACATGTTCATCCGGCTCGTCGTCATAGAATCCCTTCTTGTTGACTTGTGTGAGTTTATATGTTTTCTGGGGAAATGATCGACGACTGTAGAAGAGCAGCAACCTCAGAGTGGCCAGCTGACTCCACTCGTCCATGTCGACAAGTTTCTTGACCAAGCTGGTATAGTGCTTGTGGATGAGATCGATGCGGTCAGGACAAATGTGGAGAAAGGTCTGCACGGCAGGCCCCACGACAAAGTACTGCTTGTCGCCGAGTAATATTGAAAGGTAGTCCAGGAGTTGGGGAAGGGTGTTGGGGTCCAGGTTGTAGCACTTGGGGATGGCAAAGGCGGCTGCCTTACGAACATGGGGGCTCATGTCGCCAACACCTCGTTTGATGGCCAACGAGACAATCTGACTGATGACTGGAACCCTCATCCCGGACATGGTGCGAAGAGCAAGAGCTCGCACTTGAGGGTTCTGATCGCTGAGTGACTTCTGAATCGCATTGACAGAGAGCAGTGCCAGGTCAGGATCCGATTCGGCATAATGAAGTAGATAGATGTAGACGAGCTTTTTGATCTCGAGGTTCGGATTTGCGACATTCTTGACGACGGAAGAAAAGTACGGCAAGCATGGCTTATTTTGGTATATCATCTAAGAAAGTCAGGAACTGAAGGGGCACGTGGTGTGTTGCTTATCGTGAGGAAAATCTTCAGTCTCACCGAAACAACCTTCCTAAGTCCTTCGAGAATATCACGGTCACTCCGACTGTCAAGGAGCGCCTTCAACTTTGCGAACGGGATGCTCCGCGATGTCGAGCCTCCCCCCTTCAACGATTTGGACAGGCCGACAGCTTGAGCGGCCTCGACTGTCAGATCTCGCACTGTGAACGGCTCAGCATGCAGAAACCAGGAAGGATCCATGTTGACAAACCTGGGTCCATCAAGGACGAGATACGAGACACCGACTCCATCTCGGAAAGATGTGATGTCGAGTCTGTGTAACCTTGGGCGCTGTACGGAAGTGTTGGACGGTGTGCTGGGGCCAGTGGCACTGTACCTGGTGGGATCATTTTGGGGGAATGATATCAAGACACGTGCTCACAGCGCCAAGAACAGACATGACATAATCAGAGATCCGAAATCAACAACAACCTCGATCGTGAAGTTTATCGACACAGAATCAATCTACAATCTAAGATTGTTCAAGTCCTACCACATTCCTCAATGTCGAATACACTTACGACGCTGCAAGATATCTAGCCTACTGTAGAAGAAAGGCTATAGCTTCAAACCCAATGCCACCCATCGCCGAAACCCCTTCATGAATACTATCCTTCTAAAACGCCAATATGTCCTAGACCTCCTACAAGCCTTGGTTGATGCGCATTCTTCAACTTCAATTGATCTGATAATCTGCTCAAGCAGAACAGAATTCATTGCTCAAATAGTTGCTGGCCTACAGAAAGAGCCAGCCGCTTCACAAGTTGAGGATGACGGTAAGGGAGGAGGGAGTGCAACTGAAAGGCCGATTAGACCCACACATCCGGTATTGAAGCCGACTTTGAACCGTCTCTGTGCCAGTCAGAACGTCAAACTCATCTTCTGTCCTACTGTCTCTGCTCTACGGGCATATCTTTCGGGCTACTTGGTGCAACTTTGTCAACCGCATCCAATTAGCCAGTCTCGCACCGTTATCGTCAACAGTCTTGCCCTCCATCATGGTTCTTCAGAGTTCACTGTACAAGGTCTTTCGCAGACCATGGCGACCATGGTAGCGGCTGGTGCAAGAGCTCGTCGCCAGGTGCAATTGGTCGAATGCATGGACAGTCAAGATTCAAACGCGGCAGATCATGGACCCCAGCTTTGGAATAAAGAGGTTCCTTTGCTCAGTAGTTCCCTCAAAATTGGCGATGGAGGTGCAAGATGGGGTCTTCGTACCATTCCAGTTGCTAGGATAGCCTCACGATGGTTTAAGTTCAAGGATGTTGATCTGTGAAGAGGTGGTCGAAAGATAGTCGCCATCACACTCGCCAGATCTTTGAACAACGAGGCTCTTGGTCTTAAATGAACATGAAATATATATTGGTTCCAGCTCCAATGGCTTCTGATATCGCTACATGACTGCCGTGTCCTTGCAACAATGGGTATTTCAACATGCCTGCTCCAGAAAAGTCGTAAAGTCGTCAAACTCGGTGAGAGAGATCAGATGCTCTGCTCCATTTCGGTAATGTACAGCTTTATGTGCGATTCGAGCTTGAGATACTCTTCGTGGGCCGTATGTACCTCGTTCTCGATGTTATCCTTGAGATCAGCCATCTGGGCGACGTTAGTTATCGGGTGCATGGAATCAAAGAAAATCATTCTCACCTTCTTTTCCGTCTGTTCAATTCTGACTTTCCTTCTTTCCATCTCACGTCCTTTCTCTGCTCGCTCTTCCCTCAGCTGCTTCTGCATTTCGCGCAGCTCATCCATTCGAGCCTTGTTTGCATCGTCTCGGTCTTTCTGTTTCCTCCTCAGCTCCTCAATCCTCTCTTCCCACTTCTTCAGTTGTCTCTGCAAGAGTTTCTCGTTCTGCTCGACTTCCCGAACGTTATTTCCACGTTCAGCCAAAGCGTCTCTGTTCTTGGCTGCCCTGGCATCTTCCTCTTCCTCCTTTTGCAGCTCCATCGCGATGTCTTCAAGAACCTTGACACAAGACTGAACATCATTCTGGACGACAGAAAAGCTGTCTCCGGATGTTTGTAGCGCTCGGCTTCGTCGTTCTAGGTGGTCGATTTGCGACTTTTCTCGTAGCAGATTCTCCGACAGCTCAGACAGGGCATCTTGTAACGCCGCTGGGGATTGCAGGACGTAGGGTCGGAGCTTCTCGCTTTCTTGTCGTGTTCGAACAAGTCTTTCCGTCTTGTCTTCCAGAACAGCTTGAGCGCGTGCCTTGTCGGCTTTGGCTCTTTCGAGCTGTTCCGAGACTCTCTCTTGGCCCTTGCGTAGTTCCAGGAGACGCGCTTTCAATTCGTCATTCCGGCGCATCTTTTCTTTGACCGCTATTTCCATGGCTTTTCGATTGCGCTTCATCTCTTCAAGTCTCTGTTCCATATCTTGATTTTCGGTATAGAGTGTTTCGATCCGAGCTTTGGTACTCTCAGCTTTATTAAAGTTGTCGTCAATGACATTGGTGTGAGTTTCTCGAAAGCGAACAAAGTTGATTGTGTATGAGAAAATCTTGACAAGGCGATCGTGAGTTGGACGGACTAGATCGCTGAAGGAGAAATCGTTGATGCCGCATTGTTCGAGCATGGTGCGCAAGTGGACAAAAAATCCCATTAAGAGTCTGGTCTCGACAGGGACTAGTTCTGGGAACTCGGCGCAAATGTCTTCCGCAGCAGCTCGCATCGCCGGGTCGATGTTGTCTCTCGTGGCGTTCATCACCAATTCACCAAGGTGTTCGAAAACCATCTGAATTACTTGGGGGTTGGGCTTCTGGAGATCGGACGGCTGGAATGGGATGCCCATCTCGCTGATACATGAAGCAATTTCTTTTTCAGACTTACAGCGATAATTAGAAGCTGGAGCAAAGAGAACTTGGAGGAGGGACATACCAGTCGCATGAAATCAGCAGGGTCTTCCTCCTTCTTTTTGACCCGCGCCTGTTGCTGCTGCTGAGATGACCGGTATTGTGAATTCATCATGAAAATGGAGAGTGCGAATGCGGAGGGAAAAAATGACCGAGTTCTTGTCTCACACGAGGGATGCAAAGAAATGTCTCTATCGCATGAGTATTGAAGTGATGCCAAATAGAATGGGAAACAGTTGGGTCGAGTGTCGCAGGCAGTTGTTTATGGTGGCCGAAAGCGGTTAGATCACAGCCACTAGGGCCATCGCTCCTTCCTCTGCATGAAGTTCCTCCACATCCATGCCAAGCCTTCAATGACTCCAATTTCGACATCGATCATCATTTTTTGATATCGACCACAGCATCGGTGTGCCCTGCTTGTTCTTTGCACGTCTTAACATTCTCCTAATAAAGCCTTCGCTCCCTCTGCCACCTGATGAGCTGATATATTTACCCCGGCTAGCCCTAGACTAAGATTGTCTGAAAGTCGGGCATACCACAGTTTGCATGGCCACCGGTGAGTCCATCCCAAAAGTCCTCACGATAGGTGCCCAGAGCCATTTATGGACAATCTACAATGTTGTACCATCGTCGCACGGAGATGTTTGTCATCTGGAATCTTCCTTGATTGCAAGACCCTCCTTATAAATGAGGCAGAGTATTCGACATGGTGCTGATATCTCTTTTATTAGCATCATCAATGACAATGTCGCCATCTGTGCCACCATTGTCTTCTAATGAATCATCACCTACTACATCCTTTGACATCGTCAAGTATTACAATGAGCTCCTCCAGGCAGATTCTCAGATCACACCGCCTATAGCCGCCATCGAATCCCTGATCTCTCTCCTAGCAACGACGCCCTTGACCACCATTTCCGAAACTCTCGCCTTATTATCGACTCACTCCACCAAACTTCTCTCATCACAGCAAAATCCCATTCCACTATTCGCGGGGACAGACCTCTTCCAGCGCTATTTGGTCTCATCTTTTCAGCAACGCCCTTCCTCTCTCGCAACCTCAGACTTTACAGCCCTTCGCCACCAGATCATCACCAACTCGTCGCTCTTTGTAAAACGCGCCAACGAAGCTCGCAATAAAATCGCCCATCAAGCCGCCCAATTCATTCGTGACGACTCCACCGTCATCACCTATGGATATAGCCGTGTGGTTCACACCTTACTAACCCATGCCGCCGAGGCTGGTCGGTATTTTAATGTCCTCTATGTCCTGCCCGCTAGTGGTCTGTCGCAGACCATTCAGGACTCGATTTCCGAGCTGAAAAAGCTCTCCGTCCCAACAACAACCATTCCAATTCATGCTCTCCACTTTGCGCTTGCATCCTTGCCAGCGTCGTCACCGCCACCTCAACTCGTCACGGGCGCCAGTGCTGTGCTGGAAAATGGTTCCATAATCACCCAATTTGGAACGCACCAAATCGCGCTTACAGCCAAGTCTGTGTCAATCCCACTCTATGTCGCAGCCGAATCATATAAATTCGTTCGCAAATTCCCCCTCGGTTGCGGCCAGAGTGACCTTGCCCAACTCGGTGTCAAGCAAGATGTCCTAAGGTTCGAAACTGCTGACTCTGATACCGAAGCGGAGGGCCGGGAAAGTGGAAAGCGTGAGCCTAAATCCGCTAAAACGGCGAGCCAGCCTTGCATCACCAACATTGACGACATGGTCGAGATCACGCCTCCCGACTTGATCTCAGCTCTTTTCACTGAGACGGGAATCATGACTCCTGATGCTGTCAGCGAGGAACTCATCAAGCTATGGTTTTAGACACAGACCAATTTTGAGATCGATTCACGTTCCAAGATACTGGTGATATTCCCAGCCTCGGCCGATTACAGCATGAGAATCTGAGCTGCTTGAACATGAGAGCCTACCATTGATAGTTCAAAACATGTCGCCTTCAAGATCTCTCCAACAGATTCTCTCAATCATCGGCCTCAGCATTGAAAAGCTTGTAATCATGAGGAATGGCGAGACCTCGCAGAATTCGCTATGATTTGCGATGAATCATAGGCTCTCCTCTAGGCTATGCATGCTCCTATCGGGCATTCAAGTTGCGTCCTGCCAGGATTCAAGATGAATGATGGCCGCGGAGCAAGAGACATATGTAACATGACAATGATCAGCAGCGGCGGCGGCGTCGACAACAACAGACAAACGCACAACCCATCGCAAAGAACATGGTCTCGGTCATCCCAAAATAAAATCACGTGTATGATCAAATCACGTGCTGGGACCGGACCGTCTTTGGCTAGGGCGGATCTGGACACTCCCTGCCGAACCGTGGGATCTGGCAGGCAAAGAGAGAACTAGCCCACGTCAATTTGGGCCGACAGCGTTTTAGATAAGAACGGGTATCCAGTGCCGCCTGTCGACAAGCCCGCGCAGGTTGTTTTGTCGCCGATACTCGCTTAATGTTGGCTATACATGTGTATGAAAACGAGAATAGGTCTCATCAGCAGAATGATATTTTCGAGGTCACAAAATTTTTGGATTGTTTGACATAAACGACGTTTTCTACAAAGGTAGTTGCGTAGACCGAATGCGAATGCGAACCTAAACCTTCGACAACTCGCTTTCCATGTCCGTGTCCATGTCTTCCAGGCGAGTGACGCTCCAACTCCCCCACAGGAAGACCATTTCCTTCCTTGGGGGAGATATGCACAAGTGCCGACCAGCGCCATGCTTTGTTGCGTTTTTTCGTCAAATCGACAATGAATGGGTGAAAACAAAATAGACAATCGTCCCACCATCAAACAAAAGTAAGTCTGAGAATGCTCAGAGAAGATCCGTCGCCAATGTTTCGCAGTGTTCCATAATCTCCCATGCTTCTTTTCCCCATGGTTCGTTCATATTGCATCGGGTCATCTCAGATCATCAATTTCGCGTTCCTTGGCTCGTAATGCCGCTCTCATCTCTTCGGCTTCCCTCATCAACTGCGCCCGTCGATCCCCACGTAAATGCGGGGGCGTGGATGTCTCAATTGACCGTTGAAGTTCTCGTATGGGCGGTAATTCTATGCCGCGATGGCGATGCGGGGTGTTGACCAAGGCAGGGTCAAGCTGCATTCCTTCAGCTGCGGCGGCCGCGAGTTGCGCTTGCACGGCAAAATCCTCAGCGTGTTTGTGTGGGGATGGTTGTCTGATAGAGGCACTACTCTCGGGTATGTAGCCAGTATAATCAACGGTTGGAGGCAGCCGTTTCCGTTTTGACGCTGGAGTGCTTGGTGTTGAATCTTGCATCTCCTCAAGTTCTGGCGAGGGTGGTTCGGGTGAAATAGATGACGTGCCGGCGACTGTACCACTCCCCTCTGGTCGGCTAGCATCTGGGTACGCTGGGACAACGCGCTTCCTCCTCTTGATCGTCGACTTCTTCATTTGCACTGGTCGATGAGATCCGTGAAGTTTGTGGTACAAGCCACAAGCATTACAGATCGGGTGACCAAGTTCGTCTCGACGCCAAAGCGGAGTTACCGTGGTACCGCAGTTCTTACAGGCGACCAGCATTGACGTATTTGCTGAGCTCGATGGGGCTGCAGGGGCCACGGAAGGAGGGACACTGCCTGTTGTTGATCCGGCTGCACTCTGGGCATCGCTCTCGTCGTTCGTGGTAGGGTTTGTCGCCGCGGGCACATTTGTTGCCCTTGCAACTCTGTTGTTGTAGGCCGGGCACCCGCCACACCCTTCCGCACCGCCGGCGCCATTACAGTTTCCTCCACCAGGACAAGACCCCGGCGTATGTTCGGGGACCCTATAGGGAATACTTGATGATGGGCCCTGGCTCAGGACTGGCGGTGATGCGGCAGCAGCAGGTGATGTTTCGGTTCTTTGGCGTGGGCTATCGGTGGGAGCAACCGAAGCCGGTCTTTTGAAGCTGGAGGGACGCGGGGTGTTCCTAGTTTTTTGGTATAGGCCGCACGCATTACAAATGGTGGTCCCCGTCGGTGAGCGTCGCCACAGAGGTGTCTTGGTGGTTCCGCAGTTACTGTCGGGCATGTTAGCAAAGCGCACCATACGAGCGAGAGTCACCATGAGGTCGCGTTTGCGACACAGGACGTGAGGATGTCAAAAGAATTCGTGGAATCGAACGTACCTGCAGATCTGGCCCAGGCCACTAGTATCTTCGACCTGATCCGCGTTCTCACTCATGGGTTGTGGACTATGGGCGATATCTGGACGAGGACTGACCCGTAAGTGAGTCTGCTCAGGAGAGGGTTCGCTGTTGTGACCATCATGGGTGAGGTTTGAGCCATGACGTTCACCGCGTGCTGAGGAGACAAGTTGATGAGCAGCATCAAGATCCTCGGCGGACGGTTGACGCATCGAATTTTCCCTCTCTCCGCCGAATGATGTTGATTTTTGGAAGGCATCCATCGGGCTACGTACAGCCAACATGCCGACTTGTTATCTTGGATTGTCAGCTGACACTGACGAACATCCAGAGCAGATGGAGACGCCTCTCACACAACGCGTGGTTGTGTTCGTCTCTGTATATCTTAGAAGACGTGAATGATTTGAAGAGTGATGATGCTGATGCTGATGATGATGGGGAAGAGGACAGACTCCCAAGATGATATGTGTTCTTGGCGGGGAAGAGGCAGCCAGTTATCGGAGAAAGTAGGCGGTGACGACACCCAGCTGGGACGCGCTTCAAAAAATGATGTGTGGATATAGAGCGAGATGGCAAGAGTAGCCCACAAACGCAGAAATAGTGGAAAGAGATGAAAAATGGAGGTGATTATATTACTCAGGTTGGAAATGGCAAAATGAAGTAAGTAGTAGTAGTGAACAGGAGACTTTGGCAAGAAGTGTGACGGTGATCCATCTAGTCCCAGATGCAGAGTTGACCAGGTTGGCTGAGACAATCGGCGTAATAAGTAATATCTCGTATGTGATTGGTGCAGTGACACACATCTGTGAGTCACGTGCAAATCCAAATTTCAGGCCATGGATGATGGCGTGGCCCACGCGTTCCTGATGTGATACCCATAGCCAACAAACCGGACGAGCTTCTTAGGCAGTAGCCATTTTGGAGCGGCGCCTCGGCCGAGGACCGCTTGGGCACTTCGGTCATAATGAATGGGGCCCTGGGGCCCTTAGGCTTCCCGTCTGGTGCAATTCATTGCAATTCATGGGTTACAGGCTAAGAAGAACCCCTGGAAATAATGTCCGCGTCGCCCGAAATGACGTTCTAAAAGTCTTGAAACTGTCTACAGAGCGCACCAATCTCAACAATTTGGTCTTCTTCTGGATCGAGCTCCACGCATTGGCACGCCGTCGTCGTGCTACGGACAAATCCAACAGTCAGTCTTGGAATGGTAGGAAAGTATGTTTGTAACATAATGATATCATGTCACTCCTAGCAAAGACACCCTTTATGGCTGAAAGACTCTCATGATCGGATAGTCTCATGGCTGTTGCTCATCTGCAACCAGCTACCAGCGTTTTCTGGTGTGCTAAATGTCAACGTTCTTCCCCCTGATGGATAGGAATGATCGGCCCCTGCGACACCTCCTTTGTTGACGATGGCCTACCACCGAATCGTCGAATACTACATTGCATCCCCCATCCTCGATCACCCACCTGCATACTATACACAACAATCAGAGCCTTGGAAACTCTGACCTGTTTCCTTTCAAGAATTCCACGAGACGAGGATTGCGACTCATGATGAGCGGGCTGCGGAAAATGGCGATATTCCGAGCAACGAGCATGTGAGTCTGCGTTCGTCGCAATCGTCAAAATGGAACAGCCAAAACCTCATGATACGCCGCTTAAACCTGTTCGGCGCCCCAACCAGCATCCGCATCCCTCATGTTCGAAGGTGGCTCGATTGATGGCACGAACTCCAAGGCAGCATATCCCAAGCCGACGAGGCCAATGATAGATCCTGCGGCGATGCGCAACCAGTTTTGCTCGAGGATGATAGAACCGACAAAGACGTAGACTGCAGGGATTAGCCCCAGAACACGTTGTGAGAGCAATATACTCACAAACACCACGGCCGAGGAAAGAGAATAAGAAGCTGGCGTATTTGGGAATGTATGGGGGAACCTGAGGGACCAATTCAAGTCCAGCCACGGCTGCAGAGAACATCAGTATGTTTCCTCGGACTGTAATATCGCATCTGCGAATATGCATACCTAGGCCGAAGATAATGACATATACGCCAATGATGATGTCCCGCCTATTGTTCGATCAGTTTTGGCCAGGTTCAGGCTGACGAGAGAGTGACGCACAATCCGAGATGGAAGAATTGACTGATACCTGTAATAGGAGTTAGAAGGCGCGGTGCCAGAAAGTGTTGTTCTGTACATACCTCCAAGCACCATGACACCGCCAACGGCAAGGTTGACCAACCGGCTGTTGCGAGTCAGTATCTCTCCCTTTGTATTCTGTACCATCGCGTCTTGATACTTCTCGACGCAACCATGGTGTAAACGTACAAGATGTTTGAGAAATCCATTTTGCTTGTAGAATGAAGGCGCACGTAGACACAAACGCCGGTAGAGGTTGGTTGTGGTGAGGTAAAGATGAGGTTACTCGAGCGCAGGCGTCTCTCGCGCGGATCAGTGGAGATGCAGGTCGAAGGATCAAAGAAACCGAAGTTGTCAAAGTGAATTTGTAATTCGAATGAAGCGTGTTCGAGGAGACCAAGGTAGAAGTTTGGGAATCAGGCAGAATTGTAACGATGAATTCTGATTCTGAAATGCGAAGGACAATTCTGGGGGCACTTCCACAAGTTGAGCGGATCCCTGAACCTCCCCAGTGCTCCCCTAAGGTAGCTAGGTAGCTACCTGCTACGGAGTACAGTGCTATGAGGTAACCTACTCCATATACTGCAGCTGGCTGCGTGTGCCAAGAAGGCCACTTTGTTGGTCTGTTGGCTTCCTCCTGAGGTACCGACTTACAAAAAGCTTGAAATCCACCTCACATGCTCAGACAAGAATGGCAAATGCTTGCGATGGTGATGGTCAAGTCATATAAGGATAATTCGCTCATCTTGATATGATCAGTCATGGCCAGGTACCCGTGATTAGAAGAACATGGTCGGGACTCATCAGATATATGCGTCTGCTACCCAACGTGACGGAATCCACATCCGGGGCTGGCAAACAAAGCGCATCTCGCCAGTCGACACGGCAACGCGACGTCTCTGGGGTTCATGTGGCCAGGACATCAAACAATTTACGACTAATTAACTTGATTCAACAGATAGCTATGTAGCTCTATCAAGACCTGGACTCCTCAGAGTTCCAACCATGTTCTCGCCTAAAATATCACCATTATTCATAAATCATGCCCGGAACCCGCCTATGGTTCAGATTTAAAGGGTCCTGTGTGAGCCTCTCTACACAGACCTCCAAACGCTATGCTATGCTGGGGTATCATATGCAGCCCATGCCATGCGACATGCCTCACCAAGACACAGGAATTGTGACGATCAACCATGACTCCGTGGGAAACGCTATGCACGCAACGTTGACTTTGGCCGTTCGGCTACCGATATCATCCGAGGACTAGGAGGATGTCCTGGCACCGATAGATTGGTCACAATATGCAATGAGGAGCGGTTTTGTGACCGGTGGGGAACGTTGGCAGTCTTTCGTGAGCCATCGACTTGATCCTCCTCATCTTCCAGGGTGTATGATCGAATTCGAGTGGATAACCGGCCGTTTTCGGGGCCGGTAGATTCAGCCGATGAGTCTTGAGTGCTGGGAGAATGATCTGCGTATGAGGATTCGTCGAATGGTCGATGTTCTGAGTCGTTGTCTAAATCTGGCGTGAGGACGACCATGTCGACACGTCTTCGTGTGCTCTTTCTTCGATCGGCGCGTTTGTTTGACCGTGTCTGGTCCCCATCATCGTCAAGAGATCGTTTGGAGCTAGAGCTGTGTTGAGAAGATGTGACTGATGGACTTCGGGCCCGAGCCTTGTCTGCCGAGTGGTCTGTGTTGGTATCGATGTCTCTTTTGCTCTTCTGAATCAAGTCGTGGATGAGTTCGGAGGAGATTTCGGATCTGCTGTTTCGAATGGATCTGGTGCTGAGGAGGTGACCTGGGCTTGGGATCGGCGAGCTGATAGGTGTGCTGTCGGAAATGTCGATGGGCTTGAGTAGGGGACTATCACGGCCGCGTGGAATCGATCCATCCCTGCTTCGAGCCGAGTCGTAGTGGGCTCGCGTGACCTCATCTCCTCCATAACAGATGTGAAGAGGCAGTGTGGAAGGAGGCCCGTCGCGATATGGGTTTGTGTATGGGATTGAGTCTCGATCGAAGTTTTGAATTCGTGGAAGATGGACGGTGACATCTTGGTTGTAGACCTGGCAGAAGGCCACGAGTTCTGGCTCACCCCCGTATGTACCACCTCGTGACATCAATGAAAGGTACTCCTCGAACGCGTCATCCGACTCTTGACGAGATGATGCGGTAGTAGATCGAAGTGTTCTGCGTTGTTGCACGTCGTCTTTGTGGACATAGTGCTCAAAAAGAGGTCGAAAGTTTCGCATGTGCTCGACGACACTGGCACGAATTTGGGGGTGTTTCTCGGGATTGCCATACAGTTGGTCAGATAAGGATGCAAAGAGACAATTTCCTGCAATACAGTCAGTACATTGCGAGGTATAGATGGAACAGAGTTGAACCTACCGTCACCTGCTATCTGTTTCTGATACATTCCCATCCTGGCGAGGCCGGGCCATACAGCCCTAGGCTTTCGGACCATGCTTGGAAGCTGTACGTGGACTGCATGGTCAGCCATGGTTGCAAATGATCCATTGACAAGGGCATCTGCATGGAGAGAACAAGAAACAAATCGTCTGATTCCTCTTCAAGAAGACATAACCAGAACGTGGGTGAATATGGAAATTGAGGAGCAGCAACAGTGTGGTGGGCAAGTCCTGCGGCTTTGCAGACACGGAAGGGAAAAGTAAGAGAAATCGGTGATGTAGTTGAGTGGTCAGTAGGTAGTGAGGGAGGATGCCAGCTGGGCTGGGCTGCAATCTTGTTGGTAGTGCTGCCAGGCTTACAGGCTCCGTGGGTTTGGAAAGGCAACGGAAAGGGATGGTTAAAGAGGCAGGGCACTGGGGCACGAAAGGAGAGAGACATGATTGCTCAGACAGGGGGAAGTCAAACACAACGACGGGGAAGTCAGAGGGGCCGAGGGGCCCGGGGCCCACCCCAAGACTCGGCATACCTTACTTACCAGGAAGTTGTTTGCTCCGGGCGCCTCTTGAATGCTATGACGCCTGACAGGCAACGCCTCTATCGCCTATCGAATGTTGGCTGTTGGCTGTGATGCCTCGGTTGATCCTCGATTTCTTCTGATCACGATCAGGACTTTGCTAATGTTGTCTTTCTACATATTCTATTAGCAGTGTAGAGCAAATATTGTCACTCATCAAACAAACCGGTATTTTCGGTGGTTCACAGCATGTGTTTCAAACTTGTTGTCAGCAGATGGATAAAGGACGGCTACAGTCTTTGAGAAACCTGGGGCGTGAGAACGATTTATATATCACGACCAGAGTCAGCAATATCATCCTGCTCTCCATCGAAATGGGCCTACATTGCTGAACCAAACACACAACCTGCAGCTTAACCTTGTTCCGTCGCTCAAGTGTTGTTAGTTGTTCAGAGATCCGCTCTTTTGAGAAGCTAAGGTGAGAAAACTTTGGTACGGTGGGAATTCATAAGCACCCTAACAGAGAAATATCGGGTTGGGTGCAGAGTTTCATCAAAACAGCTCAGAAGGCCTCAAAAGGGCCCTCACATCTTTCCGGAGCAACCATCGATGGGTCCTATCGCGCTTATGATCTTACCTTTTCTGCCTTCGTATCCAGACGCCATTGGAGGATTGTTCTGTATGCCTCGCAAAGGTGTTCAACCTATGCAAGACGTCTTGCTCGCCTGCAGTATCTCATGCAGTCCGGTGTCCTAGCCATGAAACAACTGATCGTGTCCGATCCCAAATGTCTGTTTTGACCAGTGGTATTGCATCTCTTCTACTACTCCTAACCCCTCCGGAAAAAGACTTTTGTCCACATACTTTTCTGAGGTATGTTTCGTGGTAGCAAGGCAATCGATTTGTGGAAGAGGGGCTTTGAAAACCAATAGAGAGAGAGAAGAGCGTCTTTTGGCGTGTTAGCGGCGTCGAGGACCCGAAGACATGGCAGACAAGGGCTTGAAGATGAAGGCTTGGGGTTTCGACTTCTGACCGGTACATTCTTTGAGATCACAAGCACTAAGCTGATGTTGGCAGTCACTCAAGCTCCTCTCGAGGGTACTCACATCGTTGTTGGGAAAGAATTCTAGTAAAATCTCATGGGTCTACTATAACAGCCAGGGCTCAAGGATGGAAGAACGACTGCTGCTAGAGACTATCTCGGTCAATCAGAAGATGGCCTTTCAGAAACCGACGCTAAAAAATGAAGAACTCTATGGCTGGGGGTGGGGATGGAAGAAATTGAGGTCCTCACCATGATTGGGCTCAGGCGTGGACGTGAAGGGAAAGTGGTCTAAATCGGTGAATGGCAAAAGCTAGGTATCTAGGCAGATAACAATTTGACCAATACATGAGGTTGAACAGCTGGCGGGCATTGTTCTGAACCAAGCAGACCGAAGGGCAGTAGGCTAGAGAAGGTCAAATGGATTTTGAAGAAGGCAGTGCTTCTCTATCGTGAGCATTCTGATGTCCATGTCACCAAATCACACTAGTAACACTCCACACTTTTGTACTCCGGGCTTCGGTGGTGGGGAAGAGAGCTAGACCGCTCCATTTTAATGCGGGTAACAGGTCTAGTAGACGGACGGCAGGGAAGAGAGAGTGCGGCTTTTAATTAGTGAAGTAGACTTGAGGTTGAGGTAACAACCTTGAACACACCTCTGCGGTGTGGTGTATATGGTCACGTCCAAATATGTAGACTATCGAGAAGCCGAGTGCAGACTTCCTGGTGGTGCCAACAAATCCTCCGAACCTGACGCCACAACCGAGAGCCACTTGCGTAGTATGTGTAGGTCTCAATTGTTCTTGATGGCTATTCGTCTAGTTGCCCATCTCACAACTAGGGAAATGTTCGTATTTACAGAATACGCTCCGAGTACAGCGTGAACCATGTGCAGGTCTCACATCTGTCCCACCACTACTGAGTACGGCACAGGATCTTCATGTTTGAATGCGGCCAAGCAACCGAGAGCAGTCACCAGGCGTGATCCAAGCCGGATAATGGCTTCCACGCGCTACCCCGAAAGTCATTGCATCCTCGGTGCCTCTGTGCTCTCCAGCTGTCCCGAGTAGATGGAGCACAGCCCACTGTCTGGTCTTTCATGATGGAAGATCTGAATGCTATTCATAGGTAGCTAAAATGATCGGCCGACAGTGGAGGGGCCGCTGATCATATCAAAGCGAGACATGGGCATGCCTGCCTCGTGTTGATATCATGGACGTCATATTGGGAACCCCAGGAGCCCGGAGGGCCCCCACTGCTGCCAACGAACAGAAGGTGAGCAGTCACTGCACGATTTCTATGGGGAGAACGTGCAGATAATCTTCAAAAAACGCGCGGTCAAAGGGATGGCTTATGCAATGCAAAGATCTCTGTGTCGAAAGACGTCAACACGGGTGTGACTCTGCCTCAACGGTTGGGCACGACATGAACGTCGTCGAAGCATCACTTATCTGGTTAGACCAGAATAGCCTAACACTGACTGGCGCTGGAAGGCCTTGCTGCTGGTTGCCTCCTCCGATCAGAGTGATACTATCAGCTCAACGAAGTTTTGGTGCTCGGCTTCGACGAATTACCGTACCACTCTAGCTGCGTTGTCTCGTAAGATGCTTTGTTAATCGCCTGCGTTGCTGTGTTGTTGTTTTCTCTTTGGCTCAAGTGGCAGCACTGGTGGGGAGATCGAGAACACTTTGTTGGTCTTCTGCAGCTTGCCATGCGGGGGCAGGAAGTTGCAAAACAACAGAAATTGATGGAGTGGGACAGTTATCTGATTACCTATGTCTAAATGAAGCTAACAACAACTTGATATTAAGTTCTGGGGGTCAAAAATTCTGTCTGAACTCTTGGACTGGTACGACTGGCTGGTGGTGACAGCCGCCAGAATTGGGTTGATTTTAGACACGTCGATGAGCAGCCAATCTGTGCATCAGCTTCCGTCGGTGACGTGCCCTAGTCCTCCTACGCTTCTCGAAAACAACAGTATTACGAGGATGGCGGGTGTTCCTGACGGCTTAGCGAGTCAGGACCATCGAGTCCCTTGTTCTGTCTTGTTACGAATCTGCAAATGGTGACCTGGGACACGTAGGTACTCTGAGCCGGTCGATTGTAGATTGCTTGTGATTTGAGCTGTTTCGCAAGCAGAGGGTTTAAAGAGACCGCCCAGACGCTAAATCCAGGGCGCGAGGGCCCGAGCGTTAGGGACTCACCACAGTCTTCTAGGCGCATTGATGATATGCAATCTACGGAGTAGAGGTACCGAATGAAAGGTATGACACCCTCATACTACCTATGCTTTGATGAGTATACTTTTTTTCACGTATTAGTTAGGATAAAACTTGGTCCACTTGCGATATCAGACTACCTGAACCAAGAAAGCATCCTGGATTAGAGGTGAGGCACAACAACGCCACCCGTACTGGACGATCAGTCGTAGTGCATTCTTACAGAGGGTGGTGAGTATCATGAGTGCAAACTCCACCCACAACCTCATTTGGGGTCTGCAGAACTCGTCCATTGGTGAGCCACTTAGACCCCAAGGCACCCCCGGCCCCCGAATACAAGCGTGCTTAGTGGCCAGTGGCTGGCGACGGCATCGGCATCGGGGGCGTCTGTCACTTGACGGAGGGAAATCCCTCTTGGTGTGGTCACTGTGCCACTTTTTATCTCTTTGGTTGTCTGTCCCCTCTACCCCCGGTCCTACGAAGCCAACTGGTAGATTCATCTGAGATCAGCAGAGGCCAACAGAGGCTAAACCTCAGATCCCCGGCGTGCCCATTCATACCCATTCATACCCATTCCTCTGCAGTAAAGCTCCAACCTTGGGACGCCTGCACGAATCACCGATCCACCTTCTCACGCCTCTCCAGTGCCACTTTGGGTCTTGCATGCCCACTTTCGACATCACATTGCTTTGCCCATTCGTCACTCACTTCCAAACAAATCCAGGCTTCAACATCCACTGTCCATCATCTGCCACGCTTCCAACTATACATCATTTCCGCATCTTTGTTGTTCGGCATTCTGCACCAAACTCCTACCGAATTTCCTGACTCACTCTCGTTGTGCACAAGCCACAGTCCAACTTCATCACCTTCGTTACCTACCTAGCTTCGTATTGCCTCTCAACACTCAGCCTATCCCTCACCTCGCACTTTTTTCCATCCACTGTCCGAACCATCGAGACCAGCCTCAACTCACCAAAACCCATTCGTGCGCCGACTCTCCACCTTCTAATCAACAAACCGCACCTGTTAGTTACCACTGCTTCAAATTCGCGTCTGTATCCTCTGGCCCAGCCGAGTGTGTCGCCTGCACCGCACCGCACCGAACTGCTGTCTCGAAGAATCAACAACCATTTTCACCCCAGCCACACCTCGGTATTCGAATCGTTAATGTCTCCAGCGCGTTCCCCTTCCTTGTCCTGTTCATTGCGCAGCATCCCATAAGAAACTGCCTTGGTTCGACCTACCGTCGATACGGTAGGCTTGGGGCGCAGTATGGGATTTTGGCCCTTTGGAGGAGGCAGGAAAAGCCGCCGCGTCAGTCAAGCCGAGGACCAAGGTCGCCACACATTACTCGAGAAAGACTCAGCCGAACCTTCGATGAGGATGAAGGGCAACAGATCCCAAGATTTCGGATCCATTGGGCGCGCAAATAGTCAACAAGTCCATGTTGAGAAACCCCGACGTCTCTCTAAACAGCGATATCCCAGTCAACAGGGCGCTGTATCTCGCTCATTTACGTCACCTGTCACTGGTCTCGGTGGTGAGAATAGCTCCACAAGAAGAGGCTCAGCATACGAGCCTGGAAGCATCCGTGGCTCCGACATCTATTCTCAGAATCCCATGTCACAATCTAGCATCGGACCTGAGGAATTCACTGCGCTTCCCCCAGCTCCAACACTACTTCTGAAGCCAAAGAATCAAGACCCGACCCTCCACAGAAGGAAGTCAAGTAAGAGAAAGGCAGAGGACTATGCGCGGGAAAGAGAAGTACGAGCCATGAGCTCGCCAATTGACGTCCCCGGCATCAAGCGACCAGTTACATATTCGGGCTCGGGTCCACTCCGTCGCGACACCAAGCAGGTTCCCGGTGGCTTGAACAGGCGACTCCAACGACCAGCTTCTGAGGTTTCGCTACCATTACCTGAGAACATTCAGGAATCAGACGACTATTCTAGTTATGCTTCTTTCAAGATTGGGATACTGGCTGCCTTAAGCCCTCGGCCGACTCTGACCTACGTCAGCAACGCTCGGTCTGCAGCCAGTAAACAGCCGTCAAGGATCAAGCCTTCCATCCAGCAAGCCATTGAAGAAGAACCTGTCACATCGCGAAAAAGGATCGACGACCTAGCCGATGAGCTCGATGCTGGAGGCCTCCGAGAGCTCATGGACCGAGATCGGCGGCGGCATGAGCGAAAGAAAGCAGCTGACAGAGATCGGTTACACAGGAAGCTGCAGCGAAAGGCTGACAGGCAAAGGGAGGAAGAAAACCGTGGCAGACATGTATATGGTGCTGGTGGCTATCCATTTGGACTTGGGCTTGACGAGATGGAGACCCGTGGCCGCCATTCTTCGCCGCCCCCTCCCACAGAGTCATCAACTACAGCAAACCAACAGCAGCCTCCAGACTCCCATTCCCCCAAGAGAGATCCTTTCGCTGACCAGGAGGCATCTCGACCTCGTCCTTTCCTGGGAATTCGAAACCCGTTCGAGGATGAGAAAGATGTCGACCTGGTCCAGGATCCATTCGCGAGAATGGAGGAGGAGGAGGAGACGGAAGGGCCCCCTGTACCAGTCAAGTCTCCACTTCGCACTGTGTCGCCTGTTGAGTCGAGAAACTCAAAGCAACCCTCACGGGCGCTCACTATATCACCGCCTATTTCGCCTGTCCATCGTCCAGCGGATGGCCGCAGTTTTTCCCAGACATCAGCGCTAGGCCGTGAGCCGACGCTCGACAGCTCGGAGCATCAATCCGATCGACGACCTTCAGACCAGAGCAGTCAAAAGGTTAGCGCCTGGACCAACTTCTTCAGACGAGGAACACAGCGGAATTTCACTGTCCTAGATCATGGGCGGAGGACTCCTTCGGAATTTTCTAACACTTCGAGGGAATCCTTTGTTCGAAATAAGCAAGCACCTCCTGTGGTTATACCTCGAACTTTTCGTAAGGCTGACGCAAGTCATGTTCCCCAACGGACAATGTCCAAGTTTCGGGAAGACCTGCCTGAACTTCCCATGTCGCCACCCGATTCTCGAGTCCAGTCTCCCGAAGCTATGGTGACGTCTGAGTCACTGGCTGGAAGGACGGTCGGACGAGCGCCAAGCCACTCCATCTCGGGGACCTTGGATGGGAGAAGCGTCGCGACAAGTTCGAGTAACCCGGCTCTGGATCGTGGGCACCTTGAATCTCGATCTGCTCAAGCGACGGATCTTGATATGAGCAGTCTCGCGCCCTCCGGCATGGTAATGTCGCAGTCTCTGGCGTCAGTGGACTCTGAGGGATCTTGGTTATCAGGCAAGCCGGTGAAGAGATCTTCCGCCGCCATGAGCCATCTCCGTCACAGCCAATCGTCCATCCCGCCCCAGTCCATAGCAGGAGCTTTTGACATGGACGAAGACGGACTGGAAGATGACGACTACTACGACCGCTTGACGCCGGGTCCCACTGGGCGGAGAGATTCGTTGATATCGTCAGGACGGAAAGCTAGCAGCACCATCATTGACCTAGAACGCGAACGCCAACATAGTCCAGTGCCCGGCATACCATCTCTCCCTAGAGAGGCGAGCGAACCTCCCACGGAAGCTTGGCATCAAGGACTTGCGAGACAGGCCACTATTGTTAAGCAGCCGAATCGGGCCAAGTCGACCGAAGGGCTTCTCAAAGAATTTGGAAGTGAGACGCCAAGAGAAAGTCGCGTGGTTCATTCGGGTTATGACGAGGGTGAAGGAGTATCCCCAGAAGGAGAGAGCCCGGCGGTGGAGGTGCAATCCACACCTATCCTCCGAGCTCGAAGTGTCGAGGTCAAAGGTCATGGTAGACACATCAGCGCTGGTAGCGCCCGTCTGCTTGACATTCGACGATCATCGGTACAGCTGGAAGGCGGTACACCGCGTACTCCAACTACTCCTCAGTTGCCTGCCGACATTGATGAACTGAAACGACCCGCAACGTCGCCCGTCAAGGGCTCTTGATCGATTGGATACCAAATCATCAACACCATCTTTAACGTCTTTCCTTTGTTTTATTGGCGCAATGCGCAAATTGAGGGCCTGAGGGCGAAAATCCAGATTGGCCACGATTGCATGATCTCATGAAGTTCAAGATACCCTTACATTACACTCTTTCGTGCCACGGTTTTGGAGAAGATGTTTTGGGCAACGGGAAGACTTGGATGGATGCGAAGTATGTATATTGAAGCGATTGAATTGGGAGAAGCGAGCGTAACATAGAGGCGAGACTTGCAAATAGGATGGAACCAACCCTACCACAGAGACAGTCAACTAACCAGAAAGTCGGTGCATGGGCAGACAGTTGAGGCCAATCAGTCTCATACCTGCAACACGGCACCTGATGTACTATAATAAGAGGAGGGAAACACCATATCTACCCAGCTCGAAGCTGGAAAATTGCGGATGCAGGATCATGTACAAGTACAAGTACCTATGGAACATGTCAGGCAAATGCTTTGAAGACGAAAACATACCTGTTAATGATAATACAGTAGTAAGGAGAGATGGGAAGATGTCTGGGACATGCAGCATCTACCAACGATTAAGCACGTGACATCGATCGCTTTCGTTTGCCTTTGGTGATGATTTGGCATATCAGAGACGGTGAGGGCGGCCATGGAACAAGGCAGGGGTGTCCTTGATTAACCACCGCCGTTGTTATTGGGCAGATTGGTGATTCCAAATCATATACACGAGGGAAATTCCGAAAAGGTAAAAGAGTATAGGGCCTTGTGACCAAATTAGATGATTTGTCTGGCTGATAGGAATAAGTCATAACCAGCGACTAGAGCAGGAAATTCAAATCAGTCAAACTCGTCTGTCAACAGGGCCGGGCAAACTGACAACCGAGAGAGAGGGTGCGAGTGGTGGAATCTCCAGGAGGAGTAGTATTATGCGTTGTGTTGGGTTGTGTTGGTGAGGCTGGGATGCCCTCGGCCCCTCCAACAGCACCAAACTCGACACTCGACACGAGCGTTTTGAAGTTTGTATTTCTAAGCTGGTCTTGGATATCATAGGAAGGCGTCGGGCGAACCGGAGGGGGATGGAGGGGGGGCCAAAAGGGCCGAGGGGCCATTGGGGGGATAATTTAGGACCCAATTCCTTATTGCTTGGTGCCTTGATGCCTTGGTGCCTTTACCAGTTCCAGACAGTGCCGCTATAAGGGCTAATGGGCGAGAGACGAGGGATGAGGTACCACTGGGGGCGTTAGGGTGCTTCGGCCGTGTGTGGCCGGGAATGACGAATACTTGCCATGCGTTTCTGTCATCGTCGAATTAGACAAGAAAAAAAGAGGAAACACAAATCACAAAAGCCCGAGGGCCCTACTACTGAGTACCTAGGTAGTAAGACTGCTACTTGCTGGTAAAAGGATCCTGGCCCTAAGTAGCCCTAGCACCCTCTCCTCCCTTCCATCACCATCTGTCTCTCCTTGGGTCATCCATTTATCCATCCATCGTTTGTTATCCTCCTTACAGCAGCAGCAATAGCAGCAGACGATTACCATCCTATTAACAACCCAAATTTATCACTCAGCGCGCACCTTCTCTCTCGGTCCCTCTTCCCCCTCAATTCCTTCTTTCCCATTCTTAACCCCCATAAATACCTTCGCCGTGGCTGCATCGATCTCTTTTCGCTGCATCAAACCACAGCGCCTGATTACCACCCCACTTCCAACAACACTTTTTACCACAACAACCAAACCAACAAGCCCAAGAGCCATCAACAAGCTCTCTTCTCATCTCAGTCAACGAAACTTCAGCACCAGCAACCCCAGCAAATTTACACAAACACCCAACAAAATGGTTGTCCATAACCTCGCAGAGTACGTGGCCTACCATCAAGCGAAACTGCGCAATGAATCCCAATCCCAATCCTCTGCTGCTGCTTCCACTACACCCCGCCCTGCAAAGAAATACGGTGTTAACCCAATCCACAGTAAATCCTCATTCAACACGAGCGTCGTGTCCGCTCCCGCAGAACGCCTAGTCGTTCTCGACTGTTTCGCCACATGGTGCGGCCCTTGCAAAGTCATTGCCCCAGAAGTCGCCAAGTTCTCCGAGTCGGAGGAATTCAAAGACAAGGTCGACTTCTACAAGGTCGATGTCGACGAGGTTCCAGACGTCGCTCAAGAGCTAGGTGTTCGTGCCATGCCTACCTTTATGCTCTTCAAGGGCGGTGAAAAGGTCGGCGAGGTTGTCGGTGCCGATAAGAGAGCTCTCAGAGCTGCTATTGAGAAGAATTTGTAGTTGAGTTGTTGATGTTTTGACGAACATGCAACTTTCTACGAGATTAAAAAAACACTACAATACACATTGCTCTTTTTGAATAACGCACTGCGATATCACAAACAATCAAAACAAAACAACAATTGGGTTCAATTCATTCTCAGACTACCATGCCATCCATGGACGTCAGATCTGTTTACAGGGGGGGAATGGGTATTGGAATTGGAATTGGAATAGGAATGAATTTCCAATGTTGAGTCTCCTTGATCCGTGGAACTCGGGTCTCCCTAGAGCAAGTTGTGCTTGGTTCCGGCTTTGAAATCGGATTGCGGGACAATATCGTCATCTCAGCAAATGGGGCTGCTTCCCATAAGCTGTTTTCCAGCCAATCATGGTCTAGGTCGATTCAAAGTCGACTCAAATACTCTACCTAGTTGAATAGATGTTTCGAATTATCCTGCTTCACAAATATGGTGCTTTGATCGTCTTTATATAAAGATTCGATGAATATAGTACGTGTAGTTTGCATCTCGTAGAGTAGATAAAATCACCCCTCGTGGGGATGTATTCAGGTTGTGCTCTCTGTACGCATCCACAGACACATACGGAGTACTTCCAGTTCACAGCTCCAACTCCAACCCCACCAATCCTTTTCTGTCTTAATAATATAATATCCTCATCAGGACATGGACTTCACGGAGTCGAACGAAGCTCGACAGACATTACGCTGTTCGACGGTCAGCATAGAGACTACATACTTACCTACCCCAGTCATTGACAGTCCACGCTCCAATTACAGCTAGCGGACAACCTCACCACTTCTGGAGGCTGGAGGCTTCGAACTCTGCCCTGCCTCCCTAGGTGCTCGACTTAACCACTTGCCTTTCCCAGATTACAAACCATTCTAGCCTTGCATTACCTTTGTAGGGTTTCACCAATCTCTCCGTTTATGCTTCATCTGAACCATATCTTATATTTCATTATATTGGATCTTCCTGTGGTGGGTGATCCCTTTTGGGGAAAATACTAAACAAGTACTCGTCATACATATCGCAAAGTGGGTATATTCTATGTCAAGTCCCAAGTCCAACATCAATAGACTGGACCTGGTCAATAATGAGTTGTGCATGGCATGGCATGGCATCATGGGCATAGGAGCATCCAATTTCATGGTCTGCAAGCCGTAAATCCAAATCGACTCAAACGTCACCTCGAGAAGCGATTCCAACCGGTCGGTAGTCATGAAACAGTGGACCCACAACTTTTACATTTGAATGCTTGCTTTCCCCGGACCATGGTGGCCTTGAATGACCGGGAACCACATTTTGCGCATTGAAGCTCGTTGCCGCTGGCGCCACTGCTTCTCCTTCTTCGATTTCGGTCGCTGGACCTAACTCGTAATCTTTGGCGATCATCGTCTCCATTCTGACTGCCTCCAGCTGAAACGGGGTCTCTCTCGGACCCTGTCAGTTCACTAGAAAGTTGTGATATATAGCTAGTCGCACGAGACAGTGGATTCCCGTCGGGGCCCAAAACTCCTGGTGTCCGCGGGATATGTCTTGCCATCATGGCAACATTGGATGTATCCCAAGCCATGTAAGACTGGTCACCAACGAGGAGAAGAGGGTCGCTGTGAGGAATGCCCGAAACTAGTTCACCGTGATCCTTGTTGGCTGGTAATGCAAGATGATCCTGCTCTCGTTCCGGCGAGGCAACCTGTGCGGTCGAATAAAAGCTTCCGGGAGATTCACCAAGGGGAGAATGAATTGCTACAGAAGGATTTGAAGAACCGTTGGATGTCTGATGGAGAGGTGAATGGACATGTGCAGATGCCGGGCTGAGCAACGTGTTCTTCTCAGGGGATGAAGCACGTCGAATGGAAAATCGTTTCGAGATGAGTTTTTTCGGCGATGCGCTTCTCGATCGTTCTTCGTTTAGATTCTTGCTAATCTCTAGCATACTTCCCGAAGAAGTGGTCGTAGGAGTTGTGGTGCTTGGAACAGAGTTTCGCCAGGTCAAGATTCGATCGGTAGATTGATTTTTGGACCCAAGAGCCAAAGAGTTTCGATGTGACGATGAAGTAACAGAGGCTCTGGTAGCAACGGATCCACTGCGTCCCAACATCTTCTTCGAAAAAGTTGACCCGCCCTCCCAAGTTTCTGCCTTCCGTTTTTGGAACGCACAGTCCTGACGGAACACCTTGATTTGACCCGTATAATCAGCCGTGACAATGATCCGTCCTCCTGGATGCGCATGGCGAGCCAGATAAGCGGGTGTTTCAGGGGCGCGTTTGGGGGATTCCGAGGCCCTGAGTTTTGCATCGGTCGGGTGGTCCTCAGAATGAAAGCTGTTGTTGGTTGGTGCTTGAGAAGATATGACTGAATCGGCGCGACTGAGCAGAGTCACTGGCGGCGGGTTGCACAAATCAAATAAAGGATCGCCAGATTGGGCCAAGAGGCGCCGTGTGCTCTCCGGCGCCAGGACGGCGGTGGTCACAATCGCTGAATGAGCTTCAAAGACTTCCATCGGTCGCTTGTCATTGTCTGGACGTTCATCAACAGCCGTGGGCCATATGTACACCTTTCGATCCTCGCTCCCACATATGACATACTTGCCATCGTCACTGAATGTTGCCCGGATTTGGCTACAGGTGTTCTCGTTGCCCCGAAACTTGACCTCCAGCGTTCTATCTTTCAGGTTGTACATGCGTACTCTGGAGTCGTTACTGGTGATGAGCAATTTGACGTCGGCTGGCCCATTTTCTCGAGGTAAGGCGATGGTATCAATTCCGGTGATTTTACTGCCCTTTGCATTCTTCCCCCGGGCGGACCGGACGTGAATCTGTGAATGAGCCTTAAGTCCTTCGGTGTCGTACAAGATGCACAGACCGTTCAAGCAGCCGGCAATGGCGGTCTTGCCGTCGGGAGTGAACGCGACCGCAGTGACCATGTCCGGAACCTGGGCCCAGTATGCGACGGTTTTGTCGGGTATGCTCCATAGGCGCAGCTTTGAGTCGAGAGAACCAGCCAGAAAGAAGCGATCGTCACGAGGGTGGAATTGGATCGACGTGACAAAGTCGTTGTGTTTAAACGCACACAAGCATTCGGCACGAGTGACATGATGTAACCTGACCGTCTTGTCCATGGAAGACGACAAGAGAAAGTTGTTCTTGCTCCAGCTCAAATCCAAGATACTGGCAGTATGACCATCATACTCTCTGACGAGTTTAGATTTGAAGACGGGGGCGTTGAGCTTGACATTTTCTCCGTGACTATTTGTCTCAGACAATTTCTCCTCGATTTCACGATCTGCGGGAGTGTTGATGACTTCCCACACCCTCAATTTCTTGTCTTGACCAGCGGCAGCCAAATATCTTCCATCTCTTGAGAACTCGACGGCCCAGATAGCATTGATGGTAGACTTGGGTGGCACCACCGCCGGTGTGGCGGGGTTGTCATTGATGTTGTGTATCTTGGAATCTATTGAATGGAGGGAGTTTTTTCGATTCTTGGGTCTGGAAATATCAAGGGCAAGCTGGGCGAGAAACAGTCGATCAAATTCCTTTGTGTTGCGGTATTGAGACTTGACCTTGATATACTTGGGAGGAGCGGGGAATTTGGGAATAAATCCTAAAGGCTGAGAAAAGACTTCTGCCTCGACGCCTCCAGAACGGTTTTCGGACATTTCAGATTCATTGTCACGTAGATCAAAGGAGTCTCGCTTCTTGGAGCCCATAATACGACTCAGGAAGGACACACCTTTCCTGGGAAGAAATATAGGTCAGCCTGATATGCCTGGGCATGGCTGCCATGCCGGAAGGGAATGGGATGTTATAGAAGTCGGTGATTGGACCGCAAAATATACCGACTGCAGCTGGGTGCAGATGCAGGAGAAGCGAGGCAATTTACTGAGTGCATAGGAAGATGTGAGCGACTCACTTTTTGTCTTTTGTGAGCTTGCTACTAGCAGAACTGTCAACTCTTCGCAGAGTGGCCGGATCGGAAATGAGTCTGGCCGACAGCTCTTCGGATGGACCGGATTCCGAGTAGGTGGACTTGAGGGACACACCGCTTTGTGTAGCTGTGGGTAGCCTGTTCTGCGACTGCGACTGGGTGCGCTCCAGGATTTGCTAGGCGTCCATGTGAGCAAGCGAACGAAGGGTTCGTGGGGGATGCATCTGATCGGTGTGTATGAATATGGAGACACATGGGCATACGCACTCTTGATATGGGATCCAGGACCTGTTCAGCGTCCGCAGGGAGCGAACGCTCGCTGGAGCCCAACACCAGGCTCATGTTGGCTGGTCGACGGTGGAATCAGGGTGGATTTGCGAACGTGATCATTGACGCGGCGAGAAATGGTCGTATTTGAAGAGGGGGAGCCTGATGACACAGGGTCAGCTACTCTCAATACAGTCAGCACATGTTGGCATTTCGTCGAATGAGGGGCCCGGCGTAGATGGCATACGACGAAAGAACGAGGACAACAGTGGGCAAATGGCTCGAGTTGTGCAGAGACATGGAGTTCTGGGTGTGGGTGCGGGCACTGGTAACTGGCAGGGGCAGGGAATAAAGTTGGGTGGAAGGACCGGCGGCTTTGCTGAGTTATGCTTAACCAAGTATGAAGGGTTCAACTATGCGATGCTTAGACAGGTACGTACTTCTGTTTTGGGCCATTGCCATTGATGAGATGGGCAGTCCAAGCCGGCGTACGGAGTAGTATTGACACCATTGAAGGGCAGAAAGCGGAGATGTGAAAATTTGATGCTCGAGCCCGGCTTCTACGGATGATCAGTGGCGCCACGGAAGATTACGAGTTGGCTATTCATTATTATTTTGGCTCTTTAGGCACCTTCGTAAAGAGTAGTTTGTTGTTTCAGGCCTTAACTTAGGCACTAGGGTATTCTACTAAGTAATGGAATTGCTTTAGGGAGCACTTGGGGCACTTGGGGCACTTGGGGCGCCTGTGGCTGTTTTGTCTTTTGGGCAGGGCCTGAATTGGAAAAAAGGACCTTTCTCCCTTCCTGGACGCGGAGGATGGACAGGCTCACTCTCTACCACGTATGGGTATAACCCACAGCCTCGAGTTACTATGGTACAGAGATCAAGGACTGTTGTGGGGAGCCGCAGAATCAGGCATTCGTTGCGATCCGATAGACGCATGGGTGAAAGGCTCTTCACCACCAAGGATCGCTGGGCACAAAATGTCATCCAATCCTGTCCGAGGTTGACTACGGTCAGCCTTAAGGCCCCTCGGCCAGAGTCTAGCCTGCTGTACGCATACGCGTACTCCGTACTCAGAATAAGTAACTTCGTATCCTACTACCCTGCTCCAGTTCCCCTCTTCATGCACGGACCGTCCGGGTTGATGCTTGATTACTTGCTACCTATGGCGAGATGGTATTGAACCAACAGAAAGTAGTGACAGACTGCTATCACCGTTGGTGCGGGTGCAATTGCCCCGAGGGACCTTGTCTAGGTGGCACACTACTGTGCTCGTATACCTAGATATCACCTCCCAAGAAACCACTGTACCACAGGCGCCATGGAAAAGATTCATAACATTTGGCGAGGCTGGTCAACATCCACACCTTCTTATCCAGAACGAGACATAAAGGTTTCAAGCTTCGGCAGTGATAGCATTGAGGGTACCCTTTCCCATCTCTGTCACATTGCATAAGATCATTCTTCCAAGATGCTTGTCGTTATCGTTGACAAGCTCGTCACGCAGATCCTTGTATCCTCTCGTAGTATATGGCAACCCAGGCGGCCATCTGCAGAGACCGAGGTTCTCAATTAGCTATCTTGACTTGCAATGCGGCCCAGATATCCCAGCAAGAATGCCTTGTTCTCCGCGCCTGTCTGTCGTTTCTCATTTCCATTGCGACCAGTACCCGGTCCACTCGTCATCGAGGCCATACTACCAACTCGAGACGTCCGTGTGGAGACGGGTCCAATTCCTGATAATGACATCTCTGCGCCGGGGCTGACCAGCTGACTGACCGACAATGGCGACACAACTCCGTAGCCTTGATGTTGCGCCGCAGCTCTAGGCGTCTCCTCTGCAGTGCTGCCAAAGAGAGACAGAAGAGTTTGTTTCTGATCACCTGTCGCCAAAGTTCGGCCACCAACGGTCAAACTCTCCGTGGATGCCACCTTGCTTATCTGTCCTGAAGACACCACTTCTTCTCCTGCCACCCGTGCTTGTACCTCGGGCGACGTCTCGGTAGTCTGTGGTCGTCGAAGGATTTGTGGTTGAAATGGTTTGCTTGTTTCTTTCGGCACCGACTTCTCCCTCGGCATCCGCTTTGAGGGCAGCTTTGATGTTCGTGTGGAATGAGGTGCCGACTGCCGGGATTCCTCACTCCTGGTCAAGATCTTGATGGGTGTAGGCTGACTTGGGTCGAATAGCGTCCGATTCGAGGTCAGTGGATTGCGTCCCAACTCCTGCGATCCGTGCCTTGCTGAACGAGAAATGATATCAAATTCTGGTTGGTTCAGTGGCCCGCTAATAGTAGCTGCGGTTTCTCCTTCGCGAGGCGAGGGCCGCTGGATTGCGGCCGCTCCCGGCGCGCCGCTCTTCCCATGCTTTAGCAAAGTCAACAGAAGGTCATCTTTCCGTTTGCCCCCTTCCGAAGTTGTCGCAGCTAGTTCAACCGCCGCAGGAAGAATATTGGATGATGTCTGCATGGCCTTCGAGTTACTCGCCGGTTGAAAGAGGTCAAGAAGTGATGCTTTCAAGGCGTTTTCAGGTTTCTTAACCTCCATGTTGCTAAGAGGCAATTGGCGGCTGCCATAATCATTAGAGGGTTGTCTGGCGCGAGTCTCTTCAGCAGCGAAAGGAGCTGGCTGCCCCTCTCTCGACTGCTGCAGTGTTGCTGAATTTGGAGAGTCATGATCGGGGGTCTTAGTTGGCTGGTACTGAGACGATTGTGGCGGTTGGGCATTTGAAGTAGATCCAAAGAAGCTGTTCAAAAGTGATTGTTTCGAAGCCGCCAGTGGCGGCGGAGGAGGCTTGTTGGCTCCTTTGAATACATCTAGCAAAGCTTTGGTATGACTTGTCAATTTTGGAAGAGCACTTGCGTCAGGGATCATTCGTCTTTCTTGTTGAGAAGACTCTAGTCGGGCAAATTGAGGGTCGCCTGTCTGCTGGTAAGGTGCTCTCGGTTGAACGGCCTGTATAGTGCGATCCTGGTAGATCGGGAGTTGGAACATTGGGGGCGGTTGGCTGTGATCAAGAACCTCGGTACGGATATGGGAGACGTGAGGTGATCTTTGAGCTTGCGCCTCTAGAGACACTTGCTCAAATGGCGTCTGAGGGATCTCGGGCCTCGAGCTGGCTGGCGGCCCTCGCAACAGAGCTAACAGGTCGTTGGATTTGGCTGTATCGACGCGTTGTAGATGGCTGGGTTGAGGAAGTGCGTCTGGTTGTGAAGCTCCAAGTCTGCCAATGTTGAGCATCTCCTTCAGATGTGCTGATGGATCTGGGCCCAAAGGAATAGTAACTTCGGGCAACTCGCTGACCGCGCCAGTCCCTTGATTGGCCAAAAGTGCGCCCTGGTTACCTGCATCATAGTTGTCCGATGCGTATGTTTCCTCTGGCACCATAGGCGGCGCAGAAAGATGGGAGCTATATCGGTTCTCTTTCTTGCGTTGTTGGGTGATCCACTTCTTCAGAGGGTTCAGGAATGGGGCCACCATGTAGAATTTGTTGGCGGCGAGAGGAGGCTGATCCGTCCCGCTCCCATCTTGCTGACGGCTCTTCTTGAGGGTTGGCAGATCAGTGAGCTTATACCATTCAATCTTGCTGATTTCTTTTCGTGTTTTTGGCTCAAAAACTGTGTCCCTTGGCACACCTCGGAAGACATAAAGACGCATATGCTGTTCACGCATGGTGACCTCGATGTACTTCATATCCTTCTCATCCTTGACAAGACCAGCTGCGCGGATGTCAAAACCAGTCTCCTCATAGACTTCTCGAACAGCACAATCCAGATCGTTTTCGTCTTTGTTGATTTTGCCCCGAGGGAAACTCCAATTAGCACTTTTCTTCCAACCCTTGACCAGGACCACTTCATCCATGGCTTCATTTAGCATAATTGCACCGCGGACCGGTACACGTGACTTGTAGGCCATAAATTCGGCAAAAGCCGTGGTGTGATGCTGCGCAGACCATTGCGAGAAGAGGGGACAGTGCTGGAAAATGCGGAGGCTGAAGGTACGAAGGGTCAGCGAGGGTAAGGAAGGATCAAGTGGGCGTATAAAATCTTCGTAGAACCATTGTGCCTCCTCCACTTGGAAGCATATTCGTTCGACGGAGGTCAGCTCCTCGGGCGGTAAATTGATAATGAATCGGACACAAAGATCATCGAGCCCTAGCAGTCACTTGATGTTAGTCTTTTGAACAATGCATTGGGTAGCAACGAGTCGTACAGTCTTCGAGCTGCATATTTTCGGCGATTGATGTGACCGGGACTTCTAAGCATTTCCGTCGTCGATTGGATGTACGGTTGGCGCGCCAGACTGTTCACGTCGCCGGGGAGCCGTGTGAGGACAAAGGTGACGATGGTCTGACTGGCGGCAGACTCTCACGCGAGGGATCTGCAATGATATCTGGTGGCCTAGCGTGCCTAAGGGGAAATTGACTGGATGTCGAGGACGATTCAAAGTGTTAGGTATGATGTGTTTGGCTAACTCAGTCCGAGGAAGATGACTCCGAGCCGGTACAGGTGATCGTAGACAGAACCAACCCTAGTAGTGTGGCGGGAAGCGCAAACAACAGAGGAAGTGAGCGTCGGATGTACTTCGGCTAATCCGCCCAATTCCGGCCAGAAGTTGCTCAGCCACCTTTCAGCCACACCTGTGGCGCTGACTGGAGACTTCCGTTGGACTGTGTTTGTTGGGCTGCTTCGTTTGTTCTTGGCATTGCACATCACGCATTAGAGGAGCTAGTCGCACTTCAGCCACTTCAGCCTACCGGCGTGGCTGAGGGGAGTTAGAGTTCGCGTATTACCTTACCATGACGCAGCCGCCAGATCAAGTTTCAAGGAGTGAATCAAGATTTCAATGTCACTGAGTACATCCTACGAATCCTGCACGTCTAGACCAACCGATTTACTCACAGCCAAGGTGACTGCGACTGAACATCCCTAGACATCTGTTTGATGGGCATGACGGGTCAATTCCATTTGGTCAGAGGTGCAGCGCTGTGACATAAACCTACATTCAGAGCCAAACCCTAGTCACATTCCCAGCCCATCATCTTCCTGACCCAGAAGCTGCGCACCTATATATTTCCACCTGGCCTTTTTCCTCCTCGTCTCAACCCAAGCTTCCACAAGCCACTCATCGAGCACCGACTCGAACTGCGACAATGACGACTTTTGTAGCGAAGCTTGTGGCTAAGAAGCTCTTTCAGGAAACCGCGGCCAACAAGGGCGGGAAAGAGGTATTGTCAACTTATTGCACTTCCCCGCCGCCTTATTCTAATGTCTTGCAGGACCCATACTTCGAGACCATCCCTGCCACAAGATTGGGTGGGATATACAAGACCTCGAAAAAGCGGAAGCGAGCACTTCCTCCAGGGCTTACACCCGATGAGGAGAAAGTACTTACCAAGGCCAAAAGAAGGGCATATCGAGTAGATCTCTCGTTAGGTTCATTCTTAGGCGTTCGGTTTGGCTGGGGTTCAGTCATTGGCTTGATCCCTGGGTAAGTTTTGAAGACTGCGATTTGTATTTGTGCCGTTTGTACTAACTCATCTTTAGCATCGGCGATGTCCTCGATCTTTTCTTCGCGCTCTTGGTCTACCGGACAATCATCTCGGTCGAGGGAGGCCTGCCTAGTAGTGTCAAGATGAGAATGAAGTTCAACATCATCCTTGATTTTCTCATTGGCCTGGTTCCCTTCGTGGGCGACATTGCCGATGCAGCCTACAAGTGCAACACCAAGAATGTCATCATTCTCGAGGAACAACTGCGGGAACGTGGCAGGAAGCGTCTCAAGGGTACACCACAAGCCAATGTCGCTGACCCTAGTCTTCCCGACGAGTTTGACTATCAGAATGAGGAACGTCTCTTGGAACAAAATGGGCCACCTCCCCGATATGCCTCGACACGAGAATCGAGACGAGATAGAGATCGTCGAGATCGAAGAGATGATCGCAGACGAGATAGGGACCGAGATGGAGGTTTCGACCTTGAAGAGGGACGAAGTGTTTCAGCACCGCGACCGGCTCGAACTCGCTAACCAAGCCTCCAACTTGGAGTCGACATGCTGATGGTGCAAATGAATGATGCAAGCGTTGTATGTGGGTTTGCGATCCTGTTAATTGCCGCGTGGTGAAAGGGACGGCGTTCAAGTTGGCGGGATCTCGAAGACCCTTTCGAATCCTTGTACTGTCCTACATGCAGACACTTGTATTCACATCGACTGGAACTTGATATCCTGCTTCATTCTTAGGCATCCATAACAAAGAAGGTTATCTGCAGCTTCGCCGTTGATGATTGACGACGGTTCGCTGCACACCAAACAGAGTTGTGATTGTCCATTTGCTGTCCTGTCGAGTTTCCCAGCCGTCCGTACCACATTTGCCATGATACTTGGGTATTTTTCCCCTTGCGAGTTAATATAGTTCGTCAGAAGAGTGTCGATCGCAGTATTTCGCAGTGATGGTGTCACTCGCCGGGCAGAGGTATCATGTCCTTCCAAAGAAACCAGGGGTTCAGATAGAACCGATGCATATGTGGCTAGCTCCGGTTTGAACAAGTCTCGGACAGGATAGTTGAAGTTGATGCCATGGCACGAGGGACCATCGGCTGTCAGCGACGGCACAGATCCTCCTCGGCCCTTGGAGACATGTGAAAGTGCCATCGAAGCCAGGCGACTATCAGAATGACCCCAGAGAATACCTTCACAGTCGTGTGCCTTTGCAACCGACACAATTAGACGACGAAGCAAGATTGATTGGAGGTCTTCGTGTGCAGTCGCCGATGTAGTAGAAGATAAAATGCCCTTAAGGAAATTTCCATCAGACTCGCCTTCTGGCCGTCCGACTCCGAGATGGAGTAGATCAGATTCGATCCGATCGTCGTACTTGAATAGGTCTTCAAAGGCCATTGGGGGTATGAACTTGTGGCCAGGAAACCTCTCCCCGGCTTGGACATATAAATCGTTACGTATGGTTGAATCGTGTTCATCAGGTAGTATAACATTGCAGATTATCAGCTCATATGCCGTTCTGTTCCTCTTGAGTGCTTGTTTGTGAAGTTCACCATCAAGGACTTGTAATAGAACCATAGACGAGACTCCACCAGATAAGGGGAGCAATAAGCGGCGAGTCTCGTTCACCGCAAGGTTACCGAATCGATAAGACTCCATACGCTTCGAGACTTTTGAACTGACATATCGTTGGAAGCATTCATTGCAAAGCCATCGATTCCTGATTTGAAGATCGGACGTATTTTCTCGACAGTCGACACACAGTACCGTTGATGTGTGGGCGGTGGTCATGATGGCGTTCTTGACCGCCCACAGTCAAAGTAGTTCAACTATATCAAACCAAAGATTCTTTTAAGATTAGTCTTGGTGATCTCAGAGCAACGTGGTTAACACCGAGCAGCGACAGAGAATTTCATATTTCACGATACTTGGGGTTGGACATCTTCGCTTGGCGCTGCAGGGAAGCGAATTGATTATTATTGTTGCAGGGGTTCCACCTTAGGGGCTTGGACGCCGGGGTTGTTTGCTTATTCACTCCGCATGAACAGATCTTGCGCTTCCAAAAGTACTGTACGGCTATGTTTATGGGCCTTCTGGGCAGACCAACTATGGAGTTTAATACATATCCCAAGATGGAAAGCATCCTGAATAGCATCATCTAATTCTCCCCAGATTCCAACTATACTCCGTAATTCCTCGATGTTCACCCACACTTGGCAGTGCTGATCATGCCTTTAAGGTGTCAAAGTTGACGTTGCATCTAACCAGACACGCCAGATCCTTCGGGCCACCCACGTGCAGGCTGCTGGACTCTGCATGACGTACAACCTTGGGCGTGAGACCATGATGGCATGCAAGCCTTCAGGCAAGCTTGTGCGGCCCGGCTCTAGAAGCCCGGACAACCCCCAGATAAGACTGTGACGAACTTACTTACGTATAGGCATGTCCGTGGGTGACATTGCTTTTCCCTGCGTCCTGATCAAGGTATTGCTTCCGAGCCATCCCTCTTTCCCCGAATCACCACTTTCTGATTGTTAGAAACAAAGTAGCACCGCCAACGCGCCACCTCAGGATCGCTCTCGGACTCCTTGAAAGCCTCAACAATATGGCGACTGTCAGCCAGAGCAAGCCAAACGAGGAGCCTCCAGCTGGCATTCAAGGCAAGGGCACTATTGATGAGCCCTACGACCAAGGAAACGCCCCTGGTAAGCTTCTCGCATCCGGGTTCAATGCCCGCCGCGAGAGATCTCGCTGACAGTAAACTCCCATGGCAGAGAATATCTGGAGTAAAACAGCCCCGACCGCTGGCACTTCATCACAGCCGATCAACACGACCGCAAAAACACAAACTCCGTCATCTCCAGTGGCAGCAGCAGACAAAGCATCTAGCAAGGAACACAAGGGTGAGAGCCGTGGGCGAGAGAACTTGAAACCCCCTTCTAGACCTCGACATGAGGAGCGTGATGTCAGCCCTGGGACAATGCCTGACGGCAGCCATGCGACGACCAGTGGGGATCGCGGTGAGAGTTATGAGCCAGGGAAGCTGAGCAGGCTGAAGGGTGTCTTCTCCATGGGAAAGCACTGAACCTGGAAGATGCCTCCCAGAAATACTTTGTAGGCCACAATTTGGTGGGATTGCATCTTGCCTGAGGGAACAGTGGCATCAAGAAGTCTACAAAATTTGATGACCGCTGATGATGGATATATTCTGGTTTGAAGAGATGGATTCTTTCCGCGAGATTTACTTGTATGCAAGACAAAATATAGTCTTGTGATTTTCTGCACGCCTACTTTGGCATCTGGCTACCGACCTGGGGTGTTCCATGTCAATACATTCTTCCAAAGAACGAAGTACCTAGCTAGCTGGAGTGTGCAAGGCTCGCTGCGACCCCTACGGTATCTAGATTAATAACTAGATACGCAGGAGGTACCTGAATTGCAAATTCACTATGACGTGATTGCACAATAGCCACGATGCAAAAGGAGACTTCTCTGGATCCATGTATATTCGCCTAACTCTCGAATTTAAACAAATGTAATCATTCATTATTACGTGATCCTCTCTGATTAGAAACTCAAGAGAGGGTTTTGTCGCGTATATGTATCACCTGAAGTGAGGGAAGCCCTTGTCGGTGTGTCACAATCCTCCACTCACTTCCCCTCAATTATCCGATCAACTTCGAGTTTCCCGACCAACTTTCGAATTTATCCATGACTTCCCAACTTAGTCAAATAACTACCTAGGTACCTACTCTCTTGGACAGTCTTTCCACGCACACCTCGTGTAAGACCGATAGCCTTTAAATCCTTCAACCTTGAACACCTTCGACTCGTCAAGGCGTCTATTATCAAGCGGTTATAACCCGTCGACTACAATCACTGTTCTTCCCATTCTCCTTGATAATTTGTAATATCTCCCCACTATTTCCCCACAATCATCATGGCAACAGAACTGTCCAAGATCGAGGCTGGAAACCTCTTTAGGGTCGATGGATTGATTGCAGTAATTACCGGCGGTGGCTCTGGTAAGCTTGACCTGGACTCGAATACGAATTTGATGAACGAACGACTCACTGCAATTAGGTCTTGGGAGAATGATGGCACGAGCTCTAGCGATCAACGGGGCAGCTAAGGTGTTCGTTGTTGGTAGGCGTGAGGACAGTCTTAAAGAAACGGCCTCGTCGGTCCCAACCAACAATATCATCCCTGTGGTTGGTGACGTTACTTCAAAAGAATCACTGCAGAAGGTTGTGGACAGAGTAAGACAAGAGGTGGATTCTGTGGACGTCCTGGTGGCCAATTCTGGAATCTCTGGCCCCTCTGTCCCAATCTTCGACGCCCAACGACAACCTCTTCCGCTTGAAGAGGTGGCAAAGAACATGTGGGCTCCAGAACCCGAAGAGATCACATCGACATACGCGGTCAACTTGACCGGCATCCATTACACAGTTGCAGCATTTCTTCCTTTGCTCAACGAGGCCAACAAGAAAAGACCCAGCCCGCCAACCGCTGACAATTTCCGACCACGGCCGCAGATCATCACAACTGGTTCTATCGGAGGTTACAGTCGTGTCCCTCTGGGAAATCTATCATATGGGCCTTCCAAGAGTGCCGTCATTCACTTTACAAAGCAACTGGCATCGTCTCTCGTCCCTTATGACATCAGGGCCAATATCATTGCACCAGGCTTGTATTTCTCAGAAATGACTGAGGATATGTACAAAGCCCAAGGCAAGGTCGATATACACAACATCGAAGGTGCATGGGATAAGAAATTGATCCCCGCAACCAGGACTGGGGACGAACAAGATATGGCTGGTGTCATCTTGTGGCTTACTTCAAGAGCTGGAGCATATCTCAATGGGTCGGTTGTGGTCACTGACGGCGGCCGCTTGGGCGTTCTTCCTTCTACATACTGAGCTGTTTGGTGTAAGGAGAAGTGTTGGGTTAGATGGAGAAATTTCTACAAACGTAGTATGAAGCAACATAGAAATTCAAGAAGTTATAGAGAAAACACAACGATGATACTACACCTATCTCTGATCTTGTCAAGCGGCTGAAGTATGCCAAACTACAGTGTTAAGTATGACGACAATACTTCTTAGCATGTGCCTGCACTTTCATCCTATTTCTGGCCAGTGACGAGGCACGCGAGGCTGTCCAAGAGTGCAAAGTGATGTCTAGTATGTAACCCTCTTATCATTCGTTGTTTAAATTATTGGCAGTCTTCATGACGGTGCCTCCGTTTGGCCTTGTTTGTCTTGTGTGTTGACCAGTTCGTGGTTGTGCCACTACGGAAGCTGCCATGTCGTTGAGATCCGGGCGCGGCACCTTTCCCCCCTTTCCAGGGTCGCAATATGCAGGAACAGTATCCGAATGATGCCACTTGAGCAATCGCCTGTACGGGCCACTCACCGCCCTGTAAGTAGCAGTTTTGATTGGCTACCTGTCTTGCCGCTTAATTGCCCCTAATCTTGTAGTGGGATAAATCGGGCTTTTTAGTCATGTTAGCTTTGGTGGCCTCCCATGGCAGGACCCTCGGACCCTCAAAGCCTCCCGGTTCAACAGAATTCAAGATTCCAATGAACAATTTTCTTGGGCTAGTCGCCTTTTGCCGTCATGGTTTCTTTGCGATCAACACGGAGGCCATATCTTCTTCATAGATTAATTATCCCCTCGTTGTCACTTCTACCTTCATACATTCCTCTCCTCGTTGATATAATCCTATCCTTCACCCTCCAAAACAGCAACTCTTGTTGGTGGCCAACACTCGTCAACAGAAATCTCCTTCAAACCGCTCCCCACTAGTCGACCGCTCGTTTGTTCCTCCTCCGACTCCACCCTGATACTCGCTCCCTAGACACCATCCTACTCGCTCCTAAAACCCCCTCACCGCCTGCTATCACTTGTTGAGCACTGAAGGCGTTTGTTTTCAAGCGGACATAAAATCTACCTTTTCATTCAACCACTCTAGATCATCGGATTGCACAAAAATCAAGATGACTTCCAGGCCACACAATATCGGCATCAAGGCCATCGAAATCTACTTTCCCAGCCAGGTATGCTCCGCAATCGGACGAGATCTTTGGCCTGGGGACTGTGACTGATTCATGATAGTGCGTCGATCAAGCAGATCTGGAAAAGTTCGATGGCGTCTCGACAGGCAAATACACCATTGGTCTGGGACAAACCCGGATGTCTTTCTGCGACGACCGAGAGGGTATGGCGAATCCATGAATCCCTAAAAGCACCGAGTTGTACTAACACCTCAACCAGACATTTACTCGATCGCCATGACCACCCTGTCCAGCCTAATCTCCAAGTACTCGATCGACCTGAAAAACGTCGGCAGACTCGAGGTTGGCACAGAAACCATGTTGGACAAGAGCAAGAGTGTCAAATCAGTTCTGATGCAACTTTTCGAAGAGTCTGGAAATTTCAATGTGGAAGGTGTTGATTCGTACAATGCATGCTAGTAAGTTGCAAGATGCGCCACCAGGTCATGGGGAAGTGTCAAAACTGACAGGTGCATCAGCGGTGGCACCAATGCTGTCTTCAACTCGGTCAACTGGATCGAATCATCTGCGTGGGATGGCCGTGATGCCATCGTGGTCGCCGGTGACATTGCTTTATACAAGAAAGGCAACGCCCGCCCAACTGGTGGCGCAGGAGCCGTCGCAATGTTGATTGGTCCCGATGCCCCCATCGCCTTTGAAGCTGGCCTTCGAGGATCTTACATCACCCACGCCTACGACTTTTACAAGCCAGATTTGACAAGCGAATATCCCTATGTCGATGGACACTTTTCGCTCAAGTGCTACACCGAGGCGGTCGACGCGTGCTACAAGGCTTACAATGCTCGCGAGCAGGCCCTGAAATCAAAAACCAATGGCCATGTCAACGGAAACGGAGTTCATGCTGAAGAAGCCGACAAAGCTCCCCTGGACAGGTTCGACTACATGGCGTTCCATGCTCCTACCTGCAAGCTGGTGTCCAAGTCATATGCTCGACTTTTGTACAACGACTTTTTGCAAGACCCTAGCCACCCACAATTCAAGGAGGTCGCTGCCGAATTACGTGATCTGGACTACCAAGCCTCGCTGACCGACAAGAACGTCGAAAAGACATTTATGGCTTTGACAAAGAAGCGCTTTGTCGAACGAGTACAGCCTGCAATCCAGGTCGCCACCATGTGTGGAAACATGTATTGCGGAAGCGTCTACGGCGGACTCGTTGGTTTGATCAGCAACGTGGCACCAAAGCAGCTGCTGGGCAAGAGACTCGGTATCTTCAGCTATGGCAGCGGCCTTGCTAGCTCCATGTTCAGTTTCAAGGTCGTTGGAGACACCAGCGAGTTTGTCGAAAAATTGAACCTGCAAGAAAGACTCGACAACCGCCGTGTTGTTGCACCAGCGGTCTACGACGAGCTGTGCATGCTCCGTGAGAAGGCTCACCTGAAGAAAGATTTCAAGCCAGCCGGTCAGGTCGAAGACCTTGTAGCAGGCACGTACTACTTGACCGAAGTTGATGACATGTTCAGACGCAAGTACGCCATCAAGGCCTGATTTGTCCGCCCAGGAAGTTGAAACATTCCATGAACTCATGGCGCCGCACTCGCGTCATATTCAGCATCCTTTAGCAGCAACTGATGGAAACCTTCGATAAACATGGTTCGAAAGATGGAACGGATGTCAATGCCGCTTAGGTTGATTGCGTCTATGTTGCACCAGACCTGACGTTTCAGGTCGATGGCGTTACGCTTGATTGGCCGCACCTCGAAGATGGCCTTTGTGTCTAATGGAGGAAAGCATCGCAGGAGTTGTTTGGGTTTTCAAAGACGATCAGCAAAGCACTCAATACAAGAACTTGTACATATGGGGCACGTGGTCTGCGGCATTAGAAGATGGAGCCCGGCCACCTTAATGGATTACCAGAAATGATAGAATCAACACGCTCTAAAGATTCCCATTGGCTGTGACCAAGAGATACACTCTGATGCACATCTACTGATGCGAGTGTGCGTTAGCCTCAAGGTTGGTGGTCAGCCAGTAGACGACCAGTTTCGGATGTCGAGTCAGAGACCTGAAACATGGATCAAGATACAGACCATTGTGGCCAGTGGCATACAATGTAATGAGAGAAGTCTGCAGAAACCGGTCAACCTAGATATGCAGGAAGGATGCACTGTTAGTAGAATGCAGGAATAAAGAGTCGTGGGAATGTCGTGTTGATGTCGTGTGAGGCTGCAGATCGCTTAGATGCACCTTCCATGCACCAAGATGAGGAACGCGTCAGAGTGGCGGCATGGTCGTGTTTTCGGGGAAGGAACAACGTGTTGCCTTCGCGAAGTGATGCTGGGCGAATCAAGGGATGAGATCTCCTCAAACAGCCACTTGGACAGCCTGGAGAGCTTCTTACACTTGTCCCAGGCCAACTTATTCCTCGACACGAAATCCCATGGCCATCAAATCTGACTGCGCCACCTCTCGGCAGCCAATGGTTGAAGAAGGATGGCATTCTCGGATTACTGAAACGCAGCTGTTCATGGCCAGCGTCTACTTCCAGATCCCATTGTTCGCGGGTTGATGCATCGCGCTTCGCGTTAACCACTGCCTGGCCAGCAAAGCCCAACATGATCTCTCTCTGCTTTTTGCTGAGACAACCGCTACCGCCTGGCCAACTTCAAATCTCGAAATAGTCGACCAAGCGCCGCCACAGGCCGCCTGGTAAGACACCGTCATCAGGTCTCTTTCAACTTGTTACACGTCTGATGGCCGACTTGGAAATTGTCCCGCGGTATCCTGAAGTCTGAGGCTCCGTCCCTCCTTCCCCGAAATAGGTGCAATCTGTTTCCAACATCTGGCGCGCGTCTCTCGCTCTCACCACCACCAGGACCACCACCACCACGACAGCCACGGTCTCTCCAGACCAACTTCGCGCTCCACGCTCCACGCCACGGTAAGTCGGGTACACACATTCGGTATTTTCATCATCGGTCGGTTGTCGGGGCGTGGCTCCGACGTGTTTGTTTCCACATTGCTCGACCTCATCGTGCCCCACGTTTCAAGTGCGATACAACATGCATGGCAATGTTGGTCGTATGCTCTTCTCTGGTCGCATTCGGCCGCAGACCTCCAGAACATTTATACCTGGTTCCCTTGCACCCCTCGTGCTTTCTCAGCCTTTCATTTCTTCAAGTTGCAAGACTCCAAAGTCATCTTTCTCTCTATTGGCATCTTCTCTTTCCTTTGTTCTCAGACATACAGCCCCAATCCAAGAAGCCGGTCTTCTTGCTACGCAACGCTACGCCATCTACATCTATTGACCAATCAAAAGCAACTTATGTGAGTGTTGTTTATGTTGTTGCCTAGGAGTTGTGTCTGACGCAGAACGCGTAGAATGTCATTGGCATCATACTATTATAGAACTATCACTCCTCCAGAGGGCTTCGCTGCTGGTCGGCACGGCCATACTCGGAATTTGTCCACCTCGTCTTACTGCTCGATCGACAATTCACCCGAGTCACTGATCACAACTAATTCAACCCCCAGTCGTTCCCCGGTTCTCCGCCAACATGGTCCGACGTTGCTCCCCAAGATTCGGAGCCAGGACTCTTCCACTGAGCCACGTCTTGCAAAGGGCCCAGCTTCCCACAAGAGGGGGCTCTCCTCTAGTGGCGCCCATCAGTCACGACCAACCGCGTTCCGTAGCGCCACTGAGCCTATCGAGTGTTTTTCGATGGCATCTCCAGTATCAAACACCGCTTACTCGCGTTCAAACTCGTTGATCCCATCGCCCACCATGGCTTCGGCCCAACTGCGTGTTCCTTCTAACCAACACTCCCGGTCCACATCGGTGTCAAGCGTTGATAGCAATGTCCTCAATCGGTTTGGCTACCCAACCTATCGCAAACTCCCAGTCTATATCTCGCATGGCCAACAAACCCCATCCCCTGATCTGTTTGCGACGACCTGCATGTCCTACCAGAACATGCCTCTTCTCGATCCACCTATGATCAACCTCGAGGGCACTTTCGACATGCCAATCGACCTAGAGTCCATGTCTCGAAATTGCTCAGCGAGCCCTCCCCCGAGGGTCGTCCACGTGCCGACCACCAGTCTATTGACATATCTGACCCAGCCCACACAGCCTATCAATCTGGTGCGTCACCTCACCTTCCAACAAGGTCGTGGCCTAAGCAACCACTTTTGGTGGGATGTTCGCAATGTGCGACCATGGAGCTCGTTCTCACTGTCCACAATGAGTGCGATCCCAGATCTGCTCACCCTGCTGAACTTTCAGCACGAGACCCCATCCCTTCCTTGCGTCCCCGGCAATTCTACGACAGCAACACCTGGCTCTGAGGTCGATCTTGCCAACCTAGTGTCCAAGATTTACTTCCCCAAGATCAACGCTGCCACAAGATTGTCCTTGGGCAAGAATGCCATCTCGTTGTACATGGCCCCGACTCCGACAGGATCTGGGCTGAGTTCAAATTCATCAAACATCCCCACATTCCTCGCCAATTATACTAGTGACAATGACCGTACTTTGTCTGGCCTTCCCAGAGGTCGTGTCGTCGGTATTGTCAGATCTTTCGATCGCTGGAACACGGGCATGAGGCGTGAGGGGCCCGCGCGCAAGGTAGAATATCTTCGGACGCTGGCACATCTGCAGAAATGCATGCGCGATCACAGCTGCCGGTATGGATTCATCATTACTGAGATTGAACTTGTGTGCGTCCGGGCTGGTTGTGACGAGCGAGGCAACCCTTATTTTGGTTTTGTCGAAGTTTCTGAGGCTGTTGAGACCAAGACTTTTGCTCGAAACGACGACATGACCATTGCAAGGACAGGTGGCTCAGTCCAGATGACCGTCACTTTGGCACTCTACTATCTTCTGATGCTGGCAAAGTCTACTCCGCTACCTGGTCAACCTTCGAGTTTCATGGACGTAGGTGGTTCAGGAGCGATGACGAGATCCAGGGTCTGGCCAGGTAGGACCAGTGTGATTGACTTGAGTCTCGATGAAGATGGCGACGTCGAGGAACTAGGCAAGGATGGAAAGGACAAATGGATCCCTGAGCCGCAAATGGGCGAGAAGCGCGAGGCTAGAACCGTCCGTGGATGGGTATGGCCAAGTGACCCATGGCATAAAAGGGAGGGCGAAAGAGGAGAACGTGCGGCTGGTGCTCGGGGAGGTAGGCGAGGTTGATGTTCTGGAGCCGAGGGCAAGGAACAGGTAGAATTTGCGCCATGACGCCGTCCTGGAGATGTGCTCATTATTACGCAAGAAGATATGACATTTAGGCTACAGGTCAAAACAGAAAATGGTAATATTGATATGACATTGGTTTGTTATAAAAGAAAACAACTCTGTTCAGCAGCCCGGACAATACACGTAGATGGGGAGAACCTAGATTGACAATCGGTCAGCATGATTTGATCCAAGAAAACATCTGGTTATCTAAATCAAGATTGAAAGAGCTCCTCATACTGTTGAGCTTGAAAATTTTTATACTCAGCGACGGAGGAGTTTGACAGCTCCAGGTTCCGCCTCATCAGTTATCGTTTGTATGGAAAAATCCTCGGACGCGAAAACATTTTGCTGGTTTGTAGGGAGTTGAGGGAAGGGAGGTTGCTTACTCTTTGAAAGGACCTGGAAGTGCATATGTTATCCAGAAATGAGCATGCATCCAGGAGGAGAGCTCGAACGGAGGTGGTTGAACAAAGAGGAACAACAGTCCAAGAAATGTATCATCGACGAAAATGAGGACGAAGATGAAAGTGAAACATAGTGGTAAATAGCTTGGCAGTCATCAGCACACGTGACTGGACAATTAGTGGATTTGGGCGCAGGTTGTTTGTGTAGCCATCGGGCGGTGATGATTCAACTGCACCACTGCCCCTCCAAACTTGCGTCTCTTTTGCGACCTATCTACCAGGACGAGGGGAAAAAGTTGCCGCACCGTTTCATTCTCGCTGTTCCGACATACGAATCTTTCTCATTGACGTTCTCGCGTGGTTTGCGACCTAAAGTGCTCATCCCTCCAAACAGGCGAGAACGCACGCAGCGACTCGATCAAGATGGGAGGTGGGTGTTGATCCCCAGCAGACGCAGACACACCCGTTGCCTACACAGGGCTGAGCGTCCGTCTACAACAAAATTGGAAATACATGGCTGACACAAGTTTGAACAGACTTTCAAAGCATCGCTCGTATGTTTCCGGACCCCTGGCAAATCGACATGACCGACTGACTGACACACGCGGGTCAGAACAATTCGTTGATTTCTACTACAAGACCTTCGATTCCGATCGGACTCAATTGGCTGCTCTTTACGTATGAGTTAATGTTGCAAAACAAGGAGATATTGATCGCTGATCGACAAACCACAGAGACCTAACTCGATGTTGACCTTTGAGAAAGAGCCATTTATGGGAACAGAAAACGTCTTGGAGAAGCTCACTGTGCGTCGCGACACAGCACATGTTTTTTGTACCTGGAGATGGGCAGGGCTGATGACAGGAACAGGGTCTTCCCTTTCAGAAAGTGCAGCACCGAGTCGACACAGTCGACGCGCAGCCATCGAATGAATCCGGCGGCATCTTGGTGTTGGTGACTGGAGCATTAATGGTCAGTATAGGATTAGATCTACACCACTGCATTTGACTCGGTGGGCCATGGAAGGACGAATACTAATAACGGATGTTGCACGCAGGTCGACGATCAGCAACAGCCGATGAGCTACGTTCAGACATTCAATCTGCTCCAAGACTCTGGAAGTTACTATGTTCAGAACGATGTCTTTAGATGTATGGCCACTCTATCTCCCTGACCTTGAGTTTTGACTAATCACATGCAATAGTGGTCTATGCAGCAGGCTAGATTATCTTCAAGACTGGCAGCTATCTGGGCAGTGGAGCTAGGAGGCTATGGCAAGATCGCATAGCCCAGGTGATGAGTGCATAGCTGAAGGTGCAAATTTCCAAATCATGCAATGCCCGTCAATGGCAGTGAGCAATGATGAGGCGATGTTGAAGGGCTACCAGCCACGACAAGCACGCCGAATGAGCCCAAGACCGGAGAGAGAGAAATGATCAATGACATAACAAATACTGTTTGTTGTAGAAGAAATTGTTGCCTATAGTAAGCCGGAGGAGAGGGACGGCGTGGCTGATTGCATACTATCTGCTTACCCACCTGAAGTCCTTTCCACTGTACATAAGGTACGCAAGCATTACCACTTTCAGCTCCAGGCTCCTAGGTATCTCTGCCTGCCAATCCCCCAATCAGGTTGAGATCATAGATCTTCGAAATGCGTGCAATAAGGTTTGTTCTCACGAGGCCGTAGAAATGGGCGGTGCCTAAAAATTTTCGACTCACCGAGTGGTATGATATGATGGGTGGATGGGTAACCAAAATGTTAATGGCCGAGCGCATCAGCGAGAAAGCTCGCGTAGGAACAGGAACGCGTGGCGTGGCACGGATGGGAAAGCAACTTCTGCGCCATAGAATGACATAATGGGGACACCCAAGTGACTAGGCTGCTATTATTCTTTCATTTGTTCATAAAGTGGAATTCTGCCTGGAGGAGGTTCGTTGGGTCTAGAGTCTGAAGTGAAGCAATTTGCTGTCTTTATATGCAAGATGAATTTATATGATCCCACTTCGGACTTTTATTGCGCATCCATCCCAAAAGGAATCAACAGTCTTTAAGTTAGCCCTGACAAGTTTTTAATAGGCACTAAGGAAGCATTGGGCGACGCCGATATTAGAGCCCCGAATCCCAAAAGACCCTTAGAAACCCTTTACGGACCCCTGTTGGGGAACCCAGAGTTCCAACTAAGGTTAGGCCGAACACCTTTTTTATTAACAGAGTGTGTCCACTTGTGCCTGTACGTTCTTGCACTACGCCGCCAGCCAACAAGAGAAAGGAAAGCAGAGCGAGGGATCATCTGCCACTTGCACTGTCTAGTCTGTCAGAACCATCTCAGGCCAAACCTGTCATCAACGACTTCTTTGATTAAGACCACTCACTACACCTTCACCCCTTATTATTCAAAAACCAAACGACTCAAAACACGACATAGTCTACCTAGTCATTCGATTCATCGCCTGAACTCCGGCTTCTTAGTCTTCAATACCATCGCACGTACCTGTACCTCATACCGCGTTGTATCCATTCCGGCGCAGTTTAAACAACACCCCAACTTGGGCGTCCCAAACATCTGTCCTTTTCCACCACCTCCACCTCCACCACCCTCCTGCTCAGCGTTGGAAACGACGCGACAACTTCAAAAATGACGATTGCCGATGAATTCAGACAGCGCAATTTCAGTAAGTTCTTAACTTCGGAGCTTTCCTTGATATCTGGAATCTGACCGTTGTTGCAGGTATCTACGGGCAATGGTAAGCACCCATCAACATTCCGTCGTCAACCCAACCGTCCTCGACCTATGTCCTTGGCCTTGCAGTTCGCCAATTCCGCTTGCCCAAACGAACAGGGTCCCGATCTCTCTTGTAGAGATTACAGATCAACGTCAACCACCAACCTTTCACGCACTCGCGAACCAGAACAGATAACTAACGTTGCTCAATAGGCTCGGAGTGCTCTGCATTATCCTAGGAATCGCTTTAGGCATTGCCAACATCTTCCATTTCAACCTGTTGATTCTGTTTAGCGTCATCCTACTGTTGGTGTCTCCCCATCCCCGTCCAGCCAGATAAGCTGACAGCTACGTCAAGTGTGTCGTCCTTTGTCTTGATATTCATCGAGATTCCACTCCTCCTCCGAATATGCCCTACGTCGTCCAAGTTTGATGCGTTTATTCGCCGCTTCACCACAAACTACATGAGAGCGGCAATCTACGGTATTATGGCTGTGGTCCAATACTTGAGCATCATTGTCGACACCAGCAGTTTGATCGCCGCAGCCGTTGTCCTGACACTGGCTGCAGCTTGCTATGCCTTGGCCGGATTGAAGCAGCAAGACTTTGTCGGAAGCAAAACACTAGGTGGACAAGGTGTTGCACAGATGATTGTGTAAAGTTTGATATCCCCCTCTGCGACAGCCAGCACCGAACCTTGCAACCCGGGGGACAAAAAATCCCAGCCAAGAAGGTGTTTCGCTTGGGACATCAGATCCCTCGACTGAGTTGCCCCCCGCGCTGGGCCTGAGCTGGAGTTATGATGTTACCAATACCAAGGCGTTTTAAGGAAAGAAAAGTAACGAGGAGAAGAACTGTCTGGGGATGCGATGGCCGAAAGGACACAAAACTTTTGTATGCCTGTCTGTGACATGTGATCATGGTCATGAGACCGGCGACATTGAATGAGATTCTACGCTAGCAGCAGGACGAACCATGATATAATTGATCATGGATGTGGTCTCTTCAAGGGGCTCATTGAGAGAAAAACTATTTCCAAGCTTATTAGTACTGTGTTCTCACTACCAACATGAGACAAAGCACGACATGTAATTATTGTATCAAGGGAAGTGCAAGATTTTGGAGTATGACGTATATGTTAGTAGAGCTGTGAAGACATGTCGAGCGAAGCCCAGGGCAAGTAGTAGGAGTATTGAAAGCCTGTCTAAAACAATCGTTGCGAGAACAGACGGTCCGTCATCTCTCAGATTTAAGACGGAGGGCATTCTGGATGTGGCAGACATCGATGTGAGCCTTGGTTGTGTCAGCACAAGATTGAGACCGCGTCCCCATCTTGCCTGGTTCCTCCGATGAGTAAAATGGGTAAGGTATCAAGATGACGGAGTTTATCTGTCAAGGTGTAAGAGAATCGAGGTGTCTTCAACGCGAGAACGAGCACAGAGCTCGGTGGCATGAGAAATTGACAAGAAGAACAGCCCCGGGGCGGAACTTTCAACTTAGGCGCTGTTCTGAAGCCTGGAGGCGATTATTTCCAGCATCTTGGTGCCTATTTCTGACCGTGGAGATGACTGATCTGACAAGAAATCATCGCGGAGCTATTAGAGCTACTTTTGTTGATATCGTGGAAAGTGCCTTTATAACAAAATAGTCTCAGCCTCGAAGGATGAGATGCGATGCATGTGCTCTCAGGCTGGCCAGACCTCTGAGAAGGTTTCTGAGGCTTCTTGGCTACTAGAATCTGGGGTGAGATGGTCTAGCCCAGTTCCACAGTCCAGAGAGGGCCGAGGGGCATGCTTGCCAAGGCCGACTGCAATTCTACTGCCATTTACTCGAGATTTGATGAGACTCAATGCTGACAGACAAGAGAGGTAGAGAGTGTGTGCGCCCGAAACATGAACGGACAACGACAGGTCTATTTGGGTACAGCATGATGGAATCTGTGGTCGTGGTTTGCCACTATTGTGGCTGATCACAGTGATCATCCAAAACCTGGTTAAGCGCTCACGGCGTAAGGACACATTCTCTTGGATCATCACCGTATGTATCGTACGAGTAGGCACACTGGCACTAACTTGGCACCAGAGGATTATGCTGAAAAGGGCTGAGGTGGAGGGTAGACAGGACAAGCTACAAGCCATAGGCTCTTGGTTAGCCTACAGCAGTCTCGTCCCTAGCCCATGAGTACCTTAGGTAGCGTGAGTAGGTACTTTGCGAATGGTACAGGGTCTGTGTTCCAAGTCATGCTGACATGCAGCACAAGGACGTGGTCAGTTGTTCCATCTCCTTATGGGCAGAGGTTGTTCATGGCAGGAACCATTGGTTCAGACTCGGGAAAGAACATACCCAAGGTAAGGTAGGAGGTGTGCTCCTTGAACGCTGTAATAACAAAATAAATAAAGACCATAATAAGATGAAAACTTGCTCCTCTTCTTCCTTCACGCCTGATCCTGGTCGAGTAACAAGGCTGTTTCATGGGCCTCAGCTCCCCTCGATGCTCACTCTCCTCTCATTTCTTACCTACTCCGTAGGCCCTAACCTCCATTCCTTCTTTCGGCGTTGCTTCGACGCCATGTCAGCCCCCAAACGCTTATCTGCTCCCGTCCATCTCTCGCCGAATATTGTCCACTCACCAGTCAATATCCGCAGTCGCTCGCCGCCACTAATAATAATCCTCCCCGCTCTACCCTAGCTGGAAGTCTCGTTGATGCGGCTGATGAGCCACTGTCCTAAGAATGACATCCCTGTTGCCCTTCCACCTCTTACACTCGCTCCAGCCTCATCCAGAGCCAGAGCTACGGTGGCCTAAATCCAGGGCTGCAAAATGGCTAGTTTCGAATCTGGTACTCCGTAGTCCTTTGTCTGTGTTGCCAACGTCCATCATCACCTCATCTCCATCAACGATTCCCACCCATGTCAACATGAAATAACCTCTCCGCCAAAGCCATGTCGTTGTCTGTAGTCAACATATCATGAACGACAAAGAAACCAGTGTCTACCTGGACGTACCTGTGACAGAGTCAGAGCGGACCCGAGCTAGACAACAGGAACAAATCCGTCAGCGCCTCGAACTTGACAACGCCGACGCTTCTGATCGCCTCCTACCAGAACCACGATACATAGATGATTCTTCGTCTTCCGCCAACAATGTCCCTCTCAGATTTCCTTCAATTCATACCGCATCCGAAGTAAGGCAGCAGTCACCGTCCATTCAACCACCCAGACCAATTCAGCCCGCCCCCTGTCCCGTACACGGTCACCAGCGTTCATCGATTCCTCCAATTTACGAGGAAGATGAACCAGAGGCCACTACTCTTCGAGATCTGCCCAGTCGCTTCAGCAACGACGACGAAGGACTTCTCCTGCCCGCCGCTGGCCCTGTGCCTCCATTATGGAGCCCCATTTGGTTACGAAAATGGTTTCTCGCCATCTTTAGTCTAGTCTTCACCCTCTTCTTCATCGCCCTCATTCTGCTCTGGTATTACGATCGAGAAAACGATGGCTTTGCCGTCACAGAGGGAACCAGTCACTATGCATGGGCCTATGCCCCCACCGTCATTGTCGTGTTTGTCGTCGCTGCTTGGAGAATGGTCGATCATCATGCCAAGTTGGCCATGCCTTTTGATGCCCTTCAAGATGGCCCCGTCAAAGCCTCCGAAAGTCTACTCGTCGACTACATCTCATCCTTTCAACTGGTTTCATTGGTCCAAGCCGCAAGAAATGCTCATCTGGCAGTCATCACCTCTGTCACCGGTTTTGTCTTACTAAAAATAATCACCGTCTTTTCAACCGGCTTGCTTGTTCTCCTCCCCACCGCCATGAGGCTTTCCGATGTCACAATCAATACCTTACCGTTCGATGCCGCATCGTTCGACCCGGCCGTCGATCTGGATCCTGCAACCTTTTCATCTTTTCCCGTGTATGCTTATTATGGGACTTTAGTACAAGGAGTCCCCCTGGACAATGGTCTTACTCTCGATCTTGCCTACAGCACTGTTACTTTGGATACCGAGTCTCCTCTGCCAGATGGTGCCACCATAGAAGCCAAGGTTGATGCCTTTGTGCCCACTTTTGAATGCAAAGAGTTAGATCTCACGGTCGATAGCCCCAGGGTCGTTGATGATTCAAATGCTGCGGAAGCCTTGGCGGATTCTGCCAATATCTCTCTAACAATCAAGGCTGGTGACGCTTGCAGTGGCGCTTCAAGCGTCCAAGTTCCAGCCGACGACCCTTATACCGAAATTACCCCCGATCGCCAAGTTCTAGGAACTCTTCAGGAGATATATTGCGGATCGCCAAATGCGTCTGAATCTGACTCTGCCGGGCCTGTGGGTATCTTGTTCACAGCCACCGATATTACCTACCAGCAATCTCTCTTTGACAACGCAACGGATCTCGCAGGAGGTACATTCACAATTGCCGGCAATGTTTCGAGGACCCTCAATACCATCACCAACATCTTCTGCACAGCCTCTTACACCATTACCCAAGTCAAGATTACCCACGACACCCGACTGGCGGACAGCAGTCAAGCCATCACGATTGAATCCGTCGGCGATGCAAGCAACACTACACTGCCTAAGCTATCGGATTGGAATTTGACCAGTATCTACACTCGATCTTCCGTTGCAGCCCAGGCACTCTTTGGCGACACTATCAACCAAGATACCATCTCGGATTCTAGTGCCATGTTCCAATTGATGGCTCTGGCCCAGGGTAGTGACAATATTGATGTGTTGTTGAATCCGGCTCAATTGATGACGGCCGCTGAGCAAACATACAAGGGGATCATCTCCCAATACGCGCACCAGAATTTGAGGGCAACTAGCACTTCTCCCGCAGAGGATGATAAAGTGTCCGTGAATACACCTAGATTACGCGTCAATGACGTTTCGGTCTGGACGATGGGACCACTCTCTGCTGTGTTGGCATTACTGGCGATTACGCTCATCTTCATCGCTCCTCGGCACGTCGTTCCACGAGATCCAAGCTCCATTGCAAGTATTGCGACCATTCTCAGCAGAAGCGTCGAGTTAAACCGCATTCTGAGAAGGAGAGGACCTCCTAATCTTAAGAACCAAAAGCTCGCCCTATCTGGCTATGAATTTGGATCAGCTATCGCGACCTCGGACTCGGGCAGGGCGAGCTACAAAATCGTGACCTCTGAAGGAGTTTCCGACGAGCCCGACAGTCCTTCTGAACCATTGAAGTGGTGGCTTCCAGTTTCAGCCACCATCCCATTCTTGGTCATAACCCTGATCATCCCGGTGGTCCTTGTGATCGTGTTGGAAGTTCTTCAACGCTCGTCCAACAAGAACAATGGTCTATTCTCGGTTGCCGATGACAAGTGGACAGAGGTTTACAGCCATTACATTCCGAGTCTGGTCATGTTGATCATGGCATCGCTCATCAACATGCTCGACTTTAACGTGGCTTTGTTCGCTCCTTGGAGTAATCTTGCGAGGGGGAATGCTATCAGCAAACGGTCTGTTCTCAACAATCTTCTTGGTCGATCGCCTCCCGCGGCGTTTCTCCAGGCCTTCAAGACTCGAAACTTTGGCGCTGTCATGAGTATATTGGCCGCAACTTTGGCTTCGATCTTGGCAGTGATCGCATCTGGGCTCTACACCGTTGAGCACTTTACTGAAGACGGGCCAAGTTTGACTTTGAGAGTGACCGACAGCTTTGGCCTCACTTGGGACGACAGTTTCACCACAGATAAAGGGGCAGCTGCCATGGTGGATATGATCATGCACAAAAACATGCAATACCCTCACTTCACTTATGAAGGCCTTGCCCTTCCCAGCCTCTTGCTCGATAACTCTGAAATAGGCACCAACTTTCAAGATGTCATTGGTGGATCCTACAGCGAAAAGTTAGAAGTACTTCGTGGCAACTTGAGATGCGAAATCCTGGATGAGGATTCTTTCGACCTGTCCACGGAAGACGCCGCAGATTCAGCATACCCCACGGATATGGCCTTTGTGACTGTCAATGCGCCGCTACCAGAATCATGCCACTTGGGAGGTAGTAGTGGTGACGACTCTGTCGTGACGTATGAGAATAACTTTGCGCTCCTTGCCGATGGACAGGAAACCTTTGCTGGGGCACAACTTGATCTTCTCTTTGGTGAGAATGCCACCATCTATGGAAATTTTGGCGAAGATCGCGGCCAGTACATTGGGGATAACCCGCCCGTCGGCTGTCCGAGCCTTGCGTTCACCTTCGGCAAATTTGAACTAGGAAGCGACGACAAATCCCAAGTGACGACCATGATCTGCTATCAGGAAATCCACAAATTGGAGGCGAATGTAACCATGAAATGGAATAGTACCATGCTTGACCCAGAGCATCCTCCCGTCGTCGACAATGGAAGTGTCGAAGTCATGGAAAATCCTGCCAATTCAAGTGGAGTCGAGTCGTTTGATTTTCGCATTCAAAATAACCTCGCCGAAGAGATGACGTTGTTTAGCGGAGGCAATGGAACCCCAGCATCGAACCCTAGCGCCGTTTCCACAGTCGACATCTACTTCCAGGCGATTATCGATGGCCCCAACGGACATGATCCAGCGAGCCTCGTTGGAAAAGACAATCAGCAAGCGCTCGAGGACGCCATTAATGAGTTTTATCAAATGTACATGGCACAGGTCATCTCTGCCAACATGCGCGTACCGGAGACCAATCAGGGAAGGCGTCTTTCCCGTCGACAGAGCTCCAACACCATCGACGCCACTTCGAGCGTTGTGCATACTCGGCTTGTGCAACACAAACTCAGCAAAATTGTGCTGCAGGTACTCCTATGTGTGATGACCGGCCTGGCCGCGGCATCATGGCTGACCACCAAATTCCGACGTGTCCTTCCTTGCAACCCATGTTCGCTTGCCGGCACAATGTCACTTCTGGCAGGTAGTGACCTTTGCTACGCCGAGGATGAAGGCATATGTGAATGCTGCGGCAAAACCCGCCGACGCAGTTTCGGCCTGGAAGCATCCAGTCGACCTCAGAGTATTCACGTGCGACCTGATGAAGACGTGCTTGAAGAGGAACAGGACGAACGTCAACAATTAATCCCGGCGGGAGCGGAATGGATGCGGCAGGATCAATTCTCCGTCATATTTGGTGGGAAGAGATACAGTACAGGATGGTGGCGCGAGCGGGCGGGAATTGGCAAGAGGAGAAGATTTGGGGTTGATGTTGGCGAGAGGGCCGACGGCGCCGACGATCAAGATTGGGAATTAGGACCACGCAAGCCTGAAGGTTCTGGGTTTGAGGGATTCATGATGAGGGGAGGAGATCGGCAAGGAAGAGGCGAGTATCAAAGTCTGGGCGCACATGGACGAAGACCAAGTGCGACAAGTCCAGATCCTGGGTACATGAGGGATGGAAACTCCGGGTTTGAGACGAATCGGCCACCAATTGGACCTGGTGGCGGAGGCCCCGGACCTGCGACGCTGGCACGGAGAAGTACTTCAATCATGGGAGGAGAAGCGTAGGTGTTTCGCTGCATTGGCCTCGGGCCACTTCGGTTTGTCATCGCTAGCTATATACCACTCTGTTACCAAACAAGTTTGAAATTGTAGACACAGGCAAAATAAGATCATGAGGGAATCGCCCAGACACCTTTTTGAGTCATGACTCCAACATTCATATCCCTCTAAGCCCTTGTGATCAGACCCAGTTGGGTGTTGAGCCGTTGGCCTCGTTGGTATTCGTAATCAATATGTGGCCGCCAGTCTCATGACTAGGTAATCGCCACTGTTGATTGCCTCGTATTTCTTGCCCGTTTCCTCGTAGGTGCCGGGCAAGGCTTCGATGAGGCGATCAAAGTTGGGGTTGCAGAAATAGGCAATACTGTAGCGAGCCGGGGAGACGGCGTCTGGGTCTGAGTCCTCGACGTCTTCAGGCTTGGGTGGAGGCTGGATGACACGGTGGTTGGTGCTGCGGATAGTGTCGTTGCTCCAGCGGCTGAGTAGGTCACCGGCATTGACGACAATGGTGCCGGGGATTGGGGTAGCGCGGACCCAAGTGCCCTTGGGCGACTTGACCTCCAGGCCGCCAACAGAGTCCTGGAAGAGTAGGGTGATGCTGCCGTAGTCCGAGTGCTCGCCAGCTCGCACCTGACCGGGGTTCTGCTTCCAGATGCTCTTCTTGACTGGTGGGTAGTGCAGCAGCCGTAATGTGTTGTCACCGTCATCCGAGAAGGAGTCGAAGAAATACTCGTCAAGGCCCATGCCCAACGCGATAGCCCGCATCACGTTCATGTTCAGGCCCTGCAGCGTCTGGAAGAACTTTTGCATGTCTTGCCGGAACACGCTGCCAGACTTGTCGGTGGCATCGTCGAATCGGTCAGGCCACTGGTTTGGAAATCCTTTGACGCCCTCACGTCCAATCTCCAGTGACTCCTTGAGATCCGGGTTGGAGGCTCTCAGGCGCGCAATCTCCTCTGGATCGCTTGACTGGGTCACCTTTTCTCGACCTGAAGCGACGTAGCCACGATTGGCATCGGGGGTCGTCCAGCCCAAGGCGTCCTTCTGCTCCTGCGACCGTGCGAAGAATTTGGCTGACTCGGAGAAGGCGTGGGCCACTTCTTCTGTGGTCACCCCATGGTTCTGCAGGTAGAGAAAGCCTGAGGTCTTGAAGGCATGCAGGATTTGGTTGGCAACGGTTCTTTTGGTCTCCGCATTACCGTGTAGATATGCGCCAAAGTCGATGAGAGGTATCACCAAGTCATCTTGCTCAACCCCGGTCTGAGCGGTTGGCCCTTGGAGGGATCCCATCTCTTCTATCTGTCCTGAATCTGGAAGTAGTGTTGAGGGGGGGCAGTATGTGTGCGCAGCCTAGGTTTCGTCGTTGTTAGAGCCTGTGACAGAACCTTGGATGTTCAAGAGGCGAATTCAGGTAGATAGGTAGATCACAACTGAAGCCAAAAGGAGTGAATTTGTACGACAGAGGCGACCTGATGTTGAAGTATATCAATGATCAGAGGGTTCAAAGTCAGGTGGGGACAGGATCTTAGAAACTATTGCTCCAGGTATTAGCATTAATATTACTGGTATTGTCAGGTGAGGTGGGTTACTGTACGATGGAAGCGATCGATGGTGGTCCATGTACGAACGAGTGCCACCTTGAACTGTTTGGATTCTCTGTACGGCACTTGGGAATGGTACAGCGGGTCGACGATAAGGATGAGAATTGACGAATTGAGGGGAATTTGAAGCCTGCATGAGATTCATTCATAGGGCGATACGGGCAACTACGATCTATGGCGGGGCAGATGGAACCACGATAGCGCCTGCCATGTTGTGCCTGACTTTGATAAATTGATAATGGCAAGTGCAATTGAGTAGGAGCGGAGGTGACCGCTCTTTGGACCTGAGAGGAAGGAGTAGGGAGCCCGAGGGGCCCCTCGGCCTTAAAGCAAACACCCCCTCGGCCCTGGAGATGCAGCCTCCAAAGTACCAAAGTACCAAAGTACCAAGGAAGACCAAGGACAAGTCCACTCAACAGAGGCACTCATCAAGTACCCATCTAACGGGACAGGGTTGCATTTGTTCTCTCATTACTTCTGTGGGGGGACCACCTGGGCACCCAAAGATCATGATTAGATAGATACCTATCGTACCACACACACACTATGTGCCACCTGTTATCCGATAGCAAAAAACCAGATTCTATCAGTACACAATCACAGAGATAGTCAACAGATCTGGCCACTATCACTTATCGGAAATCTCATATCAAAGCACTTTTCATCTTCAATATAAACAAAACTTGACCCCGTGCTCCCCGCAAACTGCCTGTGGCGCCACCACAAGAACCAAGCATTCTAGTACGAGTACATCCTTCCTTTCCCATTCCAACTTCCATACCACACGTGAGTTGGCCTGTCGAAGTCCACGTCCCACGTCCATCCACGTGTCAACCACCAGCAACATGTCGTCGACTTCAACCTCACCCATCGTCGACATCCATACTCACATGTACCCTCCAAGCTACATCTCACTTCTATCGAAAAGAACCACCGTGCCATACATCTATCAACCATCCGACCCCACTGCCGACCCCCGCTTGATCATCCTAGAATCTGACGATGATCCCTCGAAACCCAAAGAGTCACGTGGTCGCCCTGTCGACAGCACATACTCATCCTTTGACAAGAAGCGGGAGTTCATGTCGATCCATGGCATCTCATGTAGTGTCATCTCACTAGCCAACCCATGGCTTGATTTCTTGGATCCAGAGATTGCTCTGTCCACTGCGGTCGCTATCAACGACGACCTGGAAAACGAGTGCGCGAAGAACAACTCATCTTCAGAGCACCAGGGATTGAAGCTCTACGCCTTTGGTACTTTGCCGCTGTCGGCCCCGGCAAAGGATATCGTCTCCGAGATTCATCGTCTCAAGTTCCTTCCTCACATGAAGGGAGTCATCATGGGCACCACGGGCTTGGGTCAAGGTCTTGATGATCCCGCCCTCAACGATGTCTATGCCGCCCTGGCTTCCACGGGGACAATTGTGTTTTTACATCCTCACTACGGCCTCCCGGCTGAAGCTTTTGGCGGGCCTTCGGTCGTCTCCAAGACCGGTCACGTCCTTCCTCTGGCCTTGGGCTTCCCCCTTGAGACCACCATCGCCGTCTCGAGAATGTATCTGGCCGGCGTCTGGGACCAACACCCCAAGCTCGAGTTCTTGCTCGCCCATTCCGGCGGCACCCTGCCTTTCCTCGCCGGCCGCCTCGAATCTTGTGTTGCTCACGAGCGAGAGTTTATTGCCAACGGTGGCAAAACCCAAGGCCCTGAGCGATCCATCTGGGATGTCCTCCAAAACAACATCTACCTGGATGCTGTCATTTACGGCAAGCCTGGCTTAAAGGCCGCTATAGAGGCTGCCGGATCTGTCGACAGAGTCATGTTTGGTACCGATCATCCATTTTTCCCTCCCCTTGGTGAAGAGGGCGGTAAGTGGCTGAGCGTTGAGAGCAACAAAACCGTCATCAACGGAGCCCTATCCCAGGATGACCAATCGATCAAAAAGATACTTGGAGGAAACGCTGTAAGAGTACTAGGGCTCGAATTATAATAGTTTCACCAAATAAAGTGCTCGTCACGAATTTGACCACATGTCTGAACCTTTGACGCACACATGTTCAACCCTTTGCCATTTGGCGACAGGACAAAATGTCCCAACCGAGGTATTCCCAAAGCTGTCCAACAAACCAGTCATCCGCCTCTTCTTCATGTTGCTCAACCGTTGCCACTCGAGTCTTCTCATCGTCTGACTCGTCTGACTCCTCTTCAAATCTTCTCAAGGCACCCTCAGCAAACGTGTCATCATCCTCACCAAACACTCCGCGGAGTAACGTTTTTTGAAGCGCCTCCTTCAATACGACCAGTAGCTGGACGTTGTTCTTGGCCGCCTTTCCTCCCGGCAGGAACCATTGAATACAATCTTTGGGCATCGTCGTCGTTCTTTTCTGTGCGACGTCGACCGCGGTTCGTAAAAGCGAAATCAGATATGGTCCCTCCACCCTTGCAGCACCTTTAGCATCATCAGCATCGAGATGGGCCACATGCAAAAGTCCAACTGGAGGGCAAATCCCATCTTGGTCTCCTGTGGTAGACTCGTCGCCTCCAAAGACAAGCAAGGCCAATGAAGACCCTATATGATCGAGTAGTGCAGATAAAAGCCCTTCAAGAAGTTGACATTGCGGCTTCTTGCTAACATCCAGAGCGGTGAACATGATGGTCAACACATCCAGCACGTGTTCTGTGTCCGCCTGCATCTTCTCATCCATGTGATTGATTGCCGAGCCCTTTTGAGCTCCTGGACCCCTTTTTTGGCTCGATGAAGCACCTCTGCTGTTTCTCTTGCGCAGGTCAAACCGATCCAAGGCAAGTTTGTGTAATTGTCCAAGCAAAGTTTGGAAGCTTGCAACCAGGTCGATGACGCCAACACACGGCTGCAGATCATCGTCACCTAACATGGCATATTGCATCACTCGCAGGGCAAAAGGATAAATGCGCTCAAAGAGAGCACATATCTCCCCGGTACGTGCATGGATAGGGAGACGGGATTCTCGAGGCGGAGGCTTGTGGTTGAAACTGGCAGAGAGACCACTAGAAAGGCTTTTAAATGATGCTGTGATTTGGGATCGATCTGGATGGTCGGCACGGAGAGCGCTATTGAGGGAATAAATTGCACGGATGAGTAGTTGACTGGCTAGGGACATTGAGTGAGAGGGTGTGTGAGTTCTTGCATAAATGACAACATACCAGAAGGGCTGCTATTTTGAATTTCATCTACGATGTCTCGTCGTAGACCAGAAAGGGGTTTAACCTCGCTGGGCCGGGAATGCTTTGTTGTGGTGGAGGGTTGAGATACAGTGGTCTTTCTCTTTCTGGTCGTAGGCGTCGCTGACCTATTTCGATGGTGGCTGAAGTCAGGAGCATTTCTGATAGAATTGAGATCGTCCAAAACCTCAAGTCTCCGTGTCTCCGATTTCTCATAGGCTTTCTTCCAAAAAACGCTGAGGTTGATGTCATGGGTGAATGGACTTTCGTCAACTATGGTAGGGATAACCGCTTGGTGAAGCAAAGACAGGTATTCTGGGTTTATTTAGCAACCATAGTCCTGCTTGCTTCTCAGAGAACACTGACCTTCAATTGTGAGTTCTCTAGGCTTTGATTTGTTAATGGCCACGGCCAGTGCAAGATGCATGAGGCTTGGAGAGGAAAGAGTTACATGCTCGTTGAGACCGTTTCTAGACATGTCGCAGCAGTTCGGTTGCCACCACCCAAGCAAGGTGAGGTGAGTGCAAACCCTGGTGAAAATGGGAAGATGCCCATCGTAATGAATTCCTGGAAGGCGTTGGGTTGAAGTATATAACAGGGAAGGAAGGAACTGATTCTAAGGAGAATGCTCCTTCCCCTGTTGTAAAGAATGAACTAGCTAATTCTCCAGAGGTTCATTCTTCAAGATTCGAAGATGTGCATGCTTGTGAATCGCACTCAATGCGACTTCTAGTTTTCAATAATGTATGTGAAAATGGGACGAAGTCATTGTCTATCAATGATAAGAAATCAGAAAAATATAATGTACCTCAGACTATCCTGCAGGTACATACCTCCAATGTTGAGAACATAAACCATCTGACCAACACCTAAACCCTGCAGGTAATTCCTTCCCTTCTTGCATTAATACACCTAAGAAGATGAAGATGTAATAGCATCATCACACAGTCAAGTGACAAGCCCCAGTTGCCAGACTTGGTGTATTTGTTGCATGTTGTGTCTAAATTCTTCGCCGTTGTACGGTGGTTCATATCTCAAACCAGGAGGCAGATCTCGTCCAAAACGCCCTTTTGTAGATCTGCAACGTCATCTGTCTGCAACAAATCAGTGATTCGAACGCTACAGCGTCGTAGCCCGCCATCATGGCGCCTGCGAACGAAGTAGACATGTCTATCGACTACTATGAACTGTTGGCTATTCCAGCAAACGCCAGCGAGTCGGAAATCCGACGGGCCTATCGAAAAACCTCGCTCCTCTACCATCCTGACAAGGTTAAACCAACGCCAGAAAATCTTGACAAATTTCAGCTACTACAAACTGCTATAAACATCCTAACAGACTCTGCCGAAAAAGCTAAATATGACCAAAACAGAGAGGCAAAACAGCGGCGCAAGGCCGAAAATGCTGCCCTCGAATCTCGACGGAGGACCATGAAGGAGGATCTGGAAAGAAGAGAAAAAGACGGTGGCGGCCTCGGATTCATACCTAGCGTTAATGGGCAAAAGAGAACTTGGAGTGACCGCGAGTTGGAAATCAAAAGGATTGCGGAAGAGAACCGTAAGCGAAGAGAAGACGCAGTCAAAGCAAAAACACAAGAGGCGCAAACCCAGGCACAAGCGGAAGAAAAACCTACAGAATCCCTTGAGCGAAGTGTCAAGGTTCGGTGGATTAGAGAGGGTGACGGACTGGACATTGATGCTGATGCTTTGGAAGAGGCTTTTGCAGCAGGTCAAGTTGAAAATGTTTTGATGTTGAAGGACAAGAAACGCAGAATCGAAGGTCGAGACAAGAAGGTATTGCTTGGAACAGCCGTCATCATCTTCAAATCTCTTGCCATGGCCAAGAAGGCTGTGGTGCAGGGCCCTTGGGAAGGCATCGAGAGCATTGCTTGGGCCGCCGAAAAGGGGGACGACACATGAAATCCGTGATAATATCTGCGAACCAACCACTCACTCCAGAACGACAAATGATCATCGGAAGCCAACACGATGGAGATCCGCGCTGCATGAGCGGTCTCTGTCTGCTCGATAAAACAGTAAGACGCATGACTGCTACATATGGCACCGTGACCCACAGTCATTTCTGGCTTGTCCATTTGCATCTTTCCTGATGCACGACCTGGTCATGCAGACGATCAAGGAATTTGCGCACATGATTTTGCTTGGTCGTACCGTACTATGAACTGAGCCTAGAGAACTCTGTGAACAGGCAGAAGGGATACCAACCATACTCGACTAAACTCAGACAAGATCATTTTCATGGGAATGACCATGGTGGAGACTCAAGAAGCCTCTCCAAGCCTCTCCTCTGGATCAGAGTTTCGAGAGCGTCGAAGAATGATCTGATACAAGGTCTCAAAATGCACCCATCCAATCAGTTGAGATGCCACAGAAAGATGGAGCTCCACACTGCCTTGATCGATGCAATCTCAGACTGCCACAAGACAGCAAAAATGAGCAGATGATGGTGTTTAAGTGGGTCTCGAAACCTTAATCCAACTCACGTCGAACGGATTTCCACATTTTCTAATGTTTCTGCCTCCAAGGTCCACCACATCAATGGAGCTCAACGCAATGAAAGACCATTCACAAGCGAACCCAGCCTCGATTATTTGTCGAACCGACTCATGATCATTTTGAAGTTTTCCTCACTCTGGTTGAACCAAAGTGAGGATGCGCCATCCACCAATCCTATTCTCAACCGCCAGCGACATTCAACAAGCTAGACAATATCATCTATTCAACCTCGAAACTATAAGTGTTTGCCCTGCTGATCTCTTCAAAGTATATTGTCTTGATCTGATCTTTTTCCCGCCTTCAGGTTGATCTTTTGACATTCTCACGACTATAAGTAACGGCTCATTTCCTCGATATTCCCCTTTCCATTCTTTATTCTTTCACATCACACATCCCTCCCCCTTCTCTATCCCCTCGTTCCACCATCCCCCTATGCACCCACTACTACTTCTTCCCCTTCTTTTATATCACACATCCCTCCTTCTACCATCCCCCTATATATATATAGTACTACTTCTTCACCTTCTTTCACAACACACATCCCTCATCCTTCTACTTCTTCTACTTCTGCCACACCCACTACTTCTTCTTCCCCTTCTTTAATATCTCACATCTCTCTTCTTCTACATCTTTTACTTCTACCACTTCTTCACCTTCTTTCATATCACACATCTCTCTTCTTCTACATCTTTTACTTCTACCACTTCTTCATCCTCTTTACTATAC